ACTGGTGGAGCTCGTTGACATGATACTGCGTGAAGTAGCCAATCTTTGCGGCAGGGTGTCAGTGATCTTCCCTCTGGTGGGTGATAGCGCTCTATAGCTCTCCGATGAGGGCCTCTACAAACATCGTCTTCTCACTACGATTTGTCCTCATGCAAGGTGGTGTCAATGAATCAGCTGCGTCGCGAAAACCTCAATACCCCAGACTTGCGGGAGCGACCTTCAGGTAACCATGCATGGAAATCGAAGATATCATAAGAATAGACTTCTACGCTATGCGATATGATATAATATGTATGGACAGCCAATAGCGGGGGGCGAGACGTAAATTACCGAGATGGAGTGATGGCACAGGTCTAGGTGTCTGGGCGCCAAGGGTGCTTCCCGAGAACGTCATGTGATCCCCGGAGTCCGCCAGACTCCGGCAGACTCGCCGGACTCAACAGTCTCGATATTTTGCTAGTCTCAGTGCTCCAACCGACATATATGTACTCGCGGCCCTCGGAGCCTCCATGTCACCGTGCAACAAATGGGGATAAACAACTCAATAGCCATAGTGTTTATTTTCGGTCCTCTATAATCCCGACACGTACTTTCGGCTATATATCCAGTAAGCAGCTGCGGTTCCCGTCAGTGATTCACATTGACCGACTACCCGCGCCCGATTCTTATATCAGAGCTCACTACTGTTTTATGTGCTGGCCGAGCTTAAAGAACAGACTTAACGAAGAGCCCGGCAACTCAACCAAGGGGCGAAGAGCGCGACATGATACTACTGAATATTGCACCCTGAGCCTTGTTTAGCTCAGTTCCGCGCTTGCATCGCTGCCCCGCACGCCTGACTGCGGAAGCAAGCAGAAGCGTTTCGTTGCATCGTTACGTAGCGGGCCGTAATATCTTCGCACTCGGGGCGCAGAGGCCATAACCCACGGTGTCATATCCCGATTCGTAGATTGCGGCTCGAGACCCGTTGCGGCGCACCGCGGCCCAGCAGAGCGGGGGCTTCCTGTCAAGGCATCGTCAGGTTTCTGTGGCCTCGGGCCGCGGCAAGAGGGTGAGGCCCAGGCACCGATTTAGCCAAGTCGGCTCCGCCAAGTCAATGTCCGATGTCCCTCTGAGTTCGACTGCCAGTGCACAGTCCACCTGTACCGAGACGCATCTCAAATCGCCATGGTCCGACCACCGAAGACTCCTTCCTGAGGGCTCGCAGCTTCCAGTTCAAGGACACTGTTCCTGCCTATCGGAAGAGTCTCGGCAAGTCCATGCATCTTCGCGAGGTCTAGCGACGCTTGAATACGTCCGCTCACCAATTTGAGGCTGCTCATGGACAGTCACTTCTATCCCTCAAGGGGTTTTGCAAAATCTGCGAGTTTTGCAAAACCCCAAGCTCTCCCTCCCCTCCTCATGCATCGCTCTGATATTTCGAACACATAATATTACACCCATTTCGATATCATCTGGCAACTTTTCGGAGCCAAATGAGCTGGAGGACGCCTTTGCGAGCAGGAGACATTTAGTTACACCTCTAAGCGAGTTGACGCCCAACTTGATATACAGATCTCTCTTTGTCTCTCGCTGTGAAAGCTCAAATGTCTTTCTGGATGAATGTCTGGGTGCATTTTGAATACCAAAATCACCCCCGATAGCTCCGAGGATGGATAGACATCCTAGGGAAGCCGTTTCTTTCAGGCGCTTATGGGTTTTGCAAAACCCCTTTCATGTAGGTGCTCGGAACATGGCATCCCCATAGCTCGCGTTCAGCTCCACAGAATCTTACGAAAATTGGAGGACATATGATAGATGTCAGTCTCAACAATGCCTGAAGTTTTTGGAATACATAGATCACTGTTGCTGGAGAGGCAGGTGCCATCATTCCTGGCGTTGCAGAACCCCTTGAGGGATAGTTGGTCGCTTCCGTTGCACCGACGTTGATTTTCACGCGCACAAGTCGGGCATTACGACAGAGCCAGAGAAGGCGAGGACCGCGGGAGGCTAGGGAAGCTCACTAACAGCACTCTAGGCGTTACGGATTCTCCAGTGCCGTCGTAGCTTCTCGCCGCGATCGGTCGTCCTGACGGAACTATCTGTCTAGCAAGTGTCATCGTATCCATAGTTCCGCTGACTAGCGCCTATATGGTGTTGGACTCCAGGTTTGTAGGCCGACCAGGAGAAGAGAGTGCGGTGGAAAGAATACGGGAATACAGGCCCAGATCCTCGGGTTTTGAAGCACGGCGATGCAATGCGCAGCAGGACCGGCACAATCCCAATGCCATATTGCTTGCGCAGCTTGCCAGATACATCGCCCAAGCGGTACTTGTCGAGGCGCTATAGCTCGAAATTAGCTTCGTACTACTTACGGTATTCCATAGCACCTGTTTGCGGTTACGCCCCTCCGCTGCTGCTGGCACTACACTCGTCAAACCTGGCAGGTTGTGAACGTTCCTCAGTATGTCACGCATCAAACGATTGTGTCCGCGGTAAGCGACACTGGCCCTTATCCACCGTCTGGTCTGATAGGATGACAATGGTTGCGTGCACTATTCGGCACCAGGACATCAAGGTGCGAAGAGAACGTGAAACGCACCATTGCCTCGCGGCGTGCTACTGCTACGCTGAGGTAGTCTGCCAGGCCTGCTGATCGCAGACGTTAGCGGACTCATGGCGGCTTGTGCCGCTGACTTGTTCGGTATGCAGATTTCTGGAGTTGCACTGGAGCCAATGAGGAACACTCCGACTCCGAGCTGGCCGAGCTGGCCACTTCGTGCGGCACCCCTGGTCATCGTACGAGCAGTTGCAACGTGGGGGACATGACGAGCACCGGTGACAAGAAAGGAACAAGTTCACCTTTGGGTCGGCAAGCTGAAGGGCAACAGAACGGATGCAGTCCTCTCCGCAGACGGGTGCAAGATGAAACACGATATGTGAGACCTACTACGTGACATGCGTCATGTGAATCACGATGCGCGCTGCGTCCGATGCTATTGCGGGTCGAAGGCCGTCGTTCGTCGTTCGTCGTTCAAGCGCGGTAGTTGTGCACAGCACTCCCGCGAGAGCATCGATAAGGTTCTATAACTGCGACTCATGCGTTGCAGCGGGATCATCCGGAGCCGGAGTCATAAAGAAATGGAGGCCGGCGACGCACCAGACAAGTTTCATATGCCAGCTGTGCGGCGTTCAAAAGCGAACGCCGTGGTAGACTCTTCGGGCACTGTCAACTTGAGATATCAGCCACCCTGGACAGGCATGAATATACGATGTGAAACATTGCTAGTCTGCACAGGTACTTAGAGGTCATTTTATAAGACCGCACACGCTCGACTGTGAGCTTGCACTGGAGTGCTAGGCGCGCGAGGTAGCCTTGAGGCGGTGTGGTACCTGTGTACGGTGACATTCGTCAGATGTTTGAGGTGAAAGGTAGATGGGAGCAATGGTTGAAATGAATCACCACAGAGAGCGGGTGGCAAGTCTGGTGTCAGACTGACCTGTTCATCACCATGACTGTGTCTCGCAAGGACAACACTGTTGGCTATATGAGAGCCTTCGCACCATGATCAGCGGCTCACCTAGAGCTTGGTGAAACAAGGGAAGAGGCACAGCACAATCGTGATAGTGCACTGATTATAATGGGACAAGATGCTGCTTTGATAACCGATGAGACGCATAGAGGAACGCACCAGTTGGTGATCGTCGTTCTTTCCTTCTATAGAATACCACGACACTGGACGTTGGCTCGCTCGTCGACTGTACCCAATAAACGCTCTCAACAAATTTGGAAGAGCAATCCTTTCATGCACCATATTGTTTCCGTATCTCGATAACATCTGTGCGCCCATAGCCCTCAACGCGCGACAGCGGCAGAAGTCTGATAAATTACGAGTATGTCGACCACTCACTGTGGGCCGGTGGTCATTTGGAACACCGGGTTACCATACGAGGCGAACAATCGCCGAGAAGGCTCGTCTTGCGAAACATAACGTGTCAGAGAGAAGGTGTAGTTCAATAACCAACTCTGCATGCTCTCAAAGCGAATTCGAGATCTCAAACCACGTACCGGTCAGGATACACACTGTGTACGCGAGTATCCCCTCATGGCATCGACCAGCAGAAACACGCACGCTAAGTTGCTGATTGATGGAGGGACGGAATGTCCGGGAAACAATGGCTAATGAGGCATCGCAGATATATCTGCTGTCTGTGTTAATCTGGCACGAAACTAGAGAGCTCAGCGATTGAATGCAGAATCGCCTGTAGAAATGAGACCACTCACCTCAACTCGTAAGGGAAGCCCGTGAGACCCTGTATGCGCATCAGTCCCGAATTCCTCAGTTCGGACTCTAGGTCAACGGACCGCGCACTCTGAACCCGACACATCTTCGGAGTGAATCCAGACGCGGGATAGGTACGCAGATTATCGGTCGCGTTGCAAGCTTGACATCTGGAGTTGCTACCGCGCTCGTCTCGCCTCCGGACACTGACGCTCCTTACTGAAGGAAAGATGCTAGCGGATCGAAGCATAACATGCTCATGTCAGCTCGGTCGCCCGACAGCGGCCGACGGAATTCAGCTGGCCGTCCTATCTCGCAACTATGTATTTGCAAATCTGTAGGGTACTCAGGGTCATTACTATGGGCGCCCTTTGGCAGTCTTTTGGTACGCACCGGACTTCGAACGGACAAGCAGAGGAGATTTGCGCCCACGACGGGGGAGGGAGCGAGGTAGGGCTCATGCACAGATTCTGATGTTTGGCGACTTGGAAGAGACTGCGAGCGACGACTCCACCTCGTGAGGATGGGGGTGATCATAATCTAACTCGGAGGGCATCGAGAGAATGACGTTAGTTGGTGCCTGTGAGGGACACGTAGATTGTATGCTAGTACTCGTCGCCTGAAGGTAAGGTTATTTGCAGCCATTGTCTTTACAAGCTTCGGAGTGTGCGTGGGGTTAGAAGGACTCATCGTGCAAGTTCGCCGGTCGCGGAAACGGTAGAGAAGCACCTAAGCGCCGAAGCGCGTCTGTCCGCTTCCGGACGCGTCTACGCGTGTTGTACCTCGTCCTCCGCCACCTGCCTGTTCTTTCTCCTACTTAGACCTTGCTTCTTCTTCATTTGGAGGGTGACAATTGGGTAACTTGAAGGGCTCAAACAAAGGAAGAACCAAGCAATAGGATCTGACGCAATGGCCTTTAATCCGAATCCCGCCAAGTACGTCCACTTCGTACTCTCAGACATCTGCGAGCTTATCAGCTTATTCCAGCCCACTCTTCGGCGGCGCGAAGCCCGCAGGTCAGACTGGGACGGGACTGTTTGGCCAAAATACCACGCAGCCGACGGGCTCTCTGTTTGGCAACCCCCAGCAGCAGCAACAGCAGCAGCCACAGCAGCAAGGTGCAACCTCTGCGTTCGGTGGCTTCGGTCAGGCCACACAGAACCAACCCTCGCAGGGGACATCATCACTTTTTGGGTCTATGGCGCAAAACGCGGGGAGCACAGGTTCAAGTCTGTTCGGGTCCACCCTCGGGCAGAACACGCAACAGCAGCAGGGCCAGCAGCAGCAACAACAACCTACACAGGGGACATCGCTATTCGGAGGAGGAGCGTTCGGACAGCAACAACAGCAACAACAACAGCAGCAGCAGCAGCAACAGCAACAGCAGCAGCAGCCTTCAACCGGTCTTTTCGGGCAGACGACCAACCAACAGCCTTCTGGCGGGTTGTTCGGCCAGCCAGCAGGACAGCAGCAACAGCAGACCGGTGGGCTGTTTGGGGCTAACAATCAGCAACAACAAAGGCCGCTGTTTGGTGCACCGACGGGCGGGACGTCGTTCTTTGGGAGCACGGGGCAGACACAGCCTGGTCAACAGAACACGTTGGGAGGAGGCTTTGGCAGCACACTACAGCCTCAGGCTGCACAGCAGAATATGTTTGGCTCTACGGCGGGGACGCAGGGGGGAGGGTCGACATGGGGAAGACCTACGACGCAACAGCCGTGAGTGTTCGTGTTTTTCTACTTGCATCTCTCCCCTTTCTGCCTGGGTTCCCTGCCAGTTTGGCCTCTGACTAGACTCAAAGTGGAATGATGACTGACGCGTACGTCGCCACAGCGTCCAATCGACAGGCACACCTTTGTTCACAAAGTCCACAAAGTTCAATGACCTTCCGGACGAAGTGCGCAGGCAACTGGAACAGATTGAGTACGCCTTATCTCATTTCGTATTGCAGTTGGACACTTAGCCGACCTGGCGCCTCGCATAGTTCCCAATTTCAATCCCGCATCCAAATATGCAACGACCTCAAGCAGCGCAAGTTGGGGGAAGAGCCGCTCAAGGGGCAAGAAGAGATTCGCAACGTCCAGAAGGTGCGTCACATCTTTCTCCCTTCCCTCCCATAATCGGGTGATGCACGAACTCACACCACGCGCTCTCCTTCGTAGGTGCTTACTAGCGTGATCGCAGTGCTGCAGTCGGACGTGCAGCACACGCGCGACCTGAAGCTCAAGGCGGAGCAGACGGTGCAGGACACGATCGTCGCGACGCGCATCATCGAGGGCTTCCGGAACCCGCAGCAGCACGGGCAGTACCTCAAGACGTACGCCAACTTCCCGCTCGAGTTCTTCACCCGCGTCACCGAGCAGATGCGTGAGCGGCTGAGATGGTACAAGGCGACAATCGAGGTGGGTCTCTGTCTCTTGCGAGTGGTCGGAAAAGTCGGTGGGAGACTGAGAGCACGAACTGACTTGTAGAACATCGAGCGCAAACTTGCTTCGGCGACTCAGACGCAGCACACACCACAAGGTAGGAACATTAACATCCGTAAGCCAATCGCCTGCTCACGTTTCACACCCATCGCCCGCAGCCATCGTGTCGACACTCGAAGCGCAACACGCAACTTTCATGGCGCTCGCGACAAAAGCAGCAGCCCTCGACGCGGAGCTGCAAAAGATCAAGAAGCTCTACACCCAGCTCTGGCGCGAGAAGGTCGGCAGCATGCGCGACCCGTTCAACGACATCGACCGGGGGGTTGACAACGAGTTTGGTCTCGAGCATCTCACTGGCGCAAGATGAGCCGGCGTAGGTTCGTGGAGCGTGTTGTGTCATGTACTTTGTGTATCACTGGACAGGCATCCCATATATGACTTTCCAGCCCGGGTGTAAGAGGTCGTGACTGTGTCATTGGGTCTGGAGAATCAGTTATCCAAGATGCAGTTGATGCTATAATACATTGAGTAGCACGTCGGTCAAATGGCTATTCCTAGGACTGGTGCAGGATTGTCAGCCAAGGTGATGCCGAGGGACGGCTGTATTCGTACCTTCATGGCTCTCGTATGCAACCTCCAGGTAGGAGGAATTTGAATTTCTCGCTCTGTTCGATGAGATATCCGGGCACATGTACGGCAGATGGTTGACTATAGCTGTTGCCTCAGCGTGAATATCCGTAACAATAAAGGGGATGATACTTACGCGTCTTTGTCCATGAGAGCAAGAAGATCCTTCCACTGCCTGATGTTCGAATACACGCACAGCGACATTGAGGTGGAGATGACGCACCTTGTACGCCTCCGGCAACATTCCAAAGATATCCTTCCCTTCGCATATGGTCTGCTGTATCCTCTTCGGGTCGAGCAATGACTTGTCCGTTACGCGGTCCGCATGCGAGTACCCTAGAACACTTCAATACACCCGTACCGCGGCGCCGAATCAAGGTCATGCGCACGCACCGGTCATCTTGTCCGCGAATTCGTGCAGGTACCTGAAGCAGAAGCTACAGTGCCACCCCGAATCCGCCAATTTCCAGTCAGCGACCTGTCCATGGTTGTACCCGCTCCTTGGCGACCCGAGCTGGTGCACCTGCGCGCGCCAGCTCCCCTCGCCCGCGGGCCACTCAAACGAGTACAGGTACTCGCGCATCTGGAGGTGGATGGGGTTCGGGGCCTCGCACCGCCTCAGCAGCTTCATCGTATGCGCATATGGGATTTCGTCCACGTCCGAGAACAGAACGAGCGGGGATACCTTTAGCCGCTCCCTCTCCTGGTGCGCGTGTTCCCTGAGGAGCGCGTCCATATGTCTCCGCTGGTCCCCCTCGTTCACAAACGGGCTCTCCCCAGGGTTCAACGTGCGCGCATGGAAGACGGAGTGGACGAGCTTGTGCGCGAAGGGGGCGAAGCGCTCGGCGTGCTCGGCGAAGGTGAGGTTCTTAGGGATACCGGTGAAGGTGCGGTCGGCCTCGACGATGAAGAACTTAGAGACGACAGGGTCGAGCTCGTGTAGGCGAATTTCAAGGAGGTCGAGCTCGGAGGAGAAAAGGACGGCGTCCCAGACTTCAGGGAGGTCGTTCTCATCGCGCGGGGCCCAGCCGTGGAGCGCGCAGAGGTGGTCGTCGAAGGCGACGCCCTCCGCGTAGTAGTGCGGGAGGGTCGTGTGCGGGCCGAGAGGTTTGTCCCAGAGGGGTCGGGTGGAGTAGGAGAGGAAGTTACGGATGCGAAGGCTGTGGGGAGTAGATGCCAAGTTTGTCAGGTTCATTCAAGGCAGAATGGAGTCAGCAGGCGGACCTTGACTGGATTGTATAGCCCACAATGAGCATGAATGAGATCGCTGAGGCGAGAACGACCAGGGAGCGTCGTCGGACAAGCATGGCACTCGGGGAGAACCAATAAGAGAAACTAGAAGTAGCTGAGAAAGCTCGAGACGTAGCACCAAGCCGTGATTGAGAAGGCTCAAAGTCGTCAAGAGAGCAGATGGTTTAGCTGAATTGACACTGGTGTAGATGGAAGCGGGATGTGAAAGTGATTACGGGTAGGATAGCATGGTGGTACGGAGGAGAAGACAATGGCAGATGGGTCATGACCCCAGTTACACATGTAGACGATGTCTGTGCCAAGAGCACGCCTCACAAGGCGCATCATTCCCGCCCTTTCCTATTCGGGACCCACACAAGGTGGCGTCTGTGGTACCGAAGCCTCTTCGAGCCTCCGCCACCATGCCAATCACCCTCTAGCCCTCTAGCCCTCTGCGTGTTGTACATCGAGGCCAGTATCTTTTGTTGCTTTTAGTACTGCTACTACGTCTCTAGGCTCCTACACATATCGAAACAAGATTGCTTAGGCTTCCGCGACCCCACCATGTCTGCAGTTCCCAATACTCCCCGCCGGGCTAACGCGCAAGAATCCTTTACTCCTGCGGCCACGCCCCAAACCTCGCGTGTGGCGTCCTCACATATTGTGCAATCCTCACCTCACTATCAAACAACCCGCAGACATTCGCTCTATGGAACGGAGGATAGGATAATCCTCGATCCCGGCTCATGTATCTGGAAAGTAGGCTTCAGCGGAGAAGGCAAGCCGAGAGACGTGTTTTATGCTGGAGGAGATAGCGGAGAGTCGTTGTGGACATTGAATCGAGCGTCCAAGCCTGCTGAGAGGGAAGAAGAGGACCGTATACTCGAGGCAAAGCTCCAGGCGTGTCTGCGTTCCGTGTTCCATAAGTACGTCTACTATTCAACGTTCAGAGTGTATCCCTCACTTCGATTGAAGTTCTCTTTTGACCGACCCAAAGTCACGGAAGGTCATTCTGGTCGAACATCCACTACTTCCTCTACACATAAAGGAAATTATGGCACGGATATTGTTCAATAATCTTCAAGTAAGTCAAGGACTGTTATGCGCGTGCATTCTCATCTGAGTGCCGTTCAGGTGCCTTCGATATCCTTCGCATCAAGTCATCTACTTGCGCTCCTCGCCGCGGGCCGCGTTACAGGTCTTGTCCTTGACTGCGGCCATCTCGAGTCCACAGTTCTCCCAGTAGGTCTCTTCTCCTACTCATGCCAGACCGAACACTTAAGTGTCGTCAAAGATATTCTCCTTCCGTCCCCTATACCCCCACCTCCGCACGACCCCCCTCGCAGGCGCACGCCTATCCAACCACATCAAAGCCCTCCTGCTCATGTTCGGCACCTACATCCCCCCCGCGACCTCCCTCAGCGCGACGATGAACATCCCCGCCGCCTCGCGCTCAATACGCGTCCCCCAAGACGTCCTCACCGAGAAGGTCATCGACGAGATCAAGACCCGCATCTGCTTCGTCGGGGACCCCATCGATACCGACGGCTCCGGCGCCGCCCAACACGCGATGTCCCCCGGGCCCTCCGAAGCGGACCTGCCCCCGAGCGACCCCGCGCTGTCCGAGTCCGAGTTCTCGCGCGTGTCCGCGGACGTGTCCATCGACAGCAGCAACTTCGCGCCGTCGTCCGGATACTCGGTCGTCTCGCACTCGCAGCTCCCAGGAATGGACCACGCCCCGGGTGAGAGCCGCGTGCAGGCGTTGGCGACGATGTATGGGAGACACTCGACCGCGACGGATATACATTTGCGCGTAGACCCGCCCCCCGCGCAGCAGACGGGTACGGGGCGGGGGACGTTGATCGTGCCCGGGTGGATAAGGGAGCGCGCGGCGGAGGTGTTGTTTGAGGGTGGGGACGTGGATGAGAGTAGCGTTGCCGAGGTTATTCTGGATACCCTTCTGAAGGTAAGGGAGCCTTATTTTTTCGGTTGTTTGCTGAACTACGGCTCTAACTCCTGCGGTAGGTGCCGGTCGACCTCCGGAAGACACTTGCCTCTACCATTCTCGTAGTTGGGGGCACGCCCATGCTCCCCGGATTCATCCCGCGCCTTCAGGCCGAGCTCACGCGCGCCGTCTCACGCACTTCCAACTCCTCGTCGTCGTCCGCCGCGCCTTCGCGCGCAGGCAGGCCGCGGCCACGCCCAGCAGCGTATGATAAGTACGCAGCGTTGCGTCCGCTATTGCCCTATTTTGCCATCCTGAACAACCCGGCTCCACCCCCGCCCGGAAATGCGACCGCCGCGGCAAACGCGGGGAAGGCACCTGCTTTCACGCCGTCGATGATGGCGTGGGTCGGGGGGTCTCTTGCCGGGTATGTCACTTTCACTCCTCACTTGGATTGTGTCCAGCTAACGTCTGCTCGTCACACAGTGCACTGAAGACCGGGGGCATTGAGGTCCAGCGAGAAAAGTGGGACGAGGCGGAGGCGCAGCCAGACTCCGACGACGACGTGCCGATGGCCCACGACTCCTCGCCCGCACGCTCCGCGCGGTCGTCCCCCGCGAAGAGCATCCTTCCGGACTGGACGCGGACGCCTCTGCCCACTGGTGCGCCGCCCGCTCCGCGACCGCCCGCGGCGGCTGCGTACATACCGTCTGCACAGGAGCAGATGGTCATGGGCTAGTGGGCGTTTCGTTTTCGGCGGCCGAGGGTGGGGGTGGTTGATGATAAGGCTGCCTCTTCTGCATCCTTGTGGCATGTGACGACGTAGACATGGCTTCTGATTTCTGTCTGTGTTCTTGTGCTACCCTACAACAGGCATTCTATAACTATATACGCTGTACTTTTGCAACAATGCCGTAATGAGAGGGGATTGGACACGGATGGACAAAGTGGAGAACAAGAGGGCTAGCGCCAGCAGGATGTGTCGCAGAGAGAAGGGTGAGAATGACGAGATACACGGAGGTAGGCGAAGTAACGAAGGAGGGTCACCCTGGGCGAAGTCTAAGGTACAAGATGTACAACAGATGGCGGCGACGGCTGAAACAAGGCAAGAACAAATAGAACAGCCAGCATAACAGGGCGCTACGAGTAACAAATGTACATGTTGCAACAACAGGAGAGGTAAGCCAAGATACGGGAGCAAGAGTTTGAGAGGGTCAGATGACCTGAGGAGACTAATATAAATAAGGGGTAGATTGTGGACGGTCGTTCATCGTGAAAGTCGTAAAGGGACATGAAGGTTGAACACTAGAGCAGAAGGAAGAAGGTGGTGGTGTTGTATCGCAACGAATATCGAAATTACGTGAACCGTCTTGTGCGCGCTCGCCCTTCCCTCCATACAGTAGGACAAGGCAGCGCGCCATGAACCAAGACCAAGGCAAACAGCGCACGCGTGCACCTATGCACGCTCATATGGGCTGCGCATTAAACAGCCGGATCGTCATCTTCCCGCCAGCGCACGCGTCCACCGCGGCGCGCCACTCCTGCTCGGTATACACGTACCTCAACGCCTGCGGGTTCAGAGTGCCCACGCTCGACGCCGAGTTCGACCGCGGCCGTCCTCGCAGCGCGGCCATGCCCGCCACACCTCCCCCGGGCTGGCTCGCAGAGGGCGCCCACCCGACGACGAACGCGCGCGAGAGCTGCACGCCCTCCTGCGCCGCGAACTTGTCGCGCAGGCGTGTGCGCACTTCCTGCAGCGGCGCGGCACGGGGCACGCGCAGGAGGACGATGCTCTCCTGTAGGACGGCCTTGAGCGTGATGCTCTCCGTCATCGCCATCGGCGAGTTGGGCGGGGAGCTCGCGCCCAAGTTCATGCTCCAGCTCGTATCGGAGCGCACTGGGGGAGCGGACACCGGGACGGACGTAGGGCGGTCGTCCAGCCCCGGGATGGTAGGCGGGGACCAAGGCAGGTGGAACTGCCCGGGCGGCCGGTTCTGGAAGGGCTTGGGAAAGCGATCGGGTGTCGAGATCTCCTTGGAGGGTTCGCGCTGGGAGGGGAGCTGTTGCTGCGGCGCTGGGGGAGGCGTCCGTGGGGGCTCTTCGAACGCATTGGGGTGTAGAGCGTTGAGGTCGGGATCTGAGGAAGAGAGCGCGAAGCGCGGACGTGTCAGATGTTATGGTCATACCAATCGCGGAGATAAGGCGTGGGGGGACGAGAGATATGCGTGTGTGCTGCGTTCGCGGCGATTGCGAGAAGGGAGAGAAGAACTGCAGAGATTACGGGGAACTCGATGCTCACCGTAAAAGTACGCGTCAATGAGGTCATCTTGCTGGTCGTTCCAATAATCCTCCTGGCCTTCCAGCGTGGCCATGATGCTCACCGGCCGCCTACTGCCCGCCGACAGCGACCGTCTGAGCGATGAGTCGGCGTGAGGCGGAGGCGTGAAGCTCCTCTCAGCGATCGTGGAGTCGATGGTCAGGTCTGACATAATCGACTTGAGCGTTTCCATCGACTGCCTGCGAGCGAGTGCAGTATGCCGGCCACTGGTGGAAGTCGAGTACGTCGAAGCGATGGAATGGCGGTTGTCCCGCGGATCGAAGTCCGCGCACGAGCCGTTCGAGAAGCCCGTCGCGAACGACTGCGCATTGCTGCTCTCCGAGGCCATCGACGTGCGCCATGAGGACCTCCACGATTCTCCCGCGCCCGAGAAGTTCGAGAAAGCGACTGACGACGTCCTCGACGACGATGTGTGCGTCGGCGTCCTAAGCAGCTGGTCGTCCACTTGCGCAGACTGGATGTGCCGGGTGTCCAGGCGAAGCTCCTCGAGAATCGAGAAGGCACCGCTGGAGTGCGCAGACTTGGGCACATCCCCAGCGAGGAACAGACACTGCCGATTCGACCTGTCCGGGCACGAGTTGTTGCGGGCCCTTCTGACCCGGATGCGTGTCCCCTCTTCGATGTCGCTATCGTACGCGCCACCGGAACCCGACGCGACGGGCAGACGGGGGGACACCGGCACGAGCTCGCTATCCTCCGGGAGCGCCTGCAGCCCGGGATGGAACTCCCCGGGCGACTTGGTCACCTCCGCCTCTGGCGCGAGGACGATCTCGTCTTGCCCAATGTCTTCAGGAGGGAACGAGTAGTCAGAGCGCCGCATCCACGGCTGCGGCTGCACGCGCGCGGAGAGCGGGGAGGGGACGTACTCTGCGCGCGTGTCCGCGTCGTCCGTATTGAGCGCGAGCGAACCGCGCGCGGAGACGTAGAATGTCATGTCCTGCGCAGGGTCCCCTGGGACGGGCGAAGGCGACTGGCGCTCGCCTACGCTGAGCGTGGACGCGGAGGAGTCGGAGGTGGCGTAGGTGACGGGCGGTGCCACCCTGCCTTTGCTGCCTGAACCCGTCGAGCGTCGGCGGGGATTGTCGCGCTGGAAGGAGGATTGTCGGGGCGATCCGGGTGGGGATTGGAAGGTGGGGAGCGCTGGACTCGGGGGAAGGTCGGCGTACGCGTTCGGCAGAGAGAGGGAGAGGGTGGACGCGGAGAAATACATGGAGAATGCGCTGCTGGAGACGGAGTTGCGCACGCTGCCCGGGCTCTTGCTCGTCCCCGACTGCCGTTTCCTCTCGTGGTCTTGGTCTCGCCGCCAGAATCCGAAGAAGTCGCGGATGAGCTTTGTATCACGGAGCTCTTTGATGAGCATTGGAACGTCCGGCTGCCAGAGTGCGTAGATGAGAGCTTCAAACTCGCGGCCGCGCTGCTCGATCGTGGACTGGCTCGCGCGGAAAAGAGTGCCTTTCTTCGTCAAGCGTGGGATGTGCTCGTGGATGTCCTTCGCGATCGTATTCGCATCGGGGCCGGGTGGTAGAGACTCGAATGACGCAGCTTGGTCTGAATGGATGTATACCCCATTCTTCTTCACGCCTTTACCCGCTGCTAGTCGAGAGCGCTTTTGGCGCGCCATGAGCGAGTACTCGCCCTCAAGGATCTCCTGGAACCAAAGACAATCCTCCCATCGTCGCCAGATATCGTACTCTTGGTTCCACGATGAGCCGGACTTGGTCGACCGACTGTCGATAATGTCCCCAGTCTCTAGGGGGAAAATTCGCATTCCATAGCAGAAGCCGCTGCCTGGAGAAGATGGTCAATTGCGCTATCTGGGAAGCATGTCGCGCGAGCGCTCACCGAACTTCGTGGGGGGAAGCACTTCGACCGTAAACTCCTTAGGTGCTGGACGATAGACAGCCCGCTTGTAGTTCTATACCAGACGTCAGAGTCAGCGATGTCGCGGGCAGCACGAAGCCGCTGTGGGGTGCCCGCGCGTGCTCTGTCGAGCCTGCGCTTCGGGCGTGCGCGCGCGCGCCCATCGGGGCAATAACGGGACGCGAATAGATCACACGCGCAAGCTACAGCCCACACAAGCTCCAAAAGAGAAAGATATAACGTACGTGTCCTGAAGGGGGGCCTCCGAGAGAGCCAGTGCCGGGACCACCCTGGTGCGCCATGAGAGTCGATAAAGAGGAACGTGAGGAGAGAGGGAGGGTAGATTCATACCTGATGGATGCCTTCTATGAACAGCGCCATGTTCCAATTGATTGCGAGCTAACTTGCTACGGAACTCTGGAACCTGGGAAAGACCGGGCGAAGATGAGAAACCTAAATTTGCGCTGCGCGGAAGGCCGACATTACAGATGGGGAGAGCAGGTGCACGGACTCCACTTGACCGTACGCGCGGCGATAGGATGGTCTGAACGGCCAAGAAGGCGAGACCGGCTGACGGCAAGACCGTATGTCCCTTGAGTGTTCCTCGATAGGAAACGTTCCTGTGGCTCTGCTTGCGCTAAGATTGCGAGATGGGGCGCTCCTGTGCGTCCTGCTCGCGCGCGAGAGGTGGCGAAAGCTGGGTGGTAAATGCAGAGAGGTGCGGGTGTCGCGAGGATGGTGGTGGGGGACAAGAGACAGAACAGCGATCGCTGCGTTGACAAGAAACGGAGGGCGCCTTGGGCTTATTGTGTTGGGAGGACATGAGGGTCGGATGTTGTGCTCAATCTCCCGGTCCGCTCCCCATAAGATCCATCCCGATCGCTTACTGGTTCCATATCGGGGCTTCCCACCCTGGGCGCGCAGCCCGGAGCCTGAGCACCCCGTAGCACTAACTGCATCCACCGCGTCGACTATGGGTGCCTGCTGCCTTACGAGGCTGCTCACCAATATGCATCACGGCTTCCCTGCCCTTCGCGTCCTTCAAGCTGCGTTTATGCACAAAGTACTTCATTCGGGCCAAGAAACCCCGGAGGGACGAAATTATTTGATACAGGAGCAAGATCCGACTGAGATCTATAGCAGCTATAGAGCATCGCTTGTGATCACTCTCATGTGTTACTCCGGTTCCACTGATATTCCTGCCCCCGTTTCCAGGAAAAACGACTCATGCCGATCACGATCACTCTCTGTCGATGCATTCACTACCTAGTCTTTCTCTCAGCTGCGTCGCCCCACATTAGGGCCGCTCAATTCTTGAGGACGCAGGACGCAGGACGCGTTCAGAGGCCATTGATGGAGGTGATGGGCTAAGCGAGACTAGCCGACGAGCTCGCCTTCGAAACCCCTCGAGCGACGATAACACTCATCCCCCCTCACAAAGTGCCTCAAGGGTAGTGTCAATCGATGCGGAAAGCCTTCGTCTTCAACATACTCGCGATTCATATTTTTCTGTTAGGTTTGAGACACGACAGACCCCTTGGAAAACAGCGGGCACAAGAAATGAGGTTGGTACCTTGCCATATGCGGCAGGTTCGGCTAGCCCATCACATCCATCAAATGAGCTCTGAGTGCGTCCTGCGTCCTGCGTCCTCAAGAATTGAGCGGCCCTATTCACTCCTTCGGAGAGGGCATGAGAAGCCGCATCGTCGCGTGAGAGACCGCCGCGGCGCGGTCGCACAATCCCCGGCACCGAAGGTCATCTGCGAGTACCCGCATCAGCGCCATCATATCACTTCCTGTCTGTCCAATCGCTGTCAAGAGCAAGTCGACCCTGTTGCAGACGAGCAGAGAGTGCTCAGCGACCGCGTACCTGATCTTGAAGCCTGATTGTCCGGTTTCTCCATAACCACAGTGCCTTGGGAGCGCGACGAGTGCGCAGCGATAGGATCTGCAGGAAGCACAGAGGGTGGGAGGTGTATCAGCACAAGGCGAGCAACCCGGCCAGTTTCCGAGGGGGGTCAGAAGCACCGAAGCACACGGGATATGGTGTCTCGCAGGTCTACCGCTCCACTTGCGGCACTTGTCCTAACAACTATGTATGCTTCGTGCTTGTCTTATTCCTCCCGATACTCAGCCCATTCCAATGATACACGGCTCTTCCCAGCCATGCGAACATTAGTCGGACGGCATACGCAGGCTTCTACGAACGCCGGCTAGCGATGTTTGAGTCAGCTCTTTCTAAGCCCCCACGGAACTATCCGGTGAGCAGCATTATACACTTCGCCCGAGGTACTTCACTTACATGCTCCCAAGGGTAGGCACCCTAGAACGTGTGTACTCGCGTCGAATTCTTCCGCTCACACGGGAGAGCTGCGCAAGATGCGCACACAGATGATCCTAATGAAAGCAGAGATGCGCATCTACCGTGCGAGTCCCAAACATCCGAGAATGTCCCCGTTGAGCACTCCCTATGACATGACATCACGACCGCCAGATTCATGCAGCATAAGCATAAGTAATCGAACAGCCACCCCCTGGCTGGCTACACGAGGGTTACTCGGAAATGCCATCAGTGGGGTCCCGTCTGGTCCCGCCGGCCTCCTCCCTGAACGATCGTGGCTGTTACGCAGGATCACCATGACTCAGTTGTACTGCGAGTGCATCCACGCGAGCGCACGATTAACGACCCTATCCGGGGAGGGCTCAGCACAGGAATCCATGCGGGGTGCCTGGCCTCTCATGATCTGAGCCGCCCCCATATGGCCCTGAAGGCTGATGGACGTGCTGCACAAGGCTGCACACGACCATCATATGTACCATGCATGCTAACTTGTACGTCATTCCCATCGAAACCTTGCTCGTCGATAGGCTGTCGTCGTGCCTGGATGCACAGCTGCTTTGGCTTGCTAGTACATACATGTAATTTTCGGGGCAAGATGCTGCCATTCTGCCGACGGGTCTGCCTGGGCAAATACTGGCAGATGCAATAGGCGCTCATACCAGAACAGTTCCAGAGAAATGACTTCTGGAGAATTCTGATGCATACAGTGGCATCTATGCAGAGCGCAGTCTTCCATTAGATGCTTGTAGTGGGTGCCAGAGTGTGGATGAGTGGAATATCCAGCGCTAAATAGATGGGGCGCGCCTATATATTTGCCATATCTACCCGCCGAATGGCCCGAAGCATGTCTACATGCGTGCGCTGCGAAGCTGCCTAGGCGTTCTTGGCACGTTCGAATGAGAGGAGTAACATGCCCGGTGCATTGGGCAACGATTCTCCCTCGATGACCGCGTCGCGTTTATGCGACGCTTTCGGCGCACCATGGTGAAGCTCGCGCGGATGAGAGCGGGAGCTGCTCAGTACGTATGTAGTAGGCGATGTACAATCACGACTCTCACGCCGAACGAGTCTCTGTATCCGCATCGAAGACTGTCAGGATCGGGAAGTTCGCAGTACCACGAATGCCGTCATGCTGCTCAAAACGGGAATCAATGCTCCCGCATTATCTTCAGGGTCGGCCTCCTTCTCGTTCTCGAAAGGAAGGTACGGGAAAACGGGGAAGATGCGCTGTCGAAATCATGAGGATAGAAGAGGCGGCGGGGCGGCGTACGCGACTTCCCGGTCCACGAAGCTGTGTCCGGGTGGGGTATCGCCGACGGCCAAGATCGGGCGGTGGGATGTGTTCGGTCATATTGCATGCCCACTAGTGCAATGTCATCAGCGCATGCGAGAGCCACGAAGCTCTTGAGCATGGAAAGAGCGGCGAAGGGTTTACGTTAGTCAGGACATTCAGTCGATGAACGGACGACGACGACGACGTCGTCATCGAGCGCATATAGCCATATGATCAGTAGCGGCAGCCAGATTGCGGCGGCGTCGTGGCAACCGTTGCATCGCGAGCACGTCGAGAAGGAGACGAGCGGACATAGATGTGTGAGCTTGAAGCACGATCCCGTATGATTGTGACACTCTGGCGTCGCTCATACGACCTCCTGGATCTTGTGGGGGATAGCACGGCCACGAAGTGGAGCACGAATCGACAATCGATACACGTGCATATGGTACAGGACCTGATTTGCTACTTTCTGAGGAGGCGAGTTGAACTTCACACCAGACGACGCACGCCACCGGAGAACGCTCACCTCTGCTTCTACCACCTCCCAAGCCGCCTACAGCACACTCCGCTTCGAGAACAGGTCCAACGGAGGCCGTCCGTACGTCGACTAACGCAACACCGCCGTCTCCCGTCAGCACGCGTACCGTCGCTCGGAGCCACGATCGCGGGAGGGAAGGACAGCGAGGACTCACCCAGGGCTGGGGCTTGTTCCCCGCGATCTCCTCGATCTTGTCCAGGATCTCCGGGGTGAGCTTCGGTATGACCTCGAGCGCCTTGAGGTTCTCGAGCAGCTGCTCGGGCTTCGTCGCCCCGAGGATGACGGTCGACGTGTTCGGGTTGCGCGCGACCCACGCGAGCGCGAGCTGCGTCACCGTGCAGCCGAGCTCTGCGGCCCGAGCGCGCAGAGGGAGAGATCACGCCGTGCCGTCAGCCATGCGGGGGGCCAGAAGGGGGAGCAGGAGCGACGCACCTTTTTCGGCGAGCTCGGTGAGGTCGCGGACGATCTTGATCTGTTTCTGGCCCTCGTCCGACTTAAGGAACTCGACCTTGCGCTTGAACTGGGGGTCCTGCTCGACGTGGAGGCGGGAGCCCTCCGGGATGCCGTCGTTGTACTGCGCAGCGCAGGGAAGTCCGGGAAGTCAATGCATATTCGTGCGCCCCCGTGCGCATATGGAGGGATCGTACCTTGCCGGTGAGAATGCCCCCCGCGAGGGCGGAGAAGACGGTCGTGCCGAGGTTGTACTTCCGGTAGAGCGGGCTATGGGAAGGCCGCGTCCAGCCAGTCAATCACGGTCTCTGGCCCAAGGCGAAGTTTCGGATGACGTACGCATACTCGCGTTCGGGACGTTCGCGGTGAAGAAGACTGAGCGTAGAGGTGCGTTAGCTTGATGTCCCTTCGCATATGACCCCCCACACGTACGAGTGCTCGCATTGCTCGGCGATGGGGGCGATCAGGTGGAGCTTTGTTGCGACGTCTGCGCGTGTGATTAGCACTAGTGAGCAGAGAAGAGAAGGCGGGTGCATACGGTGTGCCTCCTCGATCTCCTGCGCCGACCACTCGGACGTCGCCCAGTAAAGAGCCTAGCCTCGTGTCAGAATCACTTCTACCGGGGAAATGCGAAGGAGCAAGTGCCCACCCAGCCCTTCTCAATGACGAAGTTGAAGGCGCGAACGATCTCTTCCATAGGGACTAACGGCAGGAGTTTCACTCAGCTGTTGGTCGGATACGTTATGCGCACGCCACGCACCTGTGTGGTCGCATCGGTGGGCAAAAATGATGTCGACGTACTCAAGGCCGAGGCGCTGCAGGGACTCCTTGGTGCCTTCGACGATGCTGCAGGCGCATATAGTCAGCAATCCTGCCGCGACGCGATGATCCCCGCATATACGCACTGCTTCCGGGAAAGACCCATGTCGTTGGGGCCCCTGCGAGTGCCCCAGAACAGCTTGGTCGTAATAATGAGGTCAGTGCGGCGGAAGTTGAGCTCCTTGAGCACACGGCCGCTGCACATCCGGAACACAGACCCAGTCAGCGCGCAGACACCTCGTGCCAAGGGCGTAGCATTGACGTACACTTCGATCTCGTTCTGTCCTGCGGCGTACGCCTCGGCGCAGTCGATCATGTTGACGCCGTTGTCCCATGCCGTCTTGATGATCTCCTGCATACCATTACCATTGACGACACATGGTAAGAAGACGAGGGTGACGTTATCGAAGGCGAACCCACCCTGACAGGATCGCCCTTGACAGATCCTCCAAGAGTCAGCCCTGGAAGACGTACGTCGTGAGTGAGTGTAGAAGACAGATCCGGATCTGATGACGGGCGCACATCCTCCGAGGGAGAAGACGGGCACGCGTAGGCCGCTGCTCCCCAGCAGCCTGAAGGGCATGCCCTTGGTGTCGTACTTGGGGTGCTCAGACATTTTATCCTGCGTCGTTGGCGGGTGATGAACGTGGTACGGGTCCTGGGACGTGGGCGTCGGTGGCCAAAGTGCTTTTATATATAGACGTGCCTCAGTGGCCGAAGCTGCTGCAGGATCGTGCCGAGGAGACGGGAGATTGTCGGTGAGAGATGGGAAAGGATGAGATAAGTGGTGGATGGCACGGAGATCGACTTAGGATCGGGACACCCATTCGCCACAGCACGGCCTCAGACTGAGCCGTGCATGAATTGTAGCCCTGTCGATGGCTCCGATCGGGGGCGATGGCGTCGAGGCAGGCGGCGAGGATGCCACTTGAGTGCATGGTCTTCGCGGGGCGACTGCTCAAGGCGGCGCTGGCTGTCAGATGATCGTCCCGCGGGCCTCCGTCCTGGCTATCTCTGTTGCATTGTGTGGCGAGTGCGAAGGGAGCCCGTTATCGCAGTGCCTGTGCCGCCGTACGTGAACGATGCCGTGGCTGGATGACAAACGCGACGCTACGGGATCTGTTCGAAGGCCACTTGCAGCCAACGGCCTCTCGGCCCGGTTTCCCCGCATTGCGCAAGTGGGGAAGCGTGGACGACTGACGTCAGGCTACCTTCCAGCCACACACGCGTTGTTTGGCCCTGTTGTCTTGCCCGAGAGGCCATGTAAATATTAGCAGGCGTGCAAGTGCGCTCTCATCCCCCTCGAGTACCAGACATGCCCTCGAACTCTTCCACCGGAGAGTCCTACGACGTCACCTCCCGTGGCACCAACGAATGGGCAAGTACCCCCGCTACACCCATCGCGCCGGCATCCTCGATAACCATCATGTCGCTATGATAGGGCAATAATTGGGACCACCGCGTCTCGTCCAGTGGCGATCACGGCTACCACTACAGTAACAAGTATACCTTCCTCATCTACTTTGATCTGCTGCCCTTGCTGACGTGCCGTGGACCAGGGATGGAAGCTACTACTACCAGAATACCGACGGCTCCCGTTACTACAACAGCGGCTCGGGCTACACTCGTCACACTTCTGCGAGCGGCAGAACCAACGAACGCTACACCTCTAGCAAGTAGACCCGTCTGAAGGCGACGCTACGGAATGGCTTGGATCTAGGATGTGCATCCCGTAGTCATCTTAAATAAATCCTGTGGCACATGCTCTCTTATCACGTAGCCGGATTTGACACATTTCTTTCGTCAGGCCTAGTACGTGTATATGCATCTCAAGAGCGGTCGATATCAAGTCATGTTATGGATCCTAAATTGAATCTGCGACAGTCCCGTGAACCTAGGCGGTGTGCGCCTCAAGGAAGGCCGTGAACGTGGGGAGCATGCACCGTCCGACCAACTTCTCATCTGACCATTCCATTCACTAGCCCACAGCGTGTTATCAGCTGTTCACGCACCGGCTCCTGACCGCGTAGTGAAGCGATACTCTCTCTCTTTTCGGAGGAGCGCCGTGTGAAAGGCATCTCTTGGCATCATCGACGTGAAGAGTTCAATCCGACCTGTTGCTGACGACCATCTCCTGCTGTCTGAAGGCCCGGCGGGGAGGGGAGCCTTCAGCTTCAATCCCCGCTCGACTAGTTCTCCCAGTCACAATGGCTCACATAACAAGCATCTTCACCTGCTCTTGTGCACTTCGATCGAACCGAACTCAAAGTGCCGGTTCCATTGAACGGCCAATCCGGTTTGAGCTCTCGTCTACCGAGGACTCAAAGTACGCCATGCCCACTCGCTGCGAGTACGTTTCTGTCGGCTTAGCCTAATGCAACACTGGCAATGATTACCTTCCCCGTTTGACTACACCGCCCAGGAGTATGAAGGACGTACGAGCACCTCCAAGATCACGAGCGATAAGACTGAGCGAGTCCTCCGTCACTCAGACCTGCCTCCTAGCCCGAGGCCTTGACTTGTCCGATCGGAGACATGCTCTCCGACAAATGAGCTCTCCGACAAATGAGCTCTCCGACAAATGATATGAACGTGAAGGGGTTCACGTCAAGTGAGCATGGAATCTATGTGTTCTCTCGTGTCGCATACCGTCGTGTACTTTTACGTCTTCCAATCGCCGTCAGCGCATGCTGCATCTAGGAGCACTGTCGACAGGGCTCCAGTGCGCGCGTTGTGGCCACAGAAGGTGTCAGCTGCTGCTCGATGTGAAGGCTAGCATCGCGGTGTGGCAGAGCATTGCCGTACGCCACGCGGCCGCCACCACCACGGCCCACGTTTTCGCATGAACGTGGCGTTTCTGAACGAACGTCTTCAGAAATGGCGGATGGTTGCCTCTTGCCTCCCAATCTCTTCATCAACTTCTCTACGGTCGAATACAACCGCGAATGCGTGCCGTGCGGCTAAGTGAGCTCCCCCACAGCGTCTACGATATCTAGGGGCAATATCCAATTCTGATCTTGCACGCTCGTGAGCAGAGTTCGTCGCCAACTCGTTGCTGCTGGCTGCCGATTAGAGTTTTATAGCAAGCTGCGGAGCTGTCCTAGAAGGCCAGGGCGTGCAACGGGCCCTCACGACCCCACACACCCCCACCCCACTCCCTGGCGGCGGCCGATACGATTTGCTGCGCGGCCCAATGCTTCCTTGTCCTGTTGGCAAGCTTTGGTCACCGGCGAACGCAGGGACTGCTATGGCCTGCGGACGTCTCCCAAACCCACGCACGGCTCTCGCACGCGCACGAGCCTGACAGCGGCCCTGCCAGGGTCGGCGTACGCGCTCCGGTCGGGTCGTGCTGGCCCTCCGCCGGGATCGGGGGACGCCCCACCTCGAAGCTCGGGCTGGAATTCGCGTTTCGGGTCTTGCTAGCCTGGCTACTAGTGGGTGCCCGGACGTCTATCTCCTCGGTGGACTGCGTGGTGAACACCGAGTGCTTGTCGGACTAGGTACCCAGGACGCGAGCCGGAGCCGGCCACGCTATCCTCGGACTTACGTTGCGGAGGCGCGTGAGGGCAGCCCATAACGTATCCGTCGCAGGGAATGCGGGCATGCCTGTGCCCTCCTTGTACTGGGCGGTGAGTCCCCCCGTTTCACCCAGGCCGCCTTCAGGCCCCAGCCCTGGGCCCTGAAACTGGGACTCCTGGCCCGCCTGCAGGGTTGTGGCAGCATCGAGCGATGACCGGCACGGTTAGGCTCCAGTTAGGCTCCAAATCGACCAAGACGGGGCGATGGCGAGCGAGCGACTGCGCTGAGGGCTGAGGGCGGCCGCCCGAGGGTCGCTCTCGGAGGACACGCGGATCGACCTATTGAGTAGTTTGTCAGGTGCCGTCGACGGGACCGCCGAAGCGTACGTCCTGCCAAGCAGCGAGTAGGAAGTTCTGGAACCGCTTCCTCTCTCGACAGATCTCCACCACGGCTCGTGTGCGTACGGCGATCAGCAGTGTGTACCTTCAGAGTCCAGACGACATGCCATGTCAGGCCGCAGGCGATCGTCATCCCAAGGGCACGTGAGCGTACGCAGCTTGCCTGCTGTGCGGATGGAGCCGGGGCCTTGAAGATACTTCGAAGTTTCCCCCGCTGTGCAGCGTCCGAGCCGTGCGGTGGGCGTTGGTGATTGATTATTGATACATACGTATCATTCTGGGTGAGCGGGCTCAGTGGAGGCTTGTCGCATTCGTCTAGCTTATGCATTGGTAACTCTGCAGTCGTCAACCGCGACGATCACAGCTAGACGATGCCGACTGAGCTGCACAGCAGCAGTGCCCGGTCGGCACCCGACATCGCCCGCCAGGGAGCACACGGTGCCGCGACTTCTTCTACTTCTCCATACGCACGGGCGGCGGCATCGATGGTACGCACGACCCATAAATGGCTCTTCGTATGTGCGTGTTCAGGATACTAATACCGGTACCGGCAGAAGGGAGAGTGCAGCGATGTCATCCTCAGATTTCTCGCCACGAAGCGGGACCAATTGTCCGCCCTCTTCGTGCGGCACAAGCGAGCTGCCACTCCGAGGCGGGCGATCTCACGGCGCACGGCCAGGTAGAATTCGCTGCTCAGCCTACGTACACATACATGTTAGCACGAGCACCGCAACCCCCCGCACGCCGGGGGGCGCGCAACATTCGTTTGCAGCCGCTTCCGTCGCCACGCCCGGATCGCCTGTCCAACTAACTCAAAGTCGACATGTACGCGGTATCAGGACTCACATGCACATCCCGGACGGGCAAGTGCCACCCGCCGCTCGTCCACGCGTCATGCGCACCCCAGCTGGGTGCGCACCCGCGTCGCCAGATCCGAAGTTGGGAACGGGAAGCCCATGATAGGCATATCCCGGGCGCGCATGCCGCGTACAATAAGTGTATGTATGTAGCGGCCCAAGTCTTCGCACATTCAGTCGCAATCGCAATCGCAGCCGCTGTTCGTCGCGCGATGCCATCTGCCGCAGGGGTGGAGCATGACATTGATATGCCGTGTTCCCCATTCACGTACGTATCGCGGTCCATCTGCAGCATCTTCGCATGCGAGGATGCTGCCGGGCCCGTGGCATCGGCTGCGACGTGACAAGCTCCTGGAACGCTCCGACGGGACGAGGTGCGTCGGCACGTTCGCGGATGAGTCGGGGGCTCTGTTCGCTAACGCAGGCGGGACAGGCGAGCACGCGCGGATCGCGGATTCGCTCGATATGCGTCCGAAGAAGTTGCGTCGACCCTGCCCCACGGCGTTCGCGCGGCTCGCCACCCCCGTGCCTATCGCGCCTAGCGACGGCGTCGTGAGCTCCTTCTGCCACAGCACGACACACAGCGTTTAGTCATCCTGCGAGCCGTCAGCTATCGTCCGCATTCCATCGCCTTTGGCAGCGTTCGGAGGGGAAGCTGCGGGAAGTGGCGTTCGGGGAACGCCTGCGCCGGCGGACGACGTCGCTGCGTCTAGTGTGCACTTCGTCCGAGTTCTTCAGGCGTCTCAGATGTGGAGGCGCGTCATCTGCAGCGAACCCGAAGACAAGACGGCCAGGGTTTACCATGGGCTTGGGGCACGAAGCGTAACGCTTCGTATAGCTAGTCCAAACTCGCCAGCGGCTGAACAGCGGGATCCGACGTGCGGACGCAGAGAAACGAGGCTACTGGCCGAGCCGTCGGCACGCGAAGGTGCTTGAGGCGTCAGAAGCGTGCATTGGCTCGTTCTGGACGAGAAATCCCAGCGTTTCCGACGCCAGGCGCGTGGTGGCAGCTGCGGTATGGTAGGGGTGGGGCCAGGCACCTGCAGGTCTGGGCCAGTGACAGCCCTGCGATGGGAGATGGGCGGACGTCTGAGTTTGGAGTTTACATGTACAGTTCTGTGTACAAGAGTCTCGCGCGGTTTGTGGCCAGCGGGGTGGAGGACCGGAGATTAGGATGGGCGTCATCAACGACCGCGAAGCTCCCACCGCACGTGTATGTACGCGTTCTTATCGGGCGTGGGGGGACGAGGTAATCTGCACGCCACACCCGATCCGTGATCCTGTGTCGGCCTCGTTGAGCGAGGGTGTTGCTGGTCGCGGCTGGACACGAAGGTTTGCCTCGACGTGCACGCTGGGTATGGATGGCATCTGACTGGCCTCGCGGAGAGAGCCTGTCGTCGTTTGAATGTACGACTGGCTTCCCTTCACTGAAGGTCAAAGCCGGACTCGGTCCGCTGCGGGGCCTGGGACTGGGGGATGGGTGGCAAGGCCGTGCGCCGATATCCGAGCGTGCTGGCGGTAGTTCGCGGTGTCATGTGGACGTTCCGCGAGTATTGTTGTCACACTGGGAGGATCGGGTGCCAACGATGTGCGACCGCACCGTTTAGGGCCAAGATCATGCGTTGCCGTTTATGGTTTAGACTGGTCTTAGTAGTCGCCCGGTGGGCGTTGTCGTAACATACACGAGGAGACCGTACGACAGTACGCATGGATTCGCGCCCGCAGGAGAAAAGGCCCTGTGGGTGCAGATGTGAGTGTTGAGGGGAATGAGTTGTGTGTCCGCGAGCGTATGACGCAAGGTAGGGGGCCACAGCAAGCTGGCGCCACGACGGGCCAATCCGAGCAGGTAAGATCCGGAGAAGGGGGTGATCTGCCGTATCCAGATCGATATTATTAGGCGGCGGGTAACTGCTCCCAGCCGTCTCAGGCACCGGCGCCCAACTGCCATATCCCATCGTCTGCCGCAGGAGCCCCTCCCGCGCCTGGGCAGTGAGCTGCAGACCGCCATCGCAGGGTAGCCAGAAACCCGCTTGGATGGCTGCAGCGTCGCAGTCTGATTCGGGCTGGGCGGAGGCGGGGCGAGGAGGGCGATTTGGAGGGCCAAAAGGGCCGCCGGAGTGATGGAACAAGGGCGGCGCCGAGAGCGAATCGCCGTTAGGCCGAGTTTGGGCAGTTACGTACTGGTCGAGTCGCAGGTGCGATCTAGTATCGGGCACAGAGATTCCCGGCTCTCCCGGTTCTCGAGATTGCTGATGCGGATCTCGACCTGGCACCTCAATCTCGACCTCTCCTCGATGTGCCCTCCTCGAGCCCTGCTCGCTGCCCCCGTCCACGCTATAAAGCACAGAGCATGCACGGCTGGGTGCAGGGGACCACACGAGTGCTGCAGGAGGACGATTCCCCGTTCGGCGTTTATTTGCGCGAAATTCTATGCGTTATTTGGTCGCGTCAGATTCAGACTCCGCTCAGATTTGTTTGGTGATCTAGTTAGCCGGCTGCTCGTCCTCCTTGTTTCCATCCGCCTCCTTCCCCCTCTTCGACACCTGCCATCCGTCCCTCTCCCGTCCGTCTGCTTTTCCTGCCTCGGAAAGCAATTCTGGTCGCCCTTGAGCCTGTGCATCACGCAAAGGCTCTTTTCCCCGCTTGTCTATCCGCCTCTTGATTGTTTCGTACTTGGCTTCGCCTGATTTAGCTCCCTCCGATTCGCCAACCAGATCCGGGTCAATCGGGAGATACAGGAGATATACTCCAGCCCTCCCCTTGCCTCCTCCGCCTCCCAAGCTGTCATGTCTTCCGCTCACCCGTCCCAATATTCCTCCTATTCTCTGCATCAGCCCATGCAAGACTCGGTTCGCTTGCCCTCGATCAAGGATTTGAACTTTCCTCCTCCCGGCCAGGACGGGGCTCCCGCAAATGGTCAGGGTCGTGCTGAACACGCTCGTGCGAGGCATGAGCCCTCGTCCTGGAGCCGTTCTTCTGCTCCGTCTGCGCCCATACCTCCCTCTCAGCACTCGTCTGGTATGCCGCCACCGCATGACCCGCCTCCGAAGCACCAGTACGCGCCTCCGTCCAAGCCGGACGCACCTTACGCGCATTCGCAGGCTCCTCCTGCCTCGCAGCAACCCCCCGCTGGTGTGCAACCACACCACGGTGTCAATGCGGGAGCATCGCGTCCCGACAGCTCCTCTGCGGAGGCTCAGTCCAAAAGGTCCCGTTCGCAGCAAGGCGTCAGCGCTTCGCCTGTGCGTTCTCCTCACGTAAGCGTTGGTTCTCCCGTGAAGGGCGTTTATACTGATGGCGCTAACTCATTGTGAATCGCATCGATTGTCGATGTGCCCGGTTTGCCCAATTCGGTCGTGTTTCGTAGACCGTGTATCCTCCGTATCCTGCTCAAGCTCCTCCGCCGGGGTACCACCAGGGTCCTCCTCCCCAGGTCGCCCCGCCTCAGGAGCACATCCAGCACCCATCCCACTACCCTCCTCCTGGATACGCGCCGTATCCACAGCCCCAGCAAATGTCGCGTGCACATTACGCTATGCCTCCGCCCCCGGCGCCCGCGCATCATCAAAACCAGCCGCCAGCCAGCCCGTATCCTCCCACAGAACACTGGCAGCATCCTTCCGCTCCCACCCCTGCCCCCGCGCAACAACCACCTCCTCAGCAACACTTCAACGGCTACGCCCGCACTACCCCGCTAGTACCGGCTCCCGTCGAGGCCCGTGCCCCACCTCCGCTTGTCTCGAGTCCAGCGGATGCGGAGCGGGCGAACGCACGTCATCAGGTGATTGCCGAGGTGCGTTCTCGCGGAGGTTTTACTCCTTGTTTTTCTGACCAATTCCCCGACAGATCGTGAAACACTGCAATGTTCTTTACGGGTTCGCGAACCATTATGGTACGTTCTGGACACTGCGGGTAATGATGCCGCTGCTTATCTGCCTTCAGCGAACGTGACCCGTCAGCACCCTCAAGCGCAGCCCGCGCCGCAGGAGATCGAGGAGATGAATTATCATGCTTCTACCGTGATGAGGCTTCTTGAGGATCTGCGGCGCCTTGAAGGTGGTGAAGATACCTCGCGTAAGGACGGGGATTACCCTGCCTCCACTAACCCCGCCGAAGAACAAGTTCGACCGCCCAAGAGACCATGGGAAGATATGGCCAGGGAGGGAGAACCTCCATCCGCAATCGTTCATTACGATGTGAGTGCTGTGCTGTCACCCTGTCCCTGTTAGATGCTCAGTGCTAAACGACCGGTCAATTGCCCTTGCCCTGATGAACAGGCACAGTCGACAGCGGAACATGACATGCAGATCATCCGTAACAAACGGCAGTCTAGCACGGGCGGTGCTGCTCCAGGGCAGCAGAAGAACAAATACCGCAAGCGCAGTGTAAGAGTAACTTCCATTTGTTGCAGTGAAGCGGCGAACGTTGACTGATGAAATGTTCAGCGAGCAACCCCACCGGGTAAATGTCATTCATGTAACATTCGTGAGACACCTGAGTGGCGTCGTGGTCCGGACGGGGCGAGGACGTTGTGCAATGCATGTGGCTTGCGTAAGTGGCCATCGCGGCATTGCTGCCTGCAATAACAGTCTGACATGCCTTGGACCATCACCAGATTACGCAAAACTCATGCGCAAAAGGGAGAAAACTCTCGACGCGAACGGAAAGGCTCCGCCCATTGACCTGCAGACCCTGCGTGCGTCTACTGCCTCGGCGAGGGGCGGTGGAGGGGAGCACGGAGGTGAACCGTCCCACTCCCAGTCGCACCCTCCTCCGCACCAGGGCCAACCACCTCCGTCACCATACGACCAGCCCAAACAGCTTCCGATCCACGCAGGTGCTCCCGCTCACCCTGGTCCGTACCAACTGATGCCTGTGGGTGCCCCAGGCCCCTCTGGCGGGCAGCCGCAGCAGATGATGCCTCCTCCGCACGCGCCCTCCTCCGCCCCGCACAGCGCAGCCGGCGGTCCGGTCCCGCCCCCGCCTTGGTTGGCACACCAGAACGGGGAGCGTCCTGGGTACAACTCGGAGCCGCAGTCATACGTGCGCGCGTCGCACCCTCCGTCTCATGCCCGCGCATCTCCGCAATAATAATCTGCGCAGCGCGAGAGATGCGCTCTCTCCCTCCGCTGTGGAATATGGACAGGGACCCGTTTATTATTCTATGCTTCTTCGTGTTCATCTCCGCTTTCGGCCTCCCGATATGCCTATCTGTCATTGTCGTTCCGATCGAAGTGCACATAGTGTGTTACCTGTAGTGTTGCGCTGTTGTGCGGGTGTAGCTCAGCTTTCATGTCCTATGTCGTCGTATATCTGGCCCCCACGGCCGTAATCTCGTTTTGGCGTAATGTAATGTATGGAGTAGCAGCAGAAACGGCGCAGGCGTTGCGTGGACGATGCATCTGGACTGGCAAGGTGCGTTGGCACGACGGGCAGGGCGGGGGCAGGGGGGATCTGGGAGCGGGCGGGGCGCGATCTCATCGCGGGCGATAGACGATGTGGATGAGACGATGTTGGTGACAGGGCCATCGAGCCATCGCACATCGGTCATCGCGCATCTCTGACGGGATCGATCGCGCGCGATCTTCACTGGCACGCACCCGCGCGCATCCAATCGCGCATCTAATCACTCGCACCCCACGCGATCCCTGCCGATCCCCACCACCGTCCAGCGCTCCCCGCGAGCCCGGTCCATGAGGCCACAGGCCACGGGAGACACGGACATGAGGCAGCAGCCCCCCGCCGCCCGCGACGCTGCAGATGCCTGCGCGATTCCATGTGTGAGCTTGTCGACGTCTATCGCGACGCTATCGTGCGACCGCTGTCTGGTGCGCGCCTGCTCATCTCCGAAACGGCCGCACGCGCCCGATGGGACCCGATGCCATCGCATGGCGCATCTCGCCTTCCCGCGCGATTCGGCGTACTTGTTCGCAACTTCGGACAGTCTGCCGTCGTATCTGCCAGCGTCGGACGCTGACGACTGCCAATCGCCGCACAACCAGCAGTGCAGAGATTCTTTGATATATTGTTCCATACGACCCCGGCGGTTGCAGGTTGTTACAGTGCTGTTCTTACATCCACGAAAAGGTTCCCTATCTAGCAGCATGCTTCCGCCCCGTCCTTCCCGCGACGACACCGAGAGTCCGCGCAAGTCAGCGAGCTCCACGGACCAGGCGACGCGATGCGCGATTTGCGGCTCGCTGTCTGCGGTTCGCAATCCGCTATCTGCCCCCCCCCCTCCCCCCCGGGAACGCCGCCGCGCTGCCGCACTCAGTCGTTGTACCCGCGCGGGCCAGCGCGCGGCGCCGGGGCGTCCGTCGCGATGCCCTGCTTCTCCCAGAGGTCCTTCTGCCAGTCCTTGGCGGCGCGGCCCGACGCGCGCTCGAAGTCCTCGACGGACGTGGGGCGCTCGCCGTGCGGGGTCGCGCGGAGCGCGTGCCGGACGTGCGGGAAGAAGTCGAACGTCGCGGAGTGCGTCACGATCTGCGGTTTGTGTGTTGGGAGAGGAGGAGGGGGGCAGGAGATGGAAGGCATGAAGGGATGTGATCAGCGATGGTTGTACATCGTGTACGGGGCGAATCAGAGAATGTGGACCGTGCGGAAAGATGGAGGCAGGAGGCATCAAAGGTGTGAAGCGGGGAAGGCGGGGCGATCCGAAACGGATGGAAGACGTAAGAGCGGGCTGGGCGGCGTTATGCGAATGGAGAAAGGGGGGCCCGAACCCAAACACGAAACCAGCGCGCCGGTCAAGGAACACGACGACGCGGGAGAAGACGTCAAAGAAAGTGTAGGGGGTGATGTCACTGCCCGGCAGCGCGGACGGACGAACAGTAAAGAACGGTGGTACGGTGGTAAATTGGGACGCGAGTTGCGTTCGGGCACATGCGGGCACCAGGAGGGGGGCGAAGAAAAATGCGTGTGCTCACCCTGTTGTCCCAGAAGGCGATTGAGTTGGGTTCCCACCTGAAACGGACCTGGAAGTCGGGGTTGTCGCTGATGACAAATAGGACGACGTCAGCGCGCAAAGCTCGCGAGACGAAAAGCTTGCGGAGCTCGGACGCATATGGCAAGGGCGACGTACGCGATCTGGTGGAAGAGCAGCTGGAGGATGGCGTCGCTCTCCGCCTTGGGCAGGCCCACGATGCGACGGGTGAAGCCTGTCAGCGCAGAGGACATTTGTCAGACGCGTTCTGTACGGGGGGCCAACGTAACTTGGGGCGGTGTCGTGACATGGGAAGACAGGGCGGAAGTAAGGTCTCGAGAACCAGATGGGGAAGATGGGGAACAGACAGGGTGGAAGGTACGACAGTTTGGAGATTTACCTGGGTTGACGTAGACGGCCTTGTAGCCGGTGACAGGGTGCACGCGCACAACGGGGTGGACGCTCTCGACCGGCTCACGCCGCACGGTCTGACCAGCAGCGCGTGCGCCGTCTGCCTGCGCGACTGCGCTGTGCACGGCGTAGAGGCCCTCGAGGTACTTTTGGAAGCCAGGGCTGAACGAGGAGTACAGCGCGTAGCTACCGAGGGCCAGGAGGAAAGAAGTCAGCTCACGTGTCCTACCATTGCCATCCTCCGGTCGCAGATGACGACGCGTGAGACGGCGCATAGTCTAGGTATGGGAACATACCCGGAGCTCCAGAGCGTGTCACCTCCATAAGGGGGACCGGTGATCAGCTTGAGAGAGGTTGTGCTCGGGGGCTGGAGTTCGTAAGACACGTCGGAATGCCAGAGGTCGATCTTCGAGAACGCAGAAGGGTCTGGGCGGCGAGATCCGTCGGTGTAGACGACTGCGGACGAGAGAGTAAGACGCGTGTTCTGCGGCGATTGTGAGGAAGGAGTTGAGACACGTACCGTGGACTTCCTCCAGTCCGGGCTCCCGGGGGATAGGGGTCGTCGCATGCTTGTGGAGGGGTCCGAAGTGACGCGCGAGCTCGAGCTGCTCATGGATGCTGATCTCCTGGTCGCGGAAGACTGAGCGCAAGTCCATCTGTCAGTTACCCGCTAATGCACGCCACTGTATCAAACGCTACTTACAGACCACTCCCCGTTCAGCGACGAGCAAGGCGCTGTGTTCAGCATAAGATGTCATACATCAACCATACAGAGACACTTCTGAGAGAGAGGCGATACGCACAGCTCGTCCTTTTGGCTGTCGGACAGCTCCCGCAGGTCGATGCCCAAGAGCTCGGTGCCGATGGCAGGCGTCAGGTGGGTGACCTTGGACGCGGCCGAGAGGAGGCTCTTCTTCTCGGGATCCGCATTGTGTGCGCGATCCGTGACGGGGAATTCCTCGAGGGGCTCCCACTTGACGTTTGGGAAGAACGGCTGCCACACAAGCATCACAGATCAGAACATTGCACAAAACACAGCAGACATGACGGACAACATCAGGATCGCAGATCGAAGCGTCGCGGACGGCTCGCGCGGATGCGAACAAGCGGACTGAAACCCAAGTCCCTTGGGGATCGTACCTTGTATTTCGCATACTTGTAGTCGCCGTCTTCTCCGTCGGCGCCATTAGTCGGCGAGTAGAAGGGGTTGAAGAGCTTCTCGGCCACCTTCTTGACCGGACCAGTCGAGACGTGATCTTGGGCAGTGTCGTTCGTTGCGACGGGAGCCATTGCAAGGAAAGCGGGTCAGGGAGATGGGTATGAGCAGACTCAAGTCGCTTGAGGAGCATTTCGACATTGCCCCAAGCGCGCTTTATATGAGACTTCTGAGAAGTGGGTCACGGTGCGTTCCCGCAGGGCGACTCGTGCGCAACCGTCCCATTCTTGCGCGAATGGAAGACGGTATGGCGACACCCGGCGCACGTGATCGTGTGGTAGAAAGGCCCTTCCTGAGGACGTTCTGCAAAACGCGCAGGCGTGCCTAGGCTGGTGCGGATGGAGACAAGTGGGAGCGTAGCGGGGAAAGATAACGACACACCGGGCGCTCCTAATGCGGAGAGACGTTATCTCGGGTACCCGTGGCAGCTCTATTGCGCAAAGCTGTCGTTTACAGACACAACGAGACATCATCCTCAACTGAAAAGAGTCATCCATACACCATCCGGGAGGAGATATGTACAGAATGACGAGGACGAGCGTGATGATAGCGGCTCACAGATCGCCCGTAAACGAAGTCTCGGTTGCGGTTACGGGTCGCCACAGCTTGCCGCAATAAAGACGTGGTCAGTTTCGCCTGCTATAACCTAGTAGGGATCGCGTCGTAGAAAGTGTGAGCATTTACTAGCCCCGTCATGCTGGGCATAAGATATCTGCGTGTACAGTGCCTGTGAGTAGCCAAGGCACAAACAGAAGACGTCCGCTCACATTCTAAAGCCATCTACACAATTCTTATCTTTGACTACTAGCAAGTCATCAGGATCACAGATAAAATACCGACTCGATGATGAGCGATGGTGCCGGTGAGGATGAGATTCAAGTTTCCGGCGGCTGTCTCCGTCACTAATTACTTAAGCGCTTAATGATTTCTCTCCTACCTCAGGACCACAGTCGCCCTCCAGAACATACCTACACAGGTCTGGCGAACGTCGTCTCCTCATGTAAGCTCTGAGAAGAGACTGTTGAAGTCGAGTGGTTTGGAGTTTTGATCGGGGTTTTCAAGCAGGCGCTGCTTCCCGTAGTCACCCTGGGGTCAAGCACGAGAGTCCTCCACCACTGTGCAAAGGGCGCATTCTGAATTCGCATCGCGCCCAGGCTTCGACTTGCAGAGCAATGTCTTCTCCAGACTTTCTTGCTATTCATGGGCGATCCCGATGCGCCAACCTCGCAGAAACATAGTCTCGCTGACATCAGACACTTCGCTGCCTCGGGATCTCTACTTGCTGACGGCGAGAGCCTTGCCTCAGGCGCGGCGCTAGTGAAGAACACCCTTGCAATCTCTTCGAGTGCCTGTCTCCAGGCCCGCCTGCGGCTGATCGCCGTTGTTGAAGCTTTCCCTGTGTTTTCCTCCAACTCGCAGACAGGAGCGCTAAGGCGTCATCCACGGCGTACGGGTATAACGAACCCTCTTACCGTTCCTCCAGCCCGATAATCTCGCCGTCGAGGCTGCCTCAGCCCTCGTCAATCCCTCGACGTCCATCATGAACCTCGGCTTCAAAGGCTCTGTAGCCTCGGAGGCCCGCCGGTTGCCGGGAACTTCTGGCTCACTGCCCACGCCACGGCCGCAGCACCCGGAGCGAGTCATTCCAGGCTTCCAGCGTAGTACCGGTAACAGCACCAGCGCACGTTCGGGTTCAACCTCGCGGGCGGGAAGACATGCGTGCTTGTTGGCGTCGGCGGAGTCGCGGTTAGTAGCTGGGTCGTCACGATACTCCTAGCGAGGTTTCTCTTCTGACTATTGCCACCGTGAAATAATGCGGTTCATTATATTCATGGACGCCTCTTAGTTTGGATTGCTTCTTTGTACATGCTCATCGGATTGGCTCTCTTCTGCATTAAGCGTAGACAACATCTGATATTCGCCTGGGTAGTCTCCATCTAGGTTGACACAAACCGGGTCAGGAGCGTCAGATGAAGGCTGGCATGTCAGGAAAATCAACAACCCGAACGCACTCTGCTATAGGTCGAGGCCCATGAGCAAAAGCTGCTCAAATTGCTCGTCGGACTTGGCCGACCCTGATCCTTGTGCGCCTACACCCCGCATAAGTGCGGCGTCTTCGTCCGGTACGGTCCACGACAGCGACTCTGGTCTTCGTGTCGCAACAAGGACGAATGTCTCGTCATTGCCATCTCCTGGAGAAAATTTGGCCCATTCGGCGGGGAGGTCGGATGGCGGATCGGCGCCGATACACCGTTTCCTGCGAACGAGCACAGGGGCAAACACAAACCATAGACCGAAAGCGGTCCAGAACGGCGTCTCCTTGGCGAGACTGCGAATCTTGTAGGAGATTATGACGGTAGGAGGCTTAGCACGATGATGACCGACGAGCGGCGGTGACGTGAGGTGTAGCAGAGATCGTAAGAGAGGCGCGAGCAGCTCTGGGAAATAGACCTAGCGAAGCAAGAGTGACGTCGGCGAGGGCTCCAGACGTTCGTAGGCTCAAGGCTCAAGGACATACGAGATCACTGCAGAGGATGTGCGTAGCGTATCGTGCTGGCTGATCGGAAGATAGGAGACCGAGCTCGTCGAATATAGCGCTCGCGTGCTCCCGGGAGCCCCAAGAGAGCGGGCGCACTCGGGCTGCGCGAGACGAACGAAGGTTTGCCTCGAGCAGGGCGCAAACCTCCGGCAGATCGGTCGCGAGCAGAAGATCCAGATCCGGACGCAACCATTCTGCAACGCGCGAGGCGACGAACCCAGTGCCAGATCCCAGCTCAATCGCGGTGATAGGGTGTCGCTCAGCTCGCGGCGACTGTCTCGTGACTGGTACCGGGTCGAATTCGCATGTGGAAGAGGAGGATGGGTCGAGGTACGCGAGCATGGCATGAGAGGCCTCCCTGCATACGAGTTTTCCGAGCGTTAGATGCGGTGCGATGCGTAGTGTCGAAGGGGAAGGCATCACCATATACGACCGGCGATCCCGTACGTTCTTATAGCACCTTCCTGAGCGGTTGAGTTGAAGCGAGCGTCCGCATCGGAGGCCGAAGCCTCAAGTGGCTTAATGTTGAGATCAGCTGGAAAGTTCGGGTCGTATCTTGGGGTCATCCCTGCATGAATAGAGAATAGCTAGTTGGTGGTTTGAGCAGAGGTTGTCCGGCACCGAGAGTCAGAGTCTGAGGAGGTCTGACTCTGAAGCTGAAGAGCAATCTCGATACGGCAGATGCGCCGATCCAGATAGACGCTCATCACAATCTCACCTCAAACCAGGAGAGCGTCACTCTCAGCTGCTGTCCAGGCTGATCCTCCAACAAGGCGTCTTCAGCTAGCTTCCTACTCTGTTCTGTTCTTTTCCGACAAGGACTTCTGCTGCACAGGGCTTACCATCTGAATTCTCAGTAGAACAAGGGATGTCGCTATCAAGAACCTCACGGTCCTCTCGCCATGACATTGTCCAACTCCCTTCTGGGACCACGCTCGAGTACACACACATCCAGCCGACATCTCCGCCCCTGTCAGCAACACCCGATGTAATTGAACAGTTAAGAAGGAAGCTGGCGATCTGCTTACATCCTTGGTCATGGTTGGGCGGCCGCATGAATGACCAGTGAGTATCCTCTATTCGATGCACTATCGGTCCGGACGACGTGGAATACGACAGCGTACTACAAATCTTGACGGAACCGCTCCTCGAACGAGGATACGACGTCATCCGGTACAACTCCCGAGGTGTGGGCAAGTCAACGGGCTGGGCATCCCTGACAGGACATCGCGAAGGGGAGGACCTGAAGGAGCTCGTACAGTGGGCGAGATCCACCATACCCCACGTCACCTCGCTAGTTCTCGCCGTATGTGAATCCCCTGAGCCGCACCTCAATCGTTCTCACAGAGCGTTGGCAGGGGTACTCACATGGCTCGCTCATCGCGTCCTTACACCCCGTACTAGACGACATCGAGACCTCCCATATCCTCCTCTCGTACCCATTAGGACCCCGACGCTGGCTGACCGCATTCCATGGTCATCGATATTCTGCTGCCCTGCAGTCTCTCATCAATGAACCTCGGTCAAATATCTTGATCATCTATGGGGATGACGACAACTTCACAACTGCGGAGAGCTACGACGCATGGGTCGCGTCCCTGCGAGATGCACCTTCCACTGCGCCATCCCGGGGCAAGCTGGAGGTGGTCAAGGTCCAGGGCGCTTCACACTTCTGGCGAGAGGACGATGCGGTCGACCGGCTTGTCGACGTAGTCCACGATTGGCTCCCCTGAGTATAAGGGTTCGGATCCTGCTGTTGAAGTTGTCCAGCGTACGAACGTGCCTGAGATTCGCAACCGTAGTCTTCGGTCCAGCCCAGGTTGGGCATACTTCCTCATTTCAAGTTGCCCTTCCACAAGAGGCATACCATAGTAAGTATCTTTAAACATGTACCTCACTCTGCTCCTTATTCCGCGTCTTTGTCGCAGATTTGTTGAGGATACATCAGAATCATTTCGCCTTGCAAGCAGCGACATATGGCAGGGGAGTCTGTCACCTCGGCCTTGGACTGATAGTGCGTACTACTTCTTATGCATTCAGGATACAAACCATATGCGGGCGCTCGTCGGGAGGTGCGAGCTACTGTAAGGGCTAGGCCGCTAGAGTTGTTCATGCACGGAATGGGACAGGGGTTAGATGCAGCGCCGTCGCTGTGCGTGATGAATGTATGTGAAATATAACCTAAGCGGAAGACCAATCCTTATTGCAGAGTCTATCGAGTCGTTGAACGCGCTCTCCGAGTGCCCTATTAGAGTCCCTTCGCAGGCGATTTGAAACCGGTGGGGTAGTTCAATTTGTCAGGTCGCGGACGAGGCAACCCTGGCGGATACATCCGCGGTACTGACACTGCTTGTCATATCCCCGACTCCTGATCTAGTGGGCTGTATCCCAATAATTACTCGTGAATTGCTCATACAGCGCTCAATGTTCATGGAATGCGATTTCCTCTCGCAGCGCGTTGAAGGAGGGCGTAAGCCCGACTGATGCGCGCCTTAAAACACTTACAGAGTATTTCAAGTCTTCACGTCGTCTAGGTCTGTCCGGAGGGGCCTTGCTATCTCGCAATAGGCGTGTTCAATTAGGGGTGCTCAATTCTTGTCGGTCGCTCAGTTGCTCGCGCGCCTATTGGGCGCCTGCCTAGCTGCATTCAAGGTCAGCTCCAGCACAGCGAGCAGAGACACGCAGGCAGCGGGCGCAGAGAGATCGACAAGATCGCCTCATGCTAGGTTTGTTAGGCCCGGGAAACCAGCCCAGCAAGTGAATGGTGACGTCGGGAGAGCTTATAAACTCGTTGACCTGGTCTTATTGTACACAATGCGCCCAAGTCGGAAACAGAATCAGCACGACATATATATGGTTCAGCTGAGGGTGCCGCTCTGGGCTCGATGGCAACTGGACTCAAACCTTGTGAGGCGACTCCATATCTCGAGACAAGCAACTTTATAGCTTCTGAATTGTCAAATCCTCGCGTCGCTCTCTAGTCCCAGCTCGGGGGCATCATGCGGTCATGTTGCACCTGCTGCCTGCGTATCTCTGCTCGCTGTGCTGCAGGCGCTTGAGCTGACCTTGAATGCAGCTAGGCAGGCGCCCAATAGGCGCGCGAGCAACTGAGCGACCGACAAGAATTGAGCACCCCTAATTGAACACGCCTAATAGTGCGCTAGACGGTGTACGCACTGCGCCAACAGCTCAGAGATTGGCCAGATCCAATCCGGTTTTGAACCGGTTGCGAAAGGACTCTATTGTTGACAACTGCGACGTCTACATCTTCTGACAGTGAAGCGGAGATGATATGATACTTTTCCATGATCTGGCGGTGGAAGTGGTTCTGCCGGATCCGAGCGGAGGAATTTCATCCAATGTCCTGTTGACGTCTCATGAGTCGTGGAGCGGACCATGGTGACACCACCGCCTGTTGACCTTCTGCTGAAATACCTGTTCAACGTCATTCTGACCCCGCGCCCGAGACGGAAGCATTTTCAGCGACGTTCGTTGTGCTCCAGCGAAATGCTCGATTGTGAACTAGTGCTTCCGGCGACTTCCTCACAGGGCTCATGATATCAGGACCCAGTGAAGGCGCATGGTATAACATGTAGAAGCTTCATTTAGACGTCGGATGACGAGGATCTAAGGTGCCGATCTACATGTATTCTTGAGCCACACGGTAATCTACTATACAGAGGCAGATGTAGACTATGCGATCGACAAATCTGACGACACAGAAAGTGAGAGGTTGATGCTACACGCAGAATCGCTACAGTCTTCGATCCGGAACAAAGTCCATCAAACAAGCGCGAACTCACGACGTGGCTGGCGTCGCAAAATGACCCCTTCCACGACCACGAGGTCCAGTTCCTCTGAACCCTCCGCGATCTATACCTGTCACAAATCCGCCACGTCCACGGGGATGGGGATGGGGAACGGACCCATTGCGACCTGGCAGCGGAGCTTGGAAGCCCCCGCGGCCTTGGAACCCGTTCCCTCGGAAAACACCTCTACCTCTCGGAATCGGGGCATGACTGCCATTCGGCTGAGGCACAACACCATTCGTCTTCACGCTGCCATTGACAGAGTTGCTATTCGTAGAGGTGGAAGCAGCTGTAAAAGGTTGCTTGTGGGCCGGAGGGGGACCGCCGCGCGATGCTCCGCTGCGACCACGGTTCGGGTTCGCCATGATTTGCACATGTCCGTTATGATCGAACCCATTGTGCGGGGATTGGCTGGAATAAACGGGAAACCCTCAGAGATGAATCGACGTAAGGTCAAGACAACATACGTAGTGGCTGCAGGACGGAATCCTGCTACGGGCTGCATTCCTGGACCAGGACGAACTGATGGATGAGGCCCGAATCGCGGTTTGAATGGTGCTTGCGGTTTCTGGGCGTGGGGCGCCTTCGGATTCGTGGATGCCAGGAATTGAGGATTGGTGAGATTGAGGCAAGACCAGAACTCGACGGTCGAGCCACGGTATTGCGAACACCTAGCATGTCGTTCGTTCGCATCAGCGCACGGACGGAAGCGTGTCGATGAGCAATCGCACCTATCTCCCAGCGTAGTACCAGACATGAACGGAGCATCCCACACAACGTCCATGGATTTGGCGTTCATACCGATGACGACGCCCTTGAACGACAATGGTACACCACCGGAATCCTGGACCATGGTCACCCTGTCACCTAGAGCAAAGTGCTGATTCTGAAGGCGGTAGACGGCATGAGAAGGTTTGAGGACGGCTTGACGCGGGATGCCCTTCACAATCGCCTTTTTGAAACCCTCAGGCTTTTTGTTCGCGGTCAGGCTATCTGCAAGTGCCTCGATCTCCTTGACGGTCTCCTTGCCAAGCTGATCACAGAAGAGAGACACGGGCTCGAAGTCCTTCACGCCCTTGCTATTGAGCCATGTCTTGACCTCCTTGACCTTCGCTTCCGCATCTTGTGCGTTGGGGAAAACGTCGGAGGCCTTCACCATAGCTACAGGAGTAATCAGAGCAGATGCAAGTACGAGAACCAGTAGAACATACCATCTCCGCTGCGATCAAGGACACGGAAAACCTCCGGGTATGTCGCCTTGTACTGGTGGATCAGTTCAATGGCCTTTTCGCTGAACTCCCAGTAACGACCGTCCTTGCGTGAATACTCGATGACTTTCAGTGCCTTCGCCTCGAACTTCAAGCTCAGACCAAGATTGCTCTTGCTGCCGCCCCCGGAAATGACCATAAAGCTCGAGGTGATCTTCGATAGGGCCCTGGTTGAAATACCGAGCATCTCTGCGACCTTGAATGAGGAGAGATACTTCTTCTGCGTGCGGTGCGTGACAGCTTGCTTAAAAGCGTCGTTCTCGTCTTTCTCCGAAGGGAAGAACTGGCAACGCATCTGATCAACATGAGGGTAATACATGACACAGCCGAGATGACGCACAGCCAAAATCACGGACAGGGTATCCTGGGTGGTTGCGGAGATCTGCGCAGCAACGCCATACGCGTGCTCTCCTAGGAAGAAGACCTTGCTGCCGTCCGGGAACTCTTCAGAGAGGGGCGGCGCTTCTTTCTCTAGGAACCTGGGATCTTCGGAATTGACTTCAGATACGGCCATCTGAACAGCTTGTTCGGTCTCCTTCTCGGGCCCCTCATAGTCCTTGACAAATGCGCCATCGTCCAGACGTTTCAGACCTAGACGATGAACACTTTAATTTCATCATTCGAACGCGCAAGTATGAGCCTGACCTTTAAGTGGACGAACGTGCAAAAGGACATCAATGTTGCCAGTGATGACACCACATCGCTTCGAATAGTAGTGTTCAATTCTCTCCGCTTTCATCTTCCAGAGTCCAAGACCTTGGGGAGTGTGCGGAGTCGAGATGACCTTAGGCGGGTCGCCCTGAACAATTGACACCTTCTCGTACTTAAAGAGCGAGTCCGACACGGCTTTGACCAAGCCCTCCTGAAGGAAAGGCCAACCAAGGAACGTCCTCCGGCCAATCATTTCTTGAGCGATGTCCTCGACCTTTCGGTTCTCATGGGCGTTGTCGATGTGTATGACCATAGACTTGTTCCGGCTCTCAGAGCCATGGACATTGACGCCATGGTGGCCCAATGACGCGGTGTGAGGCAGGGTCTGCAGCGAAGGGAAGCCGGCAAGCGCATCGGCACCAAGGAAGACGCCGTCGCACAAGCCTTCGACAAGGTGAAGGCCATCGAGTGTCGGTAAGTCGAAAGGCTCCATCCTACAGTAACAACGGGCGAGCGTTGGGAAGAAGCCAGGCAACGAGGATGGGTAGACGGTCGGTTCTCCGTCGTTGTACGTGAACCTGGTACTCGTCCCGAAACTGTTGCGTCGCTTCTCCTCCTCCGTTAACTGTGTCTCGCGCGCTATGCAACGCAGGTTAGTAGCAGACAAGCGATGGCGACGGTCGTAGCTTACATCGCATGGCCTTCAGTAATCGTTTCTCATCAATGAAGGGAATCTTAACGATAGCCTCCCAATCCTGCTTCTTTCCATTCAAGTCCTGCTCGAACTCGGTCGGGTAGAAGTCCAAAATTGGGGAGTTGGGGTCATACATGAGATCCTAGTGACAAAACGTCAGACATGCGTTTCTATGGGCACAGGGCTTGACGTACCCGGTAGGGCACTGGGATGAGCTCCTTGCTTGCCTCAGGTAGCACGCCCATGAGTTGTTCGAATGGTCGGAATGGATACCCGAGCTCGAATTTGAATGACATCTTGTCGACGCCCTTGAGGTCTAGAGACAAACTGAGTGGATACGTCGCGGATACACGGTAACCGAATCATACCTGAGATGCGTGGGGCATAGTGGTAGTTGTAGAACCAACTCCATGACGCAACACCGCTGTAGTAGTAATGCATGACCCACTGCAACCCCTCAACATATCGGTAGATGAGGTCGCCCATGTCCTGCGGGTCGTCGTACGAGATCTCCAGCTTTCCCTGCGACGAGAGTCAAACGTAGTCCACGTGAAGCAGTGCATAGGACGCACCTTGTAATAGCCCCGCTTCCACTCGTCCATCTTCTCCTTGATAGACAGCTCATATCGCGCATCGAAGTCGCCCTCCTTGTCCTCCTCCATCACCTTTGCCTTCTCATACTTGTTGAGAACTCGGTCCACGGCCGCCCTCGACTCCTCGTCGTCATCGTCCTCCCATTCTTCTTCGTCCTCCTCTCCCTCAGGCTTTCCATTCTCGTTATCCGGCACAGGCTCCTCCAGTTCTCCAGGGAACCGCCAAGTAACCAGATTCCTATCCTGATCGTCATACTCGTCCCACGCGACCGACAGGTGCAAGTCCTCGGCCAGGCGGTTGATGAACGCCCTGTCCGCGGCAGGGAAATCGTTCACCATGGGCAACGGCGGCTGACCGGCATGCTCCGCCGGCGACAGCTTCCTCCTCTCCAACACGAAGTTCTTGACCTGATCGAAGATCATTCGCTGCGACGTTGTCAAGGCTATGAAAACTCATAAATTATAGAAGGGTATGAGGCGAATCATGTCACACACCGAGCTTATTCCGTTTCCTTCCCAACTCCATCTCCTTCACGTGTTTCGCCTGCTTTCCCTTGTACCAATTGATATCTGCGTACTCCTTCTCAAAGACCTCCTTCTCCCATTCTGCCATCTCGTCCAGGATCACCTGTAGCCGCTTCGTATTGATCACTCCGTTCTCGTTCAAGTAGCCATCTACAACTCTATCAGCAACTCGAAAACAACACAAGGAATCGGATTGACTCACCTAGTGAGGGCAGCGCCTTCTTGTAAACGTCAAACAACTTCTCCAACCCGTTCTCGTGAATATGTAAATCCGGCAAGTTCGGCAGGAAATCGTTCCCGACGAACACTGCGAGCAGGATGAAGTCGTCGATGACGTGCTCCAGGCTGTAGTCGAAGGGAAGGACAGGCTCGATATCGTGGAACTCCAAATCCAAGTATTCTCGCATAAGCGTGAGATGTAGCAAGTAAAAGTTGATAGAGTCGAGACTGCAGAGGTGGTTGGAACCATGAACGTGTCGAAGAAGATTGTCAACGATGCACTTACCTCTTGTTGCCCTTGCTCTTCGCAGCCGGTCCGAACTTCACCTCCTCTCGCAGCAGGCAGAAGTGAGGGTCATGGCTCAGCAGACCCAGCATGATTAGATCGGCGTCCAGGCCATACAGACAGTGCCGCACGTTGGGGTCGTAATCCAGTTGTGCTCTCGACAGCCTGATGTACTCCATAATCTTGTGTTCGCCTTCTCCAGGGACGTCGTGTCCCGACAACACCACCGTGACATCGCGCCAATTCGCGTCCTCCGAGATCTTCTTGTTCACAAAATAACGCAGCTGCTCCGACAACCGCGCCATGAACTCCGTGCCTGAAGGCGCGTACACGACCCTCCGTTCAACCCCTTCCGTTCTCCGCACTCGACTAAGGTAAGGCTCACCTGGTGTGATACAGTTGCTGTCAAACGCCTTGCTATCTGGCAGCTTCTCTCCCTTTCTCTCCGCCTTCTCGCGAATCTCCTTTGCCTCCTTCGCCGTCCTGAATCGACGACTCCGTTGTTGGTTCATCTTCGCGCGCGGGGCGACACCGTCAATCGCCATAAAGAATAGTTTCTTTGGCTTGATCTTTCCAAATAGATGGTCGACATATGCAAAGATAGCGGTGAAGATTTGCTCTTCAGTGAGTCGGAAGTGGGCGTCTCCATCGTTTGGATGTGAGCCTGCACACCACGCAGATTCAGTCTATGTAGCGCCATATGGTCATATACTACGCACAGTTGTGTATGATGCCATTGAAATCGACGTATAAGTTATCTTATGACTGGGTCAGCACTGGAACAGCCACATTTCGGATGTGAACATACCGAACTCCGGAATCTTGTTCTCCTCGATTAACTGCGACGTCAAGGGGTATCGCTCGCTATAGAGAAGTCGGAAATAGCTTCTACCAGGAAGTGAGAGGACTCACGAGATGTATCTGAAGAACTATTGGAAATATGGTCAGAGTAAAACGCGTACGTCGGACGTTTGCCAGAACTGACCTTCGGGATACCTGTGATCAGCACTATTAGCTCATTCGCGGCACAGAAGCAAGCTGCTCACCCATGATGAAAAACTATGATAGTAAAATACAGAGCAATTTCGACGATATGACAAGGGTGTGGTTGGTCAAGGGACCGTGTGGAGTAGAAGCTGGCGAACCTAAGTAGACGCCTACAAGGGTGGACGTGCATGGTAAGCGCCCATCTGCGTCTTCGGCGTCACCCTGGCAGATCTTACGTATCGCCACCATACGAAACTGCCTCTGTAGAAACGCTTTATTTAATCATGGCTGCGCAGCTTCCAACTCCAAGCTCTAAACGCGAACAGAGAACTGGAAGACATAATTCCAGTCAGCTTGCGAGGCCCGTGTACAGTCCCGAACGGATTCGGGAGCCCATTGTCGTCAAGCTCACGCTGCCGAAGACCAGAAAGTCAGGGCAAATCAGGCTCTACGGCGGTTTGCATCCCCACTGGCAAACGGGACGAAGGACAAAAATGGCACGAATCTCAATGAGTGTGCAAACTATCGTGATACTGATCCTAAAGCAGATACGACACCACGGACGGTACCAGAAAGGACATCATATAATCTAATCGCGCATGTTCGCTACCACCGGCAAAGATGAGCTCTGAACAACGTATAGACCTACGGTTAGTCGTCAGCTCATTTTCAATCCGGCCAAATAAACTTGAAACTCACCTGCAATCGGTTTTGCTCGCTGGTCCTGCCAGAAGTCTACACTGCAAGGAGAGTTCTTGGTAGAACAGACCAGCTCAAGTGTCGTGAAGGCTCCCGAAACGGAATGAAACTCGTCGGAATGACTCGATGCAGCATGCGAGACCGTCAATGTCGTCAGAAGTTCACGACGAGCAGAAGCGTAGTCCATGGAGCCGCCGACATCGTGTGAGAGCTCGATTGTAGCGTTGAGGAGCCAGACGTCGACGACGCTCGGGTCGGTGATGTTCACTTCTGAATTAAAGGACTTGCTCTGCTGAGGTAGTTCAATATAGAGAGCACCGCGTTCCATAGCATAGTCGAGGTTGCGGAACTGCACAACAGTCGAAACCTACAGGTCGCGTGAGTAACAGATCCGCCTTGGCACATGACCAAATTGTTCTACCTTGTCGGACACGACTACGTGCCTATCATCCCAATAACAAATACGAATCGTCCCACTGGCATCCTCGTGTCCAATAGCAGCGACGTGCGTGATTTTCTGGCTAAATGCAGAACAGAGAGGTAGAAGGGCCCCGCCACCATGTTGGAATTGAAGTGCGAGGTATGCACTAGATGAAAGGTCCCAGATACCACAGTTGTCCTTATTGTAGACAAGAAGCCAGCCGCGGTCAAGAGAGAATAGGCTTGTCGTGTGTTGTACGAATGGCGCCGTCATGATCAAGAGGTAGCGCCTGGAATGTTTGTCCATCCCAGACTCGTATAGCGTCGACTCTGGGATGGACAAACATTCAACGACGCTACACCGGGATGCAGGTGACCGCGGTGGTGGGGTGCAGGTGTAACACCCATACGTCTGGGCATGAGACCACGCAGTGAGAGACCTGACGGACTTCGGTTCGCTATAGACGCTCAATGACAGTTTGATGGCGTCTATCTTATCTGCAAATTGTCTAACTTATAGCTCTTCAAGTTGCGATAAGCGAACCTCGACTCATCCGCCCCTTCCTCGTCCTTCACCATGGCTGAAATTCACGACCAGTTCGACACCATCCTCATCCTCGACTTTGGCTCTCAGGTATGTTGTCGTTGTTTCTGCTGAATGCTAAGCTGAACTCAATCACAGTATAGCCATCTAATCACTAGGAGATGTCGTGAACTGAACGTATACGCCGAGCTGATGCCATGCACCCAGAAGATCAAGGAGGTGAAGTTCAGACCAAAAGGTATGGGCTTATATATAGTTCCTCAACGTCCGCTGGTCCCTTGACGCTTCGCATTCACAGGGATCATTCTTTCCGGATCGCCATTCTCGGTCTACGACAAGGATGCACCACATGTTGACCCCGAGGTGTTTGAGCTTGGAGTACCCGTCCTCGGCATTTGTTATGGTCTTCAGGTGCGAATCTATCGCCTCCGTTATGTCATGGCTTGTACCTGAATATGCGGAAGTAGGAGATGGCGTGGAACATGAAGGGCAAGGTGGCTAAATGCGAGCATCGGGAGTACGGCTTTGCCCAGGTTGAGATATGCAAGATTGGTGGGGAGAACAAGGGAGTCGACGCGTTATTCAAGGATTTGGGCGATGATTTGCAGGTGCGTTGTACACTGAAGTTACTTAATATATCTATCCGACCTGTGCCTCCTCAGGTTTGGATGTCGCACGGCGATCAACTTTCTGAACTGCCGGAGGGATTCCACGTCATTGGCCGCACAGGAACCGCGCCATATGCCGCGGTAGCACACAGCTCGAAGCCTTTCTATGGAATACAATTCCACCCTGAGGTCACGCACTCCAAGCGGGGAAGGGAGGTGATCAGCAACTTCGTAGTGGGCATCTGTGGCTGCAGACAGCACTGGACAATGGCAAGTTCACCGCGTCGGACTATTAGGTATACCCGTGCTAATGATCGCTTGTACAGGAGGAGTTCATTGGAAAAGAGATCGCGCGCATTCGCGAGATCTGTGGACCCAAAGGTCGCGTGATAGGGGCGGTCAGCGGCGGTGTTGATAGTTCTGTTGCGGCGAAGCTGATGCATGAAGCTATTGGCGATCGGTGAGTTGCATATGAGTCATACTCAGACGATCATCTAACAACCATGTAGTTTCCACGCTATCATGGTTGACAATGGCGTTCTCCGTCTTGATGAGGCGCAACAAGTGCACGAGATGTTGAACAAAGATCTTGGCGTAAACCTCACTGTCGTCGACGCGTCGGGCCTCTTCCTTTCGCGTCTCGAGGGCGTCGAGGACCCAGAACAGAAGCGCAAGATCATTGGCAACACGTTCATCAACGTCTTCGAGACCGAGGCGGCGAAGATTGAAGCCGAGGCTGAGAAGGAGGAGGCCAAGGGTAGCGAGGCCAAGGGCAAAATTGAATGGCTTCTCCAGGGTACGCTCTACCCCGACGTCATCGAGAGTATTAGCTTCAAGGGCCCAAGTGCGACGATCAAGACGCATCATAACGTTGGCGGTCTGCTCAAGGACATGAAATTGAAGCTTATCGAGCCTCTCCGGGAGTTGTTCAAGGGTAAGCTGGCACAATCGAAGCTCGTAGGTGCCGTGTCCTGATGTTGCGCATAGACGAGGTCCGCGCCCTCGGTCGTCTACTCTCCATCCCCAATCACCTGGTCCAGCGTCACCCATTCCCCGGACCCGGTCTCGCCATTCGTATCCTCGGCCCCGTCACGCGTGACCAGGTCAAGATCCTCCAACAGGCGGACAGCATCTACATCGAGGAGATCCGCAAGGCGAATCTCTACGACCAGATCAGCCAAGCGTTCGCTGTGCTTCTCCCTGTCAAGGCAGTCGGCGTTATGGGCGACGCACGGACCTACGAGCAGGTTATCGCGCTCCGTGCGGTGCAGTCCGAGGACTTCATGACGGCCGACTGGTTCGTCTTCCCCGCCGAGGTACTCCGCCGCATCTCGTCGCGGATCACAAACGAGGTGCAAGGGATCAATAGGGTTACGTATGATATCTCGTCGAAACCACCTGCGGTAAGTGTTCAAACTCCTGCGCTGCGTGAGAAGGCCTCGTACTGAGGCATGGTCTAGACGGTGGAGTGGCTATAGATCTATAGATATCAAAGCAATCAAATATCAAAGCAATCTATCCCTTGTGCACTGATTTTCTCTGAGTCAACAAAGTTTGGGGGTGACTGGCCCCTATACTCCACCCTCGCTTGGTAACGCCTCAGAAATTTGGTGTCTTGTGGAAAGTTGAGACGATCGAGTTCCGTTGTGTAAAACTGACTCAAACATGCCGATGATAGGCATCTCCTGCCATCTGACATTGTAGTTTTTGATCTTGTCTCCTGGACGCTGCGCCTCCTTACGTCGAAATCGGCGTAGAGGGGCTGTGGTCCCCGTTGCGTGCCGGCGCCCGCAGATTCCAGTCGCGCAATGTACTCGTGTCTGGCGTACGGCAAGCACACGCCACTGAGGAGTCAGGACACTGCGAGTTCTTGATATAAGTACACCGTACCTGATCTGGGCGAATCCTACTGGATCCATCATGTTGTTTTAGTGAAGGCGGCGCGACTACTGGATTCTCACTGCGGCGTGACATTGCCGGCGGCTGGCGATACTTATATGAGCTCGGGTTGGGTCCTGCTCGACAACCCCAGGATCCCATCTGCATCCAGATTTCCAGACTCCCTAGCGAACATATCATGTCCACCGTCCAACGTATCCAATTCTATACCGCGCCGGTATGTCTTGTTCTGATCAATCCAACCACATTGAGCTCATATTAACGATTTCCGTATCGTTCAGTATTCTCCCTACTCGCACAGAGTTCGGCTGGCGCTCGATGAGGCTGGCGCAGACTATCTAGCGTATGAGTTCCCGAACACCCGTACCAAGCCCGACTGGTACTACCAGATCAATCCCCGCGGTCGGGTAAGACATTGGGTCGCGCTTCACTAGTATATGCTCAACTGACGATCGTTTGCCTACCAGATCCCCTCCATCGCGTACGGCGGTCCTGACGTTCCCCCGGAAGAGCCCTCGCCCGAATCAGCGAAGCTCACCGAGTCGCTGGCGCTGATCGAATTCATCGCAGATATCTTCCCCGACTCTGGACTGCTTCCCAAAGATCCCATCCTGCGTGCTAAGGCTCGAGGGTTCATTCAGATCTATGACAGCTGGATCCAGCCTCCGTACAAGTCTGCTTTCTTCCTCGGAGAAGGCACCGAGCCCATCCTGCAGGCTATCGAGAAGCTCCAAGCAGCCCTACCTCCAACGGGATTCGCTATCGGCCAGTACTCTATCGCAGACATCGCCGTCGCCCCCTTCTTCGTTCGCATGCTGTTATTCTTGCGCCACGGTATCGGTGCATACTCGCAGGCTGACGGAGATCGCCTGCGGGAGGCTTTTGCTAGCGAGAAGTTCGCTCGGTTCAGGCAGTATGTACAGGATCTTGAGAGCCGCCCGAGCTTCCAGAAGAACTGGGATGAGGTCAGTGAGCATGGCACCTGTTGTCGGAAAGTGTACTGACCCAGCTGTGGTCACGATGCAGGCTCAGCAGGTCGAACCCTGGAAGAGTCCTCCTAAGTTCCGCAAGGAGTGAGGCCAAGTCTGCCCACATCTGTCAAATGTTAAGCAGATACCCAAGGCTCGCCAAAACGTAGCTTGTGGAGGAAGCCTATGAACATGGGTAGGACTAGACGAACTTCATCGCGTGGAAGTCTGCGTGGCGGGTCGGAGACAGAGACTGTCGTTAGTGTCGAAACCTATGTAGTAGCTGTAGATACGGGATACTACTTGAAGGCAGGAGGTGCTCCTGCAACGATATAAGTGTTTGTGATAGTCAAGACGGCGATAACGCCAACGTCTATGGAAGGAATAGATTGCACTCATTATTGGATCAGGTCCTGAGGCAATCCTCTCGTAAGTTGTCGGCGAGACGGACCGGCTCACGGAGGCCTGCTTCCGAGCGCTCCGGTGCGTATGGGAGCGTGGCGCAAAGCCCGACTCTCCTTCGCACCAGTATCACTCCGCGACTGCATGCAACTGCAGGTATGATCATTGCGTTATGCATCTCCTTGAACAGTTTCTCAGGACCTCATTCAGGATGATGTCTACTTCGCGGTCTGGGTATGCGCGAATAGCTCATGGTGACATGATGCGAGCGCGTTCTCTTACCCAAAAGGTTGCCAATCCTCTCCCAGCCTCATTCCTCCGCGGAGGGACGTCCAAGGGTATCTTCCTCAAGCGTTCTGACCTTCCTGAGAGTCAGGATGATTGGAAACCCATCTTTCAGGGTATCATGGGCTCTCCCGATCCACACTATCGTCGCCAGCTGAACGGCATGGGTGGCGGCGTCTCCAGTTTGTCCAAGATCTGCGTCGTCGGCCCCCCTTCTTCGGCCCAGAGCGGTGTTGATGTCGAGTACACCTTCGTGCAGGTCGGCATAGAGGATGGCGAGCTTGATGTATCTGGGAACTGTGGCAACCTTTCGAGCATGATTGGCGTCTTCGCGCTCGACGAGGACCTGTGTACGCCCAGGTTCAACGAGAACAGCGGTCTGGGGACCGTCCGGTCGTACAACACCAACACAGCCAAGGTCATAGATACGACCTTCCCACTCTCTTCTTCGCACACAGCGGATCTAGAGCGCCCTGAAGTCGAGGTGGCCGGCGTACCGGGAAAGGCGTCCCGGATTGTTCTCCAGTTCGTCGACCCAGGAGGGGCACGGACGGGCAAACTGCTGCCTACAGGCTCTCCTTCAGACAACCTCGCGCTCGAGGACACTGCTATTCCTGCCTCTCTTGTTGATGCAACAAATCCCACCGTGTTCATCGCTGCCGAGCACCTTGCGGGAGCTATAGGTCTGGAACATCGAGAGCTCACAGCAGACCATCTCACCCGTCCTGATGTCGAAGCAGTCGTTGAGCGCATCCGTCAGGCGGGCGCCGTCCGTATGGGTCTAGACCCCTCTGCGAAGGCTCAGCCCAAAATCGCCATTCTGAACGAACCTACCTCCGACAAGGACCTCACCGATGGCGTCGACGTTATCGTTCACGCCTTTTCTATGGGAGTTTTACACAAAGCTGTGCCGATGACGGTCGGACTCTGTCTTGGAGTCGCTGCTGGGGTGAAGGGAACACTAGCGCACGACATCCTAGCCAGAGCTCGTGGCAGGAGAGGTGTTGCCCCGGAAGGAATGGTCAGGATTCGTCACCCTGGAGGATCTGTTGACGTTGGCGCAAAGTTCGGCGACGATGGGAGTGTACTCAATGCGCAAGTAGTGAGGACAGGTCGGAGGCTGATGAAGGGTGTCGTGTGGTGGTGAACCCCCTTGTGAAGGGTAGGTCTCTAATTCTACTTCACCATCCATACTCATGCGCTTTGCAGAGTCTGAACTCTGCAGGGTAACATGTTCTTGTACATTAGTAGGAAGGTCTATGGCATCAGAGCCCCTTCCCCACAAGAATCCTGCGACTGCTTCCATATATCTCTTCCTCTGCTCCCAGAAAGGCGTGTGGCTTTACTGCTCGAACTTGATTTGGCTCCCGGAATCCGTTTGCTATACGCTTCTGTCACGTAGTCTCGAACGACGCCGAGTCGATCGTTGACAACGAGCGTAAGGACGTCGCCATCGTGCTGTCGGTCCACGTTCGTTCACCCCTTCGACATGCTAGGAAGCACCACAGAGTATGTCAATATGGATTCAATCCCTCTTTTCTTTGTGGTGACAAACTTCTTCAAGAATAGCTAGACGCGACACCCGTGCTGAGCATAGACCACTATCAATATCCCTCACTGCGCACCTTACGCTAACCTGAATTGCTATCCGACTCCGTCGAGCATGCCGTGAAACGCCTCGTCATCGGTACACGGGACCCTTACGCTTCCTTCCCATCAGCCCCAATGACCTGCAAGCCCACTCCTCTTCCACCGGATCCTGGCGTTCGACACACTTCATCCTGTGCCAGCTCGAGGGACGTGGCTGGTGTGACTAAGAGCGGTCTGGAGTTGATTTCGACGCGTAAGAAGTAATGTGATGATGTCGCCCAGTCCAGACCAAGCGTCACAGTGAGCTTCCTAGGCGCGACGGCGAGCATGATTTCCCTGCTGCTGAGTAGACTGCCCCACGGTGCAGAATACACACTCTCCCTCCACTTCACGGATCTATAAACTATCTGCACATCCCCAGACGAATTGAGGGAGGGTCGCGACATCGTCACATGGGCCTCGACGGTCAGTTCTTTGCTATCATCGTCCAGGGTCTGCCGGTACACGATGGTTATGATGTGGTCGTCGCTGGAAAGTGTTAGCCAATGAGTGGTGGGTTCCTCCTGATCCGGACCGCGGAGTTCAGCCGTGTACCCTTCGGTGCGTAGAGCGTCTCGAGTCTTCCTCCGCAGAACGAGATTGACCTTCTCGTGTGGCTCATAGCGAGCTGTCCCTGGTTGTAGGGTAGCGCGTATTGGGTGGGATATGTACACTGTCTTGAGCTGAATATCCTCATGACAGCGTTCCATGGTGGCCGATGACAAGGGGAAAAGGTTGAAATGCATGTACAAATGCCCTGGACCAGCAAATCCGCAGTACAGGTGGTCGATGCCTGACTCGGACGAAGGGATGTAGCAGACCCGCCCAAGCAGGGCGCCGGGGTGGTCAACGTGCTCGCACCCGAGTATGGCCAGATACCATCGGGATTGCAGAGTGTGCTCGGAGTCTTGCACGGCACCATGACGAAGACAGCGAGCTAGTGGTATGACTGGGATCTGCATCTGGATGCCGTGAGGGGTGGAGACGTATTGCGTGACAGGAAGGTGGGCGAGTCGGAGACGGCGGAAGACGTCGTTATGAGACACTGCTCTGATCTTACCACCCTTGGTCAACTTCTCAGGGTGCGGAGCGAAAAGAGCCGTCTCGGATACGTCATCGGATATTCCGCATGTGATGCTGTTAGCAGCCTGGAGCAACGGGCACTGGGCAAGGTCCTGGTGTGCCTCGGTATCTGCATAGACATTCCCCCATGCAAACAGGCTCTGGTCGGGCACTCGCCGCAAGATCTCCTCTTGCAACCGTCGGAAAGCGCGCTCGCCCTCGCCATATAGCGTGTGCATATTGATGTCGAAGATCCCGAGAAGTGAGTAGGCTCGATCTTCCGCTCGTGTTGTCTCCCGCTGGGCTGCCCACGAGAGTCGCTCGGCTACGCTGTACTCATCGAGCGACTCCAGGTGGAGTAGAGCCTCCCGAGGGATCATCGTGATTTCCTCTACAAGCGCAGCTAGAGCGTGCTTTGATCCGATGCTCTCCCAATCCTTCGAGAGAAAGATCGCCGCGCGGGGAGCAATAAGCTCCTGGAGCGTCCACCCGCGCCTATGCCATCGGCTCGACCGGAAGGAGGACTGGCATGCGTAAGGATCCTCGCCGGAGGACACGTCGGCTAGGTAGACATAACACACCTCCGCACGGCCGTACCAGTCATACATTGAATTGATCGCCTCGGACAACTCTGAGCTACTTGCCTTGTCGATGCAACACGAGTCGATCCATAGGTACTGGTAACCAGCCTCGCGGGCTACCCTGCAGGCCTCTCGAATTTTTCGCGCGAGATCGGGATCGTCCCAGATGGAGCATTGTGGCATCCGAGATTCGTCAGAGAGAGGAGCAGCTTCTGAAGAGCCCGGGGATGGGCCGAAGTAAAGGTAGCTGAGCAGGGTGAAGATGAGCAGAATAGATGACCACAGTTCTCTTAGGGAACGGTGTAGGCTGGGCTCTTCCGCGTGTGATGTGGCTGAGTCATCCTGCGTAGATCCGCGCCTTGCCGGTCTGAGGTTGGTGTCATCGTACGGAATCAACCTCCCCTTGTTAGCCGGTGATACGGAGGCTAGAAGGAGTATGGGACTGTCAATGCCAAAGCGAGGAGGAATTGCTACATGAGCAACGAACCCACCGTACTACCTGACGGTACCTCCAGGGAAGAGGATAAGAATGGAGGGAGACCCCTCGCTCCTCCCTGTGGAGGATGTCCTCTGGAACAGCAACGCTTCTGGATCTCCCTCAGCTCGGTATACGTCTGCTCTCCGCCTTCGTTCCAGGTATGCGACAATATGGCATAGTTCGTCCACTCTGGATTGATGTCGACGAACTCCCCGGTGTGTGTGTCCAGACAACGCATTGCGTCCCCTCGACCCCACGGAGAAGAGCTGATAGATTGCGTTAGTAGGGGCTAACCAATTCCAATCCGGCTGTACAAACGTTGAGTAGAGGGCGTACTCGTCAGATTCAGCAGAAGTAGCAGTGATCGAATGTCGATGTCCCAATAGACTCTCAGACACTCAGGATGAGTGTGAAAGGAGACGAAGACGACAAAGCCAAGATTACTAGTGGTCGGATAAGTCTCCGACGTCGGCCTGTAATCGATCGGTAACGTGGTCGGAAGCGTCTATGTTGAAAATCCCTGCCGGCTTGTATTGACATCTGTTTGATAAGTGATGGCTTGACGGTGTATTTCCAATCTCTGCTTCTGAGTTGCGTTCAGCACGGAACTTGGATATTAGTACATTAACGAGACGAACGACAGCCACAAAGCATTGACTCAAAGCGAGTATATCTACAACACTACAACATGCTTGCAGGTAGCGTCAGCATGCAATTACGATAGTACCCAGGAAATTCACGGCTGACATTCCAATAAAGATAGCTGCCGGGACAATGTCCAATAGACCACCCCGATCGCCGGAGCCAATCGGACGAGGTCGTAAAAAGATCATCAGAACGTAGGCATGGGGGGTGCTCTGCGTATATCGTCCCCTCTGTCGGACTCGTCTCTCCTTCTCTTACGGTTTTGCAACGAGAAACTGGGAGGCATCGTGAAGTATTGCTCGATGGCTGGCCCGCGTCGAGCGGGTTCCGATGGGCGAGCAGAGACAGGAGTGGGCAGTGTAGACACTGTTGGACTCGCGGGATTTGAGTGGACTAACGACTCGATCGACATGGCCCCGGTGCCAGCTGATCCTGCCCCGTTGGCACTCGCAGAGGTCTGGTTCTGGTCCTTGGAGCCGGTGATCCAAGATGCTTTTTTGTACTATAGATTTGCAAATGTGAGCGGTATGTACTGATGAGATAGGTCTCCGAACGTACAGTCTCTAGCTCCGGTTTGCCTCTCCAGCGTGCGATGGCTTCACAAAAGCGAACTGCAGCACGTTCGACTGTCTCAGCGGGAAACTGCCAGGCAAGGTCCTCCATATGCGTTGCTACGTCTGGAGTTGTGGACGGGACTGCGTAGAACTATTCCACAGTTTTAAAAGGGTGATTCGCAGCAGGCCTATATCACGTCACGACTCACCCGTGCCAGCCGTTCAGTCATCTCGAGCTCATATTCGAGCTCTGCGCCCTCGCGTGCATAGTAGACAGGGCCCTGACCCCCACCAAGAGGCTCGCGGAGAGAAGGAAATAAGACCTTCGTAGCCTCGTCAAGCTCTGGGAGGTCGTCCGGGTCGAATTCGGTAAACTCAGGGTCGTCGCCGCCGCTCGCCCGATTCGCCGTAGCCCCAGACGAACTTGACGCAGTGCTATTCGGAGGCCTCGGAGGCCGCGTATGTGAATGTGACATCGCAAGGCCCACGCCCAGCAGCACCTCGAGCGGTTCGATTCCGCGCCAGTTGGCGGTGAGGTACCCTTCGAGCACCGCTCGAGTGAGCAGTCCAGCGAAGAGGTAGTACCACTCCCTCGACGGCCGGAAGGCGTTCGCCAAGTAGAACGCCGAATCCGAAGCGTGTCTCTGCGCAGTGACACGGGGCGATGTCTGCGGAGACGACATAGGACGCGGCGTAGGAGGCGCATTCATCATGTTCCCGCCCGAGTTCGAGGATCCCGCCACGACGCCGTCCTCTTCTCGCCGGTCTCCGCCGTCGACGGACGTACGGTCCTCTGTCGACTCACGTCCGAGCTCCATAGCCACCAGCGCGCTCAAGCGCATGAACCTAGGGATAAGCTCCGCGAGCTTCGTGTTGAACATCGTCGGAACCTGCCCGTTCCCCACTAGGATCCCATTGGGCATCGACGGCCGGCGGAGCACGGTGCCCTTCGGTCCTGGGCGCGCCAGCCCAGAGCCTATCCCGCTGCCATCCTGCCACCCAGTGACGCCAGTCGCGAGAACGGGGCCATTGCCTGGGGACGAGACGTCGCCGGGGCTGCTGCCGCTCGTCGACCCAGCGCGCCCGGACGCAGGGCGTCCGCGCGACTGCCCGGGGCGCACCGTGAACTGCGACTTCGCTTCGACGCAAATTTCGCAGCCCATGTGCAGATGACGCGGGCAGCGCAGCGAAGGCGGAGAATTCGACGTATCGGGATCGGAGCCGATCGCGTACAAGGACCGAATGTACTCCGTCGGGACTGGCTTGCGGGGCGACCGTGGGATACCCGGAAGCAGCGCCGCATTAGACAGACCAGCAAGCGGGACGAGGGCGGAAGGGAGGACAGCGGAAGCGGGCACGTTAGGATCTGACGGGGCGACAGGGGCCCTGCTTGGGGGGTCAGGCGCGCGGCGAGAAAAGAAGTCGTTGACGACGGTCGCGAGCGCCAGGCGCAGACGGACGCCGTTCGGAAGCCTGTGTTGGTGCTGTCGGTTGTTCTGCGGCTGGAGCGAAGGCGACGTCGGAGGCTCCAGCAGGTCGTCGGGGTGCATCGGCCGCACCTCTGGCGGCTGGTCGAGCATCGCCGTCGCGACCTTCTCTACGCTCTCCGCGCGCTGGCGGAGGCTGCGCGCGAGGGGCAGGTCCTGGCGCTCCAGCCGCTCGTCCTCGTCATCCGCGTGTGTATGCTCTGGCCCTCCTTCGCGCGCGCTCAAGACGCGCACGTCCTCTCCATCGCTGTAAGCCTCTTCGTCCTCTTCGAAGTTCTCCGGGCGGTCCCGGTGCACATAGTTGGAAGACGATGGACCGCCAGTGCGGTCGGTCATCCCAAGTTCTGCCCGCGCCTGGGCGAAGCGCGTCCGCCCGTGCACCCAAAGTAGGTGGTCGATTATCAACGTGCGCGTCGACTTCTCCCGTGGAGGAATGGAATGCAGGTGGTGCGCATGCTTGTGCGCGGGGGCACGGAAAGGGGCATGGTTTTGTGGGGGCTGCGGGATCGATGCGCGTTGCATCAAGGGGGATGAGGAGGGCTGGCGGATATAGCTACTCATGTCATATTGCTGGGAGGGATGCTGCGGGCTTGAATAGCTTGAGACGGACATCGTGGTAGAGGACAGACTGTTGGCAGCGTGCTTCCTTCAGAACCTGCGCGTATGCACGTTGCAATTGACAAGTGTACTCAATTGGATTCTGACGGACTTCCCCTGACTTACAAGTAACAACGCTCCACGGCGTGTGGTAGTTAGCAGGCGCGTCTCGGTTCCTCTAACGGACGAGCGGAGCCCTCGATGCAAGACTAGTGGGATTTTGAGTATACTCCGTTATACATAGTACATGCACACTCTTACCTTGCGCTTGTTGACGCCTCCTAACACTCTCTGTACGTTCGCAATCCTGGTTCCCCTTGTATGCACCTCTTGAGGACAACGCGCACCCCGTCCAAACTCCTCAAAGAGACAGTGCAAGGCTATCGCAGTCGTTGCAGCAGCGCGAGATGCAAGCGTCCAGTCTTCGAACAGTTTTAAGACGACAAAGACCAGCCCGAAAGATCGCTGTAGGCGTCGATGTTGGGTCGAAGCCGTTCTACACCGCGTCGACATTCAAACGTTCAGCGTCCGCGAACCGCTGTTTCCCACGGTGAGCGATCGGCGGGAGCTCAGCCGCGCGCCGATCCCGGGCCCGACGAGGGATACAGAACAGAGAGAGAGACAGAGAAATACTTATACGTTGATAAAGATGAGAGAGAGAGATGGTTGTATAGTACATGGACGACGTTACATAGTGCGTGTTGGAGAGAGAGAGAGGGACTCAAGAGGAGACATTGGAGCTCGAAGAGGAGAGAACGGCGACGAAGTCAAGCTAGAAGAACGCGAACTCGGTCGAAAGCAACCACAGTCCAACGACAACGTCGTGAAAATGAACATAGGGGGGTGCGCTCCCGCATGCAAGCGGCACAACGAACGTGAAAAGCGGGAAGGGAGGGAACAACGCGGAACGGGGCAAACAACGAAGGCCTCCGTGCCTAAACAAATCATCACCATATCACCATGTGAACGGGAACGTGAGGGCGTACTATACAGCGCGGAGAATGACGAAGCGACTATGGACAGCAAAGCAAAGCTGGGAAACTGATAACAAAAGATGAGAGGGTGAAGGGACCGACGAGATCGTGTACAGAACCATGAGACATGACAAGACATGGCGATGAGAGCGGAGAAGACAACAGACCGATACAGGATGACCAGTGTCCATTTCACGCGATGGAATGGCGGATAGACACCGTCCGAGGACACGCAGGTCTTCAACGACGGACGGTGTTGATGCGATTCGCCCTTGGCGGGCGGCAACGCGGATGAAAAGCTGGGGGGGGGCGGTCATGAAGCGGGAGTGTGGAACATGCGTATCGACAGAGAAAGACATGGCGGGGCGTGTATAGCACATGAGGAGTGTGTTGTCGTTGTCGATATTGACCAAGACCCCGAGGCGTGCATCGCCAAGGTGGTGAGGGGACATGGACAGGCGACACAACTCGGGCGTGGTCGTTCGGAATAGAGCATTATCGTTGTTGGGGATCACAGGCTGACGGGATGGGCAGAGAGGCTACAGGATGCAAGCGGGCTTGAGTACAAGATGGGCACAACTCCGTCCGATATCTTCGACGGCGCCGCGTTATTGAGCAGACCGATACAATCAAGGATAGAGGACAAGCGAAGACCGAATATATACGAGGACCCTCTATAGAGGTCACCCAAGGATAGAGACTGGCCGCTCAACTCTGCAGGCTAGCGTGTTGCGTGGGCGAGGACGGTGGCTTGGAGTACAATTGTGGCGGGGCGGCGCTCCCGTTGACCTTATGGTGGTCTTCGAATAACCGTCGACCGGCTTGTGAGGATAGGCCCGAAGGCGTTCTCGACGACGGGAGCATGGCGGCAGCTGGAGAAGGGGAGACGTTCATATAATCGCTGAGGCTAAATGACGCATTGGGCGTGCGGGGGGCTGGCTTATCCGAAGGCGGCTGAGAAGAGTGTCCAGGAGATCGAACAGCTGGTCGCTGGTTAGCACCCAGCGCGGCGGGCAGTAGGTGTGGGGGTGCCTGGTCGGTCGGTGTGGGCGGCGTGACAGTCGGTAGCATCGGGATGCCTAGATGGCCATGACTACTCGACTGTGACGCATCATGAACGGTCGACAGTCTCGACGGCACTTGGGACGCGTTCGCTCTAGCGGGTATGGTGCGAGGGGACACCGGCTCCGTCGCAGTACTGGATATAGACGCGAAGCTACCGCTCATCTCCCGAGATAACGTCCGCGGTGAACGGCCGTCTTCACTCGCCGACGAGAACAGGACGCGACCCTTCGGACCAGATCCACCTCCGTAGAGGGTGCGGAAGGCAGCGGCGTCGCGAGCGTCGCGGTTTCGAAGGCTGGAGGGTCGGACCGGAGAAGGAGAGGTAGCCATATGAAGGAGCAGGTCCGCCGCATCCGTGTCCTCTACGCGGTCACGGGGTGTCATTTTCGGCGTGCCAGCGCCTTCGGGACGTAAGCTGCTGCCTTGGGTTGTGCTTGCTCGACGTGCCACTGCGTGGGACAAGGCCGGAGAAGCTTGGGACAGGGCAGGAGAATGTGGCGGGGTAGCCGTAGAGCGTGGCGCCCTAGAGAACAGAGGCTGTTGGGAAGACGAAGGCACTGGCGTGCTCCCACCTGCCGCCGTCCTGGCCGCGCTTTGCGCATATTGTGTGAACGAGTGCGTGGATCCTGGGTCGGAGCCGGCCGATATGCTCGACCGCGGCGACCCCGCCGTCGCCGACACGGATGGTCGCTGCTGGTTGAGCAGCAGGGTCGTGAGTGTTGCAGCGGCTTCCATGTCAATCTCCCTATCTTCCACCGAGCTGGTTACCGTCTCGAAGCTGCCCTCTGCCGTGACGCGCTGCTTGCCCTTGCCCTTGCCTTTGGCCGACGCCGTCTCCTTGGCGGCTCTCTTCGACTTCGACTTCGCATGCGCATCTGGTGTACGCGCGACCTTCGGTGGTCGAGGAGAACGTGTCTGCTCGACCACTTTCTCTGGCGCCGGCACGGGCGGGTCTTCGGGATTATGAATTGTGCGCGCCCGTTTCGAAGGCGGCGGCGCCAGTAGAGAGGAGAACAAGCTCTGCGCAGCGGAAGCGGTGACGGGCGGTGGCGGGGCCATCGAACCTTTCCGTGCGGCGGAACGCGAGGACTGGCCTCCTGCGTTGCTAGATGGGCTTCCTGGGTCGGCGAAGTGGTTGGCTACCCTCTTGCCATTTGGGGTATGCTTGCCCGCTGCGGATAGCTGGGAATCGAGTTCGTGTAGCGTGTGATTGGCCGTGTTACTCTTGACCTTGAAGTTGGCGTACAATAGACGGGCGCGTAGGCTGAGAGCAAGCTAGATGGGAAAGGAGGACAGGGGTTATTAGTTAACTGCCCTACAGAGAAGGCCCGAAGGGAATCGATGACTGATGGATGCAGTACATGCGAATGACAGTAGGCACCACTTTTGTGGCAAGGGCCTTGCAGGATTGACTGCTCCAAGGGCCGGAAGGGTCGTACCGTCTCCCCGGATAACAGCCTCTGCAACGTGAATATCGCGCGATTCCTGGAGGGAGATGCGATGCTGACGCGTGTAAGATGCGTCGAAAAATGGCAGGAGTACTATAGAGAGGCCATCGTCGCCGATGCGGACGTGCAATGGACGGGAAAGCAGCGGTGTTCTCGCCAAGGGAAGATGGAAACAGACGGGGAATACGAGCGGACATACCTCTCCCAAATGGGCATCAGCCGTGATTCTCCTAGCCAAGGTCTCCCTATCGTCGCTGTCATTGGATAAATGGCCGTTGGGCACAACCGCAGAGGTCGACGCGCTCGCAGCAGGCTGCAGATAGCGGAGCCTGGGGGAGGGAGTTGTCGCGGAGGACGATGGGGTGGCCATGGCGGCGGGGCGCGTCGCCAGGAGGCCTGTGATTGTGACCGACGTGATGGAGAACGGCGGGGAGGGTGCGAGGAGCGACGGACGCGGTGCTGGGCCGTGGTTGAGGGCGTCGGGGACGTGTGACAGGAAGAGACACGGATGGGTAGACCGCGGCGAGAGCGCGTCGCGTCGAGGGGCTGCCGGCGCCATCCGAGGTCTTACGTAAACAGCCGCGCTTTTTCCAGGCTCCACAGACGCCCATTAACGCGCGCCTCGACGCGTTTCAGCATCGCGCGATCGTACCAGACGCGTCCCATGTCGCGCCCTCGAAGCCCCAGCCAGCAAAAATATTCAGCACCGTGGCTCTCCTCCCCCACTAGTGGCCACCCCACTCACCACCAGCTGCAGCTGCCTGCACGCGCACGGACCAGTCGCGGAGCTTCGCGTGCTGTCTGATTTCCCGCCATGATGCCCACCGTCCGGATCAGTTGACTTTGCACCGATGGCGCTCGTGCCTCTCCCTCTCGGCCTCCCTTTTCCAGCCAACCAAGGCACGCCCGATTTAACTGATTCTCTTTCTTCTCCTTATCCAGTATCCTCAATTGTCAATCCCCAGTGCCTCGTTGCGCGCAACGCGCGTGCTGAACACGCCCGCTGTCCCGGCACGTATGGTTTGACTCCATCCATAACATCGTTCGGCGCAGCAGTCGAAGTGGCCAATCGATGCTGACTCTCAATGACTGTCGAAGCCGGCTGCACCACACGCACCTACTTCCTGTCAGAGGACCCTGCATGCTGAAATGATATCGTTTGCCGTCAGAACCACTAACCACCGCACACTCCATCACCGACACTCATTCCGCACGAAGGTGGATTGTGGTTGCGCAACGCGCATGTCCCTCCGCAGCTATGTGTAGCCAAAAGTGCACGGGCGATACGGTAGCTCAATACAGAACGGATGAATCGCATCTCGTGACAGCGCTTCGCGAGAGTCCCTCGTGCGTCCTTCTCACACGTATGCCTTCTGCTAGACGTGTTCCCTGTTTCAGGTCAACGGGGCGGGAGCAACACCCGGTTTCCATGCCCAGAACCAAAGGCCATTCTACACGTCTGGAGGACATTGTCTTACAACCAGCCTGCTTACTCCCATGTGCCGAGTAACCTGCTTTCGGAAGGGGGGGTACTGACCGAGTCCTCTTCAGTTTCGTCTTCCTGCGCGCTAGGAGTACGTACCTCCCTTGCATGTGCGAACGTTCCCAAATGGCGCTCACAGGAATGCTCAAGACTTCCCTGTCACACGCGCTCCCGTATGGCGTTCCTTCACGCGCACGGTAGGACGCCCTCGGTCCTGTTGCGTGTGCGCGGGCGTACTGGAGTTGCATGTCACGACCCGATACTTATGGGATCCGACTCCTTGCTAGCCCGGCTATGCTGTAGCCAGCGACTGACCGCGCCACTATGCTTGCTGTAGCAAACTATCGTCCTGATTCCAAATCCTGCTGTGGCTTTTGCTCGGTGCCCCGTGGCGGAGAATCCCAAGCATAACGTACTGCACGCGCTTCGGCCGCCGCTCGCGTCCTGGTCAGGCCAAGCCGGAATCCCCACCGCGCTGTGTACCACATCCACATTGAATGCGCTTGGTCCCAAGGCGGGAAGCAGCGAACTTCCTCGTGTCTTGCCAGCACCATTTTGGGAGTATGGGAAGCTCACAGTACGTCCGGCGCTCAGCGGTGCAAAGCAACTCCCACCCAAGCCTGTTTACTCCGGTCCGACCAGCCAGGACCAGTCCCCTCCGAGATATAGGTGCTGAGTCCGTGGCCGCTCCTGTCGGGTCACTGAGGACGTGCCTCCACTCCCTCAACATTGAGTTTGAGATTGCGCTCTCTCGACCACGTTTTCGACGACACCACCATCTCCGGATCTCCAGATTCGAACACTGCACCCCTGGAACCACGCATCCGGCTCATCTACCCTTCGTCCACGGATCGTTTGGTCGCGACCGCTACAGTCCCCGCCTTGTCGCCCCGTCGGAGCAAAGCCGCGGTGCCCCAGTCCAACAACGTCAACATCGCCCATCCGACGCCACCTCGCTACGGTCTACTCAATTCGTGAAAACAAATGACGACGGAACGCAGTGCGCGCGTCTCATACCGCCCCTCCCGATCGGGAACAAGGGACAGTGAGCCTACAAGGCCAAATCGTCGGCCACACAACGGGCTCTCGGCTGGTTGCCCTTGCCGGCATCGACGTCCGGCGATCTGGGTGGCCGGAGGGTCTCATGCGCAAGCCGTTCATTCACGCCCCCTTGCCGCGTTACATCTGCAACACGACGTGGTCAAGAATAGCGTGCGTGCTTTGCATATGATGTCGGCAAGCGCCGGTCGTACGCTGTGACCCCGTCCGGTCGCCTGACGGAAACCATTGATAGGAGTGGTGCCCTGCCTATCATCGTGCAGCGTTCGGCGGAGCGTCGCGAGATGAAGAGGGTTACTAACCCCACGCCGGGAGAGATGAACCAGGGGAATTGATTGAGTCTCCTTCGGTGCGATTCTAGGTCTGACTCTCTTTGACTTCACAGGATCGACTCAACTCCCCGGCATCTGGCCGACCAGTTCAGATGTGGTTCCATGCACACACCATCAATGCGAAGTTTGAACCACCGATGGAGTGACATCATGTCTGAGTAACTGCCTCCCTTCCGACTCACTGGCAGTGACAGTCTTTCTGCGAGCCTTGCAGCTGCAGCAGAAACGCGAAGGGCAAAATTCACACTGTGGATACCGGATTGAAGCTACACAATAATGACGGCGGTGTCTAGGCGCGTCCACGTGATCGCAAGTCGTCGATTATGCTCAGATATGACGTCGCGTCCCCAGGCGAGCCATCGGAGCTCTTGGCGCAGAATCGAACTTCGGAGTTCTCGTGGCCCGCTCCGTCGTCGAATGGTATGCCATCATCCATGACACTCATTGTGAACGCCCTGATGCCCATTGGCTCACTGTCTGTCCAACTCCTCAGTTGGGTCTCTTCGTATATGGGTTCACAGGTGTCGAACTCATAAACCAACAGATGCAGGCTATCGTCTTCAGAAATCCTCTGGCCTTCGCACCACGCTCACGCGTCGTCCTTCGCCCAACCTCCGCAAGATTCGCAATCAGACCCATGGCTACCGGTGCTCACCTCGACGTGACCGAGCAGATCAAGCTCGACCACGACAACGTCCGTGACTTGTTCCAGCGGTACGTCCGATTACCACGCGCGGGCCCTCTCCATCTAAGCATGTAACCAACAACAATTTGGGCCCTGGAGGACAGGTACAAGCAAACGGCCGACCACGACCAGAAGGCGGCGATCGCCAATACCCTCATCCGCGAGATGGCCATCCACGGCGACGCAGAGGAGATCTCCGTCTACAACGACTACGCCGCCCTCGGCCTAGGCGACGCGGCCAAGCACAACAAAGAGGAGCACGCGGAAGTGAAGCGCGCGGTCTACGACGCTGACGCGACGAGCATGTCGCACGACGACTACGACGCCGTCCTCGAGAAGGCGGTCGGCACCTTCCTCACGCACGCCAAGGAGGAGGAGGACGAGCAGCACCCGCTCATCAAGCAGAGATTGAGCGCCGAGGATAACGACGTAAGCGTACAGCTATGGGATCATTGCGCTCGAGCCTCGAATCATCGCGTTCTGAATTATGCTGCGTCTGAAATGTAGAAACTGGCCCGCGCGTTCTTGAAGGCGCGCACGACGGTGCCGACTCGCCCGCACCCGTGGGCTCCACAGTCTGGTGGCGTTGCACAGAAGGCTGCAGGAGTGCAGGGTGCTTTCCATGACAAGGTACGCATCTCGTGGGCTGTCATACGTCAAGACATTCGCTGAAATATTGTTCAGGTCATCGAGACCGTCGAAGGGCGGGAGTTCGTCGATCTCAAGTACCAACACCCCAGTTCATACTAAACCCAACAAATACTGTATCATGAGAGGTTGGCACGGATGTATGAGTAGGGCATTAGTTGGGACGGATTTGACGTCTGTAGTGCCTTCAAATTGTGTTAGTACATCAGATCCATATGTGGCTTCATCACGTCCGGTCAGTCGAGACCAGAGGTTTGCTCGCGGCTCAATCTTACGCCTGACCGAGGAGTACGCATCCTATGTACGATTGTTACATGGCTCGCAAGACAACTTTACAAGTGCTATCAGGCCCGTAGGCATCAACATAGACACCTTCCTTGTCGGGATGACTCTTTTCCACGTGGGCGTCAAGATGCGCCTTGCCTCATCGGAGGATAGGCGCTTACTACATCATCTGTCCGCCCACCTCGTTGTCGATCTCTTCTTCCGTGTCGTCCTCGCCCTCTACTCTCCTCAGTCGCCTTGCTCGCTACCAATAATAAGAGCAAGGCCCGCCATTTATTACACTCTGCCCAGGTGTCCTGTCATTTCCCGTTACACCAGCCACACAAGACCACCACCATGCCTCCCAAGAAGCAGCAGGCCAGCGGAGGCTCAAAGCCTAAGGAGGACAAGGTATGCGATCAAACAACGTATGACCTTTTCTCTCAAGATTTCTGACCAGATTCCCCTAGACCTTTGGCATGAAGAATGTCGGTGAATCGTTGCCCATAGCCTTGTACACGAAATAGTTCCCAGGCCTAACCGTGCTCCCTCCCCTCAGAAAAACCGCTCGGCCAAGGTCCAGAAGGAGGTCGCCACGATACAAAAGCAGCAGGCGCTAGCGGGCAAGTCGCGCGCGGTGCTCGAGAAGGAGAAGGAAAAGGCGATGCGCGAGAAGGCCAAGCTCGAGGAGGAGAAGCGGAAGAAGGAGGAGGCTGCGCTCATCAAGCCCGTGCAGACGCAGAAGGTGCCGTTTGGGGTCGACCCGAAGACGGTCCTGTGCGCGTTCTTTAAGGCGGGGACATGCGAGAAGGGGAGCAAGTGCAAGTTCAGTCATGACATGAACGTAGGGCGGAAGGTGGAGAAGAAGAACTTGTATGAAGACAGCCGGGAGGACAAGATGAAAGGTGCGTGTGCCATCTCGTTTGTGGGAGAGGGGTGCAGCAGAGGGACTGAGGATCGGGACAGACACGATGGAGAATTGGGACGAGGAGAAGCTCCGAAAGGTGGTCATGTCGAAAGGCGGAAACCCTCGGACAACGACGGACGTGAGTCAGACATCGTCATGCACACGCTTGGAATGTTGATAGACTCCTTCTGCCGCTAGATTGTTTGCAAATACTTCATCCAGGCGATCGAGACGGAAAAGTACGGGTGGTTTTGGGAGTGTCCGAATGGGGAGAGCTGTCACTACCGCCATGCGCTTCCACCGGGCTTCGTCCTCAAATCGCAGAAGAAGGCAATCGAGGACGCGGAAAAGGCAAACGCGATCAGTTTAGAGGAATTTTTAGAAGTCGAGGTATGGTCATCGTCTGTTTCATCGGCACCTTACAGGAAGCTTACCTCCCACGTCCTTATCACTCATAGCGCCACAAACTCGGACCTAACCTGACGCCTGTCACTCCGGAGACGTTTGCCAAATGGAAGCGAACGCGACTGGACAAGAAGCTTGCCGAAGAGGACGCGCAGAAGAAGGCTAAGGACGAGAAACATGCGGCAGGCAAGAGCAGCGGAATGAGCGGAAGAGATTTGGTGCGTCAATTTTCTCACTGCCTCATCTCGTCGACTTCTCCCTTCCGTGTTTCGATTTGGGCTGTTCGGGATGCTGACGTAGCGCCTTGTCTGTTCAGTTCACGTACAATCCGGAGTGGTTCGAGGACGAAGAAGAGGCGGACGAGGACGACTGGGACCTTGCGAAGTACCGGAGAGAGAAAGAAGACGCGGATATTGCTGCCGAGGAGGAACGCATTCGGAATCTCCAGCTTGGCGGCGGTGGTACTGTTGCAACTTCGGAAGTCGCTGCCGACGATGCGGATGGTGGCACGGTTTGAGCTGCAGGGGTCGTCATTCAGGCATAGGTCAACGTCACGGACTTCAGATGACACGTCACGCTTCGCATGTACCACCATATCAAATGGCCAATGCTACACCCATCCATATGTATGATACACCATTAATCGTCCTCGTCGCTCGCATAGTCTCCCAGACCCAGCCCTCCTGATGGTGGTGGGGCAGCAACTGCCTTGGGAGGGGCAGCCGCAGACCCAAGGCCATTCTTCCGTCGGATCTCAGCGAAGTACTTGAGACCCTCAAGGGCGTCCGAGCTCAGAAGACCTGTTCTCTGCTCAAGTTGAGGCTCAGGCGGTAGCGGGATTTCCTCGTCCGCGTCCGCCGCCTCTATCAATCGCTGCCGTTTGGCACCCCGCTCATCCTGTTCGTTCGCATCGTCATCCTGGTCGTACTCCTGTCCCTCCTCCAATGCACGCATAGCCTGCATTGCATCGATTATACGGGGGTCCATCTTCGCCTGAATCGCCTCCCGACCGAGGTCCTCCAGCCGTCGCTTCTCCGCGACTTTCGAGGTGGGATTAGGATCCTCGGTCGCCCAGCGGACGTTGAGAATCTCGTCGTTGTCTAGTGACTGACATGCCATAGCCTCCTTGGCGAATTGCGCGTTGAACTCCGACACGTATGTCACGAACGCGACACTGCGGTATTGGAGGACACGGACTGTACAACGTCAGGAGGGAGCGCTCAGTATGCAGGTTGAAGCAGGCAGACGGTGAACACGCACTCTTCTCGATCTCGCCCCACTCTTTGAAATGCCTCCGAACGACCTCCTCTGTTTCCACGCCAGTGCCCGTCTCCTTTATCCGACCGATGTAGAGCGTGCGGTTCTGCCGCTGGAAGCTGCCCACACCACCCATGTCGTCTCGGTAGTCCGAGAACTTGTCTCGTGCAAAGCAGTCCTTCGAGGTGTCAGGCAGCGCAGTAGACGCGTCGGGGAGCATGTGGAGGTATTCGCATTCCCAGCCGTACGGGCAGCATCCGCGGGCGAAGAACAGGCAGCAGTATTTGACCCCGGTGGTATTTGCCCGTGTCAGACCAGCATCACGCTTGATATTGCAGCGCGTCTGGGACTTCGTTTTGCTGCATGAGGAGGAGGATGTCAGCAGTGTGAGGACTAGACATTCACGGTAAGACGCACTTGGAGTAGCTGTCCTCACGATCGCCACCAGCCCACTTGTTGTACCAGATATCTGAAGGTTTTGAATATACCTCGAGTTATATAAGAATATAGAAGATCACATACTATACTCCTTTCCAGTCTGCGGTGCCTCCTTCTTCTCGACATCCCCTGGCTTGACCTGCTTACGCGCCGGTTTCAACTTCTTCTCCTTCTTCTTTGGGGCGGTCACGACCTGAGTCTCTGCCTCCGTTGCGCTCATCCTGAGGAGCTTTTGGCGTAATTATGAGACACAAGAGAGGTCCTGACGACGGTAGCAAGGATGGGGGAGACGATACGGCGCAACCAGCGGTGCCAGTGGCGGCAGTGTCGCGCTCGCTCGTTTGTTTGCGTGTGTTAGGATCAAAAGCTATCGGCCTCTATTACGTCAGGCGCCAGGCGCATTCAACGCCGCCACGTGCGCCGCGTTATGACTTCAGGGTCACGTACCGACTGGAATCGCGCCTATACGCATCTCGAGCTTATCTCACCGCTCTATCGGCCACATCCCGCCATCCCTTAACTTAGCAATGCAACTCTCCGCAGCGTCTTGCTGAAACATTTGTACTTCCATAGTCAACCGGCGGTGCTTGCCAGTGCAACCACTCAGATATCACTGTGGACCAAGTCATGTAATATCGGTGCTCTGTCCGAAGGGCATCGGTGTACAGGGTCATTGTCATTGTCGACCAATCAAGATATCATTTTACCCCTGCTCGTATGACCCTGGCCATTGAGGGGGCCGCGCCTCTTCACCGGAACGTAGGAAAGCTGACAAGCTGAAGCAGCACTGGGCGATTCCCTAAATGAGTCCGACCTGTTCAAAAGAACAACGGACGAGGTTGTACGTTGGTAACTGTGATGCAGTGGCGATACGGAAATACTGCCACGTGGTTTCTGGGTCGGATTGCAGCTCGCTCATATACTCATGATTGAATCCGGCCCTGGAGAAGCAAGGATCGGAGGGACGTACCGTCTCAGTAGCGCATTACCAAGCAATGCGGATCACTCAGTGTAACGGAACGTCCAATCAGGTTTGAGCCATCCGAATGGCTAGTATAATCCGTGACCTTCCGAGCTCTCTCGTGACCGCGCGATGCACTCTGGTCCCCGAACCTTGTGTCGATGCAGCCAAAACTTCCAACAAAACTTTCAATGACGAAGCTTTTCGGTCCTCGTGGAGGTACGTAGGCGCTCTCCGGCAATGCAGGAACCTCCCGAGAAGACGAGCTCGGAGAAAACAGGGTCGGCGTGTGGGCGCTCATGGACAACAACGACTGCCACCCCGCCCCCGCGCCGCGATGTGAATAGGAGATGACCGACGACGACCAAGACAGGATACGCGATGATCAACCACTGGAATCCGGCGATTTACACTGCGGAACACACTGAACAGGAGCAGTCATGCTGAGTCGGTTCGAAACGACCAGGAGTCAATTCGGCGGAATAGCAAATACACCACGAGCACCGCTTCTTTTGTCACCGTCCACAGGACAGATCTGTCATCGCCCATGGGTCCACCTTTCCTCCGCGCTCCGCCGCATCCCGGCGGCAGGGCGTGTCGCGCAACATTCCCGACGGTTCCCTATTCCGTCCATCTAACGCCTCCCTACGCTACCTCAGCGCGCGGCGTCCCCAACGTACCTGCCCGATGAGACTTCCGTCAGATGCGGCTTCAGCTCACATGGGAGTCAAGCCACGGAGCGTCTCAGAAAGTTTGTCACCAGCCTCGTCCCGAGCCGGATTTCGGATGTAGAGCTGTGGAGCCGCCGAGATTGGCTTCCGACCATGTCTCAGCCTTCTCATACGCATACGCAGGCTCACGCGTCTCACTCATCAGGACGCCATTGACTCAGTTTTGAGTTGCTCGAGTCCACTTGAGGTTGAGCGCACAGTTCTCTTTCTAGGCATATAAAATGAGTCTTGTCTCGCCGACCAGCTCTCCCTCCAGTGCTACCAATCCTTCGTTGCTGTTCTACTCCTTTCTATCCTCGTCTTCTATATTTACCAGTCCCACATGTCCTATGCGGTCGCAGGGTCCTCAGAAGGGGGCGGTCCGTCAGGTACTGGCTCCTCAAAGAGGGCTCCCCGCGGTGCAGCATGCTTGAACTGCCGCAGACGTAAAATGGTTGGCCATCATTTTTGCACTCTGTGAAAACTCGGTGACTGACCTCTACAGAGATGCGATGGTATCCGACCCGTCTGTGGCCAATGCACTCGAGCCAACAGGGAAGTCGACTGTGAGTACACGGACGGACCAGTGCCCAGCCCCACGCAAGTTCTTGAAGAACAAATCGCACGGCTGGAAGCTCGTATCCGTGAACTCGAGCATCCAGAGCTCGTATCACCGTCCATCATCCTCAACCCGACTGGCGCTGCCCTGCAGGGACAGCTTACAGAAGGTACCAGTATACTATACAACGATAACCATCCTAGCTTACATTGGTCAAAAGCAGGATCCCAGAATAGATCCCTGCTTGGGAGGCTTGCCGTCACCGACCCCGTGGGCCCGACGATCTCAGGTGCTACGGGCTCACAAGGTGGTCCCATTCCTGCGTTATCGCAAGACCCCTATGTGGATCCTCCCCAGGATCTGGTGCGAACTTTGTAAGTATCTGCTGACATCTCATGCCGAAACCTCTCCATTGATCATGTTGACTCGCAACAGCGTCAACGCATTCGTGCCACATAGCTCGTCGTTGAGCTTTTTCTTGCATACCCCGAGGTTCATGCAAGCAGTACACCTTCCTCCCGGCGATTCACGGAGAGCACAGCTGTCACCCGCTCTCCTGAATGCCGTATTTCTTTGGGGCGCTCATCTCTCGACGTCGAACGCCGTCCGGAGCTACGAATCCGTGTTTCTAACTCGCGCAACTGCAGCTCTTTCTGCAGCGCTCAGAGACTCGCATTACACCGTGATGCACCTCATCCAAGCGGAGGTGCTCGTGGCCAACTACTTCTTCTCCATGAGCCGATTCCTTGAGGGAAGATATCACTGCAGCGCTGCTGTAGCCCTCGCACTCAGCTGCCGCCTGACTAAAATACGAAGTTCGGCGGATCACCCGCCGCCGCACGGCTATGCCGCCGGGAGGCAAGTGGAGCGCAGACAGGACCAGCATCTCCCGCCTCCGCGTGATCCGATCGAGGAGGGAGAGCGGATCCGTGGATTTTGGTACGTATACGCGCTCGACAAGAGCTGGGCGGTCGCGCTTGGCTCTCCGCCGCACTTCAACGGAGCTGCCCAAAGTGGCCTGCATGTAGACACTCCTTGGCCCCTCGAGATGGCGCAGTTTGAAGCAGTGCGTGTCTCCATTTGAGCCTCGCCTCATGACCATTCCGCTCATATAAAGCATTCTTGTGATACTTCTCTGCACTCACGCGGTGACATACTCGGGTCATGGTTACGTGTTGCGCGGCGATCTTCGGTTTGCCTGCGTTGTCGCTTGTTGGTTTAGGGTGGGATGCCTGCGGACTACCGTAGTTCGATGACGGTCCTCAATTTTCTTACCGGGGTAACGACCAGTCCCGCCTCAGCTCGCGACTCCCAGCTCTCTCTCCGCGCGAAGGCCGCGACTCTGTTTGAGCGTGCTACCCACCTAGCCTCGCAATGGTCGACCGGTAAGTGTCTTTTTAGCTTCTACCTCCCCCGGCCTTATGCAGCAACATTTGTCGCTCATACTTCGTCATCACTATCCCCTACGATCCAATTTAACAGCGACCACCGATCGGAACGATGTATACGGTAGATTCGTCGTTCTTGATGGGCTTATAGACCGATTCATCGCTGCTCTACCTCCTCTTGACCGCTCTGGGGATGCTGACGCAACAATGACCTCTCTGGTAACCCACACGCTGGCCCGTGCAGCGACTATCCAGCTCCGAAGCAGCTTCAAAGATTTCGATGGGATAAACGACCGGAAGGACCTCTCTGCCGCAGAAGCAGCCGCTGCGCTCTTGGACAATCTCAACATTCCACCTGTCTACGTCGATCCTATCCTCGCGGTACGTTGCCACAGCGCTGCTTTGCATCCTCCCTTCCTCATGCCTCTTTCCCCTCCTCAGATCTTGTGGACTGCCGTATGCCGCGTGTTCATTGGTGAGACACTTCGCCTCAATGCTCCTCAGGCGTCCCTCTCATACCCGCCTACCCATGCTGCTGCACCTGGCTTGCTCCAACAACCGGCACGTGGTACCACTTCTGGTACGACAGGCCCAGGCTGGAGTCCCGCGCCACGGCGTGAAGCCGTCCGGGCTCTGCTCGACCGCGTGCTAGCCGCAATGAACAGGTTCCGGGAGTCGTCCCCGCTGATGGGTATGCTTCATGACGGCTTCGTCTCTGTGCAGGGCGCGATGTGACTGACTCGGACTCGCTGCGGCTGGTAGGGGCGCAGTATGCGGAGGTGCGTAGGCGGGCGGGGTGAGTGGCGATGTATGCAAGATACGACGAGTCCAGGAGTCAAGCCAGCAGTCACCGCGCAAGGTTCGGAGTTCTCATTAGATGTTCGTTAGATGTGCTTTGAGGTTCCTAACTAGACTATAGACCTTTCGACCGCTAGAAGACTCCCCGCTCTCAATATAACCCTATCTCCATTCACGCTGGCGTGCGAGCCTAATGTCAGATCCGGAACGCCAACGCAACCCTTCTTCTCAACACTTGTATTCATCTCTTGCTACTCGCCTCTCGTCTAGCTGTCATGTTCGCCTCGCTCTCGCCACATTCCGCCCCCTACCGCTCTATAGAAGGAGCTCAAGCTAATCGTCGCTGTGTATCTATGCCCTATTTCCTAACCACGTCTGACTACCAAACGTGTCCCGCGTTCCCCATGTACAAGTTATAGCTATATCCTCCCTCTTTGGCTGGCATCTTATTTATGACATCTTTGTACCTGGGGAACGAGCGTTCATTGCGACTTGCCCAGGGAACCCGGGCTTTGCCCGATAATACGGCCTTGTGGTCCCTCAGTTACAGGATTCGTATCTCGCACTCAGTTTAGTGCCAGAGCGCACTGCATTCATCCTTCTCGCTGACCCATTCTTAACAGAAGAGCTTGAAGGCGCCCTTGGTGGGTTGGGATGAAGCATTTCATGTCTCCGAATCGTCCGAGAACACCACGCGAGTTCGGACACGGCTTCAGACCGTACGCGGCTGTGCGGTACCCGTTGCCTTGGACTTGCATTCTAGCACAAGGCACCAAGCAATCAATCACTAATTACGACGCACATTTACAATTCGGATTGGAGTGGGTGAGCCATCTCGTTCAAATACATGGCGCGTCGTCCGTGAACCAGCATCAGGCTCCTCGATTCGCACATACTAATCACTCTTAGTTTGACATCCGCACTCCAAGTCTGCAGTTGAGCACTGATCTGAAGGACAAGACAAAAGTTCCTGTGGACACGGACCTAGGATGAAACAACCGCGCAGAGAGCGATCCGGACACAAGCTCCAGCTTGTGGCTCTAGTGATGCTACAGAATAGCAAGTAAGCACGTAAGGCAATCTTACGTTTGTTCCTGACGCCATGTTTCGATGGTCCCTCTTGGGTAGTTCATCGCAATTGACAATGGAACTTTTCGGCCAATGAGGGGTAGCGGAAAGGCAGTCGTGTTTGTGACCTTGCCACGACAAGTAGTAATCTGAGATCGGCGATAGCTCTGGAGGTTTACTTTAGGTATGCCAAAGGTCACACACGGAATAGACACGCGACGCAATATCACTGAGATATGCCTCACACGAGGTATACCTCATCATCTGCAGGCTGCTGAGACATAGCTCCAACGGGCACGGCGGGCGAAGACGCACATCTTGCTCCGCAGTTGACGTGGACGTACAACGTCTCCAAGCGACCTCTATACCATGGTGAAAGCGCTTTCCTGACTGGTGTTGGCCATCGCGCTTGTCCCCTAGCCTGTTGAAGTCGTGGTTCGACTTGCGACAATGGAGGACGACAGCCGCAACTACTAGTGCCCGAGATGCTCTGTAATATGAACAGGCTATGGCGGGCTCGAGGCCCTCTCGATCACTTCATCATGGCGCCAGAACCATGAGGAGTACTAGAACCATGAGGAGTACTAGCGGTACGCCAGAAGGAACAAGGCAGTCCGGAGACAGCGGCGTCACAGCGTACCGCGACGCGCACAAGATACCAAGCAACCCACTCACCTCCATTCTGTCCTCCCATTGTCTGATATTGGCACAATTGCGCCTGCGGAGGGTAGTAGATTCATTCATGACACAACGTACCGTCTAGCTTGCTTACTACATGGCGTTGTGAGCCGCAGATCTATCAATGGTGCCCGGCGCTGGCGTCGAGTGGTGAGTGACAAGGATGTGGTGTTCCATCCTTCATGTTCTATCAAATTCAGTACAAATTGAGTGTACGTAGTGCATCACCGAAGGAGCAAACCATAGCAGCGCTACATACGACGAAGACGGGCGTTTCCCTACCCGATCCATTGAACTCGAAACCCCGAAACTTAGATCAGCAATAAGTTAGCCAGAGGGCCGGAGAGTGGTGTCGCGCGTCCCCGAGCGGCATCATGAGGGAGAGAAAAGGCAGTTCTCTAGCCCTGAGCGGCAGCCACTATCGTCACTCAGTACGTATAAACGTGGTGCCGAGCCTGCCGTCCAAACCTGCCACCCAGGCAGGTCCCACAGCCGGCGTTCAGCGCGACGACGAGAAGGACTGCTGTGGCTGCGACGGCCATCCATATCTGAAACAGAAGCACAATATGTCGTAAGCCCGAAACGAAGCCCCGCCGTAAGAAGCAAGTACGTACCGACGGTCCATAAGCGGCCTCGACATGTTGGGCGTGGAAGTGGTCCCTCACTTTCGTGAAGAGGTACACAGAGACCGCAAGCGCTGCGGCAGCGGCTAGGAAGGCTAGCGTGGATACTAGCGCGAACAGGATGTAAGGCCATCTTGGTGGGTGACGGTGGTGTGAGAAGAAGATGGGGAGGAGCGTGAAGGCTCCTAGTAGGGTGAGTCCCGCGGCTGTGCGCGTATGCATGAATTGACATGTATTGTGCAGGAATTAGACCACGACGTACCAACGGGATACAGTACTAATAGCATGGGAAGTGGTTTTATCAAGATATCGTCCAGGTTATATCCAATTCTGCGTTGCGAGGCGCCGTCAGGCTACTGTTGAATGCACGCAATTCTCGAGATATAGAGGATGCACGCACTGCTTGGTACATATGCCTGTCAGTTCTAGGCAAAATCCCACCACCCCAAAGCGAATTCCGCCTGCCGCCTCTGATCGCAGGAAGTAGAACTGCTGTATGAAAGGCGTGGAGAATATTACGAGCACTCTACGTAACGGTCCAATGAGCCTCGCGCATCCTATACCAAGAGATGTAGGCTACGTACAGAAGTACTAGAGCGGCGACAGTCGCCATAAACATGAGCAACGCGGGGCCACACATTGTGAGGTCCTAATGCGCATAGCCTCGCGGAAGCGTCGTTATGAGGTCGTGTAGAGGTGAAGGTCGTAAGCGTTCGTCAGATCCGCGTCGTTGAAAGAGGATACCCCGCCAAGATGCTTCCGCAGTCGTGTTAGTTGACTTTGCCGGAGACGCCGTAAGCCGAGCCTGAGAATGTCAACCTCGAGAAGTAGCGTGAATACAGGTCGTTCCAGAATAAGCAGCCAATACGGTCGTGGGGAGTCCAAGGGTAGTCTCTGGCTTAGAACAGGACCAGGAGACCCAAGATGCAGTTGGTTTGCGCTGAACCGCGTCGAGGACCGCCATCGCGGCGGTCATCAAGAAACAATGTTCGACTTTCCGTCCTCGAAGACGCCCGAGGGTACTCGGCCCGCCTCGGTACTTTGTACCTTGCGGCGGCCCGGATACTGAGAGTGCTTATGTGGCTTAGGGTTTTCAACTCATGCGGTACGCGTCATGTTGACTGGTATCTTCCATTCCAACAAATCACGGACGTTGCTCCAGAGAAAAGTCTGAATTCATAAGCTGCAAGACACTGACAACTGTACTTAGAGCCCAGACACGCTCCAGCTGGTGAAGAAATCGACCGCATCGGAGTCCCTCCCCCGTGATACTTTAACACAGCCACCGGCACCCCACAATACCTACCACGGTGGTCTCCGTGATGAGCCGAAGAACACAGTAGCCTTGAGCCCCTGCGACGTTTCGTTTCCTGGCACTGAGGTATAGTTTTGGCTTTTCTAATCACTGGTACCGTCCATGGCCTACCAGCGGTCACTGACCAACTCTATAGCGGTGACGTATCAGCGATCTTGCGCCGCCGCACGCCCTTCTCCACGTTGCACTTGCTTATCGACCTGAGCTTTTGTGGAGTAAGATTTGTCGCTCATCGTTTTATATCAGGTACTCAGTCACACAGTATTTAACGCGTCAAGCAGTCAAGATGTCTTCGCCTGACTATAGTCAGCAGGGGTTTACAGCGATCCGCGTCGAACTCGACGGTGCGGTCGCTGTTGCGACTCTTTGCCGTGCTAAAGAGTGAGTGTGCCCACATCAATGTTTGTTTGATCTAAAACCATCGCTCCTAGACGCAATACATTCTCTACGGCACTCCACGGTGACCTGATCAAGGCTTACGACCTTTTCGACCGGGACGACCGTGTCCGCGTCGTTGTCCTGACAGCGGAGCCCACAGCTCCGGCGTTCTGTGCTGGGGTTGGTTCATTCGTGTCTGCTATACTTCAAGACGCTTACAACAGCCGACTCCCACGACGCAGGCAGAACTCAGCGGCGGCTGGCTAGGCATGTTCCTCCCCGAGGCCGAGAAGGAGGGAGAGCATGGTGGGTCATTCCCTCCCTTCCTAGTCCACCTGCCGTAAGTCCCATGAACGTCGTGTGATAGCCCACAGGGATGGAGGCGGCCAGGTAACTCTAGCGATCTTCCGCTGCAGGAAGATCACAATTTGTGCTGTCAACGGGCACGCGGTGAGTCTTCATGCAAGTAGGTTCCGCCAAGTTGTGGACCACGCTCATGGGCGATGGGAATGTGGTGCTCTGCGTCGCTTTGCAGGTCGGAGTTGGGGTCACCGCGTTGCAGCTTCCTTGCGACATCCGATTCGTCTGGGGAGGAGCCAAGCTCGCATTTCCGTTCGTCCGGCGCGGAATCGCTCCCGAAGGTGGATTTCGCTGGCATTAGAAGCACACTCTCGTTCTATCGATCCGCACGAGACTGATATGTGGACTTTGGACAGCTGCATCCTCGTACCTTCTCCCGCGGCTCATCGGAAACTCTCGCGCGCTCTCACTCTTCTTGACAGGAGCCACTGTGTCCCCGGACTCACCACTCCTCGCCGGTCTGTACCACAGTGTGTTGCCCACGCGCGAGGAGGTCTTCCCGGCTGCACTCACGCTGGCCAAGGACCTTGCAGTGAACACGTCACAAACTGCTGTTGCGGTCACCAAAGGACTCGTTTGGCGTGGACCCGACAACATCGAGGAGACGCACTTGCTCGACTCACGTGCAATTCGTGTTTTGGGAGCTGCGGGGGATGCTGCCGAAGGCGCACGAGCGTTCAAGGAACGTCGTCTGCCCAAGATGACTGATAAATTGTCGGACCACTTGACACCCTGGATGCCATGGGTGAGTGTCGGAGTACGATTCTGCAGGCCAGTTTCTGATTGCACACGCCGGATCATACAGTGGAGAGAAATCGATGTGAACCATCGCAAGGCGAAGTTGTAGATGCGGGTCATTTTTGCTCCTGGCGTTAGCAGGTTGCAAATCTCAGCCACCACGATGCTTGTATTTCGTTGGAGTGTCAAGCGGGGATATCTATGTACGGTAGTGCTCGTCGCATAGGGCTGGTGCGCCCCGGTGCTAGACTATTGAGTAGTGGTATCAGGAGACCTGGAAATTGCTCAATGGCCCTCTCAAGCGCCGGGGGTGATAAGGGCGTCAAGGCGCTTAATGATTAGCGGTGAAGACGATCAGGGCGCCCAGTCGCTTACATCTCGTATTCATATGCGCCGTCTTTACTTCTACCCAACAGCCCTTGCGGCAGGTTTTGGCCACCTCGTTTCAGCGTTGCGGCTTCTGAGATATCATAGAAGCATCTTTCCATGGCGTCATATCTGAAGAGCTGGCTGTATGCACAGAATCCAGAAGCGACATCTTCAGATATTCCTTCTATCGAGACATCGCCTCCTGCTGTAGAGGAAGACGACGATACCGAGACCGTCCACGGAGAGGACGATGTACCACCGGCGTTTCCAGCAGTCAACAGCGCGCAGAGGGCAGCCTCGGGTTCCGGGACGCAAATCGAGAGTGTTCCTCGGATACTAACGGATTCGCAACTCATGCCCCCACCGCCCGCTCCTTCGCTTGCGGCTCGTCGACCTGGCGTGCCTGGGACGTCTTCCATCGGAAATTCACTCGCTGTCCCTTCTGCTCCCTCTTCGTCCTTGCTTCCGCCACCCACCACGACGAAACCGCCCCCCAAAGTAGCCAAGAGAGCGAAGGTTGCGCTCGCACCGGGCCATGGCCCATTGGACTGGGCCAACCTCAAGAAGTCAGGACAGGATTTGAGGGTGGGTTTCCAAATTGCCACTGAAAGAACTTACTTCTCACGTCAAGGCATAGGGTACAGACACATTACTCCGAGTGACGCCGTCCATGCTCAAGGAACATAGGACCCGAGAAGATGCGTGGTCTGCGTTTAATGGCAAGGTGTACAACATCACGCACTACCTGCCATATCATCCCGGAGGCGAGAAAGAACTCATGCGAGTCGCCGGAAGGGACGGGACCAAGCTATTTGGTACGTTCATTCCGCTTGCATGGCTCCTCGCACCTCCACGCTGGAATGTGCTTATGACCTGTTGTCTCTTGGCGCGCAGCATCGACCCATGCATGGGTGAACTTAGATTACATGTTAGATGAATGCCTTGTGGGCTTCATGGTCTCTGACTGAACGGTAGTACCTACCGTAGCTGGGACACTGGCACTAGTAATGGCACTTGTTGGAGCTTCGTAGGGGGTGATTGCGTATAGATTATCTCGATGTCCGAGCCCCGTGTACATACCATTTCTTCTGATGTGCCCCCTCGGATATCTGGGCACTTAATCTAATGCTAGACGGTGCAGACCCACCTCCCGGAAAGCATGCTTCACCTTTGCGATTAGTCAACGTCGGGCCTCGATACCGGCGCCAGGGTCGAGGATATGGCGCGTGAGAGAGGACGCCTACAAATGACGCTTCTCGACCACACTCCTGCCAGTGCGCCGCGGTCCTGTCGTCCACCTGCTGTCCCTCGACCTTATAAGCCCTAGCCTGCAAGGTTCCCATATTCTGCATTGCTTCCGAGGCGCCAGGCCGTGCTTCCCTGTCTGAAGTCCCTTAACACCACGCACTCACGATGATCTCAAACTCCTTCCCCTGCGATCGCGAGCGCTCCCCCACTCCTCTCTCGCAATGGCAGACGAAAGCGGAGACAGCTGCTGGCAAAGGAAAGAAGCCAATCTATCCCAATCGCTCGTGGGTCCGCGTGCGTGACTCAGACCCGCCGAGCGTGTGTTCCCGGGATGGAGCGGAGAAACCTGCGCTGCTCGCGCGTATGTCCGACACGGGTAAAACAGACAAGCGGTATGACCATGGGCAAAGGGAAAGCGCCGTCAAGGAGGGAGGAGAAGAAGGTGAGGTTTCACAGGTCCTGGGCGAGAAAATGCAAGATGAGCCCTCAGTGCAGACCGTGACCTCTGGCGTACGAATCAAGACCGAGGAATTGCCCGTTACCATCCCCTCGCCCACGCGCAGCGAACACCTTGTCAGAAGGAAGAGGGGATCGCGTTCGACTATCGATGTGGTGAGCATGTCCTGGTCGCCCACCATCAAGCAGACGCACTCAATAAATATACCAGTTCGGGAACCCGACCGACTTTCCTCCTAGCGGGATGCACGACTCGATTATGAATGTGCCAAAGGAAGAGAATGAGTCTGTGGAGAGCACGAAGGATGGAGTCATCGACGTCGACGCCTTTCTCGCTGCTGCGTTGCCACCTCAAACAGACAAGCTATATCTTGTAAACAGTTCTTCTTCCATGTCTCCGACCACCACACACAACACCGTAGGACGACCTCCGGCTGATGTCATCGCCCACGTAGGAGGCATGTCTGCGTCTGTCTCACGGTCGACTTCTTCGCCCGCAGTACCGCCCCTGCGACAGTCCCCACCTCTTTCCCAACGCGTTCTGGATCAATGCCGTGCCATATTGGTTCCACTCGTGGAACGCAACGCGAAGCTGCGTAAACCTGGAGTGGACGAGGAGACGGTGAAGAGACGAGCATACAGGCTTCTTTCGGATAAGCTATGTGCCGACTTCGTGAAACTCGCGAAGCAAGTGCGCGAGCAGATATCCGGGGAGAAGGCGACAGATACGATGCATTCCGTGAAGCGGGTGAGGGAGCCTGGCCCTGACATATCTGTTTCCCCGCCTAAACGTCCGAAATTGGAGTTGCCGACGGAACCGTCCCTAGAAATTGTTACCCCCATGGCGTTGGACGAGGATACTCCCATGGACCAAGATACTGAAGTCCTTCCTCCAGCAGATCATGCCGAAGTTCATGTGCCTGCAGACGTAACTCCTCCGCCCAGTTCTCGGTCTCGGATTGCCTCCCCTTCGAATCCTGATCCTGCGCTGAACAGAGATCGCTATCCGGATATCTCGCCAACTGATCTCCAGCCACATCCGGCAATACCTTTGCCTTTTCCAGCGGCTTCGAGCTCGAGCCTCGGCAGTCCCAGTCCCACCATACCCACTTCACAACCACCTGCGCCAGACGAACCTTCAATGCAAGTGCCATCAGAGATGCCTTCAGATAATCAGTGTACCATCATCATACCTGCAACCTCCAGCCCATTTCTACCTCCGCACTCTCCCCAGACGAGCTCCGTCTCCATCGACCGGGAAGACATCGCTGCTACGCAGGAGGCAGATAACATTGCATCAGACTCATCTCGTCAAGATTCCGAAACCGTTACGCGCATCTTGGATCGAACCCCCGAGGACGAACGAGTGGTACAGGAGCCTGACGACGATATGCACTCTGTACAGAGGCCGAATGACCCACCATCGGAGGACTACCCTCCATGTGTCGTCCCAGGTTTATGGGGGAATGTCAGAGGGCAGCCGTCCGCGCGGATCGAGTCGATGGATTTCTTTGTGGATCATGCCACTGCTGATGCAATTCAACGATGGTCAACCAGACAAAAGTCTATCAGGTCCGTAGACCACACCGTTCCCAGAAGGTCCAGCATGTTGACAGTATTCGATTGACAGTCTCAATGAGCGCCACGTGGCGGTTCATCTACTCTGTCTACCGATCACACCAGCCCAAGCAGTCCTGCAGGACCCAAGACTTTCGCCGGAGGACGTAGCTGCCACCTTATTCGACATCCCATCAGACTGGCCGGAGCCAGGTAAACTCGTCGTGGAGGTCAAGCGCGAAGACAACACCTCTGGGACCGCTTGGTTCACGCATCAGCCTGTGAGTATCGGATCGTTTGCGACCGCGGAGATGATCTCACGAATGTTCTTATATATATGGTTTCTTCGCAGAGTCCATGGACCACACATTTGGATATCACTCTTACCGTCCGACACGGGAAAAACACGCTTGACCTCATCCACCTCGCGCCATTGGCGGACCGTCTATTTGTGCTCCACGCGGCGGAGCCCTCTGAAGACGAGAAGATGGCAGCATATAAGCAAACCCTTATATGGTTGAATCTTGAGAGGGCTCGTCGACGTCCCAAGAGTCCCCGCAGTCCGAAAGGCGTCCCGAGAAAGCCCTCCACATCTCCAGGTGCAGCATCTTCCCGGGCAAGGATGTCGCCTGCAGCGTCTGTCGCAGCCACATGAGTTCACGACGGCTCTATACTGCGTTTCGGTTGGTTCGGGTCTCCGCGGGCACGTCTTCGAATGCTATTGGCAGACCTCGTCCTTTGGATCTTGCTCTTGGAATCTGAGATGCCGATCGATTTGTTGCTGCAACAAGCTGCGCGAGCACGGCATGACGAGACGGCGATGAGCCTGATCATGTATTCGAAAGTCGTACCGCCAAATTTCTAATCTTTTTCGGCTCGGGGCTAAGCGGAAAACTCTCGGAGTTTTTTTTTGGTAGGGCGCGAGAGTGCCAGTGTCCACAGTGGTTCCAAGAGGGCGTGTCGTGAGGACGTACCAGCGCGCTGTCGACCTCGGAGTTTGTTCATGGGGGTACCCCAGCACGCACGGACCTTTGCATCATATAGATTCTTTCATGCAGACATTGCGGGTTGCTATGATACATCACAATATCTTATTCACGCTGATATGCATTATATGAAGTGGACATGACTAGAAATAGCTTGACGAGCACGAAAGCGTGGAGACAGCGAGAAGCGAGCGAGCAGTGGGACTCATCCGGTCCCCGCTTGCAGTACAATACACGGTAGAGGCTACATATTACACCGACTGTATGCCTAAGGCAATCAAGAAACATTCCAGTGACAATTAGACATGCATGCAACCCCTGAGACAACTAGCCGTCACTCACGACGTTCCCGTTTGGGGCGTGAAGCAACCTTGGTGTAGGCAGGTTGAAGCTCCCTAACCCTTCGATCCAATCTTCTAATGCGCGCTCACGTTTCAGGACGGCTTCGACCTCCGCTAATTGTTCCACTGTAGGACGATGAAGCACGACGGCAAATATGCAGTCCGAATGATCTCGGAACTGGAATAAATGAAGAGTGTTGTCGCCAGGATGTACTCCGTGCCCCCCGAGATCAACAGGTCGATGTAATGTGTTCTGGAAGTATGAACATCGGCAAGACAATTACGACAGGAAGTCAAGAGGACCTACAAATCCAAAGGGCGGTGCCACGTTGATACTACGGGGCGGACCGCGTTCTCCGGAGACGTCAAGGACAACATATATAGAGCCATCCTGTGGCCAAGATCTCGGGCATCCGAAACCGACAACATCGATGTCTTCTTGATCAGTGTACGGATCGCCATTGAATGCTTTGGCACATTGCTCGAGAGGGTATGACACAAGTGATACACACATGCTTGCTGAGAGGTCGCTAACAAAGCACAGCCTTCAATACTGGGTCGACACTCCATAACTACGACACGTACCTCGTTGAATTCTCCCGATCGTTCCACCGCGCGATGTGCAGCATCTCCTCGTCAGTGAGAGTAAAATTGAGCTCGACTGGTTCCCGCGGGGAAGTGTGTGAAGGATGGCCGCGCTCAAGGCTGAGCAATCGCACCAGTCTCGACGCGAAGGGAGATGCTTGAGGATCCATCCGGTCCTCCTGTGGTTCGATAGCACTGGTTGATGGGAGGCTAGCATGGACAGGACTTCGTGCAGGAGGTTCAATAGCTATAACGACAAATTCAGTACTAAGCTCATTTTGGTGGATACCACAAAGGCAATGAACCAACCCTTTGTGCCATTCATGTAAGTCGCGTCGCCATTGGAGTGTCCGGGTTCTTCTACACTTGGGGCAGGATGGACAGCGCTGCTATGACCGGCAGGTGTCGAGCTCCCGTCCATAGGTTCCGCCGGTGAATCCACTTGCATCGTGACATCATCCCCAAGAAGTATCTCTCCAGATTGTGCCGTCTCTCCCATGGACACATCTTCCGCTGCTGCAGCTCCTTTCTCTCCTTCTGGCGTATCGGGTGCTGCGGGATCTTGACCGACACTAAGTCGTGGCAGCTCGAGAGCTGCATCTACCTCCATTGCATCAGGAGAAGCGGCAAAGGCTACAGTCTCCTCAAGGACGATGTCCGAAGGGAGATCCACAGGAGCGGACGTATGTACTCGGGCTGCTTCCTGCGGTGAAGCAGCACGTTCCGAGCCCTGTGCGGCTGCAGAAGAAGGCTCAGTAGTCTGCCTGGCATCGCTGATGGGCCCGAAACTCGGCTCTTCTTGAGGCAGTTCTGGAGGTGGAGTCCATGACCTCGATTTGGATTCGGACTCGAGCTGTCCTTCCTCCTTGTTGCTCTTCTTCCCTCTCGAAGGGCGTACAACGGGCAGGTCCTGCAGAGCACCTTCGGTGTCCAGCTTCTCCTTGAGCTGTTCCTCAGTGAGAGGGTGCAGAGGGAGAACCCTCAAGCCTGGCGGGCCCTTCCGTTTCTTCCTCTTCTCCTTCTTGGTTGCTAGAGGGGAAGGCAGGGCCCCGCTGGATGGGGGAGGATCATTCGCAGGCGTGGGTGGGTTTGGCCGCACATCCGTCTCCTCCTTATCGGCAGCGACAACAGGCGGTAGGACTGAAGGCGTTGGACGTCGTGTGAGGGATGGTGGCAGTAATGTAGGACTTTGGGGACGGGAACGTGGCCTGGACTCGACTCGAGCTTCTTGTAAGTCAACGTCGTCGTCTGGCGCCTTCCGCTTCAGATGCGGCTTCACCACAAAACGCAGTGGTACAGAAGGTGATCTGGATTTGGGTGACACGACGTCTTGCAGAGGTACAGATGGCGACCGTGAAGTCTGAGTATCTAGCGTGGCGGTCGAGGGATCGAGGACAGGGACAGCATCAGTTTGTATTGACTGCGGTACCTCCATCGGAGGACTAGCTAATCTCCCCGACATCGGCTCCGTGAGCTGCGCGACAAGTGCGCTGGATGTACCGATGGATGACGTCACTGCCTCCGATGTCGCCCGTGGGGTCGGTGGAAGCGAATCCTGAGCTTGGGTAGAATGTTTGTCTTTGTACCAGTTGAGATCTGCTTCGATGAAGTCATCGAAAGCGAGTTTCTTCTTCTTCACCTTAGGACGCGTGCTATGAGATGTCGCAGTCGCAGTGGTTGGAGATGAAGCCACTGGAGGCACAGGAGCCGCGGGAGCTGCCACCTGGTTCGTCTGAGGCATAGTTGGCGTTGCAGTTCTGGGGGAGGATGATGTCGAAGTGATATCTGAGCTGCCAGAGATTTTAGCGATAAAGGGACTTGGACCGCTGCTTAATAGCTGCAGCGGGTTACTTGTTGTTGGAGGGGTTCCAAAGTTCGTGGTGTGTGCGGGTGGAAGATGTACCGAAGTCTCCTGGGTTGTCAGACCTTGAGTCAACGACAGGGCAGTAGGACCTTCAGAAGTGACGGGGCTGTGTGCGGGGGGCGAGGGCGGAGTTGTTCGAGTCGTAACGGCAGACCTGCAGCACTATTATGAGTTCAATCCGTGACGTAACATGGAAGACGCATGGTGGACGAAATCGCATCGCCGCGTGGCCCGATTTCTGTAGTTCGGATACTCACGGTGTCGTCGAGCCACGGTGGAAGGGCAGTGGCTGCGATAAGAACTCAGCAACATCGTCACATATTGTCTGGAAAATGTCGCGCAGACGCACTTCGATGACGACCAGCGTAGTTATTGTGCGCGTGAGTGGGTGGATGAGCGAAAGAAACTCGTGGGATTACTCACTTTGAAGGTGAGGTTCCGGAAAGAGCGGGTAGAAGGGCGCCACGGTCCGAACAAGTCTCACGAACGGTTCTGCGTAAGGGCGCACACCGTCATTCACCCTGCTGACGTGGAAAGGCAGCTCTGAGTCTTCGCTGTGGCGGCGTACGGTATCATGAGCAGTCTGTAAAAAGTCGGGTAGTCAGATATACTCGCCAGAATGCAATAGTGGTGTAGGACATACCTCCAGCAACTCAACGATCTGTAACGCGAATAGTACACTTGAGAAGCGAGATTTCCGTCGCGTAGCACAAGGAACTCACCGTGGGTCGCGCTCTCGAGTAATATGCTTTATCCACCTTCAGCCAATTGGCTAACTTGTCCGCTGTGGTTGCGAACTCTGCGACGGTACCAGTTTGGAAAGTCCTGAAGAACAGCGGGAAAAGTTGATCATTGATTCTCTCGGCCTTCTTCGTCCTAGGTTGATGTATTGCGGCCATGAACCGAGTTCACGAGAACAGTGAGGCGCGCATGAGCGTGCTGCATGCGGCGTTGGAGGTGGACGCCGGTGAACAGCACGCATACAGTGACACAACGATGCCTCGCCGGCGGCGCCAACTCTCTGGCTTACCAAATCTGAAGGATAGTCTTATCAGATAAAAGACGCTTGGCTATCTAATCTACGGTGACGCGTCACACAGGTCGGTCGTCTTACCCATCTTCGACAAGGATTTGCTCATCGCTCGTTGTCCTCCCCCCCTTTCCTCTCGTTCCCCACCAGTTCTCTGCCCGTCGACGACTCTAACCATTCTGGTAACCTCGGGCGGGTTAGCAGTCGTAGCGCATGAATCTCTTCGGAGGCCTCAGAGCAGCAGCAAGTTCTTCTGCGCGGTCATGTAGTCGGCGTGTTTGCGACCCGGGTCCGTCCAGACTCGCAGGAGTTGCGGTGGGGCCCTCGCGGCTCGCGCTTTATGGCACAGGAAGGACTTCAGCTACACGCAGATCGTTCTACACATCAACGGTCGCGGACTACACGCCGACAGCTGCAATACGGTTTCCGCGTTGGGTTAACTCGCGGCTCGGCGCACGCGACCAGAAAGAGGATAATGCGGAGTCGCAGGCAGACCCTTCCCAGTCTGCTGTCCGGCTGGATAGTCCAGAGGACGGTCAGTCTACCCCTCCAGCAGCTGCCCCGCCGTCAACGCCCCCATCAACACCCCCGTCGTCGTCTTCGTCTTCATCCGGTGATGGTTCGGACGGCTCGAGGTCTAATGCGCCTCCACCACCTCTGGCGGACAACCCACCCCAGCAGACGACGTCCATATCGAAACAGTCGGTACCGGAAAACTATCCTCAGGTTCTTGCTCTGCCCATCGCTCGTCGCCCTCTCTTCCCCGGCTTCTACAAGGCTGTCGTCATCCGGAATCCTGCTGTCGTTTCGGCAATCAAGGAGATGATGCGTCGCGGTCAGCCCTACCTCGGCGCATTCCTACTCAAGGATGAGAACTCGGACAGCGACATCATCACGGACGTCAACTCGGTACACCCTGTCGGAGTCTTTGCTCAGATCACCAGCGTATTCACTGCGCAGGGAAGCAAGGACGATGACAAGGAGGAGGGTCTCACCGCAGTTCTCTACCCTCACCGCCGTATTCGCATCACGGAACTCGTGAAGAACGGATCTGTTGCGAAGGTCGAGCTGGCTGAGGCCCAGGACGCAGAAGCTGCTTCGGCCGAGGGTGAGACTCAGCTCCCTACACCACCTCCGGAACGAGAGGGTCCTTCCATGACCATGCACACCTCCTTCCTTGAAAAATACGCTGTTTCCGTAGTCGACGTGGAGAACCTCACGACGCAGCCGTACAACAAGGACGACCAGTACATTCGCGCGTTCATGTCCGAGATCGTCTCCGTATTCAAGGACATCGCACAGCTCAACCCCCTATTCCGAGACCAGATCGCCAATTTCTCGATCAACCAGGTCGCATCGAACGTCTTTGATGAGCCGGACAAACTTGCCGACTTCGCTGCTGCCGTCTCCACGGGTGAGCCGAACGAGCTCCAGGACGTGCTCGAGAGCCTTGTCGTCGACGATCGCCTGCGTAAGGCTCTCCTCGTCCTGAAGAAGGAGCTCATCAACGCTCAGTTGCAGAGCAAGCTTGCGCGCGACGTCGACAGCAAGATTGCCAAGCGTCAGCGCGAGTACTACCTCATGGAGCAGCTGAAGGGTATCAAGAAGGAGCTCGGCATGGAGTCGGATGGCAAAGACAAGCTGATTGAGAAGTTCAAGGAGCGCGCTGCACAGCTGAAGATGCCGGACGCTGTGCGCAAGGTATTCGATGAGGAGCTGAATAAGCTTATGCACCTTGAGCCTGCCGCGTCTGAAGCTAACGTAACGCGCAATTATCTGGAATGGCTTACCCAGGCACGCAATCATACCTCGTTCTCCAATGTTTGTCGCTCACGTCGTGTTCTACAGATCCCCTGGGGTCAACATTCGCGCGAGAACTACTCGATCGCCAATGCGCAGAAGGTCCTTGAAGAGGATCACTATGGTCTCAAGGACGTGAAGGATCGTATCCTGGAGTTCCTTGCTGTCGGCAAGCTCCGCGGTACGGTTGAGGGCAAGATCATTTGTCTCGTCGGTCCTCCCGGTGTCGGAAAGACGTCCATTGGGAAGTCGATCGCTCGCGCTCTCAACAGGCAATTTTTCCGTTTCTCAGTTGGTGGCCTGACGGATGTTGCGGAGATCAAGGGTCACAGGCGTACCTACGTCGGGTAGGTATCAGCGCTTTGATCGGGTCTGACACTGACTGACGGGTTTGATACTCAGAGCTCTGCCTGGGAAGATCATTCAGGCATTGAAGCGCGTCGGTACCGAGAACCCTCTCGTACTCATTGACGAAGTTGACAAGATCGGTCGCGGACATAACGGTGACCCCGCGAGTGCCCTGCTCGAGATGCTCGACCCCGAGCAGAACACAGGGTTCCTTGATCACTAGTACGTCGCTCTCGATATCACGTAACACTGGTGTCTTACCATTCACGTTTTCAGCATGGATGTCCCCGTTGACCTCTCTCGTGTCCTCTTCGTCTGTACTGCCAACATGCTCGACACGATCCCTGCGCCTTTGCTGGATCGCATGGAGGTTCTCGAAGTCAGTGGATATGTCTCAGAAGAGAAGGCCCAGATTGCGGCGCGCTACCTGGCTCCTCAAGCCAAGGAGGCATCCGGTCTGAAGGACGCGGATGTGACGCTAGACCCGGCTGCCGTTGACGTGCTCATCAAGTATTACTGCCGTGAGAGTGGTGTACGTAACTTAAAGAAGCACATTGACAAGGTACGTCTTGGGCTAGACGTATCATCATGCACCTCCTAAATGGTCTCCACTACCAGATCTACCGCAAGGCTGCGCTAAAGATCGTGCAGGATCTTGGCGAGGATGTGTTCCCTGAGCCCGAGCCCGCCCTCGCTGCCGAAGCAACTGCTACTTCTACTGACGCTGCTAAGCCCGATTCCGAGTCTAACGAGTCGACAACGACGGTCGAGAAGCAAGACGCCCCGGTCAGCAACCCGGCAGCACCGGAGACGTCGACACCCAACACGTCCGCCAACAAGAATGACACCGAGCGGGTAGTTACTACGATCGAGCGACAGCCGATGAAAGTGCCTGACACCGTGCATGTCAACATCAGGCCTGAGAACTTAAAGGACTACGTCGGCCCTCCGGTGTATCAGAAGGATCGTTTGTATGTCCAGGCACCGCCTGCTGGTGTCAGTACCGGTCTTGGATACTTGGGCAACGGCTCTGGGGCTGTCATGCCTATTGAGGCTCTGGTGAGCGATCGCTCGTGCCGTTATCGGAGACATCACCCCTGACGAGTGTTCGACAGACAATGCCCGGCAAGGGTGGTTTGCAGTTGACGGGCAAGCTTGGCGAGGTCATCAGGGAAAGTGCGAATATCGCGCTCTCCTGGGTCAAGAGCCACGCTTATGAACTTGGTATCACCAAGTCGCCGGATGAGCTTTTCCTCAACGATCGGGACATCCACCTTCACATGCCCGAAGGTAGCATTGGGAAGGAGGGCCCAAGTGCGGGTACCGCGATCCTCACGGCCTTTGTCTCGCTGTTCACGAAGACGAAAGTCAACCCAGATATCGGTACGTTGACAACATTGATGCATAAAGACCGATCCTGATGAGGCCGACATCTAGCTATGACGGGTGAGATCTCACTCGTGGGTATGGTGCTGCCTGTTGGCGGCCTCAAGGAGAAGATCCTAGCGGCCCACCGTGCAGGCATCAAGACTATCCTTGCGCCGGCGGGCAATCGCCTTGACATCGAGGAGAATGTACCCGAGAGCGTGAAGACGGGCATCCGCTTCGTCTATGTCGAGAACGTGACGGAGGTCCTTCAGGAGGTCTTCCGCGGCGAACCCATCGTCGAACGCTGGAAGGACACCCTCTCGTCTTGAGGCTAGGTGTCGGGGCTTTGTATCGGGGCGTCGTACGAGCTATCGCAGCTTGCGATATGGTGCCACAGAGATGAACAACGTCGCCGGTCGAGGGTGGTGAACTGTTGGTACTCCCCCAATGAGCGATGCTATATGTTCTGTGGAGGATTCTCATTATTCATACGTACCACTACTATCACTAATCAGCATCACTGTCTCGTATTAGAGCAGATAAGGTCACGCACTACGCACGCCCGCCACCTGTATATTATCACACCGCACGCTTTCCAACTCCAGCTCACGTTGTATCCCTTGAGATATCCACCAATGTGCCCTCGCTGTTCGATAAGGGATGTTGGAACCCAGCCAGTGATGCCCAGTCATTTTGTTGGAGGTCCGATCCTTACAGATTGTATACTATATGTCAACTCTGCTATGACTTGCCTGTTGCGTAAGGCGGCTGCAACTCGATGTTCTTCTCTCGGCTCACGGAACAAAAACCTTATCCGCTACCACCGACGGGGATCGAACCCGCAACCCCCACCTCGTGCCTTCTTAGGAAGGTGATGCGCTACCATTGCGCCACGATGGCTCCAATGAAATCACCCCCTTAGCAATCTATATACACAAGCGGGGGAACCATCCGTAAAACCTCGATTTCCCTCTCATGAATATGCCTCACCACTAGTGCGATCTTGTAGCGATGCACTGCTAGTATCAAGATACCAATAGTTTCGTGATGTGGATTCTTCAAGTTCCAAGTTCCTGGAATGTTTGCATCGACGCTAACGCGTGTTCCACGTTGACCGTGCACAAAACCACCTGGAAAACCTTATGAACCTGCAAAGACCGCAGAATTTATATAGACGGCCCGAAGGCACGCACGCACCTGCAACAGAACACGGGGATATACAGGTATACAGACGGGACCATGAGTATGACGCGCGTCTGGGCATACCCTCCGATAAACCGATGCTGGTACATACGCATAATTGTACTCACGTACCTGCATCAGTTGCAAAGGAGATGGACTCGACCAAGGGGTGAACTTTGAGAAGGTGAGGCACTGAGTTTGGGTATCAGGATCCAGAATGGTGGGGAAGCGCATGACCGATTACGTCCATGGCGAGGGTTCCCTGACCGCAGAATTTCGGGATGCAAAACGGCAAGCGGACAGTATGTTCAGCATGTTGCTTGAGCTTACGCAGCAGAGCAGGTCCGCACGCCTCGCAGAGTAATGCCGCTTCGCGGGGGGGGGACATCGTGATTGACATCCGATGAAAGCGGGACCCCTGCCGCTTATGTACTGAGGTTCCAGGAAGCTAGTCGCATGCAGAGGTCTGCTGACGAGGGTTGGTCTGCATTACATACAGGTATACGTTAACTTCTATCCAGCCCGATACGAGCGGAGAAGAACAGGTCCCATGGAACCGTGGTGGCACGCCTCGTGCTAACGGTTGTTCGGACATGGTGCATCGATCGGCAGTAGCAAGGAGCAGATGTGGGCGATGCGGAGAGAATGAGAAGAGCGCGTATGAGACAGCGGTGATATCGAAGGGGGCATAGATCTGACTTCGTCTCTGCGGAAGCCACGTCGTTGGGCGAAGAACCACGCTGCTCCTGCGCAAGACAATAGACGCAAAGCACCAGCACAGAGGCAACGTGTTGATCGACGTCTGTCCAGCGCCGGCGGGAGCGGTTCTCCGAATGCCAGACGCGGGACGGCGGAATCGTGAGATGAGAACCAGGCACGGTCAGGCACAGAAACCTCAGGCGTATGACGATATGGAGAAGTCGTGTGCCTTGCCAGTCGCGCCCGCTGCCGTACTGTTGCCGCAGAGGCATGGGACGGGCGAACCGAACACGGAGGTAGTTGCAGCGGAACGCACGCACGGTGACCGTCGGAGTGTCCAATGCCGATACCATATGCTACGTCAGATGTGCTAGCAATTGGAACGGCGTGGAGTGCGCAAGCCAAGGCATGGTATCTAATTCATGTCGCAATTTGGAAAATCCGGGCGAAATGACCGCGGAGGCTGTTGACGGGCAGCCGGCAGCGTTCCGGCTCAAAGAGTAGCTAAAGTTGGATAGGGACGGGGATGGCGAGAGGTCGCCGAAACCTTGAGCAATCGCAGACATGGAGAGGACGGTGTTGCCGATAGACCTGACCTGTCAATTACCGCGCGAGAGCCGCAGAAGACGCGGCCGACATTCCCACGGAACGCACCCTGCGTCAGCGCGGCGGCGGGAAGAGCGGACGAGGCATGGGATTCCTGATGTGCGCGGCAGCTTCGAAAGATAGGAGCGTCCTGCTGCTTCCCAGGAACGACCGCGGCGCATCCCGCGAAGCTGATGAGCCCCTATTACGGCGGTCCATTCCGGGGGTCGCCGAAGACAAGAACATGGACAGATAGACTAACGGACGGGAAGCCGCGAGAGTGCCTGCTGTCGGTGGACGAAAACCGACGGAGACGGACGGAGGGACAAGTGGGCCAGAGGACTCAATTCAGAAGCTAGCTGCCGGGATAATTGAGGAGACGATTTGCGTTCGGTGGATGATTGACTCGCTGACAGCAAGAATGGGAGGGAAGCTCCCGAGACACGATGGATGCACGCACGAAGCTCCTCAAGCACGCGGCGTCTAACCACCAAAGGCCCAGATCGCACGCGCGCGGTGGATCCAAGTTCCAAGTAGTCGCAGCGATCGGAAGGCGTTCGAGCTTGGCTTGGTGGCGTCGGTCGTCTGGAAACGAACACATACTTGCTCGCACCCGAACGATGTCGCGAGACGAGAATGTAGAGCCAAGCAGCGATCGCTCCGCGGACTTGATAACACTTGCCGGCGGAACAACTGGCTCGAGTATTTCCCGAACGCGACCAGAACCGACCGCATTGCGCCAAGATGCTGGTAGCGACTCCGGGCAGCGAGGCACGACGCCACGGACCACAACAGGCACGATGAATTAGTACGACATACGGGAGATCTGCACCGAATTCCCCCCATTAGCTCGCGGCGGGCAACGGTGTATGGGAGAGTACACAGTCCAGCGGCTCACATGCTCGCGCGACGGAGCCAATGGCTGGCACTGTCCTGCGGTGCAGGAACAGATCGCGCCGTGCTGGGATCACTGTTTGCGGGTTCCCGCCGGCTCCCTGACTACGGAAGGAGTTACATAGCCGAAACGGGCGAGGTCGACTGATGAACGGATGGCAGGTGCGCACGGAGTGTTGCCAACGTTGAACCGTATGTCTGGCGGCCGCTGATAGTTGCGCGACGAACATTGCCTCTTCCGTCCTGCTCTGCGCCCGAGCCGCGACATAAGTTATTGCAGCCGTCTCGGGCTGGGGACCGGTCGACGTCGATCGTCGCGTAATTATGAGATCGCGCGGACCGCGGCCACACTTGGCCTTGTTCGCTTCGCGGTCTGCTGCTCCCCACACGCCAGCCTGCGGGGACTGGAGCGGGCTGTGCCGTGTCGCGATTTTGACTGTTTCTGCTGCTCGCGGGTTCGCGACAGACCGCAGGCTGACGCACCGAAACAGATCCACTTGTCGCACCGAGATCTCGGTGGGGGCATCGTTTCGAGAATGCGACGTGGAACTGATGCGCCAGCGACGCTGGACGCTTCGTCGAGCGAATACGGAATGCGGGCTGTACACCTGGGGACTTGGTAGGAGACCGGTGGCGCGGAGATCTCCGTGAAACAGCCTTGAGACGAAAGGGTCAGTTTGAGAGGGGGGCGACGAGCGTATCCTCGTCAGTGGTCTGTCAACGGTAACTAGCGCTGCCGGTCTTACACTGACGGAGGGCGAAGAGGGATACAGACAGAGGTTAGCGCCGAAACGCACCGCGGCGGACGTTTCTGGGGCAGAGGGAGAATGCTGAGTTTTCGGGGGGGGGAAGGGGGTTGCTGCCCGTTTCCGCGCGTCAAGGAACAACGAGATTGCATGCAAACTTTCAGGATTTCCAGAGTCGCGAGAGAAGCCGGCAGATGCAAGGGTCGTAGAGGGTCGGTCATCGAGGCCCGGCGCCATACTTCGGTACGACCATGATGAATGAGCGTCAGCCGACCACGTAGATGGCGAGCGTCGAAGCAGGAGGGCGAACCGACGTCGAGGCTTCAGCAGGTGGATGGCCTGAGGAACGGACGCGGAGTTGGGCCTCCGAGGCACCGCCGCCTTGACACCCGCGTCACGTCCTGCGAAGCGCATACGGGTGCGCGTGCGCATCGACGTCGGAAGGGTGGAACTCCACGCGAGCTGCGTCTCGCGCCACCGCTTCCCTGCGTGCTAAGTACTCGGGTGGGCGGGGCGATGCGCCCATTAATTGACAGCAAGGGCGGGGCGGTGCCGCGGTGAAAACTTGTATTCGACATCACGAAATCCGATACTCCGATCTCCAGACGACCTCGGAGCGGGATTTTCTCTTCACCGCTGTACACCCTAAGACGATCGGGATTAACGATGAGATAACCGTATTACTTCGCCTCTCATTCGAGCACCGTGCCTAGGCGGCACCTGCCATATGCAAGCTGCGGGCGGGTGTGCCAATGAAAATGAAGACATGAGGCGGTGTCGGGTATTGGCGATCGAGCAGCAAGGTGGGGCGGTTGCTCTCCCGTGTCCGCGCGTGCTGTGAGTACGCGGTGTGCAGCATATATGCGCGATCCAGACCGAGAGATCTGATCGAGCCCTGGGCGCAGAAAACGAGGCCCCGCCCGTGTGGGTCCTTGTTGGTCCACGGTCCCGACGGCTAATACACACAGGGTCGAGTAGTGAGTGAGTAAATGTGCCTTGTCCTCCTGGCGGTAGCGTTGTGACAGGGCCGTCGCTTGTGCGCTGGCATGGCAGTGGTGTGGGGTACGACATGCGTGCGCTGGCCCAAAGACAGGAGGGCAAAGGGCTGTCGGTGAAACGTGATTAGAACTCGGGAAGCCAGTACGTCGACTTCCCAGCGAGCGGTACGGCCCGCGCAGCAGACGATCCCGCGACGCAGTCGCGCATCTGGCGCTACTAATCAAAGTTCCAGTTTAATGGATGTGTCGGGACCAGGATACTTACGAGTAGTAGGACAGAGTCGATGCGTCGGAGAAGTCCACGATCGGCGTACATGCTCGCGGAGAGGTGCACAGGATTGCGTTTAGCAAGTAGTATGATCGGACCTCGAGCCTCGAGGCTGGGTAGCAGGCGTCTAATGGGTCCGCGAAGGGCACCGCCACAGACATTATACACGAGGCTGTGGACGACATGAACTCCCGTGTTCTCTAAACCATAGACCGGGTTTTCCTCTTGCTAGTCATGGCCCGAGTTCATGACCGTTAGGCACCCTGCCGGCCAAGTATGTAAGAGCCAAAGTTCGAAACGTAGATCTCGCCCCAATCTTGACACGTCGCGCTGCGGTTGATCCCGCACCAAGTGCCGCAGCGCACGAAACCCCGGCGGGCCCTTTGGGGGAATGGCGCGCGCGGGCTGACAGGCGAAGCTCTCAGACGAGAAGACAATTGAGGTGTCGCGGACCCACCAAGCAGCCGAGCGCAGAGGACTGGGATAGAAACGGTTGCCGTGGACGAGAAGCGCGAAGGCACAAAAGCGCGCAGGGAACTCACGAATTCGCATCGACGGACGAGCGCGGGATGAAGCAAGGGGGAAGCAGGCCTAGGCGGCTGTTGGGAGCTTGTCACCGTCAGGCATCATGCATCGTGGACAACGTGGCCGATTGTTGCAGGCCACGAAGATGTTCCAGGGCGAGCGACTTTGGGCAATGAACCCTTCTACTGCTCTGGCTGCTCGAGCACGCGCATGTGGGGACAGAACACGGTGATTGAGACGAGCAGGAGCTTGACGGGGATGCAGGATCAAATCTTTGCGGCATGGTGGCATCTTCGCGTCGTGTATTCGTTCCGGTTGTCGTGATCTTCATCAGCAGGACATGATGATGCGGGCGCGAACTTTGAGTTTGTTCGCCTGCTCAAGGATGGAGTCCCGACAGCTCGGCGGAGGCCTTCGGGGTTTCCTCTTTGGTGGGGAGATGATGAGCCTCCGATTGGGGCGGAGTGCAACCGGAAAACACGGTTGATAAATGGAGAGGACCAACAAGAAGACATTGTGGTGTAGGACTGGGCGTGCATGGATTCCGACGCGCATAAAATAGGGACAACTGTGCGACAAGACGACAAGAGACTATGGAGAAGACGAGAGGAGGAAAAACGGGCGAACGGGTGGAGGAAGACGGAGATGCGGAGGAAGGGGCGAAACAAGGTTGACCGGAGGAAAGGGCTGAATGAGGGAGGTGCCGGGCCGAGAGACAAGGTCGGCCGGCAAGTCGCGCGGGACCACGCGGGGAATCTGGGCGGTCCCCGTTTAAGGTCTGAGAAAGAGGCACTGCTCGGGCAATGTTGCGGGCTCTGTCTGGAAATCGAGGCCTGCTGTTGGAGTGACGAGGAGACAAGGTTGGAGAGGGTCGAGCGACTGGTCAGACAGAGACAAAAAGTGGAGGGGGGAGGAGGGAGGGCTCGGTGGGAGACTCTATGATAGATGAAACAGATCAGGCGGAGTGTGAAGTGGGAGGTGGCGGTCGGTTGGATAAGTAAAGACGGAAGGAGGGCTAGTCACCAAGTCCGCTCTCTGTCGCCCTCACCAGCCCAGGACTGCCGTCGTCTTGCTCTGCTGCTGTGCTGCTGCGCACAGCCCCGTCCGCCCTCTGCTCCCTCCTCGCACCGCCTCCTACTTGAAACCGCCTCCGTCAAATAATCGACATCATCGCCTGCGCACCCTCCGACGACACTCTTTCCGTTAAAGCACTCCCCAATGGACCCCCTCCTCCTCGCTCCCGCCGTCCATTCCGACCAGCAAGACTACATCGGCCCCTCCTCTCCCCATAGCAACCTATACGACATCTCCCCTCACCTCGGTTCGGCCTACGACTCCTTCGACATCCACCCGGACTCCGTCTCCCACTTCCCCCACACCCCGTCCTACAACGGCTCTTACCAGAACTCGCCCTACTCCACCTACTCCGATCTTCCTCCAATAGACGGCGCCGACGACATTGGTCTCTTCCAAGACAACCCTTCAGGCATCTCCATCACCGAAGAGTACGACCCATCAGACTACGACGTCCCCTCCGCGGGCAATCCCCTCACATTCGACGACCATTTCACGAACACAAACGTCTCTGTGTCCGTCACTCCCCCGCTCAACGACTACTCGTCTCCCAACGCGTTCGACCACGCATCTCCCGCTTCCAGCAACGGTCTGGAGGACGACAACCACAGCCACGCCTCTTCAAATTCGTCCTACATGCATCCGTCTTCTCCCCGTCCCGACATCTCCCAGACCTTCCAGGATCTGTCCTTCCGCTCCCCTGCATGGCCCCAAGGTTCTCTCCCTGACGACCGTCGGTCTCCTCCCCTCTCTAAGCCTCAGTCCCCTCCTCAGCTCCTCATCCCTGATACGACCAGCCCTGGTGGGGCCGATGGACACTCACCTCCGACGATCAACGCTCCCGACGGCGACGGCGGCTTGATGGGCGGCCCCACCTTACAAATCGTTCCTGCTACTCCCATCAGCGGGGGAGGCGTTACCGCGCAGAATGTGCCTTTCCAGGACACCCTTGCAAATCTTCAGTCAGGTGAGTTCCCACCGTCCTTTGCGCTCGTGTCAGCTTCACTCAGCGCCGACAATGCCCAGGCGCGTCCTCGAATGGAGGCTCAGATGGGCAGGAGTGGGCACGGCATCAGTATAGCGCGCAGAGTGGTCAGTACGCCGATCAAGCGTTCGCATTCCCTCCCGGATCAAGCTCGTCCTCGGCGCTCGACGACGGCGCCCAGCAATCACAGACGCACCAGCATTACTCGCGCGGGCAGCAGCAATTTTTGCTTCCCCAGGCTCCGCAACGCTCGCGAAGCATGTCCGACACTTCCCTGCGCCCTGCGCCGATGTGGGACACGCTACCGCTGAACGGCTCTGGCGACCAGCGTCAAGGCGGCACTGTGAACATGAACGATGTCCTCCCTGGCCCCGGTCAGGGCTCAACCTCCGATCCCCTCCTCGGCCAGCAGAATTTCCGCCAGCCCTCTTCCGCCGGCCCACACCAGACGACGTTTGGGAACCCAGGGAACTTCCCCAACCAATTCCCCTCCGGATTCCTTACGGTCGACCCTCCAGGCTCAATCCGCCGTGCGAAGTCCGACGGAAGTCAGCGTGCGGGCCACACCCGTAATTCGCGTTCGCTCGAACTGCGCCCTTCGAACTCCTTCTCGCCCAACAACGACATGATGTTCCCGCCCCCCGGGCCGGCGCAGCAGGACTTCATTCAGAGGCAGTTCCTCCACCCGTCAGAACCCGTCCCTTCCATTAACCGGGGACATCACCGTCGATCCTCTTCCGGCTCTCGCGAGCGCGGCATCGGCGGCATGGGTATGAGCGCGATGGGCATAGGAGGCGGGATGGTCGCCGGCTGGACAGGGTCCTCTGCGTCCAGCGCGCGGACCAACACCAACCCGTATCCGAGCCCCTCGGCGTCCCCCCGTCCTGGCTATCACGCCCTGCCTCCGCACGACGTCGGCCTGCCTGGGCTGTCGGGCCCAGGGATGGGCGGGATGGGCCTGAACATGGGCATGGGCATGTCTGGGTCATTATCGGGGCAGATGGCTATGGCGAACGCGGCGATGGGCCAGTCGATGAACGGGCAGATCACGGTGACGAGGAGATCGGGCGTCCTGCAGGTCGATATGCCCGGCACGGAGGGCTCGATGCCGATGACGGTAACGCGGCCGCATGTCACGACGCCGAGCACGGCGAAGGCGAGCCACGACCGCCGGAAGCAGCCCGCGAACTTCGCGTGTCCTGTGCCTGGGTGCGGAAGCACGTTTACGAGGCACTTCAACCTGAAGGGTGAGTCTGTCGTCGTCGTCGAGTCGTAGGTGGTAGTAGCTGACTGAGCTCGATTCTTTCTCCTCCTTCTCTCTGCGTTTTATCCGCCGTTGTCGCGTCGTGTCCCTTCCGCCTGGTGGCCACGCATAGGCCACCTGCGCTCGCACGCGGAGGAGAAACCTTATCAGTGCAAGTGGCCAGGCTGCGGCAAGGGCTTCGCGCGGCAGCACGACTGCAAGCGGCACGAGCAGCTGCACCTCAACATCCGCCCGTACCCCTGCGATGGCTGCAAGAAGAACTTCGCGCGGATGGACGCACTGAACCGCCACCGTGAGTGTTCTCCCCCTTGTCTGACTTGATGCGTGCCCCCACCCCCACTCCTTCCCCCGCGGTCGCACCCCTCTTGTTCTTCTGCGAAGCCCTTTTTATGAATGCTTACAAACGGTGGCTAACACATAGGGTGCCCAGTGCGCTCCGAAGGCGGCGCAGAGTGCCGGAAAATCCAGGAGGAGATCAACCCTGGCTCGACCGCGCATCTTGACGCGCCCATGGGGTCTTCGGCGAGCGCGTCGGACAACGAGGGCGCGGGTGCGGAGGTGAAGCCCGATCCGGACGGGTGGAACAACAACGGCATCCTCATGTAGAGATGACGTGGGGTCGCTTTCCTTCTGTCCTCCGCATGGCCTGGTTGCCCGCCGCACGAGATCCGCACGCACGCACGCCAGACGACGATTCGACGACTCCGCCAGGACGTAATCTATTCTCTGGTCTCTTATCTCTCCTTCGATATTTGCCTTGCGTTCCGTCGACTTCTATATCTATACTTACGGCATGGGACGCTCTGGCGGGTTTCGCTTGTTTCGGTGTCTTGTGTATCTAAATAATGCTTGCCTTCTTCTGTCCCGCTCTTCATCATCACACCCTACTGTACGACCACGTCTTAGGCTTGCAGTGCTCCGACCGGCCGTGCTACGCGCACATCGTCACTATTTGCCTGGGCTCAGCGGGAGGATCGTCGTCGCTGCCACTCCCTCCATTCCCTTCTCCCTCTTTATTGCGATCACCAGCCTTCCCGCGTCGTGCCGAAGAAGACCAACCCACTCGCTGTACTCTACCAGTGCCGATCTCGCGCTTTCCCCCTCTAGTTTTTGTTTGCTCTGCTGCCCCGTTATATGGCTTACTTCTCGCGATCGACAGACACTGCTCTCCTCCCTCATCGAGTCCCTCTTTGCTAACATACTTCCCCGTCTCGAACCACATGCAGAATGTAGCCTAGTACCCTGGTAGATATTGGAATCCCGTATTTATTGTAAAGAATACAACCGGCTTTCCAACGCTCATGCCTCATCGACGTTGTTGATACAGGACAGGTCGTGCAAGCAAGTACGTGCATATATTAACATGTCTTATACTATGACGGCACTAGTAGCGGAATAACCTCGGGGACGGTACTTGTGTCGAACGGGCATGCTTTGGAACGACTACATGCAGAACGACGATGCTCCTGCCGTCTGGCGACGCTCAGAGGGCACTGGGCAGATATCGCGAGCCCCCTGCGTGTGTTGTGTGGAGAAGGAGGCGATCCCCGGCTTCGAAGATGATGGCGTATGTGTATACGCCATTGCCATATGCGCACGCAGTGCACCGCACCGGCACACGGAAACAACAGTTCGAGGGGTTCTCAGCCTCCGCTCAACGTCCAGTGACGACGTGCTTTGTCTCCGCCCACCACCTCCCGTGTGTTGCGCACCTCGCTCTCCGTAGCGTTAACTTCTCGTCTTACCTCGTCGTCTTTATTGCGCAAGTCGCACTCGCCCATCTGCGCCCACCACAAAGTCAACTGACTCCGAGGGCCATCGCACCGGTCACAGGATCCGCCCGGTATACCACCACGGCTCGGACGCAGTACGCCACACCCGATTCCGTGTGCGCATACACACAGTGACATACGCATTCCCCCGCGACCGCAATCACGACTGCGACGTTTCCCGTGTGTCCTGTCCTCGCGCTGCCAGTACAATCCGGCGGAAGCTTATCTGCATACGTGCTCGCCTCTACCCCCGTCTTCTCGCCACTCGTTGCTGGTTGCTGGCTTGCCTCCATCTCGCACCCTCACACTTTCGCCGCGCTCGACCGACCCTCGAGTACGCTCCGTGCTTGATCGCCGCCGTTCGTCGCCTCGACTCGACGCTCGACGCTCGCGGGACGCTAGGACGCTGGCCCCGGCAAAGTCGGATACTCATCTGCAACATGGCTCGCGGGCTCTCTACGCTGCTGTCTTCCCTGGAGCCGTGCACGGCTGCACCAGGGAACGTAACGATCGGGCATGTGTGAGTACGCTAGTTGCATTCTGCTCGACCCCTTCTTCGATGGGCATCTCGCGCTGCGGTGGTCGGGGAGACGCCTGTTCTGTCTTCATGTCCTGTCAGCCCGACGCCGGTCGCCCCTATCGACGCGCTTTCCGTTGCGCCGTATGAGGCGGAATTTGGCCCCTTGCAGGCCAGTGGCGCGCCAGCTGTGTCGGCTTAAGGCGGGGCTGTGCACGACTCATTCGTGCGGAGGCGTTCGCGTTACCAACAGTCATCTTTGCACGGTGGACGTTGGCGACCGCCCGTCTTTGCGCCTGAGGTTCCTGAATGGGCATATCGACGGGTTTAGCTTCGCCTTCGTCGTGGGAGCGAACGCGTGGCTGGGGGCTTCCAGGCACACTGCCATGGTACAATCCGAGGCTATTTGTGTCTAGATGCATCACATCCGCCGGGCTCTAGCATTGTGCTACGGACATATCTGCTCAGGCATGCTGTCTTGACGGTCAGTGAATGGCTGATATACCCAGTAACCCATTACTTCATCATATACTTTGCTGACAACAAATGCATCTCCGGAGGGTACATATGATATGAGCGATTGATCCGGACTGGCTATGCCCAGGGCTTCCAGAAATGTCAGGGCAAACTTGTTGTGTTCGCGGGGCGCGAGGACGTGCGAGCAGACTACGTACAGCTCAACGATAATCCGAGGCTAACAATATTTTTGGCTTTCCAGACAACTACGCGATGTAGCAATCTGCCCTCATGAGAAGGGTATCGTTAGCTACCCACGCGGCTGCTCTATTGTCGAGCACGACCTCATTACGCCGAATGCAGTACGTATTCTTTCATTGGTACGAGAAGCCCGCAGATGTTCACGGTCTCTTCCAGTCCCCGCGGCGACTAGCCGAGCTCTCGTTCACACCGAACACCATGTCCGCCCTCATTTTGCCCGACACAAACCACACTCTCCTCGCGGCTGGCGGACAGGAGGCCGAGCTGCATCTCTCTTACTATGACTCATCCGACAGTTCGACGTCAACATCATCTCGCTCTACTCGTAGCTGTTCGCGAGGCTTCGGTCGCCGGCTGTGGGAGAGCAAATACATTCTCGAGAACAGCTCGATCAATAATTCTGTCATGCTCACTTCGATGAGCTTCTCTCGCTCACATCAGAGCGCGGCCGAACCACGGATTGTTGTGAGCAACAATGACCGGACGGTCAAGTTCTTCGACATCGCTATCCGCAACGGGAAGGCTGTCGATGATTATGAACCGCGCCTTCTAGATATCGGTCAACTGCATCTTGATGTGCCTGTAAATCACTGTGCGTTCAATATTGCCCCCTTCTCTTGCCATCTATCTTGTATTGACAGTCCTTTACAGCTTCCATCTCTCCTGATGGGCGTACCCTCCTGTGCGTCGGAGACTCGCCCGATGTCTACCTGCACAGAATCACCGGAGGCTCGCGGATCACGTTCTCACCCATCGCTACGCTCTCGCTGTCATCATACATCCAACACTCGCACGAAGCTACGGGCGGCCTGTCACAAGTGTCATCCATCCCGGCGTCCTTCTCTAGCGCGTTCTCCGCCGACGGGTCTAAGTTTTCCGTAGCATCACAAGAAGGCGTCGTTGTCGTTTGGGACGTCCGGAGCACGAAGCCCCTCAAGGTCTTTAACACGGACAAGTCCCGAGCCGGGTTCTCTGCGCGGATAGCGACAGGAGCTGCGAGTGGATGGCTGTATGATGCCCCGTGGGACTGGGCGCGCGGCGGTGCGCGGGCACCGGGCTGGGGTGTGCGAAGCGTCAAGTTCAGCCCGCCTGGCGTAGGCCGGGAGGTGATGACTTTCACAGAGGTATGTCAAAGCCATGCGGAGTATCGCGGCAACATGGGAGATTTTATTGACCGCGACGTCTCTCCTTGCCAGCACACATCATTACTACACGTTATAGACGCGCGCACATTCGAGACGGAGGAAATTGTCCGGCTGCCCAACTTCGAATCACCGTCCCTGTATCAGCCACCTCCTTCCGCACGTCCACGCTCGACGTCACCTACGCTCCGATCATCAACAACCCGCTCGTCAACTTCGTCTTCCGATCCGCTCGCGCCCCCACGTATCGTCCTCTTCAGCGGTGCGCTCGAGGACACGTTCCGGATACCGTCCTCTGATAGCCCCTTCACCTGGCGAACGTCCCGCAGAGCGCGTCGCCTAGCCAGCAGAGATGATGCCTCCCCTGAAGAAGATCCGGAGAGTATTCTCGTCATCCCTCCTCTCGGAGACCGCGAAGTCGAGAATGACGTCCGGCGTTTGCTCGGCCGCCACGGTATGCGCCGCACGGCCGTCCTCGACCCCGAGACGGACCCGCGCGAGCCGCTCGAGAGCGCCACGGCAACTGCATCGGAAGGCGGGCGCGATCGCGAAGGCGACGAGATGGACGTGGACGAGCTCGAGAGCGACTGCGTGTCGTCGCACGCGCCTTCGCGGGCCGGCTCCCCCGCGCCCGCGTCTCAGATGTCGCTGCAGTCGTCCGGGACGCGCGCCCTGGAGCTCCTGCGCTCCCGCCCGACGCTGCTCGCGCGCCGAGAGAGCTCGGGGCCGTACGCGGCGTCGAGGTGGGGCGTGTCTTCCTCCGCGTCGTCGTCGTCAGCGAGGAGGCATCGGAGGGGGACGGGCCAGGGGCGTGATCCGCGGGGCGAGGAAGGAGAAGAGGAGCAGGACATCGCGGGGGTGTGCTTCGACCCGACGGGCACGTTCGTGTACGTTGCGAGCGCGAAGGGCATTGCCGAGTGGAGGGTGAGGGGTGCGGAGCAGCGATGGTGGACGGAGCCTCAGTGGGCGTAGGTCACCTCCGGTGATATGGAGGTTTCCGGATGGCGGAAGTGGTACGATGCTGCTTGCGCTATCTCCGTGTCCTCACGAAGGCAGGAAAGTCGGGTTCACATCGACTACGTGCTGGCCGGCTCGATTCTTTGACTTATTCATTCCCATCCTCTCCCTGCATCGTTGTATCTTGGACTTCTCGCTCGCCCTCCTCATGCGGGTTTACCCCATCTCCCATCCCCCTTCCTCAGCAAATAAAGACCAATCCGTCCACGTTTCCATTCATTGTTCATTGTGCAGCCACTCACGTTCATGCCTGTGTAACATCTGTACTACTACCTGTACACATACTCCCTGGATCTTCTCGCTTTCACGCGCTTCAGTTCGCTAGCTATCTTTTGTTTCCCAGTGCATCCCTGAAGCCTTTGCTCAGTATCTCTCTTCAAGACGACGTGGCTTCGAGTTGTAATATAGCGGCTGTATCATGACTCCTCAGCTAGTACATTGTATGTCAGGCTATCCCAATGATCGAGTGCATTATTACAGGGCATGGTGCAGACATCGCTTTACCTATTGATTCCACCATCGACCCGAAGCTATGTAATTCGAGCTTGTTAGCAATCTGCACTTGGGTTACCTGTGCAGGAATATACGTTGCGCTGCTCGACCTAGCGAGCTGAGTCATTATATTCCCAAGCTATGCTCTGATAGAGAGTGCGCGAAGTCGTCCGAAGGTCTTGCTGACAGAGACGAAGCCGGAGCAGCTGGCACGTCAAGTGCGGAATCCAGGTTTGACCCTTCGATAGCTATCTCTGCGCCATCCTGCCCTAGAGGAGAACCAGAGTCAAGAGAACTATCCAGATCATTTCCAAGCCCAGGGAGCAGGATCGTCGTCAAGCATAGGGGAGGAGATTCGGGGCATATAGCCGGGAGTAAGAGCACTGTGAGGAACAACATCATGTCAGTCTCACTGGATAGACCATCACTCTCGATTCCGGGTCGCTGGACACCATTGACAACGTCAAGGCGAAGGTTCAGGTCCATTAAGGTCATTTCTTTCAACACAATCAAGAACGTCAAAGTGAAGGGGTACAACCTTGGAAATCAGTTTTCTGACACAATCGACAACGTCAAGCTGAAGATCGTCTCTTGAGATTTCGAGTCGTCCGAAACTATTGTCAATCGCAATGTACTCACGGGAAAATGCCGACAGCGGCATCGGAAACGGACTAATCTTCGCGCGCAGTCTGCACGATCCACTGCCCAGCGGTTGAACAGGCCTCTTCGGATCCTTTATTGGGTCTCCGCCTGACCTCTGTCCCGTCATATCTATGAGCTGGAGACCCGGAATTTTTATGTAGTGATAGTGATACGAAGCGATGGAGTGCCTGTAGGCGATAGAAGACAACGGATATGAGGCGACCATGACGGAGGTATAGATGCGGAGTCCGCGACGTATTCCTTCCGCCCAGGTTCTAGATAGGACCCAACTATCGTTTGTGCCAGTGCACCTCGGCCCTGCTGTTATGATCTACCTTAGGTTTCTGTGAGGAGCAGTCATGAGTACTAGCATTGGTAATACAGATAGTTCACCTACACACAACCATTCACTTACATGAAGCAGTAGCAGTCGAATGTAGAGGCAAGTCTGGTTCATTCGCTGGCTAGAGCCTGAATAGTAGCAACAACTCCAGCGAGTGCAGTTGGGGCGCCGACGCGAGCGGGCGCTGTGATCGCGCTCACGTGAGCCGGAACATTTGGAAGCGCGGTTTGTCGGTCGGCTAACGGGCGTCGAACAGGCCTTGAGCTTGAACCACAACGTCGACCATCATCCTTCCCCCCGTCCTCCTCCTTACGACTCGCACGACTATCTTCATCATGGCCAAACCCCGCAATAGCGTTCTCTACATGTTTGACCCCCTTCAGTCGCCATCCACTCCCCGCAGAGACTCGTCTTCCTCGGAGCTCAGCGCATCGGACAAGGAGAACGATGGTCCATGCGGGGACGTCACCATGTTCTTCAATCGCATATGTGCCGCTCAACAGCAACATGATGTTCAAGTCTTCACCCCGAAGGGCAAGCTCATCGATATTGGGGACACTCCCGCACCTTTGGGTACGGCTTGGGATGGTATGGAGCATGACGGCAGCGATGCGGATGGGGAGCAATCAGAGAGCGACGCGGAAGGTTGTTCCATACCCTCGCCACCTCGTAGACCGTTTGCCGAACTCGACGTGGACCATACGCCCCGCCCTTCAGGCAGCAGTCGACCGGCCAAGGGCTCCATATTCGGTATGACGTCCTCACCTTCCCAGGATTCAACGCCGCTCCCCGCTATGCTCGTGCCTGCGCCACAAACATCGCCGCTTGCGGACGTAGTCAACTCGATCAACTTCTCCTCTATGTCTCTCGCGGGAGAACCAATAACAATCGATCGCCGTACCGGCGTCCATTCTCAGACTCAGGAGGCGGAGGATTCCGAGAATGGGCGTGCCTCGTCCCCGTTCCCGGAGATTAACGTATGTGCCCCTGAGACGCCTAGTACCGAGGACTACGACATCTCCGGGAACCACGACGAAAAGCCTGCGATGATGACCGCTTCTCACCTCCGACCTACTTCAAGTCTCACACAGCTCTCTCCGGATGACCCGCGGCGGACGTCCGTCGACCTCTATTCTTCCTTCCATCTTCAGATGCAGTCAGCAGAGATGTCCTTTGACTTGCTTAACGACAAGATTTCGTTCTTTGGTCACGGACAAGACTCCTTTTGGTCTGCCGGAGACGATGCTTTGGAGTTTGACGAGACAGGCCTTCCCCCAGCGCTGAAGGCGAAGGTGGACAAACTCGTCAACTTCACCCAACCTCCCGCCGAGCACACCGAACCCGTGTTTAGCCCGCCTGCCAAGGCTGTCCGGACCCCACGTACTCCTCACAATACGTCTCTCACGATAGAGACCGCTATGAACGTCCCACTCCCCCTCTCTCCGTCCTGGGAGGGTGCGCCATCACGCGACAGTGAGTATGTTCCTTGGATATCCGTCAATCCACAGGCTGATCGAGGGACGTCCAGTCACCCCGCCTCGACTTTCTCAGCCTGCCCTTGACGAGCAGCCTTCCCCGCCAACGTCTCCTGTTGTCGCCGACGAGCCCTCCCTGATGCTCGAGTCTGAGCCCCTCCCACCCCCCGTCTCTCAGCCCGCACAGCCTTCTGTGCCCGCGCTGCGCATCATGAAGAAGACGTTCAGGATGGCTAAGCACCAGAGCGTGGCAGCCGCACCCACGAAGGCCACCCCGACCATGAGCACCCAGCATGTCGAGAAGCCGGAGTCTGTCGTCCTCGCGAAAAGACGGCCCTCGCTATCTGTTGCCCCCAAGATTGCGCCGGCACCGGCACCAGCACCCCCGCGCCCAGTGATTCGTGGTGTTCAGCGTCCGCCTGCGAGCATGACCGCAGGGGGCGTTGTCATCGGCCTCCCGCCCCAAGGGTCTTCGTCCAACACCTCGGGCTCTACGTCTTCGTCTGGCTCTGGGTCCACGCGCGCCACCAGTGCAGCTCCTGCGCCCGCGCCCGCGTCTCGCTTCGCAGGTATCCAGCGGCCCAATTTCGCCGCGAAGGAGAGGGCGGCCCCGAGGTCCGTGAGCGGTGCCGCGCGTCCTGCTGCACCAGCTACTGGCATCACCCGCGCGACGTCAATGGTCGCGCCGAAGGCTCCTGTGTCGAGTGCGCTGCGTCCGCCGGCCCGCATCGCCGCCCCTGGCCCCTCCGCGCTACCGAAGCCTGCCTCGAGGCTTCCTGGCCCGTCAGGCATCGCGAGGACAGCTAGTGCGAGCTCCATTGGTGCGGGTGCTGGTACCGCGGCGAGTCGCGCTCGGGCGTCGACGCTGTCTCGCGCGACGGGGAGGTTCTGAGCCAGATGGACGACGATGGAGAGGTTTTCGTTCTCTCACTTCCGGTAGGTTTTCTTGTATTTACGCTCATCTCGTTGTATCTCGCATTGCATTAGTAGCACCTCATTCAATCTCATCCCGTCGTCACTGTCGTCGCTGTCGCATAGACTCACTCGCCACTCACATAGTCACCCGCACTGTTCTCACAGATGTTCACAAGAACAGCACTCACGATCCTCCACACGAACCGATCTCGTCTGTGAATAGTCTCTTCGCGCATTGTGTTCCTCACTTCATCTATGTTTTATGACTACCACCATGGTCCTCATCATTCGCAACGCTCACTCTACTGAAATCCAAGTAAACGTATCCGAGACAGAATATGTAGAGACGCTCAACAGGTTCACAAATGTCTATATATCTATGGTATCATACAGGCAGGACTCGGGCTTGGCTGCTCCCTCAGGCCTCAGTTCCTGCCGTCTAGAGCGATCCAGCGCAAGACCGTGTTCACGAGGTACTTTCTGGTTTCCGATTCTTGGTTGACAGTTGAGAGTTGTCCACGTTCTGGAAAGACGGGCGCGGACACCGCGAAGTGTCTCGTAGCTGCAGAAGAGGTCCTTCGAATATAGTGGTATAGAGGGGTTCAGACAGGAAGATGTCGGTTAGACCTGATCGATGATGGGCCACCGGCCACCCAAAGCGCGGCCACTAGGCTTGTCTATGACCGCAACACTGGACTCCATCTATCCTTGTTTGATACTTCCTGAGCTTGCCAGGCTCAGTACCGCATGTCTATAGATGTACGTCCAGGTTTACTCACCTTGCGCAGCCTTGTGCCTGACACATCTTCACGTACTCAGCACACATGTACTCGTGACATCCACTATCCATGAGCACTTGATTTGGGAATTGTGCACTATTTACAGCGTCCCAGCTATCGCGCAACCGTGCTTGTCTGAATTTCGAGCTTTGAAGCTTGCGCAGCTGGAGTCTGACATCGCGATCGTCCCGGACGCTAAGGTATCCACTCCAGTCGCCCGTGGGTTGTGTCAGACAAGGCCCGATTCTGTCGCTCCTCTTCTACACAATATGTGTTGTCCGCGTATTTTACGAGCGTACACGCCATCAACCTTGAGTAGCCATCATGAAGACCGTGGGTACGCGCATATACTGGGTCTCTCTTGCCGCGCTTGTTGCTGCCATCTCACCCTGTAGACCCCTTCCTGGGGGCTGGTCACGGCAGCGTCGCGTTGATCATGGCACCCTGCTGTCCCTCAATTCAGCTCGTCCAGTCTAGTATCCAGAACCTGGATGCATACTTATCAGACATTGCTAACCCCCTGTTACCCAGCTATAGCAAACACTGGTCGTCCGCAAAGGTCGCCGATACCGTTCAATCTTCGAAGGCAACCATCGACGTCGTCCATTCTTTGCTCGCTGTCGATAGCGGGATCAGCTGGACAACATGCAGCTCGACGCAAATGGAGGCATCCTCTACGCCAACGTCACAGTCGCCGAAGCCGAGCGCATCCTAAACGCAGGAGCTTTGTGAGTCAGATGCCCGCTTCTTGCCCATATGTTACGGCCGTTGGAGCAACGTCTGTGAGCCTGGGTCACAGTGTGAGTCTTCACTCAACTATCTACATCGATGCATCTCTGTTCAATAAATTCCCTTCCGTCACGTTAGGTGCACGACCCTGAAACAACTACTACTGCCTTCCCATCTGGCGGCGGTTTTCCGAACATTTTCCCCAGGCCTTCGTGGCGAGAGGCACACGTCAGCTAGTACTTGGGAAAGTTCGCACCTTCATACGCCCCAGACATTTTGAACAAAACCGATCAGGGAGAGCATATCCAGATGTATCGGCCAACGGGTAAGTTGGCTATTTCGGAACATCACATGTCTACCTGCCCCAGACTGGACCTCACTTCATGGCAGCTTCCCCAACGTCGTCGCCTTTGATGGCAAAGCGGCACTTTCGGGAGGTAATTCTGCTTCAGTTCCCATCTTCGCCCCCGTTATTGTATCTGTGACCGACGCTCACCTTGCGATTGGAAAGAGTGCAGTTGGCTAGATCAATCCTGCTGTGCGATATATTTTTCGACTCGCCGCTGATCGTTGGGGTTCTGTAGCTCTACCCCAACCTCTCCACCCACGCGTTCCATGACGTGACCAATGGGGCAAACCGTGGCTGTCAGACGGCGGGCTTTGTTGCCGCACCTGGCTGGGACCCTGTAACGGGATGGACACGCCCAACTTTCCTCTATTGTTGGCTGCTTTCTTGTCCCTACCTTGAATGCTGCTGCGATCCGATATCCAGTCCCCCGATGACGATAAATCGCCTATACTCCAGTTTACGCGTTGATTACATTGTTTCGTGAGTGGTCATGATATCTGAGAACAATGGCACGGTCCAAAACAAGATCACAAAGCGAGCCGCAACAGTTTGGCGCCGGTTGGCCCAAGCACGACGGCGAACTCTGAAATAAGAGAAGCCGCTGCGAACCAGATGTCTCCTTACACTGAACTACCACCGAGCCCACTTCTCGCCGCTATTTTTGCACAGTCCTCTTGTATCCACCTCTTAGTTCATAACTGTGAACCATCATGGGCCAGTATTGGGACTTGTATGTGAATTCCTTGTCGCGCTGTGGTTGTGTACATCATACTCATCTCTCCACCCCAACGCAGTTACAACGTTGACAAACGCGAGATCGGCGAACGAAATGGACTGGCGAAATTGGGTGAATTTTTCTTCAGCAAGCAAGGATTCCTTGTGAGGAGCATCACCTTGCCGCACTCTAGGCATGTCGAGATTGTATTTCATATGAGCGCTGCCGTGACTCACAATCGACCTCGATATCCAGACCGGACCTTGACAGCGTCTTCAAGGCGACGCCCACCGTTGCCAATGTCGCCCAATCGACCGGTTTATTCTCACTTCCGAACGAGCTCTTGCTGAAGATCACCGGATCCTTCACCAGCCTCCAGACCCTCGCCGCCTTCGCGGTTACATGCCGACGGGTCTTCGACCTCGCACGTTACACCGTAGAAGACGCGCGAGACGGTTGCGCAGCACCTTGGGCGTGTTGCCGTGTCGTCTGTTTGGGAGATTACGCCAGTTACGAAGATGTCCCCAAATCACTCTATACGGCTCAGGAACGCGCTGAGATCGAAGGGAAACGCGACTCCGCCGGGACCGACAAAGCCGACATGTCCTATGGCGGGATTCACCAGCTCAAGGTGGAGCCGCACAATCTTTGGCGAGGGGCGCACGCGTTCTACGACCCCAAGCGTTGGCCGGACGAGATCAACGAGTGGTACGCTCGCTTCACTAAAGCTGATCGCAAGAGGTTCGATGCTCTCATGGCGGTCACGTACCCGACAGACCGGAAGGATTGGGTGCTTTGCAACCTTAGCAAGAAGGAGTATGTCCGCGCATCCGAGATTGCAAAGCTCGCTAAACGCCCGAACGACGCTCAACCTTTCTTGCCCAACTGTTTGCCGGATCTCGGCCAAGCCTTGCTGACGCGCATCGCTTGGTCTGAGGACGATAGCATCTCTATGGCGAAGAACGAGGTCACCGCGAAGCTGCATCGCGGAGCGTGGGTCGGCGACAATATCTGCATCACCACTTTGGAGCGCATCCTAAGCGGATCGGAGGAAGACGAGGAGTGGATGGACATCAGCACATCCGTAATTCACGACCTCATCTACATTTACAGGGCGGAATTTGGGAAGAAGTGGTTGAAAGTCATCAAGGATGGCTTGACGGAGAACGAACAATACGAGTGGTATTGGATGGCTTCGGATGGGGATGACGACACGGCCAAGTTAGGTCGTGCCACGGGGATGCGACCGCCCCGACGATGGTTCTGGTCTAACTTCTAATCAATTTGGAATCCTGTGATGACACCGTGGACCAGCAGCCGTAGTCTCATGATGAACAGTTTTGTATATACAGATCTTCATGTCGAAGGTGTAGCCACTACGTAGCAGACAACGGATTGTTACCGACGATCTGACTGAAAATCTGGTAAGCAGCTTCGCCACTGCCGAGCGTGCCAAATCTGTATGCGGCAACTTCGTGTCCGCTGTCTCACGTGAGCTTCTGGGGAAGGCACGTATGGCTGTATGAAGACACTTACGCCCCGAATACCCGTACGTAGGAAAGCGTCCCGGCATTCTTGAAGAGGCCGGCAGATTCTCCATGAACCGTGAAGTTAGAGAACTGTTGCTCGGCCCACTCTGTGCTGAACTTCGTCTGCATTTGATCAAGCTGTATGGATGTGAGTATCTGGAATTGAACTCTTACGGCGGAGCATACCATCGCTTCGACACCGAAGTAGTTGAACAGGTAGTCCTAGAATGAATATCAGTGGGAGAAGTAGGAAATCGAGGAAATCGAGTGTCCATACCGCATCACCGACATAGAGAACCGTCCGAATGCCTGCATCAACAACCGCCTCAAGCATAGGGCGCGAGTTCTGCATCCATTCTCCTTGGAACTCGAACAGAACCTCGGAGTTCACTTCTTCAAAATCTCCAACAGCGCCAATACGCTGCTTGCGGGTAGTATTGTTGGCGTACTGTGTGATATCCGGGGGATACGTATCGGAGAAGTCAGCAAGGATGTAGTCCTCGTCCTGATTGCCGGCGAGACGGTGCGTGATGAGGGCGTCGCAAAAATTCTGGGCGGAAGAACATGTCGTCGGGTCCAGCGAATCATAGCACTGATGAATCTGCGCGTCAAGCGATAAGCATAGGGAACGCGTTCATCGGGAATGTCACGGACCATGTCTTTGCAGCCGCCTTGCTGATTCCAGAAGTCGGTCGCAGACTGAATGGTATCGTTGGTAGTCGTTGGGAAGTACCTACGTCGCGCTTCGTGAGTATCGACGTGCCGAGATTCCTAACCAGAACTCACGGATTGGATTGAGCGTAGGTCAGGTAGCTCTCATACTGAATGAGAGGATCCTAGGAGACCACAAGAGTTACTCCACGTGCTTGCGATATTTCCGGAAGTTCAGACTACTCACAGTTAGCCCATCACCGATTCCCAGAACTTTCATATTAATGGGCACACCGCGGATGCTGCCGTTGGCGATGGCTGCGTTCTGGTCCAAGAAGTATCTATTTGATGCATTGAGAAGACAAGATTACGGGGTGACGAAGCCTTCACGTACTGAGCGAAGATTGGACCATAATGCCCACCGTAACTACCAATCGGTAAGCATAGAATATTTCATGGTCGATATATGATATCCCTTACGATTCGGTCCAGACCCCGAAATCGTTATATTGGAACTCCTCGAAACGCGCATCTGCAAAGAGGATTTGCAAAACCTATGGGGCGTGGTGGGATCGCAAATGTTGCGCCGGTATATAACGAAGTCGGGACTTACCTGCCACACGTCGGCCGCAGCCGCGACCGAATTATTCAGCTGTCGATCACCGTTGGAGAAGCCCGTCCCGATGGGTTGATCGATGTAAATCCTAGCGACTATCCTTCAGCAGAGCGTGGCCAAGACACTATCAACCCTACATGTTCGACGCGTTGTTCCACGAGAATGGGTTGAATGACACCGTTGAGCTATCGTTATTGATTCTGCAAGGACCGTGTTCTTGGTATAAACCAACAAGTCCAGAACCTCCCGGCTACGACGCGCCTGATCAGGACCAAATCCCGAGCATGGATCGGATTGGCCTACTCCGCCTTGGAGCCAGAGCGTTAGGGGCGCAGTCTCGGGGTGCTCGCGAGCCTCAAAAAACCAGAACCTGCACCGAAACGTCAGACATGATATACTTCGTCAGGTCATGGGCACATACCACATGCTGTTATTTGCGTCGATGTCCGCATAACCAGAAGCCTGATTGACACCAGGTATAGTCTCGCATTCTCCGCTATTCTCCACTAGTCGCAACTGACTTGGAGCCCTGTCGCTGGCACGCACGTCTAGGTGAGCAGAATTTGCCAGCCCAATAACGACAGTAGGTGTGGCAAGCAGCGCGAAAGTGGCCAACCACATCCCTGAAACCTTCGAGGTGAAGTGAGAGGGGAGAGGATAGTCGCTCCGGCATGAACTCCCAGAAAGCATTTATAGTAGATCGCATGACCGCGCTCACCAAGCGTCTGGTGCTCATACATCACGTTTATTCGGCTCAACGTAACGAGACGTACTAGGCCATCGGCCACGCCTGCGAAAGTGTCTGCTTGTCAACATCGTGTACTGTATCAGCCACCGCATGTATTGCATCCTACGGTTCCCAGCCTGTCATGCACAAGAGCGTGGCGCGGAGAGAAAAGTCCGGCGTGAGATCTGCAAGCTACTCATGAGTGCCATTAGAACGTATGGTCAAATACATACCGGTGGAAGCCACAGGACAAGCGGCAAGAAGCCGGAAATATCGCTGACTGTTTTTGGGTCATCAGCTTACAGCACGACGCTGACGGTTCGTGACGTCTTTTGACCCGAGATTCCGTCTTCTTCGTAGGGTTAGAAAGCTTGCGAATGGGAGATAGGTGGATGATACTCGAATTGAAGCCTGCAGTACGGACCCGACGCGTCGAACTTGAAACAATAGAAGCGTGCCAGTAGTACTCATCCCCAACTCGTGCAAGGTTCCGGTAAGGTTCGAACAAAACAAGGACCATCGTTGTAGTGTAGTGTGGTGGGAGGTACTCTTGAATCCTTCACTCATTCCCACGCGCGCTTAAGAGGCACCGGCAGGTTGGCGCCCATAGCGGTATGTCCTGCTCGCTTACACGAACGCCGCGAGCGCCCCAGAAATGAACCTAAGCGTGTTTCTGCAAATCGTGAGCAAAATCGATGGGATGGTGCTCGAGATACTGAGTGGTCTTCTGGTTACACGGCCATTTATAGGCGCCTCCCAAGCGCGCGGCCGTCGCCGACAAGCTATGTAATCGAGCATCCGTAGTGCCACTCGAGCCACTCAACGGTCACTTGCAGGCGTCATAGAAAATGCTACATAGTATAACTGAAGAGCGGTGGGAATAAGCTTTGGGGCCGTTTTATTTCATGACCCTCCCCTCAAGGTCTAAGTATCTACCAGTAGCTTAAGTACGAATCGCTTCAGTGATCATGATATAGCAGGGTCCCACGGTCGTGCATGATCAAACTTCGGTTTCATAAGGCATGATGCATAGGGTTCTATCTTAGTACCATAACGATGTACAAGCGTCAACTAATCGACGGAAAGGTTCAATAACGCTACAGAGATCGGTGGCTACAATAGTCCGAGTGCATGAATGAGTCATGTCGTACAGGTCGTCAGGCAATGAACAGCACTAGAGATGAAGTAAGGACAGTAGATGTGAAAAATAAAAAGGGGATGGTATGAGCATAGCCGTAAGTACAGTCTAAAGTACATAGAAGGTCTCAAAAGAAAAAGTCGTCGTCGTCGACATGGGGCCTGCAGGAATAAGTGAGATTTGCTAGGTATCTTCGTAACTTGCCTGCACGACGATCGTAAGCACAGATACAAGGGGATCTATGACCTGGGTACTCACTTCGTGTTCTGCGAAATCGGAATCGGATATACGGGGCCGGGCCGAGGGAAGACAGAAAACGGCGACGTGGACGCCCTTCTGAGACTGAGTGACCCATATCGAGGAAGGAGTGATATCGAGGCTCCGGGGCGAAGCTGGAATAAGGAGCGCAGATTAGCGGCAGATCAAAAATAAAACCTTGTAATGCCGGTCCTCACCGTGCCCGAGGCTCGATATCATGCATAGCAAGATGAGACGCAAGATCGCGGATGGTCGGGAGGATAGCGCGACAGCCGAGTCGTTGACAGGGGATGTTAGCGTAGCCCCCAGACTGAACCGCCATCATGTATGCCTCCCTCGTCTATTTGGATGGCTGTCAGGCTGCGCACAACGGAAACGAGAAGGTGGGAATTCACTGCACGGTCCATCGCACGCGCTTGTGAGATCCTGTACCGTAAGCGTGGGCCAGAAGCGTCGGTGAGATTGCTCTCACCCGACGTTGTTCGCGACCGGGTCCCGACGGAGAAGCCACCAACGTGCGGTACCTCCAGATAGGTGACGTTTGAGACCGGTGACCCCTCAAAATGCGATGCCCTGTACCGCGCGGCGATCTCTTGCGCGGGGCTGCTATTCCTCGCTCTCGATCCGGTCGTACCGCTACTTCTGAGTAGTGCTCTCGAGGACCGCGTGAATCCAGACATTGACCAAGTACTGTCAGCATCGTCGCTGTCGTTGACCTGCCCTCGAAGGGGGTCCGTGTCAAAGACTCTTCCGTAACGCTTCCGGCGGTCAGGAAACCTCGTCTGCTGTTTGGGTCGTGGTCGAGAGGTCTGCCTAGCTTGAGCCGGCCGGTATACGCCCGGTCGAGACCCCGCCTGCATGGGCTGCTGGGGCATGGGCCTGCTGATGACGAACACTGGGGTGTTCGCCATGGACATGCCCAGGGAGCGTGTGTACTGAGGAGGCTGATAAGGATAGTATTGAGAGCGGGACATGATGGAGCGGGTAGGAGATTGAGGGAATGCAACAAGTCATCTCACCGAAGTGCCGACAGCATTTTAGGTTGAGCTACCAGGGGGTTTCCTCCGCGAGCCTTGTGCGAAGCAGTGAGGCCCGTGCCCCAAGCCACACGCCATTGTGACTGTCCACCTGGGAACAGTCTGATGTCCATCTACACGGCGGGAGGGGAGGTAAGTAGCACATGTCACCCAGGTAGATGGATCGGGAAAGATGGTCTTTGGCTACCGGCGGGAAGCACTTCGGAATTGGACCGCAAGGGCGGTATGAGCGGCGATTGAGAGCCCTAGCGGTTCTCCTTACAGGAAACTACTGCAAAGCGATCGTACCCGTACATGAATTGTCCGGAATGTATCCAAATAGATGTACTAAAGCAAGTTGTAAGTACAGAGACGAAAGTCAAGTTACCCACATCCCGACTTCGAACGCAGGCAATTAGCGCCTAATAAGCTTTCCGGCCCGGCCGGTGTCTCCGCCACAAGAGCGCCGCGTCGACGACTTCGCACAACAGGTGTTATTACTTTCACTTATACTCGCTTGGATCGACCATGTCGCTTGTCTCTGCATCATTACATGCGTCACGTCGCTCTGCATGGTTTCTGGCTGCTCTAGCACCGGCAAATGTTGCGCTTAGACACCCCGCTCGGTGGCAAACACGATCGGTAAAGACGCAGCCGGCTTACGAGGGTCATATCCCGCTCAATTGGTTTGAGGCGGGCTTTCTGACCCTGGGATCGGCCTTCATGTCGCTCGCGAACCCGCGCAGGGGAGGTACGTCTTTGCGGCACGTTCAGCGTCGGCGAGCGAGGCATGACGCGCCAGTCTACCAGATATGGTCGCTGCCCTCGGGGACCTCACTTCGGGCCCCGTGCTGCCGCGACTGCGCGACAGTATGCTGGAGAGCGCGGAGGGTCGGCAAATCCTCAAGGACCGGCCGAGGATCAACTCGGACACAGTGGACATGAACAAGCTCGCTCTCCTCCCGGAGGGCACCTTTGGTAACGCGTATGTCACTTGGCTCGAACGCTGTGGAGTTACGCCCGACACCCGAGAACCGGTGCGTTGTAGTCTAATGCTTATATGACCATGGCGTATCCCTGCGTGCCGTGCACCCAAGACCACTGTGTGGGGAATCTGCTCCGAAGCGTGGTACGTCCTCCTTTGAGCCGACGTTCCTCCTCCGCTACTCGCGCACAGGAATACCTCATGGTCGTGTCTGGCCCTTGATCATGCGTGAGCAGTTATTGATTGCACCTATGCAGGTGCACTATGTCGACGACCCGGAGCTGGCCTACGTCATGCAGCGCTACCGCGAGTGCCACGACTTCTACCACTGCATCCTCAACATGCCTGTAAACGTTGAGGCAGAGCTCGCGGTCAAGTTCTTCGAGTTCGCCAACCTGGGCATCCCCATGACAGGGCTCGCCGCTGCGTTTGGTCACCTCCGCCTGACACACGCGAAGCGGCAAAGGCTTTTCCGCGACTTCGTGCCGTGGGCGGTGAAATGCGGTAGCTCAGCGCAAAGTCTGATCACAGTGTACTGGGAGAAGCGATGGGAGCAGAACGTGGAGGAGATGAAGCAGGAGCTGGGCATCTGGGATTCGCCTGTGGAGCCGCGCTGGGGCAAGCCACTCAGCGAGGCGAGGGCGGCGGCTCAAAAACGGGGAGAGACGCAGTTGCAGCAGCAAGCATCATTATAGTGGTACAGGTTACATTTTGGCTTGTGAGGACTTGCGTCGATTGAATTCCTCGCTAATGATACGTTAACCTTTACGCTCCCCTCGCTTCCAGAACGACCGCACGCAGACGCTTGATGGCTTCTTCGACATCTGCCTCGTCTAGAAGACTGAATGCGGCACGAACATAGGGTGTTTTGCCACCGTCTGGCAGGAACACCGTGCCAGGAAGTGCGAGGACGCCCTTCTCCAGGGCCCTGCCGCGTATTAGGGCTTCGGAGTCCTCTTCCTCTCCTTCTGTGCTGGGCTCCTTTAGGAGTAGCTTGAACCTGGAACGAGTCCGAAGGATCAGGACTTTCAGCAACATATATATCAGACTCGGATCGCGAACCAAAAGAACATGCCCGCCTCGGGTGTATTCCATTGTGCAAGGCCGTCGAGGTGCTTCTTCATGTATCGCTCGAAGACATCCCGCTTCTCCTTGTAGAACTGGGACACAGTGAGCGTGTGGGCTTTGAAGTTGTCGTAGCCCCACGAGTTGAGGAGCGCGAAGGTGATCGCTTGGGTGAGCGAAGGCGTCTGCAGGCTCGCCACCGCCGTCTTGGTCCATCCCGTTAGCCTTCTAACTGCACAACAGCATTGGAGGGGGGACCTACGTGCATGTCGATTTTGTTCAGGATAGGCTCTGGTCCGCAAACGAATCCGACCCGGATTCCGGCGGAGAGAACTTTGGAGAGGCTGTCAAAGCGAATGACCCGTCCGACTTCGGGAAGCTCGCGCTCGAGCGAGAAGTACGATCGCGGACGGGCGGCATGTCCGAAGTAGAGGTAGTAGTACGGGTCATCTGAAGAGCGTCGAGAATGAGCCGATTCGCTCGGAAGAGGAGGTGGAGGGCTCTCGTTGACCTTCGAGGATGAGGAAGTTGTGTTCCCTCGCGAGGGCTAGCACCTCCCTACGGCGTTGCTCGACAGTAGTCACGCCTGTGGGGTTGCCTCCGTACTGTGTTACCCTCAGTGAATGCGAGCGGGCGGATTGAGGAGATGGGAGCGTACGGGGACCATGTAGAGAACCTTCGGCTTGGGCTTTCCCGAGGGCCAGTTTTCCAAAGTCGAGCGCAGAGCACCGGAGACTACGCCCTGAAAATCCGTCGGGACACCTTGTGAGACGAGTGTCAGCAACACACACTCCTCTCGGGGACGCATGAGCTACGTACTGACGAACTCGGCGTTCAGCGACTCGAAAGTCGGCATGATACCCCTTCAAGACGGAACAGGTTCTAGCTCAGCTCGTGAGGCACGAGCACAAGAGCCTGCAAACTCACGCATAGAGCGGGTTCTCGACCAACACCGACTCGCCAGGGTTCACGAGTGCCAAGATCGCCTGTCGCCAATGGGTCCGTCAGCGTCCCACTTCCGTGTAGAAATCTGCCCGTCCGGCAAGAGACTGCCTGCCTTGTGCAACACGTCCTGCGAGCCCGACCCGACGGACACCCTCCACCCTTCGCCCGTCTTCCTCCCGTGCTCGTGCTCCTGCAGACCGTAGATCCAACCGATCAGGTTGGGAAGGCCCGCCGTGGGCCCGTACTGCAGGCCCTCAGCGAGCGCTTTGCCGGTGAGCTCCGTCGTGGTCTCGGCGGAGGGGTCCGTCGGGGAGCGCGCCTTGATCGAGACGGAGGTGAGGGGGAAGGTCGCGGCGTTGGGCTTGCCCGCGAGGAGGGAGATCATCCCTGGGATGTTCTCGAGCGGGTAGAGGCCGCGGACTGTTGGTGAAATGTTAGATTTAGATTATGCTTTTCGAGCACGATGAGTACGGATGTCTTACTCGGGCTGGGCTTCCGCGACTTGGACAGGTCGGAGAGGAAGGCATCGTAATACGCTGTGGGAAGGCTCTGCACGGACATTTCTGGAGGGCCAACTGCGAAGTCACTGTGCGACGATCGGCGGCTCACGATCAGCGTTTTTCGCGAGTCAACAAACCTGGATGGACCGTCAAAGTACTACCTTTTTGTACGGCCACAGATCTATCCACTTGGTGAGTTCGGTCGCTCCGAATCGTCCGTCGCAGGGCGCGTGACAGCCCAAGTCAGCTTCAAGTTGTCGATCTCTAAGTACGAGGTGCGAAAATAGCCCTCAAGTATCAGGTGGTCCTTCATCGGAATTCCTGCCTCCGCTGTTCAGGAGGCTAAGGCGCTAATCTCGGCATTCTAAGTACTGCTTGCGCAATGAGTATGGACGCTGATAGCAGGCTAACCACTCTTCCAAAACGTGGAAGCAGTCGTTCACATAGGCAGGAGATTTGACGAGGATCGACATTTCTGAATGGCGAATATACTCTACATCTATAAATCACCGGCGGTTTCGTTCGCGGGGTCATGCTAGATAGTTGTCGAGCAAGCAGCACCCGTCCGTCCACTAAATGCGCACCCTAACCCCCCGCTCACCCAAGCAACCTCTCCCTATCCTCCGCCCTCCCGCCCTCCTCTCCCCTCCTTCCCCTCCGTCCCCTCCTGCCCCCCCGTCCCCGCCTGAACAGCCCCACAACCTCGTACGCAGCCCCCCTGACGCCTGCAACGACCCTCCCGAGTGCCCAGTTGCGCGCGCGCCAGACGGCGTGCTCGCGCGTGTCGATGCGGTCAGTGCGGACGCGGTGCTGGGCATCGACGACGACGCCGAGCGCGAGGATGGTGGTGGCGATCGACGCGAGCGCGGTGCTGGAGGAGATCATGAACATGATCACCATCTGGAGGCGCGCGGCCTGCTCGACCGAGGACCCGCCGAGGATCGCGCCGGTCATCATGCCCGGGATGGCGATGATCCCGATGACGCTGTGTGCAGAGGGGAGGGTAGTGAGCGCCTGGGAGCAGCCGCGAACAGGACAGGACAGAAACGGAGGGGGAGGAGGGAGAGCGGACGCACCTCATTTGGTTGATGTTGGGGGTGAGGGCGAGGCGGAGGGCGTCGCGCGCGACGGGCTTGCAGGCCTCGAAGCGCGAGGCGCCGAAGGCGAGGTACATCTCGACTTTGTCTCTGTTGTCGCTGCACGCCCGCGGTGAGTGGAGGACGGGAAAGGGGCGTCCGGGGCACGTACTAGATCTCCTTGAGCACGTAGGTGACCGAGACGACGATGCCCGAGATGGTGCTTCCGCATAGCATGCCGACTATAGGAACTGCATGGAGAGCGGTTGAGCGCTAGCACACGGAGGATGTGGGGCTACAAGCGCGACGTACTGTATTGTTCGGGTTTCCAAAATGGCTGGATGCCCATGGCAAAGCGTGCGCCGACGATGGACACAGGGATGGTCGAACCCAGCATTCCGAGAAACACGGAAACAAACTGCGCGCGATTGAGCAACGTACAGTCTTCATAGGAGAGCGGAGACACGCTCACCATCCAGTCATATCGCTTCTTGGATTTATTTACGACTGCCGCCAGAAAGAACACGTTACGGGGAATTGGCCGAGGGGGAGGTTGGACGCGTACTCACCAGTCTCTATCGTGCCCATCAAGTTGAGCAGTATGGCCATTGCGGCTACCACTGCTGAATTTTGTGTCTCGAATACTTTCTGGAGGATGAGGGCGACTACGCTGAGTTGGACAACGCAGCGAATGGCGGCGGTCAGGAGGCCGCTGCCCACTCCGAGGCCGAACGCGGTGGAGAGGACGCCATTGAGGAGAACGAAGGAAAACGCGAGGCCGACGTTTCCCCAATTGAGGTGGGTGGTCTGTTCCGGTCCTCCTGGGTCCATGATCTAGGAAGGATTGCAAGCAAGGTCGCAGGTCGCGCGAATGAACGCTGCCGACGTCGCGAGGATGGCGATCGAAGGCGGGCAAGTCTGTAGACTGTAGAAACGAGCGTTGAGGTGGCCGGTGGTCCTAGTAGTACAATAGTACTTGTACAAGTGCAAGGACGCGTTCGCCGCAGTTCGCCGACGGGGATCGAGCCATGGATGCGGCCACGATGACGTCCCAGAGACCGGAATGGCGGGGCAGGGCCGGAGCGGCCGCGTGCGTGTGGCCAGCGTCTACTGCTCGCGCGCGCACGGTCAGAAGTACTCGCGCCTTCGTCGTCACCCCCAGTCCGTGCAGCCCTTGCCTCATCCTCCGCACTCATCTGACACTCTCTGGCCTCTGGGCGACATCCGCGTCCTGTTGTACCTTGCAGCTTATAGCTCAACCTAGACTGTGCCTCTGTAGCCTGTTGGCTCACACCGAGGGAAGTCGAAGCTATACCCCTCGCATCCCATGATGCTCTCGTCTGGCGCATACCGCTGGATTCTGCCAACATCGGTACTGCTGCTATGTACACAAGTCGCACATGCACGCAGAAATGTCTCCTTGGGCTTCTCTCTGAATGCTCAACAATCGCTCTCGGTATGTCCTGTATTGTACGCGAGCGCGCGGTTCCTTGTCTAACGTTCGTTCAGCCTCTCGAAGTCGTAGCCTCCAGGCCAGGTGCTACTGATCGTCCGTTACTGCCGCATGACCGTCGTATGCTGACCCCTCGCTGTAGAGAAGTGTCCACCATGCTTCAACTGCCAGCTAGACGCGTTCACCTGCGGCAACTTCGGAGAGTGTTCCAAGTTTGACGGACAGTGCAAATGTCCTCCGGGTTGGGCTGGCATCGACTGCCTTACACCCCGTACGTCTCCATATCTGTCTTCCACGGCACGCGTGCCTGACTTGGGGCAGAGTGCGACTCTCTTGCGGACGGAGACCATCGAAGACAACGAGAAGACGGGAAGCAGTGCGAATGCAAGGACGGTTGGGGTGGCATAAACTGCAATGGTGAGTCTTGATCCTCGAAATGCATCCCCTGCTCAATCCCCGATGAAGTGTGCGAGACCGACGACGCGTGCATCGGCTTCCCTCTCCGCGGACAGCCGACCGACAACGACGAGCGTGTCAGTAACATGACATGTTACAAGGGCGGCGAGACGGTCTTCAATAACCACCAGATGTGCGACGTCACCAGTGCGCCCCGCTCATTCTCTCGTGTTCCGGCACCACGACTGACCCAGTGTAGACCGCAAGATCCTCGACATGCTCCCCGACCGCCCGCCTCAGGTTACGTTCAGCTGTGACCAGGAGTCCGACCAGTGTCACTTCCAGTTCTGGACGGCACAAGTCGAGTCCTTCTATTGTCAGCTCGAGCAGTGCGTATCTCGGGCGGAGCGCGGCTACGACAAGAATCAGACGTTCTACGACTGCGAGAGGATCCAATGCAGTTGCGTGCCTGGGCGGTTCATCTGCGGAGAGGATGGCAGCCTCGGTATGTGTCGCACCGCATTCCGTGGCTCGCAAGGGCACACTAGGCTGACCGCACCTTCGTGCAGATATCACGGACTTCCTCAAGGAGGACATCAAGGGCCCCGCGTCGTTTACCTGCGTCGAGAACCAGGGATGCAGATTCGAAGAGCCTGGCATGAACTCCCTCATTGAGACGTTCTTCGGCGACAAGTATATCACCCTCAAGTGTAAGGGTGGTGAGTGTCTGCACTACTCGCAGGTGCCCGGCTACGTGGTAGGTTTATATCTGTGCTCGTCCGTGTGACTGGTGTTCATGTTCTGGGTCAGGCGCCGCCCAAACCAGACAACACGGCATTCGTCGCCATGAGCGTAGCCGGTGCAGGGCTCTTCGTCGTCTCCGTCTCGGCCAGTAAGTCGTATCTCCATCCATCCCGTATCATCACACACCCTCGAATCAAAGCCGACGCTGACGCGACACCCCCGCCCCATCAGTTCTGTGGTATGCGGGCCGGGCGCACTCGAGCGACTTCGGCGGCATCCGCCTGCCCGAGAACGAGTCCGCGAAGCTCATGACGGACCACGTCCCCGCGTCGCTGCATTTCTCGGACATCTCGTACACGCTCGGCGGGCGCGCGATCCTCGAGGGCGTGTCCGGGTGCGCGAAGCCGGGGCAGCTGCTCGCGATCATGGGCGCGTCGGGCGCGGGCAAGTCGACGTTCCTCGACATCCTCGCGCGGAAGAGCAAGCGCGGCGCGGTCGCGGGCACGACGCTCGTGAACGGGCGCGCGGTCGACGACGCGGACTTCAAGAAGGTGACCGGCTTCGTGGACCAGGAGGACACGCTGATGGGCACGCTGACGGTGTACGAGACCGTGCTGTACTCGGCGCTGCTGCGGCTGCCAAGGGAGATGAGCCTGGAGGCGAAGAAGTACCGGACGCTGGAGACGATGAACGAGCTGGGCATCTTGGGCATCCGGGACTCGCGCATCGGGGATACTGGTGAGCATCATCGTCCTCCTTTCGGCTTACGGCGTATATGTACTGAGGCAACGCAATGATAGGCCGTCGCTCGATCTCTGGGGGTGAGAAGCGCCGCGTGTCGATCGCCTGCGAGCTTGTCACCAGCCCATCGATCCTCTTCCTCGACGAGCCCACGAGCGGCCTGGATGCGTACAACGCGCTGAGCGTCATCGACAGCCTCGTCTCGCTCGCGCGCGACTACAACCGCACGGTCGTCTTCACGATCCACCAGCCGCGCAGCAACATCGTCTCGCTCTTCGACCAGCTGATCGTACTCGCGCAGGGCAAGCTCATCTACTCGGGCGAGGCCGACAAGGTCACCGACTACCTGGCGGAGATCGGGCACCCGTGCCCGCTTGGGTTCAACGTCGCGGATTTCCTCAGTACGTCCCGCGGTCTGCCTCCCTGTCGCCCGCACTGGCGCTGACTTCGGAATACGCAGTTGATCTGACGATGCAGGCCGGGCTGGAGCCCCGCTCGCGGGAGAGCCAGAGCCCCCCGACAGAGCTTGCGCAGGCTGGCGAAGAGGATAACAACATCCACGACGAGGAGCGCGCGCTCGGTCGGCGCGATCGACCCTCGTCCATCTCGCTCCGCTCCGCGTACCGCAACTCGGACGACACCCGCGTGGAAGAGACCGAGCTGCGCACGCGCGCGAGCTCGATCCACTCCTCGACGGCCTACATCCGCAGGCAGACCGCACGGCTCCTCGAGGCGATCAAGCCGTCCCAGCATAGGGGCGACGGGCCCGTGCCCCCGAAACTGCTCGAGCTCATCAACGCGTTCAAGAACAGCGAGATCCACCAGGCGCTCACGAGCGAGATCCTCGAGGTCGCGCGCGCGCCGGCCGCGGAGGAGGGCGTGCCCACCTCGGAGCTCCCGGACGTGTCGGTCGAGAGCCAGCTGTCGCGGGGCCGCAAGCGCGCGAGCTGGGGCACGCAGTTCCGCATCCTGAGCGGGCGCGCGTTCAAGAACCTGTACCGCGACCCGGCGCTGCTGGCGGCGCACTACGTCGCGTCGGTGGGCGTCGCGGTCATCTGCGGGTTCTTCTTCCAGAACATCACGAACGACATCGCGGGGTTTCAGAACCGGCTGGGGATCTTCTTCTTCACGCTCGCGCTGTTCGGGTTCTCGTGCCTGTCGAGCCTGAACTTGTTTGCGAACGAGAGGATACTGTTCATGCGCGAGCGGTGCGTCTTTTTCGCTTGTGTTGCATCGTCGCACCGAGCGTACTGAGGAACCTGGGATTTGATTTGCAGGGCTAATGGGTACTACTCGTCGTTCACGTACTTCGCCTCCAAGATCCTGTTCGACATCCTTCCGCTCCGCGTCGTGCCCCCGCTGGTGTTTGGCGGGATTATTTACGCGTGGATCGGGCTTGTGCCCGAAGTCACGATTTTCTGGAAGTTCATGCTCACCCTCGTCCTGTTCAACCTCACGACCGCAAGCGTCATCCTCCTGCTCTCGATAGCGTTCGCGAGCACGAGCGTTGCGAACTTGGTTGGCACGCTGATCCTACTCTTCAAGTACGTCCGCTCCTGTACCATGCATCTGTGCATCTGACCTGCGGTGCTGACCACGGTTCTCATCGCGTTTAGCTTGCTCTTCACGGGGCTGCTCATCAACCGGAAGACGGTCCCGCAGTTCTTCCAATGGCTGCACACCGTCTCGTTCTTCCACGCGGCGTTCGAGGCGCTCGCCGTGAACGAGCTGCGATACCTGCAACTGCACGAAGAGAAGTACGGCGTCAACATCGACGTCCCCGCCGCCGCCATCCTCTCGACGTTCGGTCTCAGAGCAGGGGTGAGTCCTGTCATGCGACGCGTGTTTCTTGGTTTTGCGGCTTCAGCTGATGGGCTCGCTCGATAGTCGTTCTGGTGGCCAAACATCGCGCTGCTCGGGATCTTCTTTGGCACGTTCACCGTTGCGAGTTACCTTGTCCTCCACTTCTACGTCAAGGAGAAACGGTGATCGTGCGCAACGCCTTCGTGTTCTGTACCGACCGGTGTCTTTTGCTCAATCTGGGAGAGATCAGTCAATATAGTCCAAGAGGTCTCGCGGGGGGCCGGTGTCTCGTGGAGCGGTTACTTTAGCTTAGATACATATACATGCTTGGTGTGTCTTACGTCTCCGTCCGTCTGGACTCTCACATAGCCCACCGGAAGTCTTGTGTAGGCGATATATTGTGTACGATTATGTGATGCTCGTGCTTTGTACTTCGATGACCGAAGAACGTCAATGCCTTGGAGGGGTCGACCCCCAAGTTTCGACACAAGTCCCAATTGCTGCTTGGAACGAGGTGAGACGGATGTTTAACTTTTCGTGCGTGAACGTCAAGACCATATATGATATGTACGCGTTTTAGGAACGACATGCACCTTACATTGATCAGTTTACATTGCTCAGTGCTGTACCTTTACCTCTTCCTTCTTCGGTCTGGCACCGAAGATACCAGTCCCGACGCGAACGATATTACTCCCAGCTGCAAGCGCAGCCTCGAAGTCGCTCGACATGCCCATACTTAGGAGGAGCTGATTGCCCTCGTCGCCCCATTGCCCTGACTCCCTCGGGAACCCCGCGCGTGCGAGGGCACCCTCGAGAACATCCCGCGTCGAGACGAGGCGCGCGAAGTCCTCATTTTCCTTTTCCTTGGTCAGCGACTCCGAGAGCGACCCGATCGTCATGAGGCCCTGCAGCCGGAGGCGGGGACATTCGGTGAGGATATGCTTGGCCAGCTGGAAGAGCTCCGAGCTGTCCACCTCGGATTCGGCGACGTTCGAAGTCAAGGGAGGTACGCCGGACTTCTGGTCCTCGCCGGAAGTGTTGACCTGGAGGAGGACGTTGAGAGGCGAGGGCCGGTCTTCCGGGAGCGCTTTGTTCAGAGCTGTGGCGGCTTTGGTAGACGTGAGAGTTTGGATGGCGTAGAGGTTCGGAATAGCTATGCGAACGTCAGCGAAAGAAGTGCATATGGCCGCACCTTGGGTGCTGTGAAGCACGTACAGGCCAATATCTTAGCCTTATTAGACTGTAGTGTGCCTATGAAGTGCCATCGGATGTCTTGCGGCAACTGGGAAAATGCGGTGAGATAGGTGAGATATATGGACATGAACAGCATGACCGAGACGCACCTGAGGGGCTTTATCCCTAAGCTCCTGCACGTAATTCTCTCCGAAGTCACGCTGTCCATCTTCATACGCTGCGAGGACATCCGACGCAGGCTTGTACTTCGAAACAGCAACCAGGACGGGCGAGTGGTTCGCTACCCGCGAGGTGTTACGCGAGCTCGCTGCTTGAACGCGTTGCCGTATTTCTGCAAGAGCTTCTCTTAACTCCGCCGCACGCTCTGGAGTTGCTTTGACGGGAGGCATAGTCGGGACGGCCACAGACAATCTACGGTAGAGGTGGTGGACAGGAAAGAGAGGCATATATGAGCGCTTCGTACCAAGCATAGCAATGATCGTAATCGTGAACTATTTGAACCAAATCATTACGGTACAGGCTCGTGACGACTCTTACTATTCTCATAAAATGTGCCAACGCCTCCGAGCTAATATACATTCGCCAGTCAAAAACATGACATCGCCCCCTCGTACCGAAGGGATACCCATGGCCAGACAAGCTGCAACTAGTACGGATTTGCCAGTGCGTCCCTCCCAGTGACTGCCACTTCATCGTCTCCATCGGACCCATACCAGTACCAGTCGATCTCTTGAAGCAAGGGGGTCATCTTCAGAACATTGTCCGTTTCTCCGTGGAAGATACTTTCAAAGATCCTCTTGACGTCCCGGACAATCGCATCGCTGACGTCCTTCCACTGCGGCTGTCCTTCCTTTTGTTTCCCTAGTCTATCCATCGTGTTGATGGCGAACCTGTCTCCTGCCCATGGCCCACGTCCAACCTCCGGGGGAATGTGCGCTGATCCGAACCAAAAAGGACTGTCTTCGCTGGCCCAGCATATGCGTGTGAGGAGCGCATGGCCTAGGTCGACCTTGCAGTTTGGCAGGAACGGCTGGAGGTCGTCCGGTTTACCGCAGAGCTCGGCCAGCGCAGATGCCTTGACGTACTCAAGCTTGCTGAGGTTAACAAGAACCCAGTCCTTGCGGTCCACGGGGAACGTTTGGGACACGACAAGATTGAACATATCGAGATCGCGTCCTTGGAGATCATTGTACCACCCATACCCGCGCCTGATGTAGTCGAATGCCCCGCGCCAGAGCGGCGGCGAAGGAACCTTGCAAACGACGTCGACGCCTCCGTATGCAAAGTTGGTGTCGATGAACGTGATCATCGCCTCAACTTGTGCCCTGTCGTCGTCGTCTAGCATACCGGGAGGAAGGTCGCTGAAACACGCTGTTTCGCATACGCAAGCTATCCGGCACCCAGACCAGCGAGCGGCAGCTAGGAGGCGTGCCTCTCCAATGGCACGAGCAGAGACAGCAAAGAGCCGCTTGCAAGTGATGGAGATGGCGACCATGTCAGGAAGGGAGAAGTCTGGATCACTGATGATGGCGACCAAGGTTTCGTCCGGAAGGGCTAGGAGTCCTCGATAGTGGGGGCCCCGAGCTTTCTCGGCATCCTGGTGGACAGTGTGGATTTCCGGTCTGTGGTGGTTACGGCAGCCCAATCAGTGAGAAGGATGTATAATGGAAACAATCAGAGGGCATACAGAGGAAATGGGACCGCAAGACTCCTGACTAGAAAACTCTGCTTGGTCTCGTAGAACTCATCGAAGTGAGGCTTTCCCTCGAGGTGTCTGTACTCTCCATGGCTGATATTGAATCTGTTGGGCGCTTCTTCAGTGGTTACTATGCGGGTTTCAGGAGCAAACACGTACAGTTTGCACCATGGCATGTTCATGTCGGGATGGGTGCTGTAGAGTGGTCAAGGTATGTGATGGTCTGAAGGGTTGTTAGGGAAGGCAGGATGGAAAGTGGTCCGGTTCACAGCTCTCGCTTGAGCTTTGGTGCTTTGGCCGAGCGCTCTAGGAGTTTCAAAGACCCCTCAGAAATTCGGAGGTCTGTTCATTACGCAATTGTGCCTCGTTGTCGGTGCAGGCAATTGTAGCATGCTCAAGTCACCGCACTTATTCCCTGTTCATGAGGGTCCCGGACCCATGAAATGACGACGGGCCAATCGCACATGGCAGAATACTTCAAGTACTGTTGAATACACAGTTGACATCAGGGAAGCGCCAGAAAGGCTGCAAGGAGAAGGGGGAAATTTGGAGTTCCGAGCCCAGTCACAGGGTCCCAGCTGGGGGCTGTGGGGAAGCCACTAGTCTGACATCCCGGGTTGCTGCCGTTCGTCACATCATTGTAGGCATGAGCAAAGGCCCTTGAATAGAGCTATGACTAGCGGTGAGACGAGACTTCGTTTGGGATTCAAATAGCACCCACCGCCGGATTAATCCAACCCACTGTGCTTTTACCAGCAGCAATCCGGGCATCGTTGATCGACGCGACGACCGAAGCGAAAATGGGTGCGGATGCAGATGTTCCGCCCGCTAAACCAAACTCGCCGCCATCCGCAATGACAATAGGGAACCTGTGGAGGTACGTTCATGTTACGTCGCCTGTGACGAGATCGCAGCCATAGGTCATCTACTCACCCGTTAGCTGCGACGTCGGGGTAAGCTCTGCCAGACCTATTGAAGATGTCTGGGGCGTAGTCGGGTGCAAATTTGGCCAGGTAATTGCTGACTTGAGTCCTTTGGAAGCGTGGTTGGGCAAACACATTCGAGAAACCGCCTCCTGACGGGAAAGCAGTGGTCGCTTCCTCAGGGTCATTCACCTAAAAGGCAGCATCGCACGGGGGCCATTAAAATATCAGTTATGAAAGATGAGCACCCCACTTACGCTGTTCCCAGGGACTACTGACGTGGCACCGACGGCGGTGACGTATGGGCACGAGGCAGGGAATTGTCCAACGAACGATCCATTAGGGTTCCCATCGACCAGCGTACCGTTCACCAAACAGCCCCCCAACCCGCCCCCGTACGACACTCCACTGTCACCAGACGAAGCAACGAATGTGATACCAGTCAGGCTGAGCTGTGGATAATACAGATGAGTGAGCGCACGAGATCTCGCCGTCTCAACAAACCTTGCCAATCTCGGCGCATTGCCTGGAAATGACGGGAGTGATGTTTGGATCGTCGTAGTCCGGCGAAAAATGGTATGAGATAGATATAACATTCGGCAAAGGCTTGTCTCCGCAGTCAATGAGACCTGTTGGTCTATAAGTTCGACTGCACATTCCAAACAGGTGCGCTAGGGATGTTACCTTCACCGCTTACACCCTCCAGCGCACAGAACGAAGCATCGAGAGCTCCAAGTAGCTCATCGACTATAAATATAAGAATCAGCGAATTAACTGAGACAATGTAAGGGATCGAGCTACTGGGTTCCTGATTGTCCTGGGTGGTCCCTACCGCGTACTGCAGCACCTCTTGCGTAGCGTTCAGCAGACCCATTACGAGGTCAAAATCCAGCGAGGGCTCTACTGAATCCCCCTGCGGGGTGTTGGTTCCTGGCAGAGTCCTAAAATGTCAGCATGCGAGAGCACAATAAGCATCTGAAACACAACAGACCATTCTCAATGCTGATCAGCGTAGGTATTTGACCCACTCTCGCAGGAGCATACTTTTGAAAGAACATAGTGAGATCCGACGGGAGAACAAATTCGGCACCGAATTCGGCTCAAGATCAACACAAGGTCAGCTCGACTTCTCTCCCATGCATCTTGAGTACTCACCGACTGCAATGGTGTTCCGATCAGCGGCAAGTGGCTGGTAGTCGAAATGATACAGGTCACGGAGGCACGCAATCGTCACAGCCTGGTCGCACCCAGACACCTCTAGCTCTCCTTCCTAGAAGGCAGCATACATACTCAGGAAAATATCGTCATTAAAGGTAGTTACCCACCGTGATTGGCCTTTTGACCACACCAGACTCACGCTCAGCACGCCAGCGGCCGGACGCTGAGGTGTCCCTCCAGGCCACCGCAGACCTCTCGAAGTGCACAGTTGGCCACACAATATCGACGTGCTTCGACACATGCTCCGGCAAGACGTAGCCTTTGTGGCAGCCGACCCGCTCAATGCCTGTCTCGCCATGACGATAGATGTTGTACTCTGCGCCGAGGATGCGCTCGGCCTCGGCAACAGTTACGTTGACATGAAGTGCGTCCCCGTTGCGGCTCAGCTGGATGTTGGCCAGACCAATCCCGTTGTCGACAGCCAGCCAAGTACGCATGGCGTCAACGGTCGCCGTCGAGGGTCGGAAGGTGTCGGCTACCTTGGCGGGGGACCAGTGCCTACCATAGTTCGGCGACGCGGGGTCCGCGATTTCCAGCAAGTATGCCTCAAGTTTATGGAGGTTAGACAGGACAAGGCTGAACTTGAGAGGAAAAAATGTTTCAGGGTCGGCGCGGCGGTGTAGCGACCAGCCTTGCGGGACGGATCTCTGATAAATAGCTGCCGAAGGTGGCCCGGACACGACGAGCGTAACGAGTGCGGCTAGAAGAATGGACACTCGAGGCAAGATCATCTCGGCGATAGAGGTCAATGCAAGCGTACCGAGGTTCAAGAGGCGAGAACACGAGGGGCCCCGAGTGACTGACGCGAGCGTCCTTATAACGACTGGGATCACCTCGTAGTTGCGACGATGCAAGTAACGTCGACAGCGACGCAGTCCGCCGTTGACACAGCAAGTCTAAGCCACAAGATGTATCTATCAGACACCTGATGAGGAGCAAGAGACGGAAATGGGCATACACACCTCGTAGAGCCGGAATCGAAGACGACGCAAGCATGGACAGGGACGGGCACACAGGAGAAGCATCGGCATGAGGCAGGAAGACCTCTATCTTCCGTAACTCTCGACCAATCTGAAGGGGATGCCGAGACAGATATGCAGGCCGTGAGTACAGACCACACCTCCCGTCCCTACAGAGCGCGCGGATGTGATGAGATTGGTTCCGGCAGCAGAAAAAATTGAAAACAGTCCTCGTGCTCGTTAGGGGCTGGAGATAGCTAACAACGTGCAAAGCTCTTCGAAGAACGAACCAACACGCAGATGAGAGAAACGTTCACCGCCAAGGGACAACACAGCGAACCTATCGTCGCCACGAGATGCTGCGTGTATGAGCGGATACGGTCTCCAAATGACCTGTCGTAAGGCTGAGCGCTTACGACAGTCATCTCACGCGACGTCATCTGTTCTTGTAGCAGCCGACGCCCGTCGGAGGCTAGATGTAAAGCACACGCAGCTCTTTCCCCATGCGCAACAAAGCATAACGGGAATGAATTGACGGGCATAACGTTGTTATAAGACACAGCTTCTAAATCTCAGGGCGGTCAATTCCACCCTCAGCATAGTGCTCCTTTAGAGCAAGCCAGACCCAGCAGAAGCGAAGCCATATGACATCAAGGCAAGAGAAGGAAGTTGGCCAGCAAGCGCTCAAAGTTGGGCGTACCCAGCCCCGTGACGGGATCCCAACCAGGCGATGCACGGAAGCCCTCCGTGCCACAACCCGGGTTCGTACCGTTCGTCACGTCGTTGAAGGAACCAACGAACCAAGGTGAATAAAGCTGAGACCGGTCAAGCAAAGGTGAGGGGCTGGATGAGACGTGAAATTTGTGTAGGTGGACGCACGGCAGGATTGATCCATCCAACGGGTTTCTTGCCTATTGCGATGCGAGCATCATTAACAGCGGTGATTAGAGAGGCAAATATAGGGGCCGAGGCAGAGGTTCCTCCGGTCAAATTGAAATTCCCGGCGACTGCGACTACGGTAGGCCACCTGCTCCAATGAGTCAGACGATCTTGGAACGTTGACGTGATGATTATAAGGCACACGCACCCATTCGCCGACACATCAGGATAAGCCCTTCCAGATCTGTTGAATACACTTGGGCCGTACGGAAGAGCAAAGTGCTTGAGGTAATTGGTGACGGCAGCGTTCTGGAATCGAGGCCGAACAAACGCATTGGAGAAGCCACCACCAGATGGGAATGCGAAGGTTGCGGTCTCGGGATCCCGCACCTATGAAAAGCCAGAGATTGTCAGAGTCGACATTGGTAGAAGGTTGTGGTGATGCAGCTGCATACCGATTTCCCTGGGCTCACTTGTGTCGAGCCTACTGCGGTCACATAGGGACATGACGCAGGGAACGCTGCTACGAAATCTGCTGATTGTGTTGAGTTGGGTGCTTGCATTTCGAGTTTGTCGTTCACAAGACATAAGGTGTCAGGAAATTCTGGAAACGCAACGCCGAAGTCTCCTGAAGAGGCAATGACCGTAACACCCATGAGGGCAAGCTGCCCAGTCCCAGAAGAATCAGCGGACTGCTTCTGCTCATCTACGACGAGTACAGACCTTCCCGATTTCGGTGCATTCCCTCTGGAGCATGGGTAGGAACGTGGAATCGCGGACATCAGGCGTAGATGTGTAAGATATGGACACGACATTGGCCCTCGGCGCATCCCCACAGTCCTTGAGTCCTAGACGAAGTGGGTTCCATCAGCACACGCTAGAGGCGCTATCTCTGGCTATCCTACCGATCCCTGATGTATCCGCCACGGAGCAATAATAGGCATCCCATGCGCCAAGTAATTCGTCGCCTTGAACCGGAACGCCGCACTGAGAGAAGCATCACATACCATATATTACTGAGAACGTACCACTCAATGGGTCCTGTTCCATTGTCCCTGCCTCGTACAAGAAGACCTCTTGCTTGCGACCAAGCAACCCCATCATCAGCTCGAGATCCAAAGACGATTCGACGAAGTCATCAAGGTTTGGGTCGGATTCGTTGAGCTGTCCTGCACCAAGATCAATTTGGTACACGCAAGTCCATCAATTGGCATTAAGTAGACATGCACTGACCGCCTGCAATACTGATCAGCTTAGGCTGATTGCCGACTTGGTCTGGAGCGAAGCGCTTGAAGAACATGTCGAGGTCCGCAGGATTGTAGTACTGCATACCAAACTCGGCTGCCCCCACACCATCATCAGATTTCCGCATCGGGATTTTCGGTTTTAAACCGTTAAACACTCACCGACGCCGACGGTGTTCCTCTTCGCAGCAACGAGATCGTAGTGAAAGTTGTACAAAGCGCGCAAACAGTCGAGTGTCACAGCATCGTCGCAGTGTTCTACACCCATAGGTATTGACGAAGCCTGGAGGGTGGACAGATCATCAGCGCCATCCATGCATGAAAGTTTTCCGGAACTCACGTCAATAGCACTGGGCTGGACAATCCGAGGTCCCCGAGCACCTTTGACGGTGGGAGGGCTGTTCCGACGGGTTAGACGCGGGCCGCCGTACGTCAGTGAGGGCCAAACGAATTCGACGTGCTCAGCGACATGAGCGGGGAAGTTGTGTCCTTGGTGGCAGCCAACGCGCTCGAACCCATTGTTCGCACGATAGACGTTGTAATTGGTGGTAAAGATGCGCTCAGCCTGCGCGACGCTGATGTTGAGACTGAGAACTTCGTCGGTCTGAATGATGGTCGAAGACTCGGCGTCGAGGTTGCTCACGAGCCAGGAGCGCACAACGTCAGCGGATCCTTGGGAAGGACGAAAAGTCTCCTTGACCCGTTCGGGAGTCCAGTGCTGTCCATAGTTGGGGGATTGGGGGTCAGCGATGTCGAGGAGGTATGCGTCGAGGTTATGCAAATTTGGCTGGACCAGAGAAAGTCGGACAAGTAATTTAGTATCTGGATCCGCACGGCGATGGAGAGTCCACCCGGGAGGGATGGGATGGGTGTAAGTGAGAGACTCGACTATTAGGCTGGCGATGAGAAGGAAAGTAGAGCACAGATACATCGTGAGGGGAAGAGGGCCGGATGAATGCTCGGGCAACGTGAAGCTATGAAGAGCTACAAGGAACATACGTCGCTCATAGCTTTTGTACTTGGCATGGACGGCGTCTGCGGCGGGCACGAGCTGACTTCCCGCACACAGGATAGAGAGTGACTCGAACCGAGCGTGCGGCACTGGATAAACAGGAAGACGGCGGGAAACGACCGGACATGTGTGAATACGACACGGAAACGCACCTTTGATACCACGGAAAGCGATACGCTGCACATCAAAGCTGTCGAACTCTAACGCCCCAGGAAGCACTGATGTCAGTAGAACTCTCACTGCGGAGCTGTTGTCTGCGGCATAGTTCGTTCGTGCCATCTCACAGTCCAAACGCTAGAAAGGGAATTCATGGACAGAATCGAGACCCAGCATAGGATAGACTCCTACATCAGATGTCATAAGCTACGCACTGTGTCAATGTAGCCTGTGCCCTCGATGATCAGAGGTACAGCTGATAGCATAGCTGCGAATGACTGCGTATAGGACAGCGTAAATAATAACGAAAGTTATTGAATGATGATCATCCAGGCCAGAACGAAGTAAAATAGCCTGGAGGCGGGCCGAAATGTCAACTAACACCTGGATCCAATAGGAAAGGCAACGTACAAGAGAGGATATACGGCGAGCAAGATCCGCTGCTGCTCGATTTTTGTGCCGTCAAGGAAGTTCACAGACGCTATAATGTCATATTGAAGTTGTCAAATCAATTGCCGCAGGACCTTCTCACCGCAACGACGTACCCCATACACACCAAGCCCATGATGCCAACGCCACGGGCACACGGACGTATATCAGATGGACAAATGTTGACACGAGCGCGGCAATGTTGAGAGGTGCTATGCAATAGCCCAGGGCGCACAAACCCTGGAAGAACGACCTGGCGAGATGTAGATGAACGACCAAGTTGAGCCAATCCAATTCAGCTGAAGACGTACACTCGACCACCGAGAAGCTGCAAGTGCAAACGTCAGGAGAGGCGGGCACTGTGCATATTGGAGATATACCTTGGCTTGAACCGTAACGACTAAAGAGCCGAGAGCGATGATCACCACTACACTCGTAAAAACACTGAGAGATTGCGATGCAGGTGCCTACGTTCCATGGAGTCAGTGGATTGACACTATAGCGGGGCTGATAGACATACATTGACGCTCAGCAGGATGCCTAGCATGAGGCACAAAATCAGAGGCCCCCATAGGTCCCAATCCCTTGACGTACATCTTAGTCCAACCTGTACACAGCAGCGGTATGCGCGCGCACCTCAGAAGATCTCGGCTGCCATTGTTCCGTGGCGGGTAGAGTACTTGAATTAACTTAGTATATATTGAAAGCAAGTCACGACCCTGGCATATGCGATGAGCATTGACACTTCGCGCGAAAGTACTGCAACTCACAATTGTCGTCGCAATGGGCTCATCAAGGGTATCCGTTCCGGTGTAGCTGCCCGTGCACTCTCCTGTCAATCTTGTGTCTGTACTACACATGAAGCACATACCGTGTCTCAACTTGCACGCCACCGACTGACCGCCTATTCGGCTGCGGTGCCCCAGCACCATTCACAGGCGTTCCAATGTTCCCCGATACAGCTGCAGAGCCAGCCGAAGCGAGTTGCTCAGGTGCTCTCGCTTTGCCCTTATCCTGACCAGGAGAGTGTGGACTTGGAACTAGACCAGGATGCGTAAAGCTGGGAATAGCCTCCTCATCGAGGTCGTCGTCGTCTGCGAGTGTTGCATGCTCGCCGCTCAGCACGGATCGGGGGCATTGGCAGGGATCGCGCTCACCTGCTTCAATGAACTGGGACGTGGACGTGAGCGGTGTTGTGGCCTCATGGTGTTCTTGATCCAACCGCTGCATGTTCTCGTAAAATAACAGACAGAACTACGCTGAAGCAAGAGGTGCGTGGCAGACTGAGAGCAATGATCTCAGGCGCAATGACGCCTGTCCTCAGCGAAGCGTCCACGTTCGGCTGTGTGCACGTGACCGACTCGACACCAAGCTGACGCGTCGCGGTGCATGTCGAGCGCACCGGACGCTGCATTTCTGACACTCCTTCTCCGTCCTCCACCACACCCGCCACATACATCATGGTCCGTTTCATTTTCTGCTGACTTGCCAACTCATATATTGAGCGTCCGTAACTCTACACAGGGAAACGCACCGTCTGGACTCCCTGGCCAACGTCCGGGTGGGCGCGGCCAGCCTGGCGACCAGAAAGACAAGAAAGAGCAGAAGAAAAAGTGGGAGCCTCCTCTCCCGACCAGCGTTGGCAAGCGCAAGAAGAAGAGGGGTCCGGATGCAGCGTCCAAGTTGCCTGCTGTGTTCCCCACAACACGCTGCCGCCTCAAGCTCCTCAAGATGGAGCGCATCAAGGACTACCTCCTCATGGAGGAGGAATTCATCCAGAACCAGGAGCGCCTCAAGCCTGAGTCCGCGCGCGAGGAGAAGAATGAGGAGGACCGTACCAAGGTGGACGACCTCCGTGGGAGCCCCATGGCCGTCGGTACGCTCGAGGAAATCATCGACGACGACCACGCCATCATCTCTACCGCCTCTGGACCCGAGTTCTACGTCTCCATCATGACCTTCGTGGATAAGGACCTCCTCGAGCCCGGCTGCCAAGTCCTACTACACCATAAGAATCAGGCTGTCGTCGGTGTCCTCCAGGACGACGCAGACCCTATGGTCAGCGTCATGAAGCTGGACAAGGCGCCGACGGAGAGTTACGCAGATATTGGTGGTCTGGAGCAGCAAATTCAGGAGATTAAGGTGCGTGTCTTGCTGCCCAAAGTCTTTTTCATAGCTGACTGGATGTCGTAGGAATCCGTGGAGCTGCCATTGACGCACCCAGAATTGTACGAGGAGATGGGTATCAAGCCACCGAAGGGCGTCATCCTATACGGTGTCCCCGGTACTGGCAAGACGCTCCTTGCCAAAGCCGTTGCCAACCAAACTTCCGCCACCTTCCTTCGTGTCGTCGGCTCTGAGCTGATTCAGAAGTACCTCGGAGATGGTCCTAAGCTCGTGCGAGAGTTGTTCAGGGTGGCGGAGGAGCATGCACCAAGTATCGTCTTCATTGACGAGATCGACGCTATTGGTACGAAGCGGTGAGTTGTTTCGGCAGTATGCTATGATGTCACGGAACTGACTTTCGTGAAGTTACGACTCAACATCCGGTGGCGAGCGGGAGATCCAGCGTACGATGCTCGAGCTGCTTAATCAGCTTGACGGTTTCGATACCCGAGGGGACGTGAAGGTCATCATGGCTACGAACAAGATTGAGTCCCTCGACCCTGCCCTTATCCGTCCAGGTCGTATAGACCGGAAGATTGAGTTCCCGCTGCCCGATATCAAGACGAAGCGCCATATCTTCAAGTGCGTCAGCTCGCACTCTGCTTCCCTACTCTGCTTCATCTGACTGACTCCTGGTCAGGCTTCACACATCACGAATGAGTCTTGCCGAAGATGTGGACCTGGAGGAGTTCGTTACCGCTAAGGACGACCTCTCCGGCGCCGATATCAAGGCCGTATGTACAGAAGCCGGTCTACTCGCTCTCCGGGAACGACGGATGCGGGTGACGAAGGTCGACTTCACGGCCGCGAGGGAGAAGGTACGTCAACCCCATCGCAAACGAAGGTGCTATCCTAACATGACGATGTACAGGTGTTGTACAGGAAGAACGAGGGCACTCCGGAAGGACTTTACCTGTGATCTGTATTCTGTGTTCGTCGTTGTGCATATACTATTGTTTTCCTAGTCTACACAGCCTCCTGTCTTGCGTCCCTGACGGAGGCTTGGATCTCTTCTCACCTTGAAAGTCGAAGTGCAGTCCACTGGGGACAGTGATGAAGACAAGTGCACCAAGCTGCAGCTCGATGATCGTGGTGCGATAGGCTTTGCCACGTGCCTTGTCGCCAGGTTTTTCCCACCCAGCACGTTGCTGGGTGCGGTAACGCAATTTATATGCTCCGGTGAGTTCCTTACGTTGCGAGGTGCCCCTTCTCAAATAACGAGGCCATAATGGAAATATTGCCCAAGAAACACCTTTGCGGGCCCCGCCCGAGGTCCAATCCGACAGATGCACTGACGGATCTAAGTTGTGCATCGACTGTCCGACGCGCAGGCTACCTGGATTTCTGGGCACATGCTCGCTCTCGAAAGTCTCGGTGGCGTGTATTTTAGGGATGCGGAGAGGTGTGTTGGGGAGACCGATGGGAGATATGCATCGGGCATGGTGAGTAAAGGTATCTCGCTGAGTGTCCATGACCCCATGACCTCCTTCCCCTGTAGACCGCATAGTAGGCGTAATGCCCTCGTCATCTATAGCTCTCTCAGCACATCGCCAAATTGCGGTTATATACTACATAGTTACAACGTATGGACTCAGAAGCTGATGTACTTGCTATTCATGTCCCCTTTCCTGTCGACCGATTTATCCACCATGCCGATCTACGAGGTTCCGAACGCTATAATGTCCCGTCCTTGTTCAGACTACGTATACAACCCGTGGCCGCATCTTTGGGAATGCCATCCCCTCAAACCCTCTTGCGGCTTGCGAGGTTCTCTTAATCTCCGCCAAACACCTTCTCATTCCAATCCAGCTCCGTCATGAGGGCACGATCAGCTTCGCGAGCCGCCTTCGCAAACCATGATTCAGGTTTGCACTTGTGCCACCGCTTCACAAAGTACAAGAAACCCGTCGCGAACCCACAACCGCTCGTCGTTGCGTCGCAGAACGAACAACAGCACATGCGCACGAGGCTATCTATGACAGAAGCGAAAGGCACCGATGATGCAACATAGGTCTGCGTGTGTACATGAGTGTATTGTTGGACACCTGCTTTGTGAGCGCGTCCGCGGACACTGATGGTGGCGTGCGGGGAGACAGCTGTGCTTGGAGTTTAAGTACCGTTACTCGGCTTGGAAACTAGGATATATCGCGGCTCTTGCTCTGCGCTTCGTACCTGTTGATCCCTACTCATGCCTCCTTTGCTTTATGCTCCTACTTGAGTGCATATATGGGCCTCGACCAACTAGACATGGTTTCCCTGGACATCACGGACTAGGACTCGGAGTCGCCTCATGGACACGATTTCGCTGCATGGTATGGCCTTTCCGGCTTCGTCGAACTTGTGCCTCCGCGCCCCGTACTGCGCGTGGCTGGCGTCGGTGGTGGCCCCTGCAGTCGAATTGATGACTGGACGATTATATGACGCGTACAGACGCGTCTCTCCGTGACACCACCCTTTCTGTTTTGCTCAATTGGCGCTACCCTGATGAGGACTCTGATCCGCCACCTCCCCGTCCGGCCTCCTACTCGACGACGGTACTTTCTCTTAATTGAATCCATTATCCACTGACCTGGTGCGTGGACACACACTACGCATATATTGTTCCTGACAGTCGCCTGAGCAGGAAATCTTCACAGAACGCTCTTGCTTAATGCGCCGGTACATACTTCGCCCGTCGCGGAGAGTGCTGTGACGCGTCAGCTGGTATGTTCCGCTCCATTTCACCGCCCTCGCAATGCGCGACCCTACTTTATCGGGCGTTAGTCCGACCCTACCAGGTCTCCGTCGGGCGGGCGATATCAAGATGACGGAGCCTAGCTTGAAGCGATATCAACACGAGTGTGGCTAGTGCTAGGCGACGATAGTCCACCTGAGGTGAGTGGAGTATGGCCCCCTCCATGTTGCACAAAGCAAATCGCAGCCAGAGCGCTCCGCGGCGGGCATTCCATCTTGAAGGGTCGCGTATAATGGACTCGCTCGCGGGGATCGACGCGGGGGGGGGCGTAGGCGATGTCACCGACGCGATGACGGCGGGCGTCTGTGCAAGGGGATGGCGGGAGCGAGCGCTGATTGGGCGATGGGAAGAGACGCCGAAGCACGAACGGACCTGCCCTGAAGAAGGAACGTGGCTTGTGTTCTGGGTCGGTGATCACAGATCCGGGTGGACGTTGTTAGCTCCCCCCATCGCCCTCAGACTCCGCTCCCGTACCGTACGCCCTGCTCTATCTATTAACCACACTCCTCTCCTTCATCCTAGGCCACTATGCATGAACGGTGCCCCGCCGCCGTTCCCGCACTCTCCCTCGTCATGCCTCATCCTTCTCTCCCCCGTCGTCGCTCGTCCATGCTCTCGTCTGTCTCGGACCCCCACACTCCACCGCCCCGGAACTCGCCCCTGCCGGTCCTGTCTCCCGCGTCCAACAGGAAGAGTTCAGACAGCTGGAATAGTTCCAACTACGACGGAGCAGACGACCTCGAGTGGGAGTGGAAACCAGAGCAGACGCGTCTGTTGTCCCGTGTAAGTTCACGCACGCGTTTCCTTCTGCGCGTCAGTTATACCCGCAGCCCTGGCGCGTCTCTATGTCTCTAGACCCCCCTGGTCGCGTCCGACAGCTGACGCGTTGTTGCAGACTCTCGACGCTCTTCCCTCACACCTCATAACCCCCTTCAACGGCCCCGTACCCCCCTCGAATCTCCTCGACAAGATCGCAAGGGGTGTCGTGCACGCAAAAGGGCCAGCCGAATGGCCTCACTCTTTACGAGCCACGCGTGCCAAGATCGTCGAGCTCGCTCGACTGCGAGGGAAGGAGGACACCGCGAGCGATACTATCGCGGAGGAAGAAAGCACCGACCCGGGTTCAGTACAACAGAAGCCCAGCAGAGGGTTCAAGCGCCCCCTGCATAAGCAGTCAAGTATGGACTTCGTGCCAACCGCTGCCCAGCTTGACCCTTCGGACGACGCGATCGCGCGGTAAGCCCGACTTTTATGAGCGTCTGTCATCAGGATCTCGGCTAACGACCTAACGTCACCTCTCAAGCTTATCATATCGTCTGCAGCACACTGAACGTATGATCCCCAATCCGGCCTACCACCCTTATGCGCGTACCTCGCCCCGCCTTCGTACCATGGGTTCCACTGCTAGCTCTACTACACTCAACTCGCAAAGCTCATGCAGTTCTGGCTCCAAGATCCCCCGTCTCCGCCGTTCGCTATCGTCTATCTCCAACTCCTCCGACTCCTATATCCAGAATCCAGGGGTCGATCCTAGGGTCCAGCGCATCAGACGTACGGAGTCTTTCGCAGGATCCGCGCTCTATCCCCCTGGATCTCCACTCAAGTGTGCACCTTCTTTTGGGTCCATCTCCAAGCGCAGCTCCGATGCTATGAGCGTGGATTTCTCTAACCGTTCTGATGTTACCACGTCGGACGAGGAGGAGAAGCTGCGGAGTAAGAAAGCGAAGAAGCCGCGCGTCAAGGCGTGCTCTCCCACCCCTCCGGCCACTTCGCCTCCCGCTGTCTCTCCCGCCAAAACCAAGCAGCTCAGGAGAACAACTAAGCATATCTCGAAACCTTCCTCGGTCGCCGCTCCCACGGACAGTTCCCGTCGCACGTCCCGGCCCAAGATGACACTGTCGCGCAATCCCAGCATCTTGGGCCCGGAGTTACCTCAGCCTCCTCCGGCGCGCCCTGAGCATCCTACGCCCATCGTAAAGCCCCGGTCCCATCGGAAGTCACCTTCGTCACTGTCTCCGCCATCCACTATCCCGACGCCATCTCCGCCGTCACCGTCGCGCAAAACGCCCCGTCGCACGAAAGCCCCTTCGTCAGCCCGTGCGATTGTGGGTAGAAAGATCTCATTTGGCAATATGATGGCGACCCATGAAGAGGAGAACGTTAGCCTCGGGGCAGGTCTCGGTCTTGGGAGCGCTTTCCAGCTCGACTAGATCCGCATCATCTTCGGCGTCAGATTCCGGCATTGGCTCATTCGTCACGGACCCCCGCATCTTCAACACGAAAATCTTGCAACATCTCATCTTTTGCTCCGGCCAGCTCGTCGGCTTACATACCGCACTCTCGTTCACCTTCTGTTATACCTACTGGAGGCGTATTGAATCCTCCCCGTCACCGCTCCTTCGACAACAATCTCGCTTCAATGCTCAATCTCATACGCTCGTTCGCCCTTCCCCGGAACCCACCAAGAACACTCGCACATTCTATTTTGTACCACCACAATCCCCCCATGACAAGAGTTCCTGTTTGTTCCGATGCTCCCCCTCCGACCCCAATTCAATATCGCCAACCCCGACGCCTGATCGTGCTCGATCCCCGCATCTCTGCAATACTTGTCGCCAACAAGTTCGGCTGAGGACGACATACACGGAGTGTCCCCGTGCGCGCTGTATATACCGGCGAAAAATTCCGGTTGTGCTATGGTGTACTATATGCCGTTGATCTCGTTCATGGTCTCCCCCTTAACCCTCGAGTGTACAGTCTCCAATTCGACCGCTTCGGCGTTCCATGCCACACCACTGCTAACCTTTCTCTTCGAACTGAATCTCGAGCTATGAAATAAGGCTAATACCATAGTTCGGGGTATATCGCAACTCTGACTTGCTTTTCCTCTCGCCTTTCTCTTCGATCCTGCTTCCACGCTTGCTCACACCTAGATGCGTACTCTCCGTTTACGCCGTTACTGTTCCTTCTGCTTTCCTTCTCTCTCTGTCCATGTGCCGCCCGAGATCCCGGCTCTCTCGGTCTGTCGACCAGGGAGACATGGACTGGGTGGCGCAGCGTGCCCGGGTCTAGTTGCATATTTCTTGTACATGTGTTCCAAAATTTCTCTTCTCTCGTCTGCTGCGCACGCGTGCTTCGGGATTAAGATTCCTGCTCTTTCTTCGTTCATGTAGTACTTATGTTATTTCCCTTGCTTTTTGGAAGAATCTCGTGTACGTCATTTGGTCGTGGCTGCTGCCCTCAATTGTAGCCGTTGCTCCTGGGATGGCGTGGATCGGTGGGCGAACGCTGTGTGCATCAAGTGACATGCAAACAGACTTGCGAAGGGTGGGTCTTGTCGAAAGTCCATGGGCAACATCTTCGGGGATGGAGGGATCAAAACCGGACGCTGCTGTTGCAGCGCCGACCGCCCTGGTCTTTACGAGAGTGTGATGAGGGCTAGTCTGCCGGTCAGCTCATCAAACTGCGCCCGGATACCGAGGTCAAGACACGAGGCCGCGTGCACGGAGACCTAAGGGCACGCTACATTGAACTACCTCTTCAGGTGGGCCGAGCCTACGATCTTGCGGAGATACTAACGATGAGTGGATGATGCCTATTCATCCCTTGACACTGAGAAGCTACGAGCACACATGCGCATGACGTCCGAGAACGCTTCATAGGACGACAGGGGCCCCGCAGGGCCCGCTGGGGCATTACAGCAGTGCGAAGGTAGGAGACAGACGACAGCGACGACCGATGTACTGTATGTGTGCGTATGTGGGATTCTCCGGCCTGGACGGGACGACTCTGAGCATCCTCCGCCCTTCTGTATATGCACACGCGGAAGACTCACCAGACTAGAGGACATGCGTCGGCCTCTGCTCCTGCGCCTGCGTCTGCTCATGATGCGGGGGCGTCGGTCTTCGCCCGCCGCGCTGCGATCTCGGCGCGCTTCTCTGCGAGGAGGACGGCGGCGCGCCTGTCCCACTGGTAGGCCCAGTAGCCGGCGAAGCCGAAGGTGCCCGCGGCGATCGCGTGGCCGATGGGGTCTGCGAGGGCGGTGCGGGTGTATCACGGACGTATATGGGGACGCCAGGTTCGGGAGGGCCACACGAGAGCGTTCGCGGGTACGGCCGAGACGCGTGTCGGGCGGCGGCATCGTCCCAGTGGCCATGTTGGCAGAGAGACAGCGGGGACGAGGCCGGACGGAGCGGCGGGGCGGACGGAGGTTACACGGGTCAGACAGTCAGTCACTCGAGACGCATGAAGGGCATGAGGAACACGCACTTTCGAGGATGGGGCGTTTCTGGATGCCCAGCTGGCCCATGCGCGCGGCGATCCCGACGAGGGAGAAGCCGACGATGTTCGCGAGGAGGGACATGGCGGCGGCGGTGTGAGTGCGAGTGAGGGAGGGGATGTCGAGGCTGCAGGTGTCTGGCTCCGAGCGAGTCGTTGCCGCTTCCGGCGTCCAACTGGCACCTTGAGTTGGATATCGCGCGATAACCTATCGAGTCTGCGCGGTATTTGGGAGGACAACGCCAGATATGGGTTACACGAGTAACACGGCGCTTAGATGAAGTCTGTACTTATGCGGACGCGCAGGGACAGATCGCGAGGGCAGATACAGCATCTGTGCACGCGGCCCAACGCAAGGCCTCGCGGTATATAACCTTCTCTACTAACTCACACCACACCAGGTCGTCCCGTCACTCCTCGTGCACCCCTCCATCTCCCTTCACCAAACTTCTAGAGAACGCGAATTATGGCCGAAATCACCGAGCAACCCGAAGAGCAGCAGCAGCAAACGACGACGGGCGAGCAGACCGCGGCGCCCTCGAACCTATCTGCGGGCGGCGACATCGGGGAGAAGTTCAACGTGGCGAAGGAGAAGAAGGCGGCGGGAGACGAGGCGTTCAAGAGCAATGATCTCGTAGGAGGTGAGGGTGTCTACCGCACAGGAGTGGTTCGGCGTACTCATGCTTCGCACCGCATGCAGCGTTGAGGTATTACCACCAAGTACGTCGGGCACCCATCTCTGTGGCGAATGAACGTACTGATGCGCACGCTTCGCATGTTCGCAGGCTCTCTTGTACCTGAAGGGTCTCGACAAGTGCGTCCTGGCCGCGTGCGCCACTGTTCCTCGTGTGCATGCACGCTGATCGCACCTTCCTAGGAACGCGACGCAAAAGGCGCTAGGGCAGCCCGTGCCCCCGCCCCCGCCAATCGAGGCTGTGAACCAGGCGGCGGAGGAGAAGCAGCGGACGGAGGTGCGTGTCCCGTCCTAACCTTCTTCTCCTAGAATATACTATGCTGATGGGCGGGAACGCACGCAGGTGGAGTTCCTCTCGGAGAAGATCTACTCGAACATGTCGCAGGTGCACCTGAAGAGGGGGAACTGGCGGCGGGCGATCGAGACGGCGGACGAGGCGCTGCGGCACAACAAGAAGAACTACAAGGCGCTGTTCCGGAAGGCGCGGGCGCTGAAGGAGCAGGGCTACTTTGAGAAGGCGGAGAAGATCCTCGAGGAGCTGATCAAGGACGGGGACCCCAACGGTGCGTTTGGGGGGATGTCCTTGTGGATGCGGGCGGGTGCTGATGCTGCTGCGGACGATTTGCAGACAGGGAGGCGTGCGAGGAGGAGCTCGCGAGCGTGCGCGCGAAGGATAAGGCGGTCACTGTGAAGCACGACCAGAAGATGAAGGGTGCGCCTCCTCTCGCCACTGTTTGATGCTCACGGACACGGTACTCATGCGTCTTGTGCAGGATTCCTGAACAAGGAGAAGATAGACCTGAGCAAGGATTGAGACTGTCGCGCCAGTGGTCGTGCTTGTACTATCGCCGCCTGATTTGCTTCGTGTTTCCGATTGCTATTTTGTTACTGTTGCTCGGATATGCTGCTGTATCACCAGTTCCCTCTGCTCACACCTATCGCAATGTACGAATCCATTACGCGCAGATGCGTATATCGACGGTAGCAGTCGACATCGCGAGTGCGATCGATGCGGTCGATGTCGCTAACAGTGTCTAGAAGGAGCAAGGGAAGAGTGACGAGACGCGTGACGGAGGCACACGTGGGCGTGTAGTAGTGGTGACGCGCGGCCACTGGCAGCGGACTTTGCTCTCGACGGCGACGACGACGGACGAAGGTGGCTGGCTGCTGCCGACGCCTTGGCCCAACCATGCTTCCTGCACGACATCCGACCCAGCCCACCAATCCCGCCCTCGCCATACTCAACGCCTACTATCCGGTCGTGTCCACCGTGCATGCCTACCTGGACGATATCCTCGACACCCAGGGGCTTGACGTCCAGTTGATTCAAGATGCGGATGACAACCCCTACAGATTTCTGCTAGAGACTTCTTACGTGGCAGTACGCGTGCCTCCGAAAAACTTGAAGCGCTTCGTCCCAACGCCCCCCATGTCCCATATGCAAGACGTAAGTGACGATCTAGTCTTGCCCAGCACGCAATGCCTTTACCTCTACTCACCCTCAGGTGATCGACCGCGCCCAAGAAAGACTTTTCCTCAACGCGCGAGGCGGCCGGCCGTCCAACATCATCACCGCCGGCTACCGCAAGGTCAACCAGAGAGACGCGAGGAGCAAGATCGGCGCGAGTCGCGTGCCGCTGACCAACTACTTCGTCAACACGATGGTCACCGCCCTTCAGGCGCAAGAATGGGAGACTCTGCTCCAGAGGTCCGTTGCACTCAGCTGTATGCGCGCACTTCGTCGGTCTGACGGCACGCTACAGGGTAGGCGAGGACGCCATGTTCCACTTGCTCACGGAGACGTCCGTGTTCGTCTCTCTGCCCAACGGCTGTCTGTGTCAGATGACCGGCGACCCGGTCCTGCACATGAAGCCTTCCGTCGCTGTGCCGGTGCCAACCAGCGACGATGCGCGTCGTGGTAAAGGGCACGACGCGCCCCGGCGAGGCACCAAGCGACGGTGTATGAATGGGTACAGCGAAGAGCGTCCGCCCAAGCGTCGGAAACGTGCACTTGCAACGGCCCCAACGGCCCCGTCGGACCAGCTGAAGCCGCCCCGCACCTCGGACCCGAGTCGGTCAGTACAGAAGATAACCCACTCGCGCGCCCTTCATGCACGTCCACATTCACTGACGCACCGCTAGAGTGACCCCAGCAGACGTCGCGTTCCTCCGCGCGCGGATGTTGTACTCCCGCCCGTCGTTCGTGCCGCACAGCGCGAAGATCATCGTCGGCATTCCCCCGAAACGTAGGTCTGCAGCTCATAAGCACCGGAGGGCGCTGTCGCTGACCGTTTTGTGGTACCCAGACGTTCTGAACCGCTTCTACCCCGCCTGGCGCTCCTCCGCCGAGGCGGGGACAGGTGTTGGGATCGATCCCGACCCGAGGCGGCAGATGGAGCATGCCAGACACCTCGCGAAGCACGTTTTTCCCGGGGAGTACGGGTTGCGCAGCGCATTCTGTACGGGGCCGCTGGGCAAGCACGCGTCGTCCCGGACGCCAGACGGCGCGCACAGGGAACAGGAGATCAAGGTGAGCAGAACGATTTTATAGCCAAAGAGCCCAGAGGGAACGAGGACGGCGCATAAACTAGAACAAGGGGCCGTGCAAGACCCCGAAGCGGCTGAAACATGTCCTGGACCCCTTGGAGAAGATGGTATGGAGGCACCGTAAATGCAAGTACAAGATGCTCCTCGACATGGCTTGCCCGTCCAAGGTACGCCGGGCCTGCCGCCCATAATCCGCACTGCGACTGCAGCGCTGACCGCATGCGGTAGCTCGCCAGCGACACGAGTCGGCCGTTGGACAGCGGCGTCATCCTGGTACGTCTGGCACGTCTGGCGGTGACCCGCTGAACCGCTCGAGAGGAGGCGCGATGTTCACCCCGTCCCCCCTCGCAGGAACTGATGTCGGAGACGTCCATCCAGCTGCAGACCCAGCCGACCGTCGCCGACACGAGCATCTCGCTCGACGCCGCTGGCCGCCCCGTCCTCGCCCTGCATGCCCCCTCTCAGGCGCGCAAGCACGCGAGGCACAAGCCCCGGTTCGCTGAGTTCGCGTGCGGGGCCGATGAGGTCTTCCGCTATGCCGTCCTCGTCACGAAGGCGGTCGTCCCGAAGGCGTTCTGGGGCAGCGACTATAACCTCGGGGTCGCGATGCAACGTGCGTGCCTTTTTCTGCTTGCTCCGTGCTTCCAGCTTGTGAAGCTCAAGGCTCGACGGGCGGGCGGGCTGCAGACGTCAAGCATATGATCACGATGCGGCGGTACGAGACGACGACGGTGCACAACGTGCTGCAGCACTTCCGCACGGCCGACTGCGACTGGCTCGCGCCGCACACGCCCGGGGCCCTGCAGCAGACGCGGGTGTCGGTGACGGACGCGCGGAAGCGGCGGGACCTGCTCGAGGAGTTCCTGTTCTGGTATTTCGACGGGTTCCTCTTGCCCCTGCTCAAGGTGCGTGGTCGCGCTCAGCTTGGAATCGACCGATGAAGACACGATCGCGCGCTGTGCTGTGGTGTGCTGACGCGGGGTGTGCAGACGACGTTCTACGTGACGGAGTCGGCCGCGTTCCGCAACAGGCTGCTGTACTTCCGGCACGACGACTGGCACACGCTGTGCGCGCCGCTCGTCGAGAAGCTGAGCACGGACACGTTCCGGCGCATCGAGCAGGTGCGTTCGCGTTACAGCCGTGGCTGTGTCTGTGGCTTCAGGTTCGTGGAGAGCAACGGAGGTCCTGACGCGGCGCGGCAGCTCGAGGCGCAGGAGATCCTGCGCCAGCGGAAGCTGGGGTTCTCGTTCGTGCGCCTGCTGCCGAAGGAGACGGGCGTGCGGCCGATCGTCAACCTGCGCAGGCGGGTCGAGAAGGTACGACTGCTGCTGCTGGGGTGCTGTCCACTGGCTTGCGGGCGGGACGCTGACGCGCTGGAGGGTGCAGGACCCGTTCAAGCCGTCGCAGTCGATCAACCAGATACTGCAGGCCGCGTTCCAGATTTTGACGTACGAAAAGGTACGCGGGGCACTCTGAGTGGAAGAGAAGACGGTGGAGACGGATCGTTTGCAGGAACGTCAACCGGAGTCTCTGGGGGCGTCGGTGTTCGGGCCCAACGAGATCTACGCGAAGCTGAAGGCGTTCAAGGCGCGGCTGACGGGCGGGGACCCAAAGGCGAAGAAGCTGTATGTTCTTCTTCCACACGATTTGGCCGGAGGTTGCACCGTGATTCGATTACGCGTGAACCATTTTTTAGACCCAAGCTGTACTTCGTCAAGGTCGACGTCCAGGCGTGCTTCGATACGATCGAGCAGACGAAGCTTCTTGAGATTTTACGAGACCTGCTCTCCGAGGTACTGTTTCCCTCTAGCTGAATGGACGTCGGTCACCGGCTCATGTGTGTCGTAGGATACATACATGATACAGCGTTACGGCGCCGTCAACAAGGCTGGGGAGAAGTTCCAGAGGAGGTATGTCAAGAAAGCGATGCCGGAAGGTCGGTCTGTCACACGCTGGGTGGCCGTGCGGAGGACGTTCATTCACTTCCGTCGACAGACGACCATCCCCACTTTCTCGCGTACGCTGCACAGCTCGCGGAGGCGATACGCAATACGGTCTTCGTGGATCAGGTTCGCGTTCCGAGATTTTCTTCCTTATCACGGTGCTTCGGACTCCCTGACCCGTCAGTATCGCAGGTGGTGTACCCGTATGCGCGGAAGCAAGACATCATCGCGCTCCTCGAGGAGCATATCACCGAGAACTTGGTGAAAATCGGGAACGAGTACTACCGGCAAGTGGTCGGCATCCCCCAGGGCTCGGTGCTGTCAGCTATCCTCTGCTCGTTCTTCTACGGGGACCTGGAGCGCAAGGTGTTCAGGTTCAGCGAAGATCCCGAATGTGTATGCTCCGGTGGTCTAAGTGACAAATGTATGATCTGCATTGTTGACATTCGCACAGTGTTTTATGCGACTCATCGACGACTGGCTACTGGTTACGACCAACCTGTCGAAAGCGAACGGGTTCTACGACATGGTGTCCGAGGGTACGCTTAGACCATCAGTCTTCCGCAAACCTCCCCTACAGCCTTATTTCACGCAGGTCATCCGGAATACGGGTGCTTCATATCGAAGGACAAGAGCCTCATGAACTTCGATCATCCGGAGCTTGTCAACATTGTTGATCCTCGGTCGAAAGGTAATAGCTCCTCGTTGACCTTTAGGTCTATACTAAGCTCCATTGTGACAGTTTTCCCGTGGTGCGGATACTCCATCAATATGTCAGACTTGTCCGTGACTGTGGACTACGCGCGGTATCATGATACGTGTGAGTTTCTACGCGCTTCTGCTTGCATTATCAACTACGTGCAGGCAAATTTGAGCTGATCTTGCCCTTAAGACCTACAAGATTCGCTGACCGTGGAGTACGGACGTCACCCAGGGGCGGCGTTCGCGCACAAGATGATGCAGTATGTTGCCTGCTACGTCCCCTCGTGCGGGTGCTCAACGAATGGCGCTTGCAGACTGGCCAAGTCCAAAAGTCACATCATCTACAATGACGCCGAACTCAACTCCAGAGATGCCATCTACGTCAACATCTACCAGAATTTCGCCGTTCTCGCCATGAAGATGTACCACTATCTCCGCCAATGGGGGTTAGACGTTTCGAAGGGCCGTGCCTTCATCCTCAGTGCGTATCGTACACGTCAGGATGGCCATTAGTCACCGGCGGCGGATCCTGACTATGAAACGTTAGGAACCATCCGACAGACCATCCGCTTCTCCTACTCGTCCATTTGCATCAAGGCAGGACACAAGCTCGCGACACAGCATCGCGCGCGCGTCATCGTCCAGAAGTCGGAAGTGACATGGCTGGGGACCCACGCGTTTCACGCCGTCTTCTCCCGGAAGCCGCACGCATACGCAGGTCTGCTCAAGTCACTTCAGTTCGACCTCTCGCTCCACAAGTATCGACGCTTTAAGAAGCAATTTCGAGAGGTCATTGCAGAGGGACTCTCCCCGCTGACCTTGCTGTGCTTCTGACTGTTTATTTTGAGTACCGCTCATCACCGTTTAGGCGCGCAGCAGTGCCGCGGGCCGCCTCCTCGTCACATTTCTCTCATTTGCAACATGACGTGAAATTTGCACAGCCCAGAGATGGCGATAGCTGAATGTACGGTATCCGGGTGTCACTTCGCACTGGGAATACAACGGCGCAACTTCTCCGGGAGCTGTTCTGACGGGAGAAATCCATCAGTCGTTGTCACGCGCTTCGGTGAGCATCTCAGAAGGCGTCGTGTACACACGATGGCCATATCTGTGGTCGTATCTAGCGGGAGACGGAGATTTGCAGTCACACGCTAATGCTTTTCCGGCCGCATTTGTCCCTAACCATGCTGGCATCGTCTTCGAGAACTTCGCTCGACGCGGTCTTCCCTGGCTACAACTCCTCATCATGTGTTCTACCAAGCCCAACAGGTGGTCTAGGGTGCGGCATGTTGACTCCCGTCGGCGTCGATAGTAGTTCAGTCATCTCGGCTATGGGTTGCGTCAACTGTAGTCGTTATAAGGATATCCGCTACGCAGACACGTCTCAGGCCTGCACCTCCTGAGCTTCGGCACGCTTGCGTCGACTTCTATCTCCGTGATGGCCTTACCTCGGATGTTCTTTGGTTTAGCCGCACTCGTCACTCTTGTCCTCGCGTCAGGTTTCTCGTCGGCAGCCATCTACCAGAGATCGGTCCCGCAAGGCTGGTCGCTGCACCGTCGCGCCGACCCCGACGCCCTGCTTCCCCTCAAGTTCAGCCTCGCCCAGTCCAATCTCCAAAACCTTGAAGCCTACCTACTAGATATTGCCGACCCGACATCGCCTAACTATGGCAAGCACTGGCCCGCTGATAAGGTCACCGACACCTTTCGACCTTCGAAGACCACCGTGGACGTTGTGCATTCTTGGCTTGCTGTCGACAACGGGATTAGTTTAGACAATATCCAGCTGAGCCGCAACGGGGATGCGCTTCACGTCAACGTGACTATTGCCGAGGCCGAACGCATCCTCGGTGCAGAATACAATATCTATCGTCATGGCAAGACAGGCATTGAGCGCGTTGGATGCCACCAAGGTTACGCCTTGCCTGAGCATGTGTCGAAGCACGTCGACATTGTGTGGCCTACGGTACACTTTGGTAACTCGGTGGTTACCCGGAGGGATGCCTCTGCGTCTAGCCTCTTGCATGTCGAGCACGAGTCTGGGGCCACCACACAGCCAATCTCGGTAGGATCAACGGCTGTTTCACGAACACTGTGACAGCTTCTGATACGTACGACTTTTACAGGAAGCGGAGCTAGAGGCGTCAGGTTGCGACGAAGCGGTCACAATCGAGTGCTTGCGTGACCTGTACCATTTCGACTACGAACCTCTTGCCGCCGATAGGAACACTATCGCTGTCGGTTGGTGCTCATATCCCGTTGTGGAGGGGCTTAGCTGACAGCGTGTTGATTCACAGCCGAGTTTGAAGCAAACATAGTTCAGCCCGCCGACCTAGATCTGTTCTTCCAAACGTATGCCCCCGATAGAGTTGGGCAAGTACCTACTCTGGTCAGCATCGAGAATGGTTTGTCCATGCCGAGCTTCCAGTCTGTCCTTGGTTCACGTGCGATGACTTTGCAGGAACGAACTCCCCGCCCGGATCTCTGGGGGAAGCTACGTTAGACTTTGACCTCGTGATGGGTCTCCTCAGTGCCAAGCAGGAGGTCAAGCAATACGCTGTGGGAACCACCAATGCTAATCAGAATCCAGGTAACTTCTCTTTCCTTGTTTTTCTTCTCGCAAACTGAACCTACTCGCCGTAGTGGACGAACTTCTTGGCGCATTTGATGCTTCGTTCTGTGAGCGGGACGGTGTAAGCGACGAAGGTTGATTACAGACTTTTGAGAAACACTGGACATTTGGGCTTACGAGTCACGACGAAACAGACCTTGTTGACTGTGGAGACAAACCTCTGCCCAATGTTATATCCATCTCGTACCACTTTTCTCCCGACTACATCGACCCCACTATCACTCCCGTCGTCACAAGGCAATGCACCGAGATTGGCAAGGTACGTCGACGTCATACGTGGACATATCCCCTTTACTCAGCCATGCGGCACATTCACAGCTTAGTCTGAGGGGCATCACGTTTGTTGCGTCATCTGGTGACAGCGGGGTTTCGTACGGAACTGGCCAGCACGGCTGTTTGGTGAATGGTACTCTTGTCAACGGCAACCCCGTTGGGACGTTCATCGGGCAGCTGCCTGCCTCGTGTCCCTTCGTCACGGCTGTCGGTGCGACGTCAGTGGTACCCGGAAATAGTGTTTGTCCGCATGCTTCTTTGGTCAGGCCGCGCATCTGAACGATCATCTCGTTTCGTTACTCTTCAGGTGGACGATCCCGAAGAGGCAACGACCGACTTCCCGTCTGGAGGCGGCTTCTCGAACAACTTTGCTCGTCCAAGCTGGCAAGAGGCCCAGGTCAGCAAGTATCTGTCCAAGTTCGCACCCGACTACGCTCCGGACATCTTCAACAGGTCTGGCAGAGCCTACCCCGACGTTGCAGCTAATGGGTACGTGTATAACATCATGCCTCGACACGGCTCAGTGGCTGCGGTGATTAAGCGTGCTTTCCTAGGTGGCCCACTGTCGTCGCAACAAACGGAAAATTCTTCCAGTCAGGCGGTACATCCGCATCCGCGCCCATCTTCGCATCTTTCGTCGCGTCGGTCAACGATGCTCGTATCGCCGCTGGTAAAAGGACGGTGGGCTGGATCAACCCCGCGGTACGTCCTACACTCTGCTTGACAGAGATCTATATGGTCAACGCCAACATTCCAGCTGTACTCTCGCGAGTTTGCTCATGTGTACAACGACATAACTAACGGGACGAACCCCGGATGCCAGACTGAGGGCTTCCCCGCTGCTCCTGGCTGGGACCCTGTTACCGGACTGGGCACACTGAACTTTCCGCTTCTTCTGGCAGCGTTCTTGCAGCTTCCGTGACCGGGTGCTGCGTATATGAGCTAGCACTACAGCTGGAAAGTGACTGAGGATCTTGATTTCGGACATCGTGTTGTTGTAATCATACATATCCAGTGTCGTGGTTTCAGTGAATGCATTGTCAACAACGCGACCATGATCCAGCAGAGCCGCTGCACGCGGGAAGAGACAAATCCACCCATAGGTCAACAGACCGTTGAGGGGCGGAAGTCGCAAGGACATGTGTCTAGGTACCTTTGGATGATACGAGCGGACGCCGTTCGTAGACTTCTCTTACTGATGGTTGATCTGTTAGACTCTATTACTCGCAATAGACCCGCGCCGCATGGGCCCCAAGTATTCATCCTCGTTTCTCAGCTCTTACGTCAGGTGGACAACATTGTCGACTTCTGGTGCTCAAGATGACTGCTGCGAATCAACGAACGACGAGATTAGTCCAGAAGGCGTGCATACATGGGATATACCACTGATACATATCCTGCAACAGGCAAAAAGGCTCGAGATGACGAGAAGAGACGGGAGGCGGGACAGGACAGACACGAGCGGAAGGTCGAGCGCGAACGTGAGAACCGTGATCGGCGCGCGAAGGACAAAATAATACGAACAAACGGACTGACAATGATAGGGGCAAGGAGAGAGGACGAGGAATGCTGTTACAACCCGAGCGCGCGGGACCGACTCTTCGTGAGGCATGAACAAAGGAATAGGTATAAAGAGGAGACAGCAACGCAGTGGCCCGGGTGTATGATAATCATACTCGCGAGAGAGGACGACGGAATGAACAACAAAGCTGACGGGAAATAAGGAGAGGACATGAAAAGATCGTGTAGATATGGTCGGGGGTAGCACGAGGAGAGGGACAACCAAAACGAGCGTGGGCGTGATCATGTTCAGAGGCATCAATGACCGAGAGATTGGGGGAATCAAGAATGCGCGAAGGCAAGGGGTAACGGGTGCAGACGAGAGGAATTCGTTCATCGTTTCGTGAAGATCTTGTTGAGGAGACCGAGCACCTTCGGGACGTTGAGCTGCACATACTCAAGGTCCAACAGGTGCTTGTTGTCTTTTTGCTATTCCCGCAGAAGAAAGACGGTCATGAGCACGAATATATTCAGTACAACGCCGGCGAACATACCTTCTCAAGGAGATCATCGATGTTGAGATCCATCTCCAGGATCGCCTTCTCCCGACCCTTATAGTGCAGCGCGATGATGAACGTGCCGGGCGTCGGCGACGTGAAGTTGAAGTAGATGTTCGGCCGCCTGAGACGCGTGAAAGAGAAGGCTCCGTGAGCGACCGCGCTTCACCGAGAATAGGGCGGGCGCGCTGGACTGACCTGTTGTCGGGCACGTTGCTTTCGACGATGATGCCCTCCTTCTCGAGCTGCGCGTGCGTGAACCGGTACGGCCCGTGCACGACCGGCTTCGCGGGCTTCTTCTCCTTCCCGCCCACGGTGACGACGCCCACGCCCGTCGACTGGCCCTTCTCCTTCGACGCCGTCAGCCGCACGTTCTGCAGGTACGCCTTGTACTGCTCGAGCTGGCCCCGCAGGTAGTTGTTGTGGTCGCAGATCGTCTTGTACACCGCCTCGAGGCTCTTCGTCTCCAATAGGACCTTCTCGCGCAGGTTGCCGAGGTGGACGAGCTCGGCTGAGACCTCGTCCTGCATGAGCTTGTAGCCGTCTCCCCGGTCGACAATCTTCTGCTCCTCGAGCTCGCGCAGCATCTCCTTGACCTTGATGCCCTTGCGGACGAGCGTCGCATCCTTGGTCGTCGCGGCGCGCTCCGCAATCGCGGCGAGGTTGTACGGCCGCTTCTCGGCCAGACCCGGGATCGACCGGATGAGCTGCACGAAGATCGACTTCGCTTCCATGTAGAGCATGTCGGACGGCGAGACCGAGTCCATGAGGATGTCCTGCACGGGGGTCTCCCACCGGCTGTAGAGGGGCAGCTCGATCGTCCGGTTCTCCTTCCGGGGAACCTGAGGCGGTGCGGCGCCGAGCTCGTCGGTCAAGATTCGCAGATGTTGCTTGTCATTTGGTGACTACAAAGCGTGCCATTAGCTGCTGTTTGCTGTATGCCGTATCGCGCGCACGTACCAAGACTTCGATGTGTTGTAGAATCAGGGAGTGGGTGTTATACAACTCATTCAGAGTAATGTTGATAACGAGATCCTTCTTCGACAGGGCCATGTACTGGTCCATCTGCACAAGACGGTCAGTGAATGATTCCCGCATACCATGGCAACACACACCTCTAGGGTGTCATAAAAGTCGCCAACTTCACATAGGTTGTTCAGGAACTGGTTGATCCGCGCCTTGTTGTTCTCTACGAACGGGTTAAGCGTGATCATATATGCCTCCTTGGCGTACGACGGCTTGTTGGCAAGGTTCTGCAGCATCTTGGCAATCTGCGAGGACGCATGAGATCATGGCTGTCACATAAGCACTAAGTAGACGCTTACCAAGGTCAATGTCCGTCTGGGATGCTTTGCAGGGACGCCTTCTACAAGCATATATGCTTGTGGCGTGACAATCGCAGGGTTGATGAAGCGAAGGAAGAAGAAACCGCCTATGAGCGAGCAGATGGCGTAGTCCGTTGCGTCAGGGTACTTCCGCTACACACACGAAACGAGCAGACACAGGGATGCGCAGGCAGGTAAGCATAAGCGCCCTTCGCGCAGGAATGGAGACCGTTACCACATACCCTGGTCAGGCTGCGAATCTGCTTGCAGATCCACCGGATACCGTATGGGACGCTCTCCAAACTCTCCATGATCGTGAGCAAGAACGAATTCGCAATCTCCATGAGCATCGTCAGCCGCGGCGCGATGATGGCCTGCACGTCCGCGTTCGCGGCGGCCACCTCCGGGGCCACTCCGCGCGGCAGATTGGGCGGGAGGGTTCCTGTCTCCTCCTCGATCTGCTGGATCATCTGCTCGTAGACCTTGACCGGGTTGATCTCCAGGTTGAGGTCTTTGTGTTCTATGAGGCTGTTGATCCGCTCAGCGAGCACGCTCTTCAGGTAGCTCTGACCTGGGCCGCGGCGGGTGTAAGTGGTCATCATGCGCGAGACGGGGGTGTTGGCGCGGAGTAGGGAGCCGAACTCGGTCGCGGTTTCGAACTGGGAGGAGAGCACGGACTGGAACATGGTCAGCAGCAAGTGCTCTTCTCGCGACTCGTACTGGTTTCCGTAGAGCGTGAACATGACCGTCTGGAGGAGGGTGTCGATCTCGGTCAAAGAGACGAGGCGGCACAGGTTCGCGATATGTCTTGGCTCGGATTGGAGGAGGAAGAAGAGGTTCGAGTACTGCTGCAGCTTTCGGTCGTCTGGATAGTGGCCCTCAGTCGGGTCGACCTCTTCTAGGTGCTTCTCCACCTCGTGTTGCTGCCCTGGAATGAGCGGACGCCGCAATTGTGTAGCGCGTAGAACGCACCTCATCAAGAGCCATTCGATTTTGGATGAGCAAACCGATACGAGAGTCAAGGAAGCGGACGTCTCGCTCGAGCACGAAGTTGCGCTTCGACTGAGCGGATATCCGCGACTTGAGCTCCCTCAGCCGCTTTTGGGCTTTAGGACGGCAGAGAAGGGCGTGAATGGGATGCGCGTGCCAGAGCAAGGCGGTAGTTACATACCGCGGCCCAGCTCATCCTCAACCTCGACGTCCTGCTCGGCGGCCATGCTAAAAAGCGCGGTGACGCTGTAGCGGTTGGTGTTTCTGTTGGTGAGGCGGCGGGTAGACATGCTGCCCGGGGACTGTGGCGAGGTGGGGTAGTCAGAGTAGGACATGTTGGCGGCTTGGTCGGCGGTACAGGGCGAGTTTGGAGAAGATCGTGCGGATTAGAACACCGGAGAGAGAAGCGAGCGTCACAGGAAAGCGAAGATAGATAACAAAGGCCAGGTATCGCCTGTGACCCGCTCAGAGCGACTTGATATGGGGGGAGAATATCGTGTGCGAAGACGGGCAGGAGAGTGGGGAGGGCCCGTAGTGGAGGGGAGAGTTAGAGCGAGAGCGGGAGTGAGAGAAGAACTGAGAAACAACAACACCGGCAAAGGTAAACTGATCTTCTAATAGAGACTATAGATCGACTTCACGACAAATCTTACTTCCTTGTTACCGCGCCGAAAAAGGCGTCAATCCCCGCTATCTCTCGTCCGGGCACATTCGCGCAGTCCTGCTCGTCGTCTACGTTCCACTCCTCGTGCCATCCCCTCGCACGTCGTGAAGGCAGTCCATCAGTATCCCCTGCGCCCGAGCGATACACTGGTTCGTGTCAAACATTCTCCTTTCTCAATTCCCCGCATTGCACATGCCTCCAACTCTTCGCTGCCACCACAGATGCCGCAGCTTCTCACAGCCACCCAGCCGTCCGCTTGCCGCCACAGCGACTCATCGCGCAACTAGGTCTACATAGTTTGGAGTTTGTGTTATGACGACCTTTCCTTCTCACCCAAGTCGAAAGACCCGCTCCCTGGTGGAACCATGCGCTGGTTCGGGATGTGTGCGCTGAGATGCCGCTGGCAGGGTCACTACTTCCGCAGGCTTCGTTCGTCTGGGACCGCCTCCTAGCTGAGCGCAGTGATCCCTTGTGTCTCCCTACTTGCTATCTGGCTAGCTCGGTTTCACGGGAAGACCCTTAGAGCTGTTACCGTGCTACACACTCACCGCCATGTGTCAAGTGTTCACACAGGTGTGCCAGATGATTGACCGTCTTTCAGATACAGACAGCGAAGTCGGAAGCGGTATAGATTACAGATTACCGTTGCCATACTAGGCAGGCATGCGGTGTCCCGCTCATGCGCTCTTAGATCGGGCTGCGCATATCCTGTGTTGCCTGTGTGCGCTCGGACGGGTATGTCAACACGAACATGCCCAGGAGTCCATTTCTGCATCGAATATAGGAGGCGCTGTGTCAAGCACACTCGGATGATACTATTACATTCGACGCCTAATCATGTCGCGATGTCTCAGTGACACAACAAGTCCTACGGACTACTCAATCACCTCTCGCCTCACACGCACCTTATCAAACCGACACGTCCTCGCGGGCCTTCAGAATGGTCTCGCGCAGCCGCCTGAGCGCCTCGTCGACCTGATCCTCGGGAAGCAGGCTGAACGACGCACGGACGTACGTCGTCTTCCGGCCACTCGGGAGAAACACCGTTCCAGGCAGCGCGAGCACCCCATTCTCCAACGCCTTCGTCCGGATGACCGCCTCCGAGTCCCCCTCGTCCAACCCCGACGCAGCGCCCGTCTTGCCCAGCTGCAGCTTGAACCTGCAGAAACACATGCATGAGCACCCAGATACAGCGCGTTCCGTCCCCTGACGGCACGGGCTCGAGGCCGAGTCTCGGACCCTGCTGGCTCCCGACGCCAGCCCGTCCTCCGCGAACGTGACTGGATACTCGATACAGCGCTCGGACCGCAGCGGCACGTTACGCACCAGAAAAACATGCCCGCCTCGGGGACGTTCCACTCGGCGAGCCCGTCGAGGTGCTTGCGCATCAGCCGCTCGAACACGTCCCGTTTCGCGCGGTAGAACTCCGCGACGCGGTCGACGTGCGCCCGCAGCTTCTCGTACCCCCAAACCTGTAGCATGCGCAGCGAGAGCACTTGCGTGAACGACGGCGGTTGCAGGTTCGAGTTCATCGTCTGTACGCGTGTGTTGCGGGGTGGGGCGTCGGTCGAGCGTGGCGCAGCGATCCATGCCGAGATTTGTCCAGAGTCAAGTTCGTGTCGGCATCAGTATCAGTGTCAGGCGGATATAGTGTGACTCGCACAATGCGGACGTACGTGCATGACGACGGCATCGATGATGGGCTGTGGGGCGGAGATGAAGCCGATCCGCATACCAGACGACAGGACCTTTGACAGGCTGTCGAAGCGGACGACGCGCCCGACCTCGGGCTGGTCGCGTTCGAGCGTGAAGTACGAGGGCGGGCGCGGGGCGCTGCCAAAGTATAGGTAGTAATATGGGTCATCTGTTCGCGCGAAGGTCCATCAACACTTATGGTTACTAGCAAAGGCAAGACAGAAATGGGCGCATACGCACCTTCGAGGATTAGGAAATTGTGCTTCCGGGCAAGCTCTAAGACCTCGAGACGCCGCTCGACCGTCGAGGTTACCCCGGTGGGGTTACAGCCGTACTATTCCCACCTGCAATCAGCACCGTGCCCCACTGCGTGACAGTCGATCGGCTCAAACGCACTGGGACGGTATACAGGACTTTCGGTTTCGGCTTGTCCCGCGGCCAGCTATCCAGCGTCTCCCGCAGACCCTGCGCGTCGATACCGTACTGGTCTGTTTGAACCTCTGCAAACAATCGCGGACAAGACGTCCGTCTGTAAGAATGCGTCCGGGGTCCCACGACCAAGCGCGTCGGAAACTTACCCATCATCTCACCTCCCGCGGAGTGGAACATCGGAATGACACCGCTGTGAAGGTGTGCGGGATGTGGTTAACTGGCTGCGACCACACATTCGGAGGTCGGAACGTACGCATAGACGGGTGCTTCGATCAATACGACGTCTCCAGGGTTCACCAGCGCGTTCACAGCCTGCAGGCATATTCGCCATCGTTAGCTTGCCAGAACATCGGCGTCACATCGAGACCCTAGCGTCCCTGAAGCAGATACCTTGTAGATCAGGTCGGACGACCCGGTGCCAAACGCGAGATCCCAGCCTTCGCCACGCTTGCGGCCATGGCTGTACTCCTGCAAGCCTATCAGCCATTCGAGGAAACCCGGGATGCCCTTGCTCCCGCTGTACTGCAGGCTGCGCGAGAGCTCGGCCTCGGTGAGCGACACGGGGACCTCGTCGTTCGTGGCCGGGTCGCGCAGCGTAAACTGCAGGGACGTGATCGGGAACGTGTCTGCGTTTGGTTTCCCTGCGAGGAGAGAGATCACGCCTGGACGATCTTCGAGTGGCAGCAGAACACGGACTAGATATGGATACAAGTTTGTGTACATTGAGATCAAAATAGCAGCTGTGATGGCGGGCGATGGGTACTCACTCGGATCCTCTATCCGGCGCTTCGAGGAATCTGAGATGAACGACTCGTAAAAGGAGCTCGAGAGAACTCGTGATGATATCGGGCTCTGTTCTGGGTGCTGGACCTCATTCTGCGATAAGCCATTTGGCGCATCGAAGTCGTCAGCCATTGCACAGCGAGGCACCGAAGTCCGAGAGCTGTACGGAGTTGGGAACACAGGAAGATGGGAAGGAGCGGGTGGCCACCGACCTCTGGTCCTTATCAGCCTCTTGATACTATAGCCGAACGCGTAGAGAATGAGTAATGAACAGGGTGAGTCATTTTGAGCCTCAGCGCTGGGCATCCATGCTATTGGACTCGTCGAGCATGCTTCAGAAGGAGCGCTAAGACCAGCGGTCGGCGTACTGCCGATCCTCACCAGAGCCGACGGTACGGCTATGCCGGATAATTTTCAATGCGCAAGAACCACTCGTCATGTGTGAGATGTCTGACCGCTGTGAATTCATATAGCAAGTGCTGACAATAGAGAACAGCTATCGCCGATTCAGAGCGACGTCCTCTTGGCGGAGGAACTCACTTGATGGTTAGGCACCCAAAACAACGTAAGCAGACGAGGACATGCGCGCAGGGTGCGTTCGTCAAGCTCGCAGACGACAGAGTCCGGGAATGCAGCGGACAAGGCAACGTGGCAGGTCGCCTGTCCTAGGCTTGACGACTCTGCTACCAGTATACGTTCGTGAGGCCTTGCGAAAAAGAAGCTGTGGTCGCCGCCACCAGACCTACGGGATTTGTTATGGTATCTCAATAGTAAGAATATTCGCATTGAATCCGAAGGTGGCCGAGCGATTCCTTCTACGGTGAGTTATTTGGCAACCAGGAGGAAGTTCAATGCGAGGAGTCCAGCGCACACACGCTGTGGTAATGATACGCACCTACGTACTCGCCGTTGCATTGTGTTCCACTGAAGCTCATAGCAAGATTCGGCATGTGCACATTGTGCTGAAAACTCTCGCCAGGCCTTAAGGTTGGACGTCGACTGTTCTGAGAGGCACCTCAATTTCGTGACTATAGTGGCTCAGATACCTGACTGTGCCATGTTGATGAGAAGCGGTCGCAAGTTGCTGAGGCACGGAGAAAAGGTAGTAGTTCGGCACAGACGCGGCAGCCGCCCAAACGCAGGAGGCGTCGCTCGCACGTGAGGAACTTTGTGTGGCCGTATTTGGCGGAAGGCTGTAGTACTGGCAAACTTTATTTTTGAGATCCACAGACTCTTCCGCTCGCCGGCAGCGTCAAGACATCAATCCTCAAGACTATCCTCAAGAATGGCCTCTCGCCCCACCGTCAACGTTCGCTCCGCGTCGGGAGGTGAGTACATGCGATAAATGCACTACTTTGAGAAAGGCAGGCCAACAAATAATCGCAGAGGCCTCGACCTCGCTCCCCCTCCCCGCGGTTCTCACCGCCCCCATTCGTCTCGATGTCGTGCAGCAGGTTCACAGTGAGTAATCGAGATATTTGACATAGTAGGAACAGTCTCTAAAAGTGCGTCCCGCACTTACAAGAGAGCATCGCGAAGAACAAGAGGCAGGCGTACGCTGTGAGTGAGAAGGCCGGCCACCAGACCTCAGCCGAGTCCTGGGGTACTGGTCGTGCTGTTGCTCGTATCCCTCGTGTCGGTGGTGGAGGTACCCACCGTTCCGGCCAGGTGAGTAAATATATAACACTGTTGCTGCGTTCTCGTCTTGAGCGAAATTCTTTACTTCAGGCTGCGTTCGGTAACATGTGCCGCGGCGGTCGCATGTTCGCGCCCACCAAGACTTGGCGCAAATGGCACGTCAAGGTCAACCAGAACCAGCGCCGCTTCGCCGTTGTCTCTGCCCTCGCCGCGTCTGCCCTTCCTTCGCTCGTTCTCGCACGCGGTCACCGCATCGAGCAGATTGAGGAGGTTCCCCTCGTTGTCTCTAGCCAGGCTGAGAGCTTCAAGAAGACCAAGGAGGCTGTTGCCCTCCTCAAGTCCCTCAAGGCGTACGCCGACGTTGTCAAGGTTTCCAACTCGCGTAAGCTCCGCGCCGGCAAGGGCAAGCTCCGCAACCGCCGTCACCGCCAGCGCCGTGGTCCCCTCGTCGTCTACAACGAGGACAACGGCATTGTCAAGGCGTTCCGTAACCTCCCCGGTGTCGAGCTCGTCAACGTCCGTCGTCTCAACCTCCTTCAGCTCGCGCCCGGTGGTCATCTTGGCCGTTTCGTCATCTGGACCGAGGGCGCGTTCGGCCTCCTCGACGAGGTCTTTGGCACTTTCGACAAGGCGTCGACGTTCAAGAAGGATTACATCCTTCCCACAGCGAAGATCACGAACCCCGATGTCACTCGTCTCATCAACAGTGACGAGATCCAGTCTGTCGTTCGCCCCGCGAACGCGAAGCACCAAAAGCGCCCCTGGACGCAGCACAAGAACCCCCTCGTCAACAAGGGCGTTCTCTTCCGTCTGAACCCTTACGCGAAGACCATCCGTCGCCAGGAGCTCCGTAAGTCCGCTGGTCGCTTTCTTGGGTTGCTGCATACTGACTTGTGTTCGCCTGTCGTCCACAGTCAAGCAGGAGCGCGTCAAGGCCCAGAAGGACAAGAAGAAGGCCAAGACTCCCAAGGCGGCTGGCGAGACCTTCCTCAGCACCCTCTTCGCCCCCTAAGCGGTTCCTGTTCCGGAGATGAGTTGTATAAGCGGCTATGCTATCTGATTGTCACGTTCGTCGTCATGTCTCATCAACTCTGATATGTTGTATGTCGTCCATGCTGGAAACCACATCGCATCGGCCTGCGTGACCTGTTGTTGCAGCGTTGAGTGACTCGAAGACATCACACAGCGTTAGTGTTGCGCTGGGCGGAAAATGTAGATCGTCAAATGCATTCTCTGAAGTACACATCCTGCCTATAGACCATTGACATATATGTTGTCCCATCAAGCTTGGAAATTTTTATCGGCATTGGTACTCGTCATGAAGTACCTCAACTAATGCAAACAGTGGTCCCCCAGACGCTGATCCATAAATCCATATTCTTATGCACTGTAAAACCATGTTGGATACTCGACCGTGTCACCTTGCGTTCAAGCTCTTCGTACTCGTACTTGTGCTGGTTGGGCAATCTCGATAATGCGTCGGAAAAGGACGGCTTGACTTGTATGGTTAATGCTTTGTGTATTACGGATGATTCGAAGCTTATCGCTGCGAATCGTCAGTACTGGCATCTCCCGGACGTGGCGCGATATAAATCCCTTCGAGCTCTTTGCCTACCGACTCGCGTCGTACGCAACCACCTCTTAGTCGAACCCGTCGAACGACCGACGAACCGACGTGTAAGTGGTTGAGCATTTGTGGGTGCCGTTGACGTACCGCATCGTTCGTATCGCTAATCCGTAACCGCTATCCACCCCCTATACTATACTGTAACACGAACTTCAACAACACCCGATCAGGTACGCACCCCGCGGACCCAGCCCAACTTCGCATACTCGTAATCTCCTCGCATACACTCCGCCGACTCTTAGACACCATGGCTTACATCGAGGCTGCCGCTGTGCCCGTGGACGCGTGCTACCTCGTCAAGTGCGACAGCTGCGGCAAGACGACCTGGAAGGTGCGTCATAAACGCTGATTTTTGATAGTCGTCTCGTATCGTTCGACGTTCGTCCCTCCGAGCCGTCATACCACGCACGCACGCGCTGCTTTCCGATGGCCGAGCGGTGCTAGTTTCGCGAAGCACACAGTGCTGCAGCGCACCGCTAGCCCCTCTTTAGCCCCACAACCCCGAACCTTGTACACGGCTTCGAAGGGTTGCTTCCGGTAGCATTGCCTTTGCCACAGTGACCGTGCCCTGGCGCACCACACGGTACGCGTATTAGGAGCCCGAGGGTCCACGGCCCTCTGAAGCTACTGTAGCGGGTTCGGGGCGCACACCTTTTGATTCACGCTGACAAGCGGACGGTCTTGGTATGCGACTGGGCACCCGTCCATCGGTCCTGGCCTCCGAACTCTCCGGTCGGAGGCCTTCTGATTCCTTGTCGCATCTCTCCCCAGTTGCCTTCTTGGGCCCCTCCGCCACCCCCTTTTCTCTGGCTGCGGTTCGCGGGAAGGATGCCGGCTTCGGCCGCTCCCATGGGCCACTGGCCATCACGTACGCGATGCGTCGTGCGGACGGCTCGCGGGTCCGTTTGCGGCCCATTCTTCCCTCGTTGCCCAAGTGCGTCGGCATATGTACTTGGCCATAGTCTCTGCAGGAGCAGATCGTGTCGTGGGGGGATCCACATCGGTGAATGGTGACGGCTGATTGCTTTTCCATTCTTACTGCTCGAGAGCGTTGGCCGATGCTAACGATTGACGTCTCATAGGGATGTGGTCAGCACGCCGAAGCGGTAAGTTTTCACGGACTCGACGTGCTATATTCCATCGCGGCCTCGGCGCAGTGGTTCCCTCCAAAGCGCGCACGGGCTTGCCTGGTTGACACGCTGACAGCGTCGTCGACGACGACGACTGCAGGAGGCTGTCGATAGGACGAAGGCGCGGTTTGTAGATGACCGGTGGCGATCTGGGCAGACGTCAAGAGGACGTACTGAGAGCGACGAACGCGCCGTACAAGGATTTCATGATGACTGATGCGGCTCTCTGCTTCCGAGTCGGGCAACAGCGAGCCTGCGATCGCGTCCCGCGAACGGCGGGCGCGCGGCTACGTGATGATCAGGACTCAGTTACGCACTCAGGGACTCTCCCCTGAGGCTTGTGGCTGAGGTGAAGCGCACTGACATCCGTGCGCGCGGGACGGGGGTTGACACATAGGATTGTCACGGCCTGTAAAGGGCAACGGCGCAGCAGCAGAGATGCAAGGTTCGCCGTCGACTCGTGTCATTGACAGGGCGAGCTCAATTGGAGCCTCGAAGCTCGAAGCTCGCGAATCGCGTAGCCTGGGCGATGGCGCATGGACGTCCCCGCGCAATTGGCTCGGTTTGGGGGGGCAGCTGCTTCTCTGGGGCCGCAAGGAGATGGGCGCGCGGGGCCCAGACTGGCTGGCTGGTGCAGTTGACGTACGGAGGGGCCGTTTGCTGATGTGGGTGCCGCTGCAGGTGATGAGCTCTGTCAAGGAAGAAGACAAGTGCACATGCGCGCGGTGAAGGGCCTCCTCCCGCCCCCGCGCGCACGAAGACGCGGCCACGGGCGGGGGCTGCCGAAGCCACGCCTCGCGCCAAATACGTAGACGGCGGTCTTCAGATCTTGACTGGGGGGGTGTTGCTCGAGATGGCTGGGAGGATTGGTTGGGATTGGGACTAGCATCAGCCAGGATGGGGGCGAATGTTGATGAAGCTGGAGGGGCGTTTGAGAGGAAGCTGGGAAACCTCGGTGATGTGTAGTGATGTATGGTAGCACGGCGCATGTATTCTTCGCGGGCACGATGGCACGTCGCGGGCGCGTGCCAGCCACGGCGAGGGGTGTATATTATACGAAGAGGACAGAACGAGCGGGGGAGCAGGATGAGTGCGTTCGCGCGGCTTGTCGGCTGGGGCTGGGGCGGTAGCAGCCCGGCGGCGGAGACTGCGATCCCTTTGTGGAGTCCTCGCCAGAATCCGTTCGCTCCCAAGCCCCGTCCCTCCCGCCCCGCTCCCCCGACCCCTTCCCCTCCTCCCCCCGCCCGCTCCTCCTCCGACCCCTCCATTCTCCCCCCTACCACGCTCCCCCTCCGACGCGCTGGCTCCTCGCTGTACATACTAGACATGGCCAACGCCGTCGCATCCTCCTCCCGCGACCGGCCCTCACAGACCAGGGCCAGCATGCCCTCCCTCAGCCAGCACGACAGCCCCCAGGGCGTCGTCATGACCCACGAAATCAAGCACGGACGCCGCACAGGCCTCGAGGGCCTCAAGATGATCAACCAGTACCTCCTCATGATCAAGGTCGGCAAGGGCCAGCACGGCGACGTCTATCTCGCCGAGGACACCCTCGCCCTCGACGAGAAGAACAAGAAAGTGGTCCGTCTCCTCTCTCCCGCTCCTCCTCGTCCCCTCTCCCTGACCCCAGCTCGCGTCGGACGCCTGCGCCGCCTGTTCTGTACTGTGTAGGCCGTGAAGGTCGTGCGGCGGAAGAACAAGAGCGACCGCCTCAAGAAGCTCAGACGGAACGACAACCTCCCCCGCTATCCGCACCTGCCCCTCGCCGACCAGCTCGGCAGCACAGAGCACAAGATACGCAAGGAGATCGCGATCATGAAGAAGCTCAGCCACCCCCACGTCGTCCGCCTCCTCGAAGTCATAGACGACCCGCTCACGGACAAGATCTATATGGGTGCGTCCCTCCCCCGAGCCCTCTCTCCCCACACTGCTCCTTGCTATCTGGGTTTGTCCCCCCTCTGCGCTGTCTACGGGGCAGTGTGTTCTTCTGTTGTGCGCGGGGCAGATCGCTGTGGCCGACGACCGCGGTAGCAAGTAGTGCCGTCTGTGCTCCAAACGCGTGCGCATATGACCCCCTGCTCACTGCTTCTCCCATACAGTCATGGAGTACCTCGGCGGCGGCGAGATCAAATGGCGCACCGCGAACGACAACCCGCTCCTGCGCGTCGACCAGACGAGGCGCATATGCCGCGACGTCATCCTCGGGCTCGAGTATCGTACGTCCCCTCTGCTTTCGTTTCCTCCTCTGCCAAGCGGTTCCGCAGCGCGCTCATTTCCGGCCTCGTTACCCTTTACGTGCACACCCCACTACCGTCTGTCCATCGCGCCATGGTGTCTTCTCTTCGCGGCCCTCTCTCACGCCCATCATTACGTCTGGACCGTCCGACAGTGCACTACCAGGGCATCATCCACCGCGACATCAAGCCCGCGAACCTCCTCTGGACCGCGGACCGGCGCACGGTCAAGATCTCCGACTTTGGCGTCTCGACGTTCTCCTACGCCCAGCGGCTCGCCGCGGCCGGCAAGGGCAACTTCAAGGAGGACGACACCGACCCGATCCTCATGGACGACTCGGACCTCTCGAAGACGGCGGGCACGCCGATGTTCCTCGCCCCGGAGATCGTCGCCGACGCGTCCGAGTCCGCGTACCACCTCCCCCTCCCGCACGCGCACTCGCAGTCCTCCACCCAGACCCAGACGCAGGCGCAGACCCCGACGCAGCAGCAGCAGCAGCGCAAAAAGCCCCCGATCACGAAGGCGATCGACATCTGGGCGTTCGGCGTGACGCTCTACGGCCTGCTCTTCGGCACGCTGCCGTTCCACGCGCAGACCGAGTTCGAGATCTACAAGGTGATACGGACGCAGGACTGGGACGTGCCCGAGACGATGGGGCTCGACCGCGTCCCCACCGGGGGGCGCTACCCCGCGCTCCGGCAGGGCGCGGCGGCGTACGAGCGCGCGAAGGGCAAGCGGCCGGTCGGGAAGCTCGTGGCGACCGCGGCGGACCCGGAGGGCGTGCAGGTGATGGGCCTGTTGGAGGGGCTGCTGGAGAAGAACGCGGCGAAGCGGATCACGCTGGAACAGGTCAAGGTGCGTCGCGCACGCTTTTAACCTGGTCTCGGTTTGTTTGCCGCGGGGGGCGCTCACGCTGTTGGGGCGATTGTGGCAGCGCCATCCGTGGATCCTGCGCGACCTCGCGAACCCGGAGGAGTGGCTGCGCGAGACGCAGCTGACGAAGTACATCCCGCTCGAGCCGACGTACGACGAGACGAGCTCGGCAATGTCGGCCGTGCGCTTCCGCTGGGCGCGCCTGGGCACGCGCATCTGGTCGACGATCCGCAATGTGAGGCCGCAGCGGTCGTTCCGCCGCGCGCGGCCGCGGGACTCCGGCGATCGCGAGAGGGACAGGGACAGGAGGGAGGAGGACGAGGTCGGGGTGCGGTCTGCGCCGCATTACGTGCACGTCGCGAGGCTGGACAGGGATAGGGAGCGGGAGCCGGCGGAGAGAGCGGTGAGTGGCCCGAGGCAGCTCGCGTCGGGGTCGGTGCGCGAGAAGAGGCGGCGCTCGAGACAGGAGATCAGCAGGAACAAGTCGACGAACGACATCCAGACGAGGCCGGGCGGCGGCGGCGGCGGCACCACCAGCAACATGAACAACGGGAAGGCGCCTGCGGGGAGCTTCGAGCCGTGGGCGATGTGGAACTCGTCGTCGCCCGGCGCGGGCCCGTCTAAGAGCAAGAGCACGGAGACGGGCTTGAAGATCCCCAGCCAGTCCAGCCGCGTGACGTCCCCGCTCCCTTCGCCCATCGCGGGACCGTCGAGCTCGGTTGGCACCACGTCGGTCGGGGATTACCAGCACCCGCCCGGCGAACGCTCGCCCGATAGCGAGCGCCCGCGGAGCCTCGTCATGTCCTGGATGCGCAAGCTCGGCGGCAGCAGCAGCAACAGCACCCACCGCCAGTCGTCGTACTCGGCCTACAGCTCGCCGATGACCGAGTCCACGGTCAACCTCTCCCAGCACCGGTTCTCCAGCCACCACCCCTCGCCGCACCACCACCAGTACCAGTACCCCGGGGTGGCGGCGACGTCCCCGCCGTCGCGCGACAGCGCGGAGGCGCACGCGACCTCGCGCCAGAGCAGCGTGAGCATGGGCATGGGCGGGCACCTCACGAAGGCGATGCGCGCCGCGTCGTGGACCGCGCCGGACTTCGCGGCGCACGCGCGCCCGAGCGAGGACATGACCTCGCTCTACTCGGGCGACCGCCCGGACGACGTCGACGACGAGGCGTTCCTCTATGGGGCCGGCGGCGTCGCGGGCTCCCCCGTGCCGTCGGTCCCGAACAGCGCACTGCTGAGCACGGTGTCGTCCGTGCACTCGATCGGGTCGCCGTCGATGTCCGCCGCGCACGCGTTCTTGCAGCGGGCGGAGGGCGCGTCGGCCGAGCCCGCTGAGGCGTCGGGGTCGCAGGACCCGGTTCCGAGCACGCCCCGGACAGCGCCGTCGGCGGCGGCAAGGCACCGGACGACGAGCCCGCTCGCGAAGGTGACGTATCACGCTTGTGGCGACGAGTCTCCGGGCAGCGGGAGCGATAGTGAGGACGAAGGCGAAGACGACGACGCCGCGTTCTCGTACGACTCCGCGGACGACAGCTCGAGCGGCTTCCAGCCCCCACGCGGACGCACCGGGCGCACCCGCGACGTGCTCGCGCCCATGCACATGCTCGTCAACGAGGACGTGGGCGACGTCGACACGGGCTCGTCGACCTACGAGCACCAGCCGAGCATGGCGCAGCTGTACGCGGACGAGGACGAGGAGAGCGAGGACGAGGACGCGGTCCCGCTCGAGGTGCGCACGCGCAGGCCCAGCCGGAGCGCGGCGGAGATGTCGCCCCCGCGGCGGCCGCTCAGCGCGCACCGGGCGACGCCGCAGGAGGGCAAGCAGCGGCCGATGATATGTACATGATAGATGCGCGTCGGACTCGCTGCTTGCCTGCCCCCGCCTGCTGACTCGGATCCTCGGGGGACCGTGGAAAACAGGAAAAGGAAAGGAAAAGAAGTCGTTTCGCATCGTGTATGTAAGTGTGTCTTTTGTGACCAGGGCGGCTGGCCCGCTGCATGTATGCGGGCGGGCTGGCCGTGCCCGCGGACTCGATCTTATGCGTAGCTCATAGAGACGGACATCAGCAGAGATACATGTTCTCCCCCTCCCACATCTCCCCTGTCATTCAATCCCCCATCTTCCACTCATCCACTCACTCACTCACTCACTCACCCCACACTATGTCGTGAAGCGCACTCAATGCAATCTTCCCTGTCCTATCACTAGAGCATCCACACCTCTCCTCTTGTATCATTACATTTCCTCTTACTGATCCTTATGGCTCTTCTACTACTTTGCTTGTGCCATGCCTCTCACTTCCTATTCTACTCACTGTCACCTTCCCGCGATCCTCTTCACTTTCGTCCGCCCCACGCCATGATGCATCGTCTACACTGTGTTTGATGGCCCATTCCCCTTGCGCTCCTGCACCCTCCCCATCTCCGTCGTCGCTTTCACCTTCATCACATTCGACACTATGCCATCCGTGCCGCTGTCGCCGAACCGTTGACATTGTCGGTATAGGAATAGAATTAGCCTGCGCTCTGCAGCGCAGGTGCTCGTATATCCGGTGTCTGTTATACATGCCATGTACTCTACAGTGGGACGCGGTTCCGCCGCGGAGCCCGATCGTTACGTCATGTCGCACAACAAGATTGGATGGGTACTGAGAGAAAACGGAAACGAGAACGGGGCACTGAAGAGTTCGCCGAGCAGAGAAGAGAGAAATGAGCAGGCAGAGAGGAAAGCATGGGTTGATGAGTCCCAAGCAGGAGACTCGAGAGACCGAAACGAAGGTCGATATAGGACAACCATAGATCAACGCAACGGGAAACGGTGAGTAAGGAGCGTAGTAGGTGCAAGGAATGGTCAGAGGATTAGCATGGATCGCTCTATGGTTAAATACCTGGCAATGCACATATGCACATATGAACGTCTCTGGCGAGAGTGGCATGGGTAGGAGTGGGGGTGGTTGCAACTTGTCGGCATGGATGGAGTGGGGGTGGAAGTAGCATGGGAAAGAAGGGGTAGGCGGCGACAAGCAGCTACGTCGCAGGCCAACCTCCCAGAGTACGCGCGGCGCCGCCGCCGAGCCTGCCAAGGAAGCTCCAGACGGCGGCGGTGCTATCGCCAGGGAAGCCCTCCCCGGCAGCCGAAATCGAATTGAAGCTCGACCACGCCGCGCGGTCGTAGTACGTTGGACCGCCAGGGATCGAGTACTGCGGCGCCATCGCCTGGCCCATGAGGAACGCGATGAGAGCGGAGGCCCCAACGCAGATGAGCAGCTGGCCGTTCTTGATGACCGAGCCGCCGTCAGGGTCGCCGTAGACGTAGGTGTTATAGATGTTGTAGAAGCGACCGCTCTTGCGTCGCGACTTGCCATCGCGGGGGGAGCGGGGTGGGTTGGTGCGCTGAGACTCCTCAATGAGCTTGTCGATCGCGGCGCAGCCAACGCCGACTTGGTCCTTGAACGCTTGCCAGTCTTCGACTGCCTCCTCGGGGATCCCTCCAGCTCGGGCCTGAATGGGCACGGAGAGACCAGGGTGCCAAGCCTTGAGTGACTCATTGGCCACGCGTACGGCAAGGTCCTCGCCAGTCACTTTGTCGTACGCAGGCGGGAGGTCAGGGTGTAGGTGCTCTTGCTGAGCCTTGGGCGTAGGGGGTAACAAGGTGGAAGACGACGACGCAAGCGCATCGTCTTCCTCCTCCGTCGTTGTCCCTGACGATGAGGGCTCGGGCTGCGGTTCGTCAGTCTGAACTTCTCGCTCGACAGAGATTACAGGCGGAGGAGTGGGTATCCGTTCCGGTTCTGTTTGAGTCGACATCGACGAGACCGGTGGCTCATCTGTCTGTACGCTGAACGAAGCTGTGAGGATCTTGGGTGGAGGGTCGGTTTGCACCGACGATGAAGCTGTGAACTCATCCGGCTCGTGTTGTGTGCCAGTGTCGGAGTACTCCTTCGTCTCGTCCACGCGGAAGGTTTCAAACTTCTTCGCGCGGCTAGCGACCTTCTGCAATTCGTCAAAGACGTTGTCAGCTTGACCAAACCACGCAGCGTGCATGCCTACCCTCTTCGTGCGCGTGATGATAGTCTGCACGTAATCCTCGGACTCCGTCTCGTCGTCCTCAGGAGTCACCTCGATCTCGAGACTGTTCGGCTCGCTCTCAACTTCCTCCTCTTCCATCTCCCAGTTGCCGTCCTTCATCTTGCTCAGAAGCTCGGCACCTAGGGACTTGCTGACGCTGCCGTGAGCACTGGCAGTTCCTGAGCCGCCCTTTTCAAGCGAATGCGCGCTGTTGCGGAGCTCGTCCATGTCGAAACGCATCCGGTCGATGGTCTCCTTGAGCATCATGTTCTCCTGCTTCTGCTCATCCAGCTGCGCGTGTGCCTGTTGTGCGATGGAAAGCTCTCCCTCAAGAATAGCAATACGCTCTTCGTAATTTGCCTGTTCACGCAACCACTTTTGAACTTCCACTGAGTGCAGTTGCGCCGCCTCTTGGAGATCCTTGATTTCCTGGTCGCGACGACGGAGGACGTTTCGATACCGCTCGGACTCAGCTATAGGCAAGGGTCAACTCTAAGGCGCAATGGAACGTTCAATGCAAGCGTACAGCATTGTTCCTGGTACTGTTTCTGCAGGCTCTGATACGAAGAGCGTGCGTTCTCCAAGCTCTTCTGAAGCTTTGCGATCTCGGACTCCAGGACAGCAATCTGGGTGGTATTGGTGCGCTGTACGTAGGCGTATGAGACCAGTATTGAGTGACCACTCTTGAGACAGCACGCACCTCCTTGGAACGAAGTTCCTTCTCTTCACGCTTTGTCGCACTCAACTCGCTCCGAGCCTCCTCGAGTCTGATCTGCATATCCTCTAGTTCCTGCTCGTGTTCCGCAAGCCGGTTCTGCAGGGTACGCTCAGCCTCCAGAAGTTTCCTGCCAAGATCGGTGTTCAACCTCTGCAGTGCCTCGAGACGTTGCTCCATGTCCAGTGAAACTGTCGAAGACGCGGCAGACCGGTCCATGACCAGACCAAGCAGTGCTTCTTCGTCAAGCTCAGAATCAGAGTCCGAGTCGTCTCCCTGGCGGGGCATGGGCAGTGACGAGATTTGCTCATGGAACCCCTGCTCATCATCGAAGGAATTGTCGGATGGAGGTGGGGACAATAGCCCAGTCTGTCGGTTGTCGTTTTCGCGCTCAGGTGACGATCCATAGTAGTCGTTCTGTCCGAATGAGTCCATGGACGTGAAGTGACCCTGTGGTTGGGACTGGGCGCGCGAGTGTGGTCGAGAGGGGGGTGCACCAAACGGAGGCGAACTGATGGATTTCGCAAGGGGTGGGGAGCTGAATGTAGGGCTGGTGGGATTCGAGGGAGCACGCGAGCGACCAGGGGTGCGAGCATAGGCAGATGGACTTGATGAGACGGACTACGAACAACTCACGGTCAGCTTGCTGTGATGCGCGCGCGGTCACCGCATCACGGGTGGGAGTATGTTCGCGTTCATGACGCCAACCGACACAATACGCACCTCTGAATCGCTTAGCGCCCGGCTGTGGCCAGCGTCGCTCTTCCGCCTTGACGGTGGGGGGCGCCGGGTCCAACTTGAAGGAGCCGTGTTGTTGTTGAGAGGTGTGGTACGCTGTCTTCGTCCGGAGTCGAAGACAGATTCGCGAGGCGTCGTGGGGCCTCCTGGCCCTCGCGAAGACGATCTGTAGTATGTAGCAGTGGAGTCGCGACTAGATGAGCGGGAATTGTAGCCGTCATAATCGCGTTCCTCCGACCGACCGCGGTCGTCGAAGTCTTCCGAGTCTCCGCTGGCGCTCGGTGAGGGACTGTCTTCTGGACTATGTGAGGGGTTCATAGTGGTTTGCAAGGCTATGAACTGGAGGAGGACTTGAGGGGTCACTTGGAGACCAGGGTTACTTGAGATGAAGGATGTGAGCTGTTCCTCCTCGTCCCGCGTCATCAGTTCCACGGAGTTGTGATTACGGGAGAAGGTGCGCAAGACATCTACGAGCGCGTCTCCGGGTATGACAGGCTCATCAGAGTCATTGTGTGAACACTGGGGGTGCTCTTGGAAGATATCGAAGAGTTCCTGTTCCAGGTCGGCGATTGACTGGCGGTTTCTGCCGTATGTTTCCGTCTGCTACTGAAACGCGTCAGTCGCGTCCAGTCGCGTCCTCTATATGCTACGTACCGCCGCCATTTCGAGAGCATACAAGTACAGGGGATTTGTAGGATGAAGTTGGGGGTAAGAGTCAAACAGAGGTCTGTGTCTGTGGTTGTGGCAGGCATCGTCTGGCGACCACAAAGCGCTCATCGCACTGGGGCTTATGTAAGGTAACTTCCCACTTTGTCCAGCTCACCTCCCTCGGCCAAACTTTGCGTCTATTTGGCCACCATGTCTCATCCACAACTGCCGTTCCCACAGTCTCAGACTCTCAGATGACAGACGGCATATTGTCTGGCTGGATTGACGTCTTGAAAGACTGGAATATCGAACATCAACGAGATAGAAAAGGCCTCCCTCTTGGCGTTTGGGACGCAGACCTCGCAATGGCGAGCTTGTGCGACTGCTGCACAACCTACCACCTATAGCCCGATTATACGACCATGTTGCGGACCAAGGAATCACAATTGTCATACAGTGCATAGGATCCATGTCCAATTCTCCTCGTGCTACCCCCCTTGTGTGGCAGTAATATACGAGTCAATCGATGCGCCATGGCGAACTCAGTACGGCTCAATAGTAACGAGGTTGGCGCAAGGAACAAACTCCTGGAGGCTGCCACTCTTCTCCAACAGCATCTGAAGTACGTCTGGTCCAAGGTATTGTGCTGCCATGCTCGTCTCGCAGATTGACTGGCATTAGATGTGGTATATCCGCTGAGCCGCCCCTATTCCACTCCAACCCATCCGAAAGCCTGTCAACTCTCACTGTCCCACCTATGACAGCTATAATGCAACTGGACCCATCGCCTTGGTCTTCGGTTTGCTGGTCCTCCCCACCACTGCATCCTCCTGAGCGACCGAAGACCCGAATATATTAGAGTTCACCAGAAGTCTTAAGCCGCCTCAACGTCCTATGGTGAGGTCGGCAGACGGTACATATAGACGCGGTGTCCGTAAGGTTTGAGCATCCCCGCCTTCCGTTCAGCTCAACAGAGCCCCACATCTCCTAGTCTCAGGTACTCCCACTCCTCGGCTTGTCGAAGGTCACTCGGTTACCGCTTGCGGATAGTCTTCGCAGCGCTGCACCGATCCTGCATTCACAATCCCTCTGAAAACCTCTCTTACTCAATGCAGCTTGCAGAACCTTGGCGCACCCCCTTCGACATCGCCGATGCCAGTTCTCTGAACTATGGCAAAAATCGGACTCACGACAAGGCTGTGGAGACATACCGTATTCGCCCGCTCCAGCTAGTAGGAGGCTTAGGTGTATAACTATCTGGACAAAGTACAACCCTCCCTGCGGCGCAGTGCTCAGGGCGTGCGTACCCTGGCCTAAGTAGCGGCCAACGAGTGTGCATGGCCGTTTCCCTGCTCTCTTACATCTGCGTAGCCACACTGAGTATGCTGACTTTGGCGGACAGTCTGTAGATACCCAACAGCAGTCGCGATCGGGGCTAACATGACCGCGGTCACGAGCGGGCCTCGCTCATTGGTGCTGTGAACGACACACGGGTCGCGCATGGCGAGGGCCCCGTCGGTTCGATCGAACCTGCGGTGCGTCTTACCCCCGCAAATGCCTACCTCCTCATCCTGTACCTTGCGCCCATATCATCGTTCTCCCGCGTAGGCCGGAGGCATGCCATCAGAACCGTCCATATTTCCCTCTCCCAGACCGGAGGGCACGGAAGCTGACATGCGCGCTATCACAACTCTACTCGGACTCCTTCAGTGATGTTTTCAACCAAGTCACGAACGGGTCGAACCCCGGCTGTGGCACTGATGAGTTCAAAGGTGCCCCCGGCTAGTCCCCTGTCTCCGTTGTGCCCGCAGTGGTGCTCCACGTTACTGGGGCGGTCGGGAGGAACGCTTGGCATCATCGCCTTCGCTTTTGCTGCAATCTCGTTACGGCTGTGCGATCCCGGTGGATTTGAACGGTCCAGGAGATACGTGTATATCAATGAACAGGTCGCTATTCCGCATTGTGGTGTCGGCAAGCACATGACGTGCAGTTGCTGCATCAGACCTTGGGCCTCTACTGTAACCCCCGTTGGGTTTCTACATGTGTAGCTCTGAGATTACCCGAGTGCGATTCATATCTTCACATCATGGACATTTTTTAAGTCACACCGTGCCTCTCGAATTGAATTTCTTTGGAAGGGAGAGACGGACGACCTCATCTCTAGATCTCAGGGCGTAGAGCCGGACCTGTATTTGTGCCTTGTGGCAGCGCGTGCGCATACGCACAGCATGATGCATACAATTGGCTCTTAGCGACGACATAATCAGGGTCGCTGGCCTACTTCAAAGTGATTGATTGTATGTAATACTGTAGCATCATCATCGCTGAGAACGCTCACGTTTGCAGAACTCGCCTACTTGCCTTGGAGGACCTTCGCATCTCATATGTGCACAGGATCCGTTCTACCAGTTGCCATTCGATGACTCGATGGTCCTCACATACAGCGGTCAGCAGACTCCCCTTTCGGCGTATCGCGCACGTTTCTCATGTATACAACGCGTCTCCAACTGCTTTCCGGTCCCGAATGCTTTCTGCGTTCCGTTGGTATGTCGGAAACCTTACGATTCAGCGCGGAGGCCTGTACGTATAGTATATCCCAATGCCTTCAACAGTGCGGAAGGCGTGTGGCGAGATGGCGAATTGGTAAGCCGGCGGAGCTGCGAGGTTGTTAGTCTGGGCGAGCCGTTCTGCCATGATCGATACATCGCTCACATGTCGCGCTTAGGACACTAGTCGTAGGCAAGGTGAGGTTACTAGCTAGTGCTATTACTCTACGTCGACCGTGACTCGGACGCGCGCGTTCGCGCCAGGGTATGCACTGCCGTTAACTAGGCTCGGCCTGACTCGGACCCACAAAGTGCCTCCCAGATTCCACAGCCTCTTTCATATCATCCCTGGCTCCTCATACATGGATCGACGTTCCTCTACAGCAGGTTGGATATGACTCTAGTCCCTCGTCCTCCTGTGCCTCCGAGATCGCTTATGGGGCACGACATGGCCAAGCTGATATGCCATTATCTATATCAGGGCTCTACGGGAGGCAATAAATCCGATCCGATCACGGGTGTGGTCGAGCGCCGAAAGCGCTCTCAGACGGTCGGCCCGCGTTGCAACTCGGTTCGCTGGAGAACAACGTCGTGTGGCTTCACAAGACAATTTATGTGCATGTTCTGCCAGCCGAGATGAGGCCGGGGAGAAGCTTCGCCTCAACAGGAACGCGGCGAAGGTGTTGTTGTTTGCCTCGGTACGAGCAGAGCGCTATGTTATGTCAGTCCGTGCACCGGGTGCGGCGTAAAGTAGTAGCAGCTGGCCTCGTGCATTATATTGCTGTCAAGCCTTGACTTTGATTGTGCAATATACTGCCGCCAAGCTTTGACGTTGATCGTACCTCTGTGAACCCCGTCATTGTCGGACCCGCGAATTTGACCGACTTTATTACAGGTTAGGGTATTTTGAGTGTTAAGTAGATAAGTACATATCCTTGGCCTTGGAAGGAGGAAACCTAGGTCGGAAGGAAGATGGAACCTGGAGGACCAGAAGTGGCGTTTGTACTTACGTGCATTCAGGGTGGCGGTCTGCAAGTGTGGTTGGACCATCGTGGGATGATCTTATAAGGTAGCTTGTGTGACCTGCAGGCAGTTGCGCAGCTTCGCGATCAGCTACGACGGAGATAGTGGAACACTCGCCGCCGTCATCATGTTCACGTCTAACAAACATCGGCCCCGCCAACGCTAACAGAGGGTCAAATCGAGTGGGCAGAGTGCGGGGCTACGTTGTGGAGTACGAGACCACAATAACTGAGAGTCATGGTCGTTGCGCGCGGACAAAAATAGCTGTATGCGTAACATCGTCGGGCGGACGGTGCTGCTGCAGCTGAGCTTCCAGGGTTGTCCAGTTATTGTTCAACGCGGTTGAACATCCCAGCGATCTGATTCTCCACTGTGGAATGTCGGCAACACACAAGGCGGTAATGCATGGTGTAGAGGGGACAACGAGTTGGAGCCCTGCTGAGGAGTAAGTGGCCTGCTGTCACCTAGCCGATGAACGCTCCGACCCCGGTTCGTGACTGATTTTCTTGCGATTTGGAATATAGATGCACCACAGCAGCGTGTTCCTGTGTCGGCGAGAGAAGAAGAGAGATGCCTGCAAAAGACCACTGAGTGGGAGAGAAGGCGGAGGCAGCAAGGAGAGAGCGGTGGCAGAGCTCTGGAATTACGAAAGGGATTCGGGAGGGGCACAGCCACCAGGTTGGGGGTAAATGGATGAGGTAATTGAAATAAAGACCTAATCGTGCGCCTTGCCCTGGTCATGTCCACCCTCCCCGCACCGCTCGCCCTGTGCTCCTGAACGCTCTCCCCAGCGGCCATCCACATCATCTCCCTCGTTCCCACCACGATGCCCGTCTCTACAAAATCTAGGGAACGGCCTCTCCCACCCATCCCCTCCGCTTGGACCGACGCTCCCTCCAGCTTGCGGCCACCCCTCACTTCCGTCCCCGGGGCTGACCAGATTATCTCTTCTCGCCCTTCCCGCTCACGACACGTCCCCCGTCCTTCCAAACGCTCCCCGCGAATGTTTTTTCGTGCCCTCAAAGCACCCTCCCTCCTTGCTGCATTCCTCCACACTACCACATGGCAGGACTTCCATGCACTCTTGAACGCATGCCGTGCATTCCGACATGACCTCTGGGCGATTGCCGACTGCAGGCACATCATCCTCTCGCATTTTGTTCCCGGATACACCTACGCGCTGCAACTATGCGACATTCACCAGATGTCCGACGTCCGCATCGACGTCCACCAGTTCGCGCTCCTCAGTACGTCTTGCAGCCTTTTCTTTCCGTCGAAGTTGAGCCGATCGCGTCTTCTCTCCATCAGTGACCTCACAATACGTGCCTCTACATACATATCCAATGCAGTCTATGGTGCTGCTTAATAGGCTGGCGCGCGGCGAGGACCAGCTGAAAATCCGCGCCGCTGCTATGAGATTAGCATCTCTCTCATTAGCCCATTCGCGCTTCGTCCTCTTCCTCCAGTCCCTCGTGCACAGCGCATCGCCTTCCCCCTCGTCTGACTCCGAAGAATTCGACGAGCTAGTGAGCTCACCTCGGTCGAGCAGCCTGCGTACCCCGCAGCACCACGGCGTCCGCCAACTCGTGTTTCCGGCACCACTTGCATCCCCGAGCGCCATCGCCACCGTCTCGGACGATGTGCTCGTCGACTCCCCTCGCGCGCCCTCGCAGGAAGGCCCACTAGCAAAGAGCTCGGCCATGCGACGGGTCCTCAACCGATCTGGTACGATCCGGAGCGTTGCCTCCTCGAGTCAGAGCCTTAGCCCCGCAGCCCCGCAGAGCCTGAAGCGCACGCCGACGCTCGCAGAGACGATCCCGCGCTCTAACAAATCGTCCGGTTTCTCGTCGCTCATCCGCAAGAACACCAAGGTCCCCCCGCCGCCGCCCTCTGCGGATCCGCTCGCGCTGAAGATGTACTCTGGGAGCTGGCGCCGCACGCTTCCCGGCTCCAGCAACCAACACAAGCGCAACGGATCCATGTCCGTGTCGGGCTCGGGCTTTTCAGCGCTCGGCATAGACGAAGACGGCTGGCTGACGTCGGACGGAGAGCTCAAGGCGCCCCATCGACGCTTCGGGTCCATTAGCTACTCGAGCGAGTCTTCGCTGTCCCGGCCGCCGTCCGTCACCCACACAAACACCGACTCGGACGGGAGCCCGTCTCCCTTGAGCGAAGGGGGCCATCGCCGCGCCTCGTCCTCGACGAGGGCCGAGCTCAGTTCCGGACCGAAGTCGGTCGCTGGCACTGGCACTAGTGCGCCGCTCGGCGTGGCCGTGCCGAGGGGAACGTCTGCCCACGATCTATTCCTGGCGACCTCGAGGGTACGCGCGCCCGTGCTGCGGGTGTTCGTCCCGTGCACGGAGCTCGACGAGACCGCGATCGGCGCGTGCGAGGAGGAGCTCATCCGCGCGGGCCTCTGGGAGCATCTCTCCGACGGGGACATCGTCTGCAACTTCGGCTACGTGCCCCCGGTCCCGAGCCCGCAGAGCAGCAGCGAGGGCCTGCGCGAGGCGCAGCGGCAGAAGTGGCTCATGTTCAACGGCGACTGCCTCGTGCCGTACATTCCCCCGAGCCCGCCCCCGCTGGCGAGCCCGCTCACGCTGCCGTCCCCATTCTACTACGCGAACATCATCCCAGCGTTCGTGAACCCCGTGTTCGTGCTCGCGCTCCCGCAGGCGCTCTCGGGGTCCCCGATGTCCCTCTCACGGCCCCCGTCGGTCTCACGCCCAGGCAGCGCGGGCGCGGGCGCACCCACGCCAAGCGCAAGCAGGAGGTCGCGCGTGACGGGCCTCGAGCCGGTGCACGACATGAAGCTCGTGAACGTCGCGACGCGCGTGCCGAGCCCGCACTCGCCCTCGGGCTTCGCGATGGTCCGCAAGTACATGTGGCTCGCGCGCATCCCGTACGTCGGGTCCGGGAGCGGGACGGAGGCGGGCATGGAGCTCGGGCGGGGGTGGCACGGGGAGTGGGTGCTCGAGGCGGAGGGGACGCGCGAGGGCCGGCAGACACTGATCGACGCGCTCAACGGGGGCAGCAACGCGTACGGGCTGAGGAGGCGGGACCAGTGGGAGATCGTGAGGGAGAAGAGCGGGGGCGGGCGGCTGTGGTTCAAGTGAGTGTGTGGGTGTCAGGGCGGGGTGTCCGTCCGTCCGTCTGAGGTCTGACTGACGCGCGGGGTACCCCACCCCCTCCTCGCAGGTTGCTGGTCCCTAACGTGGATGGATATATCGACACGCTCGTGCACCCCCCTGAGCCGGCCGACAGGATACCCGTGAATGTGAATTTGATGAGCCCCGCTGCCGCGAGGACACAGCAATAGGACGTTTGCTTGACTCTCTTTTTTTGGTTTCTACTTGACACTGCTGTTGCTAGAGGACGCTTCATCCCGCTCTGAATCTTCACGATCACCAATGCTGTAGCCAATCTCAATCGCCCACGCCCACTATCGTCCAGTACCTTCATAATTCCAGGTGGCCCGTTTCTCTTTGGTTCAACTGTCTCCATACCGCCCCCCCAGGCATTTTGCTATTGTCCATGGCCAAGTATAATGTCTTGTTTACTTGCTCCCGCTGCCAGAGCCTACGCTACTGTCCGCCTCCCTCGCTCTTTCTAGTTGCTACTCTTGGCTTCGATCCGGGTGCGGCGTGCACCTGCCGAGCAGCGGCCCCGCTGCTCTCGTGTGTATCGGTCCGCAGTGTTGGCTCGCCTCAGACGTCTCGGTCTCTCGTTCATCTAGCTACACCCAATATTTCCTGTCGATATTACCTTACCTCTTCCACTGTATTGCCACCAATCATACTATCGCGCTACCCCGCCCGTGCTCAACAATATCTTTCTCTATTACCCTCGCTGCTCGCGCCCAGGCTCAATTCACTGCCTACGCTAGACAACTCGGTCGGAGGCCTACGGCTATCCCATATTCTGCGTGACGCTTTCTGCTTGTGCTAATACATGTTGATGAACTTCTTTGAAACCTTCCCTTCCGCCCGAACAAACATAGCCTAGGTGAGGTGAACAAGCTCGGTGTCGACGAACTGCTCGACTTGGAAACCGCCCTCGGGTGCGTGAACGAAGCCAGCCTCCAGAAGCACGCTACGATGCAAGTCAGTCCGAAGGATCAGTCGAGGTGGACGCGGTATGCATACTCGAGTGTCTCCGTGATGATCTTCCGAGGAATCGCCGCACAGTCTTCCGGGTATCCGACCGTCTTCAGCCAAGCCTGTACGCGGAGCCGTCAATCCTCGGGACGAGGCGATCGCACAGAAGCGGTGGGGGACAGACCTGGATGTCCTCCTCGGGGTACCCGAATTTTTCGCTGATGAACTGGACGTCCGGCCCGGCGCGGTTCTCCCGCGAGTTGAACTCGCGCACGTACGTCGACAACGTGCCGAGGAATTCACGCAGCGAGTCTGCGGGTGCCCGCTCGGGGTGTGCGGCGATAAGCCACGAAGGCCAGGGCGTCGGCACGGAACCAATCTGTGTGTCGCAGAGAGGGAACGGTATTCAGTCAGCCTGAGCGCAAAGAGAGGGGGGGGGGCTGCTGAGATGCTCTCACGAAGCGGGCCTCGCCGGCGTCGACGAAGGGCTTGGTGGTGAACCACTCCCACATGAACGCGCTCGTGGAACCGTCGTTGACGGAGTCGAGCAAGCCCCGGATGTCGTTGTTCACTGCAGGTTCAAGCGGGTGAGCTCCTATGAAAACACCCAGCCAATTTCGAGAGGCCCACCTTTGAACTTCAGGTCCTTCGTCGGCCAGCCCTGCTGCAGAGCCATCACGTAGGCCATGGTCTGACTTCCACTACCCGAAGCATTAGATGGTGCATCCATCCATGGTTTGGTCAGTATGCCTACCTCCCATAGCGTGAGATGCCGATAGTAGTTCCCTTAAGGTCCGCTATGGAGTTGTACTCGGAGTTCTTCCCCGTGATCACAGCCCTGCGGGTACGTCGGAGGTTGAGCGGAGGACGAACGCAGAGCCAAGGCGACGCGAAGCTTGCCAGTTAAGCGGGGTCGTCACATAGCTGCCAACGAGCTTGTACGCCTTAGAGCCCTTCGCGATCCCCGAGATGAGTGGGTCCGTGAGAGCACTGGGCACGGGCACATAATCGTTCAGGCTTCAAGCGGAACGTGCGGTGGGATGGCGCGGAAAAGCGTACGCACATCGCGACGTCGATTTCGTTGTTTTCGAGACGGCCGATCAACTGTCCAGTGCCGCCTGAATGCCATTCATCCAGGTGTCCCCGTTATTGCTTTACACGAAGTACGTACTGGGGCACTCGACGAGGGTGAAGGTCTTCCCTCCGTCCGCTTCGGCGAACTGAAGTAGAGGAGACGAAAAGTGTTCCCTGACTGAAACATCACATTAGCGGCTCGGCCTCACAAACGAGCAGCATCAATGCTACCAAAACCGACTCTGAGAGGCATGTCTTCTGAGGCGGGTTGTTAAGATACAGAGTCAGGGTTGCGGGAGGTCAAGGTTTCAGCGAAGTAGCCAATGAGGATAGATCTTATCTCATCTTGCTGAGAGCCTGCATCGGCGTCCACTGGCGGCTGCAAATTGATCCGAGAGCTCTCACTTGGACGTCCATAGTCAGTATGGGCAAATGTCATGCCAGTTTGGTTGGTCAGTTTGTCGGAGCTGTTTATTGCACCAGCGTAGAGACCAGCTTGTCTAGAGACGGGGGCTGGACGGTGACATGCATGCGACAGAGTTACGGAGCCTCACCGACAATCTAGGCTAGTAGTTAGCAAGGTACGTACCACCAGTCCAGAGATACCTCTGGAGCTGACAGCAAAACTTACTGTTGCCATAGACACCTCGAGTATGGCCCTCATTGACATCTCATGAGAAAATAGGGCTCGGCTCTCAGAGTAGCCCTTGCGCCTTACGTCGCAACACCGGAACTTCCTGCTCAAACAGGTGTAGAAGCTGCCGGACCGGGATCGTGTCCCACTGAGTGACGGCGGGCTAGCGTAGCTGGACGCTGCACTCCTCCGGACCATGTGTGCGACCTGTTCATGCGACTGCGAGCGGAGACAAGCCACAGACAAACGTCACAGGAAGATGCTCACCGCTGGTCGACGACGCTCTTTGCACGACGATCAGATGCGCCGCACGCCAGTAGCCATATGGATTATCCATCTGTCGGTGTATTCACCCCAGATGCTACCCTGAGGACCGCTACACCAATCTCCGTTCGGGTGAGACGCCGTCAACTGGGCGTATGCTATATAGACATGTGAAGGTGGGTGGGCTATCGCGTCCTAAGATTCGTCTGCCAGTGCTATCAAGACACCGCTCTGCTGCACATCCGCTGCACGTTGTACTATACCCCGTCGTCCCCCTAATCACCGGTGAGTCGTGTACAACAACTTGCTCCTGTGATTCCTCATGTCTAAGACCCGTGGCCCTAAGACTCGGAGAATCAGCTGCTGTCAGCCATGCGTTCCTCGACACTCCCGCTCTTCATCGTCGCTCTTTGCTTCGCCTTCCAATGCTCTCTTGTGATCGGCCATCAGCAAAACTGTATAAATATTGTCGTATATTACCTACCCATGCGTGCTCGGGCAATCGTAGAAATACCCTGCGACATTTGGGGAATGTTGGGCGCACCTTGTCAGGATTCCCTTCTAGCCCAATTACCCTGAATAGGTTGCACGACAAGGCAAGGACCGGAAATACCCCGCAATACTGGCAATATCTTGTGGGCGTTGCCTGGTATTGGTAAGCGTGGCACTGGCTTGCGAGGACAGCGATCGAGTGCCGTACTAATGTAGATTGCCCGGGATTCCAGAGATTGCGAGAGCGGGTAATAGTGAGAAGGCCAGGCAATATCAAACCATTCGTACTATATATTGCCCGGAAGTGATGTTATTGCCTCAGATTTTCCGCATTGGGCTATCAGACGAGCACAGTTGAGCGAAACGATTCATGCCGATCGGGCATGGAAGGTTGGAATTGGGAATACATTGATGAACGGTCCATATGAGTCGTACATGGAGAACGGGATAAGCCACACAGGACTACAGCGTACAACTAGAAGGCGAGAGGAAGGAAGACTGCAACAAGAATGTACTTTAGTGACGGTGCTCCAACACCAAGGCCTCCACGTAGTCACGGTTCAGGCTCAGCTGAGAACAACGTGAGTATATGCGCTACCAAGGAAGGGCAGGGACAGCATACCACTTATAGGGAGACAATGGTCCATAGCTCAAAGATTACACAACAGAGCTCCTGGACAACATGAGTATATGCGTGCAGAAAGGAACTCATATATGCACGATCAACAAAGAGATTTCGAACTCACCGATAGCATTGCGCAAGGCTTGAGACAAGAGCAGCTGATAGGCCGCGCTATGGTGCGCAACCATGTCAAGCACAAGAGCTCAAGATGTCCTGAGCATGCAAGAACACGGACAACAGTGCAGTGCTTGCAGACAAGCTCGAGCGATCGACCAAGTGGTAGACTTACCACCATCCTCTGCGTGCTAGCAGGTGCACGCCTTCTTCTTGGAGCGGGACCAGTCCTTATAGAACTAACACTTCAGCTCGTCAGCGAAGTGGGAGGCCCAGACAACTGTGAGAGTATAGAGAGTCTCGACATAGCGGACAACACAAACAACAATGGAGGGGTGAGAGAGGAGAATGGGGAAAAGAGCGTCTTGGTGATGCTCCTAAGGGGCTTCATCTTATACAGATTTCACGGCGGAGTTTTACTGAGTTCCGCGCACGTCAAAAGTTGGCGGAAAATGGCAATAGGATTACTTACCTTGGACGTGTCGATATGGCTGGGTGCTAAGATGCCTGTGCAAAGAACGTGTATATCACGTGCGACGCCTTCGTCTCGCCTGTCTCGCTCACGCCCTCTGTCTCTCCTCTCGCCTGAGCTTCTTCCCTCGCCTCCGCCTCCTCACTCTTACAATCTTGACCTCCTCATCATCTTCCCCCCTGTCTCTTTGTCTCTTGCCGCCCTTACCCGCTACATCCCCAAGTGGCTCCGTAAGCTCACTGGGCCTCCTCCTGGAAGTGCCCAGGATAACAGCGGCAGCTGGCTCTGGGGCCGGGCTTGGGCCTCGGAAGGCAGCGTCTCTGTCGACAACTGAACACCTCCCGTCACCTTCCTAGCGCGTCACTTGGTGTTGAACTTGCTGAGTATCTCCTGGGCTATGTGATCCTGCTCTCGTCTTTGATGTCTCCTTGCCCCAAGGACGGGGAAAACGAGACCGACCCCACCTATCTTTCTTGAGGCCGACCCCTGTCCTCGGATGCCCCCAACTTTGCATCAGTGGGGATCACAAGCCGGAGGACGTGGACACCTGGGTCGCTGCTCAGCGAGGTGTTTGCCCTTCCGTCAAGAAAGCAAGGTAGGCACAGAAGCTGGGTGCAAAGGCAGTTGTAGTTGGCGGAGACAGAGACAATCCGGATGCACCATTGAACGTGTTCAGCCAAAGTGAGTTGACTACCGTTCTTATCTCTCTCTCCTGTTGATATAGCTCTGCCTCCGCAGGGGATTCGTCGGACGTAACCATTGCCGCATATACATCAAGTATTGGAATCACGTCCAGCTTTCCGCTATGATTGCAACGTCTAACAATACACACAGCGTCTCGAAGACCTTTTAGCTACTCATTGATACTCAGAAATTTGCAGGGGCATGGTATTCGTGAGGTCCTATATGCGCAGATACTATATGCGCGCAAGTCTCCATTCGGTCCTGACACACTTACCCAAATTCGCAGCCCCATCATCACCTTCATACTCACGCTCCTACTTCCTTCGCTGCTCACTTTCCTCACGCTTCTCATCCACCATGTGCGAACCGCTTACGCTGCACAACGCGATCGAGCCCTGGAGCGCATCGTCTACAAGTTCCTATCACGGACATAGACCGGCACTAGCTGCGACAAACATGAGCCTCTGCTCGTTTCCATAGACGTTAGTAATGTCGAGGGCCCGCCTGACCTTGAACAAGGACCAGATGCCCCGTTGACTTCACGCCGACTCTCGACACTGGCATAGGCAGACAAGCAGGTGGAGTGCGCAATCTGCATGAAGAGGTTTGTCAAGGGTGATCGCGCGGACCCCTGTGGACGAGGATGAGCTTGAGCTGGCTCGTGTAGACGTCATCGCTAACTAATACAACGCATTTTTGAATAATTGTCCGTTCGTTCACTCGCCGGGAAGGGAATGAACTACGTCGTACACCGTGACCTAACTCATCAAGTTTCAGGGATCTCCTCATGAGTACCATATATTGTTGTGCGGACGCGTGAGATCATGAAAACCCGAGCTTATATCGCACCGTCGTGCAATCTCGCCGCAATTCTTGCCCGGTATTGTGAGTGTTGTACGGACAGGCCCCCTTGGCTCCCATATCGGGTGCTCGCGCCGTCTCGCGCCCTAATCGGCGCTTCAGGCACCACCTACAATCCTGGACAACATTTTTACACTTTTGCTGATGGCCATCCACTCTCTAATCATCCCACGTTTTCTCGAGATTCCGTCGAAGATGTCGAGTACCACGGCTTGACCACGTACAGCGTTGTATCTGCGAAACACCATCGTCAGGATGGTGCCCACTTCATCCGGCCGTGGGCGATCTACCACGGCCAACCGACGCAGGCCTAGCTGCGATTCCTCACAAAACACAGACAGGTGAGCCATGCGACATCTGACCCCGTGAGTCCTGATACGACTCGTAACATGCAGTGCTCACGTCTCGGCTTGCATTACACTAGACTGTATTACTTACAAACTCTGTGAATGTCTCATTTCTCATCTGCGAGATTGCAGGGGCACTGAACAGCGTGAACTACCCTTCGATCAATGCGACCTTCAGCGCAATCGTGAGGCCTGGCTGCGCACTGGGAACTGACTGCACACATAGATCCGCTGTATATTCATTCGTGTCGTCTGCAAACGTCCATGGACATTAAGTGGGTGCCAACGCAAGTCCCATGCCAGGAAATGGCTGTATGGTATCGTAGAGGTTATGCAAAGGAGAGATCCGGGCTAAGCAATGGTGCAAACGAGCGGGAGCAGGAGCCAAGATGTGTTGAATAGAGCTTGCAAATAATTGGGAACGAGCGAGGTGTGCGATACACAATCTGGAAAGCAGCATAGAAGCGATCGGATGAATCACAAGGCCACACAGGCGTGTCAGAATGGAGAGCGTATGCGTAAGAGTTAAGTAGCTAAAGCAGTCCACGACGAATAGAAGATATGCGCATCACTGCGCGTTCGACGGAGGGCCCGACGCGTTCTGCGCAGAGCCGTCGCTTGAGCCAGGACGCAGATTCGAGCCAGGGTGAGAAGCCTGAGGCGCCGCCGCGGGGGCGGACGAGTTACCAGGGGACGAGAAGGGACGACCAGCAACGTCGCCCTGCTGCTTCGGATGAGGTTCTACTCCAGGAGACAAGCGGGCGTCGAACTGTGAGCCGCCCGTCATCTGCATGCCCATGCCCCCGCCCATCATAGACATGCGCGGATCAAAGCCCAAACCACCCATAGCTCCCATGCCTCCCATTCCGCTCATGCCCGTCGGCGTCATGCCCATGGGATTCATGCCCATCATCGGCATACTCATCATGGACATGCGCGGATCGAAGCCACCCATACCGCCCATAGCCATCGAGTTGCCAGTCAGCATGGGGTTCATCGGCTGCTGCGCTGGACCGTTGTCGTTGCCGCCGATCTGTGAGCCGGCGGCGGAGAACGCGTACATGGCCTGCTGGTACGCCTGCTGGGCCGCCTGCTGAGCGGCGAAGAGCTGCTGCGGGTTCGGCGCGAAGCTGGGCATCATGTACGGATTGCCCCAGCCGCCAGTCATCATCGGGTTCATCCCCATCATCATCGGGTTGCCCATCATCGGGTTGAAGCCCATCATGCCGCCGTACATCGAGCCGCCCTGCTGCATCTGGTCGAGCTGTTGTTTTTGGAACTCGTCGAGCTTGCGCTGACGCTCCTCCGCGAGGCGCTTCTCGCGTTCGCGCTCTGTGAGCGCCGCGCCGAGACCACCCTCACGCTTGCGTTCTCGCTCGTGGGCGGTGACAGCGCCGAGCAGGCCAGTCTGGGGCGGTGGAGGCTTCAAGGGCACGTTAATGAGCGACGCGCCCGTCTCCCTCGCGAGCTCCTCTTGCTTCTTCGCCGACCGGTCCTGCTTGTCCTGTAGTCCTGCCGAGAGGAGACCATGAGGCGTGAAGGCTTTAGTCATCGTAGTCGAGGGCGGTTCCATCTGAATGAACGTGTCGCGTTGATGGGTCGGGTCGACGTTGCGGTCCGGGTCTAGGACCTGGCTCCAGATCGGACGTGACGGGCCCTGCTGCTGCTGTGGCTGGAGTTGGGGAGGGTACTGGGACTGACGCATCATGGAGGACTGGCCAAACTGCGGTGAAGGACCTCTGCTGCCGCCGCCTCCCTCAGCAGGGTAGAGACTCCTCCGGCCAGGCTCAATGAAGGTGTCAGACACGTAACGACGAGGCACGGGCTGAGCGCCGAGGTAGTCTTCTGGGCCTGTACCATGCATGCCGTCAGTCACGGCCAACATGGCATAACTTTGTATGAGCTCACCTTGCCCACCGGGAACTTGCGGCAGATCGCGTGGTCGACGAGGAGACGGGACGTTGTTCACGTCGTGCGCCGAGCGTGCAGGGGAAGGGATGCCAGGCTGGCCATAGGGAGAACGCGCGGAGGTGCCAGTCACGGATGCATGGTCACTCACGCTGGCGGCCGCGCGCGGCGGGGGCTCAGTATCCGAATCCACGTCTTCATCGTCGTCGTCCTCTTCTTCCTCCTCCTCTTCCTCTTCACTGCTGTCTCCCCATACATCTGCACCCTTCGCCTTGCCACCCCTATTCCTCCCGTTCGCCTTTCCTGGCCGGTGAGCCGCGGCTTGTTGCGCGGCCTGCTGCGCCTGGGACTTGGCCTTACGCTGGGCTGCGAGCCTCGTAGGTGCAAACGACGATCGGGGCAGTTCCGCGGCGCCGGGACGCGTCTGGGACGGACTCGCTGGAGTCTCGACGACCTCAGGGATCGGCGGCGATGTTGCTCCAGACGCCTTTGCCTTGCCTTGCGGAGGCGACTGAGGGACGGGAGGTGGAGCTGGCCTCTCTTCCTGCTCGAGGAAGGACAACGCGGCGAGGGCGTCCGCGTTGGAGTCGTCGTAGCCAGCAGATGCGTGTGCGGGAGCAACAGTAGCGGCCATCTTCTGAGAGTCGTCGGCGCTGTCTGACGCGGTCGTCGTGCCCGTGAATTGTGACTGGGAGAGCTCCTGGAGGGAAGAGTTTTGAACGGAGGCTGACAGTCGTGTCGCGGGCGCCGCACGTGCGCCAGAAGGCCTGTTACGTAAGCTGCTGCCACGCCCAGGCGCAGCGGTCGTTTCAACGCCGCGTGTGGAGGCTAGATCAGCCGCTGGTGTAGGCGGGGGTGATTTCGCAGGCACTGCAGGCGGTTGGTCGTTACCGGGAGGCGGTGGACTTCTCGACTGCTGCTGCATGCGGAGGGGCGTCGTCGCGGCATGTCGCGGAGGAGGCGTGTACGGCTCAGACTCGGAATCGGTCTCTTCGTCCTCTTCCTCGTCCTCGTCCTCGTCACCATCCGATATCGGTGGAGGTCTGCTTTTGCGAAGGGGAACCGCGCCGCTGTCCTGTTGGTTCATGTGCTGCATGTAGAAGAGGGCTGCACCCGCGTCTCCAAGGATATCATCGGTCAAGCTCGCTTCCTTCTGGCGTGCCGAGCTCGGAGGGTTTGACGAGAGGGGCGAGTGCAGCGACCGGGGATTAGGAGAGGCAGGCACAGTCGAGGGAGTAGAGATGGTCTGCAGAGTAGTGGGTATAGAAGCTTGGGATATAGATCGATCGGGGACCATCCGGATAGAAGGTGGGGGCGGTTGAGGACTAGAAATAGGCGGCTGAGTCTGGGGTTGAGGAGGGGAGGCGGCGCGAAGAGGGGAAGCAGAGCGAGGTGACGACCATGCCTTCGGAGACGCATTGGCAAACCTCGGCGGCGATGTCGGGGTCGACGGTCGAGGTTCTGGAGAGGTAGCCTGCCTGGCGCTCTCTGACGTGTATGTAGGAGGATTGGCGTGGCTGCTCGATGAACGTGAAGGGGCATGTGTAGTTTGAGAAAGTGCCTGGCCAAGCTTAGAGTCTGGGCGAGAGTAGCCCGACTTCTGCGCAGACGAAGCGACACTTGCTCGTTCAAAAGCGTTATGGTCCGGGGGAGGACTGGACGCGGTAGGGCTCGTCACTAGGGGTTGCTCCAGAATAGGAATAGGCTCCTCCGCAATGGTGCGTGGCGGAGAAGCCGCAGTGAACGACGATGTTCTCCCACCAGAAGGGCCCAAAGTAGACTTTCCTGCAGAAAGCGACCGTCCTTCGAGCGGCGTGCTACGCTCGGAGATTCTGGATAGGGGCCGTTGATCTTCCTCCGTGCGAGTGTTAGCGTTGATGACATCCGAATCGAAGCTCAAAGGTGGCAGCTGTAAGGAGAGCGAGCCGTTCCCAGGCGGAGATTGCGGCTGTGGTGGAGGCTGGGGAGGTTGCTGGTTCCCGTTGTCCAGAAGGTCAACCTCAGGAAGCGGAGGTAACGTCGGAGGGCCCTTTGGAACAGGAGGGGGACCTCCTGGACCAACGCCACTCATTCGGTCGAGAAGGATCCGCTGTAGCTGTGATCGTATGGCCGACGTCCGATCGTCCCGAGGGTCTAGAGTCTCTGCGAACTCGCGATCAAGGAAAAGCAGCTATAAAAGGCACCCAGCATTAGCCAAACATTTCTCGTATGTGCAGCGCACGCAGTACTCACGTCTCTGTGAGGTCCAATGGGGTACGCGAACATCATGGACTGAGAATCGCGCGGATCCCAACTGTACATCTTGGGACGACCGTAGAGCTCGAACGCGTCGTGAATGCCTGCAGCCCCGCCGTAAGAACTGAGTATCGCGCGGTGTACCGAACGCCTCACCGATGATCCACCTAAGCATCTCCGACGCGCGCGTATTTGCACCCTCCAACTCCGGCATGACAAGAAGCCACGCTTCGCGCATCTTAAGCACGCCCGCCATGTCTTCGTCCCCGAGCTGGCCCTCGAGCTTCATCAACGTGCTCCTGCTGATCAGCTCCGGCCGCTCCGGGTATACGGCAAACGCCTGTGAGACCGAGCGCATCGTGAGGAGCGCCTTCTTCTTGTCCTTCGACTTGGACGAGGCGAACAATTGGATCATAGGCCGCGCGGGGAGGTTCGAGACGGGGGCCTTCTCACGCGAGAAGATGTTGGACATGCGACGTTTCCGCACCGTCGTGGGCGACTCGGCACGGTCGTGGCCTATGGACGAGACCGAAGCGCGGTCGCCTTGTCCGGGGTTGTTCCCGGCCGAGATGACCATCCACAGTTTCTTCCAGTCCGTCTGGCCCGCGATGCGGATACGTACCCAGCCCTCGAGACGGCCGTTCACAAGCGGACTCGGGGCACTGCGACCTGCATTGCCATCTGAAGGTTAGGAACGGCGCGCTCGCCGTGCGCAGCTGTTGATCAGCACTCACCGTCGTTCAGCGAGATTCGAATCAGATGAGCAGTGTAGATCTCTTCCAGCCGCGACTTCTCCCAAGCTGCCAGACGCATTGCTGCCGTCCATTGGACGAGCGCCTCGGGGGAGGGACAGGAGAACAGATAGAGGTTCGAGCCCGCCGTGTTCAGGGTAAGCACGTTCGTGTACCGCTTCTGTGGTTCTCCGGGTTTGGACGGGAGCGTAATGGAGCCTAAGACGGCCACGAACTACCCTGAAGTCAGCGCACACGAACAGAGCGCGCTTGCAGCGTGCACTTACGGCGTCGGTGACATTGATGTATGCGGGAGGAACCTGGCGTCCCTGCTTGCTCGCCTCCTGAATCTCCTCCATGTCCCACACGCTGAGCGTCGTACCGCCGAGCTGCGCCCAGACCTCCTTCCATCCTTCATCTTTCGCGGGCTTCTGTCCATCCGGTTGGCGTTCTATCCGCCGCACGAGTGGGCCCGAGAAGTATACCTTGTGCGCGTGCGCGAGGGTGAGTTGTACGACCGACCTAATCTCGGGGTGCAAGGCCGGTCCCTGCGGCGGAGCATCCGGATTAACAGGGCCTTGCGTAGGCGGAGGGCCCTGCGGAGGAGGGGAGGCCAGAGGGTCTTGAGATTGCTGGGGCAGGGGCTGCTGTGGAAGGGGTTGCTGCTGAGGATGTGGCTTCACGAGCCGCGACGGAGCTGGCGAGCTCGACTGGCCCAACGTAGCATGTTGAGGAGCAAAAGAAGAAGGAGGGGGCCGCTGCTGCATCGTCGCGCCGGAAGGTGGCGAACGCTGGGGCTGAGCAAGAGGAGAGGAAGATAACGGCTGATCATCCATAGCTACTGATTTCCGGGAGAAGAAAGACGCGAAGGACGGCTTGGAGCGGTGCGTCGGCCTAGTGGGGCTGCCATTGTTGTTTGTAGAGTCTGTGCTGGTGTTGCGCCGTTCGGGGGTGGGTCGATTCGCGGTGAGGTCTTGAGGAGGGGTGTTGAGCGGGCTACTGAGAGAATGCACGCGCTCGTGCTCCTGCTTCCACTGCTGGAGGCGCGCCGGAGAGACAAAGCCCTCGTTGAGGCCGTCCCAGCGCGGGCTTGGCGAGGGTCGTGGCGGAGCGGTGGTCATCGTCGGAAGGGGCGATGAGGAAGATGACGATGGCGAGACATAAGATGAGCGGCGAGCGGGATGCTTGAGCTGTGAGCCCTGCAAGACTTCCATATGCGCTCACCGTTCCCAGCACGTGAATCACTCACCCCGCACCCATACTAGGATCTCCATGCGAACGCCCAACAATGTCTGACGTCATTCGCCATCGAACGCTACAGATTCAAAGTCTCGAACGACGACTGCCTGACCCTGCCCTATGACTAGCATCACTCCGAATTCCAGATACCGGCCGCCGTTCCAGGCTCGAAAGATGACCAGAACGATCGACCATGATCTCTTCAGTCAGCCACGGATACTGATTGAAGGCGACGGGGTCCTGATAAACGATATGTATGTCCCTTCTTGATACACCGAGCTGAACTGACCTCGCTGGATTCCAGGATCATTTTGACAGAACAAACATGTCGAGTAGAAGGCAGGTCAAGACATCGCACCACAATGGCACGCGTCCCTCTTGCTCGTAGCACAATGAGGAAGCGGTTGACTTACTGAATCAAAAACCGGGATCCTGACTATTTGACGGTCATTTAGACCTTGTCTTGCATTTTTTTAGATAGAAGTGAAGCGCAATTTCGACCGTAGCTGCTCCGCTTCGAGCCTCTGTTCCCAGGCTCTGGTGGGCGATTACCGCAGCACTCACTGGAGAGGTTTCCGCAAGCCACCCCTCGGAAACGTTCCCACCTCGGGGCCCTGACCTGTCGCAATCCAGCTTATAAGCACTGCGATCTCATCGGAAGCGGGTCATCGCTCTCTCATACGACCATGGATCTCGACGACTTCGACGCCGCCATTGCTCAATTGCCTCTCAAAGAGGAGCCCACTCTCTCTACCCAGAGCGCAAAGGCCGCCGTGAACTACCTTGACTCGCAATGGTACTCCCTGGTCAATAGGCGGGGGCGTTGGATGGACCTGATCGGTGACTACGCGGGGAGCGAACCCTTCATCGTAGATGGTACGCTGGTCTGTAGAAATGCTATGTCCTCCCACGACTTACTGTCTCCAAGGCGAGGCCTTGATTGCAATGGTGTTGGAAGACCCTCTGCTCGCGCTGGGCCGCACGCACGGTTCGTCTCATATGCACTCGTCCTGAGAATGCACTATCTGACCTATTGAACCTCTAGACATCAGCTTTCAGTGTCTACACGTGGTCTATACTCTCGAATGCATGATCAAACAGATTTCCATGCGCTCAGACTCTTTCGACATTGTCTTCTGGCACGGTCCGTCCGCAGTTGGTCCCGTTGATCCAGTATCTGACATGTTCTCGTAGAGCGGCGCTTCCTGACGTTACTGTACGGGGAAAACGACTACGTCACCAGCTCTCGCTCGCTCGCCCGTACTATCCTCTTCAACCATCTCGCATCTATGAAACTATTGGTGCATACCTTCACGGATCTGCTTGACCCCGCTTGGTTGGCATATCAGCGGCTGAGGAAGGTGAGGAGACTCAACCCATTGAATAGCATCAGTCCGATGCAGACAACTCTTTAGCCCATGTTCGTCATGACAAGCGATGGGGGTACTGTTATGGATTCGTCCCCCATCGCTGCGGCTGAACGTATACTACTTCAACGGGTATTCCTGTACTCGCTTCTGACTCAAGGCGTGTCGGTTGCAATGTTGCGCGGTGCCGAATATCGAGACTCCAAGGTTCGTTTTGAATGTTTGTGAACCATACGTAGGTTGACCACGCGACAGATCATGTCGTTTGTCTACGAACAAGGACTCGACAGCAACCCGAAAAGTCGTTTCAAGAAGACATTCTGGCTAGCTGTGGAGATCGCGACCAGTTCGCTCACTGCGCACGAGAATTGCGCCCGCTCAGAGGTCCCCATACATCCTCTCGAACGCCGCATTGAATCGGAAGCTTCGGACAATCCAGCGCTCCTCTTATTACGGGGTGTCTCGCGATCCCGGAACCTCCAACGGAAACATTTTCCTGCCCTCCTCCAAGTCTTCGTCGCACACATGCTCTTCCTTCCTCATTTAGACCTACGAGAGCGAGCCATCCCTGACATCATCTTACCAAGTGAACTGGTCGGCCTTCTGACACGCGATTTCCTTCCTACAGTCTTCCTTGCCCTCGAGAAAATCGCATCCGTGTCAGACTTGGATGGACGCATCTTCGCTTCCCTCTTGGATTCTATTCTCAGAGATCATACCACCCCACTTCAGACGCTGATTGGCTGTGATCTGTCGAGTGTGTTGGTGAAATTGTGGGTGGCCCATCAACTTCCTTCTCCTGACTATGATGCTCTCCGTCGCCAATTCCCTGCCTCGATCGTCGTCCAGGACGATAGCGAGACAGAGTCACCTCCCCTCAGCCTTCTGCCCTTCCATCACCGCCTGTTTGACGAGGAATTGGCCGCTGTCAATGTCGAAGCAGAGGCATTGTCTGACGACGATGAAGACGACGAGGAAAGTGCCGCTCATCTGGAGTTCAATACTGTCTTCAGCGACACGCAGCACTGGCACAACCACAAGCGCGCTATCCTTCCTCCGTACCTCGGCGGCGGGAACAGCATGGCGCCATTGAACGAGTGGCAGAAGAAGCGTCAGTTACGGAGCGAGCAGAGGTTCATGTCGAAGTTGCAATGGCACGCGGAGACTCTCACGGGTGCGTTGGGAACCCCCCTGCAGCAGATGGTCATCCCGAGCGTCGCGAAGAGGAAGTCCCGGCCAACTAATTCTTCGAGAATCGAGGTACGTGGTCATCTCTTCGTGTCGATCTCCCTCACATTGATCAAGGCGGCGTAGGAATCCAAGCCAACGACGCCCACTAGAAGCGGCTCTGGTAAGAAGGGAAAAGAGACGCTTTCCTCTGCAGACAAGATTCATCTAGCCTATTGGGCTCAGAAGCAAGCCAAAGAGGACGGGTCTAACGTTGCCTGGTGGCAGGAACAGCTGGCAGTCATCGAGAACTCCTCCTCCTCCGCCGCCTCCTCGTCGTCGAAGATCACCGCTCTCGAGCATCTGATGCGCAACAAGCGCACGTACCATGGCTGGCTGTCCGTCGAGTCTCGCCTCTATCGCATTCACCTCGAGTTCTGCCGCTGGCTGGAGGTTCCCGATCATGAATCAGCTTCCGTACGGGACCGCTTCACCGTCTCCATCATGTGCATGGTGAAGGACCTCTATGAGTCCGAGGATCTTTTCCCCACCGCTGCCGCGAAACTCGCCGCTTGTCTTATATGCCTTGGCTTAAACGACTACATCCAAGCCTTCGAGAGCGCGGCCACGGTTTCGGCGGAGGACCGCAAGTTGCACTTCAGCTTCGTGAAGCTCGTTAAGTCAAAGGGCGTTTGGCACCCTGTACACAAGTGGATGCGCATCACAGAGGACCCGGTAGTATGGCAGCTGAGGCTCTTCGGTGACTTCATGGATCGGAGCATGGACAGTGCGAGAGACCCGCGTGTGTCGTTCAAGGCAGATGCTTGGCAACGGAAGGTGTTGGATTGTTTGGATCAGAACGAATCGGTCCTCGTCGTTGGTAAGGCTCTCTTCGTTGCCGATAGGTCAAATCGGTTCTCACTGACCGGTGATAGCGCCGACGAGTGCGGGTAAAACGTTCATCTCGTTCTACGCCATGGAGAAGCTCCTGAGGTCCTCGAATGATGATATCGTCGTCTACGTAGCTCCCACCAAGGCACTCGTTAGCCAGATCGCCGCCGAAGTGTTCGCTCGATTCAGAAAGGACCTTGGGGGCAGTGAGTGTTTCGTGTCGGAGCCATGCTACTCTCAGCGCTGATCAACCATTGCAGGGGCGTTCTGGGCCATCCATACCAGGGACTACCGGATGCACAATCCGCAAAACTGCCAGATCTTGGTGACTGTTCCAGAGATCCTGGCGACTATGCTTCTCTCGCCTCCTCTCGCGAGATCTTGGACTCCGAGGATCAAGCGGTAAGACGGTACAACGAGGTTTACACATTATCAAAGACTCACGGATTGTTCGGTGTTGTCAGCATCATTCTGGACGAGATCCACACCATTGGTCAGCAAGAAGGCGGCGCGGTCTGGGAGCAAATCATTCTACTTGCTCCTTGTCCCCTACTGTGAGATTATACACCATGTGTCAGAGTAGAATTAATATTCTCACAGTGGTCTTTCTGCTACCATCGGAGAACCGGAGAAATTCAACGTGTGGCTAGCATCCGTACAAGAGGCTCACGGCTTCAAGCACACGTTCATCCAGCATCCGCACAGGTACTCGCACCTTCGCAAGTTCACATACCTCATAGAGCCCAAGGAGAAGCCTGCGGAGTTCCAGGGTCTGCAAGAGTATCGGAAGAGCGACCGCTTGCGCTTCATTCACCCAATCTCAATGCTCTCATTCGGTGCACGTCATCTTCCTCCCGACTTCTCTCTCGAAGCAGGTGACTGCTTGTCCCTGTACCATGCACTCGAATCGGTTCGGGACAGGCTTCACTTCAATGTTGGCTCACTGGACCCGACGCCGTTCTTCGCTGACTTGAAGGGTGTTCTGCTGAAGCAGAGGGACATTTTGCGCTACGAGGCTGTTCTGACGGGTCATGTGTCAGAATTGATCGAGTCGACAGACCCTCTAGATCAAGACTCGGTCCTCAATCAGGTCATTCGCCACGTATCCGACCCCGTCATCGTCAAGGTCAATCAGCGGTTCATCCCAGATGCGGACGCATTCTTCCGAAACTTGATCGGGCTCGTCTCAGACCTGCATATCAATGGAGATTTGGTCAGTGTTTCTGCGTGCTCACTTGTCTCATGAGCCCGAATATTGACGTTGCTGCGTAGCCCGCGCTCCTTTTCCACTTCGACCGCAAGGTCTGTGAAAAGATGGCCGAGACCATTCTCGAGGTTTTGGCCGGAGCCGAGGCGAAGTGGCGTGAGACGAGCCCAGAGTGGAGAAGGAAGATCACGCAATGGAAATTCTGGGTCTCCAAGTCGAAGGAGCGCGAACGCCAGGCAGAGCGGCTGAAGAAGGTGAAGAAAGAGAAGGACGAGGCGAATGCTACTCCCGAGACGCAGCCAGAACAGGGCTGGGAAGCGTCCTTCAATCCGGACGATCCCTCGCCACAGTTCTCTTTCGCGGGCATGTCGCCGGCGTTCACGAAGGAGGACCTCGACGACGAGATCCGCAGCCTAGCGAGGTGGAGGTCCGCTCCCGAATGGGCTCTCAAGTGCCTGCAAAGGGGGATAGGCGTACACCATTCTGGAATGAACAAGCATTACCGAACTCTCGTTGAGAGGTGAGCTCACAATGTTTGAGCCCTTGAGAGGAGACCTGAAATTCTGTCTCCTTATAGTTTGTATCGCGCAGGATATCTTCGAGTGGTGATCGCAACAGGCACACTTGCTCTCGGTATCAACGCTCCGACGAAGACTTCCGTGTTCTGCGGCGATTCTCCCTTTCTCACTGCCCTCATGTATCGTCAGTGTGCAGGCCGTGCCGGTAGGAGAGGTTTCGATCTCCTCGGCAAAATTGTCTTCTACGGCCTTCCCATGGACCGATGCCAGCGACTCGTACTCTCGAAGCTTCCTTCACTTGGCGGCAACTTCCCGCTCACGTCGACTATGGTCCTGCGGCTCTTCAATCTGCTGCAAGGGTCCAACGACGCTCCAGTTGCCCGAAATGCTATCAAGTCTCTCCTCCACCTTCCACACGTTAGCTTCGTCTCTGATGTTGGCCGGGAGCAAATTCTCCACCATATTCGGTTCAGCATTGACTACCTCCGTCGTTCTGGCCTGCTCGATGAACGAGGAAACCCTATCAACCTCTTCGGCGTTGCTGCCTACCTGTACTACACAGAACCAAGCAACCTCGCTCTCGTGGCTCTCCTGCGGCATGGCGTCCTTCATCGTATTTGCAATCAAAGGAGCCTTATCAGAGCAAAGCGCGATCTTATGATACTCCTTTCACATCTCTTCGGTCGTCGATACCTCCCTCATACATATGCCTCTCGTGAATTCTTGCAGACAATTGTCAAGAAGTCTCCCTCTATGGTCGTTCTCCCTCCTTTGTCCAAAGACGCTCGCAGTGTTCTACTTGAACACGAGAACCATATCAAGGGTATCTTCACTGGATATGCCCTAGCTTACGTGTCCCGCCATGCGGAAGAGCTTGGCCGGGATTTGCAACTACCGTTCAGCAAACGAGCGATCTGTCCTGTGTCCTCGACCGCCCCTTCCGCACCATTCACTGATAAACTCCGCAGCACTGCAATCGCATCTGTCGCCCGCTCGCCCTTCGTCGCCACGTCCGGTCATGGAGATAACTTCCGCTCTGTGAAAGAGCTCTGTGACACATCCAGGCAGGCACTATACCTGAACGAATATGCGATCCCGTCCATGTGCCAGTTCACCGCAATTCCCGGAGAGGATAGCAAGGAGTTCGCGCTGAACGCATATCTACTGGATTTCTATATCCACCGACAGACAGCTGCACTGAATGCCGCGAATGGTCTCCGCGATGGGGAGATGTGGTATGTCCTGCAGGACTTTTCTCTCACGCTCAAGTCCATCCGCGGCGGCTTGTTCCAGTTGCTTCAGAAGGCGAGCGACAGCGGGAGTGGGGAAGACGATGCGGTCTCGGAGGTGGACAGCGGATTCGCGAACATGACACGAGCAGAGAGGGATCCTGACCTCGATGGTTCGGAGCATGGTTCTGTCAAGCCACCCGCGGGTGTATCGGATAGGGATTGGAAAGTCTACGAGGTCCTGGATGCGCTGACAGCTGAGTTTCACGAGAAGTTTCACAAGATATGGGCTTAAACGCACCGATCTCTCTACGTATGCACAGCCGTCTCGTTTCCGATGCTCTCTCCATTGACTGGCCTTCGCTTTCGTGTGACGATGTCATGTCACTCCTCTGTGCATATGCTTTCGCATCATACCTAGTGTTCTCTTTGTAAACGAACAGGAACACTTCTACCAGCATGCGCATCTGAACTGTGGCCAGGTGAAGCCACCGAGGCGGCTTGCTCCTCTGGGGGCTGCGGCATACCGTCTTCTCCCACTTAACCCACACAAGCATCAGAAAGCTACGGGCATCGGAAGAACTCCTTCCTCCCCTCGTGTCCGCGGCTGCCAGAGTTTTGGAGTCGAGTCGTCAGAGGATCATATCGTGCGTCCGGCCTCATTCTCTGACACTGAATCAATGTTGACCAGTTAACTTCGAGTCGGTACATACTGATCTGATCGGTCTATGACAGTTACCACCCGCACTCACATCTACGACTAACGCTGTCTATGGTGCATGAGTACGACGACACGTCGCACCATCGGAAGACCACTCTCGACGTTGCGCGTGGTTATCATCTGGGGTCACATACTGCTGCAGCGTTCTAGTTCTTCAACGATGGTCAAGAGTAAGACCGTAGAAGGGCTTGGAGGGCTTGGAGGCCCGCCAAACGAGTGTCGGTCCACGTTGCCCAGACCGCTGGATAGCCGAGGGGCTGGGTCAGCTACATAGTCTCCTGTACAACAAGCCGTTCCTGCTGGCGGGGGAGCCTTGGTGAAAGCATTGGTTTATAGGCTGCATTATCCTGCCTTACGTCCTGCCAGCACAGCGTCGGGATAGGTAGAACAGGTGGCTCGTCACATATTCTATGCACATCACGTTACAGTTTCGCCGCCGTCTGAGATACTTGGACGACCCTGCACAGCGTGTCAGATTCGGGACACACAAGAACAAGAACGAGACATACAGCTTGCCAGTGTTTCCGCCGGTGAAGAGCAGGTTCATTGCTTGGGCGGCGTTCTGCAGGCCCTGGACGACGTGGAAGCGGCGCTTGAGGCTGCCTTCCTTCAGCCATTCCGCGATTTCTTTCCTCGCTTCGGCGTAGCGAGGCGCATAATCAAGGCTAACACACGTAGGCATCATGTCAGTAGGGGAATATCAGCACGAAGGAGGTGACGCAGACATTATGAAACCCTCAATTCTCGCACGTTGTGAGATCAGGTTCAGATAAGACGAAAGGCCCTTTGGCTTTGCCTTGTCTAGTGAAACATGAATGTTCAGTCCTGAGGTGAGCGCTTGGACACGCAGACGTACTGTAGTCAGAGATAGCACCGCAGAGCACGATTCTCGCCTTCTGGTTGAGGCGCGTGAGTGCAAAGTTCAGGATATCGCCGCCGACGTTATCAAAGAAGACGTCGAGGTACCCGACTTCCTTCTTGAAGTCATCATAAAACGACGGGCTTTTGTAATTGAGGGCCTTGTCGACCCCGAGGTCCTTCTCGAGCCATTGGCACTTCTCCACGGATCCGGCAATCGCAACGACCTTGGCACCCTTCTTCTTCCCGATCTGGCACACGATAGACCCTGTCGCACCCGCCGCACCCGAGACAACGAGCGTCTCGCCAGCCTTGATCTTGCCAACGTCGAGGAGCCCCTGCGATGACAAGCGTCAACAGATGAGAACGCAGGCTAGTTACGCATGGAACGCACAAAGTACGCGGTCAGACCTACCGTGCATCGTTAGTATGCAATTGCTGCGGGGACTTCAGTGTATCGTACGTACCTGTCGTACCAAGGGGGCCCAAAAAGTCGAGGATATCCAATCCCGGCTGGTGCCTAGCCAAGAGGTTACCATAGCTCCGGGGGAGTGGGGCAGACCAAGGAATACACATGCAGTGATGACTTACTCGATCTTTTCCGCGACCTTGTCGTCGAACACGCCGTACTCCGTCCAGCCTGGACCGACCACCGTCATTCTTACATCCTGTCTCACAACGCTGCATGCTCACCGAAACCCCCCTCCACGATATCCCCGACTTTGTACTTGCTGCCGGGACCCGCCTCGATAACTTCTCCAAACGCATGCCCGCGCATGACCTCCCCGATCTGCACGGGGCGCATGTAACTACGCTGGTCCTTGATAAATCCACGCAGGGCGGGGTCCAAAGAGAGGTAGAGGATCTTGACGAGGATTTGACCCCGGCCTGGCTTCAGATCGAATGGCACAGTCTCCTGCTTGAAGGTTGTCGGGGTGATTTCCTCCGGAGGCCGCTCCTGGAGGGTGACTCTGGTGTACGTAGAGGGAGCCATGGCGATCGGGTTTCTTTCGCGTTTCTACCGAGGGGCAGGAAAAGAGAGGGGCTTTGAGACGAGGAGTCGCCGTCGCGTACTTAAGGCCTCTCAGACCGGGTCGGTCTTTCAGCGAGCCCGGTCATGCTGCATGAGCGACTGTCGATCAAGAGGGGAAGCCGGCCACAAACCGCAATGAAGCCGACATCTAGAGATGCGCACAAGGCAGATGCTCGTGGAGCATAGACATAGACCGCATGCATGGTGGTTTGGATGCCAAAAAGAACCTCCCGACGCCCATTCACACCGTTGAGAGCGACCGCGGGGACGATAGGCGCTCTTCTGGACGGTTTGGAAATCATGAGTAAACGTCCACCTCAGGTTGTCTCCCCTCTCCACGCCGTCCGCCCTCACGGTGACTTTGCTTACCCATTGCCATCAATATCGGCCGCAACCCAGCCCACACCGGTATCACGCTCCTGACCTCCTCTAGGCCCAATCCTATCGAGATGGATGGACTGCTTGAACCGCTGTCCCAGGTTGGCGCGACTTTCACCATGTCTGGTGGGGTGATCCGAGAGGAGCAATCAAGAACGCTTTCAAGCAGTCGCTTCTCGAACGCTTCCTCTACGTAGAGCATTGGATCGTTCAGAGGTCTGCGCAACCAGTCAAGACAGTGGGTTGCTCATCCGCGAAGAGTACCTCCTATTTTCCCGACGTCTTCGGAATGCACGCAGTGAGCTCGGGACGGCTTTGATTTGAGGCTGCTTGCCTCTTGACCAACCAGGCATCGGTGCACGAAATAGCAGTCTCGAGGCAAATTTTATTTTCTCTTCTTCTTGCCAGAGTGCCCGCCACGCAAGGAGACTGTACGACTCGAGGTCGCGAACAGCCTGTACCCATCACTCGGTGACCATCCCATAGCGTTGAGTGGAGATCGTTTGGAGGAGATCATTCGCGTACGCCAAATAGATGTGCAAACTCACGAGCAGCACTATACACGACCCCTCTTCTCACTCTCTCTTCGCCCTTCAGCTTCCAACTCATGAATCGCGGCAGCAGCCCAGCCATAGAACCCGTGCTTGTCAAATGCATCCCTGAATCGTCGCTCCGCTTCTCGCCACGAACTCCTCGGCGACGTCCAATAAAGCCGAGGAATGTTCATGAGGGTCTGGCAACAATTGGGTGTCTCCATCCTCAGCTCTGGTGGGCGGTGTATGCGGGCAGATAAACTAGGCAATCGGTTGAAGATGGCATCGCGCATCATGTTCGCGAATTCCTGTGTCTTCTGGGAATGCGAACTAGTATTTGCGTGAGACAACGCAGCGGAAAAAAATGATGCTCCCTGTCTGCACGTCTCGCTCCGTGCACTGTTCCAGCAGCCCCGACTCCCACCATCAGTGTTGCGATGCCGAACGCCTTCGCGCTGTGGAGAGCACCATTGAAGCTATCTTCTGCCCTTGCCGCCATAGAGGAAGAGGCCGAGGTAGATGTCGAAGGTACTGGATCTCCGATAGAGAACACGGGTGCGTTTGTCTTGGGATTTGCCGTAGGTGTGCCCTTGAAGATGAATACGGCGAGGAGGTGGCGGCGTGTCGGCCATGCTAAGCGTTGCAGCTCTGTGTCGGTGTAGCATCACAATAGGGACCATTAGTGCATCAGATGAAAAGGCTATGTAGCTACTGCACACTTGAGACACGCGAGATGGCTAGCGATTGGGCGAGACGTACTAGAGCAACAGGAACCCATTTAGAAATCGGATTCTTGTCCACTGCCAAAGATTGAGTTATAGTCAGAAGATTCTGGCCTTGAATCAGCCATTGTGAGGACCTTTTAGCAGGAAGGCTTGTCGGACACGGAGATGCAGCAAGCTGTCGGGCACGAGGAGGAAACACGGAGGTGGCGGGGAACAGAAGCGCGTCCCTCGTGACCACGACGCCGCGGTCGACGCGTCAAGGAGGGACATGTGAATTCGCCGGGCTCGGATACGCTGCCACCACTCCCCAGCCCATCTCTCTCGGCATCGTGCCACCAGTTCAGGCTGACGTTCATACATACTTGGGGACCGGAACTCGGATTCCTAACGCATATATACACTCCTTGGGGACATACGCCTGCGTACAGACACTCTCCCTCCGCGACTGCCTCACGCTACGACCACCATGGGCCGACCCACAACGTCATCGTTGCCGGAAGGCGCACCTCAGGACAGTTTGACCGTTCGCGACAACCGCACTGGCAAAGTGTATACCATTCCGTGAGTCGCACCTCATCGTAAGCTCCCTGCGTTGCGACGGGCTTAAGGAGGAGGGGATAGTATCGAGGACAATGCGATCTCCGCGACGGCCTTCAAGTCCATGACTTCTCCGCGGAAGCCGGGCGAGCGTGAAGAGAACGAGACGGAGAAGGGTCTGCGTGTGCAGGACAAGGGCTTCCTGAACACCGCCGTCATTCGCAGCGAGATCACGTACATTGATGGCGAGGCCGGCGGTACGTCTCCCTACCTCTGGAACCTCGTGTGTGGGTGCTTACCAGCCCGCGGTAGTCCTCCGCTATAGGTGAGAGTAGGAGTCTCCAGGGAGCGGCCTCAGGAAAACTTACAGAAGGACAGAGGATACCCCATTGAGCAGCTCGCACTCAAGTCATCGCACTTGGAAACCGCGTACCTTCTCATCTATGGCTCCCTGCCGACCAAGGAGCAGCACCGCTTCTTTGAGAGTGAAGTGATGCGGCACTCCGTCATGCATGCGGATTCAGAAGGCTTCTTCAGGTCCTTCCGGTGCGTGAGACCGCAAGAGAGAATCAGACTTTGACCGTGTGTGCTCATCCGTCCCTGTTAGCTACGATGCGCATCCTATGAGCATGTTGACGAGTGCATTCGCAATGCTTGGCTCATACTACAGCGAAGCCAACCCTTCTCTGCAAGGTACATGAGCCGACCATTTGTGCAGCTAGCCGAGCATTGACAGTGCGATCGCAGGCCAACGTCTCTATACCAAGGGAGATGCCGCGTCGCTTGCGACCATGGACAGGCAAATATACCGTCTCATTGGGAAGTCCATCACTCTCGCAGCGTAAGACATCGTCCACCGAGGGTGTAATCCAGATTGTTGACAAGTTCCTAGGATGGCTTACCGTGTCCGTCAAGGACGCAATTTCGTCACCCCCCCTACCGGTCTGAGCTACACGGGTTCCTTCTTATACCAAATGGACCACTTGGGTGAAGAGAACTACACTCCAAACCCGGTTCTGGAGAAGGCACTTGATGTGCTGTTCCTCATCCATGCTGACCACGAGCTGAACGCGTCTTGCACAACCGTGCTGCAGACAGGCAGTTCGCTCGTAGACCCTTACTCCGCCATTGCGTACGTTCCCACTTTCACGCTACATCCGCGTAATCAAATCTAATCCATGTTCAATCCATAGTGCGGGATGTGCTTCATTATAGTACGTGCTGTCGCTGTACATCCTGCTAGAACTCACGTGAATCCCTTTTCCCAGCGGCCCTCTGCATGGTGAGCTCATAGTTGACTTCAAGTGAATGAATACCACCTAATTTGGTATATAGGTGGCGCGAACGAGGCCGTTATCCGCATGCTCATATCTATCGGAAGGTGCGACTATGCGCCTGCAACGCACCCGGTGTCATCTTACGATTCATTAGCCCGGAAAACGTACCAGCGTTCATTGAAGCAGTCAAGAAGCGCGAAAAGACGCTGTCTGGGTTCGGTCATCGGTATGTTATCCCACCGGCATGAACACGGACGTATGTTCATATGGTATTTAGCGTTTACAAGACCGTAAGTTTGCGCTTGTTGCTAGCGCACCGCCCACCTTGACGTGACGGCGTTGCAGTCAGATCCACGATCCTTCATCGTCCGGAAAACCGCGGACGAAGTGTTCAAGGTGTAAGCACATCCTTCGCTGCTTGCTGCCGCGCATGAGGATGCCAACAGCAACCGCGCGATCTTCACGCCCTCCAATTATAGCACTGGCAAGGATGCGCTCCTCGAGACGGCGATGGCGCTTCACGACGCCGCGATGAAAGACGAGTACTTCATCAAGCGGAAGCTCGCGCCCAACGTGGATTTCTGGTGCGTAGCGTCTTCCCGCCTCGCAGTACCGGTGTTGTGACGGTCGCTGACCGAACACGTTCTTTCACAGGAGGTGAGTGATTTCTCCGACCGCAAGCGGAAGCCGCGCGCTCAGCCTAACAACGTCCGACAGCGGCCTCATCTACCGCGCGATGGGTGAGTTTGCAGCGTGGAATGCGTCCGAGGGTACGAACTGAAAGCGCGCCCCCCCGCGCTATGTGTAACAGGCTTCCCACTGGACTTCTTCCCGGTGCTTTTTGCGGTCCCCCGTGTGGTGGGCTGGCTCGCACACTGGCGGCAAATGATGCTGCAGGAGGGCGGCGTCAAGATCTGGCGCCCGCGGCAGGTACGTGGTGGCAGCGTTGACGTTTTCCCGCCCCTGGGTCGCTACTAATTCAACGGGTGACTCGGCGGCTGCAAATTGCGGTCGTGGTGGTCGTTGCTTTTGATTCGCGTGCAGGTTTACGTTGGCTCGGGAAAACGCGACTACGTCCCCGCGGAGGAGCGTGTTGCGGTGGAGGGGCTGCGACAGACGCCGTCGAAGGTCGAGCACGGAGGGTGAGTGGTGGACGCATTTTGATGCGTTTGAGGTGATGGACGATGCTAACACGTAGGTGGGCGACCAGGATCACGAAGCGTACGATGTTGGCGACGTTCAAGGAGAGAAGCAAGCTGTAGTCGTATGTAGTTGGTACATCGTATGTTCGTCGTGTACGGGCATTGTGCCCGTGTTGCTCGTGCGCTGGCATGGATGGTCTTGGAAAATCAATATGGATCGGATGTGCGGCTTGGCACATTAATGGCACTTGGCATCGAGCGCGGCGAGGCGGAGGCCGCTGCCGGGGTTGTGGAGGAGGCAGAGAATGGCAGCCGGATCAGGCGATCAGGGCTTGCCGGGCGGGTGCAGTGTTTGACCGTGTTTGGGCATCGCGCTGTTGCCGCGTTACGAGGCTCAGGCGGGGAGCGAGCCCGGCTTCCCTTTTCTTCGCCTCTTGTTTCTCTTCTCTCATCCTCGCCCCCTCGCGTCGCCCTCCCTCCTCATCCGCTTGAGCTCCCTGCTCCATTCCTTGCACGTCGACCCCACGATGTACTCCACTCTCATTTCCGTCGCTCTCTTCTCCGCGCTCGCCATCCAGGGAGCTCTTGCCGACTTCACCGTCGAAACCCCTACCATCACCCAGGTGCTCCCCTCTCGCGCTCCGGAATACGAAGCTCTCCCCTGACGCGATTACTCTCTCACAGTGCGAGCCTGTCCAGCTCAAATGGGATAGCACCAACGCGAAGTCCTACAATGTCGCGATCGTCTCCGCCGCCAACCCGTGCGACGATGTTCTGTGAGTTCACCGCGCACGCGCTGGCGCACGCGTGCAAGGAAACTGACAGGAACGCGCAGCGCCGACCTTGGCGATCACGAAGTGAACCACATCACCTGGACTCCCACTCTCAAGGCGGGCACCCAGGTCATGCTCTCCATTCTCGACTCGGACGATAACGAGGCTTGGTCGGGCGAGGTGAGTTCCATTCTGCACTGAATCTGCCGGAACCGTTCTGATCACTACCCTGGGCGGCTCTAGATCACCGTCAAGGGCGGTAGCAACACATCCTGCTTGGCTGTCTCCTCCTCGAGCGCTTCGAGCTCGGCGTCGCACTCCTCGACCGCGTCGTCGGCTTCTGCCAGCGGCACCACGTAAGTCCAGGCTGGTTTCAAACAATTTAAGCATTTTGTACTGATTGGTTGGGGCTCCTAGTCTGGTCGTTAACCCTGCTGCCGCGCCTTCGAGCTATTCTGCGCCTGCTGCGCCTTCGTCTAGCGGCGCCAGCGTTGTTGGCGCCGCCAACTCCGGTATTCTTGGTGACAGCAACGGTGCTTTCTCCGTCCGCTTCTCCGTGCCCTCTGTCGCCCTCGGCGCTATCGTCGCCGTCGCGGCCCTCACCTTCTAAACGACCCACCCACACGCGCTGGGAAATGCGCAATATACCCTTAACTTTTATTCTCGACCGGGAAGCAAACGCCATGTACAGCAGCTGCTAGTCTAGCCTCCTCTCCGCGGCGCCGGATCTTCCCCCTGTTCCTTTCCCCTGGTTCATCTAGAGGCCCTCGAGAGGACGCCTCCTGCGGGTATTTGTGGTTTCTGTTCGGTTATTTTTTGGCAGATGATGTTGTCGAATGTTGTCTTCCTATCAAATGTGCATCCCTTCGCACGCGTACACACATCCTATCCTCCCCATCCAACGTCAGTCGCACACGGCTCTCGGTCATAATGGGCATTGCTTTTGCGTTCGTGCAAACGGGTCCGTTGACATTAGGCGGTGGAAAGCGTCGAAGGTGTACTCACTCACAATGTCGGTTGCGAAGAATGATTATTCGTATCTATTGTGCTCGAGTTGCTCATGCATGACAGGAGTCACAGCGGCGTGCGTATTGTGCGGTAGTGGCGCCGTACAGAGCGAGCTGCATAGCCCACAGGTGGAAGGCATGGCCGGGGTTAGGCGAGAACAATGCGGCTATCTTGACTGATAGTTGCCATATGGTGGCCATATGGATCAAGAAAAATATCCACCGCCATGCGGCCGGCGTCGACACCGACACGAACATCATCTCGACGACACAGCAGCCGCTGACGATCGGTGGGAGAGTGATTTACATGAGGGATACTGAGGCTTCCCATCCTCCGGTATCGGAGTTGGGCTCCGGAAACGATGTAAGGGTATGTATATATAGGAATCACCTTCTGAATGTCGTGGGAATCTGCATTGTGGAGGCGGCCAAGAGCCCACAGGTTCTCGATTATGGGGATGGACAAGCCACCGAAATTCGAACCGCTCTTCCATGCGTACATACTATGTCTGGACTCGGTCTGTGGTCTCCCGTTCCGTTCTATGAACGCTCACCGGTCGTTCCTGTTCCCAGAGAAACGTCTGTAGCCGAGACTCTCAGTCCGACAATGGCATCTTAAGGCTCTGGATCGCACATACATTCCAGCAGCTTTGCCTCCTGAACAGGTTGACAACAAGCACTCAGGCGGATTGTGAACTCCAATGCCAGTAGCTAGTGGTTCTCTTCTGGTGCTAGCGTTTGGAGTGTTGGCTGGGACACATTACACGAAACTATCGCCGGGCGCGGGTCCCGACTAGACTCGTCGTTGTCTGGTCCATCATGGTCAAACGTCCCTCGACTTCAATGTAAAGAACAACAGGGGGTCGGCTCGCATCGACAGGTACATGAGCTTAATGGAGGTCATCATCCTGAAGACAGTCGGGGCTGCGTATACATTAGCGAAGCATGGATATGTATGAGTAACAATACAAACGATCCTAAACAAGTATACCACCAGAAAGTCCACGCCAATCACGTCTTGCTTGTTAGCTTCCTCGTCAAGCTCTTCAGTCGTTCCGCATTCTGCTTCCTGCGCTGGATGTCCACGTCGACAGGAACGTTGTTCCTCGATAGACCAGCGTTCGCGCGTGGCGCCACGGTGTAGCTGCCGAGCTCGCGCTGAGGGATCATCACAGCGTTCTTCCTGACTCGGCCCTTTTCGTCCTCCCTCGCGCGCGCGAGGATAGCGTTGAGACGCTCCCCGCTTCGCGCACCACCGCCCTCGGCGTCCATTTGCGCAATGGGGATGACACGGTCGCGGTAGGAGGCGGATCGCTTGATGATGGGGCGAGACCAGATCGAGACGAGGTCGTTCGCGGCGCGTTGGATGTCTGGGGTGACGCGCTTGCATTTTGTGTAGAAGAGAATGACGCGGCCGAGGCGGGACTCTTTCAGGACGTTCGTGTCGATGAACTCCATCTTCTTCAGGATGGGGAAGAATTCCTTTTGGATGTCAAGGGCAGGTAGGGACTTGTCGGGGAGGGGTTCAAGCCACCTGCGGACTCCCTCGAGCAAGTTGTTATCAACGATTGACTGTGCGAGCGAGGTCCTACAGACGGGCGGACGTCAGCTATGCAAGGGGCTACTGGACGAGTATGTACTCACTTTCGTAGAACGTCCATGACCTGTGGCAATAATCGAAGCTTCGAAGTAGCGGGCAACTTCTCTCTATTTGCTTGATCGTCGTCCGCTGCCGCGGTGAGCATGGCTTCACGCAACCGTGACACTTCCTCATCGGCAAAGCGGTCGAGCACATCGTCATCGTCCTTTCTTTTCCGCTTGGGACGTGAACCCTTCTTCGGCTTCAGAATAGCTTCGATCTGCATGTCGAGCTTCATCTTGCTCGCTGTCGAAACTCATGAGTTCTGTGGACGAGGACGGGCTCAAGGGAGACCAACTCACCAACTTCAGGGGGATATTGGCTGAGGTCGACCTCCTCGGGAGCCTTCTTCTTCGACGCCCTCTTCCTCTTCCGCTGGGAACTGCCCAATCCTTCGTCATCATCCTCTCCTCTTCTCGCCTTACTCTTCTTCTTCGTCTTGGGTGCCCGCTTCTTCTGTTGAACATAGTCGTCTGCAGAGTCTCCTCCGGAAGACTCTTCGCCCGCGGGAGAGCCTCCCCGCTGCGGGATGTCTAAGTCTACCGAGGAAGCGAGTCAACAAATATGTGGGAAGCAGGGAGTGCAACGTAGCATACCATCCTCATCTGAAGAGAGGTCCGAGTCGGAGTGACCGAAGATGGCCGCAGCCAAATCCTCGCTGTTCTTGGCCTATAGTCTCGGTGAGTACCGCTTTGTCAACGACCATTACATGACAGACGTATCACTCACCTCCCGTTCTGACATTTGTGGCAGCTATTAGTCGAGCGTACGTGTCGAGGTCGGTGCCACAAGGGATAGCGTCGTGGTCCAGGTGCACGTTGGAGGTCGATAAGTGGCTTATTGTCGTGAACCCCATCCAGAAAACTAATTGTACACGAAACTGGAAACGTGACTAATTACGCGCGACGCGTCCGAATATGATGGGCGCTTGCTGGCTTGACCACTCCGCCCATTTGCTGCGATTGCCTGTCTCCCTGACTCGTCCCATGCTCTCGCCCGGCTCCTCTGTCTGGGTCTCTCTGTGGCTTTGTAGAAGGAATAGCTGACCAGCGATACAACCATGGGTGTCAAGTCCTTATGGCAACTTCTGGACCCTGTCGGTCGCCCAGTGCTGTACGCGTCTTGTTTGCGAGAATGGAAATCGGACTCAATGCGCTGATGGGTTTCTCCTTGGGGGCAGGCTGGAGACCATGGAGGGGAAGTCAATGGCAATCGACTCCAGTATCTGGATCTACCAGTTTCAAGCTACTATGCGAGACAAGGAAGGCCGTGGTCTCGTGAATGCGCATGTGCTTGGTTTCCTGCGGAGAATTTGCAAGCTGCTTTTCTACGGTATCAAGCCTGTCTTCGTCTTTGATGGAGGAGCGCCGGCCTTGAAGATGGCTACCATTGTATGTTTTTGCTCCTGCATCACTCAAAGCTTTCCGTGAACCAATTGGGTGCAGGCGGAGCGCAAGAAGAAAAAGAGCGGCGCTGCCGCAAGTCACGCGAGGGTCGCGGAGAGACTTCTGGCAGCACAGCTACGTCGCGAGGCCTTGGACAATGCTACCGGGAGAGGGTCAGTGTTCATCGCTTTCGTGCTCACCATCGCTCACAATATTCACAGTTCAAAAGGGAAGGGTCGCATACCGTCCGGTCCTGCTCGGATCGACGAGAACACGGTATATCTCGAAGACATCACTTCCTCCGGCCCCGGCGTCCCACAGACTCCAGCCAGGCCCGTTGCTCCAGAAGGAGCGCAGTCAACCCCACCTTCGTCCTCCAAGAAGGCTCGCTGGCGCGACCATGATCCTTATAAACTGCCGGACGTCAATATGGACGAGGTGGTGGCGAAGGCCACTGCGACGGCCGTCCCTGATCCGAGGCTCGCGACTGAGGATGAGCTCCGTATATTCATTGAGGAAATGCGTCCAGAAGACTTCGACGTAACTTCGCCTGCATTTCGCGAGCTGCCCACCGAGGTTCAGTATGAAATCATTGGTGACTTGCGCTTAAAATCCAGACAGACGTCGTACAAACGCCTTCAGAGCATGCTACGGAAGGCCAGGACTCCCCTTGACTTCTCCAAGGAGCAGATCAAGAACCTCAAACAGCGGAACGCTCTAACACAGCAGCTACTCGTCACTACTGACAGCGTCGGCAAAGCACACATAACTATTCCCATCCGGATCGCAAGCGAACGGAACAAGGAGTATGTTCTCGTCAAGAACGAAGGCGAAGCTGGAGGCTGGGTCCTGGGCATTCGTGATGAGGGCACGGCTATGAAACCCATTGAGATTGACCCAGCTCCGGCTCCAGCCCAGGTAGACAGTGACGAAGACGAAGACATGGAGGATGTTCCCATGTATGGATTTGGATTGATATAGACGACAGTGCTATATACTCAAGCAGTGACCACAGCGCTCCTGATGCAAGTGCAAGCGAGCCGTATGATCCGGACCTCCGAGAGTATCGACGACAGCAGGCGTTGGCTGCGCTGGCCGATCGCTATTCTCCCAGGGAACTAACGACACCGACTACGAGAGTCACCAGAAAGCGCAACGCGCGACCGCTGTTTGAACCGGAAGACGATGAGCTGGTTCAGCTCGACGAAGGCACGAAAGACGTCGAAGACCCAGAGCTCGTCACTGCCATCCAAGAGTCTATCGAACTCGAGGAGGAAGCTAGCCTCCGTCGGGCCATTGAGGAGTCCAGGAGGACTGCATCGGGTACTGTCAAGAACGGCGAGAGCTCAGGGTCGCGCCCTGCACCTGAACAGCGCCGGTCACAGCAGTTCCACTCAGTCGGCGACGATTCGGACGACGAGGATCTGTATGCGTCTCCAACGCGATTGGAGACAGCTTTGTCCATTGCCGGCGCCGGTCCTCGTCGACCGCCTGCTTCGAAATCTAGCGGGCCGACGCCATTCCCTTCGGCGACAACGTTCGGGATGCCTAGTCTTCTTTTACCGCAGGATCCTCAGACTTTGCCTTCCAAGCCATCTACCTCGACGTATGCTGATTCCGAGGACGATATGGAGGAGGTTCCAGTTACGACACCCTCTCCTCAGCCAGAAGTCGTCCCTGCTCTTACTCGGCTAGATCTACCAGAACCCATTCCTATGCCTCCTTACCTACTCTCGCCTGTTCAGAAGGAACCTGTGAGCCAAGATATTCCTGCGCAGTCGACCCCCATAGCAGTTGAGTCCGAGTCTGATGATGACATGGCACAGGTGGAAGTAGCGGTGCCTCGGTCTGCCCGCTCTTCGCCTCTTAGATTGTCTACCGACGCTTCTCTGGCGAACCACGTCGTACATGTTGCCCTCAGCCCACAAGAAGAGGTTCCGCTGGTCTCTCAGCCCATCCTGCCCGTGACGACTCGTGCTCCTGCCGATAACATGGTCCACCAGTCCCCTGAGGTCATGCCCATTGATACCCCTGTCGCTTCTGCTTCTACCCACTCGGGTGAGACCGCATCAGTCCCGCTGCCCACGTTCACGTCCGTCGACGAAGTTGTGTTACCGTCAAACTCAGACGCGGAACCGGGTGAAACTCGGTGGTCTCGCTCCCCAAGTCCTGCTGCAGACGTATCTGCTCACAAGGGAGTCCCCGAGGAAGGCTGGGACGCCGCTCAAGAGATGGATCCGTACGCGGAGGAGGATGAGTATACGCGCTTCCTCTCGCAGGTCAAGGGGAAGGACATGGACACCATCCGCCGGGAGATTGACGAGGAGATCCGCGAGCTGAACAAGCAGAAGAAGAACGCGATGCGCGACTCGGAGGACATCACCCAACAAATGATTTCGCAAATAATGGTCTGTCTCCCACCTTTATCAGTACTCCCCGCGCCCTCGTTGCTGACGCGACACAGATCATGCTCCGCCTCTTCGGCATCCCGTACATCACTGCGCCGATGGAAGCCGAGGCGCAATGCGCCGCGCTCCTCTCGCTCGGGCTCGTCGACGGCATCATCACCGACGACTCGGACGTCTTCCTCTTTGGGGGCGGGCGCGTCCTGAAGAACATGTTCAACCAGTCGAAGACGGTCGAGTGCTTCCTCACGACTGACCTCGAGCGCGAGTTAGGGCTCGACCGTGACAAGCTCGTCCGCCTCGCGTATCTCCTCGGGAGTGACTACACCGAGGGTCTTCCTGGGGTCGGCCCGGTCGTTGCGATGGAGCTTCTGAGTGAGTTCCCGGGCCACGACGGACTGCACAAGTTCAAGCAGTGGTGGATGAAGGTGCAGAGCGGGCGAGATAAGGCGGAGGAGAGCGCGTCGAGCTTCCGAAAGCGCTTCGTGAGTGCGATGGGTGCATGTGCTGTGTGGAGAGCTGACCAGGCGTAAACAGAAAAAGAAGTTCAAGGACCTATATCTGCTACCCGAGTGGCCAAACCCCGCGGTGGTGAGTTGATCAAACGACCATTCTTCTGGCCCGAAACCCCTGATTCCTTTTGCGTAGAGGGATGCGTATTACCATCCTACCGTGGACGAGTCTACAGAGCCATTCAAATGGGGCTTTCCGGACCTTGATGCGCTCCGAGGGTACGTTGGCAAAACTCTTACACTGTAGGAATCAGACTGACGTGGCAAAGCTTCTTTAATTCTGAGCTGGGGTGGGACCAGACGAAGGTCGACGACCTACTCCTCCCCATCATCCGCAAAATGAACAAGCGCTCACAGGCACGTCATCAGAATTATCCTGCTGCTCCATACACGGGCTGATGATGTCTTTGACTCTCAGAATGCCTCCACAAACGCTCAAGGAAATCTCTCAGGCTTCTTTGACATCCCGCTCGGGGCGAACGCCGCTCCGCGTAAGCGACAAGCATATACGAGCAAGCGTCTCCAGCAAGTTGTCTCGGATTTCCGCAAGCAACAAGCCAGGCAGCGCAACTCTGCGACCCCGAAATTAGCGGATGACGGTGATGAGAGTGAGTTCCAGCCTAGCGCAGAGGCGGCTCGCCCCGCCAAGAAGAGGAAGAAGAGCGACGAAGCCACGAGTAAAGGGAGGGGGAAAGGCAAGGGTAAGGGGACTGAGATTGAGAATGGCGTCGCCCCTCCAGCTCGGGGAGGTCGGGGTAGAGGTCGGGGACGTGGTGGTAAACGGACGTCCAAGAAACGGGAGAGGCCACCCTCGGAGAGTGATGAGGACGAGTTCGTCGCGGGAGATCAACCGCCAGTGGCTGATTTGCCAGTTCCGAGTCGAGAAGAGCTTGGTTTACGCCCACGACCGAAACCGCGACCCATTGTGAAGCCTCCGGTAGCCGTTGCGGACAACCTTGAGGAGCAGGATGAGGGGGGCCCGGACACCTAAGCCTGATAGACATGTAACTTATGCTTGTAGATCTAGTGTACCTTTCTGTAGCTGTATTTCTTCACCGCATGCTAACTCTGCCTTGGCGCACTATCGCAACGTACAACTGAACGTAAGATACGTCAGTGCCTATCTCGAGCTGATTCGCAGGGGTGACAAGACAGGATGATTGTAGGTTTGACATTGCAAGCAAGAGAAGAACAAATCATCTACTCGTCCGCCTCATTATCTGGCTCTTCCCTCGCCTGTATATAGTCAGATTTCGGTCCTCGCTACCGCAGGGGGACAACGCACCTTGTTCGCCTCGAGGCTACCGAGCTCGGACACGAGTCCCGAGAACGGGTACTCACGGCGCACGGCCGGGATTTCAGGATGGACATAGTTGACGAGGACGCCAAAGCTCACGAAGCCAAGGGCTGCGATAGAGAACCAGCGCAACGCGGTGGGTCCGGGCACAACAGGGACGTCGGGACCCCACACGGAGAGGACCTCCTCTTGCTCGTGGAGCTGGACAGCCTCTCAACAACCCACTCTGACGAAACAACTGCAGATGTGCACATACCGGCTCCCCAAAGTTCCTCCTGAACTGGAAGTCCTCCCATCCACGCGCGGGGCGCTGCTGCTTGGACACGAAGGGCAGGCGAGGGTAGTCACCGAGTTGAGGGTCGCCGTCGTCGGGCAGCGTGGTGGTCAGCGGTGCAGGAGTAGTGGGCGCAGGTGTTTCGGCGGCCGTGATGTTTGCATAGTGCCTAACACGGACAGCAGCCCTCGCTTGGAGGGCCGCACGTCGAGCGACGGCGAGAGAGGAGGACATGGTGTGGTGCGTGCGTCAAGGAAGCGCCCGAGCCAGCCTTGTCTTCAAACTCACAGACGCCGACCATGGTCCAGTATCACTTGACACTCTCAGATACATACACATAGACGACCTGCAATGGCCCACAAGGCGGCACACATTTCGCATGACCCCGCGATGGGAGGCCTCATTGTTGAAGGAGCCTGAAGCATCCATGAAATGGTGAGCGGTGTACAACCCTCATGTCTCTTCGGCGGCCGCCTGCGCCATATAACATACTAGTAGGACCCAAGTTGCCTGCGACCCCCTTGCGTGTGGCGGCCAGCTCAAGTTCCTCCCTAAGCCAGACATGTAGTGTCCCTCGATCGGAATATGCCCTCCTCTAGCATGTCTGGAGCCAGACCCCGGAAGACGAGCAGACGTTCCAGGAGACAAACGCGCTATGCCTCCAATGCGCCTCGAACGAGCGGAATGCTCGCGATCTTGCATCCGGGAAGATGAGGCAGTTTTGCGAACTTCCCCGACATCTTAGCTACGAGTTGTGGTGTCCAACGGACGCATGCTGGAGGTAGAAGGGGGGTATTAGATCCACTGCTCAGTATGCGCCATCTCGTCGTTCTTTGCGTTTTATAGCTCAGATCAGAAAGATGCCCTAGTGACACAGAGTTCTAGCGAGTCTGATGACACCAAACGAATGAACGAAGAGTACACCTACGTGAGATGCGTGGTCGTGGACAAGGAGCTGTGTCGCGTTCACCCAAGGCGCTGCCAGAGCCCCAAGCCGTATATACCTCGACGGCTTTGAGCTCAGGATGGTCGTGGTTTAGCACGTGGGCCACCATGCTGTAAAATAGTCTTAAGCAAATCACTTTCCGAGACGTTTCGTTGTCACGAGGGCACCGTATTGTACCGTGGTGATTGTAGTTGTCGTTGTCTTCTGTTCACTGGCCCGCCGGGCGGTTGTTGTCAAACAAGCGGGGAAGTGATTGACGTCGTGCCACAGTGGTGGTGCAGGCGACTCGGCGAGGGCTGCGGGAAAGGCTAATGAACAGTGTTAGAAACAGGTCTGACGTCGTCGATGCCTTGAGGAGCGACGGGCAGAGTTGTTTGGACGGCGCGCTCGCGAACGACTGCAGCTGCATGAGCCGACCCCGCGAATTCGAAGCATCGACAAGGTCCTCTCCGCCGCGCGCCCACACGACCTCCGCCTCTCCGCCGACCTCGTCCCCGACCGCCCTTCCCCGAGCTCCCCTCTCCTGACGATGACCGTCGCCCAGAACCACCCACCTCTCAACTCCGGAGTCACCCGCGACGTCCATGACGAGCTTGTCAGGCTACGTGCGGAGAAGCGACGCCAGGCCGGCGGCGCCAGCCCCGTACGCTTTCACAACGACCTCTTGGTCGGGTGAGTGCTGCCCGTTCGACACGCTCTCCCCGAGCCCGCTCAATCAATTCTTTTCCCCCGATCTGCGTTCGCCACCGCGTCGCCCCATACACATACACTGAGCATGTAGTGACGATTGGACGTGCATGTTCCTCAAGCGCATCTCGCAAGGCGTGACCATGCACCAATTCGACGTCCCCCCGGCGACCGCCCTTGATCTCGGCTGCGGGAGCGGGCTGTGGTGCATCGAGGCTGCGAAACAATGGCCGGTCAGTGAACATATGACCGCGTGCGCGAGACCGATCCTCTCTAAGCCCGCCACGGAACGAATCAGGACACCAAAATAGTCGGGTTCGACGTCCGCACCATCCAGCCGGACCTCGGTCAGATCAGCCTCGGGATCGAGTACAGAGATCTCGCCCGGCGCGTGCAATGGGTCCATGGCGACTTGTGCGTACGGGTGGCAACGATGCCTGGCTTGGCCAATTCACTGACACAGCCCTCTTTTTAGTTTGGAGCCGCTACCGTTCGAGTCTAATCACTTTGATCTCGTCCGGATATGCTGCGTTGGTTTGTGGGTTCCTGAAGATTCATGGCAGGAGTTGTTGGAGGTGCGTCCTTTTTCTGTCCTTGCTGCGTCGTCCTCCACAGTGCACGCATGATGATGCAATTCGACATTTTCTTCGGCTATTCACTGCGAGAGTGCACCTTCGAGTGTTGGATATCTTTGGCGTGGGATTACTCGCTTAGCGGCCGCATATTGATATCTTGTCTATATTGAGCGATCAAGCATGCTCTCGTCTGTTTTTGGGACATACTCATACTAACTAATCGGTAGGAATGCAGTCGGGTCCTAGCCCCTGGTGGTATCTTGGAGGTAATTCTTGTTGCTCGCTGCCAAGACGGATAATCAAATAGAAGGATATGCAGATCATCGAGGAGGACCTCCTCTTCCCTGCAGGACGGACACGCAGACAGGATGCGGACTCATCAAGCCGGTTGCGTGCCTCGAGCACGGGCGGGCATCTTTCTGGGGAACGGCTACGCAGCGATTCCATAGCAAGCAGACAGACCACGCTCACGATGCAAACTTCGCCAACCGTGCACACGCTGGCGTCCTCCGCCTCCAGCTCCAGCCTCCTCCTCACGACCGAACGCACGTCCAACAGCACCAGCCTCGACACCCTCGCCTCCTCGTTCTCCTCCCGCCTCCGCTCCCTGTCAGGCTCTGGGTCCGGGTCCGGGTCCGCCCTCCTCGCCCCAGACGCGGCGTTCCGGCAGGACCACGCGCGGCTCAGGAACGCCTGGGAGGAGATGCTCGACGAGCGGTTCCTCTCGCACAAGCTCCTCAACGTCCTCCAGTTCTACCTCTCCTCCGCGTTCTCGAGCGTCCACGCGCACCCAACAATGTACGTCCTCCTCCCCCCGCCGTCGCACGCCCGCGACGACCGGGAGCGCGCCACGGCCGAGCACGAGCACGAGCCCGAACACGGCTGGGAGGGCGACGACCTGACGATGTGGCTCGACGAGATGCGCGCGTATATGGTGAAGCTGAACGGAGACCCGGAGTATCGTAAGACCGCCAACGGCAACGCGTCGAGGGCGTGGCCGAAGTCTGCGACGGTGGCGAGCTACAATACGCTCCATCTCAGTAGGCAGGTCGGGCTGATCGGAGCGTGCAAGGAGGCGCTATGGGAGGCGTATCGGACGCTGGAGGTGGGAGGCGGGGACTGGGGCCCGGGGAATGACCCGCCTAGAGACGATTTGCGGGAAGAGTTCGAGCGCGATTGGGAGTGCTGGGAGGAGTAAGTCGTCGCATAGCCACGGCATCTTCGTGGCCCCGATAATGTTCTGACCGTGGTTCGTTCTGCTCAGAGACATGAAGGACCGGATGGGCGTCCGCGAGCAGCTGCAGAGCTCGCTCGAGTGGAGGGTTCCGGATCCGGACCGGCTCAGCATCAGCACGCGTCCTGGGTCGTACTTGTCGGGACAGTTGCAGACGAGAAGTAAAAAGAGCTGCGACGGCACGGCGAAGTCGGACGGCGAGCCCGCCCACGCGTCGATATGTCGCGCATTGCGCGGGTTCGTGGCCCGGAAGGTATGAGGCGGACTGAGGAGGCAGACTCAGACTTGGGATAATGACAGGACCTTGCTCGGAATCTACTCGCACTCGCATCATGTATTGAATATTCATAAACACACGCCTTCTATCTTGCTATGCACCATGCTCATTGTTTTTATGCACCCAAGCGAGAGACGGTCGAAAGCAGGCAGAACGCCGCGAGCTTCGGGGCGCGAAGGCGGGTCGCGTGCCCGAGCATGGGATGCTGCCCGATCGGGTATATGCAGATTAGATTGATCTCAGGCGTAGAAACGACTGCCTCAAAGCCGCGCGTACGGTAACGCCGTCCTCCAGTCCCCCGTTCCTTGATCCCTCTCCGATCGCCCTACCTGAACCACACATCGCTTCACGATACGAGATGTCTGAGCCAGCGAAGCCCGAGGCCCCGAAGCCTGAGGAGTCGACTGCCGCTGCCGATGTCACCAAGTACAAGGTGCGTACGAGCCTGAGGCGCACGGGGGACGCGCCCGCTTAGATTTTCATGTCTATGCGAAACGGCGGCAGTAACACATGCATTGCGGTTGCAGACCGCGGCGGACATCGTGAACAGCGTGCTGAAGAAGCTCGTGTCACTCGCCGTGGAAGGCGCGAAGGTGCTCGACCTGTGCGTCGAGGGCGACAAGCTCATCGAGGCCGGCACTGGCGCGGTGTACAACAAGTCCGTCAAGGGCGTGAAGGTTAGCAAGGGTGCGTCTCTCGCTCGTCGCGTCGTGTACACATCTACCTGAACTGACCATCGGGTATGTTTGTGTCGCCTCGCGATCTCAACTTTTTTCAACTTACGCGACATACGACCTCAAACGCGAAATCTAATCCACATTGCAACGTCCCTGGCAGGCATCGCGTTCCCGACCAGCGTGTCCGTCAACAACACCGTCGCGCACTTCTCCCCGCTCGAGTCCGACCCGTCTTCGAGCCAGACGCTCGCCAAGGGCGACGTCGTCAAGCTCCACCTCGGTGCGCACATCGACGGCTTCGCCGCCGTGAGCGCCGAGACGCTCGTCGTCGGGGCGACTCCTGAGGAACCCGTCACCGGCCGGAAAGCGGACGTCATCCAGGCGGCGTGGCACGCGGCCGAGGTCGTGCAGCGTCTCGTCAAGGTGGGCAATAAGAACTGGCAAGTTACAGAGGCGGTGGGCAAGATCGCTGCCGCGTTTGATTGCAAGCCTGTCGAGGGTGCGTGCATCCTGTGGTGTCTAGTGCGATGGGGATGCGGTTGAGGCTGAGCGGGCTCGGGTGCGATAGGTATGCTGTCGTGCCAGCAGATGCAGAACGTGATCGACGGCAAGAAGCGCATCATCCTGAACCCTGTACGTTCGTTGATTGTACGGGTGTTTGCCTGTGTTGACGTCCGTGCAGTCGGAGGAACAGAAGAAGGGGTTCGAGACCGCTACGTTCGCGGAGAACGAGGTCTGGGGTATTGACATTCTCATCTCCTCCGGTGAGGAAGGCAAGGTGCGCTGGTTACATGTCGTAGATTGCTTGATCTCGTGGAGATTTACGGTCTGTACATGTCCAGGCACGTCTCGAAGAGTCAAGAACGACGATCTACCAGAAGGACTCGACCGTCACGTATCAGCTCAAGATGAAGACGTCGCGTGCGGTCTTCTCTGAAGTCCAAAAGAAGGCAGGCGCCTTCCCCTTCAACATTCGCTCTCTGGAGGACGAGAAGCGTGCACGTCTGGGTCTCCAGGAGGCGGTACAACACGGCCTTGTCAAGCCATACGAGGTCATGTGAGTCGCATTTACTTGTTAGTTATCTGTCATTTTCTTTACACAGATTTTCTGTAGCTTCACCCCCGCGAACACCTTCGTCGCTGCGTTCCACTTCACGATCGCTCTTCTCCCTGGCGGCCCTGCCCTGATCACTCATCCGCCTGTATGGTACAAGCCCGAGCTCGTCAAGTCCGAAAAGTCGCTGGAGGACCCGGAGCTCAAGGAGCTCCTGGCGAAGCCTTTGCGCGAGAACAAGAAGGCGAAGAAGAAGGCGAAGAGTGAGGGCGAAGAGGCGAAGGCGGAGTGATCGACCCGTGTCTCTTGTCGTGCGCGCAGTGTAAGAGAAGCAGAATACAAAGGCGTGATATAGCATCATGTAGCATCAATAAATCTTCTTGTCGTTATGTCGAAGCAGGCGGTGGAATTGGGACGTGCTCCGCGTCCTCCCCGAATTCCCCGATCGTGCGTACGACGAGGTCGACGTTTTCGAGGAAAGCGTTTGATGTAAGCCGCGCTAGTCGCACGGTCAATGTGGTGAACGTCCTGCAAGAGTTTTTCAGCGTTCTATTAAATCCAGTACAATGGAGCGGATGTTCCATACGCTACGAGGTCGTTCCCCTCGACAGACAGTGTTCTCTTAACCACGTCCGGTTGTAGTTCCCTATCAACGTCGATGACCTGCTTCGCGATATTCGCGTGTTTTTCGGAGGCAAACGGGATACGCATCGTGCTTGTGAACTGAGCTTGAGCTTGGAACATCATGTACACGCGAAGACATCTTACACGTTATGCCATTGTGCCTCCGGTGTTGTGGCCATGATGGTGGTAAGGGTGTAAGTCAGATCTATGCGAGATCCAAGCTCGATCGCAGTGTGGCTCCCGATCAGCCATGCATGCCATTTGTTGTTGCTTTCACTCTACACACCAGGACAACACTGAGCACAAGCATGGTTCGTCTCTGCTAGTGTTCCGGAGACAGGGAGGTTCTAGATGTCGTAAAGATCTCTCCGACACAAACACTGCCATTTCTTACCTTCAACGATCAAGAAGTTGAACTGCGGGCCACATCGCCAAAGGCCAGAAGAGATCAACTGCCACTGACCTCTGCAGAAGTAGCTACCATATGAAGAAGTGATATGCAGACATCTGCATATCGATATTTGGCCCGGATATCTGGGCCAAGGGTCCATGCGAGATAATATCGCCGCACTGAGAGCCCGAGGTGGGCGCGGGTGCCATAAAGCATGCTCCACGGCAGGTGTGAGTAGCTTTCCCTCTGCCCCACCGTCTCGCACTCACCTCCGTCCTTTCGAAGCAATAGAGTAGCTATATGTCCCTTCTAAGCGCAAAAATACGCCAGAGTGTGGGCGAAGTTCTGGGCTCAGAGATCCGAGAGATTAACCTGACAGAGAAAGGTATATCCACTGCCAATCGCCTCGTGTCAGGAAGATGGTGCTCAATGGTTCATGGTAGATGATTTTACTACTGTGGGTAGCTTTTGATGGCAAGCACGACCTACGTCTCATCGACCGACCTAGACCTTCGATGTCAGACTCGTGGACAGTCGCTAAGCAGTGCTCCGAGTACCCAGCTTTGGTGGATGCGCTCCGATCGTAGAGGCAGAGGCACGTTTTCACGATTTCGAGCAAATCGGGAAATTTGACAAGCAAACAGGTGGCCACTGTCGACTACCTCGCCCATCATTCTTCCATCCCTGTTCCTGCAGTCCTTGCACACAGCAGTGGGGCCGGTGGTGAACAAGGCGCTCCGTGTTATGTAGTATTCCAGAAGGTTTGTGAATCGTATGATACCCAGTGTCTACCGGCTGACCAATCAACAGCCGTTAGGTGTCTGCGCAGAGAACATCTTCCCTAGCATGACACCAATCGAACAGAGACTTGTCATCGGCGCAATTGCGAGGTGGATGGTCGAGCTGTTCGATCATCGCTTTGATGCAATCGGCAGCCTCCGCTTCGCGGATGAGGGGGTTTACAAGATAGGGCCCATCGTCATGAAGCTGTTCTACTCTGATGGGCGATCTAAGCTCACTCTTGATCGCGGGCCATTCGATTCGGCGAAGGCTTACTACAGAGCTTGCGCTCTGCGGGAGCTGGATTCGGCCAGAGTATTTTTCGCGCAAGATGCATCTGCGTCCTATCAGCAAGATCTTGAAGAAAGCCGGCTCACGGTCGAAAGGATAACCGGACTCTTGTGCGACTTGACGAACCGGTGTCAAGGCTTGGACAAAGACGACCCAGAAATGGCCCCCTTTTCGCTGGATATCCAAAATATAGGGTTGAGGAACGTCTATCTTTCTCCGGAGAACCATACTGAAATCGTGCGCATACCACGTGAACGTCCGCCGCTGACGAACGCTACACAACTTCATCATAGGTTTCCGTGGTGGATTGGCGATTCGTGAACACTCGGCCGCTATGGTGTTGTGCCCGCCTTCCGTCTTGGATGAGTCCGTCCATGACATCGATAGATGGCGACAACACAAGAATCGCAGGAATATTCCAAGCGGAGGCCGCTCGCATCGCGGGAATCGATTCCCCATTCCTCCGTGCTCTAGGCTTCGAGGACACGAAATACACTCTCGACGACCTCTCGACCTACGACGCCTTCCGTGACGGTTTCCTACTCCTTCCCGCCCTTGAGAATATGTGAGCGTCATAATGCCGCAGCGCAGCCAGACTCTCACACATTCATCGTAAAAACAGCTTGGCCACGCTACCAGGTCATGAGGATGTCGCAGGGCTCACCGCGCTGCTCGATCCGTCCACGCTACCCGGGCGAGTCGCACGCATAAACCTGCTTACTCGCGGCTCCAACTCGATGTACCTCGCCATGACCCCTCCTCGAAGCCCGCACTTGACACCCGTGAAGGATGAGAGCACGGAACAGGTAATTGTCGCTGGTAGTTCCGTGCTTGTTTTGTAGCCTGGCCTCCCACGTGAAGCTTTTAGAATGCCGTAACACGACGCCGAAGAAGTAGTCCGGGTATGTGGGTGAGATCTGCTAGAGGCTACGACGTGTAAATATAGGCATTTGAAACGTACAGCGTGGCTTCGGCAGGTATGAACTGGGTTCAAGCGTTGCTTGGCTGGGCTTCGAATGTATGTTCCGAAGCTAGCCTATCGCGCCAGGAACGCTGTCACTACTGCTTGTACGTGACTCGGGCCGCCTTCGTCTGGGCAGCAGGGTATAAGGTTTTGCTCTCGCAGATGAGGTTACGGAAGAGCCTGAAGATCGGAAGCACAACGATGCTAGTTTGAAGTCAACCCCTATCCGTAAATCCATACGTCGTCACGGTCGTGTCGCTAACATACACGGACAAACGCCCCTCGGAGCACGAGAAGCGGGGACAGGAGGATTCGTCGCGATGACTCCGCACTTTGCGGTGTTCGTGCAGAAGACCACTTCGGGAAGACTCGCGGGCCTCTAAAACTACGTCAAAATTACGACGGAGACAATATAAGACTACCGACCCACCGATACAGTTCTGTGAGTGCCGTTGCGCGGCGTAGGGGTATAGAAAGCGGGAAGTACAGATCCATTCGTAGACATAACAGATATGTCTGGAACAGACGAAAACATCGCTGTCTCGAATTCTTGATCATCTGGCATCAAGGCTCTAGCGTTCAGCCATGCAACGAAAGAGTTCGCATAGACTGTACGTATGACACTCGTTAGTGTACACTTGACGTGGTAGAGGGGCTACTTGCGTTTGCCCATGATAAAATCCGCCACGATGAACCAGGCGGTCCAGGGCAAAATGGTGAACTGTGTGAGGTATTAAGAATAGCGTCAAAGACATGATAATGTCAACATTGCGTACCATGACGAGTCGAGCTATCGCGGCCACACTGGATGGTAAATTGAGCCTTGGCGTGAAGGACGGGTACATGGTACTAACGCGATGAGGACACATCGGTTGATGAGCAGTGTTATGGCTTGATGTATGAACAAAGTCATTATGGATCTGTCAAACAAAATTCCATCAGCCGCGGTGTATAGAAATCGTGCAGAGAGGTAGCTACTGGACGCACTTGTCCCATTCCGGATTTCGCCCACGGGACATCAAAGTCAGTGTGCCGGCAAGGAAACCATCCGACGCAACAGCGAGGACCATGTATGGCAAAGTAGTAGAGAACTGAGGCTACTGGTAAGAATGTCGCAATTGATGTCTCATGAATATCCATCAACTGACCGCGAGAGCCTCCAAGGAATCGAGGGAAGAACTGTGGTAAGTTTGTGAGCCGCTCGTACCACATCCACACAGTATGACTTGGAAGTGACCTCTCAAACGTCGATATCACTTTGACCATGGTTTCTATATGGTGAAGTCAATTGATAGCGCTGGATTCACGGGAGGAAGAAAAACGCGTACGAGCACCCAGCACTAAGTGGGCAAGAACAAGAAGGGCCTACGCAATGTCAGTAGTCGGTACACTTGTCTACACGCACACATACCATAGTTATAGGCAACGTATATCTTGTCAGGCGCGTTTGACACACTGCAGACAAACTCAGTCGGATAAATGGGCGCAACAAAATTGACCTACATTTATATATCCGCTTCATGAAGAAGCTGATGCGTGTGAGTAATTAAAGACTCTGGCGACGATCCCGTACACAAGGCTCACCACTGAACCACGGCTGCTACGATGAGCTACACGAAAGTCAGCCGCACTTCTCCCAGCATCGCTAGAGAAATCTCTTACATTCAATACTGCTGAAGCCTGCCGCGATGTAAGCGGGTCAGACAGTGTGCATAGGCTGTCAGACTTACAGAGAACGAGCTGATCATTGTTCTTGGCAATCAGCATTAGTAACTGTCCAGGAGAGATGGCAACAGACCGTTTTGCTAGAACTTGGTGCTGTACGTTGATTCCTGTCATTGCTGTACCAACGACCAAGCTCCACTGCCTGCTGCTAAGTTGCATACACACATGCATCGACATTTATCCACTGACCGCCCAGTAGTACAAGCCATGGCAAACTGTCAATGGCACGTTATCAACGAGCGTGGAGATCCACACAAGATGCCACCAACTTACCCAAGACGACATTGGCAGTATTCAGAGCCCTGTTTAGTACGCATGAAGCTCAATTCGCCATACGACGCTGTAGGACTTACCACACGATCACGACCTATTGCAAACGGAAGTATGAGGTCCATTAGTCACCTGGCGGTCAAAGAGAGTCTCACCCAAGATTTAAGCTCGGGACCATCTCGAGGAAACCTCATCATGTATACATATGCCTACAACGCCAATTTGATCTGAGCAACACATTCTCAGACTTCTAGGAAGTTTCCACCTACTTGCAACGTACTGATTCCATATAGACTGCGAAGCGGAGAATCAAATGAGATCCGTTCCTCCGAGAAGGTGTTCTGAAGCAAGTCGCGAACAAACGAGACACACAAGGTTGAAAGCATCTGTCCGATGAGAAGAGCACCTGCACAATACGGCGGTTTAAGCGTATTTGGTCGCCAAGTCCGTCGTGACAATGCCTCACCGAGATTGTCATCGTAATGAAGTAACATAGAGACGAGTCCTGCAGAAAAGAACGGTGAGCGGGAAGACCGCAGCGAAGGCGGGTCGCAGACGCAAACCAACGCAAATATGACCAGGTCGTTCTAGAGGTCTTGTGTTGAACCAGGTTCAGCAAGAGAGGGAGAGCCAAGAACTCACAACAGTTCCCCTCCTTCAACCGCGTACGAGTTATATCCGACCACCATTCCCTGCACCCACGCCCACGTCCATACCCACGGCCGCGGACGTGGATTCGGGAGCGCCGCATCTGGTATCTCAGCGAGATACCCCTAGCTCGGCGTGCCGTCTGGGGTCTCCTTGCACCCACGGAATACAAAGTCTCCTGTCTAACGTGCAGTAGGAACCACGACGAACGCCACTTACACAGTCGCGCTGCGCAAGGTGCGAGCAGAATTCGTGTGTAGGGCTCGCTTCCCTAGGCACGTTCTCCACTCTATAGCGACGGACTTCATAAAGGCTGATTACCTCAAACTAGCGGGTGGGAACGCTTGGGCGTGTGCCTGGGGAACGTGGGGGTGGATTTTAGAGCAGATCCTCGGTAGGGATCTTAGCTGTTTCTCCCGAGCAATAATCGGCGGTTGATTGGCTGTGATTGGGCGATTGGAGCGCTGGCGAGGCTGAGGGCGGGAAAATCGAAGATGGTGCTTGGCAACGACTCAAGTCCTTCCCGAGAGCTTTCAATTTGACTTCAACCTGGGGGCGCAGGGTTCTGCAGGCTGAAGCAGCAATTACATCATGGCTCAGCGCGACCACTACGTAGCTCTTGATGGGCTAGTGCTCCAAGGGTGGCCGGCTCGAGCTGAAAAGATGGTTCGTGATCTTTGTATCTTGGTGGTCGTGCATAAATAACCTGCGATAAGTGAGACTGGTATACATCACCCCGTCCTCCAATCACGCAAGTCTCCTACCCAGTTGAGGTTCTAATTCTCCCGCCGCCCTGAACAAAGTCCGACGCAACTTCAGCAGATCTGGCTAAGCTTGATACAACGGTACCATGCGGTCACACTCGTCTCAGCAGCAAAACAGACCAATCGACTGGCGACCCCGCATTGCAGTACCATCCGATGCTCGTGTGCTCTCACCCGGCACGGCGGAGGCGAACCACCCTTCGCTCCGTGCGGTACCGAAAGGCTGGGCGGAGCCGACATACCCGCGCCGTGGACTTGGAATGGCATATGTCGGAGGCGCATAGAAGAGGAGAAGGCTGCTCAGCTGATGTTGTCCTAGATAGCGGCTACAATTCCAGGTGACCATAAGTCCATGCTGGCGTACCAGGCACGTCATTTTTAGCGGTAGTAAAGGTGAGTATATGGCATTGACTAACCCGTTTGCGATGGCTCACGACATCGATATGGACACGGACGTGACGGCAAAGGCTACCGGGACCGAGGCGTTAGCTGATGCCTGCGATCACCCGGTCCTTGGTGTGGTCGTTTGAGACCATCCTCCAATTTGCTACTGTTCCGCCCTGATCCCCAATGAGTAGCTCGTTTCGATTTCACATTGGTGATATCTGTATTTTCGTGCCTCCGCCCTCCTGTCATCGGTCTATCTCCGCCGATTAATGCGTACGTACTACTGCTTCGGTAGACGGCGAACACACGGTTTTCAGCGAAGATACAGACTCCATATATATGACATGACGCACCCCTTTTCCATAGCTCACGCCATCTATACGGATACGGATGTGGCGGCAAAGCTCACTGCGACCGGAAGTTCAAGTGGTGATTGGCGTCACGGTCCGTTTGCGGACATGACACGGGCGCTTCCCATGGGCCCCTGCAAGTCCACTACTACTAGGTCCTTATGGCTTGATGGGCGGTTGACTTCAATTCTGTCACGACGCTACCGCAAATGTTCGTGCTCCTGCCCGCTACGTACCGGTCCAAGGTTGCCGAGCCTGTGCCGCTTCACCTGGCGGAGTAGAGTACACATGGTTCTCAGCAGGATATAACAGGACGTACCCAAATGTGATATGTAGCTCACGCCATCCATGCGGCACAGACATGATGGCGAAGCCTACCGGGACCGGGTGTCGGCGTACCTGTGCCCAGTGATCTGCGCCATATTTGGATATGATCTTAGTCTTCTTGTTCATTCAAATTGAGTCGAAAACGGTATGGTCGGCGTTATATATATCGTGGGCTAGAAAGGCTCACTTGTAGAATAGGTTCGCCTGCGCATGTTCGAGAGTGCTACTACGCGCAGTCAGTTCTGACGTTGACGATCAAACCCTCAAGCTCCCGCCTACCAGATACATGACAGGCTTCGCCGCGTGTGTACGGTTGACCTGTTTGACGAAGGATGGGTACATCATTCTCAGAGGAAGCACAGATAAGCCAATGACGTGACATACCCAGTTGCGATGTTTATGGTATGGACGACGTCGCCAAGTAGCCTGTTAAGATGTTAGCGGATAATTGATATGGGGTAGGCCTCTAGACCCAGCACCGTTGTTGCTGGTCAGTCCAATGCGATCTGACAGCAGGCTGATTTTGGTGCTCTATCGCGTAGACGTGCAGGAGGCAGTTGGGCAGGAGGTCGTTAACAAGGACATTTCATGGCGGAGACAACAACTACATATGTAACACACATCGTAACAGGATAATAGAAGCCGGCTCGAGATAGACGGGGAGGACGACGGCGAAGACAAGAGGAGACGAAATGTAGCGATATATGGGAAAGCATTCCAGGACTGTATGTAAAACGAGGTCGGGACGGTTGCCTAATCGACACGTGAAAGTAGACACCTGAGTCACTGATAGGAACACAATGTATCGCGGGAGCGGCGAGGAGTAAACAGGCAGAGTGAGAGTCGAAGCCGAGGAACAGGAGGAGGGGCGGATGAGAGATGATGATGATATGGGATGCGGCAGCGGCGGGTCATACGGACGTGCAGACAACCCAGGAGGTAAAAATTACATACCTACGCTATCGTGAGAGAGAACATCGATACCAGCGGGAGATAAACCAGGAGCAGTCCTCAGAGCACTTAACTATCGTTAAAACAGTATGCCTTGCAGGTTGGGCAGGAACGTACTATCATGAATGCGCATGCAGGTCAGTGGACGATGCCGGTCACGAGAACGCGAAAACTCACACTGCACCCAAGCCAGCAGCGAACGCAAGCGCACCCCATGCTAGAGACTTGCGTTCTGGCGGCATCTGAGCGAGCCGACGCAGCCTGCTGTTTGTCGCAACCGCACGCTCCCCAACCTCTTCCGGTCCGGGCTCCTTGAAATTGAACCTGTATTCCGTCGGCTCCTCCTCCCGCTGCCGCTTCTCTCCACCAATCGCATCCTCCGCATCTTCCTCACTGGGGTCCGGAGCACCTTCCTCTGCCTCCCCCTCAGCCTCAGCCTTCGCCTTCGCCTTAGCGGCAGCCCGATCTGCCTTCAACTTCGCAATCAGCTCCTTCTGCTCCTGGATGTCCTCCGCCATATTGGGCTCCGCGACCTTCGCTGCCTCTGAGTCCTCATCCACTGCCGTCTCGTCCGAACCAGCAGGCGTCGGCATCTCGTCGCGCACGGCCCGCCGTGACCGTGGCGTCTTCGGGGTGGAACCAGGCGCCACAAGCGGCTGTGTTTGCGGGGCGGCCGTCGCTGGGGGACTCCGGAGGCGGGCTGACCGCCTTGGTGCGGGAGAGCCTCCTCCACGCGACGGCGGAGGCGAGGCTGGGGTTTCGACGGGGACGGGTGCTGCTGCTGGGGCGGGTGCTGGGGCGGGAGCGACAGCGGCTGGTTGGGCGGTTGCCTGGATAGGGGAGGTTGGCGAGGCATCCCTGCGCCGCTTAGCCGGTGCAGGGCCGGGCTCGGCGGCAGGAGACGCGGTCGGGGTGGGCTGCTGCTGGGCCTTAGAGCGGCGGAAGGTCGTGTTGGGATCGGGGACAGCAGCAGCAAGGGAAGGGATGATGGCGCCAAGGGAGTAGCCATCGGCGAGGTAGAGCGCAACGTCGGGGGTGACCCAGGTGCCGGCAAAGCGAGCCTTGCCAGACTTGTTTGCGCCGGCGGTGTCGAAGGAGAGCTTGATCCAGTTGGTCTCGCCCTTCTCTGCCTCGTCGCTTGCTGTGGGGAAAGCTGCGCGGAACATGGTGGTTACGGAGATCGCGCCGGTGTCTAGCCTGCGTAGGATGAATGCATGACCCCCAGGCTATGTGGTAGTGAGTATGCGAGGACAAGGACGCGCGCAAGACGCGATGAAAGGGGTGGAGGTACATACAGTTGGGATCTTGACCCGTCCGACCTGGAGACGATGTATGAGCGGTACGCGCGGGAGACAGCGCGAAAACACGTACGATGGTGGCCTGACCATCCCTAACGATCTCCTGGAACTTGACAGGGGGCGGTTTGGACGCGTCGACTGGCGAAGAAGGTGAGTGGTTTGACAGTGGTCAGGGCGAAGAAGATACAGACTGGTTCTGATATGAGGGTTGACATGGTCGAGAGGAAGTGGCGGGCGCGGGATGCCAGGCTTGGGGACGGCGTAGTGTTTTGTGGCAGGCATCGCGAGGAGAGAGCGCGAGGGGAAGAGCGAAGCGAAGGGGGCGACCGTGCGCGATCTCGAATCCGCGCGTTGTAGCAGGAGCCAAACACGGCCACGTCCTCGCGCCCGCCACTCCCAACTCACTTCAGACTCCGCCCGGCATCACCCGCGCTTATGCGACGTCAATCTCAAGTACAACAACTACTAGTCATTCTTAGCTTCCCCTGTGGCCACAATGCCGAATACAATGCAGTCTATACTCTTGTCTTCTGCAAACTTCTATCGGGATATCCTGCGCGCCTGTAGCCTTCAGCCTGTCGGCTCCTTCTTGCCCTTCGCCAATATCTGCGGCCTCGCGACGAGAGCCTCGACGAGCTCAGTGTGCTGCTCCCACCACGTGTGCTTCCCTCTCCGGTTCTTCATGTCCGCGTGCTCGACCATCTCCTGCACCGGCACCCATTTCACGGATGTACCCTGAATCGTAATGACTGCCGCGCTCTCCGGGGACGCCTGCTTCGTCCGGCTCTGCTGCTTCAGCAGCAGCTGATGCTGTTGCTCGATAAAGCTCATGCACTTCAGCGAGAGGCGCACCGCGCGCGCCCGGTCCGTGGGCGAGGGCACGCCGCCCTGGAGCGTATGGCCGAGCGAAGCCGAGCGTGAATCGAAGAGCGACCCGCCCTCTTCCTTGAACATTTTCATGATCACCTCCGTGGTGTATACGGTCGACGCCACCTCGTTCCTGTCGACATCTATGTGTCCCTGAAAACGGCGACCGTCGGCTGCATGCACTTACCTGATAACCAGGCGACCTTCGTTCTTGCCCTTCGCGTCCAACGCGTACCTCCTCTTCAAGTACTTCACGTCATTTCGAAGCATATCTAGGTCAATGCCTCGTTCCGGCGTGTACACGATGCATGCACCCGTCTACGATACCACTCAATCAGCCAAACGAACCGCAAATGAGAGCACACAACTACACTTACCGCAAGCGCGCCCATCGTCGCTATATACCCACACTGCCCACCCTGCGTCTCAACCACAAACACCCGATTCCGACTCGCCGACGCACTCTGCTTGATCGCGTCGCATGCATCCACAAGCGCGTTCAAGCTCGTGTCGCTTCCCAGGCTGAACTCCGTCAGCGGCACGTTATTCGAGATTGTCGCAGGCAGGTGCACCATCGGGATGTTGAACGCCGGGTAGTGCTTCCTTCCTTGCTCTAGTATCAGCAAGGAGCTGAACGCCTCGAAGCCGCCGATCATGATGAACCCGTGGAAGTTGTGCTGCTGGAACTTGGCCGCGATCGCGCCTAGGTCGATATCAGGAGACTTGCGATTCGTGCCGAGCTCAGAGCCTCCGCGCGTCGTCCAATTGTCGACCCCGAGCCAGGAGAGCTGGTGAATGTTGTCGTCGAGCAGGCCGACGAAGCCGTTGTGTATCGCGAAGGGCTTGTGGCCCTGGCGGATGCAGTAGCGCACTGCGGCGCGGGTGGCAGCGTTCATGCCTCCGGCGGGTGCGCCGACGCTTGGAAAAGTCATTAACACAAGGATGACATATAACCTTCAGAACTTACTGCATGATTGCGATGCGCATACGCTGAAAGGATTCTGAGGAATTTGTGACAAAGTCAATGGAGTGATACGTACGAGGTGGTGGGGAAGCCTGGGTTCGCTCTCCAGCACTGAGGTAGCGAAGAACCCATCCAGAGTCTCGCGGAACTCCGGGTCACGTAGTGACATCGCCCTCTCAAAGTCCTTCTCGTTGATAGCATCTGCAACTTCCCGGGTCTACCCAGACCACACGAAGATGTACAACACCCACAAGATGTAGATTAAGAACGTCAGCCTCATTCAATTCACAGGAGAACCAGTCGCGCATCGCACCATCTTGACCGCGTCCATCAGCGGCACACGGGTGATCTTGTTCTCCCGCACTCCAATCATGTATGACGGCGTTTCTGGAGTTGCCTTAAGCAGAGCTTCGACGGCTTCGACACCCTGCAGCGTCGGCTATCATAGCGGCGTTCATCTTCAACAAACCTTGGCTTCCGCACAAATGCCGCAGAGGACGTACCAAAATCCGATCGATGGCACACGGCCTGCCTCCACGCTGTGTGTGGCCGAGGGTCGTGACACGGGTATCGAGGCCAAGGCGCTCGGACAGAATGTCCTTGACGTGGTCGGAGCGGATGGGCTGAAGCTTAGAGTCAAGTGCGCCTTCGGCAACAATGACAATCGTCTTGCGCTTCCCCACGTCTCGGTGCTGTATGCATTCCTGAGTACCTATATGCGCGCAGAATGTGTGCTAGAAGCATACGCTCTGGATCATCTTGCACATCTCGTCGGCCCAGTGGTCGGCGTCAGGAGGGCTCTCCGGAATGAAGATGAAGTCGGCGCCACAGCTACCGGGCACTAGAGTCAGCCTTAAACTTTCGTCGAACAACATGAGCCGTCGAACCTGACGCCAGCCATGAGTGCGAGCCAACCACAGTGCCTCCCCATGACCTCCAACACAAACGCGCGCGAGTGCGAGTACGCCGTTGAGTTGATATTGTCGATGCTCTCACAAATCCGATGTAGAGCAGTCGGCGCCCCGATCGTCAGGTCCGTCATGGACATGTCGTTGTCAATCGAGCCAACGAGCCCAACGATCTTGAGATGCGCGTGCCTCGCCGCCTGCTCCTCGGAGATCTTGCCAGTCTGGCGCAGTTCGCTCACGAGCCCAGGCCACTCGGCGCGAAAGACGTCCGCCCCAGTGAGCGAGCCGTCTCCACCACAGACGACGAGCGCGTCGATGCCCTCTTTGATCATGTTGTGCGTCGCGGTGAGGCGGCCCTCGCGGGTCCGGAACGTAGCCGAGCGCGCGGTGCCAATGAGCGTTCCACCCTATGCCCAATTACTTTGCTTTCAGTTGGGACAATCGGAGTGACGAAGGAGGATGCGACCTACTTCCGAAAACCAGCCCCGCACATCGTCCCAGCCCACGCGCACGATGTAGCGGCCCTTGAGGGTCCTCCCTCCAGGGTGATCGCTTGTTCCGTCCTTCAATAACTCTCCATCGCCGTAGCGCAGATTGTGCACGAAACCCTCCTCAGGTGCCTCCGGGGTCTTGAGCTCTCGCGGGCTCGTGAGTGTCTTTTCGGCCAGACTCTGGCGACGATGATCGCCACTGTCGCCATTCCCGCGTACGAGGCCCTCGTAGCCCTCCCGGACGATCCAGGTCTCGCATCCCCTAGGAAATGCTCAGTCAAGACCTCTGGAGCACACTCGAAGGAGGAGATCGCACTTGATAATGGCAGCCTTGACCACCGCGCGCACCACAGCGTTCATACCCGCGCTGTCTCCGCCAGACGTGAGCACCGCGAGCTTCATCTTGTTCTTCGCTATCGCATTCGCCATCGTAGAGTAGCGCTTAGGTCACAGTAGGAGTAGCGGGTTACCTCGGGCCAGCGCAGACCAGGAGATGAACTTTTGAGGACTGTACCGGGGAGCAGCCTAGATCGTAAGATAGCAGGCAAACGTGCGAGGCGAAGAGGAGCCCAGGCGAGAATGGCACGGTTCGGGACGGCGGTAGGCGAGTGTTCGCTGTATCTGACCAAAGCCAATCTGAGGGCGTTGATTGCGGAGCGCACAGACGCGACCTGCGGCACACCAGGCGCGTCGAGCCTAGTCTCGCGCCTCAATCTCTTCCACACGACGTCAACCGTGACGCACACCGCGACGCTCGACATCGCCAGCTGCTGTGCTGAACGTGTTATTCGTCGCTTCTGCCGACCATGGTCCATGTCAGGCTCAATGAGAAGGAAAAAAATCCGAATCCGCACATCAACTTCATTACCCCGCTAAAGATGGCGGACACACAAGCGGAAGAGCAGGCGAAGCAACTGCTCCGCGCGTTGGCTGCTCAAGTTCGACCCATCATGAAAGCTGAGGGTTTCGTGATCAACAGCTTCGAAGAGGTAAGTAGACGTCGCGACCTGTGGAGAGGCAGTTCCAAACGGTATACGGGCAGTACGAGCATAACAAAGTGTTCGCCGGGCGCAATTGGAATAACGGCGAAACCGTAGGTGAGGACCTCTCCTATGGATACTCCAAGAACACTACTTGACATGTCTTCCGTCCCCATCTCAGAACTAGTCCTCCGCGGTGCTCACGGAGGCTTCCTCCCAACGTCCTGGCTACTTAGTACATTGTGTCATGAGGTGGGTATGTCTCTCAGGACCATGCGGCGCGCTACAGCCCCCGGTACTCATATCCAATACCATATAGTTAGCTCACATCAAAGTGAGAGCACTCTAGCCATTCCAAGAAGATTGTGGACTAAAGACGGGCGACCCTGGTAGCACATGAACCACGGCCCAGCCTTTCAAGCTCTCTGGGCAAAACTACGCGCCGATGTTCGCCGGCTGCAGAGCGAGGGATACTATGGAGACGGTTTGCATGCCTTCGCGTGTCCCCACTCGAGCAACCCTGATACTGTACGCGCAGGATTTTGGTCATCAGGAACCCGTGTTGCCGATTTCGCACGAATGGGAGGCCAGGGCCTCGATTCCGATGACCTTCCCGAGTTCATGGTGCGCTTTGTCTTGCTAACACCGTCGTGTATGCGTGTTGTTCACGTACGCGGTCGACCCTGCAGTGCGGTGGGGCACAAAGTCGTGCCCGCCCGGCTTCGAGGAAGCGTCGTCGCTCTCAGCCCGCAGGGCCGTCAAACCGCACGGGTGCGCAAACGGCCAAGAAACGCAAGCCTGGCACCCGTGTCCGAGCAAAAGGGGCGTTCTCAGGGACTGGTCGCGCACTCAACGATGATATCGAAGACGAGGAGCTGAAGAAGACAGGAACAGGGTTCCGCAAGCAGGCTAGAAGGTATGCAGAGCTGGCTTTACGTGGTTACTGCGCTGTCAATTAATTCGTGCGGATACCTGTCCCCCAACTTGCAGCAAACGTGCTCGAGAAGAGCGGGCATTGGCAGCCGAACGGCGTCTCCTTGCCCTGCAAGGTCATAGTACGTCCATCGTACTCGGATAAACGACCAGCAGCGGACATTGATAAGCCCAGGTGACACCTCACACGCAGCCAAGGAAGCCTCTGGAGACGAAGATGAGAACGAGGAGGATTCGGATTACGAGGCAGCTCCGGAGACAGACCAGGAGCGTCGTCGCGCAATGCTTGAGTCCACAGAGAAGTCTGACTTGGAGGACCTGAAAACCTGGCAGCGTGACTATTCCTCCGACTTCATCTTCCCTCCTGTGGCTTCCGGGTCTGGATTTGTATATGGGCCGTCTTCATCGTCCACGCAGTCCTTGTACCGAGCAAGAACAAAGGACAAAGGTGGCGGCGTTTCGGATGTGATAGAGTTGTCTTCTGACGAGGAAGATAGCGCACAACCGACGTGCGATGTACAATTGCTTCCGAAAGGAGGCACTGCTGCAAGCTCGGCCACACCAACCGTCGGTAAAGGACCGGGAAAAGAAGATACACTGGTTATTCGGCACTCGGACAAGAATCCTGCGGTGATAGGAACACGGTCCTCGGGCAGTGCAGTGCGCTCGTTCGCGAAACAACGGAAGCTCGCCTACGGTGGCTCAGTGCAACAAGTTTTTGGCACTAGGACAAAAGAGACCCATGAAATTGCTTCCTCCGATGACAATCGGCTAGGCAGTGCATCTTCGAAGGCGTCGTATACGTCGTCGAATCTCCTCGCAAACGTCTCTCGACGCACATCGACACACACAGAACCACCTTCCTTCCATTCAACCACGTCCGTTCTGACGTCAAGCGCGCAACCGAAGTGGCCATGTCACGTTTGTACCTTGTACGTACTCATGCCATTTTTACCCAGTCGGCTTCTCTGTATCAGACTTCGTTTGTCTTGGCTACCCCTGGGTATCCGGATATATGGACAGGCGCTGATTGGCCTCTGCAGGCTCAATGAACCTGGGCACCTCGCATGCTCCGCATGTGCCACGCCGCGCGGCGAGTCGATATGGCTGGGAAACACAGAGTGAATGTGGTCTTTGACGGGATCGAACATATGCGGGTCGCTTTTCTGGGTGGGAGACGATCGTCCAACATGCCCACAGCTGTACTAGCACATCGGACCTCGGATATACCGCATACATTGTCGATAGTATTCCATAACATGACCGTAACGGAAGCTTACTGTATCGCATACAATCAATAAAGCGAGGATTTGACATTCCATCTCCAGAGCGTCCTTCTTCTATCGTACACCGAGGAAAGCTTCTGTGGGTGATCGGATCGTAGAACAACAAGCAAAACTACTTCCTAAGACACCATCGGGTAGAACCTGTGGCACTTAGTGGCGCCAGACCCTGGAACAAGAACTCAGCAAACGTGTAGCAGGCGGAACCCATCGCAGGGATCACTCACAAAATCTCATAGTGGTCGACGTGGTGCTCTTGACCGCCGAACGGCACATTTGCGCCACGCTACAGAACGTGGCGATGAGCAATCAAACCACCCGACGATAGCCAAACAGACCCACCAAGTGAGCTCCAGCCTTCCCAGGCACCTTCACCCCATTAACGACGCCGATGGCATGATAGAGCTTGTCGCCATTCTCCTCGTAGCCTCCTTCGACGGGGCGCCGCCCTGGCGGAACGTGGCCGCCGGATGCCTGCACCCACTCCATCGTGTTCGGGTCGAACGGTAGGAGATCGTACCGGCCGCGATGCTCAAGTTCGCCGCCGCCCCACGCCACGCGTGCAGGAGGGTTGAACGTCGAGACTATCTTGCACGGGTGCACGGCGCGCTCAAAGATCGCGCTCCCTACGTAAACGGGGGTGCGCCCGTCCGCGTCGAAGGCGACGGGAGGGCCAGCCCGGTTCTGCGGGAACGGCTGGCTGTCGCTCAGGGGTACGCGGAAGCCCGAAGGCGGGGGCGGGGCGTAGGGGGGCGGGGCGCCACCTGCATGGAGGTCGCGCGAAGGTGAGATTCCATGAGGGGCGCCGTGCTCGCCGCCGGGGAACGAGGGCATGTTGATTTGGCTGTGGGGCATCCCTGGAGCGTCTGGGAAGCCGAGGGGCGCGGTGAAGCTGGCTCCCGCGAGCGGGACGGCTACATGGCCATGTACAGGAGTGGGGAACGCAGCGTGCTTGTTATTTTTCTTGGCTTTCTTCTCCTCGTCAGAGGACGAAGAGGAGGACGAGGAGCTCGACGAGTGACTGCGGCGGCGGTTGTGGCCCATGATGATCGATCTGGCTAGATTGTACTGTATGGGTGGTGAGATGAAGGCAAGAGGGTGGTGCTGGGCTATCCCAACGGCCGATGCGTTGTAGTAGTCGAATGCTTAAGTGTCGCTCAAAGACAAGGCGGTGTCGGCTTGACCTTCCATACGTTGTTCATGCAGTGCTAATCATTGGCGGCGGTGCAAACACTTCTGGTTGTGCAGTGTCCGCGTTATCACCATCCAGTGCACAACCTGCTGCCCCGATCAACTGCTCGATCTGAGCGTCGGCGTTGGGGCTACCAAAGTACCAAGCTCTTTCAGCAACAAGTTATATGGGATACTCCGCTATCTGGCGATCTCTGCCTGTGGCGCAGCCGACTGCGTATAACTTGTGTGCAGGCGCTTATCAATTATCATGAAATACACCGCTTTGCCGCGGGCCGCTTATACTCCCACAATAGGCATTCAGAATGATGGACTGCGCGCTGTAACTCCTCAATAGCCGTGCTCTGCCATCTGCTCCGCCATGTTATTACGGCACGGTTCATTGTGACTCCAGCATCCAGGCCATTCTTGCCCATTTACCGATAACAAGGCTACCAATTCGGGGCCGTGATCGAAGGTCGCCGACGGTCGGCCGCCACTACGTGATAACCATCATCGCCCCGGAACCACCCTCCTACCAGTAGCTGGCTTCGGTGCCGGCGGTAACTCCATTGTTTCCCATTCGTCCGAATCGGGAGGTGGCAAGTCCAACGCAGGGCGCACACGGTGGCCAGGATGTCTGCGAGGTGATGTTGGACTCTCAGGTGGATTGTGTTGGTCTGACGGCACTGTTTCTGATGCAGAACGTCGTATAGCAGGAGAAGTTGAGCTTGTCTCGTCGGATGTGGCGCTGGAGATGCGCATGGATTCCAGCGCATGAATTAGTGTGCTGCGCGAAAACAAAACAAATGAGTCGGATCAAACGCGGCAGTCACGGCGTCCAGATAGCGCCGCACAGAAAGCCGACGTGCTCTGGAGAGCGGCAAGACACGCACCTGATCTCGGTCCTGCGCAGATTTACGAACTCCTTGCATGCATCACGGAATTGTGATAGGATGACCGCAAGGTCGTTATAGAACTGAATGGGTATGACATTTGTGAGACACACTCGAGCACAATGGACGGCGAACAAACCTTCAGGCCTTCGTCCAGGTTCCGAACAATCTCCTTGTACTTGCCATATGCGAGGTCCAGCGATTGCAATGCGAGCTCACGCTCCTTCACCGGAGCATCCTCCTTTCGGGAGCGCGTAAATTCTGCATGGCGCTCCTGTAACAATCGGATCCGGCGGGCCCGTTGCGAAGTAGCACACTATTCAGATCAACACCTATGCGGCTGAAGAGCGGCTCACCTTGATGGCAGTGAGAAGGTCTGCTTGCTTCTTCCCGTCTTCTTCCAGCTGTCGGCGGAACTTGTCATACTTGGCGAGTTCTTCGTCAAGGATATCCTCGAACATCGCCGGCTGCACGTTCACCCATTGTTCCATGCCCGAGGCCGCCTTGAGAATGCGGGGCCTGATGTCGTCAGAGTCGGATAATCGGCCGGTCCGAGCCGCTATTTCTTCACGCGACTTTGACAGGTCATCGAGCATCTCGAGAAGCATGCGTAGAGCGCGTGCATGCGAACGAGTCGTGTCTGCGGGTGACTGCCATGCGTGGGACGCAGTGGAGGACGGGATAGAACTCTCTAGTTCAGACTGTGGCCGGCATAGGTGAACAATAGCACTGGTTATTCGAGAGGCTGCATGACGACTGACCTCGCTCCAGGTCAGCTGGCCGATATTCTCTTCCCAATCTTCCCACTTCTGTCTGACAAGTTCATCGCTATCTCGGGCTTGCTGGAGGACCGTCCGATAGCGCTGTTCTTTCTCAATGATGTCTTTGTTGGCTTCGTATGATGGCAGTCTCTCCGCCGTGGGATGAGCCTCACGGAACGCTTCGTCTTCGTCGGCTTCCTGATCCAAAATGTCCATTGCCTGCGAGTTCTCATCAGCGCCTTAAGTCAATGCCAAGCGAGGGAAAATATAAAGTATACCTCATCAAGTAAGGTAGAGTCGTGGTTGGCCAGAGTCCGCACGTCACGGATGGAAGCCTCAATGCGCTCAGGGCCGCGTTCAAGCCGAACCTCTTCAGCTTTTTTCAGCAAGCTGGGTGGTAGGCCGATGGGCCGATCAAGAGCCTCCAAAGCCGCGGGAAGGTTCAGAGACTCGAGCACGCTGTCAAGGAGACGAGGCCGCATGATGAGACCGGTGGTCCGAACGTCAGAAGATGACACGTACCTTCTACTTTCGTCGTCTAGACGTTGCGCGCGCCCAGTCACTTCCTCCGCAATCCAGTTCTGTCTCCTATCGTTGTAGATTTCTGTGATTGGCGTGTTAAGATGGCTACAAATGACGGATAGGGTCGAAGGCATACCAATGGCGAGACGCGCGCCCCACCCAAGTAGCTCCCCAAATATCACACCATTCGTGCCGACTACAATCTTTGGATCCTGTAACCCAGGGTCTGTGAGCGGCTGCACCATGGAGACCTCTTGGATGACGGGCAACGCAGACGAAGGGGGGACATCTTGATGATAGATCAGATCGTTGTCCCTCTCGGCGCGCGAGATGTTCTTCTGGACGATATCAAGCAAAGACTACGCGTCGCAGGACGACGTTAATTACCGTTCGGATGAGCCCTCTAAGTACGCGGCACTAACCTTGATATCCTGCTGGACCGGCGGGGCCGCGCCGCCTCGTCTTGCGACATCATGACCCCTCTTCGCTAGGTCTCGTGCCTCTGTAAGTCGTGAAATTTCGTAGCCATATCTGTGTCACCGGTACTAATAAGATGGGAAGGCAGGGCAGACTGGACCATGTGTTTACGTACTTGTGCGCCTCGAGGTCCTCTAGGCTTTTCCGATATTGAGCTGCAGCCTGGAAATGTAGCGTTTTTGTTTCCACTTGGGCGATCCACGGCTGTGGAAGGTTAGAAGTGCCATTTCTGCCCAAAACCCAGGAGTAACACACCAAAGGGAAGACGTGTCTGACCGATGGGTTCTTGATATGGGCGGCCGCAGTCCCGTACAAAGACGATACCTGTAAAGGGTCCGTAAATCGAACCATGCCGAACGGAAATTTTCACACACTTTGGCGGCGAGCTTTGCGATGAGACCATTCTTGTAGTTGTCTAAAAGCAGGCATTACTAATGTTGCCCGCTTCTGGTACAAGAGAGGATTACCCATGACGGCTCTTTGCCAAACGCATTCTTGTGCTTGCGCAAGCACAAGAAACTCTAAGCCTCGGATGATAGGCTCCGTGAACTCCAATGGTGCTTCTTCAGGTGCCACGGTCGCCCGGAGTTGCGGAATCACAAATGCGTTCAGATAGTTGAGTGCTCCGGCCGCATTCTTCAGACACGTCAGTTTATCCTGCCGACCCTGTACTGAGATGATCACAGCTACCTGATAACATTTGATCGCTTGCTTGAGCCCTTGTGGCGCGGAGCGATCTTCGGCCGCCCCCAATTGAGAGTACAGAGCAGCAAGATTGAACAATATGCCCGCTCTCTCGTAGACTAGATTGTTAAATGGCTCCGGAACGGCATCGCTATTGAAGATCGGCGCGTAAGGGATCTCGAGGCCAATCTATTGGGTCGAACATCAGAACGATGAGCCATCTGACGAGACACTAGACAGACATCATGGGGTAATTTGGTCAATATGAACACAAGCTGTGCATGATAGCTTCAGAAAATGAGTAGCTCCCAAGATTGACGGGATCGAGTGTAGGTATCGTACCTAATCAACGCGTTGACTCGATCGATATGAACGACGCTGCTTATGGCCTCGGCGCGGAGCTTCTCCCATTGTCCGATGTCCCATTTATACGCATCTGGATGCGTGTCGGTGTAATGTGAGAGGATGTACTGCCGCACCGCCTCTCGAATGGGTATCACATATGTCCTCTTGAAGGGAATGGATAGTTGGTTGGGCATTAGGGATAATGTCTATTGGGTGGATGTGAGAATACGAATAGAACGCTGTGTGACGCGGACAAAAGCCCAGAACGATGCCCTGGGAGAACTGCCTTGAAGCTGGTGGCTTGCGTCTCTCTGAAAGCGAACACAGCGTCTTTACCAGGGGCGTCATGGGATCGAGATCGATGCTGGGGCAACCGTGACAGTAACGTCACGGAACGCTAGGCAGTGCATCAAATTAACCGACCTCTGTTCCGTCATCCCTTGGAATACGCAGTATGATCGTGTCTCTCTGCAATGAACCATTGACTAATAGGCTATGCTTTTCTTACAGTGGTTTGTAGGTCTCAATGATACCTCCCAGCACTTGCTCGCAGCGTCAAAGTTTAGGTTCAGCACGAGCCTCCTGGAAGCCACCGGGCTGATTGTCCTTTGTTACGGCATTGGGAAAACTCTGGTATCGGGGGCCATGAGCCGATGTTGTGGAGTGACCCGCATACAAGTGCGTCTCTATTGGCTCCCTGTAGCATGGCGGCCCTTGAATGCTAGGAGAGAAGGCAGGCTAAACTTGGCGCACGCTGCCACTGGCAGTGGGGGCGCCGGCGATGGCTCAGGCGTTGCCGACCATTGCTACACCAGTGAGAAATCAGCTAGGGTCCTAGGACACCCTCATCAGAATGGTGCCCCAGATGCAGTCGGAGGAGCCGGACACGCGCGTCGGACCTGTCCACGCCGTTCCGCAGAGCAGGCGGCGGTCGAACACGGGAGTTATGCTTCTTGTGATCCCTCTGTCCCCTTTGACTGCGCTCCCACGCCGCTTCTTTGACCGAGCCTGTCCTCTTGGACTCCAATCATGGCTCTTACGCGGGCGTTCGTTCGAGTGCGATGTGTAGTTCCTGGGCGCCACCCATATGACCGCTGATGCCATCAGCCAGGGCTCGGTTTGGTTTCCAATTTTCACGGGTGAGAACCCTATTAGGTATGTATCCAAAAACCGCCATTATGCTAATGAAATTGGATCCAAGAAGTTCTGGGGTCGCTCAGCGGAGCATTCCGGCCAGGTCATGCTGATACACAACGATGACTGGCGTCGATCCTTTAAAAGAGAACGATGTGTGCTCTCGCATCTCATCTTCCTCCCCTTAGACTCCCATTACACCCCACCCGCTACTTCTGACATGGCGCGCACTTCTCACCCCAGTGCTAGACTCACTCGGTCTAGCCAGGACAAGGCTGCAAGTAACCCTCTACTCGGCATCCCGTTATTTGCTGACGCGTCCTCAGTCCCCTTCGACCCCGCACGCCATAGACCGCAGCCACCTTCCTCCACCGGGTCAGACGACCCCAGCGTTCGTGAGTGCTTCACCATCTAGTACAACGTCAGGAACTCATGATGCTTCCGTAGTGCGCAGTACGTAACATGTGTTTCAACCAGTCGTGGGCTGCTCTAACATCGATCTTCTAGGGACAACAGGTCGACGTTCAACTACGTACCTACATCTGGGTTCCAGGAACCGTCCTTCGTGCCGACTACCATGCGGTAAGCGCACCGCTAGTCGCTATTCTCCTAAGGGTGTTGAATCTTGAACCTCTCCAAATCAGCGGTATGGCAACGTGGTGTACGAAATCCAATACGTCGCAGCTGACGGCTCGCGACGCCGCGAGGGCTTCTTCCCCAAAGATGTGCGGCGTATGAATGCTAAGGATGCGCTGTAATCTCCACCACCCAGCTGTACTCCCGTGTATAATTACAACTTCTTGTGATCGCGAAGGATGAAAGCGCCACGCTGTAGAGTACGTTGACCGACATGATAGCAAATGACTGGGGGGACGCAGGACACCGCATCGCCATTGTGGCCCACAGAGCCTCGCCTGCCTGTTCAAGAGATCTCGAGAACGTCATGTTCGACAAAAGGCCGTAAGCTGCGGATCAGAAAACGCTTCCATTGACGCGAAAGAAGCTGTGTACTCTCCTCCCAGGCATATCCATCATACTGTTGTCGGGGTGGTACCATTGACACGAGGGACGTAGAAATACTGTTGTTGCGGCTCGGAGCATATGCGGGGTACGGTATCACAGTAGAAACCTTGTCTATCCAAACCTGCGTCTCGTGGGCGCTGCCGCCCCAATGGAGCGTGGTCCTTCTAACTTGGCGGCAGGCAGGTAGATGAGCCTCGTATCTCTTTAAGCTGTGACATCCGATGGCCCCAGACCCACTGGGGCGGGATCGCGCGGTATGTGTTATGAGGGTTTCTACTGTAGCGGGGTGCCAAGGCGTGAAGTGAAGGAGCGGACCTCCTGCCGAGGGCGTCGGAGCCTTGAGCGCATCGTATCATCCGTTCGAAACGGCGGAGATGCGTAAGCTACCCATGCGTTTGGAGAAGGGTGTCCGCCTATACATGACGAAGTGAGATACACATGAGGGATTACTCCTACCCTCAGACATTTTCCGGTGAGAAACTTCAGGTCTGGGTGGATCGCACACAGAAGCAGAGAGCTATGAGTGTCGACCTTCCACCGCCTGAATTCGCAGCATCTGTCTAGAGAGCTGTGGTCACCACACGCACTGGTTGGCTCGTGTAGCGGGCCTCGGGGCGGCTCAGGTTTGGGAATGCTGTATCCGCCGAAGACAGTGTGATGGACTTCTCGTACCGCATCGTAGAGTCTTTAGTAGGATCAGAGTCGAACTCATTGTACGATTCCAGACCCGTATCTGACCCACCGTGACGCGAAAAACGCCACGAATCTTGACAGAATCAATATCCCACCCTTGCCTGCGTCTCTGGCCCGTTAAATGAGCCCTAATCCGAGTTTCTGGTCAAGGCACTTCAGTCTCGAGTGCGCTCTTGAAGACATAGTCTCAGTATCCACGACCCACCGGAAACTCGGCAGCTGCCCAGTGCCCAGTGAGGTCCAAGCCGATGAATTTCCTACGCGATATTGGCTATGCGCTGTCATTCAAGCTTCTTCCGTCGACCTGCGGTCTCCGCTGTGCGGGTGCCCGTTCCGCGGCGCCGGCATCGAGGAACAAAGTCTAGTCCTCTGGTGCACCAGGCCCCTGAAGGGGCCCGTGTGATGAACAAGGGCTCGTCGACTGCTCAAAGCATTCGTACATATTTTCCGCTTACTACTTCCAAAGCTTGATCGTTACAAGGCAGAGGACAACCGACAGCTCATATCGCGGCGTTAATACCTAGTACTAACAGCCATCACCAGGTCAGACACGGTATATCGCAGAGAAATGATTATGGACTCAACGTCACTACCGTCGACCTTGTTTTCCTCTCTGTGATGGCAGAGTGCTCTTGCCTGAGTTTTGAAGTCGCGTAAGTAAGCAACTTGTTCAAGAACATACGCGCCTGCATCAGCCACTCGGCTATCACGGCCCTGGCACGCGAGATTGGCATGGTCGATTTCTCCGCGTGCTCGTCCTGCCCTTGAGGGCCTGCCATTTCTCTCCGCGCCTTACGGGGTGCAGGCCCACGAGTGTGCTGCGAACAACTCTCTCTCACAGCCCATGCCTTGAGAATGCATCGTCTTTCTGGATTCTTGAGAATCGTGCTGCTACTGGTCACGCTCGTCACCTTATGCCACGCTCGCCAACAATGCCGCTTGGTCTCGAAACTAGACGTTCAGCCCGAGGGTAGTGATCCTCAGGCTCCGCTTTCCGCCAGTCCCAAGTCGTCCTCGCAGACTGTTTCTCAAACGGCTTCTGCGTCCGCTACACCATCTATCACGCCTTTCAACTATGGTAAAGACACGATCCGGGGAGTTAACCTGTGAGTGATAGATACTTCTGTTACTTCGTCCACACTCGCTTAGGCATCTGGGCGAAGCGGTGGATGGTTTGTCTTGGAGGTGAGTCATACAACGTTTGCGTTCTACCTCCTTCACCCTAAGCCTGTATAGCCATGGATTACCCCAAGCATATTCGAGAACACGAACAACTCAGATATTATAGACGAATATACGTTCGGACAAATGCTAGACGCGGATTACGCCCTAGATGTCCTGCAGAACCATTGGGATACATGGATTACCGAGGACGATTTTGCTGCAATTGCGGCAGCGGGGTTGAATCATGTACGGTGAGTGTTCCAATTTCTATCCTTCTACTCCGCACCGGGACGTCTACTGTCTGGTATTCCTGCGGAACGTAGTCAGCAGCCGGGCAGCTCATTCTTGCAATAGCATGCAGATTGGCTACTGGTCGATCCCGATTACCTCTGCCGATACAAATTATACAACGTCGGTGACCCCGTACATCGCCGGCGCATGGCCATACCTGCTCCGCGCGCTCGGTTGGGCCAAGAAGCATGGCGTCCATGTTATCCTCGACCTGCACGGCGCTCCAGGCTCGCAGAACGGCTACGACAACTCAGGGCAGCGAGGCTCGGCGGACTGGGCACAGGGAGACAACGTCGCACGCACTGTGGACATCGTGCGGTTCGTCGCAGACCAGATTGGAGGGATGATCGATGTCCTCGAGCTGCTCAACGAACCCGGTGGCTGGCAGAGCGACATAGCGGATGTAATTGGCCAATATTGGCAGGACGGATACAACGCCGTCCGGAATGCCACCGGGACCTCGCTGAAGGTCATGATCGGAGATGCTTTTCTCGGCGTTGATGTAGGTACTTGTTGCTTGGCGTCGACGATGGCGCTGATATATCCTGCAGAACTGGGACGGATTCTTGACTTATCCTGATGCGCAAGGGGTGCTCATGGATTTCGTACGTGTCTTAAAAACACGCTGTTCACCTTCGATGTTAATCCTCACGCCGGTACCTCTCCCAGCATGAGTACCAGATCTTCAATTACGACCAGCTCGAAATGTCCCAGGACGAGCACATCAACGTATGTCATCTGTCGAACACTCTCGGAGTCCGTGAATATGACTAATTCCGGAGATCGTACCCTCGGCGTTGTCTAGTACTCCTGTCAGGTACTCCAGACCCTGAGTAATTATGCCAAATCGAACCTGTACACAGTGAGCGGGGAATGGTCGAACGCTATTACCGACTGTGCCAAGTGGCTCAATGGCCGAGGGGTCGGTGCCCGGTGGGATGGCACCTGGCAGAGCAACCAACCTACTTTTGGAAGCTGCGACGGATACACAGGCAATATGTCCACTTTCAGCGACGACTACAAGAAGTTCCTGCGGAAGTGCGTGTTCTTTCTCATCGTTATCTGGTGTCTAGATAGAAGCTCACATGGCGGTGCGGTAACTCATTCTACTTGCATTTCCATGGGAAGATACTTCGAGTCTCAAGTCGCAATCGGCGAGGCTATTCAGGGTTGGATATTCTGGACTTGGAAGGTAACGCGTTCCAGGCAGGGTTCTCTGACAGATGCGCGCAACATGCTTACGGAGCCTATCGTTACGGCAGGCCGAGAATGCGGACGACTGGAGCTATCAAAAGGGGTTGGAAGGCGGCTGGATCCCCCAAGACCCGACGGATAGGCTGTACCCGGACATTTGTTCGAATTCTACTTCGTGAACCATAGAATGCACCCAGGAGTCTGGCTGATCGTTTGCGGAACAATGTACGTTCGCGCCCTTTTAATCCTAAAGCTCTAAGTCGATAGGGTCAGTTGACTCCTGACCTGTAGATGTATTTACCCTTGAAGGACAGCTGTATCATTGCTTTGTATTTTTGTCTAGATTACGACAGGGTTCGAATTGAGAACGCCATCTGGCAGACCAGCAGACAGGCCGCAGCAAAAACGACTAGCGCCGCGATACAACGCGATCCGGATTCCCATAGTCACCCATCGCGGTGCTTCAAAAACAGCGGGAGAGTCATCGGGGATTGCGTTGGTTTGACCGCAAGACCCGACCGCACGTCAGCCACATTCCTCGGATTCCCTGCAGTCCCGCGAATCCAACGATACATCATTCGGGGTGCAGATAAGACCCCGACGTCAGCTGTTGTCAACCTGCCACTCCGAAACGAGACTAATCAAGGGACATCCTCGCGTCGAGGAAGACGCGGGACCTCGTAAATGCCCCTCGAACCACAACACCATGCGCATATGCACCGCCTACGCAATGGGACGATTCCAAGTTTCAGCAATTGTGAGGGAGACGCCTCAAGGCCGAGTGGCGTAGCCTCTCTTCTCGAGGGAACTCCGACACCACATAGTAGCGGAAGACAGCAAGTATGATAATCATTCATCTATGACTTGTCCTAGAGGAGTCCGCAGCACTGGTCCAGTCCGCCGCAGTAGCATGGCCCGTACCAGCGGCGTTCTCTCTAGACGGGTCGGTCGAGAGCCGCTGTTGGAGCTCGTACTGAGCTAACCAATCTGGTTTCAGCCCTTCCCGCTTCTTTTGGGCGTTCTCAATGTGCTTCTGAATGACTTCCGCTTCTTCAGGAATAGACAGGGCGATGCTCTCTTCCTGCACACCCTCTGTCTTGGGCCGCGCGTTCTACATACGGATGCAATGCATGAGTCAGCGCCCGCAGGAAGAAGCGGAAGCACGAGCTCCGAGACCAGTTGACCCACCTCGCGTCGCCGCTCGTAGGCTAAGGAAATCTGCTTCATGAAGTACAGCTCCTCCCCCGCCGCCATGTACTTCCAGTTCGCTTCGCGCTCTTCCGCAATGAACGGCCGTATACGGACATCTTCCCAATTGACCCCGCGCGCTGCCTCCTCTTCGGTCTTCCCGAAGTAGCGCTCCCGATACGACAGCAAGGCCGTCAGCGATGCCCCTGCTCCGTCAATCCACCGTTCGAGACGCCGTTTGTGATTCAGTGTCGCGCTTCCTGCGAGAAGACTACGGACGACGCCAAATCGGGCTAGCGACCTGGAAGTCTCGCCGCGAACAATAATGTCTGGGACCTTTTGTCCCAACAGGTTGATCCATTCAGCGACGGGATCAACAACTTCCACCATTATGCGGGGCTTGTGGGGGGTGTTTTTGAGCACTCCACCGGTGGGCGTGAGCGAAGGGGCTCACCTCGTTATGGGAGGCTTCCATAAATGATGTTAGTTTCACGTTCGCTGGGTTTCCATCAACGATGGTATCGATATTGAACTGCGCGAGATACGCTGGCAGGAGTATAGGATACGCCGCTATCTGCAGAATGCAACGCTTGAGTCGTCCCCCAATAGCCTGTGAGGCGTGATGCTCACCATCGTCTCTTCCACGGAGGACGGCTCGAAGCGGAAGGAATTGGAGATAGTTGCATCCGCGAGAGACATCGAGCGCGCTGCCTCTATCAATTTGAGCGGGGTCACGCTGAACGGCAGACAAAGGACGTCGTCCGCGCCGTCCTTCCGCAGTGCCTCTGACCAGGGTACTGGTTCAGTAGATTGCACCTTTGGCGAAATCAAATTCCTCGTCGAGAGGGGAGGAAAGACGTAGCCTGTAACGAGACAACTCAATGAACAGCAGTCACCATTGAGTAAGATATATATCGACCTGGCACAGTACTGTTATAGGATTTCCATTAAGTCTTGTCATGATTGGCCTAATAGTAAGGATGAACGTACCAAACAGTGAAGAGCGCCTGAGCTATTTCCTATATGAACAGGGTCATTGCCACTGTATATGAAAGGTTTAGATCTATACCTTTTTGTAATCAGTATCGCCAGCAGACTGCTTAAACAGCGCATTAGCCGTAACCTCCGCATCAATAATCCACGTCGGCAAGTAGACGGCTTGTAGTCGTGAAGGTTTGAGTGCCTCGATGTTGAGACCGGGAAGTATGCGTCGCAGCCATGCGCTGAACATTTTGTTCCCAGTGAACATCGACGTCCAAAAGCTGAGGTCCTCCGCCGCTCTCTCGCGGGACACAACAAATGGGAAGGCTGACCGCGAGCGGGGATGTGAGAATCATGTATGGGCAGGACAGGATGACCGCAACGAATGACCTCTGACTTTGCTGGAGTATGGCCTGTGACCATAGAGGCTGGCCTGACTACATCGCCTGAGTGCAGCAGTTCCGTTGCTCCGTACAGACAGCATGGGGCGCGAAGCAGAACAAGGCAGAGTACAAGTGTGACACGGCCAGTCCGACGTCCGTGTTGCTCGGTGTTGAGGTCAAGACCCTAGACCAAGGTTAGGGCTGAAGCATGGATCACGTGCGTCATACGTGTCCCCAGAGCGCGAAGTGCGGACGCGCGCGACCTCGCAGCCACCAAACGTGTTCTCGTCCCCTCATTCTCTCTGGGTTGTAGGCATGGGGTCTCTTACTTGCTTGCTTTTTCTGGTACTGTCTCTAGTTCTTCTCGTTCATGCGGCAGACCTCTACAAAGTCTTAGAGCGTTAGTTGAAGGCGCGCAGCCCCTCGGCCAAATATGTCTCTAACTGACTATGCTTCTCTAGTCTCCAAATCTGCCTCGGAGCAGGATATTCGCAAGGCGTACAAGAAGCTCAGGTGTGTTTAGTCTCTGTATGCTAACTTCATGTTCCTCACTGATTTATAACAGTCGAAAATATCATCCGGACAAGAACAAGGAACCTGGCGCGGAAGAGAAGTTCGTGGAGATCGCTCATGGTTAGTCCATGGCAACACTAGACCTGGACTTATTGCTGAGCCCTCTTTAGCCTATGAGGTCTTGTCCGACTCTACCAAACGGCAAATCTACGATCGCCATGGCGAGGAAGGTCTCAAGGCGCACGAAGGCGGACATCAGCACCACGCGAACCCCTTCGATATGTTCCAGAGTTTCTTCGGAGGGGGCGGATATGGCGGACATCAAGTGCGCAAGGGCCCCACCTCCACAAGCGAGTTTGAAATCTCACTTGCGGACATCTACACTGGCGCGAGCATCGACTTCATGGTCAAGAAGCGCATCCTGTGTGACCACTGTCGTGGTACCGGCGCCGCCTCTTCGAGCGACATTCACGAATGTAAGGCCTGTAACGGCCAAGGTGTCCGCATTGTTCGCCAGCAGATCATGCCCGGTATGATCACGCAGTCTCAAGTTACGTGCAACGAGTGCGGTGGGCGCGGTCGTGTGATTGGCAAGAAATGCCCTCACTGTAATGGGAACAAAGTGATGGACCACACGCAACACTATACTCTGGAGGTTCCGAAGGGCGCGCCGGAGGGCCATGAGGTCGTGTTTGAAGGCGAGGCGGACGAGAGTCCGGACTGGGAGCCCGGAGATGTTGTCATCAGGATCAGGAGCAAGAAGGAGCGTGGTGGATGGCGGAGGAAGGAGAGCGGGTTGTACTGGAAAGAGACCATATCCATAGAAGAAGTGCGTCCTGCGCTCGTGCCGTTGATCATGCGCTCATGCTCCTCCCAGGCCCTGCTGGGTTTCGAGCGCAACCTAACACACTTAGACGGGCACATCATAGAATTGCAGCGTCATGGTGTAACGCAGCCAGGTAAATATACGCTGCATTGTATGTCCAGGGTTTACTGAAATTTGTTCCAGGCTACGTACAGACTATTAAGGGAGAAGGCATGCCCATCTTCGACACGCCATCGGAACACGGCGACTTGTATGTCGAGTACAACGTCGTTCTCCCTACAGAGATTTCGCCAGAAACTAAGAAGCGTGCGTCTATTGATACTACTTAGAAGCAGCGACAATATCTGACGGACCATGCGTTATCAGGGCTACATGCTGCGTTCCACCCCGAAGCAACCGGGAGCCATCCAACGGACGAGTTATAGACTTATTGGGTTGTAAAGTATATTTGGTTGTATGCCACGCTAATCTTATTTGCTTTGGGTATCCATGCCGAGCATGATGTCGCTCAGCACTGCATGTAGTTCGTAAAGGGGGTGCGGTCCAGGCATTCGTCCTCTCGATTCCGAAGCTTCCCGCTTATGTACAGCCATCGGCGCGCATGCGAGGAGCGATTCGGAGAACAAAACGTGGGCCGCGAATTGTGTGCCTCTGAAAGAGTCAACCCCGCCCAACGGCAGCGAAGAACCTCCACAACACCGCCCCAGGACATCACCGCTCACATACCAGTGCGCCCGGCATGTAATATCACCTCCCTAATGACCCTCGCTAAATCATGTACAGACTATCCTGCGAGCAGATGACAATGACTTTCCCCTCAACACGCCCTCATGCACCGCGCTCTGCTATGCATACCTCACTTGCGGTGGAAGTCCTAGAAAGGGTCATCGACTACTGTTCTGGTATACCTTACACCCTCTGCAACCTGACTCTGACGTGTCGCCAGCTCCTGCCTCGAAGCCGCTAACATCTATCGCTTCTATTTTGATCAAGGGTGCAGACCTGGGAAGGCTCTACTCGTTTTGTGACGTACTCAATGCACAACCAGAACTCAGCCTTCTCATTAGCTCCATCACTATTGTGGTGAATACTGGAATACGGGAGTTGAAAATCCAGCCGACCTTACTCGAGATCGCCCCCGTCGTCCTTCTGACTCTACCCCGCCTATGCCGATGGGAGATTGTTGAGATCTCACCCCGTGGTCACACCTCTCGACTCGATATGTCTGGTACGAGAACTCATAACACCTTCAACTTCCGTTCTCTTGTCTCCTCTCGCAAGTACGGCGCAACATTACGGACCCTGTGCTTACGACGGGTGTGCTATTCCACCTGCGATGACTTGACACGATTCCTCGAGGCCTTTCCTGCCCTGATGGACCTGCGCTGCGAACGCATCACCTTCGGAAAGCCTGGAAACCTCTTCAGGAGAGTCGGTAGATGGTCAAGAGGGGGAAAAACCTAGACACCCACAGTTGGCTAGGTTGGAGGTGAGAACGAGACCATGTTATAGAACGACGCCATCTAAGATTGCTGATCCTGGACATCCCAGATCGACGTCGGAATCGCGAAGGAGGCCGTTGACATGCTCTTGGAAACCCACGCGCGAGTAGATGCCCTCGAGGAGATAATCCTCGATGTGATGAACATATCTCCGGACAACGCGGGTGCGTCCTTAACCAATTAATCCCCGCATAGGTTCATCGCTCACACTCACTACACCAGGACGCTTCATAACCTTCATCTCCCAGTTGCCTCGCGTACGCTGCCTGACCCTCAGTCTTAGGTTGGGCCGCGACGACAAGGAGATGCTTCGGGGACTTAGTCATATGCTCCAAGTCTTGAGGGAGCTATTCAACTCGTCGGTGTTGACAAGCACTTCGCCTGGAGTGGTGGTCCAGCTTGTTACTGCAGCTCCAGGGCACTTCGATCACGCACTCTCCAAGGCAGACGCCATTCAGATACGCCGGGAGTTGGAGGGCCAGCTTCTCCGCATCCCTCTTCAGCGAATGATACTCTACGTCTGGAACATCAAAGCCAATAGAGAACAATTTTGGATAAGTGAACTCGAGCATGATTTTCCAAGACTACGTCCAAGTGGTCTACTTATGTCTCGTGCGGACCGAGGTAAGAGTATCCAAGAAATGATTAGTACGGCCCTGACTTGGTTAGTATTCACCAACATCGGTCATGACGACATTGTCTCTACATTCACCGTCTCTCCAGACAGCAAGTAGGCCGCGACTGGGTCTTCCGACACTACCATTATACTCTGGGAGCTCGAATGTAGACAAACCACCCATCAATGGGTCGCCCACTACGGGGAGGTCACTTGCCTCGCGTTCTCCCTGAATAGCAAGAAGTTAGTGTCCGGTGGCCGAGACCACAGTCTCAACATCTGGGGCCTCAGTCAGGGTGTAGAGCGGCTTGCAAGCCTGAAGGGTCACGCTAAGCCTTTGTCTGTTTGTGCGTGGTCCCCTGGCGGTAACCTGATCGCGTCGTCCGGATCGCTGGACAGAACCATTCGTGTAATGGGATTGGCAGACATTCCAGCTTCAATATGTGCTAGAATTTGAGCTCTCCCTCTCGCACGCTACCAACCTCGTCGTATTCTCCCAGGACTCTCATTGGCTTGCTACAGACAACGGTGGTCCCCTCTGTTACACCTGGCACCCGAAGACAGGTGCCCCTCATGTGACCCTCAGAGGGCACGAAACGCAGATTCGGATCGCAGTCTTCGATGGCGAGAGTAGGCGAATCGCCACTGCGTCCGGAGTGGGAGCCATGTCGTTCGCGTCTGGGATGTCGCGACAGGAGCAGAGCTCCTTGCATTTCGGCGACATCCAACGTGGATTCGTGATATTTCCTTCTCCCCTGACGGTCGGGTGATGCTCTCCGTGGCGGATCACAGAGCACCAGTCATTTGGGACGCAGCCACTGGTGCCGTGTTACGGACCCTGGAGGACCACAAGAAGATCGTGAGGAGGGCGCGCTTCTCCCCGGACGGGAAGTGGGTACATAGTCTCGGCGTCGTATGACGAGGCTGTCCGCCTATGGAGGACTCACGACGGGTTATGCATGGCGACTTTCGCAGAGCACTCTGCGCGAGCGACGCACATCGCGTTTCCCCCCGATGGTGAGGCGTTTGCCTCTGCTGGTCGTGATGGGGCCGTGTACGTGCACCGGTTGTGCGACATTGTGTAGAGTTTCAATCTGTTACTATCGCTCTTTCGTCAGGAATTCAGGTGCATGATCTCAACTTTCAAGCTCATATTGCTATGTATACAATTTATCTTCTTCCCTTATATCATACAATCGAGTAGCTATGTGCGCGATGTGAAACCGGGTGGTACAGGAAACATATGACCAGTGTAGAGTCCGATGCCAGAGGGATCATACTGCATTAGATAAACCGAGAATGTGCGCTCGACGCACACACTACCCACCAACCACCTCACTAGACTGACTGCGCACGGCGAGCCCGTCTCTCCGCCCTTTCCGCCCTGCGCTCCTGCTTCCGCTCCCGTCGTGCCTCACGCCTCTCCTTCCGGAAGTAATTAGAGTCCTCCCGGCGCATGCGCACGTTCTCCCGGAGGACTCTCGCGTTCTCCTTGGCGGTCGACACCCTTCCGCGCACCCGCTCGCTGACCGAAGAAAACAGCCTCTCCCCAGCCGCCCTCAGCTCCTTCGCACGCGTCTTGGCACGCTCGTGCCGCGCCCTAATGTTCTCCCGGACGACCTCGATGGTCGCCTTGGATTGCTCCAACACGCCACCCGTCTGCTCGTTGATCGCCCGCGTGAGGTCGTCAAGCGCGTCCATGATCTCCTGAAGCTCGCTCCGCGTCTGCGTGAACATCATGCGCATGTCGAAGTACTCCGAAAGCGCGCCCGCGAGGCGGGTGCTCAGCGCGTACAGAGACTCGTCTTCGGCGTCCGTAGCACGTGCCTTGCCCTTGCCCTTCGCTGAGGTAGGCGGGGGAGCGATTACAGCGAAGGCAGGACCCTTGGTGAACGCCTGGTTGCTGAGCGCAGGCGTGGGTGGCGTCGGGCGCAGCACGAGATCCGTGGTGGGCCTGAACTTCTCCGGCCAGGTGATGAGTCCACATCCGCAGGCACACACCGACGGTGCGCCAGCACGGTCGGCGTCCTCGGCGGGTGCAGTGGTCGAAGACGGGATTGCCTTGGTTGCAACGGAGGACGTGGACGCAACAGCGTAGGGGCTGACCGCCGCGAAGGCGAAGTCTTTGAGGGAGGACGCGATCAGTCCTACACTGGACGGGCTCGTTGCGGGTGCCGGGAGGGAAGCGTTCATTATCGGCGTCGGAGCGGGACGCGCAACCATGCCGAGTGTGGGAGAAGCACGGCGCATTCCCGGGAGGGGGAGCGACCCGTTCACGAGATAGCCGAGCACAATGGAGAGGATCGCGAACCTGGGGAATCAGAGGTCAGCGCAATACTGTGCACCACATACATATGCGATTCGTACAAAGTGAATGCATGTCGTGACGCGAGGTGGTAACGGGCCCACTGTTCGGACCATGGAAGGAGCGGCCTGAGAGCGCGGCGGACCTTGGCAGGTGATGCCTCCTCGATCTCCTCCTCCTCGACCACGGCTGACCTGCCAGACGTGAAAGCGTGGGAGATGAGTCTACTCCTGACAATGCCGAAGCCGTCCCACTGGTGCTCAGCATCGAGCAGGCGGTCACCAGAAGTGGTCAATTCGCCCTCCTTCTCGAGCTCATCTTGGTTGTGAAGGACAGGGAGGTACAGCGTATGGTCGGGTACGATTATGTTCGCAGACGGAAGGAATACGATAGCGAGCGACGGCCGATCTGTAAGGATAAGAGCACTCTGCTGTGATTGGATGAAGTGAGCTTCCCACAATGATAGGCAGAACGACCTACCTCCTTCCCACCAATAGATAGCACGTTCTCAGTGCGATCGACGATAGAGATGGTATAGTGCGGGTGCGCCGAGCGACCACCAGTGAGCAGCGCTCGGATGTTCTGAGGTACGTCGATCGGCGGGAGCGACGAGAAGCCGCACTGCGTCGCAGCCATGAGCTTCTCAAGCAGTCTGTGAACAACACGATGCTTGGTCTCCGAGGATGTGCCGTACAGGACGATATTGAAGTCGACCGCAGCACTGGAATGGATCTCCGTACGTGCGCCTGCAACCACGCGAGCGTCCGTGGGCGTGGTGGTTGAGCCCGGAACCGCAGCGGGCGCTGTGACGACGTCCGTAGAGCCTTCCGTCTCTGTCTCCCTATCTGACAGGGCTATACCGGTGCCCGTGCCGATGTCCGTGTCGGCGGTGATGTCCTCGTAGGACGGACTAACCGAGTGTGCACCGGGGCTGGTGCTGGTGAGGGGATCAGGGAAGGACAGACGGAGGTCGCGAGAGTGTACGACGGACGTCTGGACTGAGGCATTGAGCGAGTTCGAACGAGACGCACTGAGGGTGCTGACCATGCTCTGGTCGAGGCCGTCCTTGACCTTGCGGTCCTCCTCGGGGTCGTCGAGTGCGGCGTGCCGTGCCACAGCAGCCTCAGACAGTGCAACCATCCTGAACGACAGGGACTGCTGAGACAACTGGAGGATGGGGTCGGCTATTGCTGCATCCTCTTCGGTAACCTCGGGAGAGGCGGCGGGAGGCACCTCGTCGGACCCGTCCTCGATGATACCCTCCCAGCCTTGGATCTCGCCTTCACGAGAGCTACCGAAGCTTGCAAGCGACCTGCGCGAAGGCGGTCTGTAGTCGGAGGCGAGATCTTCACGATCACTATCATCCAGGGAATCGTTGTCCTCGGAGGCCCGAGAGCTGATGTCCAGCCAGTCGGAGTCAGACAGAGACTCAACTTCGGAGAGATTGTTCAAATCATTGGAATCCATGATCGTAGTACTGGTGGTGTAAGGAAAGAAAAAACGTAGCCCAGGACTAGCACGGGTAGTAAGAGAGTGTGCAGTCAGGAGAAGGGAACACAGGGACGCGTCGCTTGATACTTATACGACTCGGTGCCGGGCAGTTGACGACTGTTTACCCAAATAGGCTGCGCCGTGCTATCTAATCTGCCTCACGCTAGCGGACGCTGACAAGCATTCCATTCGACCTTCCGTTGCCCTCCTCCTCGCTGCGTATCTCAGGCCAACGAGTTTCTCAGGAAGGCCTGCCAATGAACAATTCTGTGTATTCAAAGAGCGTCAAGCCGTGGGGTGGCTTTCACAGAGCGGGACAACCAAGGGCGTTAGAACCGATTGAGTACTAGTACCGGGTTTGTGCCTCATGACTCCTGGATGGTATTAGATGATGACTTCAGTCGGCTGATGGGGCTATTCTTTCGTGGGCATGGCCAGTTTCCCACGCCGTATTGGGGTTTCTGGTGGCCATCGATATTACCTGTTGCGAGTTTGAGAGCGGGACGGCGAGCCGTCTGGCGGTATCGTGGTACCGGCCTTGTGATGTCCATACTGGATTGCGAGATTATTGATAGAACACGCCATCTCGCTACATCGTGTACTGGGCCGTGTAGCCCTGTGCAACGTCCACGTTGTAAAGAACACGATGAGTACGCATTGACAGGGCACTGCGCCGACGTGGAGGGAAGACACGATGCATCTGGTGGTCTGACATGCGCAGGGCTCGCGCGCGTCATGGACTAATAGACTTCCATCATCTAATCTATGTTATCTAGAATATCTTATCAGATAACTTATAACACCTTCCATGAGCACGGCAGTCTGTCGGACCACGGTCACGTACTCTTTCCACCTGAGTCAACCATGTCGCCCACTCCTCTCCTCTTGACCACTTCGTACGACCTCGGAGAATGTTCATACACCTCCCAGAAGACGTCTGGCTCGATGTCTTCCGCTACCTCGAAGTGCAGGACGTCCTAACCCTCAGGAAGGTCGGCGTTGCATCCTCTCACGGCGTATCGCGTGATCGCTTACAACGAGCACGACCGCTATTTCCTGCTCGCTACCTCCTGCTGGCAGACATGTCGTACCCTGCACATCTTGGGCGGGAATGACTACGTATGGCACCGGCTCATCGCCGAGTTTCCACTTCCCATCGACGTGCCATTTGACACGCGCCCTACGGCCCTGCCCGCCGACGAGCTGCAGCGACTCGCAATCAAGGCCATTAGGCTCGACGCGAATTGGAGGAGCCCGAAGACGCGTGTAAAGCGCACCCGCGCGCTGCTGAATGACAAGAGCGGCCAGTATGTCGACCATATGCAGTTTCTGCCTGGGGGCAAATGGCTCTGGACGGCGCAGCGCACGCTCAAGCGCGAAGCAACGTACACACGGATGAACCTATGGTCGCTCGATGATGTCGACAACGCGCGTCGCGTGTGGTCCGCAGAGGTGTCCGGCATATACCGCAGCTGTACCGTTGTGCAAACCGGCGAGGACGACTTCGCGACGTTAGTTGCAGGCGTCTGTGACCAGCGAGAGTGAGTGCTGCCGACTCGGTCGTCTTGCGCACGACATTGACAAACATGCCGTCTCCAGGGTCATTGAGATACATAAAATCTCGCTGGAGGACTCTCCTACAAATTTCCAGTACGGTTTGTACCACCCCAACTATCCACTTTACCAACCGCCGGCCCCAGTCAAGTCCAGACAGCTGCAGGTCGTACCACATCCTCGCGCGCCTCATCTTCGGCCAATCATCAGTGAGATTGCTGGTCACGGGGGTGTGCTGATCGTGACCGTTTTCGCACTGGATACGGGCGGGGGGGCAGGGTCGCTTCAAATTATGTTCGTTAATCCTGAGACGGGCGCGACGAAGTGGATCGACCCTTCATTCGCACAGGTGCGTAGCGACTTCAGCGCAAAGTCCGATTTCTCATATCATTGCCAGCCATTCTCTTTCCTCTGGGTTCGCGTATGGGGCGAATATCTCTTTCTGATCGGTCAAGTCGACGAAGACTTCGTTGTGCGGGCATATAGAATGCCTCAACCCTTCCCTGGTTCTCCGAGTAGGACGCCTCGCGCCAGCCCGCCAAGGACGACGACACCTCTCCAGGAAGCGGAGGAAGATGAGTACGCCTATACGGACCTTGGGCCTGTGGTAGCGCAGTTCGTTGGTCCAACTCCGATGGCCGTACCGAGGCATCATATTCCCCATGTCTCCTTCGCCGTAGCGGAACCAAGCCTCTCCGCGATCATGTTTTATCACTCTAGCCAACCCCACCGTGCCCAACTGCTGCGCTTCTCCTTCGACGTCTCTGGCGAGGGCGTCACGTTGAGCGACATGTCGTCCAAAGACTTCCACATCGGAGACGAGTCGTCCCCGCAGCTCGCGCAGGTGGGCGCGCTGGGGTTCCGGGCGGTGTGGCTGGAGCACAACTGGGAGACGCAGCAGAACCGCGTCATGAAGCTCGCATTTGACCCGCATACTGGTGCGGCGAAGGTGGGGATGCTGATTCCGCCTGACCCGGAGCTGCCGTTCACGCCGAATATGTGTCATTCGTTGGCCTTTGACGAGGTTACGGGGAGACTTTGCTTGGCGATGTACGACGGGAATGTTTATCTACTAGATTTTGTTTGAAATGTATTCTCTGAATGAATAAACGTCGGAAATTGGGTACCCTTGCGATCCAATTACTCGACTCTTTCTCTGAAGGATTTAACAGACGCAGCGTTGCCGACGGACGCGCCGCAGTGGCACGCGACTCACGTGTGCGCATATAATTATGTATGACCACATCTGACTCGAGTATGTGCAGTACTCAGATCGCCGGTGTCCAAACCAACTCTGCCAACGCACATCTCCCGTGTTTTACGGTGCATCTTCTCCTCTACCATCACCTTCACTCCTTTCGAAAGTTGTGGAGGACAATATCGTCGACCAGCAAGATCGGAGCTGACGGGGATTTGTCGATCTCTCACCACGTGGCCGTAAAAGATTAAGATTATCGACTAGAATCGGCGGGCGGTCGTGGCGTCACGCAAGGCTTAGTTTCTGCAAGTAGCCCTCCCGGCAGACAATACTCTTGCTACGTCCCGCATCTCCCCTGCCGTGTCTCGCATTCGGCGACACAGCCCACCTTCGCACCCGCCATGGAGCAGGAACTCAACCAATTCGTACAGGCCATTCTGATTGCCTCCGATCCGCTGCAGAGTTCCCTCCACCAACAGGCCCTCGAGTACCTCTCCGCAATCCAACAGAACCCCTCGACATGGCGCCTCGCCCTCGCGGTGTTTGTGGAGGAGGGTCCGAACGGCAGCAGGAAACATCCCCCTCAGGTCCGGTTCTTCGCACTGCGGGTGCTCGACGATTTTCTCGACAACCGGTGAGACCTCTGCCTCCTCTAACTCGGCACGTTGACTTAACAGCAATGGCGCATCCTATGCAAGTTTTGAGCCACTAGACGACGATACCTTTCAGACGCTCCGACAATCTCTCTTGACATACATCCAATCCGAATACCTCTTCGGGTCTGCCGAAGCGGAAGCTTCGTGTGAGTCCATTGACGACTCGTATGCCATACCTCACTGACCTCATTACTCGTTCGCATCGAATGTAGTCCTCCGTAACAAGTTCGCGCACACCCTCACTCTCTTCTTTCTCTGCACTTACGTAGACAAATGGCCCACTTTCTTCACCGACTTCTTCGCGCTCATCCGCCCGGCGGAGTCCACTTCCCAAACGACATACAACCACCACATCTCCCTCCTTCTCTTCCACATCGTCCTCGAGATCTCCGGGGAGGTCGCGGACCAGCTGATCAAGGCCGCGCGTACGTTCAACCCCGACCGCCATGCACGCGACTCGCGTGTGCGTGACGCCGTGCGCGAACGGGACGCGGCCCGGATCAACGAGGCCGTCCTCACCATCGTCGCAGACGGCGTCGAGCGCATGGGTCGTCTGCGGAAGAGCGAGCTGTGCCCCGCGACGGAGCGAGAGCTGGACTCAGCCATCGAGGTTGTGGACTGGGGCGTGCGGACCTTCGCGTCGTACGTCGGCTGGATCGACATCAACCTCACCGTGACGCGCGACACCGTCCCGCTGCTCTTCACGCTCCTATCGGACCCCTCGTTGCCCATCCGCCTGGCGACGGCGCTCGCGCTCACGCGGATCGTGGCGAAGGGCTTGAAGGAGCCCGCGGACAAGCTGCAGCTGGTCAAGGTGCTCTCGCTCGGGCAGGTCCTCGAGGCGCTCGAGGAGCGGACCCGCGCCGAGCAGAAGAGCCGGGGCTCCGACACGGACGAGGGCGAAGAGTCCTATCGGGAGGCGCTCGGTAAGCTGCTCAACGTCCTCGGCCTAGAACTGTGCAAGTTGACCGACGTGAGTGCGCCTTGCTCTGCTTTCTGCCGGATGGCTGGGGATCCGTTGGAACGCGTTTGATGCTAACTCGTCTCGTGGATTGTTATAGGAGTCGCCCGACGAGAGCGTGCGTCCCGAAGCGACCCAGCTGCTCAACCAGGTGCTGCCTGTCATGCTGCGCTTCTTGGCCGACGAGTACGACGACACTTGCTCGACGGTGTTCCCTCTGCTACAAACTGTTTTGCTCACTGTATGTGTCGTGCTCACGTACAATGCAAATTTTCGTATCATGTTGACTTACATACCATAGTACAAGCGACAACGAAAATCTTCCACAGATCCGCTAGATCCCGCAAAACGGTCGTTCCTTTCATCACTGCTCTCCGTCATCCTAGAGAAACTCAAGTGGGATGAGGAGTCGGACCCAGAAGACATGGATGAGGACGACAAAGCCGCGTTCGAGGAATTGCGAAAGGTAGTTACGTTATTTCTTGTCTTCTAGACGGCATCTTACCTTGCTACAGGAGCTTAGAACATTCATGGACTCGACACTTCTGATAGATCCTGAACTCGTTACAGAATCTGTTCGCACACTAGCCCTAAACACGCTCACTGCATACCAGAATGGTGTCGCACTGAAATGGAACGACGCTGAGCTGGCCGTCTACCTCGTATACATCTTTGGCGAAATTAACAAAAGTGAGTAGTCTAACCTCATCACCTCGGTTTCTATAGCAAGAGTCTCATGTTACCCAGCTGGAGGCAAGGGTCGAGCCGCTTTCTGCCAATCACCAACCATGACCCGTGACAAGCGAAAAGAGACCGACTTCTCGGAATACCCGCTTACAAGCCACGGCGAAATGCTCTACGCTCTCGTACAATCTGGCATCTCGGATTACCCGCACAAAACCGTTTCCATGCAGTTCTTCGAGACCGCCGCGCGATACGGCGACTTCTTCAAGGTGCGAAAAGAGTGCATCATGCCAACCCTCCAGGCCATGCTCGGCGTCCGGTAAGTCGCAACTGGATCGTACCCCAAGAGGTGTTCTCAAACGTCACGAATGCAGAGCGCTGCACAGTCCAGATTCGAGCACAAGATCTCGCGTCTTTTACCTCTTTTACCGCTTCATTCGAGAAGACCGGAACGAAATCCCGCCAGACCTCGCTATTTCGCTTCTTGACGGCTTCCGTGACCTCCTTGTAATTCATGTTGAGCTTCCCGAGCTCGAGGATCCGCAATCGCAAGATATGCTGACAGAGGCTGTTTCGGCGTCGACGATCTTCGACTCACAATTATACCTGTTCGAGGCAGCTGGGACGCTCGTCTCGCTACTGCACAAGACCCCTGACCAGGCAGCTGCGCTGCTCCTCTCGGTTGTACGACCACTATTGGACGACCTATCCGCGAGCCTGCAGGCGGTGAAGGGCCCGGAAGATGTTTTGCCGATTTTAAGGATTCACCATATCATCATGGCCTTAGGTAATATCGCGAAGGGCTTCCCCGAGTATCCGAGCCCTGTCCCAGAGGGGTACGTCGCTCCGCCATTGGATGTCTTCAGAGAAGTTGGCCAGGCTATTCTCGTCTGCCTAGAAGCCATGAACGTCTTCCGGGTTGTGCGCGATGCGGTATGTATGCTCGGGTAAGATAGCGTATTAACCATCGTGTTGACAAGTTTCCTATAGACACGCTTCGCCTTCGCTCGGATCCTCGCCACGACAGGATCCAACGTGGCGCAGCTCATCCCGACGCTCATGGCGAACCTCCTGGCGCATTTCGAACCGACGGAGCTGATTGACTTCATGAACTTTATCGGGCTCTCTATCCACAAGCTGCAGGAAGACATGTCGGACGTCCTCGACCAGCTTGTCGGCCCGCTGAGTGCGCACATCAATGGCATCCTAGCGCAACCTGTCACGGGTACGGACGACCAGGTTACGCAAGTCGATACCAAGCGTGCATACCTCGGCCTTCTCATCAGTATCCTCTCTTCCAAGCTCCATGCCGTGTTCATCTCTGATCGTGAGTCTACCTGTAATACTAAGGGTCTTGCCTCACGCAGCGTCTGATCACGTATTTCAGGTAACAAAGGTCAGCTAGAGGTCTTGCTGGAGAGCATGCTGCGCTTGGCAGAGGATCCTTCGGATCTTGTAAGTGAGAAAGCTGCATTCCAATTTCTCGGCCGCTGTGTCTCCGTCTGGGCCGAGCCGCCAAAGGCTCCTGGTGCACAACAGATCCTGCCTGGATTTGAGCGCTTCGTGTACGAGCGCATGGTCCCAAGCGCCTTCGCCGTCCTCTCTTTGCCACAGTTCAACATCAAGGACGGACAGATCGTTGTTGTAAGTTTGCCTAATCATGCTCTATAGACAAGCTTCACTGATCTCCCACGAAGGTTCTCCAGGAAATTGCCAACTTCCTGCAAACTGTCTCGAGGACGCGCGGGCAGGAGGCTTTCGACTTCTTCGTCTCGGTCTTCCTCCCGTCCCAGAACTGGCCGCAGCCCACTGCGGTCGAGTTTGCGACGAAGATGCGCGACCTCGACGGGAAGGCGTTCCGAAAATATTTCACCGATTTCGTACGTGCCTCTCGCGCAGGCTCATGAGGTCCAACATCCCTGGCACCTCTGCGACGACAGCCGTCACTCGATATCCAACGTATTTTTATGTCATGTCTCGTCTCACGTCACTCCACATTACGCGCTACGCACTCCTCACTGCTGTCTACTAGTGCATACATTACCCGTTGTCGCCTGCCTATCTAAACTCACAAATCTGTCGCAACGTTATTGCATTTCTCCGTTGTTCTTCGCCGGCCTCATGATCCGTTGCAATCAGTAACACCACTGTATCAACCACCCCCATTGTACCTATGCAAGCCCTCTGTCCGTAATACTGTAGTTGCTAGTGATAGTTGCTCGCTAGAGGAAAGAGACTAAGATTAGCCCCCTGTATGCACGCATCCTGAGCCTCATCATCATCCATCAAGATCTTAGGGAGAATCTCTGAGGCGCTAATTCTGCATGCGTCTTCGGAACCGGCGCTAGGCCGCCTGAGTCTTACCGCAGCCTTAGTTCAGCCACTCCCCTGTACCTTGTCTCTATTCCCTGTTCTGCAGCTCTTTGGCTCACGAAGGATCCCATCATGGCTGCGGGTATGTGCTACTCAGAATAAACGCATGCAGAACCCGAACCGACGTTGTGCTTCAAAGTTCCGCGAATGAGAGGGGGCAAGACTCGAATTGTGAGGCGATCTATAATGACAGTAAGAGGTGATCTTGTCTGACCACACACGACAGAAACCCGCGCGCAAGGTACGGTGTGTCCTGCAGCATGAACAGCATCCGGTGCGCTCTCTGACCGCCCGGCGAATTCCTGCTGCCTGTCTGTTTGTTGCCTTTACTCAGCATGGGCCGGACGTCTCCGTGGACGAGACTTGGGCGAAGCTGTCCCAGAACATCATCGAGATTCAGAATCACAATGCTGCGAACCTCTCGTTCGAAGAGAACCATCGCTATGCGTACAACATGGTCCTGTACAAGAACGGCGACAAGCTGTACAAGGGCTCGACGCAGCTCGTGGCGGAGAATCTCGACAAGCTTGCAAAGGAGTACATCATCCCCGCCTTTCCGACAGGCGTCATAGAGGACGCGGTGCAGAAGGCCCAAGAGAGCGAGAGGTTGCTGAAGGCGCTGAAGAAGGTCTGGGATGACCATGTGTCGAGTCTGTCAAAGCTACGGGACGTGCTGAGGTACATGGTGAGTGATGCCTTTCTCCTGATCGGAAGAATGCACACGAAGACGTCTGCGCATGTGTTTGTGTCTCAGGATCGCGTTTATACTAAGAACGCTGACGTCCCTCCAATATGGGATGCCGGTCTTATACTGTTCATCAAGCATATCGTCAAGAACCCGATCGAGGACTATGTCATCTCCGCCATCCTCACCCTCATTCAGACCGAGCGTGACGGCTTCACGATCAACCGCTCATCTGTCAAAGGGTGCGTCGACGTCTTTCTCCAGTTGGAAGACACTTCAAGGCGAGAGCCGCTGTCGATATACCGCCGCGACATCGAGCCGGCTGTGCTGAGGGAGAGTGAAGTGTTTTACAAGAAAGAGGGAGAGCGTCTGCTAGAGACGTGCGATGCGCCGGAGTACTTGCGACGAGTGAGTGTCCGTACATATGTTGCTCTGGACGTTTTTGATCGTAGGCAGGTGGAGGCGCGCTTCCATGAAGAAGAGTCCCGGACACATCACATTCTTTCTACGCTAACAACTCTCCCACTGCAAAGGATACTTGAGCAGCATCTGGTTACGCCGCATTTATCGACTGTCATCAACATGCCAAACTCGGGTCTGGACGCCATGATTGATTCGGAGAAAGTAGACGACCTTGCGCGCCTGTACCGTCTCTTCACCAAAGTCTCTGCTGGTATCCCTTGTTTGCGGAAGTCGCTACGAGAAACAGTCATCCGCAGAGGAAAGGAGATTAACGAGTCGAGCAGTGCCGCAGGTGGGGAAGGCGCAGACTCGGGGGAGGAGAACGGCGGCGCGGCGTCAGCAAGAGGCAAAGGCAAGGCCAAGGCGCGTCCACCAAACGCGGCTTCGCAAACACTTTCGCTAGCCCTCAAGTGGGTGCAGGACGTGCTCGACCTCAAGGACAGGTTTGACAGAATTTGGTTAAAGGCGTTCCAGAGCGACCGCGACCTCGAGAGCAGCATGAACGAGGTATGCTGACTTGTTCTGGGTCTCGCTCGTGTCGCTCACAGTATATAGGCATTCGAGACGTTCATCAACCTCAATGAGAAAGCGCCAGAGTTCATATCTCTGTTCATCGACGAGAACCTGAAGAAGGGTCTCAAGGGGGTATGTAGCGTGCACATACGCTCGGCAGTCTTCTTGCTCACCTCTGTTGCAGAAATCCGAAACCGAAGTCGACGCTGTGTTGGACAAGACGATCACTGTCTTCCGCTACATCACGGACAAAGACGTGTTTGAACGGTATTACAAGGGCCACCTTGCCAAGCGTCTACTGCTTGGCCGATCCGTCTCGGACGATGCGGAACGTGGCATGCTCGGGAAGCTCAAGATCGAATGCGGATACCAGTTCACGCAGAAGTTGGAGGGCATGTTCCACGACATGAAGCTCTCAAGTGACACCATGGCGGCGTATCGAGATCATCTTGCGAAGAATGCAGTGGTACGCTGTCTGATCCTCGTTCTGCCTAGGGTTCCTTCACTTACTATGCAACAGCATGAGGACATCGAGATGTCTGTCATCGTTATGACCTCGACCTTCTGGCCTATGTCCCATACCGCTGTGCCATGTACCTTCCCGGAGGAGCTCATCAAGGCCGCCAAATCTTTCGAGCGCTTCTACCTATCCCGCCACAGTGGCCGTCGTCTTACATGGCAGCCCTCTCTTGGTAATGCGGACGTACGCGTACAGTTCAGGTCGAGACAACACGACTTGAACGTGTCTACGTTTGCTCTGGTTATTCTACTGCTCTTCGAGAACATTATCGATGACCAGTTCCTCACCTACGAGGTAGGATTCGACGTACAGCTCATTGAGACAGTGGTTGATTGGCGCCGCTCATGACAGGAAATCAAGTCTGCGACGTCAATCCAGGATGTCGAGCTGAGGCGACAACTGCAGTCGCTCGCGTGCGCGAAATACAAGATCCTGAAAAAGCACCCACCAGGACGTGACATCATCCCGACGGACTCGTTCTCTTTTAACGTCGACTTCTCAGCGCCGCTGCAGAAGATCAAGATCAGCACCATTGCGTCGCGTGTAGAGAACACGGAGGAGCGCAAGGAGACGAAGGATCGTATCGACGAGGAGCGGCGCCATCAAACCGAGGTGCGTTGCGGATTCCATACGGTCAGGCTCCTTCTGTATCGCTGACGCCGCTTTCGTCCTAGGCGTGCATCGTCCGTATTATGAAGGACAGGAAACATATGACACACAACGACCTCATCAACGAGGTGACGCGCCAGCTAGCGAGCCGGTTCCAGCCAAATCCCGTTAATATCAAGAAGCGTATAGAAGGTCTAATTGAGGTGGGACTCGGGCCCGTCGTTGCCCTTTTTTATATACCAACTGACACCGTCTAGCGCGAATATTTGGAGAGGTGCGAGGACCGCAAATCGTACAATTACCTAGTACGTTGCTCTTTCCACTTTGTCATGCTTTGCCCGCTGATGCAGGGAACCCAGGCATGAACCAGCGCATGTATCAATACCTGTATCATCTGTGTATCATTGTTGTCTTGCTCTGACAATCCATCCTCTGTTGTACTGCTCTGGAGCGGCTCAAATGAGCGTGGAGGCGACCGTCGACGTTGCGAACGTCAGGTGTGCCCGCTTCCCGCGGTGGAATCCTGTCGATCTGCAGCAGTTTGAAAGCGTGGATACCCTCAGCGAGTCAAGCTGAGCAGTGTGCGCAAGGAGCACAGTGAGTACGTCATCTTGTTTGACCTTTACCTGGGCAACGAGACTGCTTATTTGTAGTGTCGTCAGATGCAAAGGCCTCCGAAGTAAGCCATCAGCTATCAGCGTCGACTACCTATGGGTGGAGCCTCTTAACCGAAAGAAGTGTAGGTCCTTGGGAGGTTGAATGTTGGTACGGCATCAATTACCTCCCACTGATCCAGGCGAAGGAAGACGAGGAGGGCTGCTGGTTCAAGGAGGATAGGCGATGGTCCGTAATACCCGACAGGATCGGACAGGAAGGTGAATCAGTGACTGGAGTACTGAAGGTAAGGATGTTCTTGGAGCAGTTCGCAGAACGAGTGGAGTCCTCATACATTCGGACCGGCAAATGTGAAAGAGGTAGTAGCGACTGCAGAGTAGAGGTCAGTGGCCGGCAAGGGACAGCTGTTGTAGCATCTCTTGATTGCAAGTACAGTGACCTAGGACGCGTCACAAGACTTGCACGGGAACAGTGGGTGACATGTCGAGTACTATCACTGACAATCAGCGACGCAGACCATGACAGGTGCAACCCTGCAAGTGCTAGTGCCTATTTCCTAACCTTGTCTGTTACAGAGGAGAGTCTACAAGGAGTTACATGGACTTGACGAGACCGAAACCCTCTGCGCATGCTCCTGAGTCCCGCGCCGAGGTCGGGAGAAGGTGCCAAATCGAGTGCGACTACATACTTACTTATGGGTATACTGGTCGACCTGAGGCTTGCGCGGAGACGCGTGTCACGTGCAGTACACATGGGGTCACGCGTTGCGCGTCACCACTGCCTCCGTACCAAGCGCCGATGCCGCAGCAGTAGATTACCGCGATCGGTCCAGTCTCCCTTGTTCCACTCCAACTATGTACTCCTCGCCCAACTCCTATGGCTCTCCGCCTCCAGAACTCTCGAATAACCCTTTCATTGACCATGCCGCAAATGCCATGACCCGCTACCCAGACATCACAGGTACTGACGACCCCACCAATGCCCAGTATACCTCCTGGATGAACCGCCCCTCTACGTCGTCTCTGAACACAAACGTTTCCGGCTTTTACGGTTCCCATCCTCTCATATCTCCACAAGGCTACGGTGGTGCATCCGGATACCAGCCTCAACCACAAGCCACCGGATGGGGTCAGGGTTCGGGCTTCGCACAACCACAGCAGCAGCAGCCGTACGGCCAGGCGTACGCTACACCTCCGATGCAGCAACAGCCCTCCGGGATGCCGTTCCAACCATCGAGCTCGTTCGGCCAGCAGCTGCAAGCCCATGTCAACGGCGCGTACGGGCAGCAGCCACAGCAGCAGCCCCAGTACTCGGGCTACGCGCAATCCCAGTCCTACGGACAGGGATACCAGCAGGGGTATCCTGGCCAGCAGCAGCAGCAGCAGCCACAGCAATATCTGGCGGAGTTCGACCCCTACGCGCAGCAGTCCCAGGGCCAGAACCCTGCGCTGACCCCTGGCGGAGGCGGAGGCGCGCCGCCACCGTCTGCGTCGGGCTTCCAGAGACAGCATCCGCGCCAGTACGTGCAGCAGCATAAGGCCGAGCTCGAGACGTGGGACTCGTACTCGTGGAAGCAGGTGAGTGGCTCTACTTTTAGCACAGTAACCGAAATGGATCTCAAGATCGTATGGTGCCCTCAGGCGCAGAATACGTTCGACGAGTTGAAGCAGGCCTGGGAGGCACGGAAAGGCGAGCTCGAGGCACGCCTGCAGGCACTCGGCGGCGCGGGGCTGTTCGGCGGCGGGGGAGGCTATGGCCCCGGCGGGATGTACGGCGGCAACCCTGCGCAGCAGTATGCCCAACTGGAGAAGGTCCGTCACTTCGCCGGCGTGCATTTCGTGTCTGAGGCGCTGACGGGCTGTTCGGTAGATGGTCAAGGATGCAACGCTGAACATCGGTACGTATTGGCATGTTCTTTCACCGCAATCCGACGAAACGATGGGAGAGTACTCGCCGCCGCTCACACTCCTTGCCAGATACCGTTGCGGCGTCATCGTTCCAGATGTCCGAAGTCTTCTCGGGGTACCGCCAGTCCAGCGACGTCGCGTCGAAGCGGCGAGTGCGCGAGGCTATCAATGCGGCGCTCACTAGCCTCCCAGACTGGCCGCAGCCATTGATGTTCTGAGGCCTGATGGCCTGACGACGTGAGAACCGGTGACTCGACCAAGTCTCGTACCCTTAGCCATTGTGACGCGCAGGAATCAATCCTGCGACCCATGCAAACAAGTAGGTTGTGTCGTAAAGGTATTTCTCTGTTCGGACACTCGGGATGTCTTGTACACGTGCTCTCTAGACTCGCAGGGTTCGATGTAGTCACAAATTGTTGTATGTATCTCTTACCATGGACTGTGGGCTTGGACAGCTCAACACTGCTTCATCAACTTCGCGATCCGCCGCTTTACGCTTCCGCTCAATCCAGCTCTCCTCGATAAGCATACGGATGCTATATAAATCGGTAGACCTACCGCCCTGCACACCATACATATAACGAATGCGGTCGTCAGCAACAAGAGAGACGTAAGTAATTATAATGTCCGTAACGCTACACAGATAATCATCAACCTCGGAGTCCACCCCCAGCCAGCACTAACATCCTATGCACAGCGATGTCGACAGCATGGACGACAAACAAGCGGTGAGTTTTCAGGAGGAAAGAGCCGCCACTATGCGGCTACGGGAGCGTAAGGAACCGCTGGAGCAGCTGCTGGAATTTGACGGTGCCGAGACCAGTGACAGGATCCCAGCCAGCGGCGGTGGGAAAACCATCCGTGCCGCACCCGGGATTCGTGCCGTTCGTGATGTCGTTGAACACGCCCGCGAACATATGCGAGTAGAGCTACGAACCCATCCCTGTTCGTCAGCGCCCCTTGCTCTTCCCAAAGTCATAAGAAGGAACGTACCGCAGGGTTCATCCACCCGACCGGGCCCTTGCCCGCCGCGAGGCGCGCGTCGTTCACCGCGGCGACCATCGCGGCGAAGATGGGCGTCGACGCGCTCGTCCCGCCGCTCAGCGTGAAGTTCCCGTCGATGACGACCGCAGTCGGGAACCCGTTTGCGGCGACGTCCGGGACCCCGCGCCCGGAGCGGTTGAACACGTCCCCGGCGTAGCCCAGCGAGCCGCCGACCTTGCTCAGGTACCCGCCGACGGCGCGCTTCTGCCACTTCGGGCGGGGGAACACGTTCGAGAAGCCGCCCCCGGAGCCGAACGAGCTCGTCGCGCTCTCGACGTCGCGCGCACTCTTGCCCGCGTCGACCTGCGTGGAGCCGACGGCAGTGACGTACGGGCACGTCGCGGGGAAGTTGGGGAGGAAGGCGCCGGGGGCGTCCGCGGCGGTGCCGTTAGGGAGGAGGCAGAGGTTCGCCGAGTTGGACGCGACGCCGTTGTCGCCCGAGGCGAAGAGGAAGGTCATGCCCGCGAGCGCGAGCTTGCCGAACTCGGTGCACTGGCGCTGCATGTAGTGCACGTCGTCGTCCTCCGCGCCGGCGTACGAGACGGAGTAGACGAACGCGGGCGCCTTGGTGCCGCAGTCCTCCTTGACGCCGCTGGGGACGACGTCCTCGGAGGGGTCGTCGCCGCCGTCGAAGGTGCAGTAGGCGCCGTCGACGGCGTCGAGCAGGAGGTTGAACGAGCCGCTGCCGCCGACCTGGAAGAGGGAGACTTGCTGCTCCTTGCCGAGCAGCGGCATGATGAGCTGGAAGTCGAGGTTGGACTCGCCGATGATGCCCTCGTCCGTCTCCGTGAAGTCGACGTTGCCCCCGTCGATGCTGACGAGTGTGGGCTGGACACCGACCAGCTCCGGGGCGAATTTCTTGAAGAAGACATCCAGGTCCTTTGCGACGTATGTCTGGTCGGCGAGCTCAACTGCATGGCGAAAGGTAAGTAGATGGAGTAAATCCCGTGGGATCTGAGACTTACCAACGCCAACCTTATTCTTGTCCGTCGCCACGAAGGTGTAATTGAAGCCATATAGCTCCCGCAAACAATCAGGCGTCACCTGTTGGTCGCAATTGGTCGCATCCGCTGTGAGTGCCTATCAAGCGATTCATGACATTAGCGTCAACCAAAAGACAGGTCTTCTCCCGGGGCGAAGCCGGCATCAAGCTACGCTACTCACCTCAGCGGCAACAGGGGTCTTGGGAGGCCCATGAGGCCGGGGCATGTTCTTCTTCGCCGGCGAGGCGCCTCCACGCTTCGCGAGCGCCGCGCCGAGCTTGATACCACCAAACTGGACGGTGGGAGACACCAAGTCGACGTGCGAGGAGACGTGCTCCGGTAGGTGGTAGCCATGGTGGCAGGCAAGGTGCTCGACGCCGCTGTCGTCGTGCTGGTACACGTAGTATTCCGTGGCGAGCAGGCTCTCCGCCTCCGCCACCGTCACGTTCAGCTGCAGGTACGCGCGGTCCTTGGTGAACTGGATGCGGGAGCCGTCGACGCCGTCGTGGACGAGCCATGTGCGGACGGCGTCCACGGACTCCTTGGACGGCCGAAATGTCTGTGCGACGCGTGCGGGTGTCCAGTGCTGGCCGTACTTGGGGGAGGTGGGGTCTGCGATCTCGAGCAGGTAGTCGTCGAGGTTGTCGAGGTTGGACTGCCGAAGGGCGATGCTGAGGGGAATGACTGTATCTGGGTCAGCGCGACGGTGAAGAGACCATCCCTGCGGGACGGCGCTGCGACGCTCGTGAAGGATACGCCGCGAAAGAAGGGGGCTCGTTGATGTGCTGGCTACGCCTGCCACAGCACTCACGAGACCAATAAATAGGTTGAAAGAAGAAAGCAAAACCATCAGGGAGGCACAACGAACGTACGGAGGGAAGGCCACCCAGATGACGAGTGGAATGGGACTGAAAGAGCGTACGCCAGTACATGATATATAGGACCTGGATTTGCGATCCGCATACGCACACGCAGCGCACAGCCGAGACGCGCCGAGCTATGCAGGATGATAGCGAGAACCCCGAGATGGACAGGTTTTATGTCTCAAGCGAAAGGGTCGTTCCGCCCACGCCGAGCGATGCGCTGTCAGCCAGAGCCCTGCCCGAGCTCTGCATGAGGCACTGGCCGATCAACGACGCCGTCGGCGGTAGGTAATAGTCTTTCTCGTCACGTCCAAACACCGCCCAAGATCGAGTTGACAGGTCCATCAACTTCCGAGACCACAGCGACCATAGCAACGTAGGCTCCTTGGGGCGGTTATTAGGGGTAGTCAAAGATGGCGATTCGGTGGACGATTCGAGGGAACGATTCGGGAGACGATTCGAGAAGGGGGGAATCCGCGATTCTGGCAGAATCGCGTCGAATCGCCGGTGCGAGTCTGGAGGAGCACCGCCCACCCGAATCGCGATTCTCTGCACTCGATTCCCTCAGCCCAACCTCGGATAAGCCCTCTTAAAATAGGTTATATGTCCAAATTTTATTGGGGTTTGTCTTAGCACGTCTTACGAGCGACCATGGCCCTACTGCAAGCTTGCCGCTTCTCTACTTTTATCAGAATTGCCGGTCTACAGATTCCCTCCACCTTGAAATGTCCGATCAGACCGAAAACCCTACTTTCAGAAAGTCTGGCCGTCTCACTTGGCAACCTTCTGCTGGCTCTGGCACGAAGACCGGGAATCAAGTGCGCCGTGTGTCTTGTTGATGAAATGGATATATTTTCTCTGAGGTCCCAAGAGCTGTAACGAAGCATAGTAGGGGGAAGAGCAACGCGGCACACGGAGAGGTACCATCACGCGAGGATTACCTGATTTTGATATCACAGACGCCCGAAGGCCTGACCGACTCAAGAATCTGCCCTGGAGTCGACCCGTAGAAACGTGGGGTGGTCAAAGTGCCCACACGAATCCAGGACGATTCCCTTTGACAGAATCGCTGCAGAATCGCTCGACGAACCGTCCTCCGAACCGCCATCTTTGACTACCCCTATTGACGGAGCTGTGCTCGAGAACGCGACCCCTTTGCTGTGCGGTACAGGCACGTCCGAAGTACATGCACGTGCATCAGGTAAACATCTGCAGAGTAGACCTCAACACATCAATGGAACATGCTCAAGGGCGAGGGCGGGATAACTCAATCTAACTTGTCAACATATACTAAGCTTGGTCTAGAGGCCTCTTCTGTCAGAATCCTCTCCTGTGCACCGCGAACGAAGCGTGCCGTAGGATGACATCTTGCTTTACGGAATCAGTGAAATCCCAGCCGGGGTGCGGTGTTCCAGCTATGATGGTGAGCCAAGTGGAGAGCAAGTAACGAGGTGGGGGGTCTCAGGCGAGGTTGAATCACCGCGTTTCACGCCTTCCTGGTTGAGTCGTGAGTATCTCGGGGATTATGAAAGAGATACTTACACCTACATAGTTGTGTGCATGTGAAGAAGTAGACGACGGGCGGGTGGACACGAATAGGTACAAACCGATGACTCGGTCATGTGTACTACGCGTCCCAAGCGCGACGATGATGCTCGCGCCCTAAAGAGGACATATGATTAGCTTTGTGTGTATCATGGACTTACATCTGTTTGATCTTCGACTCTGTGGCCTCATCGCGTTCTATGAGTATCCTCAGCTAGCTGAACTACTACAAGCTGTACTGGACGGTCCCCTCGCACCTTGGTATACCCCAAGACCCTTCCGAAATTTTACCAAGAGCATCGATATCGACCTCTGCGCGTGCCTCCGTCTCTCTCCGTCTTCCCTTTATTACTAGCTTGAGCTATGGCGACAAATACTCATACTGGGGATTGCGCTATACCACCTCGCCTCGAATTACGGTGCAACACCCTTTGCACTTGTCAAGCATGCGCTCAGGTCGACCCCAGGGGCCAGTGGATCCCAGCAAGTACGGCCGCGGACCATCGTAGACGAGAGCGCATGATGGGCTCTGAAATTTCGAAACGTATAGGCGCGGGCGGGTCCGAGCATCGGCATCCCGCGGTCGGGGAACTACATTAATCACGAGGTGTTCGTGGTCGTCCACCGGCGCCCACGCGGTTCGGAGCAGATTCCAGCCTCCGGTTCGATATACCTCTGAAGCGCGTTCGCACACCGTCCCCCGTCAACGCACAATGGAGGGATGCAGCACGCGAGTCTCAAATTACGGGACGCGAGGAAGTGAGGCAAGATGTCGACTACGCTGTGGAAGGGGGCCTCGGCCGGGAAGGAGTTCGAGTCGATGACTGGCAAGAGATGCCCACTGCCACGGCGGTAAGCTATATGCGTCGTCATCACAATCGCCGGCCTTTTTTATTTCCTTTTTGCTGACAAGCTCATGTCTTAGGGTAATTTTGACGGCGTGGACAGTGTTTTCGCTAGGGAAGATGCGCAGATGCGCCTCACTAGCCCCACGACGGCGCAGTCATCTGGTCCCGAGGACACGCGCACCTAGCGCAACCACTCCGACGCTCAGCTGAGGACCCTTGTCAGCCTGCCCGTTCTCTTGGTATTCATGACGACCCGGACGATCTCGACGCTCTATAGCTCCTTGCAGAGGAACGTCTCCGACCCGTCTAGCCGGAGGAGTCGCCCAAAGAATGTCATCGTCAATTTGATCAGGGCAAGCTTAGTGCCTGCCGAACCCTCCTCCAACCACACCGAGCCTGGTTGTATGCATGCGACATATAGTTAGGCGATGGTGTGTACTTGGCTTGCAACAAAATGTGTGGCGTTGAACTAGAATTGCGGGAGCGCGTAGACTGCTATACATTTACAGAGACATTCTCGAAGGGTTGTAGGAAAGATCCATCCGTTGAGATCCAGATTACTATGCATAGTACAATCGCAGAAACCAAAGAAAACGAAGCGTGAATGAAAGTTGAGGATGTAGTTCGCGCCAAAATCGACGCCTATGGGCACTGGGCTGTTTACTTCCCAGTGAGTTGCCTGACTTTGGCCTGGCGCTCACGCTGTACGAACATAGATGAGAACGTTTTTTACAGGACTGATATTGAAGAATGACTTACGTCGTCGACGGCCTTCTGGGCTCTGAGCCATTCCACCTCCCTATTCTTTTCCTGCAACATTTCGGTCGTCTCCCTCGCATGAGCTCGTGACGCTTCGCGAGCGTCCTCCTGAGCCTGCAAGTCTGCTTGTGCGCGCTCGTATTTCGCACGAGCAGCGAAGAACTCGAGCTCGGTCTTGCGAAACTCCTTGAGAACCTTCGAGTACGCCGCATACGCTTTACTCTCCTCCTACACTCACGGCCGCAAGTCAGCACACCGTAGACGCTGCTGAGACGAAGAAAGAACGTACCTTCACAGCAGCCTTCTGCATCTTCTGCAAGTCCGCCAACTCCCTAAGCGCCTCATCGATCGCCTTCTGCTCCGCCTTGCCCTCCGCCTTGATGATCTTCGCCACCTTCTTGCCCTCCTTGAGCTGCGACTTGCTCAGCTTCACCCGCTGCCGCTCGCTCAGCCCCGCGTCCGCGCTCTGGCTGCGCGAGTGGAACGTCTCGTCGAAGTGCGGCGTCGCCGACGGGCCCACGGTCCCTGCCCCGCTCGCGAAGCTGCCCTGGATGAGGCTCGTCCGCCGCCTCCGCACGCCCGGGGAGCCCCCGATGCTCGGGGCCGTCCTGATGCTCCCGCGCTCGTCGCGCTCACGTTCTCCAACGGTGCTCGTGTGGAACGAGCGCAGCGACGACGCACGCCGGAACGGGCTTGCCCTCGACGGCCGCTCGCCATCGTGATCCGCCAGAGATCTGTCACGTGCGCTTGGGGAGTCGGTCCAGAGGACAGGGATGGGGGCGATGCTGCCTTGCGACGCCGATGCGCGGGAGTGCGAACGCTTGGCAAGACCCCCAGCGCCGCCTGAGACGTAGCCAGAGTCGGTTGTGACGCCGGCCGAGGACGCACGGCGATGGGAGCGGTTGTGCTGTTCGGGCTCGTACTCGGGTTCTTCCTCCTCGTCGCCGTCCGCGGGGGCTTTCTTGATGATCGGGTCGCGCGGCACCGCGATGAACGGCTTGCGCTTCACGTCTGCGCCACCGTCCTCGTTATGGTCCTGGTTCTGGTTGAGCTGGAGGTGGTCTTCGTCGTCGCCGAACGCGCCGGGGAGGTCGTGGTGGGAGCGGCTGGCAGGCGGGAGGCCTTCCGTGAACTTCGACTCGGAGTTCATGGCAGATGCGTCAAAGTATATGCTGCGTTCGCTGGCGGGGGTGTAATCTATGGCAGTCGGTGTCGTTTGAACCAAGTTCATCCTCGCGAAGTCCTCGAGGCTTTGACTGACCAGAGGTGCTGAGTCGGGGCTTGTCGCTGCGAGAGATGGAGCAACAGCGAAGGCACATTCGTGAGATTGGTAGTGATGTGGAAAGCGGCTGGTAGAATTTGGGCGAACGAGTGGAAATGCCTCGATGATTTATGTGCTTGCAGGCGAGTGGAGCGCGGCTTGCGTCCTTGGACCAAGCCTTACCTTGTATGGTAAGCCACATGCCTGACAGGTGTATGACGTAACGAATGTCGCCGTAGGCGCTGGTACATGCCAGTCCAGCGAATCGAGCGATGCCCCAGTCGGGGCTCGGCTTAAGTAGAGTCCAGCGGGTGCAGTGCGGATCAGAGATGTGCTTGACCAGAAAGAGGCTCGATCGAGGATGCTTGCTAGTCGACCGCACTTGCTAGCACCACCGACGTTGGGGCCTGCAGACATCTATGTCATGACTCAGCTTGCAGCCTCATGGATCGCACGTACCGCAAACGCGTGTTGATGCAGTACAGCCTGTACCACCCTTTCAGAAGAAATGAAGGTCCATTGCCGTCCAGAACGCGTGAGATTACATGCCAAGAACAACAAGCCAGAAATTGAATGACGCATGGATGATACGACGTCTGCTGAGAATCCTCAACGATATCCTTTTCGTGATCCGCCAAAGTATCGCACCGCGATACATATGGGAAATACCAGTGATGATACATTGATGATACTGGCACGCAAGACCTTTCTCTGCAGTGGACGTCAACTTGCATACGCAGTCGACACAAAAGACTACGTACGGTGCGCACTCCATGGGAAGAAGGCGTATCACCCATGACAATCTTCCGAATCCTGATCTCGTCACTTCCTTGCAGGTGTTTTCGTCAGGGTCCAGCGTTCGTCCAACATACCACACTGCACAGCACTACGTCCGACCGGTGTAAGCACATACTTACGTTACAGGCGGTGCCCCGCTTGGGCGGCTTCGTGCGGCAGGCTGGGCTAAGGACTAAGAGCTCGAGGGTGCGGCGGACCGGCTCTATACACGATGCTGCAGCTTGCGAGAGATGGTGAAAGTAGAAGGTATGTAGCGTCGGCGGAAATACATACCGAGGCGGCAGAGTGGCAGACACAGAGATTGGATAAGGGGGGCATGTCATGAAGTGCTCTGAGCGCGACCAGCACGGCTCGAAACTGTGAGTCCATACTCACTGCTCTTGGCTCATGATCCTTCTCTGCATCAGTAGATGTACCCAGGGTTTTGCAAATGCCTCGCCATGACGGACATGGAGGTGATGCCAGTATAGTATGACGGTCTGATCACACGTTCGTCCCGCTGCAGCTGGCCGCGTGGCCTGTAATCTGTAGGTGCAGCGCGTCCACAGCTTCTGGTGAGCGGTGCCGGTGATGCAGCGAAGGCCATACATAATAAATAGCTTTGGATGCGTGCACGTAGGCCGCATGCGTTGCAGAGCGTGCGGGAACCTTTCGGGTGAGTGAGGAAAGCAATATGTTTATTTTTAGCGAGTTTCCGACGATGAACAGGCGCTCCGCATGCAGCCACCAAACATGCTCTTTGAAGGGCGCCGGCGGGTCGAAAGGCCCGCTGACTATCTATGATCGGCGTGCCAAGACCGCGGGATTCTCTCCTCCGACATGTTCAATCAAGGAAGCCGTCCGACGCGTTACCCTTGTGAGGTGGTGACGACCATGAACGACCATGAAACATGCAGGTGGGGAACTATCGGTCATCCAATTGTACTGACAACCGCACAGATGATCCGGGAACCCTTCGGCGTGCTTTTGCGGTTGGCCTGGTTGCGTAGGTAGGCGGAACCGATGTATGTATCCTAATGCCAAGAGTCTGCTGGGACGACGTTTGAGATCTGCGGCGAGACAGAACCCCATCTCTGTTGTACGCTATCAACCTGTGGTGAACGAGGAAGGGGAGGCCAAACGAGCGGGGAGCGTCCGTACAACGTCGAGATGATAGACTGAACTCACCAAAACCGTGGGTAACCTGAAGTTTAGGACTATCCTAACACCTGCACAGCTTTGTTGCGGTCGTCTCGTCTTCAGCAGTCTAGCCTTTTCCGGTGAGGCCTGTTCCCCCGTGTCATCCTACTTATACTGCTTCTTGCTCTACCATGCGTATCCACCATGTGTATCGATTCTCATCAAGGCGAGTCGATGCCGCCGATCAGCTGTCATCTCACATACATTCTGCTACAGTATATAAGAGCGGCTTCGCCAACCTGCTCAAACCATCCTTCTTGAACTTACGTTCTTTTCCCGTTTAGCCTTCCCCCTTCCCCTAGTTCCAGCCCCATTATCTCCCATAGTCAGCCATGAAGTTCGCCTTTGCTTTCACCGCCCTCGCCGCTGTGGCCGCCAACGCTGCAACCATCTCCATCGACAAGCGTACCGGCAGCGAGTGTGCCGGCGCCCGCAAGAGCTTGTTCGCCTACGAGCGTCCGTTCGTCGGCAACCTCTACGAGGAATGCAACTGGTCTTTCGGCACCGACCAGGACCAGACCAAGCTGAACCCCTGGAACAGGAAGATCTGTGTCGCGGCCGCGGTCGTCGCCGGCGTACGTATTGATTGCTGTCCGTTTCTCCCGGACGGCCGCTGACCTTGGTGTACTGTGCTGCAGCTGCCGAACTTCCACGACGGTCTCATCTGTAACTCGGTCGGCGCGAACAGCACCGATATCCCGCTTCCCGCCTACTCGAAGTGGCCCAACCTGGACTACAACGTCTACGCCGACATCGTCGGCGAGTGCGCGTGGGCCTCCGGCGGCTGCCCGATCACGCAACAGAACTTCATCGACCTCGTCTACAGCGCTATCTCGCAGGAGACCGCCGACACGCCCGTCTACCCTGAGTGCGTATTTCTTCCTTCAGACTTGCTCTTGTGGTCGTAGCGAACGAGCCGTCGTGCTAACGGTGGCGTACCAGCTCCGCGGACACGCTCATCAAGTACTACCTGAAGCCCATATTCGACTGGACGGCCTTCTCCCCCGACGCCGGCATCCCATACACCAACTTCAACGACTGTGAGCCTTGCGTCTTCTTGTCTGCCAGCGTCCTCCCAATTAGCAGGACTAATCCCCGTAATTTTCTCTTCCAGGGCTCCACTACTCGGGCCAGGTCAACCACTGCGTCCCGAACACTGGCGAGTGCGATTCACAGTCCCGCCGGGTTCCTGCATCATCGCCCCAAACACTTATAAGTGCTAGTCTCCTTGACCGTCCATGGCTTTTTATGCCCGTGGTCGGTCGTGTCGCTCATTGTGTATCTTCGTGGACTTGGGGTCTTGAACTAGATATTTTGCATCTTAATTGAATGGTTCATACGGTCTAGGGGCTTGGGCGTGGCCATACACACTCGAGTTCTCAATCTCCGGGAATGATCTGTAGATTCCCCGGAGCACTGGTACGGTTGTGACACTGGCATTGCTTTCGTTATTGGACGGCCTGGCACTTTCGAGTGCTCGTCACCCTATGTCACCCAATCATCATGGATAAGGTTGAAGATGATCCTCAAGGAGAATATCCCCACGCAAGAGCGTGGGTAACGAAAAACTTACGAGTAACTTGCCTGCATCGCGGCGACACTATGTCTACTCCAACCCTTTCTCTTCGTTTTCCAGAAGCATCTCCAAGTCCTGATTCCTGTGTATGATGCCTTAACGACTTCGTTCTCGTGCCATTTATTCCCAATCAAATTCGGCTCCACACCCCGAGATTACGACCCGGTGAGGCCTGTACACGAGACTGTGACTTGCGTAGAGAGACGTTGAATGCATGCGAAACCGGGGTGGAAAGGAGGGAGGTATCGGGCTCTGAAGAGAACGGCAAAGGCGACATTGGTGTGGGAGGTGGTCTGTGGATCCTCAGGATTCCAAGTTTTTGAAACGGTTCACGATATGTCCTATATGACTCAATGTTTTTTAACCTAGCTATTCTCGATACTTTCCTACTTGTCCGACCTCCTACATCCGTACAGGTCTCACCTCTCAACTTTCTCGGTTGCACCGCAGCGCGTCCAGATGTCTTGCCAATATGACGTCCTCATCAGTCATTTCATGAGTGTAGTTTATCTATCGGAGGCTGGCTATGTGTCATTTCGCGAGAGAATGATCATCTTCCTCGTTGGGGGACCGCAGGAAGGATGCAACTGTTGGAATCTGGGTTTGTGCAGTCTCGTAGGTACAGGTCCCAATATGGACATGCTGAGGTAATCGTATGGTACTCATGATCGTTACGCTTGTGTCGCTTTAGCCTTTCCCTCATGCGTTGGTAAGCTCAGCCAAACGCAATACACTCTGTATTTTTTGTTCACTGGCTCCCTTGCGAACTTCAACAGCAACGGGGGTAGGAATTTTGGGAGTACAGTAAGTATAGCTTGTCTCTCCACTTCGACCGATCTTCCGAATTCGTGGACAATCAAGCTTGCAAGGGCTACAACTTCGTTACTTCGAAAGCGTGGACATACCTTAGGATAGGGACAGGTGAGTGAGCAGAGCAACATGTTCATGTTTCAGCATGTCTCCAGCGATCACTCCTCAGATGGGTGAGCTGTTGATGAGCAATGGTCATTTCGGATGATAATCGCGCGCTCCGCGTGTGGTCGGACTCGGATGCTGAAGGGTGTGACGAAGAGCCTGTTGACGAGCGTCGGTCTACAGAATCTAGCTCTCGTGGGACCTCATCTCCTCCACACCTGACCGAATGAGCGATTCGATACCATCTATGCGAAGGGATAAAGAGGGTTCAAGGGAGCGACGAGCATACATACGATGTCTAGGGCACATACCTGACCGACTGTGCTCATGATGAACGTTAACCATGGGCAACCCACTCCAGGTACGCCCAGCTCTGTCGCGACTGTCACATCTTCGTCTTCCTGTTCACCCATGTCACGCGGCAGTGCTGGTCTGGCAAACACTGCGCCTTGTTCCGTCATGCATCATTTCACATCAAGGCCAGTCGAAGCCGCTGGTCAGCTGTCAGCCATCAACGGGTAGTCGCAGCGCTATAGTGAGTATATATGTACGAGCTGCCCAAGGCATCCTTCTTGGACTTACGCCCCCCTCTCTTTTCCGTTTACACTTTTCACTGTCCCCGCAGTCCGACTTCTGTCACTTATAGCCAGTCATGAAGTTCGCCGTCGCTTTTGCTGCCTTCTCTGCTGTGGCTGCCAACGCTGCCTCGCTCGGCAAGCGTCAATCCTCTGCATGTTACGGCGCTGTGAAGGGCATGGTTGCCTACGAGCGTCCCTTCGTATACCCTCTCTTCGAGGAATGTAACTACGCTCTCGGCACCGAGCAGGCCAAGCAGAACCCTTGGACCAACAAGATCTGCGTTGCAGCCGCGGTCGTCGCCAGCGTACGTCCTAGTTTCTATCATCACAACCGGCCGGCGGTTGACCTTGGTCATGCACTATAGATGCCGGTGCTGCACGACGGTCTCGAGTGCAGCGCGGACCCCGACAACTCCACCTCGATCGTCCTTCCGCCCATCTCGCAGTGGCCGAGCCTCGACTACAACGTCTACGCCGACATTGTCGGCGAGTGCGCGTGGGCTCCCGACGGCTGCCCCATCACGCAGCAGAGCTTCATCGACCTCGTCTACGGCGCGATCTCGCAGGAGACTCGCAACACCCCCTCCTACCCCGAGTGCGTTCCTCTTCAGCTTCACAATTTCTCTCTTGTTCTTAAATTGACCATGATGCTGATGGCCGCGTACCAGCTCCGCCGAGACGCTCATCAAGTACTACCTCACTCCCGTGTTCAACTGGACGGCGTTCTCCACCGACGCCGGTATCCCGTACCTCAACTTCAACGATTGTGAGCCTTCCGCTTCCATGCTGCACAACGTTATCTCGATCCGTCTGGCTGATCCCCCCTTGTTGCTCCCAGGGCTTCACTACTCCGGTGATATCGACCATTGCCTCCCGGACTTGGGCCAGGACTGTTGAACACCTCCGGGTCGCCGGGTTTCCTGCCTGCGAACCCCTTCCTGCCCCCATATCTTCCCTGTGGACCTTTGTTGCTGCTAGTCTCTTGACCTCCCGCAGCGTTTATGCTCCTGGTTGGTCGCGTCACTCTTTAGCTATCTTCACGGACTTCGGGTGTTACAATATTCTGCACTGTAATCAGTGATTTTTTGGTTCATGCACGCGTGTCAACGGTTGACACACCGGTGAATGAACGCATAGGAGTTAGGATTGGGACATACACCGTATGTGACATGAGTACGTATGTTCCGCAGAGCAGCCACACATGACCGGTTGACCTCCGAACATTGGAGCGCAGGGCAGCTCGAACCATCTGCGATAAGCCGTCGCACAAATTGTTCGACTACTTGGTAGCCTTTGCGGGCACGACAGACGGCAAAGCCTAGAGCGCTCATGGATATTCAACACTCGCATTATCCTAATGATCGGACGTACCCTACGTCACCAAATCATAGCAATGACGCTCCAGGATGATTCCAGAGATCGAACCCGTAGAATTACCATAGAAGAGTCAACAGTACGAAAGCTAATAAGTTAGTCGCTCAAAATGACCCAACGTCTACACAAAATCTCCAACGACCTCCCTCTCATCGTCTGCCAGAAGCACCTCGTGATCCACGTACAACGCCTTCACGATCTCCTTCTCGTGCCATTTCTTCTCACCATCGACGCCCTTCGAGGGCGTCAACGTGTACGTGACCGACAGCGCGGAGAGCGCGCCGCCATAAGCATGAGAGATGCCGGTGTCGATGATGATGACCTTGCCTCCGCACCTCGAGACGATTTTCTGCAGCGCACGTCAACTGATATCCGCAGTCTCTAGACAAGACTGCGACACGCACCTGGAAGTCAGGCGTATGGCCCATGACCATCCGCCTGGTCCCGGTCTTCTGCAAGACCGCGTCGACCTCCTTGCAAACCTTCTGTTCGGGGTCCAGCGCCCATCCCCGGTACCACAGCGGTCCGTCCGAGCCATACAGGCGGTGCTCCGCCTGGGTGGCGTCGTGCGGGAGACCGGGGTAAGGGTTGGGAGGGTGCGGCGGGGGCTGCACGCGGTGCTGCAGCTTGCGCAGGAGGGACGTCGAGAGCGCGTTGATGCGCGACGGGAAGGGCGTCAGGTCAGGATAGGTAGGCGCAAGCCCGCCGTGGACGAACGAGATGGCGGCATGAGAGAGGGAAGAGCCCATCAGAGATGGATCGTAGTCCGTGTTTGGGGGTCCGAGGGAGGGGTGCAGGGGGAGGCGGGAGGTGGTGGTGTAGTTCGCGGCCCAGGCGCGGCCGATCTTCCCGGTGGAGAGCATCTTCTGGCGAGCGGGGACGGAGCTGAAGGTCTTGACCTCGGAGGGATGGACATATCTTGAAGAAGGTGAGCCGAGCATTGGTGCGCTCATGATTAGCATACCTCCAGTCGCCGATGGCGTTCATCCACTCATGGTTGCCTAAGTGGGACAGCACCGTTCCGCCCACGGCTTGAGCCTGTTCACGAAGCTGATCCATCCAGGCGTAGAGCTTGATGGTGTCATCACCTCTGCGGGTGTATGTGAGAAAACGGATGTACAAACATGCGCATATACTCACCTGTCGATGATGTCTCCGGTCTGTACGAAGAAGTCGACTTCTCCAGACCAGTTCCCATCCTCGTCCACGACGCGCGCCATTTGTAGGACTTGTTGCGCATTAGGTAAATCGCCATGGAGGTCTCCAACAGCCACTATCTTCCTGGTAAATTGACCTTCGACATGTACCTCTGCGCCGCCAGTGGAAGGACCGTGTTCGTTCTGCTTGATAGGCTGTTGGATGGTGTCGAACACTTTCTGGCCAGAGATCTCGGAGGAGTCGTCATAGCCGTGCTGTACGTTCTCGAAGTCGGGGTGTACGGCAAGAGGCCAAGTGAGCGGCAGGCTGGCTACAAGATCGAAGACGGGGATGAACGAGCGGCAGGCGTAGAGGACCGCCAAGACGGGAACGAGAATCGCGAGAAACGAAACAAGGCGTGGCATGGTGGGAGATTGCTCGGCGCAACTACGTGGACTGCATGCGGCTGTGGTGGACGGGCTGGTGAGACGTTTCACAGGGCGCTGCGGGCGGTCACGACGAGGCCGAGAGACACGAAAGCAGGAGATTATGTAATTGGGTTGCGCCACACTATACACGCACATGCCCAACAAGGCAGTCTCATCAGCAGGGTTTGCTTACATCATCAAGAAGACATAGGGGAAGCGCGCGCAGCTAACCCCGCGTCGACAGGGCCAGCTGGGAAATGACCGCACTCAAAACGACGGCCACCTTCCCCGCAGCTCGTCAGCTGCCTTCCTCTCATTGTCCCCACCGTCTCCCTCCGGATGCACCCCTCCTGCTGACCCCTCAGACCAACGTCCCTGCGCGCGGTCCTGTCCTCACCACACCTTCGTCTCGTCCTCGCCGGCGGTATGCTGCCCCTGTTCCTCGTCCTCTCCATTCTCTCCTTCTTGGACGCATCCTGCTATGCTTCCACGCATGCGCTCCCCCGTTGGAGGCCGGACCTTCGCAGGAGAGGCGCAGGCAAGAGCGGCATCCATGCGCGTAACACCCTCGAGGGCATCGCGACGAACACCCCGACGCAAAACTCGACTATCGTCCCCATAGCATTCTCCTCGGACAAATCGTGAGTACAGGTCCCGTTCACATAGCGCGTACAGCGCATCAAGCATCCTCGTCGAGCCTAACGTGCGCTGGACGCAGGACGTACTACGCCCTTGCAACTATAGGGAACGTCAATCTCCGACTCGCGTTGGATACCGCGTCCGCGGACCTGTGGGTCGTGTCCTCAAACTGCACGACGAGCCAGTGCAATCTCCCCAAGTACCCGCTCGCATTCCAGAGCCCGACATTCGTTTCCGTTAACTCGAACACAACCGCATTCGGCGTAAGCTATGCGGACGGCACAGGTGCGTTCTCATGCATTCTCCCGTGGACGCTCGTCCCCTCACCAACATGTTCTCGCCATTCCTCAGGCGCAGCAGGTTTCATCGCGCGAGAGTCTGTATCCATAGGAAATCTGACAGTTCCAACACAAGCGTTTGGTGAGTGTCAATGTCTCCCATGGCATTAGTCCCGCATATGCCTGTGTCTATTATGCGGCGATACCGCGAGTTCCTCCTCAGCGAGGATAATTTTGGTTATTGCCCACGACGTTGTGCGATCGGTTCCCTTGTCCTCCGTTAGATCTCCCCGCGACCGCATCGTGACTCGAAACCCTCGGAACGTACTGCATCCATCCGAGATCGCAACTTCAGTCTATGCCAGGCCCGCGCTTTATGTAATTTCATCTCGCGAGTAGCAGTCACGGTATACCCACGCAAGAGCTAAACTGTGACGTACACAGGTCTCGCCGGGACTTCCAACGTAACCTTCAAGGATGATGTCAGCGGGGTTCTTGGTCTAGGCTTCCCAAGGCTGTCAGATATCTCTGGCACGATATCCAATGGTAGGCTTTGACACGGTCTTCTGCCGTAGAGTTTTACTCACTGGCATACAGCGACGCCATTCTTTGCTTCGTTAGCGCAAAACGGTAGCCTTGACTATCCCGTATTTGGTCTCAGCCTCACGCGGGATACCAGCGGCACTCTCACTTTCGGTATGTTGCAATGCTTCACAGGATGTGGCCCAAAATGCAAACCATTACTCGTTGTAGGCGCGATTGACGGCTCCATTGTTGCGAACCGGAGTCTGGTCGAACTCAACGAAGTCGTGCCGTTTGCTCCATTTGGGTCTCAGGGCAACTCCTCTAGCTACCTCCAGTGGGCGATCGTCCTTGACGGGATCTCGGTACGTCTCGTTTTGTCATTGGCTTTACGAGATGAAATACTTCCGATTACATGATTCCGTCTGGACCTATAACCGACGTTGATTCCTTATTCCGTAACGCAGGTCAACGGCACGTCGCTGACTCCGGAACCTACATACCCAGTCCAGACGATGAACAACACTATCGCCCTGATCGACGTGTAGGTTGGCTCCACTGGATTCCTACTCTTTTGCCGCTCATGACCTACTCCTCTTTGTGCCTGACAATCCAGCGGAACCGCCGGGATCTTTGGCCCATACCAGGATGTAAGTCTTCCGGATATGAGCGTCTAGTTTGCCACAGAGGACTGACACGAGGCGTACACAGGTCGCGCGTATATTCTCCATGATCGACAGCGCACGCCTCGTGGACGACAGTGCGTCTCCACCCCTTGTCGTTGAGCGCGATTCGTCAAACTGACTTGAGCCGAGCAGCTACAGGACAGTACGTCCTGCCATGTGATACGCAGGAGACACTGTCCTTCAACTTCGGGTTCGTACTCGTTCCCAGCCTTCTCGTAATCAAGAAATTGGCCTAATTCACGCTTTGATGTAGAGGACGTGATTTCGTCTTGCAGCCTACGGATTACATCATTGGTCCTGCCGCTGAGAACCCGAACCTCTGCCTCTCGTGGCCCAGGGCGCTTCCTCCAAGCTCGGACGGTATTGACTGGCAATTCGGTTCCGCGTTCCTTCGGACGGTTTACTCGATCTACAGGCACGCCTTTACCTATTCACAGCCTCATCAGAGATAACAGCTACTAAACAATATCAATGTTCTCTCAGCTTCGGTATCAACACCAAGGAGCCACCTATGATCGGGTTCTACCCCTTGTCTAATGCGACAACAGTGACCGAGACGCCCCAGCAGGTATCCTCCTTCCTCGCCTCCGCCTCCGCGACCGTCCCCACCACGCTCCCGAACTTCCTCATCTCCGTCCCCACCTTCTCCACGCCCTCGTACACGTTCAACGCCTCCATCTCTGCCCCCGTCGGGAAGATCGTCGCGACGGGGCTCGCGACGAGCACGTACGTGCCGCTGCTCGGCTCGCACAACCGCAACGCGACCGCGATCCCGACGCTGACCCCCTCGCCGACCGTCGCGACGCTGATCCTCACCGACACGAGCGGGCACACGGTCACGACGACGTCGACGGCGTCCGAGAGGTCCATCACGCTCGGCTCGCCCGCCGCCGGATGGTCGAACGGCGCGCGGGGTCGTGCGCGGAGCGTGGGCTTCGGCGGGGTGGTCGGCGCGCTGTCTGCGTGCGCGCTGCTGGTGTGGTAGCACGGCATTACATATTTATGACGCTTTGTGGGCGACGGTCCGTGGACAGTGGTGGACAGTGGACTTTTCTTTATGCTTGTGTTCGAACTTTATCCACCAAATATACATATACTTTAGGTAGCTGCGGCATACGCAGTCTTATTCTTTTCTTTTCGAGCTTCGCCTTTCTCTTGTCTTCACGTGCAAGGACATCTCTAATCAATCGTAGCATTCGTGAGACTAGCTTGTCGTTCGCGATCCTGCCGTGCATACACAACCGCAGCAGCTTGCGACGGTTGCCGAGCTCCGGGTGCTTGCCACCTCGGTCGGGGAGAGAAGACCAAAGCAACTTATACACATACCGTAATACACTTCCAACCCTCCATCGCTCGTTCATTTGCGATAGAGTACTTCACTGCACAAGTATATGCGTATTTGACGGGAGGGCTCCGATACAAAAAAGATTACATCCTGATTCGGGACTACTACAATCTAGCATTCGTCGTCGTTCTCGCGCCGTGCGGGTCCGGGAGTCAGAGGAGCTTGGCGACCTCCGCGTCGATCGCCTCGGGGGAGGTGGTCGAGGCCCAGCGGTGGACGACCTTGCCCTCGCGGTCGATCAGGAACTTCTCGAAGTTCCACTAGAAGGGGGGAAGGGGAGAGTAAGCGATCCGCGTACAAGGAGAGGATATCGAAGTGCCCCCGTCCGGGCAATGCAATGGGATGGGATGGGATGGGATGGGATGGGATCAGAAGGGGAGACTGGAGGGGGAGAACGCACCTTGATGCGGGTGAGGCCGAGGAGGCCGGCCTTCTGCGACTTGAGCCACTTGTAGACCTCGTTCGTGTTATCGCCGTTGACGTCGGACTTGGCCATGAGCGGGAAGGTGACGCCGTGGTTGAGCTCGCAAAACTCGGCGATCTTCTCGTCGTTCTCGGGCTCCTGGCCGCCGAACTGGAGCGCGACGCGGGGTGCGAGGGCGCAGGGCGACGGGGACAGAGTAGGCAAAGATGGGTACGTGCGGTCTGGATGAGTGGGGGCGGGATGGCTGAGGGTTGCCGGGACGTACCTGGTTGCACGGGAAGCCGAGGATGATGAAGCCCTGGTCCTTGTACTTCTTGTACAGAGCTTCAAGGCCCTTGTACTGGGGCGTGAAGCCACTGCGCACGACAAGTGAACATGCTTGCGGTGAGCTATCTCCTCCAAAGACTGCAAGAAGCGGGTGCGCGTACCACTTGGACGCGACGTTCACGATGAGGACGACCTTGCCCCTGAGTTGCTCAAAGTCATACGTCTTGTTTCCGGGAGCAGTCGCCTTGAGCGAGTAGAAACCGGCGTCGGACATGGCTGGCGGGGTCGTGAAGAGGGTGCGATAGGAAGAGGCAGTTGGTCGTGAGGGAACGGGACCAGATACCTGATATAAGAGCTGGGAGAGCAGACGGGAGCGCTGAGAACGTGGGAGAGGGGTCTGAACACGAACGAGGGACGACTTATGTGAGATTGGACGAGCCCAAGAGAAGACTGACGAAGCAGAGACGGTGGACCATGCCGTCGTGACCGGTGGCATGCGCATCTTGCTCGCAGCAACGAATGGCGCGGTGGCCGATAGCCCGGTTATGATGTGTACGGTAATACGTACACCGGCAGCCGCTCAGTTACAGTTTACTCATGTTCTCCCCAAGTGTGCTGCATACCGCGGATGTTTCTACGCGTCGATAAAGCGTTTGAAGGTGTCGGAACGGGTAGCATATGCCAGTCTGACGAAGTTCTGCTATACAGAGGCAGCTTCGTAGAATCGTATTGAGGCGGAGGGGGTCTGCATGCAGCAGATAGTAGATCTATGATGCTGTGCCTACTCTACTGGCGGGACAGCGAGAAGGCCGGATGTCCCGAGGCTCCGTCCAGTCCTGATTTCGTTCGATTCCCCGGTGACGTCTGGTCACGGGACTACACCGTAAGCACCCTAACTTACGTAGGATCTTCCGACCGGGGGTCCCCTCAGGTCTGGGCAGTCCGATCATAGGAGTGTCAGTGTTGCGCCCACGGCAGTGACGAAAGTGTACGGGCGGGACCAATACTGGAGTGCATATAGGTCTCTCCGGAATACTCTTGCATGGGGAGGCACATGCACATCACATAGAAAGAAGCATTGTACGAAGGGTTCGGCATCCATCGTCTCCGCTACGTTGGGCGAGAGTTGCAGGACAAATGGTGCAAACTGACGTTTTCTACACTGTCCGCGAACCATCTCGGATACTCTTCCCGAAGGCCTTCTATTGAAGGTAGCGGTTTGAAAGATGCCTTTGACAACAAGCACGGGAGAGGCAGCATTGTTTATCTGATAGTCTCCTACCGTTCTCCAAAGCCACCCATTTCAATCAGGGTATTACAAGTATGACCCTTTTCGACGCAGAAACGAATTGCTTCTCAACGAAAGCTACACATTGCTTAAGCATGAACCGCGTTTTATGAGTGAATTGAACCGACGTTCCCAAGTAACACGTATAGTAAGTGCGATGTACTTATCAGGTATGTCGAATGGGCCTGGCATGGCAGGAGCAACAAAGCGGTCGCCATGCAGCAGCTTCAATAGCGCTTTAGCCCTCGCGCTTTGTGCCACGATCACGTGCCCGTGCTTTGGAGGCGAGGACCACACTTGAGTTCCGCCACCCTTTAAAAGAGCCCACATACGACCCACCTATTGTGATCCTCCAGACTGCCACCACCGTCAGAACTTCCTCAGCCTCCTCGCAACCTCCCTCCTGCCCTCTCAATCACTCAGCCACAACCGAACCACAACCTGCTACTTGAGTCCCTCTCGTTGCGCCACGGCCCATACGCAGTCACTCTCAACCACGACCACAGCACCTTACCGCGTTCTCTGCATCGCCGTATCCTCACATTCCATACCAGATAGCAATGAACGCCGTCGCACTGCACGCAAACTTGGTGTCTATGACCGCCGGAGCGGCAGACACTCGCTGGGCTTCGCTTCGGGCTCAAGCCGAGGCCTTCCGAGGAGACGCTTTCCGAGCCAAGCTCCAGCAAGAGGCCAGGATCGAGCCGGCTAGACAATGCGAGGCCGATAAGCTACAGGCCAAGGAACTTGAGGCAGTCAAGTTCGTTGCGCCACGGCGATTCGTCGCGCCGCGACCACGTTGGTCGCTCTCCAGGATCCTCTCCTGGCAAGAGCAGGACGAGCTGGAGGCCCCATCGAAGGCCTCTCTGGACGAAGCATCCCCGACACGAACGGTGAGTGGTTTCTACCGCATGCAGAGTGTGCCGCCACAATCCGGAGTTGCTCATAACGTCCACCAGTACGCTGGCCGCGGAGGCATCATCGGAAAGCTTCTGCTCGCCGCGGGTCGCCGCCGCTGGGAGAACGAGGACTCGAACGAAGCTCCAGCCTGGCCGCCCGCCTCAGAGCTGATCGCATGCCCACCGAACTGGGGCAAGGCTCGCGCCACGGACGCGGCGGTCGGCCGCGCTGTCGTCCTCCACCCCGTGTCACGGTCCGATGATGGCTACTTTCCCCCTCCTGGACTCCATGCACCGGCTCTCGGCCTCAACCTCCCCCGAGCTACTCTGCGAAGCACGGTCTCATCGTCCCATTTTATTGGGAGTGATGGGACGGAGTGGCCGATCCCACCTACGGAGTGCATGCAGGCGTCGTCGCCATCGTTATCGCCCGTTGCATCCGACGATGAACCTTTCACCACCGAGGGCGATGAGGTCCACACGCCATCATGCTCGCCCGCGTGCTCGAGCGTGTCGTCGTCGCTGCCTCGCACCCCGGCCCACAAGGGTGGCAGTCTCGCCCAGACAACGAAGGGCGATTGCGGGTCGCGTTGGGGCGTGATTGGGGAGGGTCGACCTGTCCTTGTCTGCCCGCAGACACCGCTCTTGTGGTCGAGGGAGCTCGTGCTTGACTCGCCCATTTCGTCCTGGGTCGCCGACCTCGAGTCGCAAGTCGGGTCCCGATGTGACTCCGAATTCGAGTGGAGCTCCGGATCAGAGTACGACTCGGAGGAAGAAGTCTGGAGCGACGTCGAGATTGCCTCCAACAGGGGCTGAAGATGGTAAACTCCGTCGTCGCCGGTGGCGGTCAGACCATCGAGTCGATATCAGGGCCAATGGGGATGTTAGCCGTTCCCTGCAGCGTAATCAAGACTCCTCTCGTCATGTTGACGGGGCAATACCCGTGGCGCCTCAGCAGTTCGGTCGAGCAGTTCGAGGTAGACGCTGTCAGTGACAGCGAGAGACATTGCATGACCTCGTGTCAGTACCTGAGATAAGCTGGCACGGACAGGTTGTAGCTCGTATTTATCGCTCTTCATACCAGATGAGCCGATTGTTGGTGGTGATTTATTTGTCTCTGTCCTGTGTCTCCAATAGTGCTTGTACAAGTAGTACAATTATCCTCTACTGACCTTGTAGGATATGTGTGCTCTTCCTCTTCTGCGTGTTGTCTGGGGCTTTGTGATTGCTTGCTGGAGTCCGCGTTCTAAACTTTTCCGACGTTGCGTCGGGCGCGGAGCTTCTAGCTAATTTATTTGATCCGGTTGTGTGTCTTCGGTTGCCAGTCATGGCTTCATCTAAACCATCGTGTAGGTTTCAGCACGCGCAGGTGCGCAAAAGTCAATGAAGCCTAGTAGAATCTCAGCTGTGAATATGAGGGTGGGAGGGCAGAGACGACTCCGACTTTCCCGGGGCTAGTCAGACGCGCTGAGCTGGCCGATCGGTGACGTTCCCAGTGCCGGCCCGGTCATCATCAAAAGCTACAAAGTTTCTGTACTCGACACTGCCCGACGTTGCCTTGCTCATTCTCGGTCACCACCACCAGTCGCCGTGAGTAGACATTGTATGTTGCCTGGAGGTGGTTACTCATCCATATCACAGATGATTTCTCTGAAACTGGTGCACCGACAGCTCCGGCCTAGCTTCTCGACGACACCCCGTTGCTGGCAATGGAGGCAGTCGGCGAACGCGACCGCGCATCCCATCCAGGTCCTCCGTCGCAGCTTCTCGGAGATCACTCGCCCACCGCCAGAAGCTCCCAAACCTAAGCCGAAAGCGTCCACAGCCCTTCGCCGTGCCGCGTCAGCGTCGCTTCCCATTCGTTCGAACCCGACTCCTACGCGTGGTGACATCCAGCCCATCTTCACGTATGCCACTGCGGAGCGGTACCTCATGCCTAACCTGCGCGCTGCGTTGCCGAAGGACTCGACGCTCCTGCACGATTCATGGTGGGTGCCGCGCTGGAAGGATGAGAAGAGCGGGAAGGAGGGCGAGGTTTTCGTGTTTGGAAACGGGAGCTTTGTCTCCTGGGGCCTGAGCGAGGACGAGGCGGTACGGTTCGCAGACGCAGTCATTGCGCGGTCGTCGGCCGAGGTAGCCCGGCTGAAGGAGCCCGAGACAGAGGACCTAGAGTTCGTTACGGACCCGGAAGAGTGAGTCTCATTACTCGTTTCGCATTCCGCGATGATTCACGGGCATGGCAGGGACACTCGACTACAGGGAGACATCATCATCTTGGGTCGCACTCTACCATTGAGCAACGAAGAATCCCTACCCGTCGACCTGCCTCCCTCAATCCTTCCACGCGAGACGGTGCTGGCGCGGTATGCGTTCTCTCAGGCGTTGTCTCGGTCGACCGCTCTGTCTGGTTTGGAGACGTCGTTGGAGCACTACCTTTCCTCCATAGCATTGCTTCCTCACGCCTTGCAAAAGACTGGGAAGCCCGGCTTGGGACGGAGGGCTCTCGTCATGAAGCTGGGAGAACTCTTGAGGTTCCGACAGGGTCTCAACCTCAATCGGGAGAACTTTTCAGATACTCCAGACTTCTACTGGTCGGAACCGGTGCTTGAAGGTATTCATATGCGTAGCCTGCCGTTTATAGCACGCCTTCTGATGACTCTTGGCCAGGGTACTTCAACACTTTGAGCAATGCGCTCGACATGAAGACGCGTATTCGCTCTGTGAATGATAAGATCACCTACGCTGCCGAGGTAAGCACCGACGAGTCTCAAAGTGATGCGGGGTTCGCTAATGTATCATGAACAGATGCAATCCGTGCTGAGAGAATTGCTAACGGAGGTGCGTAAATATTGCACGATCCACACTCGATAGCAATACTGATCGCACCCTTCAAGACATCCGCACATCGCATGGAACTGATCATCATTGCTCTTATTGCAGTCGAGGTCGTCATTGTAAGTGGAACAACTCCTGATTCTTGTCGCTTCGTCAACTAATCTTCTCCCTCAGTGCCTCATCCGTGACGGGCCCGAGATGTGGCACATGATCTTTGGCAAAGACGAGAAGGCTGAAGACTCCACGACAGAACCTGCATACTAATACGCTCTTTTTACCTTAGTACTTGGTAATTGGAATACTTGCACACGTGCGCCCCACTTCCCCGCTCTTCTCTAGCATAGAAATGTAGCATAGGCACACTCTACTCAGCCGCACACACTTAAGAATAGTCATAATGCATTCTTTGCCCTGCTCGCTTGCGTTTCATGCATGTTCACCGACCCATGCAATTCTGATGACGAAGCGCCTCACGATACCTATAAGCGCGGTTGACAGCAATAGCATAGACCCTGCAGAGCGCACCATCAATATCTCAAGCATAGTCACCTTCCCAACAAGTACCAAATGCTTACCTGCGTAATAACCAACATCCTTGAACGACCCGGTCGCATCCAGGATGGCACCCGCGATCGGCGGGCCGGCGATGGCCCCAATCGCTGTGATTGTACTTCCCATCCCGATGCGCATGCCCACGTTGGTGACGGAACCCAGACGTGCGAACGGCTGGACTACTATGGCGAGGATGGCGCCACTAGATACCCTGGTGCCATAGACGAAGGACCCCGCATGTAAGAAAGGATAGAGTTTCCGAGATAGGCAGTCCTAACGTACCCAATCAGCACTGCGATCATGACGAAAGCCGCTGTGCTCTTCGCAAATGGCCATGCGTATGTGACGACCGCAACGATCAGACTTGCGGGGACGAGGATGTTGAGAGGTCCTACCCAGAAATAAGTCGTGTCTGCGAAGCGTGCCAAGTCGCTTTGACTTGCCATAGCGATCCGCCAGAATTCCGCTGCTTATCCGACCGAGTGTCGATGTGGCGTTCAAAATAGCTAACAGATTGAAGGCTAAGGTGGCGTTGAGACCTGCGTCGACGGCACTCAACGTGAGGTACGTCATGCACTGGAAACTGGAGGATCAGCTCTCATTATTTCTCCAACAGTAGAATCGCTACACTCACGGTCCATAATCCGAGGTTGCTGATGCACCAAGCGGATACGTAAATGGAGTAGGCGGGCCTCTTAAACTCTGCTACGCTGACCAAAGGAGTACGGCCCTGCTTAGGTGGCAGTCTGCCCGCAATCGTCTGCCCTACATGAAATACCTTGGGGGAAGGCGGATGACATATAACTACGCACCACGTTAGTGACGGCAAGAAGCCCCAAGGCAATGAAACCCAAAATGCGCATCGTCCACTGGAAACTACCAAGACGTGTGAGCTGACTTTATGCGGTAAATCATCGGGGAGGGAACTACCTCCGATGACCAAGGAGAGTCCTCACGATGATGGGAAAGATGCAGCCGCCGATGCTTGCACCCGCGAACATACATGCGAGCGCAAGCCCGAGCCTTCTTTTAAACCAGTGTGTCATCAGCATGTTTCCCATGTTGAAGAGGACCCCGCTCGCGATCTGCTTAGTTCATCAGTGCAGGTGTTTCCACACTCAGCGAACAAGTTACTGACACCCATACCGAACCCCTGGCAAAGAAGGAACTGCCAATATTCCGTGCACTCGGCGGTGAGAAATAGGCAGGCGATGAACAACGCAGAAGCAAGGAGCATGGGAAGCTTGAGGTATCCCATGTCGAATAATCTTCCGAGGGGAAGCCCGACGACATATATTACTCCGTTCTGCCAGTGCCCAGAGATCAGCGTCGCGTTAGCATATAAAGGAGGAATGCGTACTTGAATAGACCCTATCCAAGCACTAAGAACATGTCAGAGCGTTTAAGGAGCGCTTTGTAGGCTACCCACATATCCGACGACGATCGCTGTGGAAGCTTGACTTCCTGATAGTACGCCTGAAATGTCTATGGCCGCGGCTTGGATAAGCGCTATCGATCAGGATAAGTAGCTCGCGTACATACTCCCCATGCATTGATTATTCCAATCATGCCCACCATCCCGCAGAAAAGCTACAGGGGTGAGAGCTGGGTCAGAAGAAATACTTGAGGCGCGATAGACTAGTCGTACGCCGACTACTACGAGCCATGCTCGTAATCCGCCATCTGGGCAATCGTGCGCTTCCTCCCCGTCCTCCGCCAACACAGTTTCAGTGACCACGTCCTCCTTATTCTTGTTCTTCACGACCATGTCTTGCTCGAGGTGAGTAGGCTCTTGCTTGCTGTGTGAGTTCGCTGTGAGGGGAGGGCTACGAAGGGGATCGGCGATGATCATCGTGGAGCTTGATCGACACAGCGAGGACGAGGACTTCTTGGTGGTTACTCAGCAGACAGAGCACCTTAGTGATGAATAACACCGTCCCTTGTGCGGCCATTCGGAGCTCCTCCACCACTACGAAAAAGGCTCCGCCGGAAGGCATCGTGTCAGAATCGATGTTTCCTCATAGATCTCTCCGAATAGACATAAACGCCCACTGGATGCAATTGTAGCTCGAAGAAGCGTAGTGTTCGCATAAGAAGCAGGTTGGTGTGGTAAGTTGCCGTCATGTGCTCGTAGCAAGTACGATATGCAACGTCTCCTTCCCAGTGCTTGTACATTGACGAGTTTCGAGTGTGCTCGATGTGAAGTTGAACCCTCCACCATGACCTGGATTTGAACGATATCGGCTGTGTACATTTAGTGTGACCCCAGAAGCGACGGCCCAGAATGTACTTCGTGCATATCTCCCTCGCATCTTCCCCCATAAATCTTGAACTTGGCACACTTAGTCTGCATCTTAGACAGTATATACCTGTAAAATATGAAGGCAATCGGTGGAAGTTTGCTTCGAGCATCGTGGAATTACACGTCTGACCCCAGAAACGACGGAAAGGCGCCCATAGATTGTCACCAATGGTCACGGTGCCGAAGACTGCCGATTTAAACACCGCCATTATCAGTCGTTTGATGACGAGGCAACGCTAGTCGAGGCGCTCATAATCAAAGCCAGCCTTATCTCGGTCAGTGGCTGAATGTCACGCTCGAGAGACCCCTTCCCATTCCACAAGTACCGCAATCCGTAATCTTCGGAAACTGAATAATTATATTCATTTAACATGTTCAAAACACTTCCTAGAGTTACAAGACGATCGGCGGGGCCGATCTCTTTGTGGTAATTCAACACGGTTAGTAAACCCCTGGAACCCTACTCAGATTGACTTGTATCGGGAGCAAATTCCTCCCGATTTCCTTCGTTCTTTTTGGGAGTGATAGTCCAGAAGCACATAATGTCATGTGTAACATTTTTACATTTATTGACAGGGAAATGCGAGACTTAGAGGCGTGTCAGTCGCTTCTGGGGTCAGGCGCTTAATGCGTCGCTTCTGGGGTCGCACTAGTATGCACATGTTAAAAGTACTAATCTTGCGGTCGAACGACTCTTGTTTACGTTAGTCACTAGGAGTATGCAATCCGCACTCGCCTACGCAGACGACACCAATTATTAGCATGCTACCCGCCTGGAGTCGAACCGAGACCTTGTCCTCGCAATCCACAACATCCACTTGGACGCGTTCCATGTGATTGCAGAGTAAGAAAGAGAGGTATGTAGAACGGCACAGGCAACACGGCTGGCCTCGGAAGTTGCCGATGGGAAATTAGCGCTTCATGTTCGGCGATCCTGTGGATCTCGATGTGGCATTGGTAAGTACCGCACGACCCACATCGCAACTCGTATTGGGAACGCAGAGATGCATAAAAGCTGGCCTGCCTCACATCAACGCCCACTGACTCTCCGGTATAGAGCCCGACAACTCCAGGGCGCATATAACGTGCTGGCACTTCTGTCGCCAAAAAAATTACAAGGTGACCTCAACGTAGGGAACTTACACTCAGCTTGCCATGGTGCGGTTTCAAATTGTATTTGGAGCAGCCTCGGAGGTTGTTTGATTTCATCTCATGCTGATATACGATATATTGCCCTTCTGTGTACAGACTCAGCGTCTTATCAAAAACACGTCTGCTCTGCGCTTTGGCATCCTTGGCGCAGCGCGCATCGGGCCAGAAGCACTCTTCAAACCTGCGAAGACACACCCTGACGTCGTCGTTACAGCCGTCGCGTGCAGGGACAAGACACGTGGCCAGCAATACGCCCAGAAGCACGACATCCCCAGGACATTCTCTGGTCCGAATGCTTACCACGGCAAGTCGTTGCACATCTATGCACAAAGTGCCTCGATTCTCACTTCACATACCAAAACTGCAGAGCTAGTCACGGACCCTGATATTGATGTGGTCTACATAGCCGTATGTCAACCCAGTCGCGTGTTTGCAAGTACAAAGGGATCTAGACTGACACATCATATAGCTCCCGAACGGATTACACTTCGAGTGGACGATGCGCGCTTTGGAAGCAGGCAAGCATGTCCTTGTGGAGAAGCCCTTGACGAACACTGCAGAGGAAGCCCGCCAGATCTTTGCCCTTGCGGAGGAGAAGGGCCTTGTTGCTCTCGAGGCTTTGCACACCGTGTAAGCAGGCACCCCTCTCAACATTGGCAGTCGATCAGACTGCATCTCTAATCTGTCCTCGTCTGTCGTAGGTTTCATCCAGCGAATCATCGCGTGCGTGAAATCATCCAGAGCGGCGAGCTCGGTAAAGTCAAGAGCGTGGTTTCCCACTTCATCTTCCCAAGGTTCATCTCTCCGCTATTCTTTGAGAAGGACGATGTCCGATTCCACTACGACCTAGGAGGTGGCAGTATGACAGATCTGGGCGGTAAATCCTTTCATTGAACGCCACACATCGCGAATTGCTGAACTTGGGCCTGTGCCCGTATCGCAGTGTATCCCCTCGCCGAGATCCGGTTCGTGACATCCTCGGACACCGTGCCGCTCGAAGTGATCTCCGCCAAGGCCGTCGGGCACCCCAAGGACCCCGAGCGCATCGACCGTGCCATGCATATCGTATACGCCTTGCCGAACACGGACGCGACCGCCGAGGTGAATATCGACTTCAGCGCGCCCGGCTGGGGCCCATTCGGCCTGCTGCCGCGAATGATGCGCATAGATGCGACAATCAAGCTCGAGGGCGGGAGCATCTTCATATACAACTTCGTCATGCCGGCCGCGTTCCACTTCATCCGTGTGACGCCGAAGAAGGGATCGGGGCGGTTCGAGCAGGTATACACTTTTAAGGGCGGGAAGGGCGAGAGGTCCTGGTCTACGTCAGTGCCGTAGTTGTCGTTGATCAGAGAAAACAGGGAGCTGACATCAGGACGACCTCGATCTAGGTACCGATACCAACTTGAGGCTTTCGTTGATAAGGTGCGCGGTAGGACTCCGTCATTCTGGCACGAGCCCATTAGCTCCATATCGGAGCTGGAGACCGTTGAGAGAGTATATACCAAGGTATGATCCTGTTGTTCGCCGCCCATGGTCAGTATGTTAACTTCTCATGTTAGGCTGGCATGCAGCCGAGACCTGCGTCGGCTTACAAGCGACAGGGGTGAACGCCAGGTAAACGCTACAACACGGACTGACCGGGCTGGCGGGCCCGATCTCAGTGTATTCTCTCTCCATGTAGTTGGAGATTGGTCGATACCCTCATCAAACAGCACTGTCATTGAGCTAGCTCATCTTATCGGGAAATTCATGTTCGTGATTCCCAAGTTCTGATCGACTCCGGCTGTACTCAGTACCATGAGACTCACAGAGCCAGCCATCGAAGAATTTGTGACTGGATGGGATATACAACCAATACGCAGGTACAGCAAGCTGGATCATACTAAATTTCGTCGTATAGAATGATGATGTTAGAGGCAATAGATGCTTATAGCCGCGCCAATATGATATCATTCAGGACTGGTCACCGTTGTGCATAGGAGATTCGCAATATTCATCTCGAGTTTCGCCGAACGTGACGGTCGATTCGGCCTGTGACCTTCTCCTGTAAGAACCTGGCTCAGGCTTGTGTGCCTGGCAACCACAGTTCTTTTGCAGCGTAGACAAATCAGGAGCTTAAACAATTGCCGGACCCATGAGACGAACGAGCAGGATACGCCTGACATGTAGGTGAAGGACCGAGTATGAAAGTCATCCCCGCGAGGTAAGCAGCTTTGAAGTACCGGTTTGAGCGCATTTCATCTCTGCTGTCAAGATGTCTTCGGGAGGCAAGAGGCTTACCCATAGCTGTACGTCAGTGGTACGCTAGGGTACTTGATAGCAACGCTGTAGCGCAATAGTGCGAAATAATTGGAAGATGCAATCAACATATAAAACCTTGGTATATCCTGCTCACCCAAGCCCTGACGATGATCGCAGCACTTGAAGGCAATGTCCCGCAAGGATGCCCGATGTGAAAGCAAGAAATGCATCGTGTTGGTATACACTGACTGACGAGATCGGTATAGGTATACAGCGGCACCTGTAAGATAGTCAATGTGTCGAAGGAGGAATCGGTGAGAATAGGCATTGCGCACGGGTGATACTATACTTTTGTGTTGTAACATCTATGACATCTCGACATCGCCGTCCTCATCGCTCCCTTCCACATCGTCCCAGCCCTCTTCATCTTCGTCGTCTCCGTCTATCTCGGGAGAAGGCTGGATGCCTAATGACTCAAGTTTGGCAATGAGTTCACGAGTGTGTTCTAGCAAAGGCACGTCGGGATGTTCCTGCTTGACGTGCAGCTGGAGGAACGTCAAATCAGCGCTCGACAGTCCTCTCTAACGTTGACGGCCAGACGCACAATCTGACAGGTGTCCAAACAATCTCGCGCGTTATGCGCGAGATCGTCCCAAGTCAGCTCGCCGAGCTCACCGCCATTCTCCTGTGCCTGCTCCGCCATGAGGAAGAAACACCAGCCCTCGAGATACCACGCTTCGACGTCCTGGTCATCAGAGGCAATGATACCTTGTAGCACAAGGAGCGCCGGAGTAAACAGAGAGAGCTCGAGGAAGAGCTTCACAATCGACAGGCGAGCGGATATTGGGGGTAATTGTGGGTTGTCTGCGCAAGTCACGTTATGGCACCATCAGGTTAACATGTGTAGGAGCGTCTTACCGAGGTCAAGATCTTTCCATTGTGACCACGCTTGCTCCAAGCAGACCTTCGCCTCGTCGGGTCTTTGCTGAGACATTCGAACGGAGGCCAGCGCTTGTAGCGCCTCTGTGTTTCCCGGGTCTGTTTGCAGCGCAAGGTTCAGGAGGTCCTCGCATGTCTTCTCTGCTGCAGGATCATCGCTTCACACAAGAATCGTAGCGTCAATTTCACCACGCGCGGAGACCGAGATACCAAATGAACGTACCAGAGATCATACGAAGGGTCCATCCAAATCTCGACCATGCCAATCAACGCGCGGACGATGTTTCGTTTCGTTTCGCCTTCATCATCCTTGGAACTCAAGGGATCCACGGCGCGTTCCTTGCCCTTGAGCTGGTTTGACAGGAGGTCAACAGCACTCTGGTAGTGTCGAAGCGCAAGGTGTGGGTCGTCATCGCTCAGCTGCGCAAGGTAGAGATACGCAGATGGAGGGGGAGCAACCGGGGCCCCAGAATGTGGTGGTACAAGCGATTGGAAGGTCTAGCAATCCACGGAAGCAGAGTGTGAGGGCCGAGGAGTCCACGTCTATGTACCGAGGATATGCATGCGATAACGTACCTCCTTGGCGGCGAGAATCTCCCCTCTTTCCAGTTGTGTCACGCCCAGCATCTCTTTTGCCTCCACATTCCCGGGCTCGCGCTGGAGCACCCGTTGCGCGAAGCGGCCCGCGAGCTCATATTCGCATTGCACAATCAGTGACTGAGCCTTCTCTAGAAGGGACGATATTGAGGGAGGGGGAGCAGGACCCTCTGATGTGTTCTCTGTAATGACTGGCTTGATCTTGCGGGTTTTTGGTCTAGTGCGCCCCATCGTGAGCAGAGTGGTAAACCTTGGAGGAGTATGAGGACGGTGGAAGCAGAAAGATTATTGGGCGTTTAGATCAACAGGTCTTGATCGCGGCTTCGTGCGGCCCCACAACGCGATGCGCGCGTCTTGTTCCCCAACCACGACGACGCCAACTACACGCCGTCTACCATCTCTACACCTCACGGTACCCGCGCTCAGTCATTATCCTTTGAACAGTCACAATGGAAACGTTCGACCCCAAAGGCAATAGCAAGGCCACCGACGATGGTTTCTTTATGGAACGCGTCGAGATGCTCTACGAGCAAGGACTCGTAGACCTACGCGCTTTCGCAGAACGAGAGCATCGTCCTTTCGAAGAGGTGTGTCCGAATGGTGATGGCGATATGTGAGAGGAATGGCTTGAGCATGAGTGGCGACAGGTTAGAAGGTGTATGGCTGAGTTGCACTGCAAATTCCTGTTCGATGTTTCCAGTCCTCAGGCTGTTGGGACGAAGGATCGTGAGGAGCTGGGTTCGTTATTCTCATCTTCCTCGTGCAGTTCGCTGTGGCTAAAGCACTTGCAGTCCATCGAGTGCTCAAGTCGGTCTCACAGGAGCTTGAGTCGCTCGAGACTCTCACAGGCGCACAATCGTTCTTCGTCATCGTGAATCCTCACGATCAAGATGACCAAGGCTTCTTAGGCGGCACAGTCGTAGGACGCGAGTTCTGGCGCGGACATCGCGGTTGCGGCGCGCCAGGAGCAGAAGCGTTCAAGACTCATTGCCTTCGGGTCGTGCCTCAACTCACTACCGCCGCGTTTGGCCCGACTACCCGCCGGACCGTGTCGAACGCGAATTCCCGAAAGAAAGGACCCGCAAGGGAGCTGAAGACTGAGCTGTATGCGGGGGTCCGCGATGCACTGAGGTTGGCCTTCGTCCTGTTCCGAAGGGGTCTCGCGGGCTGATCGGGGTCCTGACCAGGGCCGTGTCAGGCGTGCGTAACGCAGAAATGAAGTGGACGAATCACTCTAAGCTGAGCGCATACGGGGTGCGCCTGGATGGTTGGCCTGACGGCGTCCCTGCGCAGAATCCATCCACATTGTCAGTTGCGCAGAATAAGCTACTACTCGACCTACTTCACGAAGGCAAGCTGTACTTCTCCCGTCTGGAAGGCAGACCTATACCCGATATCAACGGTGGAGAGGATGAGAAACTGTCAGATCGAGACGAGGACGCGATGTTCGAGGACTCGATCGATTATACGTGGGGGTCTGGCGAGGCTAAGGGCAACAGTAGCGAATCGCTCTTTATGGTCAGCAGTCTTCGTGGTTTGTGCATCATACGCTGATCCCTGTCCACAAGCCGCACTGCGACCCAGGATCCCCAAACTCAACGCCAGTCATGCAATCCGCCGCAGTCGAGAACAGCGCCTCGTGGGTAGACGATGCAACTAGCGCTATTGCCACAAAGCGGAGACGCATTGACGAATGATCGAAAATCAGTCTGCGCTTGCCCTACTCACAGGTGAGTGACCAAATTTTCACGCTTTAGCTCTCAACAGCGTCGCCGCGACGAAATTTCTCGTGCTCTGCGACTCCGTGTTGTCAGCATTTCCTGTAGTCGCGCCCACACTGATGCTTGTCGGAGAGTCCGACGATGAGGTTGTATTCTCGTATATCACTGTTATGCCGGAGAATGTGTCACATATGCAACACAAGCTTTCCTGCGCAATCTGGCCCACAGCTGTATATGGCCCAGAAAGCACGTCGATATCACCAAAGCGCTGTGCCCAATGATAGCGCTGGACCCTTTACGTTACTGTGAAATGTACGTGCTTTTCCCCACCCTTCGCGGACAGTGAGGGAAGGCGTGGACGCTCGCGCGCATGAATCAATCTTTGCTTTGCATCCCCATCTCGGGCATGTCACTTCATCTACTGACGTCCTCCGTTACAGCCTGCCTCCCATATTCTTGTATTGCACTATCGCCGAAGCCATGTCGGCCGACGATGGCCCTCGCTCTATCCCTAGGCGTCCGGGAGCGGGTCATCGACCACCCCTTAAACAGGGTGTTGAGCAGGGGCTCGGCTGGTCGGCTCTTTAAGAAGCATATGGTCGACTCTGCGAAGTATGCTTGCCGGACGGACAGATGGCGTTGTCCGTAGGCGATGACGATATGGCGCTGTTTGGAGCGCAACGACAGACGCAATTGTTCACAGGCTTGAGGGGCACAGATGTCGTGCGGACGGCGCACTGGCGATACGGCAGAACGTATATGGCCTCCGCGTTGTATGGCCGCACCATGCAGTTCTGAAGGGTTAGCGGTGGATGGTGGGCTTGGGTCTTCTCCGAGTCCTCAGATCAGGAACGTTCCGTGTCAATCGCTGCAGAAGGGATAGATGGCAGCAGGCATGATCACAAGCTATATCTGCCATGTCAGCGACATCGTGCCGAAGGAATGTTAGGTTGGGCTTTTCTGATAAGCGCGAGGAGTATAGAATTGGAGCATTACTCACCGTGTAGATACTGATTGCGCAAATTGCATGTGAGTCCAACGCTGTGAGCTGTCTAGGTGTCATCAAGACGTTCTCCGCCCGTTTGTGTCGCCGCCATGTACTGTTATTGTGCGAGTTAGGGAGGTCTGTTGCGTATCTATTTGCTCGAGACGACAGTCGTGCCGAGAGAGAGGTGGTTGAGAGGACCTTGCAAGCAAGGGGATGTAGGCATGATATGAAAAATTACTGATATGGTGAAGTGTACGAACGTTGCGAGCGCATCAGTAAGGCTTCAGGAGTATTGACATAGCGTTGTTACATTCGAAAGAAGATGCAAACAATTATTACTCTAGCGGATTAACGACAGCGTGCTCATTTGATCAAACGTGCAAAGTCAGTATATGCCATCGTCCTCAAAATCTTGACCGCGATTATTTTCTTCATGCCCTCCTGATTGGGCTACCGGCACCTTTCTGGAACTATGACGTGACGTACGCTCGTAACAGAGTTCGATGGAGAGTTCGAAGTGATACTCTCGAATCGCACCGTACTGCCGCAGCGACCTCGTTAAGTTGTGCAAGCTCAGTCGCAAAGTACGGTGCCTTTCCATGTTTGATCCAGTAGGCAGTTCAAACGTAGTCCACGCTACATTCACGGCCTCGACCCGTAACGCATGAATCCGACGTTGACCATTTACTGCTTCCCAAACGTCAAGTCGTGGATGATGTGCGCAGTATACAGCGACATCCATTGCTTCCGGGTTGCGCCCAAGTCGGACGAGGATATGCTCGCGTTCTTTCGACGATGAAAGAAGGAAGACGTCATCCTTGCGGTGGAAGAGGCCCTTCCGAGGGAATGTTCCATTCAGAATCCCAGACATTCCCTCCAGCCTCGGCATATGGGTTACGGTAAAGCCTTGTCCGATGAGCAAGTTCCGGCTCCAATCGCAAAGCCCGATAATACGCCGGGAGAGAAGACTGTTGTCTGTGCGTACCGACCACGGACTGAGAGATTCTACGAACGAGACATCATCCTCGAGGAGGGGCTGGCCGCGTATGAGCACGTCCAGCAGGTGGATTGGCGCATTGACTATCTTGAGGTCTGCAGGTGATAGCGAGACGGTGCGGAATGGAGTCAGCGGCCCTGTGTCGCCTACCCTGATCCAACCGACCTCAACCTTCGACTCACTGCCCGTCAGTCCGTTCTCATCGGAATTCGCACATGAGAGGGGTAGTGCGACGAGCCGGCCGAAGCTGTCTTCGCATTCTAGGATCGCGAAGTGGGTGGGGGTAAACGTCACGGGCTGATCCAACGGGGCACAAATTGCGTATGTGCCGGAGCCGAAGAAGAATGAGAGATGACTGCCTATGAGGGGGATCATTGGAAAGCGTGTGCGGATCCCGTAGGAAGTCGTCAGATACTCCGGAAGTGGGAGTCGGAAGGACGCACGAAGCCGCGCCGCAACTTGTTCGTGTGAAAGCGGCTTGACCTGGTCAGCAGAGGCGAAGGCTGCTGGTGATGGAGCGAGCAAGAACTGCAGATGGGAGACCGACGGCAAGGACTCTGCGCATGAATGTCCCCATGCGAAGATGCTCTAGTCTGGGATGGCACGAAGAATGGCTTCCTGGAGGCGGACGAACGCGTTCCGGCCTTCTCCATAGTTAGTCGCAAGATGGAGGCCGAAGATTCCTAGGAGCGAGTACGCCTGATCCTCCACTCGGGTGGTCTCTCGCTTCGCTGCCCAAGACATCCGCCGCGCGACACTCGCGGAGTGAACAGGTCGATCTTGGTTGAGGATTGCGCGGTCCACACCTGTCACGGCTTCGATGACACGGGACAAGGTGCTCTTCGTCCCAAGAGGCCGCCAGTTCCGGGAGAAGAAAACCACGTACCGCGGCGCGACGAGCTCCTGTAATGTCCAGCCCCTATTGTGCCATCGAGCGCGACGGAATTGGGAATGTGGGTCATCGACGATGTCATCATCATCTACGTCTGCAAGATAGACATAGCAGATACTGGCGCGGCTGTACCACTCGAACATCGAGTTGATAGCTTCTGAGAGCTCCGCGCTACTGCTTTTGTCTATGCAGCATGAATCAACCCAAAGCAGCTCGTATCCATCTTCTCGCGCTCGAGCGCAAGCGTCGCTGAGCTTCATGCAAACAAGGGGAGAGGATAGGATAGACGAAGCCGATATACTGGGGTGCTGGAAATGGGTCGTATCCCCTGCAACAGATGTTTCATCGGCGTCGAATGAATCTCTGAGAGTGGGCAAGACAAGTGCGGTATACGGCTCCCAAGGATGTACCAAAGAGACCAGGAGAATAGTGATAATGTTGACATAAACCCTCGAGAGTACTGATGGAGGAGTATGTCGGAGATGCGTTGCCAGGAAAAGGAGCGCAGAGATAGAATCCAGTATCATATCCCATGTCCAGGCCCCCACGCGAAGGGCGACATGGGATATCCCCGGTGGCTTGTCAGCCAAATAGAGCGTCTCGGCGATTACGTTCCTCTGCGCCCGAAAACTCTCCTGGATGGCGAGTATGTCTTGGTAGGACTGTTCACCATCGAGGAACCACGTGTGGGAGAGAATCGCATACGGCACATCGAGAGTACCATTGAATGAGCGGAACTCGCCAGTCGTGGTATCGATGAGTCGCATGAGAGCCTGCACTGTAGAAGTTATCGATATGCTGCATGCCAAAAACATGAGAAACCCTCAAATAAAAGACTCACGGAGATAGCTTGAACGGCGAACGCTTCCATGCTCCCGACGAGCAACAGCACGCTTTATATTGGCATAGGGGCTGTTCTGATAGGGGAAGGGGACTTTGAACGTATTCCATGTATGCCGGCATGCTTCGCCAAGCGTGTAACACGAGGTAAGACTGGGACAGCTTTCTGGCGCCAGAGATGACAGAGAACATCAAGCGTGGGCGAAATGACCAGCCTAGACGACCTTGCAGTGCACACCGCCTCCTTGCTGCAAGGTCATGTTTTGTCAGACGGACAGACCTGTTCTGCGGAGTCGCCTTCCAGGCGACGAGCGTTCCTACTGACTTCACAGGCAGCTGCGAAGAGGAATCATTAGCGGTCAAACCGCTTATGCGTCCGCCAGTTGCCAGCATGGCACTGCAATGAAGCATCTGGGCCGGCGAATTCGGATTAGCGAGTCAGACCTTGAGGACACGGACCTGAGGACTCGGATGCGATGCGTGGAATGTTTATCTCATGGTACTGATTGCAGCAGATCACGCCTACTGCAGTCGGATAACGTCCAGGAGACAGCAAACAAAGGGTGCGGAGTGGTGTGGGTTGCGTGCCCTCTACGGTACATCATAAATTAAGCAGTCGTGTTTTTGCTGCGAACCTCCGCCTTTGGCGCATGCTCGTATCCGGAGAAACCCTGTGAAGCTTGCACGACGTCGTCAGGGGCATCGGGCTCTAGGTGTCCTTGCTCATTCCGCCGCGCCCTGCCAGAGGGAAAGATTATTAGCAACGTAACGTCGGGTCATAGAGATATACTAGCCGGAAGAACGTGTACGACAAGACAATGTCATCCAGGTTCCTGCACGCTGGATCATCCAACACATCACGATCAATGAAGAATAGCAGTGGCATGTCGACCTCTTCTCCGGCAAGGAGCTTCTGCTCCTCGAAACAGAAACATTCTACCTTCGCAAAGTACGGTGCAATCTGAACGGGGGACTGTCAGACACTTCGAGCGATACACAATCAGTGGCTGCATACCCGGTCTGGAGTGACGTTGTACGTTGCGATACCAATTATATCCTTGTCGGACTTGTTCTTCGCCTTGTAGAAGGCAAGACTAGTCTCTCCGGGCAAAACGCTCACAAATTTCTGCTGCGGGACAAACGACCACGGAAGTGCATCTGACGTGTCCGCATTGAAATGGACCTTGATGCGCTTGGCGTCCTCGACAGGAACAAGTCGCTCTGCTTCGAATTTGCCCATCCCGACCTTGGGCGTACCCGCAAAGCCCGTCGCAGCGCAGAACATGCGGTACAGGGGGACCGCCGCGTACGTCACTCCCACTCCGAGAACGATCTAGGCGAGACATGCTCAGTGACAAAAGCTCGGAGCATATGTAATGGGGGGACGTACGACTGCCGTGGTATACATCAGCAGACTACGATTCCGTGATGCATACATCTCCTGCCTAGACTTGAACTGCGGGCGGGGTCCTGGAGGGGGAGTTCCCGGAGACGAGGAGCCCGAATGCGTTGAGGCCGGTCGCCATGATATTTGACTAGCGAAGGGCCCTGCTCGACGAGGAGAATGCGGGAGCGTGCGCCATGTATGCCTCGGACCGGAATGCACGGCCCTCTACAGCGCAATAGTCAGAGTGCTAAGCCTAAGGCAAGGAAAGCTGCTCAGTACTTACACGAGCAGAGCAGCTAGAAACCTCCGTTCGCAATGAGGACAGACATACCCCTCGACAGCTTGGTCTCAAGAGGGCAGCGGCGCGGAATCCGAGATGGTTCATGGCGAGGAGAGGGCGCTACCCTCGTACCGCCTGTTCCCGATCCACGACTATCCTCTCGACCCGCCGGCGCGCCTTGTAACGTCTCGCCATTCATTCCCGGCCAGAGCCTACCAACCATCCCTCTGTCCTCCGTTGAAGTGATAGAGATATACCTTACTAATTACTGCAGAGCCTCTCGTCATGTCCGAAGCTTCTTCCACGCCAGGGCCTAGCTCTTCTAAGCCAGATCAGCCGTCAGCGGACGACATTGAGAGGCTCCTCAACAGGGAGGCTACAGCCTTTCAGCGGGAGATAGAGGTTGAACGTATCCTAAAGGCCTTCAAACTAAAGTGCGTCTCCATATCCATCTTATTGGTGCACAGCTCATCTCAATACCCTTCCCGATGCGTGCAGTCCGTACGAAATCCTCGACATCAGCGAAGAAGCGAGCACGGAAGAGATCAAGAAGAAATACAGGCATCTCTCGCTCTGTGAGCATACTACCGACGCCTCCCCGGCCCCGGGTCTGGGGACGTGAGCTCGTGTTGAATAGAGTGTTGACTGCCACGTACGTTGTCTGATGTCTAGTCATCCATCCTGACAAGACCCCCCACCCTCGCGCCCCAGATGCATTTGATCTCCTCAAGAAGGTCCGTACTTGGTTCACCCACCATAGCTCCTCTCCTCTCCCGGTCTGGCTGCGCACACGACCACTTCTCTATCCTGACTATTTGGACAAAACATTGTGCTGACGTCTCTACCAGGCTGAATCTGAGCTGTCAGACAAGACTAAGCGAGAAGAGCTGGACGCTGTTATCAAACAAGCACGCGTCGTCTTGCTGAAGGACCTGGGGCTTCCTCCAGCAATGCGAGATGATGACCCGAAGCTGAAGAGCTTGGTGCCGTCCTGGAGGCAACAAGTGCTTGCGAAGTCTAAAGAATTCCTCATAGACGAGGAGGTTCGAAGGCGGAAGTGAGCCATCCCCGCGCACATCATGTGGACATCTCTCATTTCCTCTTAGAGCCTTCAAGATGAACCTTGCGAATGAGGGCCTGGAGGCCCGCAAGAAAGAAGAGGAGGTGAATGCGAAAAAGCGGAAGGCGGAGGAGGAGGCTCGTTGGGAAGGTGCGTCGGCGGCGTTATCTGTGGATTTCCATGTGCCGACGTTTACAATCGCCTGCAGAGAACCGAGAGCAAAGGGTCGACAATTGGCGGAACTTCGCTAGCACCTCGAAGAAGAAGAAAAAGACGAAGGTCGCTGTTCTGGGTTGAACTGCGACCATCCTCTTGTTCGACATGTATGTATTCTAGAGGAGTTCGACGATCAAGAGAGAGCTCGTATCTGGTACATTGTATGACTTGTATTCTTCGATATTGACTGTTATAGATGGTTCAGCCGAATAAAGATGACACCTCAATCGAACGGCGCATACACTTCATCAGAGAATAGTGCAACGTCGCAGGCCCAGCCCTTCAACACATTATGCATACAACATCAGAGTGTACCGCGCATATATGCGCACACTGCTATCCAACTATACCTGAAGTCGAGCCTCGTACTACAGTACGAGTCCTGTCGATACACGGTTTCCCAGCCACTCAACGATCTTCCCCACACAAGTCAACACATTACGCCTCAGTTACTCAGTCCGACAGCTCGATAACATCGGTGGCTGCCGGACGAACGACCCGCCTCCGCACATGTCTCGTCGGCACCGCCTTGTTCTCCTTGTCAGGCTCCTCGTCGCTGATGTTGATGACGTCTTCGCTCGCGACCGCGACCCCCGTGTTCCGCTTCGGGTTGGATTGACTCGAAGACGATGTGCGCGGGGCAGACGTGGCGCGCGAACCCGAGCTAGATGTGTTCGTGCCCACCGTCGGGGTGTTCTTCCTGGACGCAGTACCCGCTACCGTCGTAGTCGTCGCTGTCGAAGCGGCTGTCGCCCCGCCCTTCCCGAAGCTGAAGAGCGTCGCGCCCGTCGACTGGCTGTACATGTGTACCTGCGTCTGCGTCCCCACCCGTGCCTGTGTTTGCGTCTGCATGACAGTGCTCGACCCGTTCGTGCTCGCAGCCGTCTCGTTGCCGGGCGCGGTGCGCTTCATGCCCTCCTCCTCGGCACGCGTGACCGACTCGAGGAAGCCGTCGCCCATCTCAAAGTCGAAGCCGTAGTCGTCCGAGCTCGGATCGCCAAACACGAGTTCCTTCTTCTCCTTCTTCTCTTTGTGGTCATCGCTCTGCGGCCCCCGCCTCGCCTTCGCCCTCGCGACGTCCAGCGGCCGGGCCTCTCCAGCCCTCGAGCTCGTGGGCGGCGGCGCACGGGCGAACGCATCCTCCTCGTCCTCCCCGATGCTGTCCGGGATCTCGATCGCCGGCGCGCGCGGAGGCGACAGCCCGATCGTGCGCGCGAACTCCTTCATCGCGTCCCGCGACCCGGGCCCTGTGAGTGTGACCGTCGCCTCACCCGCTTCCTCGACGTTTCTGGCGCCATCTGCGCTCCTCTCGTCCGTCTCCGTCACTGTCTCCTTGCGCTTCGCACGCGCCACGTGCGGGCTCTGGCTCCCGAAGAACCGCGAGCGCTGCAGCAGCTCGGCGCGCGGGGGCGGGTCGGGGGAGGGCGAGCGCCCGGTGCGGCTGGGGCGTTTGCGCGCACGGCGGCGGGGCTCGGCGGCGTCGTCTGCGTGCTCGAGGAGGTTGAGGAGGGCGGCGTTCGAGGGCCCGGCGGCGGGCGGGGGTGGGGGCGTGATGTCGCGGAGGGGGGAGCGCGAGGACGGGGTGGACGAATGGCGGGGAGGGGGAGGGGTGAGGTGGCGCTGGACGGGGCCAGGAGCGGGAACGGGAGCGGGAACGCGGGCTACTGCAGGAGGGGCAGGGGGAGGAGGTTGGGGAGCGGGGGCATGTGCGGGTTCTGGGTCGCGTTGAGGCTCTGCGGGCGCGGGTTCGTCTTCTGGGGCTTCTTCGCTAGGGGAGTACGTCAGGACGTGCGCGGGCGAAGGGTGCCAGGGACCTACCCGAGACGCAGCTTCAGGCCACGAAGGAAGATGGCTTCGCGCCGCTCATCGCGGTCCGCTGTCTGGTGGCCTTTGCAATCGATGCATCGCGGCTCGAGGTGTGCTGTCCCGCGGCGGATGGTAACGTCTCTTATGACCATCTGCTCTTCGTAGGCGTCAGAGAACGCGCACAATGTAGGGCATGGAAGACGAGGGCACTCCAACTGCGTGACCGAGCACACCCACCTTGTACCCCAGAGGCGTTTCTCCAAGCTCAAATTGTGGCAGATTCTTGACCTCGATTGCAGGGAGGACCGACGCTCCGTCGCTCAGCAGAAGCTGTAACGTGGACCTGGGGTACTTGGGCATCGGCTTGCGCTCGCGCTCATGCTCACGCCCGTCCCCGCTTGCGTCCCTTAACGCCGCCTGTTTCCGATACTCTTGCCGCGACTCGTGCACTTGCAGCAAGCTGTATGCGCTATGCGCAAACTCCATGATCTCCGTAACCTCGACGAGGATCGGACCCCTGAGGACAGCGTGGTCCGCGCCTAGGACGTTCTGCGGGAAACCGGTGCCGGCGACCATGCTGTCTGCGAAGTCGGAGCCGAGGAGCTGTGAGTTGACGTTATCAAGGATGGCGGGCATGTCGCGCGCGGGGTCAAGGTGGAGCTCGGATAGGATCCAGGTGTAGCAGGCTTCGAGCCATTCCTATACAGGGCGTATTTGAGGGAGTGCTCAGAATGAGACGCGCCGGGGCGCGCGCAAGTGGTACGGGATGTATACGTACCGGATCAACGGTGGGCTGGGGGTAGGTCTCTCTGAGCCACTGGGTCACTTGGGGTGGGGGCGGTGGCATGGTGGAAGACTGAGAAGGCGGCAGGACTGGATGAGGAGGATTGGCGTTGTGATGCGCGTGAAGAGCGGTGATGGGTGGTGCGGGGGTGACACTTACCAGAGTGTACAATAATATTAGGGCAACGATGGCCTCGCAGACTCGCTAGGATTGTGTGACTAGACTCGAAGTTTCGTGTATCGCTGAGAAGTAGTTCGCGAAGGTCGGAAACCCGAGCTCTGCGGACAGAGAAAAAGACAGTGAGCTGAGTAGCCATATGGAAGGCAAATATCAGCTCACCTCAAAGTGATGTCATGCACCAAGCTCCTGTTCAAAAGTCAGAAGTCGTAAGCAGATGCGAGGCGCACGACAAAGGCGCGATTGAGGACTAGTGTCTCAGGTACCGTCGAATTGGCGATGATGGGTGCGCGCGATCCTGATGATGGTCTAGACTGACAGGTATGTATGACGAGAGGGTGATAGTGACGGATTCAGGAAACGGATGGGATAGAGAATGAAGTGTAGCGGCGGGGCGTAGAGAAGAAATGCTCGGACGCGTTCCCCGCAACGCGGTATATCGCGACGCGTGACGCAAGTCACATGACCTGTCCGTGTGACGCTGTGCTAGATAGGTTAAGGTTTGCGGGGTGCGAGTGCTCGCCTTCGAATCTGCTCTGTTTACGACGCCGCGGCGACCAGGGATGCTTCCGAGTCTTCTCCGTACGCGGGCGTAACGGGCATAGGCATATCACTCGCCTTTGTCAATGCTTTCATCCGCGTACCGTTTCCTCGCCTCACGACGCCTGCCTATGCAATCACACCTCGTCTCGCCCACGAGACGAGCGAACTCGACCAGGACGACTCCCACCCTGCCTTCCCTACCACGCCTCCCTGTCCCCCTTCTTAATGCTACACTGAGCGCATACCTCAAATCATTAGAGCCCTTTCTCCTGGAGGATGCTGCCCGTGGTGGGCCAGACTTCAAGACCGCCTACGATGCCCGTCTGAAGCTCGCACAAGACTTCGAGCAAGGCATTGGGTCTATATGCCAGCGACGCCTACTCGGTACGCTGCTCCTCTCCCCCGTACCTATTAGATCCAGCACGCTTAGAGTCTGCGATCCGGCGGCGACGAAGAGCTCGATAAGCACTCCCCGCACAATTGGCTCGACGACAACATCTGGCTACAAAAGGCTTACCACGAATGGAGGGCGCCCCTCATCGTCAACTCTAACTGGTGGCTCGCGCTTGCCGATGACCCGTCTGTTCCGCCTGCCGTAAGATACCCTAAGCATCAGGTCTCTGGCTTTACGAACTGGCAGATCCGTCGCGCGGCCTGGCTCGTGCATCGAGTGCTGGACTTCAAGGCTCAGCTTGATCGGTGAGCTACGCTCTCACATGTGCATCCGCATTTGCATCTGACGAATGACCACGTAGACAAGACATCTACCCAGATACCACACGGACAGGTTCGTTGTTCACACTACCTATATCCCGCGCACGCTGAGCGCTCACCCGAACTAGGTCTCTGGTTCCGGCATGCTGCACTTCAGTCCTTCCACAAGTGCCGAATACCCCAGCGCGGATGCGATCGCCTCTCCACAGTGCCATCTCCGTCCGACCCCAGCTCTCGCAAGCTCCTCGTGATGGTCGCCGACTGGATGTATGCGGTCGACGTGGTCGACTCGGACGGCGGCTCTCTCCCTCCGAACACCATCGAGAAGAGGTTACGCGTCATCGTGCAAGATGCGGAAGCTCGGCTGGAAAGAGGAGAGCGTCCCGTTCCAATAGGTGTGCTCACGACGGACGATCGCGATATATGGGCAGCGGTGCGTCTCTTCCCCTACACGTTCTACTCTTGTCTAATAACCCCCATCTCCCTGCATAGAACCTCGAACACCTTCTTTCCCTCTCCCCCTCGAATCGCACCCTCTACACCACACTCGCCTCCTCCGTCTTCGCCCTCAGCCTCGACCCGTACGCCTACACCCTTCCTCCGTCTCACCAGACTCACGACGCGGACCTCGCCACGCACCTGCACAACGTTCGTTCCGGCGACGGGGCCCGCCCGGGCCACAACCGGTGGTACGACAAGCCGTTCACGCTCATCGTCGAGGCGAACACCCGCGCTGGAGTGCTTGGGGAGCACTCCCCCGTTGACGCGCTCGTGCCGAGCGTCGTCGCGGACTACGCGATCGTGCAGGGAGTGGACGATGGTGCGTTCTCTGCTCCTCTGAATCCGTCGGAGGAAGTGGAGGCGGACGAGGATGTGCACTTCAGGGGCTGGGAGCGTATGGACTGGGTCGTCGACGGCGCGATCGTGCAGGCGTGCGAGGAGACTGCCATGCGCGCTAAGGTGGTCGTCGACGACTCGGACGCGGACGAGCTCGTGTTCGACGCGTACGGCGTTGACTGGATCAAGAACGAAGGTACGCATCTCTCCTTCGCTCCGTCTGCTCCTCCCCCTGCTCCTCCCCTCTCTCTCTCGCTAAGCGTCGTACTGATCCCCCATCCGTGCGTACGCACGACAGCCGGCCTCTCGCCCGACGGCTACATCCAGATGGCGCTGCAGCTCGCGTGGTACCGCACGCGCGGCGAGTTCACTGCGACGTACGAGACCGCGCTCACGCGTGCGTTCCAGCACGGGCGCACGGAGACGATCCGGACGCTCTCCGCCGACAGCCAGGCGTGGGTGCTCGCTATGGCCGATCCGCATTGTGAGGTACGTTGCGTCTCGTCCGATATCATCTCGCCGTTCACCATTCGTTCTTTCTCCATCTGGTCGTAACCGACGTCGCCCTCGGCCTCCGCAGGACGCGACACGTCTCGAGCTGCTCCGACGTGCAGTACAGACGCACACTAGCCTGACGCGGCGCGCGGCGACGGGCCGCGGGCTCGACCGACACCTGCTCGGGCTGCGCCTCATGCTGCGTCCGGACGCGGGCGAGTCGCATCCCCTATTCGAGGACGAGCTCTTTGGTCGCAGCCAGGCCTGGAAGCTGAGCACCAGCGGGCTCAGCGCTGGATACCAGTTTCGGGGGACTGGGTGGGTGCTTCCTTCCTGCGGCGATCATTGTGTATCGCTGTTGTTGTGCTCATGCTGCTCGTGTTGGATAGGTTTGGTGCTGCATACCCTGATGGCTATGGGATTAACTGTGAGTGTGCTTCTGGTGGGTGGTGCACCTGTTACTGATTGCAAGTGCTGGGTAGACATGCCTGCCCTAGATAGACTGAGGTTTGGTGTTGAGTCCAAGCACTCTTGTGCACATACTAGTACCTGGTTGTTCATGGCAGCTATCACTAATGCACTTCAGGATATGAAGGCACTGTGTACATCTACCTTACAAGCCCACCTATAATCAATAGAATCACATCTTGCTCACACAATTCAGGAAGGGGTGTGTCAAAGCATGCATTCATATATGATATCCAGTGAGCATAGCACAGTAGCAAGGTCATCACTATAGAAGTACACCAGGTTGTCAACCACACCAACCAGCATCAGGCATCCTCAACTGTAAGGCACTCTGGGTTCACCCAGACTTCATCACCCCAGGCAGCTGCCATCCTGCCCACCAGAGTCTGAGCAGCCCTGTCCCACACAAAGTCCCAGGAGGTGACAATGTACATGCCTCTCTTGCAACGAGTAAGCATGACATTTGTACGGCGCTCATCAGTAAGGAAACCTAGGCCCCTAGAGCGAACCAGGGAGACTATGACATAGTCCTTCTCATTCCCTGCAAAGGCACAAGTTCAGCTGTGAAGCCCAAGATCATGAAAAGGCCACTCACCCTGAAAGGAGTCTACATTGAAGCATTTGTCCTGCCAGACAAGACCAGAAGCTTTCAGCTCATTCTCAAGGAAACTGCGCTGAGCATCATAGGGGGTGATGATGCAGTACTCCTTGTCCTCTGCCTGGAGCTTCTCAGCAATTTTAAGGACTGTGAGTCTCTCAGCAGGGTTCTGCAACAGGTATGTCAGAATGGAGAGAAGTCCCCAGTCCAGATAGAACTTACATGCCAACTAGTCTCATGCTGCAGCTCCCTAGAGTCCTCAGTATGGACAAACCAGCAGCTGTCTTGAGTGGTGGGAACTGGGTGGTCTGGCCAGGACTGGAGCTGCCCCTCATAGATGACCTCTGAGACAACCTCTCCAATAAGGGGAGGCATGCGGTCTAAAGATGTTGGTGAGCTATCAAGATGGATCTGCACTAGAAGAGATAGACTTACATTGGATACTGAGGAATAGTGCTGTAGAGCGCAGGTGGGAGATCTCAAAGATGCTCTGAATGATATTGTCATCATCAGCACCAAATGGAGGCACTAGAACATGGATGAGCATATAGAGGGTCAGAGAAGGTGGCAATGAACTTACATTGCTTGTCATCTCCTATCATGCAGATCTTAGAGATGGATGGGAACTGCTGGAGAGGGGCTACATAGTCCCCAATGCCAATCTGGCTAGCTTCATCAATGACCAGAGTGCTGATAGGGTTAGCTGTGGTGAAGATGTGCAGTTTGGGGTGGGCTAGCATGGATAGAGTACAGAGTATGACTGGGATGCCTTGGACCTTCCGCTGCGCCCTCTTGAAGTCACGTGATAGAATGATATTCTTGTTGATACTAGTGTAGATATGTTCATGCCTACACACCTGATGAGACATGTCATACAAGCAGGAGTAGAGATCACATACCATTCAAGGTGGAAGTCGTTAGAGACTAGCAGCCTCCAGTTCAGGAAGCCAACATCCGCCAGCTTCTCAGCAATGTTCTTCACAGCAATGTTGGTCTGAGCGACAAGCCAGATGCCACTTGTACCAGCAGCAACAGCTGAGGCGACAAATGCAGCTATGACTGTGGTTTTCCCTGTTTCCCAGCATCACTGTTAGTACAAACTCCCATGCCGACAGGATACGACACTCAACCTGTGCCAGGGGGGCCCTGTATGATACTCAGTCTGGTTTCACTGGTCTTGAGGAGCATATGCTCGACAGCGCGTTGTTGGGAATCGTTCAGAGGACGTTTGGTGATGATCGGGGGAATGGTATCGACGACCGGGAAGGCTTCAGGCCATGCAAACTCCGAGGATGGTTCGAAGATGTATTTGAGGAACGGGTTCTGTAGGATGTCGCCGCCCTGAAGCGCCTGGAGTACAGCGTGCGACCGCTGCTGGTTCGCATTCGTCGGACGGTCTGCGCCCTCGGTGGTGATGGATATGATGGATCGACCTTCGAGAGAGCTGTCGGTCTTGAGCGTGACGTTGCGCCCTTGAGCCGTGACGATCGTGCCGTTGATGAAGAAGTCGATTCCCGTCTTCGGGTCGTGAACGGCGATGCGCTGGGTCTGAACGCCCGTCTAGAGTGCAAGGGAGATCAGCGGAACTGCACGTACGATGACAGGACGGGGCACATACGTCGTCCTTCCGGAAGCGGGTCTGGAATCGTTCAGCGCGGAGGTGCGCGGTCTGGTGGCGTGCGCCGACGGCGGAGAAGTCGTGGGCGATGGACGTGGGCTGGACGAGCGCGAGCTTCTGGTCGCCGCGCTCGAGCTGTGCGATGGCGCGGAGTTGCTGCAGAACGATAAGGTCAGATATGCGGGACGAGTAGCGATCGCATCGGGGAGGCGCACCGTCTCATTCATAAATCTCGTGTTGACCTTCTTCGCGGCCATGACCCTCTCCTCCATCCCTGCGTACGTCGCGACACACTGCGCGACCCAAGCCTGCTGGGTGCAAGCAATGGTGACAGCGCTGGCGCGCTTGTCGTCCCATACGGACTGCGCGAAGACGCTCTCGACGTTCTCCTTCAGGACGGCGGCGTGCTCTTCGACGGCAAACTTGATTGCGGCTAGCGGCGGCCGGCCGACCCCGAAAGCGGACTGGAGGTCGACGCCGTTCAGGATGCGGAGGTTCTGGTCGGCGAAGAGGGCGATGGCGAGCTCTCCGATGTCGAATGCGAGGAGGGTGACGTCTTCGTTGCAGAGGATCTGCTCGGCGAGGACTTCGCGGCCGCGGTACGCGTTAGCGCCCTTTCCCTTCGCGTGGAACTGGATCACGACGGCCTTGGTGCTGGTGGCGACGACAAGACGGGTGAGGATCCCGCGGCTGCGGGTGCTCGAGGAGTAGATTGCAGCGAGGCCGACGCGACGAGGTACGGGACAAGTGTCCAAGAGGTCGTCGAAGAGCTCCTTCGTCAGTTTGGACTCCAAGACATCGTCTTGCACTTGGATGTTGGGATGATAGTCGTCGATGAGAGACTGTTGGATCGTGCGAATTCTGGATGGCGGCATGGATGATACTTCGTCCTCGAGTGAGGTTGGTAGATGTGGGGGAACTTGGAGTCGTCTCGAGCGTGGTTGGCAGACTGTCGTAGATAATGGAGGCAAGGGAAGCGGTAGGTCGAACGGCAACGCTGACAGGGCGTGTCTACAAGAAGCCCCAAGAAGCGGCATCTTGGGCCACAAAGCGGGCATTTAACACTCTTCACTTTGGTCCGTCCTATATAACGATTTCCTTTGATGGGCTCACTTCCGTCCCTTTTTGTCTCGCAGCACCACAAACTACCGCAGCATCGCTGACGCGCACACAGTCTCGTGTGGTCGAGTGCAATCTATTCCATCTGCGCGTGCACAGGCTAGGGAAACATGATGCAATCGAACACGCCGATGCCGTGTGCCTAGATAAGTAGTCCGATGGAAAGAAAACAAGTCCCGTAGACCAGTCTAAGGTATGCCACTTCGTCCTAACAAATCAATGAACGATGTACGAACCAAGGAGCGGGAACGACAACGATCAGTTCCGCGAAGGAACGCCATGCTCCCACATGGGCTAGCTGTTGCCCCACATGTTGCTGAGCCGTGGAGGTTGTCCATGGCAAGAGCTGTCGGCATTCGAAACGCAGTAGGGCGGCCGTCGGATCGATGCGATAGGAGGAGACATGTGTTCGGAGACAATCCAACATTGAACGTTCGACGATCGGAATGGGCGGATTACCGCTTGCCTGGGAACCGATAGACAACTCTGGGCTCTACAAGCTATGACCGCACCAACATAGTTGGCAGTGTGAACGAATGGTCAGCCGTTATAGTCTACTTTGAGAGAAACATCTGGCGCACCATTTCCGCAACCGCTAAGGACACGTTCACCACTGTCCTTCCCCCAGGATTGTGTCCTGCAGAGATCCCTTGGCTTGGTCAAGCGTAAGGCCTATGAAGTTCCCGGCTTGTGTTCAAATGGCTCCAGGAATGCTTCAGCTTCGGCTCTAGGTAAGGCCAAACCGAGAGATTCCAAGACAACGGTTCTTCTGTGACCCCAGTCATGAGAATGCTTCACAGCGATCTCCGTCCCTCGTTCTAGACGACTGCGAACCAGCTACCGCAGCACCATAGAGAGACGCGTAGGGCAAATTCGTTGATTACAGCCGGTTTCAGCTCGCTTGTCGTGAGAGCGTCGCGCCGCGTCTCGCGCATTTGCCTGTTTTCCCCTCCTAAGCGCCCCCAAAGGAACTTCGGACGACGATATCTCCTCGACTGCTCAATGTAACCACCTCATTCTTGCATATTCCGGCTCAGGATCATGACGCGCAGGGCACGGTGCCGGTTTTAAGTTGGCCGCTCGTATGTCGGATGTTCCACCCGCCTTCGGTCGATTTCACGCTGTCTTCTGCATCTGTCGCGCATATATCTTAAAACAACCCCTGGAGATACCTGCAAGGCTCACTGGTAGCTGTGGGCGGATGTTACGGAGGGCATATGGTGCAGAAGAGTCCATGATGTACGTTTTCTCCATTCTGCGAATGGTTCTCGCACATGCCTAGTATACCACTCTGTCGTATATCGTCAAATCCAACACATCTTTGCTACGAAACATGTCACATATGTCCACTGTAAGCCTACAAACCCATGTAATCGTGCGGGTTGCCAATTGTAGTGTTCTACAAGCTCTCCTTTGCAGCTCCAATCTACCCACCTCGTCTGTTCCTCCCTCCTACTCAGCAGTGACTACATGGCCCCTAATGCCTTGCAAGACCACAGGGATCATGGAGGTGCGGATTACTCACATAGTCATGGTGTCTGGTGCTCCCCGACGAGGACTTTGAGCTGGCCCAAGAGGGCTGCCACCCGAGCCCACCCTATGGTGGACGTGATTGTCGCTGGACACTCCGCCTTTTGACACAGAGCCCTCGGTAGCGTCTTGTCTTCACCATTCCGACAATTTCCGGGAGAGTACGCCATACCATTCAGCCAACAACGCTGTCCGAGTCGAGTAGGGAGCTGGGAGAGCGGGAATGCCCAGAAGTTGGTGACGTCGAGTTGGCGCAACTTCAATACAATACCGTGCCCTGCGCGTCGTAATCCTGAGCCAGAATACGCAAGAATGAAGTGGTTACATTGAGCTGTCGAGGAGATATCGTCGTCCGAAGTTCCTTGGGGGCGCTTAGGAGGGGAAAACAGGCAAATGCGCGAGACGCGGCGCGGCGCTCTCACGACAAGCGAGCTGAAACCGGCTGTACTGACAATTGAGGAGACGCAGGGAACGAAAAGAGCGACAAAGCGCTGAAGCCGGCGAAATGCCTGGAAATGCGCCAGTCACCGGGCGCCTCTCCTCGACTAAGTGCTTACACTTGGACCACTGCTCCTACTTCTCAAATTCCCTTCTACCTCACGTATTATCATGGCTACGCCCGTCATCCTTGGTATCGGCGCAATTGCAGCGGCTGTAGCAGGTCGTTCACTCATGCGTAGGGGTTTGTTGGGTGGAAAGAATGCCGCGGAGCAGTGGGTGAAGGGTGGCTTCAAGGCCAAGATGGACCGGAAGGAAGCTCTTGCAATCCTTGGCCTCAAGTGAGTTCTGGAATTGTTCGCTCCGCTGGAGACTCAAGTACTGATGAAGTTATTCCGAAGGGATGGCGCTGCACTAAAGAAGCAGCTGAAGGATGCGCATAGGCAGATCATGCTCGCGAATCATCCTGACCGCGGCGGCTCGCCATACCTCGCCAGTAAAATCAACGAAGCCAAGGACTTGCTTGATAAGGAGAGCAAGTCGAGGTGATAGTTGGATCCTGCGTGGTACGTCTGCGTTCCTACTCGTGCGGTGGGTCTGGGCTCATGGGACACAGTCGTTTCCTGCTTTTCAGATTTACGCTGTATCCATGCCTAATGATGTACACTGCTCTGTCACATAATACTAGCCCCGTTCCTTGGACGACTGCATCCTGCCTGTCCAATCGCTCGAGTTTCCGTCCTCTAACCCTCAATACTTGTCGCAACTTTTCATCCGGCTACTTGTCTGGAATCCACCGGCGTCGATCTACATTCGCGAGATAGTACGTCTAGCCTTCATGCCATGCCTCCAAGTCCTACAGAGAGACGAACAACGCGAAACCCTCCATGTCTTCTACGAAGCTGTCTGCCGCCCTTCATGTTGCTGACTAAGCAAAATTTCCTTGATACCTGCCGCGATGTCCTCGATGGATCTCCAGCCATCCAAGCTCGGAACGAAAGAGCAGTGAGTCTTCTGGTTGTGCCCGGGGTCTCCTTCCTTATCATAAGTGTAGCTGGGACAATGTCTACTCTTCTGAACTGACGAACTTCGAGGAGATCGGCGACGAGGGCGAGGTATGGTCAGTGCCTCCTAGCGCCGATAGCGTGCTTCACGAGCACCCTCAACGAGTATACATCTGACATGTCTTCGAATTATAGGTTTGGAGAAGACAGTGTCGAGAAGATGGTGGACTGGGCACTGGAGAACGTCTCTCCTGAATCAAGCCCCTTCATCCTCGAGGTCGGGGCAGGGAACGGGAACTTGCTATTCGCACTCTGCGAAGCGGGCTACGACCCTAACAAGATTCTCGGAGTCGATTACAGCCCAGACGCCATCAAGCTCGCGCAAGCTATAGCGAGCACAAGGGCTACATCGCGAGCCGATGGGGACGAAGAGGATGAGGAGGCTGTATCTGCCCTAAAGGATGCGGACAAGATCACGTTCGCCGTGTGTGATTTCCTACAAGACGATGTCGTGCCACTTGAGGGCATGGTTCCGGGGCAGCACTCGGTCGCAGTATGGGATCTGGTCCTGGACAAGGGGACGTTCGACGCGATTGCACTGGCGGAGATGGATGAAGGCGGCCGAACTCCTGCGGATGGGTACCCCGCGCGAATCGGACGGGTTGTCAAACCGAATGGCTTTTTTCTCATTACTTGTGAGTGCCCCCCGCGTAGTCACAAGGTCGGCGTTATACTTAGTCGACGTCATGATGCAGCGTGCAACTTCACCGAAGAGGAACTAAAGGCGAAGTTCGCCAACGCCGAAACAGGCTTGCGGTACCAGTATGTTACACGAAACGTTATCCGCGCAGCTGTTGTCCTGATACGCCCCTCTCAGCTCCAGAGTGCCGTGGCCAACCTTCTCGTTCGGAGGTCGCAGTGGGAATGTGTATTCTACTGTCGCATTTCGGAAACTTTGATTGTCTGGGTGCCATTCGGATGCTAGTATTGTTTCTTGAGAGCGAATGAGTAGTGACACATAGGGGCAGATTCTATAGCACAGTAATCACATCCATTCCTGTCCTCAACGTCTGCAGCGCGACCTGGCTCGCCCACTTCAAGAACCCCTCCTCTCCCCTGAACGCCTCTCGCAAAAAGTATACCAGCCCGAGTGCAACCGACTGGATCTTCGAGCCCTTGATGAAGACTTCCTCCAACGGCGCCTTGTTCTTCGTGTTCGGCAGTTCCTCCGAGCTGAGCAACGGCGTCGCCAGCTGTGTGTTCGCGAGCACGTGCACGAACAGCTCCCGCATGAACGTCCGCGCCTGCGGCTTGAGGACGGTGAAGTCGACGGGCTTGAGAATCGCGAGCGTGCAGCAATCCTTGGCGATCCACCAACCGAACGCGCGCGCAACGTTGCGCATGCGTGTCGGGGAGATGGACTTGACGTTAAAGCCCGCGCGGTCGTCCTCGCTGAGATTTTTCAGGATTTCGGCGCCGCCGACGGTCGTCTCGCCCATATCTCGGAGGAAGTCCCAGAGGCAGAACTGGAGGGTAATCTTGTGCGCGTGGGAGAGGCGGCAGAGCTGCTGGCCGACAAGGGCGTAGTACGGATTGTACTGCTTTTCCTTCACAAGGTATGAGCTACGGTAGATGTGGGAAGAGCTGAGAAAGCGCACGTTGCCGCAGCAGTGCAGGATGACGCGGATGATCTCGCGCTGCTGAATCTCCGTCAATTTGAGTTGCGAAAGCCGCTCGCAAGCATCCACGTAGTCCTAAAGACCTGGTTGAGTGGATTGGAAGTAGCGGATTAGTATGGACCGACGTACTTCGCTGCTCATGAGCACAACGAAAATGCTTCTCCGGATATCCGTGTTCATTCCTTGCTTCTTGGCGAGCTTCAATAGCACGTTCTCGTTCGGTACATCTAGGGCTGGCGCAATCGCCGCGTGGCTTTGAGCTTCTTGCTTGTGCTCGACGAGCGGGTCGCCGCCCCACGCGGCACCGACGAGCCACCACTTCCCCTTAGTGTCTGCGGAACGCAAGTCTTCCAGCGACACTCTGAGAGGCTCATGGGACATCACTGCGGCAAGCAGTCAGGTTAGCGGCGAGATCCAAAGAGGCATTAGGGTGACTGACCATGACGCTTGTTGAGACCCGACAAGAACTTCTTCATACGTTCCACGGCCTCTCCGCCTGCTGTCTGCCCAGCGGCCTTCTTGATCTTATTATTCTTCAGGTTGCTAAGAGTCTCAACCATGAAGCGAACGCGCGAGCTGAGGGCCCTCGTGTCCTGGGGCAGCTTCTCGTGGACTATCTGGATAATGCTCTTGAGGGCAGTTGGGTCGTCTTGTCTCAACTGCTGCCCAGAGTCTAGTTAACAGTCAGACTCACTCGTCATGAGATGAACGCAGATAGTACTGACTCCTTGCGACTTTCAGCAACAACTCCACCTTGAACTCGCTGAGGTCCCCGTCTAGCAATGCACGAATCACGTCGTACATCAGGACGCTGGAGATGACCTGGAAATTGTAGAGCTCCGAAAGGAGAACCACGAGGTTGGAAGCTTCCTTGCCGATGGGCTCATCGCTAGTGGAGAGATCCGCAGGAACATCGCCCTTGTCGCTCAGCGCAGCGAAGTGTGTATCATAAGAAGACACTATGTGCTGAACGAAGAATGCCGCTAAAAGAACATTGTGTTAGTGTATTTTACTGTGCTGAGACACGGTGAAATTCCATGCCAAACTCAATTCCGATTAGTTTGTGGAGAGCCGAGACGAACGCCGCATGCAAGACGACGTATTGGTCGAGGAGTATAGAGTGCGAGGAGATCCCCTCGGTGATGAGCTTCGTCAAAGTTTCCGTGACATCTGCATACAACTATTTATTGGCATGGAGCAATGAGCAGGAAAAGTTCCCAACATACCATGTCTACGGTTATTCCGGTACACTTCTTCAACGCCATCTACGATGGTCGCTATGTTCTGCTCGCTCATCCTGCGGCGAGCCATTACTGTACATGACATGCAGGACCGGTTTTGAAAACGCACCGATTGAGAAGACCTTTGAGTTGTCTCGTCAACTTAAGCTGAGCTTCAGATATCTGCCCGGTTTCGATCTCCGCACGTTTACGAAGATGCGGAGGAACATATTTGGAACCTGTGGCAATCCAGATGAGGTAGGGAGTTTGGCAAAGGATGTGGTAACAAACCGGATGATGCAGGCTGAGATGTCTCCGGAACCTCCGCTCGGCTCTCGATTTGCTGAGTAGAGCTGCTTTCGTCTGATTGCTCAGCGTCCTCACAGGCACCTCCGTCTCCGATACCATGCCACTCCTCAGCTTCATCCGGCTTCTGCTCATCGTCGTCGTCCCCGTCCGTGCTTTCAACCATCAACTCGTCCTCGTCTGCGCTATCCTCGAGCGTGGAGCCTTCTTCACCAGATCCCTCTTCGGAATGATATCCTTCTGAGACTTCGTCATGCTGTCAACGATATCAGTCAAACGGACTTCACAAGCGACGCATCGTATAGTCACCTGGTATGCCGGTAATGACGACTCAAATTCATCCAAGCCGTTGAGGAGATCTGCAACGCAGTTTTCGCATAAGCACGCTTGAACGGACGGTACACAGGCTTACCATCTAAACCGTCCTCTTCTTCGCCTCTGCCGTATTGTGTGGTGCGCTTTCCTCCCTTCACCCAACCAAGTTTGCGCTCTAGATAGGCAATATAAGCATCCTCCTGCTCCTCCTGAGGTGTCCAAAGAATGGCATTGAGTGGTGCCTTATGAGCTCGTTTCAGGGCTTTCGGTGCCTCTGCACGCTCCGCCAATTTCTCAAGAGGGGTCTTGACCTTCTTTATTTTCAGGCTGGATCTTGTAGCGACATCCTTGGGGGGTTTCGTGCCGGCGACGGTCGAAGTAGGATGCGAAGCCGAAGACTGAGCGGTCTCTAGCTTGGCCTTCTTGCGCTGAGGGGACTCGACGTGTTCTGCCTCTGCATGCCTCTTTCCATGCTGGTGGGGCTTGGTTGAAGGGGCAGCGGAGAAGTATACTGCCTTGCGCTGCTTGCGACTTTCCCTGGCCTCTTTTCGGGCCTCTTTGCGTGATAGCCGCTGCCTTCCTTTGTGCTTATGTTTGTACGCGGAGTCTAGGTAACATTTGAGATTAACCTGACCGGTAGCTTCTATCAGCGTACATACTGCTTTCTCCGTTGATCTCCTCGAGGAGGGAATGGGGGAGCGAGGGTCGAGTGTGGGTGTGAGCAGGCATGAATTTCGTGGTCTCGCCGCGCGATTGGCTCAGAAGACCCGCACCCAGCGAGCGCTTCTTCCTCGCCGCTTTGCTCGCTGCGCTCATCACCACACTCAGGCTCGGGACCTCTGCTTCACTTCTTCATCTTGCCGCTACCGTCGCCGCCGCCATGTCCATGGAAGAGAGCATCAGTTTGGAGGAGACTAACAAAATCCGTATCTCGCTGGGTCTCAAGCCTCTCACTGACGACAAGGCTCCTGCCGGCGACAAGGAGAAAGAGGCGGAAGACAACTATGCTAAGCAGCGGGAGCGAGAGACGAAGGAGCGCGAGTCAAAGTGAGCATTGTAGTTCTGTCAGCTCGCTTCCGCTGACATCGCCCTCCTCTCTCTTCAAGGGCCATCCAAGATCGTATTGCGAAGTGAGTAGCTGTCTCATCATCTAGTCCATCATGCAGTTGCTTCTACCTCCCTTGGTTAGCTCGGGCCCGCTATAGCGTGGCTGGGACAGAGAAACGTCCCATGTCAAACTGCTTAAGTTCGCAGTTTGATTACAGGCGTACGGCATTGCGCTGAGTGATACTCGTTGGCTAGCTGGTGAGACACCCAGTCCTGCTAGTTCTGCTAGTCGGCATACTATAGCCAAGTTTCCTTGGCGGTCTCATGCCGCTAAGTTCATCACCCGTATTCCTTCTGGTCTCGCAGGGCCGGAAAAGTGAGGTATCGATACTATTCTCAAGATCTTCATGGGCGTTGTCTTTGGCAACGGCTGTGTATGTCGTGCTGGCGTGGTAGCTAGGAGCAAGGACGGGAAATGCGTTCAATTACCAGCTTGTGCTCATATATTACTGTTTAGGGCCAAGAACAAGCGCGAGCTCAACGCGAAACTGAAGGGTGCCACTCTCGGGGAGGCTGAAGGAGATGTGGACGATACACTCAAATGGATCAAGAGGAGTAAGAAGAGGGAGAAGGAATTGGCGAAGAAGCGGCAGGAGGAGTTGGAGAATATGGATAAACTCCTTCTGGGGGATGACTATACCGAAAGTATGTTCGCCATCGTAGCCTCACATGTTATACTTGCTGACAAATTGCATCGCAGAGGATCTCGAGGGCCTTAAAGTCAGCCATGACTTCGAAGGCCTGGAGGAAGGAGAGGCCCGCATCCTGACGCTGAAGGATAGTCGTATCCTCGACAACGAAGGTGATTGTATGCGTATCTATCGGATCTACGGGAAAAACTGACGGCATTCTCGCAGAGGATGAGCTGCAGAACGTTGAAATGGCGGAGCGAGAGAAGGAGAAGAAGAACAAGGAGCTTAAGATCAAGCGACGAGACTATACAGGCTATGACGACGAAGAGTTCTCTGCTGGTGCGGTGGGTATGAAGCGCGCTGTGCTCTCCAAGTACGACGAATTTCTTGAAGGCCCGAAGGAAACCGTAAGTGTACAAAGCACTGCAACGAACAGTGTCTAATCTCTCGCATTAGGACTTTCGGCTCGGCAGCTCCACCCTTTCTTCCCGCACAAAGAAGGAGGAAACGGAAGGCACAGTGTCGGTCAACAAGTCTAAGTTGTCGATAGATTATGCCAGTGCGTCCACTTACTATCATCGCTTCCACCTCGTTCATATTGGCTTGCAGAGAACATCGAGTCCGCTGACTATCTTCAGCCTGGCGATGTCGGTTTCAAGAAGCCGAAGGTGTGTTGTGACGGCACCTACGACCATGGCGAGGACGCATGCTCATGAGTTTCGTCGCAGACGAAGAAAAAACGTCCGACGCGTCGGATTAATGTCGAAGAGTCCGATATACCTCCTGTGAATGGCGAAGACCAGATGCAGGTAGACGAGAAGCCCATTGTCCCGCGACCACGTAATTTGGATGCCAATTTCGTAGATGACGATGAGCTGCAAGCGGCTCTTGCGCGCTCTCGGCGTGCGAAGCTTCAGAGACCTAAGAAGCTATCGCCCGAAGAGATCGCACGACAGAGTATGTGACTCCGCATTTTAAAAACGATGTATGCGCTTATATCATGTTTTCTAGTCGCCGAGCAGCGTGCGCAGTCTGAGGCCAGGGAAGTCATCGTTGTCGGCGACGAGGATGACGACGAGGATGGCGGGCTGACTATAGATGACACTTCGGAGTTTGTTCGCGCCATCACCTATGACCCTACCGCAGTCAAGAAGGAACGTGTCGAACCTTCCGTCAAGCGCGAAGCCTCACGAGAGCCTTCCAGGCTCCCATCGGCACCACCAGCGAAGCTCGATGACGAGGATCACCCCATGGAGGAGATCGAGGCCGGCGAGGTGATCGTGAAGGAGGAAGAGGACGAGGAGGCGATGCTCAACGCTATCGAGAGCGCCATCAAGCAGACCGAGGCGATGGAGTCTGCCCAAGAGGGATCCTCGACCGACGCCGCGGTCGGCACGGCCGTCGAGCAGACCTTCGGCGCCGGCATGGCCGCGACGCTCAACATCCTCCGGCAGCAGGGCGTCCTCGCGCAGCCGAAAGCGGACCAGCTCGAGCGCGAACGCGTGCAGCTGCAGCGCGACCTCTGGCTCGCGGACTACCGGCGGATGGTCGCCTACCGCGAGCTCGAGCGCGCGAAGATGCGCGGGGGCAACAAGGACCAGGCGACGCGCGAGTACGAGAACCGGGTGCGGGAGCAGCAGGAGGCGCGGCAGAACCTGGAGGCGTTCAGGAACTACAAGCCGGACGTGAACATCGTGTACTACGACGAGTTCGGGCGCGAGCTGACGCCGAAGGAGGCGTGGAAGGCGCTCTCGCACAAGTTCCACGGGAAGGGCTCGGGCAAGGCCAAGACGGAGAAGCGGCTGAAGAAGATCGCGGAGGAGCGCAAGAAGGAGGCGATGGCGAGCGGGGACACGCCGCTGAGCATGAACCAGGCGTTCCAGATCCGCCAGGAGAAGACGGGCCAGGCGCACTTCGTGCTCTCCGTCGGCAACCGAGGGTGCGTTCTGCTCCCGCTCTCTTTTCATCATCCGAACACATGCTCACTCTACCGTCCCACAGAGCGGTTCCGCAAGCCGCAGAGTTCTTCGACAGCCAGCCGCTCACCAAGGGCAAGACGGAGAAGAAGAACAAGAAGAAGCAGGCGGACAAGGGCGGAATCCCGCAGCTCGACTCGACCGGGTTCATGACCCTCCCCGCGCCCGTGCTCAACAACGGCAGCCCTGCGCCAGGGACGTCCGCGGGGGGCTCCCCCGCGCCGCGCCCTGGCTTCTCGCGCATCACGTCCGTCGCAGCGGAGGTCGAGACCCCGAAGGAGGGCACCCCCGTCCCGGCGGAGAGGTCGAAGGTCGTGATTGGGCTTGGGGCGAAGCGCAAGGCTGCTGGCGACGCACAGGGCACTCCTCCGCCCAAGTCGCAGAAGCGGTAGTGCGATCGCTACGGAACCAGACTCGAACTCCTTGCTATGACCTATACGACCTGCTCTCGTTCTCTTTATGCACTATGAGATATGCTGTCCATCCCGAGGCTGCCAGAAATACACATGATAAATTACAGTAGATGTACACTACGTGGACACTCCGAAGCTAATGTAATGGGTATCTGGATGCTGTCTACAGCGTGCTGACGCTGCTGAGGCACAGGTCTTTCGTGACCAGACAACGGTCCTTGTCGCGCCCCGTGGCGCCAGTGAAGGCCTGCACCAAGGACGCCTGGCCGTCGTCGATCCTGAGCGTATCCCAGGAGGTTAGGTCACGCCTGCGCAAGAACCAAAGAGGCCGTCGGACGCACCATTCCACCGCATGCCCGTCCTTCTCCAGCGCGACCTTGATCGTCGCCCACGAGAACCGGGCGAACGAGGGGTACCCGAACGTGGGCTCCAGCGAGCTCCTGATCCACGCCTGCGTCTTGGGGTCCGAGGGGTACCCGCTGCCCGTCTCCTGCGCCCACTTGCCCTCCGACGCCCTCGCCCTCGCCCTCGCCCCCGCCGCCTCCCCCCTATGCGCAGACGACGACGTCGGGGGGCCGCGGAAGAACTTGGACGCGACGGGGTCCGGGACGGGCGCGCGCTCCTCGTACACCCAGCCGTCGATCCACGCGTCGCGCGTGACCTTGGCGGCGACGCTGGCGGCGCCGACGATCTTGAAGGTGAGGTCTGCCTTGGCCTGGACGGTGAATGCGATGTCGGGGAAGAGGGAGGAGAGGTACGCTTCGTAGCTCGTCGTCCTGCCGAGCGCATCGACGTACACCTGGTGGGTGCGGGCGCCCGGGGGCCGTCAGCGGAGGCAGCATGGATGGAGGGAACGGGAAGGGAAAGGGAGGAGGGGGCGAGGCGAGGACGCACCTCGGAGAGCTGGACGCCCCTGGCGAGGACCTCGCGGATGAGGAGCACGGTCGCGTTTTGCGACTGCTGGTTGAGGTTCGTTGGGGGGCGCTTGAGCATCCCGGCGGAGATGTCCTTGGGGCTGGGCAGAAGGGTAGTTGTTAGAAGGTGTTCTGCTCCGGAGCCATGGCCAGCGAGACTGTTTTTGCAACAGGAGGGGTATGCTGCGGACGCTCCAAGAAGGGTGCGCTGCCGCACGTCCAGAAGCCTTTGCCGAGACGACCAGTTGAGGGAAGGGAGAGAGGACTCACCTCAGGACGCGGACAGACCAGCCGAGGTTGACCGGGTCAGACCCCAGAGTCTCTAGGAGGGACGAGCGCACTTGTGCAGTGAGGGTCTTCGAGTCTAGAGAAGAGAAGGTCGGCTGTAATTCCAGAGGCGGCTCCCAATACGGAAACTCACCGGTAAACCCTAGCTGTTCGAGCTGCTCTTTGTAGGCTAGCGGACAGTATGCTACACCATATACAAGAGGACCAAGCACAGGACCTCTGCCTGCTTCATCCACTCCGAGAAAGTAAGGACCAGGGGCGGTGGGGGTTGGCGAGTGGTAGGTGTAGGAGTCGATGAGAGGAAGCGAGGGATCGGGGATAGACGGGATGGTTCCCGCAGATTCAGCAACTTCATCCGACTTCATAGCGGACTTGAGCGTCGTAGAAACTGCAGATGTTGGGGAGGGATAGTAGCCGGTAGACGGCAGCAGGTGCGCGAGCCGCTACTCCGCGACGCGTTGTTGTGCCGTGTTTGGGCAGGCGGGACAGCCACAGGCGGCGCGTCTTGGCTTGCAGAAATTGGTTGTGTGCCAGCTTGGATAACGCTTGCTTCACACCACTTTCCGCTCCATCGACACCCCCTCTCGATATGCCATACGCTATCCGGTTCATACATGGCACAATACCGCAGAACACACCTGTCGTGACATCTATAAGATCCGAAGCGCCGAAGCAGCTCGAGCCATACCACGTTCCCTTGGCTCGAAACGATATTACCGCTCCAATAGTCCTCTGGCCAAGCTCGACTCTAACCTGATCTCCAGACGTCTCAGTCGAGGTCTGCAGTGTCTGCGCAATTGCTTTAGCTGCGGCCTCCTGGGCAGACTCGTGCTAGATCGACGAATCCTGCAGTCCGTCCGCATCGCGCGCCGGGTGTGGTGAGGACGTCCGGGTCGGACGTCGGACGTCGTTAGTCGATTTTCCTCACTCCCAAGCCAATCATATCGCGAGTCGGTGCTCGCCACCGACTCGCTATTGCGCTGTCAGATCCTCAAGTTCTTGCGACCACAGGGCTGTCGGAAGGGGAGGCAAGGGCGCGAGACGGCACTAGTCGACTGTTCTGTACATGACGTATTAGAGGTAGTCTACAAGTCGACACTGCTCACCTTCCCCGAGGTGAACATGTGCCTCCCAACCTCGGACGAGGCCCAGGGAGCAGCATTCAATATGATGAGATTGTACTTCGCTCGGGTATCAGCCGATCGCGGTGAACTTCTTGGCGAGCACGAAGTTCAAGGCGCTCAGTTACATACTATCTCACTCATCGCGGACACGGTTCTTGCAGACATCGTAGCCTTTCGAACAATCCGGCCCGACTCTGTCTCACATCTCTCATTGAATTACATGGGATGCGGTGCACCTGCCACAATGCCTCGGCTCTCCAAGACATAGCAGGGAAACAATCGCAGACAAACCTTCTTGGACCCCCCCCCTGTGTGCCGCTCTACATAGAATCACCTTCACGAGGCTGACCAGTCGACATTCGTGAAGAGTAGCCCGCCAGCGGAACTGCCAGCCGCACGGATATCCCATCCACCTATCCTCCAAACAATATAAAAGGCTGCATCATGCGGTGACCCCTCTTCACTCCAAACCCTTATCTTCGCATCTTCCCGCATTCCGCCTACACAACTTGATTCGTCTACGGGTGGACCCACACGTAACACGGATGAATCCATCATACCTCTCTTCGGCCGTCCTCTTCCTCTCCCGCCCGTCTTTGCAGCACTAGATGCTCGTTGAGTATGTTCTTTTATACTCTTCTCTCGTTCTTGTGGATCTCTAACGCGAGTCGTATCTTCTGTCCATGGAACGAAAAGTGACAAGCGTCGTCCACCAGCATCAAGAAGACAGTTCGCACCTTCCCTTACCAATCGCCGAGCCAAGCATGTCATCACAACAGACAGCGGTCACTGGAGGCGCTGTAAGTAATGCCTTATCACCTCGCCACGGTTCCCTACTTGACACTGTCGACGATACGCAGCGTCCGGACGTACGCCAGCCACCGGCCAGCCGTAGCAAGTGATACAGATGCCACCAAGGTTGTCTTCCGTAGGCACTGGCATGCTGCCGTCAGGAGCCCTCCGAGAAATCGGAGCCTGAGGGTGTATGTCAGGGAGGGGCTGACGAACTCGGGCGGTGGCTCCCCCTTGTGTAGTCGGCCCCTTCGGCCTACGGGGATGACGTGGTTGTCCCCTCCCCTACTTGCCATCGCGAAGACGAGGTAGGCTAGCTTTGTAGATGATCTCTAAGCCCTTTTGACCGACTCTCCATGACAGTCTGCCGATGTACAAACCAGATCCGATATACCCACCGTCCTGCACCCTCGTGGGCCCCTGTTCATCTCTTGAGCCTTTGCCGGATCTTCGGCTTGCTGTGGACTAGTATTGAGTACCTCACATCGCCCACCTGGGGGGTGTATATGTACACTTATGTTCCTGTTAGGAGCTCGCGGCGTAGACGCACTAGTTGTGAAGGGACAGGCCAAGCACCGTTATCGTGCTCTTGTATCTAATTCATACCTATTATGAGGCATCGAATGGGTCTCTGTAAACCTCCACTCAAACGCTCCAAATCATTCCACTCCCTTCTGTAGGGGCATCGCAGGAACTGACTGGTGAGCAAAAACCTGGGTAGGGAGATGAGCATGACAAGCTTAGCCTCAATGCCGACACCTTGTGTAGCTAGTGCAAGTATTGCTGGTTGGATATCATGGGTGGGCGAGGATCGAGCAAGTTGACCGGCCTAGACGAGCCTCGACCTTCAGCAATTTGCGGGTTAGCATGTAGGATTCTCGGCATCCGCAAGCAAGACATCATCCCTCAGAGTACCAAGGAATGAGGTCCGCGGGCCTGAGCCGCGAGACGTTGCAACAGCACCCAGGAGAGCTCAATAAGTGAGTTTCTCCCTTGCCGCTCTGTGCCAAAGCTCGCCTGACACCTGGGTGCAGCTCGAAGTCGCTGGGCAGAGTACGCCAGCTGTGGTCGCCCCTTAACTCCAAAGAAGCGGACGGGACCAACGATACGTCTGGGTTCAGCTCGCATTCCCAACTAACCCTCTGGCCTTCTGCCGGAGTTAGGAGTGCATTATGTAGCAGATTCCTGACGGCTCTTGGCTGCTATATACGCCAGGTCGTTTGTGGAGGCGTCTGGGAGCTCGATGTCAGTGGGCGATAGCGAAAGAAGAAAGGTCCCGACAGCGAGGCCTGATGCGTTCTTGCTGTACAAGAATAGAAGCTGAATGGTCACCACTGTATCTCAAAGGGTGTGACACTTCAGATTGCTGTGAACCACCATCCGACAGCGGGAGAATACGGTACGGCGCAAAGAGATTGGCTGATTTTGAGTGGCCACGGTTGAAATATCGCCGAGCGAGGAATCGGTTGAGGAATTGCTGCGATGACGGACATGATATACATGGTGGGCCCCGATCCTGGAATAGTATACAAGCACGACACGAGTGGCAATGCAGCATGACAAGAGAGCTACGCAGCTGAGATGCCCATCCCTCATCCATGCATGTTCCCGAACTCGTCCATGCTCATCCCCCGGGTCACCCGCCGCCGCACCTCGGGAGACATCGAGCCGTCTGGCGGCATCATGCCCATACCCGGGCTCATGCCCATCCCTGGTGCCATACCCATCCCGGGGCCCATGCCCATGCTGTGTCCGCGCTGCATCGGGGAGGCAGGCATGCCGTCCCCCCCAGTTCCGTAGAACTGTGCTGGAGGAATGGGGCCGCCCATGCCGCCATATCCCCCGGGCATGCCCTGGTTCGCCCCAGGGTAGTGGCGCGGGGACGCCATGGCTTGCGGGGAGCCGTATAGTTGGGCCGGGGACTGGCCCGGATTTAGATGGCCCTGCGAGGCCGTGCGGTGTATGCGGGGAGAGTTGATGGCTTCCTGTTGCTGGCGCTGCGAGGGGGGGTTGGCGGAGGAGGATTCGTCGGAGCTGGCCTGCTGCTCTTTGATGTAGCCCATGAGAGGCGTGGGGTCGTAATACAGCTCGGAGTATTCGTCCACTTGGAACCTGGGGTGGAGATGAGGGCTCGAGGGTCGAGCGAAGGAGAAGGCGATGCAGGACGTACAGTTGTGTTCCGACGTCCCATTGGGGACCTCGGTCTGCGCGCGCGGTCATGAGAAGGGAGTTCCATTCAGATGCGCTTTCCTACAAGCAAAATGTAATGTGTTCGTTTGCGATAGTAAGAACAGCGAGACGTATGAAGACGTACAATAGCTTGCGCGAGAGCACTGCTCGGCTCGAGAGCCGTCTGACTGACATCCACGCGGATGCTGTCTTCACGAGCAACAGCTTCCACGCTGGCCGTAAGCAGAGGACCAATACGTTGAGAATTATGTCGCGGTACGTTGACCTTCAGATTGCGCGTGGGTTTCGTTGAGGGAGACATGTCCGAATGCTATGTCGTGGTCACGGAGTCGAGGACAAGGCCGGCGGAACGCTTCGGGCGTCTGCGCGAACAGTGTGTCGGTTTGACGCGTCGTGGGCGCCAAGTTGCTTCGCGCGACTTCGAGCTCGACCACAGCGACCGCGACTGTCCTGGGGACCACTCAGCTCTTTGCTGCCTTCTACTGCTTTGAAGCGCCTGGCTAAGACAGAAAACACTCGCTTGTATCTTGGTTTCCTTTGGTATGTCGGAAGGTAACGCAACAGCGGGTCCTTCAACTTTTCTGCGGGGCCACCAGCCCATCGCGCCCGCACCTCCTGAGCCAACCAACGCCGGTAAGTACGGTGATACCAATGCATACACGATCCTAGGACTCAACTTCCAGATCAGCATACTACAACAACATACGCCATTGGTCGAATTCCGCCACGCCCCCACCCACCAACGGCCGAATAAACCCCTCGCGGAAAGGCACCAGCACCGGCACCCGCCCTCTCCGCTCAAGCACCCTCGCACCCGCACCCAGGGCGCAAACTCCAGCTGCATCCGTCCGCCAACCCTCCATTCCCCCCGCTCAGCCCTCCCTCCCCGCACACGTCCAAGCCGCGATGGCCACCCCGCAACATGGCTCGCGCAACCCGCTCTCGACTGCGACGCAAGCGCTGCATTCAACGTACGCGTCGCGTCTCCGCACGGGCACGACGCTCCTGGTGCAGCCCATCCTCGCGCCGTCGTCCATCGCGGCCGTGGCGACGCGCACGACGCGCCGCGGCGGCGTGGTAAACTACGCGGACCCTGGCTCAGGGGACGAGTTCCCGGACGCGGGCGCCGTCGACTCGGACGACTCGGACTTTGGCGGAGGAGGGGGCGGAGGGGGACGACAAGGGGGGAGGTCGACGCGGCTGCCGAGTCGCGCTCCGGCGGGGAGTTCGGTGTTCGATGCGGGGAGGGGCGCGGGGAGTGGCCATGCGACGCCGGTGCAGGCTCAGCAGAGCAACGAGCTGGACCGGAGCTATTTGGGGGAGATCCCGCCCGCAAGGTTCATCACTGCGAGGCCGCTGTTGCCTACGCGGTTGGAGTACTAGTGAGTTGGTCCTCTTGGCCTGGGGCCTTGAATACTGAACGAGGTTCGTCTCGATTCGTCAGCTCGCAAGCTGCGTTGGAGACTCAAGCAGAAAAGCCGACCGCACTCATCCCTATACGCGTCGAATTCGAAACCGACTCGCAAAGGATACGCGACTGCTTCGTGTGGAACATGAACGAGGAGCTCATCACCCCGGAGATCTTCGCGCGGACGTTTTGCACAGATCTGGACTTGCCGCTGCAGCCGTACGTTGAAATAGTCGCGAATCAAATGCGCGCGCAAATCGAGGAGCACGAAGGGGTGGCTTCCATGTATCTCGGCGCAGACGCAGAGGTCTCGGAAGAGGAGGACGAAAGCCCAGGGGACGAAGTGAGCGAATGTCGGGTGATTCTCAGCGTGAGTGCAGAGTAACCGGCTCCCCTTCCGTTCCGCCGCTGACGACCCTGCAGATTGACGTACAAATCGCGACACACCATTTGCTGGACCATATCGAATGGGACCTTCTCTCCCCTCTCACCCCTGAAGAGTTCTCAGTCAAGCTCTGTAGGGAACTTGGGCTCACAGGCGAGGCAGCTCCCCTCATCGCGCATGCCATCCACGAAGAGATTTTAAAGCACAAACGCGACGCGATCGAATGGGGCGTCATTGGTGGTGAAACACGCGACGCTGCAGACGATGCCGGTGCGGACAAGCCGCGCGACAAGAGTGGACTCAGCTTGATGAAGGACAAGACTGGGCTGGGTCTCGGGTGGGGACGTGCGCCCAAGGATGGGCGTGGACCAAAACCGCTACGGAGCGTCTGGCGCGATTGGCAAGAGGCGGAGGAGTTCAGGACGAGGTTTGAGGTGCTCACGGCGGAGGAGGTCGAGCGGAGAGAGCTCGAGAGGGAGCGGGCGAGTCGGTACGTGCTCAGTCTGGTCTTCGCCCTGTTGGTGTTCTGATATAGCATCGCATAGACGACTCCGCCGCGAAACCTCAAAGTTCCAGTCGACGGCACGCTCCAGGCTCCTCACTGGACGGAGATAGGACTGGGCTCCTGTTGGCCGCGAGTCGGCTCATGTCTGCGATTACTGTATTGCACTGCGGTTGTCCTTCTACCTTAGTACTTCTAGTGATGATACAAGGCATCCTGTCTTCCCGCCCGCACTGTAGATCCTTTTGGTCAGCCAAGTGCGTGAGGTCTTACCGTGTTTGAGTCCCTCCGAGTTGCGTAGAGCAGGTCACAGTCATGTGACCGACGCGTTGAGCGCGACGGCCACGCGCTGCTGGGGAGTGGTTCAACTCGCGCGACTCTGTCGCAGACAACGACCTCTCACGGCTCCCCGACCTCCCGCACCCCGACTCCGACTCCGACCGCATGGACCCCGCCCTCGCCAGCAAGCTCGCCCGGACACGAGACCAGTACAGGGCGCAGCTTGCGACCGCGCTCACGGAGGACGCTGACCCGCTCGCGGCGTACGACTCGTTCGTCAAGTGGACTGTGGACAGTTACGGCCCACATCTCGCCCAGTCTGGTTTGCTTGAGCTTCTGGAGGAGGCCACGCGGTACTTTGTGGACGACGATGCGTACAAGAGCGACTTGCGGTACCTGAAGCTGTGGCTGCTGTATGCGAGCCATGTCGAAGATCCGACGGTGATCTATGCCTTCTTACATTCGAAGAATATCGGGAAGATATATGCGCAGACGTATCAGGAGTATGCGGATGCGCTGGAGCGGAGAGGAAGGTGAGTATCTCGTTATGAGCCCTGTAGCAGTATCTGCTTCTATCTTGTACTGGAAAGCCACGAGGGGCGTGGATACGGGTGATAGTCCATGAAATAAGAGAGTGCATTGCGCAGCACGGCTCTGTCGCCGAACATGTCGCGATGTCTGACATGCGCGCAGCATACGAAGTTTATAACGCAAGGTCAATCAGATGCGTCGAAGGTTTGCGCGTATATCTTCCTCGTTTCTGCGATACTACTTTCCCATTATGAATACTTGTAAGGTACTCTATAGGGTCAGACTGAATGATCATCGCTACGTGTACACCCGTGGACTAGAAAGTCTGGCTTTGGTTACGCATTTGAACGGTCTCCCTACTGCGTAGAGAGCTAATCACTCATTTCGTAGACGTGCAGAAGCCGACGCGATCTACCAAAAAGGCATTCAGCGGCGCGCAAGACCAGTCGACCCTCTTAAGAGACGATATGAAGAATTCAAGTCACGAACCTCCGCCCCACCTCTCAAGCAATCACCAGTAGCATGGCAAGACGCATCAAGCGAAGCCCGCGCCCTCCGCCGGGCCCCATTGAAGAACCATCCGTCCTCGTCCATTCCTACGTCGTCCTCGAAGGATAGCCTCGCATCTTCCGCCCGCACTACGTCTTCACATCCATCTTCATCCTCTACAGCGGTAGAACAGCCATACAACCCGTACGCACTCATGCTCGCTCCACCAGCGCCCGGAAAGCGGAAAGAGAAGCTGCGATTCAACCTCTCCCTCCTCTTCACAGAGGATGGCGTCGAGTACAGCATGCAGGAAGCCCGCGCCCGCTCTATGGGCCTCCTCGGCAAGAAATGGGGTCCGCCTCCTGCCCCAGAACGTACTCGCGTCGCCTTCTCGGGCGATGCAAGCAAGAGCGCGAAGACGTCGACCACGCGCAAGTTCGCTGCTGGGGCAGAGCCCACAGTCACGCTTGCAACGAAGGAGGCTCTGGCAGACGTCTTTGGGATGTTCAACTCCCCCGAGAAGTCTATGCGCTTCGGTCCGGTTCCGGGGAGCAAGCATGCTCCTATCCGGATGATCGAGCCCGTTATGCCCATGCAGCCTCTGTCGCGGCCTCTCAGCAATGAGAACGCAGAGGTGTCGAAGACCCCTGGTATGTTGTCGTACTATCTATGAGCTAACATGTGGTCTCACAGTCCTCTAGCGTTCAGACCTTTCGTCGACGAGAACGCACATAGGGAGAATAAGACTCCTGCGGCAGCTGCCAAGGTGAGCGTTTATATGGCTAGCATACACTCGCATTCACTCACACTATACAGATGATACCATTTGTCGATCCTGACGCGGGAAAACCAGTGGCTACCTCCAATCCGAACCGACCTGTACTATCGGTGAAAGATCCTTTGGCACCGACTCCAGGTGCGAAGTCAGACGAGAACGCGCGTGGCGTCAAGCAGAAGCTGTCCGTGCACATCAACTCTGAGCCGCCCAAATCTTCGCCTGTATTCACGCTCACCCCTGCGTCCGCGACGTATCGGGATCGACCACGTGAGCTTTTCCCTGACGATCCGAAGGGAAGCGGGGAGAGCATCTTCCGTCCCGCATCAGCTGGCGCCACCAAGTTCACGCCGTTCTCGGACGAGAACGCGCCGAAGGTGTTCAGCAGGCCAATTCCGAGGAGCGAGAACGCCCCCGCTCCGGCCTTCATGCCTTTCGTCGAGAAGGCCGTCCCAAAGCAGCCGCTATCTTCTTCTGCGTCTGGCCGACCCGTCCTCGGGGAACGCACCCCCTTGCGTGCGGTTTTTGCCCCTCCGCAAACGGAAGAGGAAGAGGAACCAGAGGACGAACAACAGGGTCAGGAACCCGAAACCTATGAACCTGAGCCGAGATCGGAGCCCGAGACGCCAACGACCGAGTCAGACGCAGATGCTCGCTCGCAGTTCGAGCTCGAACGCGCCAACTCGCGCGACGCGTTCACGAGCGAGAGCTCCGAGGACGTGGACGACTTCGACGTTGACTACCAGCACGATGGCCACATCGCCGACGATGCCCTCGCGGCTGAGGGCGGTGCCGAGGACAGCATGTTCGACGACGAGGGCGCTGCGGATGGCGGTGGCGATGGCGAGAGTACGGACGGGTACCGTGTCCCGTTGGGCGGAAGGTTTGGGCAATTCGATGTGATGACACCGATCACGGAGCGGACGTTTGAGTATACGATGAGCACGCGGGGCCATGGCACTCCTGGTTACACGGTTCATCGTGACGCCGACGCGGTCGAGGCGGCGGAGCAGCTCGCCGCAGAGCTACGGGAGGACGACGAAGACGAGGCAGAGGTTGTCGACATCGAGGAGAGGACCGGAACGCTGAGTTTGGCAGATGCACTGGACGTCGCGTCCGCATTCAAGCCTCCGAACCCCTGCAATCCGTTCGATCCCCCGATCATGGCGACCCTGCTCAAGCTGATACCCCCGGATCCCGGATTCCACGATCTTCGGGGGAACGATGCCGAGCAGCTGGATGCACTCCAGAAGTTTGCTAAGAAGAAGACGCGACGCGCGAGTGGCAATTCTTCCCGGACGTCGTTGCTGGATGGTGAGACCCTGGAGATCCGACTGCACGATCGACGGTTCGGTGTGATAGACAAGCTCGGGGAGGGTGGCTTTGGCGCTGTCTTCGAGGCCATCGACCTAGACCTAGCCGGGAAAGGCTTGGACGATGACGAAGATGACGAATTCGAAGACGAGGATGAAGACAAGGACCGCGTGGCGCTCAAGGTCGTCAAGCCCAGGAACCTCTGGGAGTTCCATGTCCTCCGGCGAATCCATACCACCCTCCCCGCTAACCTCCGCCGGTCGATTATCACTCCTCAAGCACTGTATGCCTTCCGCGACGAAAGCTTCCTCGTGCTGGAGCTTCGCAGACAAGGCACCCTCCTCGACATCGTCAACCGAGCGCCATCTGCGGGTATCACACAGCAAGGCGCATGCCTTGACGAGCTGCTCGTCATGTTCTTCACGATCGAGCTCATGCGCCTCCTCGAGGGCATGCACCGAGCAGGCTTCATCCACGGCGACATGAAGATCGACAACTGCCTAATCCGCCTCGAGGACGTCCCTGGTCCCGCATCCGCTTGGGAGAGCGTTTATCAGCCGTCCGGCGAAGGCGGGTGGGCATACAAGGGTATCAAGCTCATAGACTTCGGCCGCACCATCGACACCCGGCTCTTCCCTTCTGGCCAACGCTTCATCGCGGATTGGCCGACGGACGCACGCGACTGCTTCGAGGTGCGCGAGAATAAGCCGTGGACGTTCCAGACGGACTACTTCGGCCTCGCCGGCATCATTTACTGCATGCTGTACGGCAAGTACATCGAGGCATCTTCTGTTGTTCCTTCCCCCACCCCGAGCGAGGACGGCAAGATTCACTACAAGCTTTCGGCGCCATTCAAGCGATACTGGCAGGGCGATCTCTGGACGAGGCTTTTCGACGTGCTCTTGAACCCGACCTTGGTTCGGCCTGATGGGAAGCTTCCGGTGACGGAGGAGCTCGCTGCTTTGCGCGTCGAAATGGAGATGTGGCTTCAGGCAAACTGCAATCGTGCCAGCAATAGTTTGAAGGGCCTCATGAAAAAGATTGGCTTGGCTATCCTTGGTGGCAAGGACGGGCGATGATATGTCGCCAGTAATCCGCGCTACGTCGTCCTTATATGTCGTCGTCTTTCTCCTATCCTTAGAGACTTTCCTGCCTGAACCCCTACCATACACTTCGTTGGCGAAATCATGCTTCCTACGCCCACAACGATACTCACTACCACCCGCACTGTGTCAATATCTACACGCATGCACGCAAACTTCTGTATCCCCACATAATTCCATTCAGCCCATGTACGATTGATTGCATTCCATACACCATGAAGAACCACGTGCGGATATCCGTATGACGACCCGATCCAATCCACCGTCCTGTGTCCCAGCTAACTCGTGCCAAGGATGATCCTGTAGGATCCGCGATTCACCCGCGGTATGTACAGAGCCGCTACAGTGATTTTGCGAAACAATGCATCACAACAATTCGCAACTGACAACACAACGCAAACCGAAACAACAGTGAAGAACGGCCAAGGGGATGAGGGCAGGGGGGGAGGAGATACGGCGGGCAGTCGGTAGAAGGATGCGACGGGACAACGACACGGACGACTCGGAGGAACCGACAGGGTGGCGACGGACAAGCGACAGCGACGGCGAGTTGGACGTGCGGGAGCAGACACGCACGGGCCGAGCCCCGCTCACACCGAGGAGCGCACGCAACCAAATTCATGGCAGCGTGCGGTCTTCCTCGACTCCAGAGCGTCGAGCAGGCTCCGCGCGCGACACCTGCACGGGTCGCAGGCCGCAGCAGCGGCAGCATGTGAGGCAACGAGGGGCTACGTATCAGGACGTATGGGATGACGTGAGTGAAAGTGAGAGGAGGGGGATGCAAGGGAGGGGGCAGGGAGGGAGGATGAGAGATGCGAAGATGATGTGGGGTGCGAGTGAGTCAGAGACAAACGATGAGATGCACTACGACAGAAGGACGACGACGACGGAGAAGGACGACGGCAATGGCATGTCACGCGCGCGACGCGCAAGCGACAACGGCAGCAGCGGCCTATGCGTGGCTCACGCCGCCCATGGACACGGGCGGCGGCTGCCCGTTGGGATCGTATGGATGCGGGGGTCCGGGCGGGGGCATCATCATGGGGTACGGCATGGCGTGCTGCACTGTAGTATAATTATGACCATCAGTCATCATGTGCTGTCCTGCTGGCACCAAGTGATAGGGAACTGGCGTACGTTGAGGGCTTTGGTGGTGGTAGTAGGGATGGGCGTGCGAGGGGATCGGGGTCGGTGGCATGGACGGACGGGGACCTGCGCCGTTTGGTGGAGGGGGGTACGTGCCAGGCGGGGGAGGTGGCGGCATGCCATACGCTTGCGGAGCTACGAATCCCGGATATGAGTGATTATTACTTACACGAGTTAGGATAGGGCGCAGAACGTACGAGGCATCTGACCCATCGGTGTCGAGGGGTACATAGCTGAAGCCGAGTAACACCATTTAGGAGGGATCTACGTGATAAGTCCTTGACCACGTACCATTCGGTGGGGGCATATGATAAGGCATAGGTTGCATATAGGGTCCAGGCATGTATCCAGGGGGTGGCGGGGCCATTCCAGGCATCATAGGCTGTACCATCTGAACATCGCGTGGGGTTAGCACTCATAAGCTTTCAACATACTCGACATAACACACCTGTCCGGGGTAGCCATAAGGCGGGTACGCATACACGTAGCCCCCACGCGCCGCCTGCGCAGCGGGGTCTTCCTCCGGATACGTCGCTGGAGGCATCGGCGGCGGAGGACCAGGAGGCGCCATGGGTGGCGACTGCTGCTGGGGTTGAACTTGGATAGGAGGGAACATCTGCATGTACCGCTTGCCGTTGTACGGCCACGTAGGGGCTATATATCCGAGCAAGCAGCAAAGAGAACACGCGCGGTCGTCAGCTGTCCGCCTTTACGTATTGGACGCACTGCGGTAGAGGAAATCGAAGAGAAGGACTGCATCACGCACCGACTTGAGCGGCCTCGATAACCTTGTGGTGTTTGAACGGGTTGAAGTCGTCCTTGACGTGCACCGGGGGCGACTTCTTGATCACACGCGTGCCAAAGAAGGGGTTGGGGGGACCCTGGGGTGAGACGTTCTCCGACTGCGCCTGCTTCCCATTCGCAGAAGCGGATGACGTCGCACCGTTCGCGCTTGGGCTGGGGGATGCACCCTGTAAATCGTGATATCAGAACCGTTCCGAGAAGATGTGACAGCGATACGCACAGGAGAGAACGGCTTCACGGTCGGCCTGAACGACGACGCATTGACGTTGAGCCTGTTCTGCGCAGTGGGCGACAACGGGCTCGGAGCCGCCTTCGCGGAGCCGTTCGTCGCAGCGGGCGCGACGGGCTGCAGCTGCGAGGGGGCCGCGGCCGTCGAGGCACGCTTGCCCTTGAACGGCGGGATCGGCTGGATGATCATGCTGATCTTCTTCGACTCCCCAGGCTTGCTCGGGGCCGTTGACGTCTTCTGCATGGACGAGCCTGCCGCGGACGTTCCCGCGGGCTTTGCAGCGGCGGCCGCGCGACTCGTCTCAACGCCAGCCTTGCCGGGGGCAGGGACGGGGCGCACGCCAGGGGTGGCGGCGATGGTATTGGAGACCCCGATTGCGCGGGCCTTGGTGTCCTCGGCGTCGCGCGTGGACTTCTCCTTGATGGCGCGCTGCTTGTCCTCATCCTTGGCGAGGATCGGGACGAGGTCGTCCGGGATGGGCTTGTTGAGCTTGAACGACTTGGAGAAGTTGACGAGGTCCGAGAGGCGCTTGTCCATCTCGCTCTTCATCAACGCCTGCTTCTTCTTCAGAAGCCGGTCTTTCTCAGTCGACACGAAGTTCCGGAAGGCCGGAACCGCATCGGCGGGCTGCTTTGCAGCAGCCCCGCTCGGCGCGGGAGAAGGCACTTTGCTCCCGGTGGGAGTGGACGCAGTTGTGCTCGATGGAACGGCTGCCCCGTCGGGAGCGTTGACAGCCACCTTCGGGACCTCCGACCTAGCAGGAGGGGTGGTGGCACTGCCAGGTTTGCGTGCGCCTGGGGGAACGTACGCATTCGCACCACGGACGACTGCACCGTACCTGCACGAAGTTTAGCACAGCCACAAGCACCCGGTGCATAGTAACGCACTTGTCCTCCTCGTTCGCGGCGGAACCGTCGTTCGTCAGGTTCATGATACGCTCTTCGGCGACGTGGACGTTGTTGACAGCGGACTGTTGTCATAGCACGATATAACGTAGATGATCCGCACCAAAAATATGCATCAACGTCGCCATCCATACTAGTAAGCTATCCGCATCCAAGGTTCAGAACCGTATCACTCACGTTCATGATCTCATTAGCAAGCTGCTGTGCCTTCCTCTCTTTCTCCTTGTAGTCAGGGGCGTTCCTGTCCAACTTCGTGGTGTATGCATCCTCGTCAAAGCCCGCCTTCACGCCAAACAGCTTCTCGTTCACCGCGAACTGGTCCCACGAGCCACCCGACGCCCCAGGGCCGAACGTCAGCTCGTCTACGTTGCGCGGGTTGGCCGGGCCCGAGGCCCCAGGGGCGGCAGCTCCGTTGGCATCAGCAGATTCGGGCTGCCAGGCCTGCAACTCCCGCTCGCGACGGCCGCCGGTCTTTGAGATGTCGGTGTCAGTCTTGAAAGCTATGCCAATGCGGATGTTTTCCCATAGAAGCGAGGAAGATCACCACCGCGGACGGCGCAGCCAGATACGCGATTGAATTGACGCATGTCGAGAAGCGGGAAGCACAGCCGTTAGCTTTCGGGCAAATGCGCAAGGAGCAACATAATACGCACTGTCAGCACCGTTGGGGATCTTCGCGTCGGCCGGACCAGACGTCCATTCCTGGATATTGGTGGCTGCGATGAAGTGGGTCTCTCGGAGGGGCGCGCCGGGGGTGTTAACCTCCTTGACGTCCTTGAGAGTAACGCCGGTCGTGTCGCCCTCGGGAGTGGTCGAGGCGACGACACCCTCAAAGCGCAGGTTGTTCTTCGTCGTGATCGTCACGGTCGTCCCCTGTACACAGGCGATCCGAGCAGACGGGAACCGGTCAGTCAACGCATCTCAATAGATGCCTCGGCACGGCCGTTGCGTCATACTACCACCAACGGTCATGCAAGAGTACAGCAAGACAGTACATACCGTCAGACCGGAGATTTGCGCAAGGACACGATTGTGTTCAGCGGTCGGGGCGGGGGGACGGGCTCCGTTCGCGTTCGCAAGGGGCGGAAAGGCGCCTGGGGGCCCTTGCTGGTTGCCATTGGGAAGGCGTGCGTTGGCGGGAGCTGGGGAGTAGGTCGGGGATGCGCGCGCGCCGGTCCACGCGTTGGTCCGACTGTGGTGTGGAAGAGGGTCACAGATTAGATTCGCCCGAGCGAAGGGGAGAGTTGCGGGGAGGAAAAGGAGGAGAGAAGACGGACCGGGCTGCAGGGTCGGGGCCCTTCCTGGGTGGCTTGGACTGTCTCGCAGCGGTGGCCATATGCAAGACTCAACTTGTGAAAGCAGAAGTGAAGGAGAGAAGAGAAAGCAGCGAAGCAGAAAGGTGCGAGTGCGGAGAGAGAAACGGAGCGAGAGACTGCTGGGTGATAACACTGGCCGGAATGTCGGGGATGAGAAGAGAGCAGGTCGGACTGCTGTGGGGCGGGCGGCGAGGAGTGCGGCGTGCTCAGCGCAGCGTGGTCGTCGATCGGGAATGGGGACGAGGAGAAGAGCGTAGGCGGGGGGAGAGAGGGGAGCACAGGCGAGAGGGCAGGTCGAGGAGCAGAGTCGACGCTCGCCCTCCAAACTCAATTCTAAACGCCTCGACACCCAGGACCCCGGAGCGAGGCATCTACCACGCCCTCCGTCGCCCTCTTTCCCCCTCATCCTGCGAGAAACGCTCTACATGGACTATCATATTCCTCACGATACATGCTCTCCCATCCATACGCCCAACTCTGTGTGCGCAAGGAGTAGTCAGTGCCTCGCTGGCAACTCATAAACCGAGGGCTGTGTCAGGGGTCCCGGCGCGTGTTGCCATTCCAGACTTTGCCTGTTCTTCTCGCCTTCGAACCCGTCGCAGGCTCTCCCAGCACTCATAATTATCCCGCGCCCCACCCGCAGTTGCGCGCACCCCCGTGCGGCCACCAGCGTCGTCGCCACCCACTGGCCATGCGAGCAGGTGGTGAAGCGATGTATGCGCGCGGCTCTAGGCAGGGGGATCTGCTTAACCAGCTGTGGCGCCGGAAGCTACCAACACGTATAACCCTCCCCGGTCTTCTCACTCCGCAACTCCGGACTCTAATCTGCAAAGCAGTACCGCGAACATTCACGGTCGCCTCGTCTCAAAGCTATGTCCGCGCGACATAGCGATCCCGACATGTTCGAAGCACGGCACAGCCCGTTCACACTGCACCGCATCGACGTCGACGACGCGCATCCGGCGACGAACTTCGAGCGTCATCTCAGCTGCACTGTAGGGAGTTAGACTAGATTGGGAGTGGTGCCTTTGTTCGCTGACGCAAAGCATCTCAGCGGGAGAAGTTCTGCGCGAGTCTAAGTTTTAATAGCCACGATCTACCACCTCAGCGCATCTGCGGGTCAAGCCCCCCGTGAATAGCTCAGCTCACTTGTATCCGTGCGCGCGTAGCGCCAACACATCCCTCGCCGAGGAGCGAGCGTGTGTCAAACAATGCGGCAGGGGATCGTCAGAAGTCCGTGGCCTGGATATTTTGTATCCGGGAGGTGACACGTTGTTCCGTCGAACTTTATCTCCTCGAGTTCAGTGCCTTACCGGAAACAGTACTTGCAACTTACCATTCGTCCAGCTCGAGCCGCTGGCTTCTTCGCCCTGGCAACTCCGCCACAGTTTCGGCGGTAGTCTCTGTGCCTGTTTGGACAATCTGACTAACCATTCCGCTCGTACTTAGACTTCTGGGTTTCGTCTTGACGCCCTGACATGTTCTCCAACCTCGAGGGCACGGCCAGTACGTCGGCCGAGATGCCCAAATGCGAACAAGCCATGCGGGCTCTACTCTAGGTCGTCGCAACATGACTGCATTATGCATTCAGCTTCTTAAGGTTTGGGACAGAGTGCATTACCATACCACGCTACATAACACAAACTTTCGGGTTTCGACATACGTTACGCCCCTGCACATGTCTCGAACCCATGTACTTTTCCATCTCACTCGAGGTTCATCGATCATGATCAGACGCATCACCTCCCCCCGCCCTCCTTCTCCAACTCCCGCCCCAAGCCAACCAGCACGCCCTGCTCCAGCGTCGTCTCCCAAAGCGCCACCTTCGCCCGCTCGACCTCCTTCACGAGCGCCGCCCGCATCGCACGCGCCCTCTCCACGACCGCCCGCCGATCCAGCTTCCCCGCCCCCGCCGACGCGATCCCAACCCCGACGTCGCAGCCTGGACCGGGGACAGCCTTCGCCTTACCCTTCGCACGTGCAGAGGGTTTGGGAAGGAGCGGGGCGACACTTGGCCTGGGCACCAGCTGCGCCATTTGATCAGGTGGCAGAGAAGAAGTATGAGAATACAATGCAGGGTGCGGCGGTGGTGGCGTGTCGACAGACGCAGACGCTGCACATGACGGCGTAGGTCCGGAGGACGTCTGCGGAGTCGAAGATAGGGCCAGAGACGCGTCCACATTGAATGAAGCGGTATCAGCGGGGGTTTGGGACGCCACAGTAGGATCGATCGCAGTATGAGTCGCCTCCCTCGTGCATGTCTCCATGGCAGGATCAGGACGCACAGGAGTCTGTTCGGCTGCCGCCCCCGTCACCACCGGAGGAGCGAGCGACACGCCCGTAGCCTCAGTCCTTGGCAGCACGGTCGCAGCGGCGGTATCGTCTCGCCATTCAGGCATGGGCACATCGACGTCCATCCCAACGAGCTCGTCTAGCATCTTCGTGCCCTCGACATGCCCAAGCTCGGGGAATGCCCAGTCCCACGAGGGCGTCGCAGGTCCTGCGTCCCCAGAATCGGCGAGTGAGGTCGTCGTAACAGAGGGGGAAGCAACCAATGACGGCGTGTGCGCGGGAGGCAGGCCGACCGCGGTGGAGGTCACAGATGACGCTGATCCGCTTAGGTCTGCGACAAGACCGGGGTATGCGTGGGCCTCTGCGGAAGCGGACGCCCTTGGCTGAGATGATGTATCTGCCATTGCGGTGGTAGCGAGGTTCAGCAAGATAGGATCGATCATAGCGTCAGAGATGCGAGAAGGGAGGTACGGGTCCGCTGCTGGAGGAGAGGTGGCGGAAATCCCAGGTACCGAGTTGGCAAGCGAAGACGTGGCAGGCATAGGCGAACCGGCAGTCGCACTTCCGCTCGCATCATTCGGATCCCCAGGCGGGAACGCGGTAAGCATTTCCAGCCAGTTGTCGAATAGCGCCTGAGTGCCCTCTGACAAAGACTCGAAGCCCGCGGTAGTGTCAGACATCGAGCCGAGAGGAATGCTCGAGGACGGGTGCTGTTGCTGTTGCTGCTGAGCCACAAGCAGGGACTCGACTAGTTGATCGAAGGCAACGGAAGAGAGATCAGGCGGAGGAGTATTGACGCACATCTGAGGCTGACTTTGTGTCGACGGAGGAGGATCTACGTGCTCCGCAGGTAGGACCATCGGTATGCTGTCCTGAACAGGAACCGCACCACTAGCCACAGTACATATCTCAGGAGCGGGGCACTGAGCACCAGAGGCAAGCGGAGATACTTGCGGCGCATGGTACCGAGCGTTGGGCCTCTCCAACCCGTAGTAGAATGTGGCCGGCCGATAGTGCTTAGTCGACCCAAATGGCCCGTACCATGCCCCGGCACCTCCGCGTCGGTATCCCGACTGCAATGTACGCTGTTGTTCATACCATGCCTTCGTCGCCGCCTTCTGCGCTGCCCCCCGAACGAGCTGTACAAGATCGGCGAGGAGCTGCTTCCCTCGTTCCCGTTCCCAAGTAGACCGGTAGTTCTCAGGACCCTGGCCTTCCTGGAAGGGGTACGGAACGTCCCAGTCGCCGGCGCCGGCGGGTACAGAGTTCAGCTTGCGGCGTTTCGGGGGAGGCGCGGTAAAGCCATGAGAATGGTGGCTACTTGTTTGTTCCGGGCTTCGGCTTCGCGTCTGGGCAGAAGTCTGTGCGCCAAAGCTAGGTAGCTGTGAACGTGGGGGACGAGAGGCGGTGGCAGGCGCGTGAGAGTACGTGTAGAAGGGATGGCTTGGTGGAGCTGAGGCCAGAGAGGGTGCGCGGGGAACGAGAAGACGAAGGAGCGAGATAACAACAGGGAGGATGTTCTTCTGCTGAAGAAGCGTTCCGAGAATCTGCTCGCTCGTGGGCCGCGGTAAATCAGAAGGATCCGACGGGCCTGGGCGGATAGGACGCTTCCCAATTGAGGGTTGTTGCGCTGTGGGCTCATCCTCGACAACAATCGGATTCTCGGCTGTCGTGCCTCGGGTGTAACGCGTTTTGGATAGGTTTGCTGGATTCACTCCACCGACCATACCTGCAACGCCCAGTAACGCCTGCTGATTTCTCAGAAAGTTGGGGGGAGGAGTCTCGTTGGGAGAAGGCAGGGCAATAGGTGGTGGCGTAGGACGAGGCGTAGTCGACGTCGTCCGCTCTTTTCCTTTCCTCGACCTCCGTGCGGCACTCTCAGTGCGCGGCGCGCGAGTGAGCTCTGCGCTATTTCTCCGAGAAGATCCCCCAATGGGCCGCAAAGGTGGCCTCGGCTGTGAGGGTGGGCGAGACAGGGGCTGAGAAGAGGGAGCAGCCGCGCTCGCACTCAACGATGATAATGCTGGTGGAGTGACTGGCAGTTCAGCGACAAGGTGGGAACCAGGAAGTGCAAGAGTCCCCACGTTTTGTGCTGTGCCGCTAGGAAAAGCTAGCGGTGATGGTGACCTACCTCTGGATGGCGATGGTGGAGGAGAGCCAAAGAGGGAACAGTCATCGTCGTAGTCGCTGCTTGTAGTTGAAATATCAGGCATAGCACTAGTCATACGTTCGGAGGTGTCAGAGGTGTAGGGGGCGAGATGGTAGATACTGGCAGTACCTCGTTCGAGTGCTATCGATTGGTGGCCGCGAGGATGAGGCGAGGATAGATCCAGTTTGGTGATGCTGCTCGAGATGGATGCTATCAGTAGGCCGTCGCTTCTGTGTTTTACGTGTAGCGCTACTTACCTCACGGAGCGCGTCCGAGGACGAGGAATACGGGGAATGTGTGGGGGTGGGGGTGCAAAACTGGCCTCAAAATCTGCGCGGAACGGATGGGACTGCAATGCCAATTAGCTCCGACCGAAGGTTTCTATCTCCGACACCCCTCCCAGAGGCCCGTTAGAAGAGCGACATACTCCGCGAGACCGGCCTCGGACACACTTGAGGGTCGCCGACATGGTCGATGATGCAGACCGCCGATGGTGACCATTCATAAAGATCTACACTCATCCCGGCTCGTCTACACCTGCCTGTCTGCCTGCCTAGAATGACGATGATTCATTCACGAATACATGCGTCGGCTCAAAGCCCGATTCGGCGAGTGAGACCGTTTTGAGAGGCTCCGGGATTTCCCAAAGTGCGAGGCTGAGACGTAGGTGTAGCGGTACGTCTGAAGGTTTCTTACAGGTCCGAGCCACCATCGCCACTGGACTTGCGAGTCGCATGGGACGGCGGCAGTCGCAGCCTAGCCACTCGTGAGCCGGGTACATTAGTCGTGGGTCGGCGTGCTCGCCGTTGGTCATAGGTGCCTAAATATTCCGGATCGTTATCAGCTGCAGAGGTGCGCACTGCGTCATGCACACTGCGCTCACCCATCCTCCGCTGAATTCCATTTTTCAGGCCTCGTACCTGCTACTTCTATCCTTCCTCGTCCCCAGCTGATCCATGGCCCATCGCCCTCGCCCCCAAGTTACTATTCCCCCTGGCGCCGCACCTCCCTCCAATCCGTCGCCTTCCGCACGCGAGCCCCCCCTCTCCCCGATTAACCTCTGGGCAGATCGTCGGCGTTCTTCACACTCCCCTTATACCCCTACCGCTACCTCATCCTATTTCAGCCAACGGATTTCTCTCGATGTTCCTGGACGACCCCCGAGCAGAGCCGCAAGCGCATATGAAGGAGACATAAGCCGAATATCCTTACCGGAACCCCAGCTCTTCCGTTCCTCCTCCCAGAGATCGACATACCGTTTGAACGGTCCGGTACACACCCATCGAAGTACCAGGAGCGAGTCTGTATTGACGCCAGACAGTCTCCTCACCCCTACAACGTACCCTGGCTCCATCCACAGTAGCGGGGACTCTGGTCCACCGTCGTTTGAGAATACTCCAGAGGTATGTTCTCTTCATGGTCTGCACAGAGGTGGACTGGCCGAACGGCGGAGACGGGGTCCATCCCGGGTGCCAGATGTTCTTCACTAGGAGGATCTCATCCGGGGGATATTCTGGACATCGAAACGTCTCCCTATGCTCATCCCGCTCGAGAAGCATCTGACAGGAACCTCTCGTGATGCCTGCTCAGTTCATTTCGCGTAGAAGCTAAATTCCCTACTCGCAGTTGTATGTCAAGGATCTCTCTTCCGAGCTCTCTACTCTATCGTACGTGCACTTTCCCTTGCCCAGTGTGAATTTCGACATGTATAAGTTATCAGTATCGACTCGGACGAAGCACTTCTCAAGTTTCATAGAGGGCAGCTGTTGGAGATCGACGAACTGTGGTACCGATTAGTGCCACCAGAAGCTCGTGAGGTTTTAGATCAGAAGGAAGTCCAACGCCAGTCTATCCTCTTCGAGCTAGTCAAGTCTGAGAGAGACTATGTTTCCGATCTGGAACTCGTCCAGGAGGTGGGTCATCTCTTCTGTTGCCACAATAATGTCCGACGGGGCATCCTGAAAGTAATAAGCGCATACGCTGACACTTACTTGAGCAGGTGTTCATAGATCCCCTGAGAAATACCCTGGCGGTCCCGGACAATCGTATCGCTACGTTTATATCGGAGACCTTCTTCAACATCAATCAAATCCTCGCACACCATCAGCGGATGTTATCTGCCCTATTTGACCGACAACGAGAGCAGTTTCCTTTGGTGCAGAGCCTAACGGACATTATCCTCGACAGTGAGTACTCTTCGTTGCCGCCTGATTACAGTATCGATCTACACCTCTGTCAGACAGCCTGAAGTTTCGACAAGACTATGAAGAGTACATTGCACACTACCCCCTCGCGGAAATGCGCCACCGGAACGAAATGCGGCGGAACCAGCGCTACCAGTACTTCCTCCAGCAGTGCTCGCACAATCCACGTGTGCGGAAACGTGACCTCATTACCTTCATCTCGCGTCCCGTCACCCGCCTCCCGCGACTGCTGCTACTTCTGGAGAACATCAAGAAGTATACGGACCCTGACCATCCCGACTTCGAAGCTATCCCACTCGTGGTCGGTATCCTAAGCGACTTCATCAAGGGCGCCCAGCACGGCATCGAGGAGGCCGAGGAGAAGGTGCACTTTTGGAGTTTGTGTGAGAGCTTGGCATTCCAGAAGGGCGAGATAATCGTGCGTTATCGTTCTTCATGCTCTCATTCCTCCCAAGACCAAATCCAAACAATAAACAAAATTTGGTCAACGTCAGGACTTGGACCTATACGATGCAGCACGGTCGTTACAGTACCAGGGCCAGCTCTCGAGGCGATATAAATCGGAGATGAACTTCCACTGGGCGGACCTGCATGTCGCGCTACTCGACAACTACCGTGCGTTTACCTTCCTTCCCACTGTCTATCCATAGGCTAACTAGATGCGATAGTGTTGCTTCTGAAACCCGATGCACGTCCTAACACAGTCATAAGACATGCTGTCGTTTCAAGAGTGAGTCTCTAGCCAAGCAGTAGCGCTTCATCACCCATGGCGAACCCACGGCTAACCTATCACTCACAGCCAATACCTCTCGACTACTTGCGATTAGCGGCGTTCGACGGGCCACCCGAGAATCGCAAGGAGAAGTCGGAGGAGGGTAGCCTAGGGCTTCTGGATCGAGTACGCCCGCGGTATCGGCCGATGTTTCCCTTTACGGTGTATCACGCCGCAGCTAAGATGACCCGACGATACACACTGTACGCGTCGAGCGAGGCCGAGCGCCAAAAATGGGAAGAAGTCTTGACGCATACCCTACGAATGCGGACCATCAGGCAGGAAGGAAACAAGGTGCGGGAGCAGGTTCACCATATCGCGCGGACGAGTCATCGCCCCGATTCTTGTGTATATTGACCGGCTACTGTGGTGCTTATGCTCCTTTCGCCAGTTCTTCGAGCCGTTCGTAATCAACGACGGCTTCTTCAAGCGGCCTGAGCTCGCTCTCGTCAACAATCCCCATGCTGTCGGGTCGCACTACACAGGCCCCGTTACTGCTGTGACGAAGATGTGTACGTATAGGTACTCCGTTGTCTCGCCTGTGTTGAACCAATTGACCAGAAAATGCAGATAGCAATGGCGTCAAGTTCAGAGCGGTGGCTTGCCCCTCAGGCGTGTATATCGCTCAGAAGGACGAGCCTGGTGCGTTTTCCGCGACTTGTTGCTAGCCTTCGTCTGATCTCTTACGCCGCCGTCTACTAGCGTTCCGCAAAGTCCTAGATGTTGACAACCCAACCTGTCTAGTTGCTATCGAGGAAGTCAACAAGTTCTTTGTCTTGCACGACTACGGACTGTGCTCGTACTCCCTGGATTTGGTCGCTCGAGCCGCTCTCGGGATGTCGAGCGTGCAGAGCGTAGAAGCGTCGCGAGAGCGTCTGGCGACCGATGTCGTCTTCTTTCGCGCCGGAAAGATAGCAAAGCGTGTTGTCGGTGAGTCTCATAACTAGTTCATTATCCGTCTAGTACTTTCTTGACGCGAATGATGTGCTTCATCTAGTATTGTACGTTTCGAGGAAGTACTACGCGGTGGTGGCGCAGCTATCTGCTTTGGAGGTGGTAAATAGGGGAGACCCCAGCGCCTCGTCGAGACGAATCGCCAATGGGCTACATTCTTTCCGGCCTTTTGGAGAGGTGTGAAGGCTTTAGCCTACACGAGTGTACCTAACCGGAACTGACCTGGAAGAGCAACAGTCCTTAACGATACCGAAGGATACCCACAACATCAGCGTCTTCAATAACCATGTTGTCGTCTGCTCAGAGAACAAGATTCAGATTGCGGACCCTGCGAAGTACGTCAGCATCATGATGATGTTTCCTTGTCTCAAGCGCGCGATGCTGATCATCAGCTTCATCATCTTTGTGGGTCTCCGTGCAGCTTGCGCCTGAGTGGAAGTCATCGCACCGCGTCGTTCCCAGACTTCACCGATGCCGAGACACAGATCAACTTACCCATGTCGTCGCTCAAGAACCGCTGTCAGAGCGCCAAACCGCTGGGGCTCATCCGCTGCCCGAAGTACGACAAGGACGACAAGGACGAGTTCCTCGTAATCTATGATGGTGCGCTCTTCACTCCCTTGCTCCTTCCTCCCCTCTCTTGCCGCCATTCCTATCGACGGTCCTGACGATGACAGCACAGAGCTCGGCTGCTATACGGATCAGCATGGTGTCCCTACGCGCAACTCCGGATACCTCCGCTGGGAGGTCAAGGCGGTCTCATACTCGTATCGCGGGGACTACATCATCCTCTTCTCGCCCGAGTTCATTGAGATTCGCACCGTCCGGACGGGCAAGCTCATGCAGGTCATCGAGGGTGAGGACATCCGCCGCGTTGACGTAGGCTTGCTCAGCGACGGGCGCGACGCGACGACGCTCGTGGCGTGGAAAGGCCGCGAAGAGCGTGGGCTTGTTGTCGACACCCTCGTCGAGCTAATCGAGACCGCCCCGCTGCAGCACTCCAGTTCACGCGCGTCCGAGGTGCGCAGCGAGCAGCAGTGGGCCGATTTCGACGAATTGTGACGATCCAGATGTATTTTCCCTTACTGTACGAGGTCGGACGCTCCTAACTGACATGCAATGTGGCATGTGAACTGCTCTCTGTGTAACACATATACGAAGCTCATGGCTCGAGGTATCTGTGTGATATAGTTTATGTCTTGCTTAGACCTTAATGATTCCGAGGCGCACGCTTATGGACATGTATCGGTAGCCACAGTGAAACCCAGGTATATTGCAAAGATGTACTCCCGCCTGAAAGTGACCAGCATAAATAAACCCAAGAGTCGCGCGAGGTGCTAAGGCGTAGGAATAAAGATAGTGATACATTCGGAACCGTATCGTCATCGGCGAGTCGAAACATATCTACTGACACAATCTGTTATGTGGGGGGCCGGGTATCTGTCGCGGCGCGGAAGGAGGCGGCAATCACGAACTAGAGGACTTCGTAGACACGTCGTGTTAACGGAGGGTATATGCACTGCACATCGAACGAGACGCCCTTAAACCGTGAACACCGTCATGCCCTGGAGGTTGTTCGGGTCTGTGAACGAGAGGTGCAAATGTCAGCGACCTCAACGATGGAATGGTGAGGACGACTACGCACTGATGGAGATGCCCGCAGCACTGGTAGGCCCAGAGATGTCAAGCGTGGAAAACCTCTCCGCAAGGCCGGGGGAGTCGAGCGCAATAACGTCGACAGAGGTAGCGTTTGCTGCCAAGACGTACGCAAAGCTGTGCCGGAACTCGATCAATGCATGCCCAGGGCAAACGACCGCGGACGAGAACTTACTCTCGGCCGTTGACGGTACCAATATCAAGATCGATCGTGGCAGAACCCGGGGTCAAGAGAGTTTGCTGCATGATACGGGAAGATCGTCAGTCAATGTCTCCCGCTCCCAATCCAAGCCAATGATTAGCGCCTAGCATCCACAGAAGTCCACGATCACGGGCGGTACGGCGATCACAACAGAGGCAGGAATAAAAAGAAACCGGGAAATAAATCGATGGAGGAAGATGACCCACCCCAACGATCGTACCCTTCAAGTTATCGTCGACGTGCACCTCCGTGACCGCAGAGGTGCCGATGTCGGTCACGTAGAAGTTGCCCGTCTTGGACGAGAACGCGGACCAGCACGTCGCGACCTGGCCGTCGATCGCGTTCGCCGAGCTCTTGCTGTCGTCCGCGAGGTCGAGCACGTCGAAGCCGATGCCCGCGTCCGTCGCAAGGATCGCGTTCTTCCCGGGGATGACCGACATCCCGAACGGGAGCAGGCCGCCCTTGGCCGGCGCGACCTGCTTGAAGTCCGCGCTCAGCGAGCCGTCGGCCGCGACGTCCCACACGGCGAAGAAGCCCGCGTTCGGCGGGGTGCCCTTGACGGAGACGATGAGCTGCTTGCCGTCCTCGGAGAAGAGGATGTGCGACGCGGTGCCCGCGGGGCCCGCGGGCGGCGTGTCCGTCTTGAGCTTGTCCGTGAGCAGGCGGAGCGAGTTGTTGATCGCGAGCGGCCCGAGCTTCTTGTCGACGCTGTAGCAGTTCACGCCGTTCACGCGGCCGCCGTTGAGCACGCAGAAGCGGGTGCCGTCGGCGTTGAACGCGACCGAGATCGGGAACTCGCCCTCGGTCGAGACGGGGTCGCCGAGCGCGGTCAGCTTCGTCGGGTTCTTGGCGTTGATGGAGAACAGCGAGACGGTGTCCGAGCCGGGGTTGACGGCCGCGAGAACCTTGCCCTTCTTGGACGCCTTGATGCTGCCTTGAGAGAACAGAGCGTCGGGGCCGTCCGCCTTGCCATGAGATCCACGGCCACCAGCATCGACAGCGCTGTCGAGATTCTGTGCAGTGCATTAGTAAAGTTTGAAGGAAGAAGGCACAAGTCGTATTACCAGGGAACCATCAGCATTTATGGTGGCGACGAGGATCTGGTTCTCATTGGGGTCATTGGACAGGACTGTTGTAGTCAGCCATCTGTGCTCTAACTCATAGAAGTACTGGTGCTCACGGTAAACAGCACCGGCCGCGTCGAGGCGGGTCGTCCCAGCCATCTTCCTAACCGCACCCGCACCAGCTCGACGCTGGAAGGGGACCGCGGACACGACAGTAACGGCCGTGAGGACAGCGGTGAGCAGGGCTGCAGAGAACTTCATCTTGGCCGGTGGAGTGTATTAGTAGAAAAGATCGACGAGTCGTATACGAAAGCCGGACAGCCGAATGTGTCGTAAGAGAGTGTGAAGAGGGAGAAGATGATGTGAGCACAGCTCCGGCGTCGAGCACGATGAAAACAACCGGGACGGAGACCAGCAGCGCCGCGCACCCAGGCGGAAACGCGAACGGGAAGAGGAGGGAGGGAAAACAACGAAGGCGAGCGGGGACTGGAGAAAGACACCCCGCCCGAGCCCGGTCCGCTATAAGGAACGGGCGTAGATCTGCTGATGAACTGTCGACGCGGACGACACTCGTCCACATCAGCGTTCGGCCCCTGGCGTCGGCGCTCGCGTTTCGGCTTGGACCTGCAATGCTGTGTATGGTCCAATGGATGTCGAGGATGCAGTCGGTTACGATCATCCAGCCCTCCGGCGTTGTCGTGTTGTGAGTATTAGAGCCACACCAGGTGAGTGAATGCTGCAAAAAGGAGTTTGCACGGCTATGTTACGAAGGCCATGCGCTCTTCCCATATCCCTCGTCCCGACGGAGAGGGGAAGCGAAGGACGGTCGAGAGCGAAAAGTCCTGGACGAGGGAGCTGCTCTCCGACGACACTGCACGACATATCACGACGCCCAACGGACCACAAGACCGTCGGGAGCGCGGAAAATGATGCAGTTCAATGTTGACATGATAAACGTCGAGACTCAGGGCGAGTATAGGCCGCAGATGACCTGATGCTACTTACGTTTACGACCTACCGGGTATGTATGTACCTCCCCGACGGTTTGCGTCCTCCGAAGGGCATACATATGTCGAGAACTGCGCTATATACACCTCCTTCTCAGGTGTCAATTACTTCGCCAATGTACCTGCAACGGTCCAATGAGTCAGGAGTGAGGTTGGAACGTCCGCGGAAGCAACGGTCGCGAAATGCAGTGCATACGCACAACCCGCTTGAGCATGCAGGTTTGATGGGAGATACTTACAGAAAGTCGTCCAACCAGAGGTTGGTGTGCCGCACGATTAGAAATTTGGCAGAACCCAAAGCGCACTCGAGCGTGGATTGTAAGTCCGGGACCTGGCAAGGAACGCCCTGGTACAGAAGCGACCGCAGCAATGCATCCTCATGCGCTCATCAACTGCAATGAGAGAAATCCTTCCACATACTTACCGTCGCCAGCCGTGCGTTCACGGCACAGTGATTTGCATAAAACACTGCAGGTTGCATCCGCGCGACAAGCTGCTTGCCCGTGTTTGTTCCCGGGCGGCTACCGCACGAACTTCTGTTTCGGGCACTGGGCGCTCAGGGATATGCTAGCCGTTGAGAAGATGCTTTAGTTGGCAATCCCATGGCTGCTTCGGAATGAACTGGAAGTTATGTGTCTACACTCCTCCTCGTACTGTATCTCATCCAAATCAATATAGGTACAGAGAATGTTGAGCCCTTCCGTCCCGGAAAAGCGCTCCCCGGGAATGCCAAATAGCAACAAGTAACCCCCACGCGCGCGACCTGCAATGTTTTTTGCAAATCACTGTAATCGACGCGGGATCTCGCATCCAACGGGAGAGGTACGAGTGTCATTTGCGAGTCCGCGGGCGGTGCCGCCTCGTCTCTGGATGAGATTGTAGGAACATGCATCGCATGCGCGGCAAAGGACATCAGAAGCAGACATAAGGTCGGCCCGTTGTCTTACATACTACGCCCTCTGGAGATACGTATACGAGACGGTCAAGCGGCAGAGGACCCGCTGAGCGCCATCATATCCTGCGAGGGCGACGAAACGTACGACTGCAGCGTTATCAATCGTGTTGGTGGGTCGCCCCTCGGAAAAGCCTAGGAGAAGTCCCGTCGGTGATACATAGGCAAGACAAGGCACGAAGGAGAGCTGTGATGGCAGGTGATAGCGCTCGTGGACGACTTGACGGGCGCAAACCGAATCTGATCTACACTTTCTGTCCGGAATGGAAGTGCAGCGATGGGGATCAACCTGGGCGGGCACCAAGCCGCAAGACCTCCAAGTACTATCGCGACCCTAGTGTTCGGACAGACCCCAGTGATCGGACAAACGACCGTATCTCCTTCATTGTACACCCGATGAACTTGCAGAAGGTAGGTGCTCATATGTGTTACAAATCAGCAGCAAAAAGAACTGAATTTATATCATAAGCCCTTGGGGCGATCTTGAGGAAGGGAGTGGTGCAACCCATCCCTATCAAAGCTTCGGGAGTCTCGCTTCGTATCCCTCTTCGGGCGCTTCCATCCAAATCTCGTGTACGTATTTCAACCTACGCATATCACTCAATACCCAATTTTCCGAGGCCTGCTCAGGGGAACACAGAGGAGAAACAAGAAGCAGCCCTCGAGGGCGTGACAATGCAGCCACAGTTTGACTCTCCGACTTACTCGGGATGCTCGGCTAAGGCTCATCAAGCTGGAGCACGGGGATTCCCCGAAGACCGGCAGGTGGAGACTGGGGTCAGGCCCTGTATATCCTGTCTCCATCGCTCGTGTCTCCTTCAATATTTCTCATGTTTGGCACATAGTCTATGCATATGCATCTCCTTTTGCATGCCAAAAATGAGCATTATCGGAGTACAGGAAAGTACATAAAACGAAGGGATTTCGCAGAGGGCGCCTTTTTGTCCGAACACTGGGGTCGCGATAGTACCCAATCGCCACTCACGCGCCGACCACGCGAGCGAGGACGATGGTTACCAAGACCAAGGCCTAGGCTGTGCATCGTCGGAATCCAATCTGGCAACCCCTCTCTTCCTCGACTCCACAACGCCTTGATGACGACTCTCACGTATGTAGCATTTCGCACCGCTGGCCGAAGTGCGCGCTCTGCAGGCGGGACGGGCAGCCAGCAATCTACCTCTCCAGATCATACCATGCGGACCAGTGCGTCTCGATCTAACATCATGATTCCCTCCTGTATCAGGTGGCCTAGCAAAGATAGCGGGAAGTGACGGCTGTCAGAACAGATGAGAAGGTCTGTTATGAGGACATCTCCCGCCTCGGGTTCTCGATTCCCTCCTGTGCCATGCTATCGGCCGCCTTCTATGCATGAAGCCTTGCAATTGGTTCTTGTTCGCGTCTCGGGAATGGTCGTGCGACGTGTTAGACGGTAGATGGGAAGTCGCGGCTGATGGACGGTAGCCAAGCCGGAAGCAAGGACTTCCCATACATTGCGCCTTAAGACATTGACAACAAGCACTCACAACACAATAGTCACAGGTCGAAGAGCACTTGCAATGGTCCACGCGCCGTGTCGAAAATATTTCCCACAAATTTCCTGCGTGTCGAGACCCCGAGGCTTTACAGCTAACTGCAAAAACATGGAGCGTTTGGGTCCGCTCTGCGCGCGCGCCTTGTTTGGCCGCCTGCCCGAAACAGTAGGCAACGGCGCTTGAAGACATACTGGCTCTGCCTTGCTCCTCTCGCATCCACTGCATTTACATCCGCAATTGAACCTCTACACACATCGGAATTGGATGTGCTGCAGTAGTATGCATCTGAGACAGTCGCGTTATGGGTCCTCTCACTATCACAGTCTTTGCGAACGAAAAGTTTCTGCTCGCACATACGCCCGTGAGAACCCCGTGATGTGAGATAAGCGCTTGAGACCACATAACGGTGATACCTGGGTATACAACTTACACTCTTCCCCAACTACCCCAAGTTACATTTCTCCCAGCCATCATGTCATCACCTTGCGTTCTGGGCATTTATTTTGGGACGCCTTGGTCACGACGCATTGCGGAGCATCGGCGCGCATCAACGTGCACCGACGTCATGTGCTCGTGCATGGAGCGCCCTCTTCTACTGTTTCGGGCAGGTGGCCAAACAAGGCACGCGCGCACAGAGCGAACCCAAACGCTCTCTGTTTTTGCATGCAGTTAGCTGTAATCCGACTCCAGGAGCACAAACACAAGCGTATATCAGGCAGTGGACACTGTCCGCGGACGAGCTTGACCAGTAGAAGCGGGTTACATACTCCAGCTCGTCAGATCTGGTTCCCCACAGCTGTTGCATCGTCCCCAAGACAACAGCCACACCACGCAAGCACTAATACGCACGGGAGTCCAGAAAAGGTGTTTAGGGTGGAAGACTAGGTACTAAACTAGCTACTATCTGGGTAACGCACAAGCCGGAGATACAAGGGACAGGAAGCAGACCGTCTGCACGGGGCCAGACGGCCACCAGACCATGTAGAAGAAGCTAGCTAAAGCCAAGCTATACAACAAAAGCCGGGGAGGAAGAAAACACTACAACGTCAACGCGTGAGGAGATATTGGTAGCGGTATGAGATGGTCGAGAGGTATGAGCAAGGTAAAGGGGGAATACCGTACGCGTACAAGGAGGGTGGGCTACGACCAGGGGTGGCCGGGGGGAAAGTCTCTTGGGCATGCAGTTCGAAGCACCGAAAGTCAGGGATGTATTCTACTCGTGTTTTGGGTCTCCAAGGTCGATCCGCGAGACGAGAGCTCACAGATGCGTCGTGCACTCAAGCGAGGATCGCGGCGGCAATGGCACCAACGATACCGACGAGGCCTGCAGACGCAATGTTGGAGAACGCGCCGTTGCCGGCTCCGGCAGTGGCAGTCGACGACGACCTGAGCATTCGAACGAGACCGTCAGACATGAACGATGTTTCGCGGGGCATTACGTACGAGGACGAAGCGTGGCTGGCAGTACCACTAGCGGAGCCAGAGGTGGTACCAGAAGCGGGCTTCGAGCTGCCAGCGGTAGTTGCAGCACCAGACGTAGTGCCGCTGGCAGAAGTAGCACCGCTAGCAGAAGTGACAGGGGCAGTCGCGCTGGTGCTGGCGCCGCTGGTGGCACCTGAGGCGGACGACGAGGCCGAGCCGCCGTTCAAGCAGCTGCTGTCGGCTGAACAAGGATAGTTCAGAGGGAGGCAAGAACGCGCGAGAGGTGCAAAAACGTACGGCCGGGGTTGATAGTGACAGGCGCACTCTGAGCCGTTGCACCAGTAGAGTCAGTCAGAGTGAAACCGATGGAGGTACCAGAGGTGATGTTGGTCGGCCAGGTGAACGAGGTGCCCGTGAGGCCGGAGTACTGCTGGAGAGCGGCGGCACCAGGTTGGCCGCCAGGAGTGATACTTTGCGTAAGAGTATGAGTAAAGAGGGAGCACATTGCAACCAAAGATAAGAGTCACATACGCCTAAGCAAACGAAGGGTACGGCCCCAATCGTTACCAATTGATTTAATTTCGTCACACAGCTCAAGCTTACCAGGAAGTAGGGAGCTGTGTGATATGTTGGTAAGCACATCGCCTGGGCGTAGAAAAGAATGACTTACGGTTACCGCCAGACCAGGTGAGCTGAACGGGAACACACTGGGTAGGGGGGTTACTAGCGCAAGGTGTTAAGGCCACGTTGTTGGGCAACAGGGGAAGCAGAGCTGAGCTGTCGCAAATACTCACGGAGTGTTGATCTGGAACTGAGCGCTCACACCTGCAACAAGCAGGGCGGCGGCGACAACGGCAGTAGAGACGGACTTCATAGTGACAGCGGGCGGAGGTGCGACGAGCGGTGCGTGCCGGAAGAATGAGCGAAGGGAAAGGGCTCAGAGACGGGGCGAACGGTTGCACTGTCAACGGGCCCCGTACTATATACGTCGGCGCCGCCCGGTGTTTATTTGGCACTCCGCAGGCACTCCGGCCACTCGCTCGGTCGCGGTATCATCGACGTCTCCCTTGGCCTCGCCCGTCCCAGCCCTATTCGCCGCCCATTGTGCTCATCCCCTCCTGTCCTACAGTCAATGTCGCTAGGCCCCTATGCACTCGTTCCATCCTTGGGGTGTTTTGCGGGCATCGTGCACCGGTGTCAATGCATAGGATGTGGACGTGGGCCGCCCGAGAGACGGGTCCGTGTGAACGGGCCGTGATGATCAGGCTCTAGCGCCGATTCCAGAGAAACCTCCCTCGTAATCGAGTCCTCGTCCTCGGCAAGCTCGTCCGCTTCGACGCCCCACATCACTCCACTGTCAACTATCGCTGTGGACGCCAGGTGGTCAGTTGACGAGAGGTGCGTGCACTTGCTAAGTACCAAGTCCGCCGTAAGGCTAAACGCGGGGCTGAAGGAACGGATGTAACCGTGGACCGACTCGGAACAACGTTAGGGCCCTTCCTGCGGGCACAACCAATCTGCCAGGACATTCGATATCTTATATAAGGCCACCTCGCAGAGTCGTGATAGTGCCGCCTGGTCATTTACTTACGCATAGCAGACGTCATCGCAACCCTGCCTGCTGCAGCATGCTTGTGCAGCCGGATGTCAGACGCGTTTTGCTCATGCAGACCTATTTATAACATCATAACACTCACGACTTTCTGCGGCTTTGTAGCGCTCCGAACGTTCTCGATGTCAGAACGAAGATAGCACCGGTGACTTCGACTTCGACACGCCGTTCCAGACAGGTACCTTGCATTAATATGATCAATTGGTAACGTTCTCTCGGCCAACTATGTAGACGCTACAGGTCTCGTCACCGAACCGCTAATGCCATGAATGCGGCCGGTAGTTCAGCATGTCAATGGTCTGATTCCAACTCGATAGATGTGTAGGAACACCATCATGAACATTGAAAGCTTACACTCGCTATCTTGTACAATATTACGCCATACACGTATACAGTAACTTATAGGACGACAGCGAAAAGACTCCCGACCGCGCAAAAAGGCCTGGCTTGCTCACCACTCTCCAGCCGTCACCGCCCCGGAGCCGTCCTGCTCAAGCTTCTCGAGCATCTCACAGACGACGCCCAACCCGATCAACGCGAAGCTCTTCGCCCCGAACTGGTTCCTGTTCCGCATCCCGAAGTCCCACGCAGCCCACCCCTTGCCCAGCGCCGCGCGCAGCTCCTCCTCCTCCGCCTTCTCCCCGTCCTTCTCGCGCAGCGGCGCCCCAAGCCCGCGCCGCCGGTGCTTGACGTCGCGCACGAGCTGCGCCGCGTGTTCGCGCATCCGGTGCGTCCTGTCCTTCTTCCACCGCCGCTGCGAGCACTTCGCGAGGATCGCCCCGAGCGCCACCTCCTCCTCGCACAGGCGCACGTCCGTGTTCTCCGACGGCGCGTGCGTCAGGCAGATGTACCCCAGCTCGCGCGCGTAGTGCCGGAAGAGCGGCTCCTGCGCGGCCACGTCCGCGTCCGAGTTGTGCGAGCGCCGGAGCTGGCGGAGGATCGCGGGCTTGAGCGCGGTCGAGATGGCGTCGGACAGGGGCGGCTCGTTGATCGGCGTGAGCGGCGTTCCGTTGGGGAACGACGACGAGGGGGGGTCGATGCGCTTCACTACGATGTTCCTGAAGAGCTCGCCCAGCGCTCGCGTCGACTCGTAGTAGTCCGCGGGGCGATAGTCGGTGTCCTCCGGCTGGTGAGTATCATATACTGAGTCCGCAGTCGTTATGGTAACAATATATTTAATTCGAAGTACCTTCTTCCAGTCTGGCTTGGCGCGAATCAACTTGCGAGGCATGTTTTCGACGTTGACGGGCACTCCGTTCTTGGGATAGTCGACGGCCTGGCTACACAGTTGCGCGAGTCTCATGCAGTCCTCGTCGAAAGTGCCATACTGCGTACTGCATTAAAGGGCACCTATACACATTGATGATTGTTCAGATCTCACCTTTGACTGGTCTGATAACGCGCCATAAGAGGCGTTCAGCCTGCAGGTTACATCACCCAAGAGCCGGAGAAGACACACCTGCGATGACCAGGTGCAGGTCTGCCACAAGACCCTGTCAAAGTCGTCATGAATACCGTGAGTAACAGCGCGATTCGCCGACATACCACAACGTCGGACTGCATGTATTCCATGAAAAAATCGCAAATGTCGTCTACGGTGCTGTCGCGATCCAGCGGCTCGGGCTTGACACCCACATAGGACGCGGGCTCCACGAGTGTGGTGGGCAGAAGCGTCATGTCTTTGATAACGAGAAACTCGTCGCTGAGAACCAGAGAAACATTTAGCAGGAAGCCTCCAAGCGATCATCGAACACCCACCCGTCGACGTCTCCTCCGGCCAGCATAGATGCGAGCGACCGATCCCCTGTCAAGATGTTGATCAGAGTGTACTAGCCTTGGACCAACGATGTACACTCACCGACAGACGGCATCACGACGACGTTTCTGAGGTTGCGGAAGAAGCACACCTTGTCCGGGTCATCGGGAGGCTTGCCTATGGCCCTGACTCTTTGTACTGAGGGAGGCCTTATCAGTAGCCCTTGCAACCTAGGGATGATTCACGCAATCCTCACCATCTCCGGGGTGAATGTGAGGTGAGCGCGAAATGGACACGAGCCCTGCATGAGCAGTGTGAACAAGACTTCCAGTAATCCGCTGTGTACACTCACCCTGGATATATATCGGCTCATCACTGTCCGGCTGCTGGACACAAGCTAGGATCTGAAGTGAGTCGTAGATTTGATACCGTGACGCTTGGACATACCGAAAATCTCGCCCTCCTTCAGGCAGATTACCTTCTCGGGGTCGTGACCCGCCGCGATGTACGCTGGTCCCTCGTCCGCACAACCCACGAGCTGATGTGCTTCTTCGATCGGGATACGTGCATCGTGCTTGATCTCGGACAGGATGTGCGTCTGCGCGTAGTCGATGAGGCGAGCAATGAACTCGTTGTCCATGATATGCCTTGCCCGAGGTTTCTTTTTGCCAGTGTCCACGCCAGCTTTCCTTAGATGCTCGAGGATGTAGCGAAGGCCGTAGACGTTGCCGAGGTCATGGTCGCGGAGGAGCCCAGCCGTTTGCTCGATGGTGTCTCGCGCTTCGACCACCTTCTTCTTCGCCTTCTCCTGAAGGGCCAACAAATGTTGCTTGTGGATGCCGCGGTCTTCGAGGACGGCGATCAGCGGGCTGGACGAACGTCATCAGGATAATCACCATACTATCAAGTGGAAGAAGTAGTACCAACCGACACAGTCTGGCAGGGCCAGGCTTGATGAAAGCTTTCGCGATCTCAATCTCAGCCTCGCGCATGTGCTCTACGTGGAACTTCTTCATAGAGTCGCGGAGACGCAGCTTGATGCCTTCGAGCTGCTCGTCGACGACGACGATTCCTTTGCAACCTACAACGATTGAGCATTACGATGTTCTCCGGAAACAACCCTGTGCTCACCTAAGAAGCGGATCTGGAACTATGCGAGAGCGTCAGCCCCAATGTCTCCAGAGAAGGCACCGCTGGGAGAAGTACATACTGCGGAAGGCTTCAAGATCAACTTCCTCTTGTCGGGCGAGGCCTCGCAGAGGACGTCCCAAATGCGATCACGCAGTTCCACCGAGATGGTCCCTTGTCCGTCCGTAAACTCATACGGATCTGTTCCCAAATCAGGCACACCCTCTTCCCATTGTCCGATGGTGATCTTGTAAGAGGGATCCGTGCCACTGAAGGCCTGAGCAATTCTCGCTGCATACTTGGACGGCTGTCTAATCGATTTCTTAAAGGTGAAGTCACCGAGATCGTTACGAATCTTCTCAGGAGTCACCGGACCCTCCTCAGGGTGGTTGAAGTCGGCCATGAACCAGACTGTATGTTCGCGAAGACCGGATGTCGAGTAACCCAGGAAGCGGAACGTACGACCGGCGATCTCGAGACCTTGCTTCAGGAATTTCCCAAAGCGCTGCTGGATGAGGGAACGGCCGTTTACCTTGCTTTGCGTGAGCCAATACAGTCAAACCGCAGCCACTCGTCGAACGCACCTCGATGGGCCAGCGAAAGGACATTCTGTTCTCCTCTCGGAACTCAACGCGCAGGAAGTAGTCGCGGTAAGCATAGTACTTGCGAATAACGCGGTTGCTCTGAGTGTCATATGGTCCCTCGAGCAGGACACGAGTTGGAGTTATGATCGCGTGCGCACACTGGACCGAGCCCCTTGTACGAGGCGAGTCGTCGGGATCTACAATAGAAGCATGTACGTCCCGCCGTTCATCGCCCAGCGCCTTCCTGAAGCACTGCTCGACTGTTTCGCCGTTGCTCTTCGAGCGAAGCTTATCCATGAATCGGCGCAGGAAGTCCGCGACGAAGTCGGTACCGTCAGTACGTATCAGAGTGGAGACGGGCTCGCATAGACCCAGGATATCATCAGTATGCGCGAATCCGCTGCGCAGGAGAGCTTCGAGTTGGAAGCGGATGGGCCAATCGTAGCTGTTAATCCACTGATGGGTGATCTGGAGTTTTTCCGGACTGAAGTAGCCACACGACACAGAATTGATATTGACTTTTGACGGCGTTCGGATGCCTGCCTCTTCGCAAAGCGACTTGACGGCGTAACGCGCCTGTGGGTCGTTTAGGAGGAGCCGGATCTGGAACGCAAAGGGCGAGATGGACTCGTGATCCCCTCCGAGATGGGGCAGCCGTTCGCGGAAATGCCTGTTATCCTTGCGGTTGTCGCCCGTATATGCTCGATGCCGCGGTTGTCGTTCAAAGCGGGGAGGCTGCCACAACTCGAAGCAAACATCTGTCCACACGTGAGAACCTGCGGCAAGCCACACATTCGTTCGACGAAAAGGATAGCTCACAATAGTTGCCCTTGGACTCAGAGCCATAAGCACTCTTTTTGATATTCGGCAGATCAATGACCACGTGCTCGACCAGCTCCTCGGTGACAGCATTGCCCATCTGGCTCAAATCAGAGAGTAAGCCCTCAAAATTGAGCTCTGCATCCAAGCTGGCCACTCGTACCTCGATTCTCAAGAGCTTGTGGTCGTAGTCATACAGCAACTCACCGGAGATCGTATCGTCCCTACGAACCTCAAACTCCTTAGAAAAGTACCGATGTGCCGTGCTCGGATCTCCAGGACGGTGGAAGTAGATGCCGAATTGGACGGCCTCGAGAATGACCCGCAGGGAGTGAATACGCGCCAGCTTCTCCTCACGCTCCGCCTCCTCCTTTGGATCCACATATGGGGTCTTGTTGAGCGCCTCGACGAGACCCAGCTTGATTCTCTCCTTACTTCTCGAGATCCACAGCTTCCTACCATGTACTTCGACCCTGTTCCCGCGTTGCATTGCCCATCTGAAAAATTTGTGACCGATGGTGCTGTCCGGGAGCGTAAGTGTGCCCTTCCCGTTGCTGGGAAGACCGTTGTGGCTTCGCTCAAGCGTGATTTCGAAATTGCTACAATAGTGCGCATGGTAGTCAGCAGCGGCAGCTTCATAGGAGACTTCACATACATTGGACGTCCGCCATTGGCACGCGGGTCGTAGAAGTCTGGGTGGTTGTGGAGAATGCCACTGAAAGCCTCCTTGACTTCCCATTTCGTAGCCCGGCAAGGAATGTCTTCTAATTGGATGTTCATATTAATCGCAAGCTATGGAAGGGGAAGACAAGGAGGATGAGGATGCTGTCGAACAGAGTCTTAGAAGCGGATTGTCTTATATGAAGTTGCTACGGTAGGCGATTGCCGCTGCGGGAGCAAGGAGAAACAACAAAGCGGCGTTTGTCCCTTCCGTGACCTGCGAGCCACTCGCTCATTCAGCGTATGTAGATCTCAGGAAGAAGCTGCAGCAAGCCATGGATATATTGAGAAGCTGCCTGCGGCCTTGCTCTCAGTTCGTATTGGTGCTGCGGTAGCGGTCCGTGGCAAGAGGCAGACAACGAGCGCCAACTTGATTTTCTGACACGACGGGCATTGGCCAATGCCGCGGTCCCAAACAGGACCGGAGACAGGCTTGGAAATGTACTCCTGTCACGGTCACGTCCCAAAGCCTAGTTCCGGACCCGAGCCAGCCCGCGCTCTGATACCAGAAACAGGATATCGGCGCTCCCGACCATCCAAAAAAGGAGCAAACACGCTGATGTCATATAGTTTGTCAGCACTAATATCCCTTTTCGGGGCTTAGCGCCGGCCAGCTGGGGTCCGGAGCTAGGCTTTGGGACCAGGATCGGGAAAGGCGTACATTCTCGGTCCATTTCTTTGTCCCGATTTGGGTCCGGGGCATTGGCCAATGCCCGTCGTGTGATACTGTAATTGTGTCGTTCCCCATGTGGCAAGTCCCGTAATTCATGGAACTCGGATGCACCGATTGAGTCGAGAGTGCGGGTGTGAGGTTATTTCATGTCAGGAGAACTTCCGGATTGACTTCACTCAGGAAAGCAATTACAACATGAGATAATAAGGATATCAAGGAATATCTTATGGGACAATCTCTGCTCTCCGACACGAAGTGCTTCATAGCGATACATTGCGACCAGCTGCTTTTTGTTTCCTTGTCCGCCTTCAGATCTTACTCGGTCGGGAATACCAAGCAAACACCCTCGTCTCCAGCGCTGACGACGACGGCGCCCGCCATACCGAGGGCAGCGGCTAGCACGCCACCGCTGTGTCCTTTGTGTTCACGCACGAGTGTCCCCGTACGCGCATCCCACGTTCGCAAGACCTTGTCCGTCGAAGCCGAGACGATGAGGTGTCCCTTTCCAGGAGTCGTGAGGCGGTGTAGCGACGTGACGGCATCCTGTTTTGACCACCGGTCAAGTCAGAACGGTTCGTCAGGGATACTGTATACAGATCCAACCCACCTCGTGCTCAAGCGTCGCGCGCAACCGCATCGTACCCAAGTCCCATATGCATGCTTTCCCGTCGGTAGCCCCGGTGACTACAACGCCGCCAGCCGCTGGAGCCGCCGTCCCCGACAAGGGCACAGGCGGTGCCAGCTCGACGAACTCGACCGCTTCTACGCTTTCGCCCTCCTGGTGGCCCGCGAGAGCGCCGACGACCTCGCCCTTGCTCAAGCTGACCACACGGACGCCGCCGGATGTACCGCCGACGACCGCGAGAGTCGACGCAGGGTTGACAGCGAGGGAAGTGATGCCGTCCAGCGCGAACCGTTGGTCTTCTGGTGTGAGCTTGAAGACCGGGACTGGGGAGCGGGGGTCCCAGAAGATGAGAGTGCCTTCTGCGTCGGCAGTAATGATACGCTTTCCGTCTGGGGTGAAGTCGCCACAGGTTACTGGGCCCATGTGCCCTGCAAAGACTTGCATCGTGTTTCCGGAGGGCACTAGGAACATCAGTGAGCAGATGACTGGAGCATATGTGACAATAATGACTTACGTTGCCATAGCCATACTGTCGTATCATTTGAGCCAGCGAGCAGGACGGTACCCTTAGGGTGCCATCGAAGCCACTGAAAGAGACCCAGGATCAATCGACCATCCTCACATATTATTGTCCTAACCGATGGTTGTATACGAACATCCCAATGTGAATATCAGGAGCAGGCGATTGCATTTGGCATAGATATTCGCGTGCAATAAGTGCGATAGGTAGACTTCCGGCGCAATTGTTTCTAATGTCAAACAATGGATGTCGGACTTACCATTACTTCGTCAGGACCCGTCAGCTCTGTAAGGAACTCCCATTTGTTCCAATCCTCCTTGCCTACTCTCCTCCATATCCGCACTTTGCCGTCCATACCACCCGTCGCGATAAGTTCACCATCCGAGCTGAACGCGGTCGAGGTTACACTGTCCGTATGACCGGTGAGCTTCACAAGCTCGTCCCCCGTTACGATATCCCAGATATATCCGAGATCGTCTTCTCCACCCGATGCGACAAGTGGTGCGGTAGGATGTGTGGAGACCGCAAAGACAGAGCCTTTATGATTGGGAAAGTGTTGTATCGAGTTGTCCTCCCAGACAATTTCGTCCTCGGGTCCCGGACCCTGTCCATCTTCGTCGTCGTCCATGGGGTGGTCCCCATCCTCCGCGAGCTCGATGAGCACATCGTTCGGGTCGATGAAGTCCTCTCCCTCCGGGTCATCCTCTCTCTCCTGGAAGTGATGGTCTTCGGCGCGTTCAGCAGACATTCTAGGCGATCAAGAGGATGCAAAGACGAAAGCAGATGTGTTGTACTCGCAGTGACGTCTCTTGGAGCTTTATAACGCGAGAACGGACGCGGAGGAGGTGCGAAACAGCTGAGTAAACGTACTCTGCGGCTTTGTGATCCTCGATCTGACAAAATCTCGCGGGGCCGGAGAAGACGGAAAAGATGCGACCTACTCTCGCTTCCGTGAGCGGCCGCACGTGACTCTGACGATCTGCCATGTTAGAGCGCCCCGATCGCGGACGAGTGCATTCAACCTGCTCGACTTCCGAGTCCCGATATTTCAATACCTACGTGGCATGAAAGGCCGCTTGTGCTTTCACTTCAGGTCTATTATCAGTTCTGAGAAGGGAGCAAGCTCTGTAACTGTGGATCTACTGCTCGCTCTCTGTGTTGTAACTGCCTGGGCGAAGTCGCGCTCCAAGTCCCTGATGGTCTCCATCATTGCTTCCATTGGACATAGACGTCTTGCCCGAGTTCCGCGGCCTGGTCAACCTGCAAGCATAGATTTCGCTCGAAAGAACGCTACACCAGACAGCCGTCGATACCTCACGGTTGATTTCACACTTGCAGTGAATAAATAGGACTCGTGGGCGCACCTAGACAATCTCGCCACGCCTGTTATAGAGTCTCATGCTGCCAGCAATTGCTCTTGATCTCAAATCGCTATCTTTGACACAAAACCGCAACTTTCGACACCGCACCGCGCTGAACCACCCAAGTTCTGCGGCGACGTTCTATCGGTGCACGCTGCTGACACGTGCCCTGAAAACACCACCCACCAGCGGCTAAGAAGAGGCCGCACATCTAACCCTCGTCACTCGAATCTGATTTGGGTCCCAGGGTTGATGGGCTTCCACCTCAAGGCGTTTGTGGGTGCCATCCATAAGCTTGCTCCTTCCGCACCGTCCGTCCGCTCACGGGCACGAAGATTGCACATGGCGAGTCAGAATTCACCAGGTCTGAACTTTATCGGATGGTCTCCTGCCAAAACGTCCCTAGTCCGTACTGATTCGCCTCCCCCCTTAGATTCTTTCGGCGCCATCTTCGACAAGCAAACTGCCACTGCCAGTCCGATTGAGGGCGCAGACGCGGTCAAGGTGGTCAGTTCTGACCAAGTTCCGGAACACACAGACCAGACCACTCCGTATGGGAATGATAACGTACCTCGAGTGCCACCGTCGCGTCTCGACTACTTCTCACTGACGCGCATTGTATATAGCCCGGAGCACCATCCGTAGCGAGTTCCCCGGCCAGCCCTTCGCACGACGCAAATCCCCCTCTGTCCCCCCTGAACGAGTTATCGCCAGTAGACTCCTCCCGCTCTGACTCTGACGAGAACGAAGACACCTACGACATGCAGTATGACACCGTCCGGAATCTCCGTGTCAAGGGGTGGTCTCCGGAAGAGTCTCGCTGGACCACAAAATACCACAAACACTCCCTCTCCGCTCTCCACATCGACATCGTCTCCTGGAACGTCGACTTCATGGCGCCAGACACCGCAGGCCGCGTCGCCTGCATCCTCGACCACCTCCGCAAGGCCGTCCTCACGGACGAGCCGCAGGCGACGGTGATCCTGCTGCAGGAACTCGACGAGGCGAGCTTCGCGAAGATCCTCGAGAACAGCTGGGTGCGGAAGTACTTCGCCGTCACCCCACCCACCACGCGGCGCTGGCAGGCGAGCTACGGCCTCGCCACACTCGTCTCGCGCCCGGCCTGGATTGCGAATGCGCAGATGCTGCAGTTCAGCCACACGACGATGGGCCGCGCAGCTCTGCTCGTTGACGTGTCGCTGTATCCGCCCAGCGATTGGCCGAACGGTCCGAACCATGTCATCCGTATCGCGAACACCCACCTGGAGTCGCTCCCGATGGGGGAGCGCGCTCGCCCGCTGCAGCTGCAGGCGATCGCAGATATGCTGCGGGCACCAGGAGTGTTCGCTGGTGTCGTGGGAGGCGATATGAATATGATCGGTCCTGCGGACCAACGCATACACATCGCCGCTGGATTGCGTGATGCAGGTAGCGATGGACCCGAGTCATTGACTTGGGGATTCCAGCCCCCCTCGCGGTTCCCCCCTGGGAGACTGGATCGCATATTCTACACCCCCTCCCCCGACTTCATTGTGAAGCCCGTGAAGGTTATTGGGAGGGGCCTCAAAACAAAACGTGGTCAATGGGCGAGCGACCACCACGGTCTCTTGACCAGAATTTGCCTACGACACGATGACGATGATCCTGAGCTTGATTACTAAGAGCTGTGTATGATTTCCCCACCCTCTGAAAATACGCTTCCAGAATACATACCCCGAAACCGACGCCGTTGTCATATATACTAGTGTGTAGTAGTACGCTCTTCCCGTATTTCAGCCCCAGTTTTCGCACTTGGTACAACTTCTCTCTTTTACAATCGCCTATTCTCATCCAAGACTCCGATTCAACAAGAAAAAGTAGCATAGCATTAGACACAAAACTACCTAAAGGGAAAACCCGAACCTGCTTGACACGTAGAGTTTGATTCTACCAGAAAGCTTGTCGCCTGTTGCAGTAAGTACTGCTGTATCTTCTGGCTACATGTTCGCTATCGCTATCGATCGTCGGTCCGACTTGCCTCCCAGCATACATACTAATCAGGACATTTCGTTCTTAGGAATTTGGACAAGGGGCTCTGTTGATCCACCAACGAGCCGTCGTTTTACGCAGACAGCCACCGCTATATACAGAATGCTTTCTAGTTCGCCGCTGTGAAGTGTGAGAATGCCTCCTTCGGTGGTGGGAGGCCGCCACCGGTCTGTCCCGGCAACGCATCTGACGGATCACATGCGATGCGCACCGGCGTATCCCGCGCCTCACCTCCCATGACAAGCCGCACGCTGCGGAGGTTTTCTTGCATTCTTTCTTTCGAACTTTATGCGTCATATGGTCTATCATGCGCTCGAAGAGCGGAAGCCAAGAGCTTCGCCAGTCTCCGTGAGTCTCCTTCATAATTGACTCGTTAGGCAGCAGCTTCATCAGCTTTAGCGGATCTGAAGCTTCCGAGAAAAATAGTGAAGCTTCATCCTGTGGACTCGTGCCGGAAACCTTCATAGTAGGCGTCAGTGTTTCTGCGATTGAAGTATACGCGATACTCAAGCCCTGCATACGGTGAAGTCACCGCCCTACATTCGTCAAGGAATATGGCAGGGCCCCAGGAGGGTCTAGGGAAGGTATGGTAACAGACTGTGCTCGTTCGACTTCACTGTCCAGGAAGACATACAGGAGCTCTTGCCCATCAGCGCAGGTGGTCGCCACCATCTCTTTTGCTATTGCGCGGGTCCTCTGGCCGCTTCCGCTTCTCTCGGGCTCTCATGAACGAGCCTGTTCTTCGGTTGCAAACAGGCCAGAAAGCTTCAGAGGGTGGGACACAGTGACGCTAGCTGCTGCATGGGTATCTTACATCAAATAGCGCCACATATATGCCATCCGACTCGCTGCATTCTGGTTGAACATATGTCCAAGCATTGAGCAAACACGCTTGATGTGGGTACGGTTAGCGTTCGCCATCCTCCAGTTGCAACCCAAGTTCATCGCGCTCGTGAGCCTCGGCTGGTCAGGGTGTTTGTTCGGGAAATTTACCCGAGGCCAACCGGGATTCGTCACTCTTGCCTCAGCCGGACTGACTTCACACATCCGCTTCCCATCAGATGCGCTGTGGCGTCCACGACTCGTCCGGCCTTTTTCCGCGTCCCGACCAGCCCTTTGCCCGCGGATGGTCAGGCCGCCCAAAGAAGCTGGCCTCTGACTGTGTTCCTGGCAACTACCCCGCAATACCCCAGATATACCCCAGATGCTTTGCAGGTTTAGCCCGGAAAGAGAGGTTTGGGATGCACTCCGGCGCACTCGTGAAACTCACCAAGGAAGCATTCACGTAAGTATATAGTCGGGTTCGCTCTGCCTCGTGCGCACACGATGGTCCCCTTTCCCCCCTCAAGTATCCGCACCCGTTTCCCGAGGCTCTGAGCGACGCACATCGCCCTCTCCGTGAGGATGACCTCTCCTCCAGAATGGACTGTCATCGACTTCATCCACCGAGGCGCATGGTGGAGGAATCCCAGTGAGTGTCGATGCAGATCGGCGCGACATATGCTCAACGCGAGATGACATGGCAAGGCATACGTGTCCTCAACTTGCTTCTGCTCCTACCCCTCTTTACCGCTTCTATCAACGGTCTTGACTCTTCCTTGGTGAACGGTACGCATCCATGCAGCGGCGCTCATGAAACCTCCCACTCTGATTCGGGGCTGTAGGATTGCAGATTCTACCGGCGTGGCAGGACTACTTCGACCATCCTAATGGGAGGACCCTGGGTATGTAATGTCACGCTCGTCTAGACCTACCTAGTTCATTCAAACATCTCCAAACAGGTCTTATTTCCGCTGCCCAGGTTATCGGCTCTATAGCGGTATTCAAACATACATCTCGCTGCGCTATTCCCGCACTGACATGTGTATGTTGTGCTACATCAGGGTCTCCCGTTCACCCCGCTTTCGGCAGACCATCTAGGCCGGAAGCCTACGCTCTTTGTCGGTGCGGTCATAATGCTCGCCGGTGTGGCTCTTCAGAGCGCAGCAAGGACAATCGGCATGTTCATCGGAGCACGAGGTCTCAGTGCGTCATCCGTCGCTCCTCCGTCCCGCTTCACCTCCTTAACGACTCTGCACAGTTGGTTTCGGACTCACCTTTGTGCTTGGTGCGGCTCCCCTACTGATCACCGAGTTGGCCTACCCAACACAGGTGCGGGACGCCATACGCTCCGTCTCCACGATCATGCTGACTGCGGATTCAGCGCGGTAAGCTCACCTCAATGTACAACGCTTCGTGGTATATCGGTAGCATCATCTGTACGTAACCCCGCTTTCTTCATGGCGGCTTGCTGCCAGTCAGCTGACCGTGATGTGCTTCCGAACCTTAAGCGGCATGGACGTGCTTCGGCGCGTACCAAGGCGCAGGCCACTCAGTTTGGTCCTGGAGAATACCTACGCTCGTTCAAGCGCTCGGGCCTCTGCTCCAAGTGTCATTTATATGGTACGCTTGCTTCGATGCGGACATGAACGGAGTCCCGCTGACATGCCCGACGCAGGGCCGTCCCAGAATCGCCTAGATTCCTTGTGGCCAAGGGCCGGGTACGTGCTTCTGAGAAGCGCTCTCTCGGACATCGCGGCGTCCCTCTAACTTACACTGAATATAGGAATCCAAGGCCGCTCGTATACTCGCACGGTACCACTCGCTCACGCATGACGAGCAGGATCCGCTCATCATGTTCGAGATGGCGCAAATCCGACACGCTCTTAAGCTTGAGAAGGAAACTTCGAAGAGCACATCATTCATCACTCTGTTCTCAACTGTTGGGAACAGGAAACGTATGCTCATCATCATCGCACTGGCGGTCTTCTCGCAATGGAGGTCCGTGATTTCGGCTGTATAACATATGCTGAAGATTCACACACATTGAACTCAGCGGAAACGGTCTCGTTTCCTATTACATAAATCTAGTCTTCGAGGGTGTCGGCATCAAGGATGCGGGGACTAAAGCAGCAATCAACGGAGGACTCCAAGTTTGGAACCTGATAGCGGCGATGTCAGGTGCATTGCTAGTCGACAAACTCGGCCGCAGAACGCTCTTTATCATCTCCAACGTTGGCATGCTTATCGGTTCGTGAGCGTCTCGTGGTAACATTTGGAGACGGGTAAATGACATGGCTCACAGGTTTCGGTGCATGGACATTAACCACCGCTCTTTTCAACACTATGGACAATAAAGCGGCAGCCAAAGGTGTGCTGCCAATTTCGACTACCATATACCCCTGAGTGCTCACTCGACAATGTGTAGCTACCATCCCGTTCATCTTCATCTTCTACTTCTTCTATGATATCGCTTACACGCCTATGCTCATCGCGTATACACTGGAGATTCTACCGTTTAGCATTCGTGCTAAGGGGTTCGCCGTAATGGTGAGTAACGTCCTAGGCTTCACGTCTCGCAGTCGATGCTCACCCATTGCCTGAACCAGAACCTCGCCGTATCCCTGACGCTCGCGTTCAACCAGTTCGTCAACCCGTGGGCCCTTGACGCCCTTGGGTGGAAATATGTGAGTCGCCTTGCCGGCTGGCCTCTACCCTGTGCTGACTCCAATGTAGTACCTCGTCTACTGCGGCTGGCTCATAATCGAGCTCGTCTTCGTCGTCTGCTATGTCGTTGAGACGAAGGGCCGGACACTCGAGGAGACCGCCGCACTCTTCGACGGCGAGCAGCAGCCTCAGGTGCTCATGCAGCAAGGCGGAGAGGCCGCGACGATGTCACGCAACTTCGCTGCGCGCGGACCAGGAATCTGGGTGGAGCAGGAGAAGAGCATCGTTGCGGATGTCGCGCTCCGCGAGAATGCCCCGAAACGCGTGAGCGATCGAAGTTCGGCGTCGACGAGTATGAGCAGATACGATGAGGAGCGTTCGACGCACTCTCACAGTCGGATTTACGAAGCGATATGAACGCTGCTCCTTCATCTTGCCTCCCACCCTCCACCAGCTGCCACGTTTGTCCCTTATACCGAGTGCTGGAGTATTTTGCTAGTCATGTCAGCTCCACACTCGGTCTTGTCATACCATTGTCCCGTCATACCACGCACGAAAATACATGTATCACTAAAAGCCACCGGTACCTAGATCCCTCTATGCATCGGATAGCACTACTACTGGTCATCGTCAGTTGGCGTGTCTCTCCTAACCCAAACTTGAAGATCGCCAGGCGGGCAGCTGAACGCGCCCCAGCCTCCCGCATCGATCTGCACGACCTTTTCCGGGTTACTAGGCGAGTAGTACTCGCGGTACTTGGCGCCTGCGTTCTCCTGTGATGAAGAACCAAGCGATGGGTGCCGGCAATTAGACCTCAATCGGGGAAAGCGCAATACTGACATAGTAATGGTCGAACGTACCGAGCCGACGTTCATGCGAATTGTATGTGACAAAACAGCGCCCTTCGATGGAGTCCCATCGCTTCCCGCATCATCGTGTGAGCATCTATCCCTGCTGCAAACCAGATGGGCGGAGACACCAGAACGACGTACCTTCCATGCTGCTCTGGGACGTCTGCGTTGCTTATAAGCACCGCGCAGCCCCCATGCCCAGAGCCGGATCCGGGCTTGCCCTTGCGTACGAAACCGATGCAGTTCTTGTGTGCGAAGTAGTCTGACCGTGCACCGTACGCAAACTTCTTCCGGATCTCCATCAGGCGTTTCCGCCCTTGCGCGATGGAGGAATCATAGCATTCCTCGTTAGGGTATAGATCCCCATAAAACACACAGCTAAGGTCATATCAAGGCACGATGGGTGCGCCAGAGGGTGGCCAGGTAACAAAGATCGGCACACCAGAGAAAAGACGTTCAATGTTCGTGATTGACTCATGGGAGCAAGGAAGCTGAGGACTCACGGATGGCCTTCGCCATACAGCAGAATTAGAGCGTAGGCCTGCAGTTTGAAGTTGACACCGACCTGCGGTGCCGCAGGGCTCGTCAGGAGATCTCCGGGGGTGAGATCCATAGAAGAGCGGCTACTCACCCAGCTTTCCAACGTTTGTCCGATTTGCTGCAGACCGATTCGAAGTCAGTCTCATATGATATGGGTGCGCGGAAGCTTTGCAGATGTACCGTGCTGATGACGTAGGTAATCAGCGTCCATCAATTAGGGTAATCCGGGAGTACTCACTCATGGTTGTCGACGAACGTTACAGCGTCACCTGGTCTGAATGTCATTATGGAATTGTCGAAGATCTTCCTCAAATCGTACTTCGAACCGACTTTGCTGGCTTCGTGAAAGTTGTAGTGCAACGGTACATCAAAGAAAGTGACCTTGCATCGCTCTAATTAGCTTCACGTTTGCTGACCCTTCGTAATATGGAGTTGCTCACTAGTCCTTCGAACACCCTGATATACGGCTTGATCGCCTCAAGACTCCAAAGAAATCTCAGTGTCATTGTACGGGTGGGAACAGAAGACCCTCACTCGGTCGACCAATACTCAGCGACGGAGAACAGGTCCTGCCTTCCAAGAGTCTCGCGTACGTGTTTGATCTACCATTCAGTGTACAGTGAGAAGCTCGGAGGGTGGAAAAAGCTCGCATACGACGCACGAAGCTCAGCAAGAAACGCCTGTCCATGTGCTTGATGGCGTCGAGCCGGAAACCTGCTCCGCCCGTAGTCTACCGAAGGAGGTTAGTATGAGTGCTGCGGAAAATAGCAGAGCCGAGGAGTATCCCCAAAACACCCACCTGCAAGACCCAGCTTCCCCATGTCATCAGATCTTTTCGTACTTCGGGATGTCTATGGTCTATCTGGAGAACGCAATGTCAACAGGACATCGCGTCCACGCTATCACGCAACTTACATCTATGCCAAGGAGATAGTCGTAGTTCCCATTTTCGCGGTCTACCCATTCTGACCAGCCCTTGTGTTTGTCGCTACTTATTCGCCACACGCCCTTAGTCCTTGTCTTGTGGTCCCAGTCGAGTCCTAGGGGCGATGTTGAGAGTGACTGGAAGCTGTAGCTAAAAGGAGACCTACCCGTGAAGTGTTCATACGTCCATTTGAGGCTACTATACTGGAGGTATGTTAAGCAAAGGCGCATTGTCAACTTACAGACATCCTCTACCTTCTCAGCCCTTCCGTGGAAGTCAAACGCTGTCCACCCCTGCACAAACATGAGTGAGGGCCATGCTCATGACACGGAAGTCCCACCTCTATCTCTCTAGTTGGCCCAATCTCCATTAAACGGTTGTTTGGATCGACGGGAGTTGCCATGAATTTCTCTGGTCTATCCCCTCCCAGTTTGTGCTGAACTGTTCAGTCGCATGCCTCGATACGGGACCTCGCCGAATGCTCACATTGAGGACCGCGTCCACGAGGACGTCAATGCCGTGGGCGTTAGCGGCGGCGACCGCTCGGACAAGCTCTTCTTTAGTACCCCATCTAGTCGCAATAGTCCCTTTTTGATAGAACTCGCCAAGGTCCCACTAAGCGAGTCAGCGCCACGTATTCGCTCTCGATGTCCGCGACGCACCAAGTCATATGCGTCATAGCCTTGTCCTTGCTGCACGCCCGGCCCGTCATTCAGGAAACCCCCATCGCTCAGTGACAAAGCATACCTTTCTCATGGCCTTGTTTGGGGGCGGTAGCCACACTTGTGTAACACCCATTGCAGCAAGATTGGGAACCTCAGTCTCGAAATGCTTCCACCAGCTCATCTCGGGATTGTTGGCCTCCCAAGTGAAGAACTGCACCTGCGCGCACAAAGGAAATATCACCGTATGCTTTTCTGAGATATACGCCTACAGCTACTCACCATGAGAGCATTGTCATCCCCTGCTCTTGCAGGCCCCTTGAGCCTCATGTTGGAGAGAGCAGGTGGATAGTACCACCAGAAGGTGACATACTCCCAAACGCGGATCAATGTATCGGACAGAGCTCCCAGGAACATGATTGTCGACGACTTCCTTCACAGATGGCCCTAGAACAGAGGCGCATGCACAGGCTGTAGTCGATGAGATGGCCACGCTGCGGCAGATGTGTCTGTGCACGTCGACGCCGGTGCGGCCCACGCTGTCCGTCGCGGTCGCGTCCAAGGCGCGCGGTCAGGTGCTCAGGTTCACGGCTAATGCCGACGGTCCAAACTCCGACGAGCGCTCCTCATATATGTCCTCCCAGCGAAAATTGTTTCCTCACCGTTGCGGCCACCACGCGTCGCTGCGCCTTTCGTCTGCGTTCCGCTTGACATTAGGGTGTGGTCTCGATGCGCTTCTTGAAGTCCTGTGGTGGTGCTGAGCGAAAGAGCCATCTTAATCGCTCCATTCACCGAGAATCTACGTCGAATGGAGTTTCATGCTTTGGCAACACGCCTTGTCTGTATCTACACTATGTCACTCATTTAGCTTGCTCCAATCGTTGTCGATCCACAGTTGCACTATCTGACATCTCATTCGACGCTCTACGGCAAGAATACGGTATTTATGGTGGAATGCAAATGCGGTTATAAATAGGGTGAATGGGATGACGATGTCTACGTCGTCCAGCGACGTTAGTTGTCCATAGTGCCTGGGTCCCATCGTATGCCCTTAGAGATGAATAACGAAGGGGTTTGAGCAAACATTGTAAGTGACAAGTCTGCCTTGATGTGCTATTGATGCTCACGCAGACTTAAGATCCAGGCTGGGAAGTCGTAATCACTGGTACTGTCCCCATCCGTCGGTCTGTGCATCCTGACATGGATACGGACCGAAGGGTGGGCATAAGACCAGCGATCGCATCAGAGAGTTTCAGCGGCCAGCATCGACCAGGTGGCGTCGCCCCACAGCGTAACGGGTGCTCAGATCTGGGCTGGCGGGTTGCTGGACCTCTTCGTTGTCAAGCCCGTTCAATGCACATAGCATCGTTCTATCATAGGTGCCTACATCTGCTGATGAAAGCTAATACGCACACTGCCCTGGCGCGTCGAGACAGGTATAAATCCGATGCGGGCCCAATCCTTGTCAACTGCAGCTTCCATGATCATGAATCCGATGCCTTCAATCGACCATCGGTCCTCATGCTTGCAACCACGGTGTTCGTAGTGTATCCGAACAGGAAGGCTTCTCCGGAAGTTCCGTTATCTCTTTCTTCGCAATTCTTACTAGATGATGTAGATAAGTCCTGCGTCTTATGGTTTTGTGCCTCTATTGTAGAGACCGCCCAACGACGTGGAGCTCATCCGGTATGTTCTTTGTATCTTCCACCTTGACAGGTCATCTGACGACACCGAATCCGGGTGACAGGAACCCTCCGGTAGAGGTGCCTCATGCGGCGGTTGCTTCATACTAAGACAGGACAATTCGTCGAGTTTCCCGACTACCAGAGAGCTCGGCCATACGCCATCCTCTCTCATACGTGGAACCCGAAAGGAGAGCAGACGTACCAGCAGCTGAGGAAGATTCAGAGGCGATATGGGCCCGATGGTAGCCTCTGGGTTGCTCCAAACGCGGTAGCCGTCTCCTCCACGGCGATGCCCTCTTCCGCGACTATCGACATCACACAGCGCTCCTTCCCCGCTGCTTCTCGCGAAAGTGAAGGCGGGAATCTTCCCGCTTTCTGGAACGATCCCAGACTCTCAGACAAGGTGCGGGGAGCGTGCGCGATCGCGCGTGCCAATGGTTACGACCTCATCTGGATCGATTCGTGTTGCATCGACAAGACGGGCAGCGCGGAGTTGTCGGAGGCCATCAACTCCATGTACCTGTGGTACAACGCATCGGCTGTCTGCTACGTCTTTCTCGTGGACGTCCCTCCGGGAGACAGCGTTGAGGCAATGGACTCACACTTCCGGGAGAGCAGGTGGTTCAAGCGCGGATGGACGCTGCAGGAGCTCCTTGCGCCTCGGAACGTCCAGTTCTTGGCCAGCGATTGGCGTCTCCTAGGCTCAAAGGCGAGCTTGGCTCAAGTTGTCGAGGAGTGTACCCGGATCGATGTCGAGGTCTTGACGCATATACGCCCTCTAGACAGGGTCAGCGTCGCGAGACGGATGTCCTGGGCGGCGAACCGGGAGACCTCGCGGATAGAAGACCGGGCTTACTCACTCATGGGAATGTTCGACATCAGGATACCTACCCTTCACGGAGAAGGACAAGGGGCTTTTAGAAGGCTCCAGGAGGAAATCCTTCGCCGTATCCCCGACCAAAGTCTCTTCGCATGGACGTCCGGAGAAAGTATCGGTGTGCTACCGTATGTTAGGCACGGTAGTATAACCTTCCTCGCACACGCGATCAGCCTTTCGTCGGTAGTGCGACAGGATCCGGAACGTACTGGGAAGCCTGGAGTGAGCCTCTTCGCGTCTTCGCCCTCAGAATTTGGGGCGTCCCACTGTATCTCTCCTCTCCCCCCCTCTAGCTCTGTGCTGAGCCGTTCCTATCCACCGTTCGACTACGTGCAGATGCCATACGGCATGCGCGCGCAGTTCTTGATGATACCCGCCGATCGTCTACCCTCACACCGCTACTATTTCCTCGTTTTGGCCTGCCAGCACGTCCGGCGAGCAGAACAGCTCGTCATCCAGCTATGCTACCTAGGGCCACGGCTGCACAGTGGTGGTCCTAGACGACTCAGCCTCCCCAAACTCGCCTCAGCGAGGGGTGGTCTGCTTACAATGCAGGCGAGCACCTTCCTTGCTACGAAAGTTCGGGTCAAAACAGTCTACATCCCTCATTATTCTAGCAGCGGCATGCCGTCGCTCCCGGGGAATCCCTTTGCCTCCCTGGAGTCGTATCCGCCGCGATTCTGGTCAGGGTCCGCCACCTTCTCCCTGTCGCTAGCTCCGCGTGCACGCGCTGCCTTGCAGAATCAGGGATACAGCGTCGAGATCGCTGACCGACACGACCCAGGGGTCTGGATCCTTCTTCTATCCAGGTCCAGGAATGAACAGACCTTGAGGATAGCGTTCCATGCAGCCCCTTCCGACCCCCCCTTTCTCAAAGTCACAGCCATCGTCTCTGACGATGGGTCCGGCCGCTCAACACACTCCTTACTAGCGGTATTGGAACCGGATCCGAACCATTCTCATGAGTTCTCCACCGCAATGCGTTTCCGCAGGCTCGTTTTGAGGACTGCAACAGGCGCACTGTGGGACCCGGAAGTCTGGTCGGAAAGCAAGAAGGTTCTCTTCCGCCCAGCCCACCATCTCCTGGTTGTCTGTCTGACAGCTCAGCCGTCGGGCTCGAGTGTCAGCAGTCCAGTGCGCGCGCTCAAGACGCTCCCCGTCGGACTCGAGCCATCTTCGAACGTAGAAACGGGGGACTCGGGCATAGTCTCTCGGTCTCCTCGGAGGGGCATGCTAGGTGGCTTATTTGGTGAGAAACGGGAGAGGAGAACAGCGGGATAAGAAGACGGACTGCAGGTTAGGACATCTCATCGCGTAGGGCAATATGAAGTATCATCCCCGATGATATATTGATGATCGAGCCTGAATCCAACACAATATAGTTGACACCACACTTCAACGTCTAGCAGCGAGTACTCTGCCAGCCATACTGTCACGGGAAGCTCAGGCGAGCACGACATACGAATAGCATACGAGCTCACATGAACTATCGCCTGCGTGCAAGGCTCCCGAATGATGTGGAGAAGCTCGGTCTCGGCTGTGTGACCTCGCCTTCCTTCACCGGGGATAGGACGGTCGGGATATCCAGTCCGCCGTCCCCCTAGAGCCATCGCCGCCAATTATGACAGGAGAGCAAACATTAGACGAAGAGGCCACACGATGCTCAAGGTTTACATACCTCTGTACTTTTCCACTGGAATGTCTCTTGTTGCGCTTGTGGGAACAGGTTGATCTTCCGCTTCTTCTTCGGGGCCACCACCTCCGCCTCGTCCACCTCGTCCGCATCGTCTTTGTCCTTATCTTTATCCTTGTCCTTATCCTTACCCTTCCTGGTCGCTGCGGTTGTCGCCTTCACCGTCTTCACGTTCTTGCTCTTCGCCGTGGTTCCCTTACTCGCCTCTCCTAGACTAGCCTTGGGCGGGCGACCGCGTCTTTTCGGGGGAGGCTGCTGAGACGGCTCCTCGTCCTCATCTTCGTGATCCGACGCCGCCTTCTTCCTCCCCCTTTTCTTCTTTGGTGGAGGCTCATCATCGACCTCGACAGAGTCCGCCTTCCGCTTGTCCTTCTTGTCCGCGGGGGCGGGTTTGCTCGTCTCGACGATCTGGATGTCGCTGTCGCTGTCGTCCGCAGGGGCGGGCTTCTTCCGCTCTCTCTCTTTCGCCTTCTCCTTCGCCTGCTCCCTGTCTTTGGCAGATTTTGGCCTGGGTTTGGGTTTGGTGATGGGTGGTGTGCTGTCTCCCTCTTCCTCCTCTGCGAGCTCGGGACGCGCACGCCCCTTGCCCTTCTCCTTGTCCTTCTCCTTCGGGTTCGGTGGTGGTGGTGGATCGATCTCCATGATCTCATCGTCGTCATCCTGCGCAAGTGGTGGAGACGAGTGCTTCGCCTTCGCCACAGGACGCGGTGCGGGACGCTTCTTGGGTGCGGGATCTTCGACGAGCTCAGCGTCGTCGTCGGTCGGTTCGGGTTCCGCCCGTCTGGAAGAGGGGGGTTCTTTCGACTTGAGAGCGAAGGACGAATTGTCAGTTACCCCATTGCCTAAGTGAAACAACCATAATAAGCATACCGGCTTGGTCGACTTGGGCTTCGATGGACTGCCTGACTTGGCGCGTCGTTGCGCGTCCTCCAGCTTGCTTTGGAGCTCGTCCAACTGCTGTTTGCAAGTTTGCAGCTGGGTCTTCAGGTTCTTGGACCGCTCTTCCTCGGCTGTGAGGTCGTTCTGCAACCGTTCAGCGTCCTCCTGCGCAGCCTCTGTCTCTTTCTATCGCAGAGCGACGTGAAATTCATCAACCATGAGACGTGCGATCTAAGGCTTGATGAAACGCGTTGTAGCCATACCTGATGTGCTTCCCAAGCCTCCTTGTACTTGTCCACCCTGCGCTGCAGCTTCTCCGCCCGAGCGGTCTCCTTATCCCGCTCTTGTTCCGCATCCTCCTTTTCGGTCTCGAGCTGCTTGACCTTGACCTCGAGGTCGATACGGCTTTTGCGGAGAGTCTCGACTTCGGCATTTTCGCGCTTGTCCAGCGCCGCCCACTTCTCGACCTGCTGGCGCAGGGACGCGACGTTCACCTCAGACTCAGCGTACTTCTTCTCCAACGCGGCATGTGAGGTTTTGAGGGCCTCGAGCTGCAGCTCAGCGCGTTCAAGGTTCTTCGCGGTGCGCTCTGACGCGACCTTGGTGGAGGTGTGCTCGCCGCGGAGGGCAGTGAGATCCGCCTGTAGGATAGCGTAAACCACACATTCGTGACTACAATACACGACAGCATAACTCATACGTACTTCCGCCTTCTCTTTCTCCTTCACCGCCCGCGCCTGCTCCGCCGCAGCCTCCTTCAGCTGCTCGGCCAGCTCCGCACACCTCGCCTCCAACACCGCCGCCTTCTCCTGCCACTCCTCCTCCAAGTCGCCCACCGCATCCTCCTTCGCCTCGTGCGCCGCCTCCAGCTCCCGCTCCAGCTGCGCGACCCGCTCCTCCAACTCCAGCTCCCGCGTCTGGAACAGTACGATCTTGTAGTCCCGATGCACCCTCGCGACCCGCTCCCTCCTCAACGCCTCCTTCATCTCCAGCACCGCCGCGTGCTCCCTATCGACCTCCGTCGCGGTGCGGAGGTGCGCGATGCGGTGCGCGGCCTGGAGCGAGTCGCAGCCCTCGCGCCACTCCTTGCGCTCGGTCTCCCACTGCTGACGGATCTGGGCGACGGCGTCCGCGGCGCGGTCTTTCTCCTCGGCTACGGCCGCGCGGAGCTTGGTGGTGGTGTGCTCGAGGGTCTTGTTGCGGGCGACGAGGTCGGCGATGTGCTTCTGCTGGCTGGCGACCATGGCCTCGTTCGGGTCGGCGGACGAGGAGCGGAGGGTGCTGTGGCTGTCGCGCATCATCGTGCTTTCTAGAATGCGTTCTGAGAAACGGCCAGCTAGCGTAAATGTGTTCCTATGACGATATGTATTGTTGAACGGACAGCGACCACGACGGGGTTGTGAGCTGGGGTATACGGAGAAACATGCAGAGCGGGACAGGTGAGAGGAGGATGAAAGCTGCAGCACTCGCCGGCGCCCAACGCGACCTCGATCACGTGTAACCACACCGACGCGTCTCCGGTACCCTGAGCGTGCCCTCGCACGCTGGAGAGTAGCAAAGCGTTCGTATGCGCAGCGATAGAGCAAGATAACGATATCCGGGCTACTAAGACAAGATCCTAAGGGTACAAGCAAACTAGATCCTACCACCCCAGAGATACAGCAATAGATCGTGACCGTCCATGAAGTCGTAAATCGTACAGACCGTGTTTGGTGCAGCCTGCAACACCTAATATTGGTCGACTTCCTCGTCGTCTCCTCGTCGGCTTTCACCTGTGTGCTTTTACTTGCCCTTCTTGCCCTTCTTTCCCTTCTTCCCGCCGCTAGCAGCGGTGAAGCCGTCAGGAGCCTCGGACGCCTGTCGGGAGATAGCGTCGGGAGTAGCAGCTGCGCTCGCAACACCCTTCTTCCCCTTCTTGACCTTGACAGGAGGCAAATCACCCCACGCATCATCGTCTCCTGCTTGCGCGACTTCGACACCGTTATTGGGCCCCTCTTCTCCAGCGGCCGCCGTCTCCTCCGCCTGCTCAGCTGGCTGTTCTGCCTGCTCAGCTACCTTCTCCGCTTGGTCTGCCTCCTGCTGGGCCTCCGCGGCAGCCTCTTCCTTCTGCTCTGCCTCCGCTGCGTCGTTCTTCGCTTCCTGTATAGCTTCAGCGGCTTCGTCTCGAGCGTGCTGAGCCTCGGTCGCAAGGTCAGCAGCAGCGATGACGTCCGCGGGCGTCGTCGCAGCGGCAGCAGCAGCAGCAGCCTCCCGTGTAGCCTGCAGCGCTATTTCGGCCTCCTCCTCCGCCTTCCGAGCAGCTTCAGCGGCCTCTTCTTCTGCCTTTCTCGCCGTCTCCTCAGCTTCCTCCGCCGCCTTGCGCGCCTTCTCCTCCTCGGCCCTCTTCGCAGCAGCCTGCTCCCTCTTGTTCAGCTTCTTCTTCGGCTTGTTCGCCGCCTCTTCCTCCTTCTTTCGCTGCTCCTCCTCTGCAGCCTGGCGGGCAGCCTCCTCCTCCAATCGCTTCCTCTCCGCCTCCTCGGCCTCAATATGCTGCCAATCTTCCTCCTCGCGCTTCCGCGTCTCCTCCTCCGCAGCCGCGTTATCGTTACTGCCCCAGCCGAACCCACCAAAGCTCCCGAATCCACCTCCGCCCGAACCGCCACTGTTGTTGTTGCCGTTACCTCCGCCTCCAAAGCTCCCAAACCCGAAACTGCTCGTGAGCTTCGACGCAGGCTTAGCCCACGTGGGGCCCGACAAGAAGTCCGAGAACAGCCCTGCGCTCGTCTGCGGGGCCGCGTTCGTCTCCGGGTCCGGCACGGGCGTCGACCACAGGTCCGCCATGGGCGACATCGTCGCGGCGGGGTTGGGCCCGTCGCCGCCCATGCCCCCCGGCATCATCTCTTCGTCGCCCCCAGCCCCAGGGAAGGGAGGGATAACGGGGCCCGCTTCGTCGCCGTGCTCAGACGGGTGGATCACCGGCGGGACGTCGCCGAACAGCGCTGAGGTCTGTCCCGGCGCGGAGTCGAAGAACGCAGGGGGTGCGGGTGCGGGTTCCGGCTCTGCCGCCGGAGCAGGCTCGGGCTCCCACGCTGGCGCGGGCTCTGGCTCGGCAGGCGCGGGCGCAGGCTCGGGTTCGGGCTCGGGCTCTGCAGGCGGAGGGGTAACAGCGCGCGGAGTCGCGGCTTTGGGCGTGGCAGCCTTCGACATCGCGCGGGGCGTCGCGGCCTTGGACTGCGTCGCCGGGGTCGGGATCTTGGAGCCCCAAGCCGGGGTAGCGGCCTTCGAGCCCCCTGCGGGGGTCGCGGCTTTCGAGCCCCATGCAGGCGTTGCGGCCTTCGAGGCCGCCGGAGTCGCAGCCTTGGACCCCCAGGGCGTGGCGGCCTTCGAGGCGGACGTCGGTGTGGGAATCTTCGACGTAGCCGGAGATGCCTTCGGCGGGGTGACGGGCGGGAGGGCGGCAGCGACTGGGGGAGGGCTCGGGGGCTTCGACGGAGTAGGCGTCGCGTAGGAGAGCTCGGAAGGCGGACGAGGCACCGGAGGCTCCTGCGGGCCCAAAGGCGGCGGGGTGATCACAGGTGTCTGCAGGGAGGACATCGTCGGAGGGGTGGGCTGCTTCGAGTGCACCGGAGGCGACTGCTGCACCGGGGTCGGGGGCTTCGTCTCGCGGCGCGACGGCTGCTGGGAGTACCCGTTGTACGGCGGGTTCTCCGCGAGCGGCGAGGACACGCTCGGGGCGCTCGCGCCCCAGTTCGCGTTGAGGGCCTCGGCGAGCCGCGTGCTGCCGCTCCTGCCTGACTCGGCCGAGCGACCTGAGACGTTGATCGAGCGGTCTTCGTAGCGCATTGGCTCCGCCATCGGTGGTCCCGAGCGCGGAGTCTCCGCACCGCTCGGGCCGTAGATCTCGCGAGACCTGGTCGAAGAGGTGGTGCGGTGGCGCTCGACTGAACGCGGTGCGCTTGACGAAGACGTCGAGACACTGCGGTGGTGCTGAGGCGGCTCGAAGCCGCGCGAGAGGACAGGAGGATCCATTGGGGGCTGCATAGGCAAACGAGGCGAGGCCTGCACGGACGGGCGCCCACTGCGCATGCTGGGGTCGCGCGAAGGCGGCTGAGAGACTGAGCGAGACGGTCCGCGGTCGGAGGGCGAGGAGAGGACGGTGACGTTGTCCTCGGGGGAGCTGTCGGGCTCGTCCTCCTCGGCGCGAGTCCCGCCCTCGTTGTAGACGATGGACGCGGGCCCATATCTCGTTTTGCCCTGCAGCACCCCGCCACGACGTGAGCAGACGAGCAGATATCGAACAAGCAGAGAGACTACGCACGTTGTCGACCCACTTGATGCGCGCCTTGAACTCGGTCAGTCCAAAATGAATCTCGATGCTGAACACGATCGTCCAGTACGTCTTCCCCCCTCTCCCCTGCTTCGCCTGCGCGCTCCCCGCGAGCGGGCTCAAGTCAGCCCTGACGTAGCACAGCGTCGAGAAGTCCTCATGCGAGCGGTGGATCCACTTCGGGATCGTGTCCCCGCCGCGGTAGCACCAGATCTCGACCTCGAACACCGAGAGCGTCGACAGGTTCGTAACCTCCGTGCAGTACTTGCGGCTGAACACGTTCGACTCCTTGACCTTGACGCCGCGCGCGAGGATGCAGTCGAACGCGTCGGGCAACAGCCGCGGCCCGGACGGCATCTCGAACAGGCGGTGCTTGCGCGCGGCGTGCTCCTCGTCTTTGGGGTCGAACTCGCGGAGGTACTCGACGCCGTACATGAACTTCGAGACGCGCGCGGAGACGTGGTGGTCGCAGTAGAAGCCGATGGCGCCGTCTGCTACGGCTTTTGAGCTGGGATCGCTCATGTTGAGCAGGAGCGCTTGATAGTGGACGGGACGCACTCACGTTTGGGTATCTGGTCGGCTCACGACGACGTGGTATTTGTGAAGACGCTCCTGCAGCTGCACGAAGAGCCACGGGCTCGCTGCGAAACCTCCGACAAGCCAGACCGACTTCACGGTCCCGCCGGACGAGTCGATCTGCCGCTTGATAGACAGCACAGCTGCCTCTATTGAAGGCTCGAAGAGCGCCGCAACCTCCGTCCTGGTCATGCATCGGTTGGCAACCACGTGACGTTCGATATCAACATCAACACTGGGAACCTACCCGAGAAGTTTCAGCTGGCCACCGCGGATGCCCACGGACAAGTCCTTGTCTAAAGGCGAACCGAAAGGGACGAATTGCATGTCCTTGCTGTCGCGGAAGAGCCGCTTGGTCGTCTCGTCGAACCGTTTCGTGATGTGGTCCAGTGAATCTGGCGTGCCGTATCTTGAGTCCCGCAGCTTCCCTGCAATATGTGTTAAGTGCGGAATAACGAAGTCTTGCAGAATGAGACTCACCTGCGAGGAATTCACGCGCCCTCCGACTGACGAAAACGGAGCCGGCAAAGACGCCTGTCAACGCGTGTTAGGACCGTGTGATGAATTTGATCACGGAACACTCACAGTCCGGGGGAGCTATTTCCTCAATGACAAGGGGCGACGTGCCGCGAATAGCATACGAACTGATGTCCAGCGTCCCTCCGCCCGCGTCGGCGACGATGAACCCGTGTCCGGAAGGGTTCTGAGCCAAACTCAAACTCAGTATCCCAGCGCCACAACGCAGCAGCAACAAACTCAAACCCAAACGGAAAACTTTGCTCACCGACAGCACGTCCGCAGCCAAACCGTTCAGCACGCACGCGTGCAGGCTCGCCTCGCCCTCCGTCACGAACCGTATCCGCGCCCTGCCCTCGTCCGTGTCCGGGATGAGCCCCCCGTAGACCGCCGCGCGCCGCATCTTGGCCTGCTGCGCGCCCTCCCAGCCGTTCGGGTGGCTGAGGACGAACTGGATGTCGTGCTCGACCGCGCGCCAGAGCTGGTGCCCGTTCGCGTGCGTGTCGATGATGAAGGAGCGCGTGCAGTGGAAGAGGTAGGAGAGGAAGTCGCCGAAGACGTCGACGGCGGTCTTCCCTGTCGGGAGGGGCGCGAGGCGCATGCCGTTCATCTTGAGCTTCATCGTCTTCGGGCGCAGACGAAGCTTGAACCTAATGATAAACCCTTCACAGTGAGGTTCGGAGTGAAGGGATGCGGGGGGGAACGAAAACGCGGGAAGCGGGGAAGACGTACAGTTCAGCTTTCGTCCAGCCCTCGTCCTCCGCGAGCGCGACGATAGCAGCACTCTCTGCTTCCGCGCCGGCAGCCTTCATGATGCCGTCCTGGTCGTAGTACATGATGGAGGGGATCTTGGAGTTGCCCGCGACGTGCTCCTGCCCAGGGAACCTATTGTCCTCCCGTCAGACTCGAGCAAGCACTGCGGCAGCCCGGGACACCCACCGAGTAACTCCGTGTATCTTTGGGATCTCTCCAGGCTCGAGGATGGCGTAGGACACGCCGCTAAATGTGGTGCCGACATCGAGGGCGAGGACGAGAGAACGGGTGTTGCCAATGTATGGCTTGCGGGTACCCGACGCGGGCTTCATGGTGGTGGTGGAGGGCGATCGCGAGAGGGAGATAGCGCGACCTGCGTGAGAGAAGGAGAGATAACAGATAGCGCGGCGGCTCTGGGGGCGAGAGGGCGATTTTAAGGAAGCCCCGGAGGAGCGAAGGAGGAAAGGGTCGCAGGCAGAGGCTCGCCACGAGGCGCGCTGCAGTGCATGCTCCTGGGCACCCACGCGCGCGCGCGCGCTCACCCGTCCAATTGGGATGCGCGCGTCCCCTTCCAGCGCTTATGTAAGGAACACGCCTGGCCAACGCCGTCCTCGCGTGTTCCTCCGCTCCTGCGACATTATTGGGACAGAGCGCGGCGGCCTCAAAGACTGCCTGAGATGATCTGCACGGTCTCTCGTCTAATCGTAATTTCGGCACATCCTCGCCCTCAGCTCTCTGTGGCTTGTCAATCTCTCAGCGTCGTGCTGTTCGGCAAGAATCCCGGTCGTTCACGTACAACTCGTCAACGAGAACCATCCAAGTCCGCGTTCTATACCCACAGATCACAGCACTCCTAAGACAGGTAAACTTGGCGCTCCGCAGAGTGGACTAGAACCACGGTCAGTAGTCACCAGCCATCGATATCCCGCTGTCCGAGTGAGTGCCGACGAGATCTTCCTGCGTCTACCTCAACCTACCGCAGCCTACTGCCAGGAACGCCTAGGCCACCACCTATTCAGACGAATTGTGGGCGCATTCGGATTACACGCCATCCACCTGCGCAGCATGACGTTTTCTGTGGTAATTGGGTCTGAATGCCGAAGCACAGGACTGATCAATCACAGAAGAGAATGTGAAGACACTGCGGAGCTCACTATCGGTCGACTCGACTGAGAAAGGTATGGGCGAGTTCAATAGCCACCGGTGGACCACTAGGTACACAACAGAAGACCATGCAAGATAGGAGAGGATTAAAGCAGAGAGGCGTTAAACCTCGTCTTATGACTCGCTTTCGTGAGGCGAAGTGTAAGCAATGCGATCGAAAGCACAGCATGCGGCCATCGCCGGGCCTTGCTCTCTACGCCATGAGCCACACTGAGATGTTCCATAGCTATGTCGTGGCCCAAGTACTAGTGAACTATAGTGAAGAGCCGAGTTGGCTCCATCTTGGAGAACGCGCACATGTGATCGCGACGCATTGACTCCAGACCAAGAAGCATCTTGGACATGTCGACGGACGAAGCACGTTCATTCGATTCGCAATGTCTTCAAAAGGAGCAAGAGGCCGGAACCCTGCGTTGGGAAGGTTGGTGAACGTAATCCAGTTGTCTTCAGCCTGAGAGAGACAATGTACGAAGAACGTGCCTGCAATCTTTCGATCAGTCACAACCGCACTTGTCTATGAGCAATCGCGTAGCTTCATTCGCAGGCCCTCAAGATATATACTTCTGGGTTACCTTCACTTCCTATCCAGATACAGAAGAGCGATCCGCTGGGAGAGAAGCGCACATAACCACGCGCACTCAAGACCAAGCTCTGTGGCGTTACACCACGTGCTTCATCACAGCATGACATGGGTATGAGAGAGCCTACCAGTGAAGTCGTGCCCAGCTGTGCAGTATTGAGAACAACGAGCCAGCTGGCACGCTGCAGAAAATCAGGCCATGCTCCGAACTAGCGATGATCGATGTGGCCCTTCTTCAGGCAAGTCTTGGTCAGTCACCGCAAATGAAGATCCTTTGGTTAGGAGGCTTCTATCGCCGCTGCAGCTTCGCCCTCCGCAGCTCACCTGGATTCGTTATAAGACCCCGTGTCTTCTGTCTGAGTTCCCTGGTGGTTCTTGCGACGCGGTAGACTTCAACCCGACCGAGCCGCCCTAGATCGTTAGCGGGCGTATAATCGGTTGTTGCCACTGCGTTACTCGTCGGGTATGTATAAATCAGTGGGAGTGAAGATGCACAAGACAAGTCAGCATCTGGCTGAAGCAAAGGAAGGCTCTGGAGTCTGAGGCAGCTGCCGCCGGGGGCACAGGAGACATAGACGCCGACGGGGCACGCGGTTACGACTCCGAACTGGGACCGCCATTCATGGAGTCAACAACGTGTATCGAAGCTTGCTGCCTACCACGACCTCTGCGAGCCTCCGTTTGTCGCGCCTTTATCAGCCTCTAACTGTGCATCTCGCCCGTAAGTCACACCCCCAAACATCCGTACCAATCCTCTCAGACTCTGATGGCCATGCGTCTCCAGACTAACCAAGACAGCACCGTCGAGTTCTACACCCTTCGAGGCCCCCTCCTCGGCGTGCCCAGCAATACCCGCACCCGTCCCCGCCTCAGAGCCGACTCGGAAGAGCTCCTCACCCCGGTCGCGGACCCCATCGCCAAGCTCACCCGCGAGTGCTCCGCCCTCCGCCTCAAGTTGGCCACCGCCGAGCGCCGCGAACGCAACTCCTACAACGCCCAGCCTCCCGGCTACCGCACCGCGCCCACCTCGGCCCGCACGCCCCCATACCACACCCTACCCCTCGCAGCGACGGCAGAAAGCGTGCTGGCGCACCGCGAACAGACACGGACGAGCCACCTCCAGGGCGAGGTGGTCAAGCTCGCGGAGCGGCATCGGGCGCTGGAGAAGACGCTCCGCGAGATGCAGGATGCGCTCCGGATGAAGGACCGCGAGATCGAGATGCTCCGCGCAGAGCGCGATCGGCTGCTCGCCGAGCGCGACGAGGGCCGCGCGAAGAGCAGGAGCGTGAGCAGGGAGAGGTCGCAGCTGTCGATGGCGGACGATTACGGTATGGTGTCGGGCAATGGCAGAGGCCGCGGGGATAGGCATCATCAGAGGCATCGCGACAGGAGCAGGAGCAGACGCGCTATGCGGCGGCCGGACGAGGTGCCCCCGCTGCCGATAGGGCCTGCGATGGCGATGGACGCGGAGCAGTATGTGCGGGCGCAGAGCATGGATATCTTCCTCACGAAGACCGACGGCTGGTCTGGGGCACAGATCATACAGGCCGTCGACGACTTGAACGCAGAGATCAACCAGTTCGCTGCTGCCGCCACCGAGTCGTGTTCGTTCGCAAAACGAGCCAAGGCGAAGGGCGCCCTTACCTTGACGTCTGCTCTGGAGAACACGACGCCCTGGCTTGGCCCCGCACTCTCCCACATTCTCGCATTCCGTGATCATACCCAAGACCCCATCCTCGTTCAGCTTGCGTTACAGGCGAGCATCGTCACCTGCTGTGCTCGCTCATTATCATTATTTTGCGTCGGCTTCCCTTCGAAGCTGGACGCCCTATTGACACGTATTCTCATACATATGCAGACATCAGGTGCGTACTTCCGCCTCTTACCTTAAGAAACGCCCTCCTGAGCCGCTGCTTCGTAGAGCCTCAAGCGACGTCGTCACGCTGGCGTACCCTGACGCACCGTTCAATACGTATGCTCTATCCCGGTCTAGAAGAGTACGCTGTGACGGAGCTCGTGACGACGATGCTCCGCTGGTCCAGCGCCGTCTTCACGCTCTGCGGCTCAGCCAACGCCCCCACCGCCTCGGACTCGTCCCTGCACGCCCAGCTGCGCCGGATCGCGGAGGCCGTCTACAAGCTCGCCCGCGTGACGCGCGAAGACATCCTCTCCACCACGTTCGAGGTGCTCGTCGTGGACAGCGGCACCCCGTTCGAGCCCGGGAAGATGCTCAACAAGATGCGGGAGGGCGAGCACGACGGCGACGAGCACGGCTCGCAGATCGGGGCAGACGTCGACCTCGTCAGCCTGAACGGGAACGGGACCGGCGCTGCGAAGGCGAACGGCGCACACGACTCGGGCCGGGTGCTGTGCACGACGGAGCTGGGGCTCCGGTGCGTGACGCGGCGGGAGCTGAAGGGCAGCGGGGGCGGGTTCGCGGAGGCCGGGCCCGAGGGCGACGCGTTCGAGAGCAGACTGCTGCTGCCGCCCAAGGTCCTGCTCGATTCGGCGATGGACGTGATAGAACGCGGATGACGATGCGGACTGGGGGTTCCGCTGCAGGACTCGCGCCCTGGCCCAGCCAGAGCTGACATGACTCGGAGATGGCCGCCATGCCTCGCCACACGACTCGGGAGTCGGGACCCGGGGTGCGGGAGGTGTATACCCAGGGTCTAGAATGCCCTATCATGCCCATGGTGCGTCGATGCGGATACTATGCGCTTGCCATGACTTTGCGTTCTGTATGGTACGTATACACACATACACGCCGCATGCACGCTGCCGTTGTCTGACTGCTATCGGGTATCCGGTCTCGGTGTTCGGAAGAAGTTCGCATTTGCTAACAAGCTACGTGGACCTAATGGATCGCGGATCCGGGACTGTGCATACTAAATAACTGTAACATACCTGTAATTTATCTGTATGACTTGGAACACGTACTGGCTCACGATACCATTACGAAGAGAATGTCATGACCTTCTCCCCTCGTGGCATGGGCAGCATAGTGGGCGCTGATCAGGAGCTGTTCGCGAATGCGGTCTTTCTGCTCGGTCCAGCCGGTCCCGGCTGTCGTTCCGAGATTCCATCCTGCGACTAAGTTACTGGTTGTCGGGAGTCGAGAGTAGAAGCGCCCAGACTGGACGCGGATCATTAGCGCTTAGCTCATCTCGTCCTCTGTTCCTAGCTACATCACGAACGATTTCACCACCGATGGATTATTCACGGGTGGATGGTCAGTTTCTTGATTCAAACACTAAGCAGCTTTTGACACGATACCTGAGTAGCGTACTCATCGCAGATACAATCAGTTGAGGCGGTAGTTCGTCCATCTCGTCGACGCCGCTCCATCAATAAGACGCATTGACAGGGATCAGTTAACCAGAAGACAGTACATGTGAAAGACATCATCTACTGTGTGCTTGTCTAACGATTGCGGTCGACGCCAAGTCTCCACAATAATCCTGGTAAGCAACGAGCAGAAGATGTCCGATGGGCCAATGTGCGCCATCTCGAAAACGACCAGTCAGTGCTTCGAGCTAGCACTTCCCACCATCCGACGTTCGAGACCAAGTCTTAAATGTCGGATGTTGTGAAGCTGCTAGTTCACCGTTCGATGGACCGACACTTCCCACCGCCACACCGATGCTCAACAGGTGTTGCATTAGCGGAAGTGGACTTAGAGATTTTTTCGAGGTTTGAATTTCCTGGTCCCTCGCTCAGGGGCCCCTACTCCTCACGAGTATATAAGGAGCCCGTTTCTCGCCGTAGAATCTCCATCCAACGAATACATCCTTCCCGCATAGTCAATCGTTACCACCTCGCATATAGTCGGTACGTTCATTTGCATACATTCAGGTTCACCGGCCGTGATCTGACCTTCCATTTTCTTGCAGAGCTTATCATCATGGCCGCGAACACCATCACCACACTCTCCCGTGTCGCGTCCAGTCTGGCTGGTCCAGTCTCCACTGCCAATACGGCTGCTACTACCACCACCACCACTCTCCAGAAGACTAAGTTCCCAGCCAACCACCGTCCCACCGCGAGCGAGCTGAACATGATACTCTCCACCGCCGCGAACCGGGCCAATAAGCGCCGCACCCAACAGGCACTTGGCCTCGGCCTCCCTCCCAAGAGCGTGCCCCGTCGTCCCCGCCGGGAGATCCCCATCCCCCCCAAGCCAAAGGCCACTACCATCCGCACCGGCCGCACCATCCTCTCCCCAATCCCCGGCTCCCCATCGCTCGCTCCCTACCACCCCGCCCCCAACGCCCCCAAGCTGGGCACGCTCCCCACTCACCCCGAGACCCCTCCGCCCGTCCCCGCGGCCCGCCCGCGGTTCCCCACCCGCCGCTCGCGCGTCGCGCCGTTCAAGGGCGTCGGGCTCGGGCTCCCGCTCGACGTTGTCGGCGAAGACCCCATCCTGACCCCCGGTCACGTCTTCCCCGACACCCTGTGCCGCACGCCCGGGGCTCCTGCCCGTCGTGCCGCGGTCGCGAAGACGGGCGAGACGGCTTCTTACTTCCACCTGCCGTCGGACCTGCTCGCGACGCCGGCGCAGCCGACGCCTCTTCCTCAGTTCCCTAAGGCCGTCATGGGGCTTGGGTTCACTGTCCCTGCCTCAGTCGGTCTGGGGGCTACCATACCCACGATGGGCCTCGGTATCACCGAGGTTTATCTTGGGGAAGAGGATCGGGTCGAGCTCACTGTGCCTGTCAATTAACAGCTCCAAGGTTAGCCATCTACTACAAGCACCGCAGTCGCAGCTACTGACTTCTGTGCTTTGACAGAGAGCTCATTCCTCCTCATTCTTTCTCTTCGTTTGCTCATAGACGACATCGGACTTTTTTCTATTATTTATGTAGTACCTCTGGTAGTGTACATACTGTTCCGGAAATCACAAACATTCAAAAACGCCCATCGCTTGGGAGTCGTGAGTCATGTAATATGTGTTCGCAAGGTTAGTAAGTAAGGCGGTAGTCAAAAGGCGAACAAGATCACAATGAATCTACATGCTACGTCCGAAGGGTATACAATTCTTCAATATTCCAAATAGGTCCCAGGTATGTGACTATGATGATCTGCGCCAGGCGACACGCCCAATCTGGGGGCAGCTCACTTGCGCTGCACGTCGCTCACGCCAGCCGTGCTAGGCGGGACGTCCTCGACGAACCGGCCCCTCTCCGGCGAACGTACGCTGCCAGTCGGCGTCGCAGTCGTGGGCTCCGCCACACCCTTCGCCTTGTCCTTCTTGCTGCCCTTGCTCCCACGGGGGAACCAGCTGAGGCCTCTCCCCCCGCGCGCCGGCCTGTGCGCGTCCTCGCCCGTCGGGATGACCTCGTCCGGCAGTTTGCCCGCGCCAGGCTTGACCACCTTCGCGTCCTGCTTGCGCTCGCTCTCGGGCGTGAGGTACTCCTCCCCACGCAGGCGGAGGTACTCCTCGAGGAGCGCGGCGTTGCGTGAGTTCGCTTTGAACATCGCGAGGACGATGTCGCCGACGATGGGGACAACGCCAACCCCGATGGAGATGGCGTTGTTGACGAGCATTTTGCTCAGGAGCCAGCCAGGTATTCTGTGAGGATGAATATTAGGAGATGCATGCCATTAGCGGCTTATAAGAATGTGGCGCGACGCACTCTGCTTGCTTCGCTTTGCGCACCACGAGCAGGTAGTTCAGGGCGGCATCAGCAGCGTCTCCAGCACCAGGAATTATCCCTGGACGTAGAGCAGGAGATGTCAGCACATTTGAGCGCCTCAGAGCGATCGGAACGCACCAATTACGAACGTCCAGCCGAAACGCATTCCGCAGATGCTGAAACCCTTGTCCAGATAGTGCGCGCGGCGCTGCACGGACCTCAAGACTTTCACGTCGCGCTTAGATAGTCCAGGGGGAGTCTCGCGCTGCAGGTGACAACACGAATATACCGTCAGTACCGCCTGTGCACGCCACCGTCTCGTGGTGCAGATGTTCGAGGTCCACGCACCCTGCGCCTGCGCTGACGACCTTTGTCGTCCACATATGTCTCGTAGAGCGGATCCTTGGCCTCGTACTGCTTGATATGGCGTTCGAAGATCTTCCGGCCGGCCTTGGTCGCAAACGCATCCATGATGGCTGTGGCGACTGGGAAGATGGTATGTTGTGGAATGGGATGGTGAAGGGGAGAGGGACGCGTGCTGGGTTCGCGCGGCCTTATGAGCAGGGCAGCGCGCGTGCACCCACACTTGCTGACGTCATAACGTATCAGGGTCCGTGTGAGCGCTTCGCCGGGGATAGGCAGCGCCCGGATTGAGCGAGAAGGCGCACGTCAGAACGCCAGGACGGCCGAATGGAATGCTAGTGGCTCAAGCGTAGTGTAACGGTCAGTCGATGAGGTCAACATTGTGATGATGCAACTTATTATCCTGTCTGTGAGGGGAGCATACTTACCCTTGAAAGTCCTTCTATAGTACCATCGAGGTCCTCGAGAGCGTCTCATCGGAATTGAACGTCAAGCTATCTCAAAGTCGGGTGCACGACGATCTCAGCGTTATATAAGCAGCTAGAGGGCGCTACCTATCCCCACGTCGCCAGCACTGCACCTCGTCTAGTGACTATCGTATCGCTGCTTTTTCTCCCTTGTGATTTCCTGTCTTACAAATCGAGTCCATGAGTCTCGCCATGGATGGAGCCGTAGGAGAAATACCCAACTCTGGTAAGTGGCGTCTAGATGGAGCACGACCATTGTAGACTCAGGCACGACACATAGTAACATCTTCGTTCAACAGCCATTGCTCAGCACGCGTCAGACAAAGACAGCCAAGCTGCCGCAACGGGAACCACACCTAAGGTATGTTTCACATACCCAAGGGGTTTTAAGGATACGTATATTGAAGCCTGGGAACATGACAGCTCGCCACCGCCACAGGAGCGTTCGTGGACGAGCTGCTTGACAGCTACTCAAACGAGGAGCTCCTCGGTTACATCAGACGCTCTCCGCGTCTAGGAGGATCCTACTCGGAAAAGTTGATCTGGCTGCTATCCCCCACCCTCGTCGCCAAGGAAATCGGGCATGACATTGACGATGAGCCTCTAGACGAGGTTGGTGCCCTTCAGCTTGCGCGTGCCGCTGGCGTGAGGGTCCCAGCTTTTCGTCGTCTAGTTCCTGAGGGCGATAATCGAATCCACTATATCATCATGGAGCGGATCATCGGCCCTACCCTCCAACAGTTGTGGCGGGATCTCGGCTTGTGGGGGACTGTCCGTGCCGCATGGCAACTACGAAACAATCTTCGAATGCTTCATTCTGTGACGTCCCAAACCACTGGCGGAGTACACACCGGTAAGACCCGCTGCACATGGCTATACGCTCTACGCGGCCCCGCGCGCCACGCCTCTCCTACAGTATTCACCAGCTATCTCAACTGGTGGCTTGTGAATTGTCGCCCAGCACATTTGAAACCATATCACGACCTCGTACTCCAACCGGCCAAGGAGCATGTCCTCGTTCACCAAGACCTTGCCCCTCGCAATATGATACTGGATGCTCGGGGAGACCTTTGGCTCGTGGACTGGGGGTTTGCCGGCTTCTACCCTCCATTCATGGAGTACTTGGGGATGGAGGTTTGGTTGCTTGAGACGCCCTGGCTCTCCGAACGCACCTGGGCTGCGTGGTGGGGTCGCTTTCGATGGACTGTATTCCGTTGGATCACAGCTGGTAGCTTCTATCGATATCGCAAGGCCTGGAACGCACATGCTATCATCCATACACGCACGCATAGGTTTAGACTAGAGGATACACCTTTCTCAGATCGTCTATAACTGTTCGGATATATGCATGTACTAGTTTATCCTCCAGTTTACCCCATCTACTGTAGTCGCGCATTTTGCTTGCGCAAGCGTGGTCAATTCTGGTTGGCCGTTCATTTTGCCGCACTCTCGATGGGCGCCTATCAACGGCTGCTACTAGCAGGACCGGAAGGCCGTTTTCTGAATCTCGAGTACCATCCCCCCGATTGTGCCCAACCTTGGCAGGGACATACTGGAGTTCATTACTGGGTTGCTGGCGGCGTTCGAGTGAGGACGTATCGCTATCATGGGTGCTCTCCTGCCGGTACGTACCCTGCCCCTCAAGCGCATGGCAATGCGACCGAAGAGTGGGGCAGTGCTGGTTTAGATTGGGAGAAATCTGTGACCGCACCTACTCTGCGCACTTCGGAGCGCTAGCGACGCTGCTACGCTACGATTAGTCTAAGAAGTCATTGGCGGATAGCAAACGTCATCGCTTACATGTACGCAAGCACAAGGCCTGAGAACAACTCAGCGGTCAGAGGAGAGACTTCGCGACCACAAAAGCGCCATTTAAGTGAGCCTGCGGCTGGTTGTCTATACCCAAACTGCATTCATTGAACATAACGGTGGCAAATGTCATTGACATGCGTCGACGATAGTAAGGAATCGGATACTGATGTAAAGAGCGGCGTAGGACTTGGCGTCAGTAGGATATAAGAGGTAGACCGAATAGCAATGATTCAACGAGTGTGGGAGTGGATGAAAAGATAGGCGAGCAGAGGTTTGCGTGAAGGAGAGGAATACGGCTCAGCAAGTGAATGGATGGCCAAGAAAGGGCGAGTGGATGAATGAATAAGTGACCAGAGGGAGAGGAGAAACTCGACTCAGCGGGTGAAGAAGAACAAGCGGATGGGAGTAGAAGAGATGGAGAAGATCCTGTGCGTAGGCGGCGCACTAAAGTTGTCTTTGAAGACTGATACTATGTCGGAGAACAGGCGACGTAAGCACAGAAATTCAGAGGTGTGTCGACAGGGACATACCATGAAGCAATAAGCAATCAATAGAATTGCCCCTCCGACATAGGCCTCTGCTCTGCCGGTAGGCGGTTGTTGAAGGGCCAATACATAGCTAGGGAGTTTCGAATCCTGGCGGCGTCGGCGGAAGAAATGACACCCGCGTCGGCGAGGTCGACGGCCAATGTAGCTAACCAGAAGCAGCATCCTTCGCCAACGGGGTGAAAGATGTATCGGTCCCTCTTCTTTGAGATGATGACGGAGAGGATATTGGAGACCGTCATGCCGGGGGAGCTGACAGCGGTCTCGGTGCGACTCGCACGTTCTGTGGTGGCATAGCCTTTGGTCTCGAGCACGACCATTCCCGGGCTCCCAGCGCAACCCGGAACGACTTCGACGCGGACAGACGAAGTGCTGCTAGTCTCGAGGAACATAGACCAGTGGTTTGTGGGAGGCATGTTGTCTGAGCCGTCGTCGTGGATATTGTGGTGAGCGGCGAAGTGGATCTTGTGAACGGGGAGGGTTAGGGTAGCGGCAGGCGTCTGAAACCTGCTGGTGCCCCAACTGCCGTCCGTATTCATGATGTGAGAGTAGACAGGATCGGTCATGGTGGTATGGGAAGTGTGCTGTGATTGACTGGAGAAGCGTGTCTGAGGTCTTGGTGAGATGGGGTGGTGAGTCCTTTATACTGTGGACGCTACCTGGATGCAATCATGTGCGCGATGAATTGTTATAGAAGCCAAATATATCGGCGTTGAGGAATAGCTGTTGTCGCGGTGACTCCCCTCATTCCGAGGGCAACATGTTCGTGTTGTCTTCACATGGCTCCTAATCGGGAGGACCGAGTTAGACGGATCGTCGTGTACACAGGAAATGACAGTGCTCACCGCAGACGCAGGTATTTTTCTAGAGAAGATAGCCATACAGAAAAAGAGGTGTTTCTGACTTGAGCTCCATCCCCACATTGCATGGCAGCCTTGAAAGTCCGCCAGTCACGGTTCACCGTTGAAAAAACGCTCCCATACTGCGGCAGCGCTGGAAATAAGTAAGGACATACACGGGTCCCTCCCTCGTTTTTGGGATATACGATAATTAGAACTCATGCCAGTGAGTGCGGCTGGTTAGGAATGTTGGACCGGTTTGGTGGGCCCTTATTCAAGAACCGACTCAGGCTGTTTATGGAAGGAGGCCAGACAACATGGAGAAGACTTTATCAGAGGTTCTTGCTAGAATGCTGCGCACGCACCTCATGCTATGTGTCGACTCATGGGCGCGGCTAGTTAGACTGGTTTGGTATCCTCGACGCCCGTATTATCGACACGCTATAACCATTTAGGATCGGTACGCTGTAAATAATATGTACAGAATCCACGCCCATAAACTCATAGAATGCAGCCGGTATGATGGGATGTTGGGGAACGGGATGGTGAAAGGGGAGAGGAGCCCGGGCGCGTGCCACTGAATTTTCTCTCACCGGCGTCTACGCTAGGCAACCTGCCTAACCAGGCCACATCACAGTGACTTGTCTTTCTTGTCGTACTCGTGTGCGTTTTCTGCGGCAGCGCTCACTGACTTTCGGCCTGGGGATACGACGATCGGAATTGCGAGGATGACTTTCATCTACATCGCGTATTGTATCGTATGTATCAAGCGCCCCATCACTTTCCCGTGCTTGTGGCTAATCACCAGACTCTCCTCCACGCGGAAGGTAGGTCTGCAGACTTGCAAGGATGGTTATCCCTCAGGTCTGCAAACCTCGTCGTAGACGACTCGCGTATTGGGTGTCGGACGCGACCAACGTCGGTATGTGGGAGCTCGCGTCGAGTATGCTTGGGTGCATAGCCCCTGTCCAAAATTGTCTCGGCCACATCTGCACTTCCAAACCGTGATGCATGCGCACACCCCAGCATCGACTGACGGCCTCCCTACTGTTTCTAGACGCCAAGCTGTCCCTGTCATCTTCGTAGGAATCATCGTAGGACACACTGTCATATCGATCGTCATGGCATCCAACGGGACGGTCGGTGCGCGCTGAACGTCAGCTTCCCTGTGCCGCTGAACCGCTCCTCGTTTCTGGGTCAGCTACTTCAGTGTCGTCTCCCGCGTCGTGCTCTCCCTTTCTGGTTCGGGATTCAGACGTATGCTGGGTCTGAGTGTGTGTACCAGACGCTCAAGGCTGGCTGACCGTCCCTCGCGCATCTGCATAACGGGTTGGCTGCTGGGACGGACATCACCACTGCTGGCACATCGTTTGCTCTTGCTTTCTGGGAGATGCATGTTAGGATTGACTCGGGCGCTGCAGATATCATGTGCTACATACTTACTGTACTGACTGTTCTAGTTCCCGTTAATGTTCGCCTCATTGCAGGGGATCCGGTAGCTGTTCGCGTTCATGGTCAGGGCGTCGTCTATCGCCCCATCCGCTTGGCTCGCCGCACTCATCTGGTCGTTAGTCAAGGCTTGTTCGAGTAGCCTAGCGCGCTCAGGCAGCGCGATATCGCACGCGTGGCTGAGGGTGTGGAACAGTACACTGAGCATCGACTCGACCTTTGCCGTCAAAATCACAGATTTCACCGTACGTACCTGTTGCATTCAGGCTTCCAAGGACTCTCATCTCGTTCAGCGGCCTCGCAGTCACTTCGGCCCGCGTGACACTCTACGGCGACGCCGCGCTCTGGGACCCGCTCCAAATCATCTGCCACTGGGACAACCGAGCCGCGGTTTCTCCTTCGCATTTGCCACCACCCTCGGCACGAACATTCCCGCGGACTTGCTGCGAATGAAACGAACGTGCTCTTTCCGCGATAGTACATCAACATCCGCCGGGGGCAGGTGATTTGCGCGATCTTGGGCGGGTGGGCGCTGTTCCCGTGGGAGATCCTTGCGAGCGCGCAAGGATTCCTGGGTCCGTTTGCCAGGATCATGGTTGCGGACGTAAGTGGATGCCTCCCGCTCCTTGCGGTATATCGTTAATTTAATGAGGCGCAGTGCTGGATCGTGCACCGAGGCAAGATAGACGTGCCTACTATGTACCGGCCCCATGGACGTTATAGATACACGTATGGATTTGTTCCTTGTTCCTTGCGGTCATATCGACGTCACTCCTCACGTCCCTCGTGACAGAACTGGAAAGCCGTCGTTGCTATCCTGTTCACCGTGTCTCCGAATATGCCTGGCCCGAGGCTGCATCGTTATAGGTAACTGAAGAATCTCGCGGAAGGTCGCAAGAGGGCCTGGGTGTCTGAGTTTGAAGTCTCCGAGCCGCGGTGAGACATTTCCGTGCACACGGGCTCTCCTAGGAGATCGCAGACCTGCGTACTTGCCACCCTCAAATGTTTCACCGGAGAAGTAGAGCTCTGACCCCTCTTTCCCTTCAGGTGTTAGCTTAACACGCTGTGTTCAGCCCGCAGTCGCGCGGGACCCATGTACGCTAGAAGTTGTGGCACTGGGATCTTTCTTGATGCTGTCCTGATGTTCTCGTCTTGAACGATACCCATTTCGACCTCTTATGGGTGTACCAAAAACGTCACGGATGACTCGAACAAACCCAGGACAGGTGACAAGGCTTCGTTTGGGGCGGCACTCACGCTATTGACCCTCCACGCCCTTCGCCCAGAATCCGCTTACCTGATGAGTCGAGATTGTCTTAGAGTGGCTCACAGATTACTATCAGCGAGGGCTGGGTGGCACGAATAAGATCGGTGCCACTGGAAGTGTTGATACGCCATCCTCTCCCATTTATGGAATCAAACTTTCGCGTTTGCAAGAATATATTCTATCGATCAGGAAAACTGCAAATATCGCCTTGAAGATTGTCAGTATGGCCTGGAGGGCCAATTTATTCACGACACAGCTCGAGCACCCGACATAGGGGTAGGAGGGGCCCGTCCCCGATACTTAGAATATCGGGGGAGACTTGCGAGGAGATTCCATGACATTGTGATCTCCGCTTGGTTCTGCATGACCTCGCGTACGCGCACAAGAATGTATGATGCTTGTGTCTAGGAGCAAGCATCTTGACCAGCTAACTCACGACGCAGGATGTCAATTCATTGCCTTCGGTGTCGGCGCAGACTGATTTGACTTTAAGCGCATGGAAGAGTCGCTTGCGCGCCTGGTCGGTTTCGGAGACTGTGCCCCGGTTGATCTTACCGAAGAGAGCACGCAAGGCCTGGACTGCTCATGTTATCATCAACATCCTCACGCATAGGTTTAGACCGAAATATACACCTTTCTCGGATCGTCTATGACTGTTCGAATACCTGCATCGAGTCCATTCTCTATTGTTGCTCCATCTGCTGTGATGGCGTATATCCGATGCTAATTGAGCCCCCGAGACGTGACTTCAAGATAAGTACTTGCAATGTTCAGCATCACCACCAGTAAAGCTGCTGCCCTACAATTTGTCTGAGATGGAAGTGACAACGAACTCCCGCTTGACACAAGACTATCGTCTTAACTTATTCTCTAGAACATTGGGGTGGTTGGTGGATCGTGCCTGAGGACAACTCGGCAGTCGGAAGAGAGATTTCACGACCACGAAAGCGTCACTCAAGTATCCCTGTGGCTTGGATTTCAAGTTCTGAGACTGCAGATCATGACTGCAGATATCATTGATATGTGACAACGGTAGTATGGAAACGCAGACTGGTGTGAAGAGCGGCCCAGGAGAGGGCGTCCGTAACATACTTATAAGAGGTACATCGAAGAGCAATACTAAGTCATCGAGCGTGTAAGCGTCTGTTACGGGCTGATTGCCAGTGGCACCGCTCGCGCCTGTTACAAGTCTATTTCCCGCAGACAGATAACCCGAAGCAGCGAAGCTTGTATTGAATAAGTGTTCCCGGCCGCGAAACAAACACAAACCTAATCAAGCCAAAACGCCAAATGACAAACACCTGGTGTCTAAAACCCCAGAGAAGTACACACAACATTGATCGTAACCCATATATAACCTCCCGCGCGGCAACGAATAACTATTGACCGCAACTGCCACTTTAGCCTGAGCATGCCAGGACTGTATGCGGCGTTGTTTCTCACCTCCACCTCCCACGCCCACGACGTTACGGCCACGCGTCCGCGCACGTCCTGTCCGGCCGCTTGCTGTTCCGACCCTTACACTCCAGCTTCCCGCAATCCTGGCACGGATTGTTGCAGAACGCACGGCCGCCCTTGCCCTTGCACTCGTTCGACCCGCACTTGCAGCAGTGCCGGACGCGCTTGTGCATCGGCTCGGTCATCCCAGGCTCGGGGGTGCCGTCCGCGATGATCGAGAACGTCCGCTTCATCGACGCAGGCGGCTGCTGCTCTGGGGCCTGGCTCCAGTACGGGTACGGGTACGGCTGGTACGGGCCCGTGGGCGGGGCGTACGCGTAGTACGGCGGGGGAGCCGGCGCCGGCTGCTGGGGCTGCGCCTGTTGGGTTGCGCTCGCGCTCTGCTGGTGTCCGTTCGTCGCGGCGTGCTCTTGCGCATTGCTCGGTCCGGCTTGGGGAGGCTCCTGCGGGATCGCCTGGGCATGCGGTGGCGCGCCGTTGGGATCCGTCACCCCGCTGTTCGCATTCCAAGCCTCCTGGTACTCCTCCGTCGACTTCTGGGTCGACAAGCCAAGTCAGATCAATACACAATACACTCTATACACGGGGAGCCCACTCACAGTCACGTCCTTGTCAGCGAGGTCGCCCTCGACCTGCTGAGCATCGTGGTTCTCCTCTTCTTCGTCCCCTTCGTCTCCCTGGTCGCCCTCCTCCTCCTCATGCTTGAACGAGGCATAGTCAAAGTCAGGCGTCCCGTGCTGGATCGCGCGGATGATCTCTAAAATCGCCTCCTTGCGCAACCCCGCGCGCAGGCTCGCACGGACCATGTTCCACAGCGCCGTCGAGACGCCCATCCCGTGCCAGCTCCAAATCTCGGGCCCGGTCCCCAGGTCGGGGCTGCCCTGGAGCAGCAGCGCGGGAAACTCGTCCTTGAGCTTGATCGGGAGCGCGCGGAGGATCGACGCGTCCGTGCTGGCGAACTTGCGGCCCTGCGGGCCCACCGCAGCGAGGCAGACGGGGCTCATGCAGACGTACTCGCAGCCGATGACGAAGAACGGCTTCCCGAGATCGTACACCTTGATAGGCCCTGAGCTGATGCGCCCTCGGTTGATGAGCGGCGCGGAGCACACGGGGCACGAGATGCCGTTGAACACCAGCGGCTGCGGGTCCCAGTAGAGGAAGCGGTGCTCTGATGGCGTGCGGGCAGTCGACGCCGACGCGGTAAGCGAGAAGTACACCGGGGAGGAGGGCAGCCAGAACGTCTTGAGGATGGAGTAGAGCGAGGGGATCGTCGGTGCGGAGTTTTTGCTGTTCGGGGCCAGCGAGACGAGATGGGACTTGAAGGCCTCCTCGACGCTCGGGCCGGCGCCCGAGACGGGATTAGGGGCATCGAGTGCGGAGACGAGGGCGTGGAGGAATCTGTCGGGGCGGACGCGCGACATGTCGCCCCAGTCATCTCCGTCAAGGCTTGGGTCAATAGGGAACACGGGCGGACGGCCTGTGCGTATACCCATCGGCGGCGCGGATGCCGAACCCCATGCGGGGTCAGCTGCGAATGGTGTCTACGAGATACTATGGCATCAGTACATGCGTCCACGGTGACACCGCATTTCGGGAAGATAGATGCGCGCTGATGCAATAGCTGGTGCTACATAGGGCACGCGATGTACGCTATCGAGGAGGAGATACGGAAGGTAGCACTCGCAAGTCCACGCTAGGTGCGCTGGCGAGACACAGAGGAACGCAGAGGATTGGAGCACAGGGGCATAACAGAGAGGGCAAACTCACGCCATACGAGTACGCCCCAGATGTCGGCTGTGATCCACTCGCAAAGGTCCCGGGAGGACGCTTGCGAGGGCGACTGGGTCGCCTGGGCCCTACAGAGCCAGCAGGTAGACCATCCTTGCGGGGCCTTCCTACAGGCCGCTTGACTTTCGGCGGCGCGTTAGGATCTATGGGCTTCTTACCGCTCCCCTTAGGTCTCCCAGGTTTGCGTTTGACCGGTTGCTCGGGATTCGCGTCGTCAACCGGAGGTTGCTGGGGAGGAGGGGGAGGAGGAGCCATAGACATCTGCAAGCCAGCGTGGGTTTGGAGGTCCCCGTTGGTGATATGCTGGGGATGCTGAGCGTGCTGGTGTTGGATGTGCGCATGCTGTTGTTCGGGCGAGCCTTGCGAACTCATCGTTTGGGAAGTCAGGGAGCTCGTGAGACCATGCATCGCGTTCGCGTCGGCCATTGTGCTTGCTGAATCGGCTGCGTGTCGCGGTCAGCTTCGAAGGCCATTGTCATTCGCGAGCGGACGGGAAACATCGTCGCAGGAAGAGAGGGATTAATGTGAATTTAGCTCACCAGAACCAAGGATATCTGGCCGGGGAGGACGAATTTGTGGAGGTAAAATATCGAGAGGGAAGGGTTGATGGAGGGAGTGGCCGGATAGCCCTCTTTCGAATAGCCCCCTTATTTGTGAGGTAATCCAATTAGCTCTCGGGTTGATCCGGATCGCTTTTCTTACCCTTATCTCTACAATCTGGTTATTACTTCGTGTTCTATTGCCATTTCTTTGCTTTCGAAATCCTGCGGCCTAAGACCTGCTTGGATGTGTGGCTGAAGGTACTTGTTGCCCGTAGAGGCATCCAACGGCTTCAAAGAGCGGTCTCATATGACAGCCAAGCTTATCGACGAACTTGCGGATCGTCCGTGGAACGCATGACATCTTTCTTGTGTCCCTCCTTTACTGTTTTCCTCCGTCTCTGCAGGAGAGTTACTCGAACGATGTTGAGTGTTTGGACGTCATCGTTATCTTGTATCTTACTCCGCTTCAGGCATCGATACCGCAGAAATCCCTTGGCCGTGGCGCCAGACGCCGGCAAACAAGCGCGTACCGTGTATCGTCCGCCTCGAGGCTCGCGTGCTATATTTGCTAGCGACGCGACAGGCGGTCAATACGCGTTAGTCTCGGAAGTCCTGAAAATAATGCGGCCGAGTGAGGAGGCTTTAACGAGTCTCACTTCCGCTCTGGAGGAGGTGCGGTGAGGAGGGACCGCTGCACGGTGTGGACCAATGGACAGCCATATGGTGCCTTCATTATCATTTGCGCGCCGAGAAAGTTTTAGGCAGTTGTTCACTTGGTTACGCGGCCGATTTGGCTCGTTTGGTGCCGTGTTGGGCCAATCGAATCGTGTATCTCGCGCCGGCAGCGCTCCCCGATCGCAGCGTATATGATGCCATGACCTTTTGTTCATCCCGGTCTTCTACTTGCCGTCGTTCTTCTCGTTCTTCTCGTTCCCCTCCCCTCCCTCCGCCCTCTCACCTTTCCCGCCCCACGCGGGCCCCGACGTTCCTTAGCCAACCGACACTCCTTTAGACGTGGCAGCCATGCTCTCCATCGTGCCAGTCTACCTCGCGCTCGCCGGACTCGCGTCTGTTGCGTCCGCCCACATCGGTGAGTACATGCCGCACTTTTCCACCTTATCTGTATGTTGAATATATCCCCAAGCCTTCTGGCACAAGTCTATGTACGGTTTCAATGTGACCGACAAGACGTTCCCTTATGACAACCGTCCGCAAGTCCCGTTGTACAACATGGACTTTGACCAATGGTGGCTGGTAAGTTCTCTTATTGCATATATTCCGCTTGCTGCCCAGTCATTCCCGATGATGAGCTCACTGAATCTTTAGCATGGTCACAAAGACTACCCTCCCAACGAGGGCGATTTCTTCGAGCTCCCTGCTGGTGGTAAAGTCAACTCCGAACTGTCCTGTGACAAGGGCGCTACCTCCAACTGGCCCTCCTCGCAAGGGTGAGTTATCTCGCGTGTGTTCATGTCTGCAGCTGTCTCATATGGTCACTACTAGTGGTGATGTTGGCTACGGCAGCAACTGGCCCTGCCCCGGCGCCCAGCCCTCTGCCTTCCACACGACTGGCGAAAGCGATGTGAAGGGTTGCGCGCTCGCCATCGCCTACCAGTCCGATGTGAACGCCCTGCAGCCCGACGACTTCACCATCTTTTCGGTCAACCACACCTGCGTCTGGTACCTCAACACCGAGTTCGAAGTCCCCAAGCTGCCAGCGTGCCCCGAGGGCGGATGCCACTGCGCCTGGTTCTGGATTCACTCTGTAAGTGCCCACGTTTGTAATTTGGCGATCACTTATCTGATGATGCGTTCCGTTTCAGATTGACAGTGGTTCCGAGCAGAGTACGGCAGCCGTTCACTTCGATATGGAAAGGGTGTTGCTAATCCGTGTTCATTGCAGTTTACATGAATGCCTTCAAATGCAAGGTCACCGGCGACGCTGGAAACCAGCCCCTCGGCAAGCCCGCCCTTCCGCGCCGCTGCGGCGCCGACCCTACCAACGGCCGCCCGAACGCTACTCCTGGTAACTGTACTGTCGGTGCCAAGTTGCCTATGTACTGGTACCAGAAGGAGGGCAACAACGTAAGCGCGTGGCATATACCGACTCTGACAGATACTCAAATGTCTTTGGCAGATGTTCGAGGGCACATACGAGGCGCCGTACTACAACGACCTCTACGGATTCTCTGATGGCGCTCAGAACGACGTCTTTAATGACGGCGTGATCGCCTCACTCGCGAGCTTCAGCGTGTCTTCGCACGCTGCCTCCGCGACCAGTGCAGTTGCGTCGCATGCTTCTAGCATTCTCTCTTCAGTGCCAACCTCTGTCCAGCACTCTTCGAGTGCTACCCCTACATCGCAGGCTGCTCCTTCGACGCATGCTGCGCCGTCGAGCAGCGCGGCCCCTCCGCCATCTGAGACGCCTTCTGCTACTTCTACCACAAGGTCCTCCAGCTCAACTGGCAAGTGGTCAGTAGCCTGGTTCTTATCTATTGTGGGCTATATGCTAACTCCGCGCTCTGCGTCTCCAGCAAGCCTCGGGACAGCAAGAAGAAGCGCAGCGAGAACGCGAAGCGTCACCACTCGCGGCATCTCTCCGGCCTCCACCACTAAGCCGACCGCCCTCCCCAAGAATAATCGCCGCTCGTATGTAGCACTACACGATACCCGCGCTTGCGCCTTCTGGAGGGTCCGGCAGGCTTGACGTGCTGTCGGCCCACGCAGCCTTGGCTGCAATTGTTCATCGTGCTCTTCGTTCTTTCTGTCTCCGTCCTTCTGTATACTTCTTGCGATCATCACCGCGCCGGGTTGCGCCTCGTGGGGCGGCGCGCCCGGTTCGCGTCGCCGGCGCCCTGCGCTGCTAGTCCGATCTGTCCTTGCGGCCGTAGCTGCGTACCTACTGCTCTGTTCTAGTCAGTCCTTGTAAACAACAATGTGAAGTCTCCCGTGCCTTACATCATTTTGCGCGTCGCTGTGGTTCGTCTGTGCGGATATACGTTGACGGCCTTGGGCGCTACCTCAACATCGAAAACTCGTACGTCACCTTGTTTTCACCAGATGGGGGCGCAGAAATGGTGGTTCTGGCGATCTCAGCAACTCCATCCAGGTCTCAGACGGTGATCAGACACGAGGATAACATGGTTGGGGTCCATGCTGACAATGAACCCACACCCTCGCCGAATCGCGGTTGGCGCGCGGCTGTTCTGAAATGCTAATGGCGTTCATTTTGGGAGATGCTAACCACTCCTCACCCACAGTTCTCCGAGTCCATCAGAAGGCTGGTCTGGGACCCGGCGTTACAAGGAGATTTCAGCTCGTAGAAGCCGAGCGTATGCTGGTGATGGTAACTTACTCAACGCAAGCTCCCCGTCTAACATTCAAATCGACCCGCATCTGCTCCGAAGAAGCGTGTTTCACTGGAACGCGTCTGAGACCTCCAGGGATGCTAGTGCCTTCAAGAAAACGGAATCCTCCACCCGGTCCACTCGTTTTGGACCAACTCTCGCATGAGGACGTCTTGGGCGAAACAGGGTCTGAGGCGGGAGGCCGGAGGACGAGTGGGGACTTGTCTGCCAGGGGTGTATAAAAGACGTTGTGAACGAGCCTTGCCCAGCATCCAAGACGCACCTCGATTAGCTCTGCACTCTCACAAAGACAAGAAACACCTCTTCTGCTTTCCCAGGAACCACACACTAGAATAGTACGATGAAAATTTTCATCCTTGGGTGAGTTCGAGGCTCGTGCGAGGAAGTGAGAGCATGTGACTCACGCTATCCTCTTTTCTGCAGCGCAACCGGATTCATTGGCCTTCCCATCGCTCAGGCTTTCGTTCGGGCTGGACATGTCGTGTATGGTCAAACGCGCTCGGAGGAGAAAGCCAAGCAACTCACGGCTGAAGAGAGTGCGTGCCTACTCCTACAATCACTCTCCAGCCAATCCCTGACACATGCCAACCTTATCTAGTCATCCCGATCGTATGCGACCCCTCCCACGTGAACACATACATGCACCTCATCCCGACCCTCGACGTGATTGTTGACGCAGTAGGTGGGAGCAACCTTAAAGTGGCGTCCGAATCCCTCCTCAACGTAGTTGCCACCGCGGCCTCGACGCTCCGCCACTTCACTGCACCCCGCCTCACCTACATTTACACCTCCGGCACCTGGGTGCACGGCGAGAACCGCAAGGACGTCGTGAGCGACACGACGGCCGTGAGCAACCCCATCGAGCTCACAGCCTGGCGCCCGGAGCAGGAGCAGCGCGTCATCAACAACTCACACGTGAACGGCATCGTCATCCGCCCGTCTCTTCTGTACGGACGGTCGGGCTCGCTCTTCGTCCCGCTCTTCCGGCGTGCGTACGAGGGGAAGGTGGCTTGGCACGGGGAGTCGGGCGGACGGCTCGCGTTGATCCACTGCGACGACCTGGCGGAGGTGTACATGCTCGCCGCGGAGAAGGCAGCGATTGCGGGGGGCAAGATCTTCGATTCCTCGAACGACATCAACGAGAGCGCGGACGCGTTCTTGCAGCGGCTTGTGGAGGTATCGGGCGCGCTCGGGCCGTATGAGTACCTCGAGCCTACGAATTGTGAGTGGGTTTCCTGCAAAGGGTGAAGCTCCAGGAATGGTGCTCATACTTTGTTCGGCAGTGTTCGAGAAGGCCTTGGGTACGACGACCATCATACGGCCCTATCTTGCCCGTGCTCTCCTTGGGTGGCACCCTCGCAAGGCTGGTTTGATCGACCATCTCGAGGTGTACTACAATTCCTGGAAGGCTAGCGAGGGCCTTCCGTAAGAGATTGGGACTCTTGCATCAATACTGCTTGGAGATTAGCTTGAAATTTCGTTCTCATATATCAGATCATATGGAGACAAGCGAGTCAAACTATCGTGAAACCGGCCCTTTTGGCCGTTTGAAGCACCATCCACCACGCGGTACTTGGTAGGGACGATCGACATTTCACAACAGACCCGCCAGCGACGACTTCATCTTATCGCACCATTCTTCGTTCCTCGCGGACTCCGGGAGGTCCACGAGACGGAGGGTGGCTTCCGTTAGCGCCTCTTGCGCCCTGGTCATGCTGCTATTCATCGCGGCGTGCACGTCTCCGTTATGCGTCCTGAGGAAGACGTCGTCCCCATGTTTGATCGCGTCCCAGTAGTGCTTCCAGATGGCACTTTGGTTGAAAGAAGCAACGACGTATTTCGCTTTTGGTAGTTTCGACGAAGAAACGTCTGGGAGGGTATAAGCCGGAGGGAGGGAGGAAGCTAGGGTTTCCGGGCGGAAGGTGCCATCCCACTGCATGAAGGGTATGATGACGTGATCGAGGAGCTTGAAGGCCTGCCAGTCCTTCGTGATAGTCTTTCCATCCCCGGTGCGGAATTGGAGGGACATGACTGCGTAGTCTCCTGGATAGAGGGCGACGATGGCCTCGGTAGGATCCTTCAAGATCGACGGGTATGGCGGGAGGTTGGCCTAGATGTAGATTATCACGTGAACGTCAAGGTCTGCGTCGCACGTATCTGGCACGTACGCTTTTCCCATTCATGTGGACGACGTGAACTCGTGGCGCTTGGGTCCATGGGTCTTTGACTACACCAATCGCAGCGAGCTTGTTGCTACCCGAAGACCGTTTAGCACATTGGACTACATCAATGATTAGGGACTAACCCATCGCGAATGAAGGTCGTGATGTTGTCCTGAGAGTCGACTTGGCCGCGGAGAGCCACACGAGTCGAAGAGGCATAAGTGACAAGCTGACTGCCTGCTCCAAAGACCAAAATAGGGACGCCGTCTTTACGACGGTTTTGGAGGCAGACCTGTAAGGTCGTCAGGTCCTGCTTCGACGCGCGATGGAGCTCCTTCGGCTGGTCGAGTATCATGTTCACTCGGGCCGTATAACTGGGGTCCCCATTTTTCAGCGGTACGAGGTTCTTTGAGAGTTTCTGAGCCCTGAGAAGGAAAGTCAGTCAATCGAACCAATCGAGCCACTTTGAGACTCTAATATCGCTATGCCACATACTCGCAGCCGACCTTGTTGCCGGTACTGATCCAGACCCCGAGACCGTCGTTATCCCCTTGAGCGAAGATGGGCGAGTGCGGATATTCCTCGGGACCGATGAGATGCGTTCTGAAGGCCCGAGTCCGCGGAGCATTTACGAATTCGGCACACACGCGTCGGTGGTTCGTTCGATAGTCGGCCCTCTGGCACTGCTCATCACAGTAACGAACGGCCCTGCCGGATACCAATATTGTGTCAGTGCGTCACTCAATACACATGAGCTATAAGAGAGGCTTACTTGCAAAGCTTGCAGCTCCGCAGGGTCACAGGGGCCATTCTCTTGCAGTACGTGCAAGTCTTGACGATGATGCGTTTGTCCTGGTTGATCAGCTGTTCCTCGTTTTCAGCTACTGCAAGGCTGGCTACCAAGTTCTTGTCGTATTTGTTCATGAAATTGCGATCAAGGATGACACTTCGTGGCGCCATGACGGGAGGATGCAAGTCGCAACGATGCCGCCGTGAGGCTCGAGGGCGCCTTAATATACATATGCGGCCGCGTGGCTGCCACATATTGAGCGCTAGAGCTCCGAGACACGGTGGCACCGTTGCGGTTGCTTGTTCATGTTTGCAGCCGACATCGCACTTATCGAGATATCGTCGAGTCGCGCTCGTATTGTCGCTACATATGCCGTCCGGCCACCATAGAGCTTGCCTCGGGAATGTCTGACCCTGCAGTTGAGAACTTTCTCAGGGTCCCGGACTTCTTGCAAAGCCACTCGGAGCTCAGGCGTAGGGGAGTAACGCTCGCAACAGCTATCGAACCGGTGAGTAAGTTCATTTCTGTAGGTCTGTCGTCGCTTATGTATCACCACGGACGCGAAGCCTGTCGTGTACAAGACCGCTCTGGACGAGATACCGCTTATGGTTGTAAAGGTGCTCAATCCCAATAACGAAGAGGCAGTCGTTTTTGAAAAATTCCAGACTGACTTGAGGTCTCCCAATCATGTCATACCTGGCGAAGCAATCCGTTCTGCACCACCGTTGCTCTTGATGCCTCGCATATCCTAATTGGAAGATATCGAATTGTATAAAGCGCCCCTGACTGTTCTTGTGGATCTCTTCCTTCAAATCCTCGAGGTATGTACGAAGGGTGCATGGTGTCAGTGCATCAGTTGATTCGGTGGTTCAGGGAGTCGACTATCTTCACAGCCAGCGCATTGCACATCTTGTACGCTTCTCAGATTGTTGAGACATGACCACGGTTGACATGGACTCGATACAGTTGTGCACAGGGAATATTACTGCAGCCTTTGACGAGCACGCAGTTCACGACAAGCGAATCGAGGCAGGGAAGATCTACTTGATCGATTTTCAGACGTCGCGTCAACTCAGGCTGCGACCTGGTGAACGGCCCGCAATTCTCCTCCCGGGGACGCAGGTTAGGCCGCCCGGAGGCATGAAGCGCTTTGATCATTATTCCTGGGACGTTTATTGTTTAGGCGACGTTTTCCAACGCAGACTGAAGGTGCGGACCGCCCCAGACTTTCAGATTTCGTCATTCAAGATCTTTGCACAAGCATAATTGTATTCCTTCGGGCGACCCGGGGAACCGTGGATCATTCGTCGGTATATCCAGTGGCTGACTGGCACTGAACGTGGCTGCGTAGCAGTCTGTCATTGCCGTCCGACCGCACGACAGGCACTCAACATGCTCATTGTCATTCGCTGGGTAGTGCGCACGTATGAGGCTCTGTGGAGGCTCTCATCCCTCATCATCTCTGTCATGAGGTGCGACGTTGCTCCTTTGCTGATTGGACGCCGCAGAGTACTGTATCGCATTTTGGTGGATTCCGTCTGTTGATCCTGCGTCGCGATGGCTAATGATAACTCATAGAGTGGAGATAGCTCACTCAGTGTTGAACGCACCCTGACGGCTAACGAAATGAAAGGCGGCTTGTTTTCCAGGTGCAATCACGGTGAGGAGCAGCGAATCGGCAAACGAGATGAGTTCGCGCTCATCCGACACGGAATAGTGGACTCATTTGAAGCGTGATATGTGCATCGGAATCCATCAGATTAGAGTCAGAAGCCTCGAGGTGCAGTGAATAAGGCAAGAACTTAAGTCTTGCGGCCTGCCAGTCGTCGGTCATAGTTTATGACAACTGCAAGCCAAAGACTCGGAGCGTCCGACAGGTCCAGATGATCTGCTGACTTCACGGGTACGTGTCTTGAACGACGCTTCTCGGCCCGCAGTGAGGTCGCCGTCAGATAGAACATCCTATAGACCCCGACTTCCTCCAGGATCACCCTGAGCTTGGAAAGCGGCCAAATGGCTGGGTTATTTGGACCATGACCTCGAGGCTGGAAGAGCATCCGTTAATGACGCGCTATACCCAATCGGTCTAGCTTGCTTGCACATGTTTGGTCTCAGTGGCGACTACAAAACGTCGACTATCAGTTCTCAGTAATTGTCCTGGGTCCGCCTGTTGAAGTTGCGCCACTTGACAGCTTCACTTTCCCATCAACATGGATGAGGATGAGCATCCTTTGCTCAAGGTTCCCGACTTTCTCAAGAATCACCCCGAGCTTCGAAGACGGGGAATCATCCTTACTCTGCCGCTGAAACCAGTGGGTTGAACGCACTCAACCGAGGCTCGCTGGCTAACGTATGTTCTAGTATGCTGTCTACCAGACAGATCCACTCATCGACACCGGAATCGCTGTGAAGATTCTGGATCCCGACACGCAAGAGGCCACTATATGTGAAAAGTTTCAAGCTGACCTCAAGTCCCCTAATCATATGATACCGGCTGAGGTCCTTCGGTCGTCGTCTGAGACACCGCTTCTACTGATGCCATGTTTGAGGGAGCTGGACAGCGTCCCATTTCATAATGCTTCGTTGGGCTTCCTGCTGTCCTTTTCTCATCAGATTGTTGAGGTGCGTGCTCTGTACAGCGATCTTGGTATGCTTGGCTGAAGGTGACGTGTAGGGAGTTGAACATCTCCATCGCAATCGTGTAGCGCACTTGGTTCGTAATCCGGAAGCGAAACCTCGCTGGTGCTCATCTTTAATCTCATAGGACTTGTGCACCGACAACCTCGTTCTGGCACATGATCAACATGCAGTGGCTGACAGACGAGTCGAAGGAAAGAAGGTCTACATCATTGACTTTCATACCTCCCAACAGCTCGAACTACCTCCAGGGACACAGCACGCTATACTTCTACCATATACCCAGATCGATCCGCCTCCTGGCATTAAGCACTTCGATCCTTACTCTTGGGACGTGTATTGTCTTGGGCATGTGTTCGAGGAGCGACTGCAGGTGTGTCCTTTACATGCGTACTTACACTTACGAGTCTGAGCGCTCTTTGTCTTGAATTAGGTATATAGTTACAGACGCGAGGAGCCGCGAGTTGTCCGCTGGTTCGTTCAGTGGCTGAAAGGGACTGAACGCGGATGTGGATCTGTCTGCCGCTGCCGCCCTACCGCACGACGCGCCCGTCAGATGTTAACTTTCCTTCGAGGGCTTGCCTACATTATCGAGGTGCTCTCTGATTTTCCCGCTGTGATACGGCGTTTGAAACCTCGCTTTGTTGCTGATTGAGTGATCACTCCCGGTTTTGTGTGTTAGGTTCTCTCATGACAACACTTGAAACGGCTATCGGAACGCTATCAGCTTGGGAGTCAGTGCTCGTGACGAAAGCGGGGGCTCGGTATTCTCATTTTGGCTTGCGAAGAGTTGTAGCGCAATATCACTCAAGACCATTGGCTACGATAGGTTAGGGACGTCACAAATCGCGCGCACCTGTAGCGTCCCAGGCTCGGTGAGCGGTGAAAGTTTAACCTTTCAGGTGCAATGGCAAACGACTAGTCACAGGTAACGACTACGAGCCACTTAACGGCTAATCAACCCATTACCTATCAGGACTATAGGAACACATACGGAATGCTATGACGTTGTACCTAGTTCAGGCAGAGCGGCGAAAAGGCTGTCCTGCGCAGCACTGATGCAGCCTCTTCTTGCTAAGGTACCCTACAGGCTGTATTCGGGTCATCAGCACTTGTCTGAGTTCTGGGGAAGATCCTGGTGGCCAAAGTTAGTGAGCTGTTTGAGCCGCAACGAGGCACTCGGCTGGACTCTTGCACATTTTGGCTTCGGACACGAAAGGCGCAATACCTGCCTGCCTAGTACCAGTAACGAATACTGGCAGGAGAAAAAGGGTCTCCGAGCCTCTTTCCCTTTAGATACTAGCATAACACGCCCTAATCAACTCGTAGTTGCGTGGAGAATCCGATTACGCTAGAAGTTGTGACGTTTCGATATTCCATGCGGACACCTGCTTTTTACGTCTGGTATCCCCCCAAATATCCCTCTAGAGTGTGTTTGAATCGACCGCTATGATTCGAAGTAGTTTCAGAACACAGCACAAGGAGAAAGGACTTCGCGGGGGGCGGAATTCGCTTTACTGATCCGGGCTTCATACGCCCTTCGCCCAGAAACCTCAGGCTCTGACCTGGATGAGTCGAGCTTGCCCCAAATAGCTCATGTTTGATGATTACGAACACGGTCACCTATCCGCCAAAGCCACTTGACAATTTTGACTTCCCGGGTTTCTCATCGTGAGTATTTTCTACCTCATATCGATGTACAGCACTGTGACGGATGCTTAGAGAGACGGGTTTGCGCATGTTCCAAGTTTTTGTTTGCTGAGTGGTACGCTAGCAAATAGTAGCCATCTGAATGTGAGAACTAGCTGGTGCCCGTTATACACTTCTCTGTTCGCCGCTTGTGGCAGCAGCACGACTGATGTACGACAAACCCTGTATATATTATGTGTGTGCAAATCACAGTAAGCTCGCTCCGCCAACCGAGACCCAGTGGCTTGAAATAGAGGCGGATGACATGCGCCATTCATTCAGTCCAAGTCATACTCATTGATACGAATGCATGACCCGTCATTAGGATCACCTGCGTCTCCTACGTTCAAGTACCGCTATAGGGTGTTGCCACTCTGCTCTCCTCATCACACACACCGCCGAGTTCGTCTACATCGAAAGAGGTGAGGGACTGAATATGACTGCCGTGAACACCGACATTAGAGCAACCACCAGGGAAGCAGGGACAAATCGCAGCACAATCGCGTCACTGCCTTGCATCCAACTGCTCGGGACACTGAGCTCGGAGTTCACGCCGGTGGACAGTCGACGATGGGTGGCACCCACCTGAGTGGCTTATGGACTTATTTATTGGCTTATAGCTTGGTGTATACCGTCGTAAGAGACCTCATCGACTGGGTGTAGAACAGGTCAGGGACTCCTGGGATGAGGCTTGAAAATCACTGGGGATGGCCAATCGACGGATCTTTGAACTACATTCACAATACCCCCCAATCACGGCAGTAGCACGCATTCATGTGTCCAAGAATCTGAACACCTATCCCGGTCTAGAGCTACAAGCATTCACGATGAGAAAGTTTACATCCACGTACCGACTGCCCTTCTCCGGTCTGGTGTTCAAACGGCTCTGATGTCTTCATCTACGCATTTCTTCTCGATACGAGACGACTGTCCACTTTCTACTTTGTCGTCAAATTCTTCACTCGTAATCGCTTCGGCCAGCTTTGCAGGAATTAGCCAAGGATAAGACCAAGTACAGTCGACGCAACGGCGAATTACACGAGCCGAAGATCGCGCAAATCACCTGCCCGCGGCAGATAATCATGTACCTTGGGAAGAGCGTGGCCGTGTCGTTCGCGGCTAACAGCGAGTTCGCAGATATGTTCGTGCCAAAGGCGGAGAGTACAAACGAAAAGGTAGCAAAGATGCCGCAATGCGGTTGTCCCGGTGATCGATGAGCTGCAGCAGGTCCCAGAGCACCGCGCCGCTGTAGAGCGACATGTCCGCGGAAGTGACGGCGATACAGGTAAACCCGACGAGCGTGAAGGCGAACGATGAGCTACTGGACGCACTGGGCTTGCTCATTCTTCGCGTAGCGCTGTGACATTGGAAGCGTCAGTTCGCCATCCGAGTCTGCGTCGAGGTACGCACGGTGAAGTCTGGGATGTTGACAGCGAGGGTCGAGTAGATGCCCGGCGCGCTGGTCAATGCGCTCAGCCACGCGTACGACATTGCACTGCCCGACAGCGCACTATGCTGCTCGAACAGGCCCTTGCTCGACGGGACCTTAACGAAGGACCAGATGAGCATGGCCAGCCACGCGGGCGGAACGACGAACGCCTTGATCATGAACAGCCAGCGGCTCTTCTGTGGGGAGACGAGCATCAACAAGAACTGGGATCAGCCAGTACAACATGAATCCTGCGGCGCCCGAGTCAGCTTCGACTTGCATTTCGCAAAGAAGGGACATACATACCAGCAGTCGTGATGTTCGCCCCAGGAGCCAACCCGTTATGCAGGTGCGCGAGGGACGGCCAGATGGCCTTCAGCATCTGGTACACGCACTCGGACCCAGTATACGTTTGAATGCCGAACCAGAACATGAAGAGCACGACGCGGGAGACGACAGAGAAGTAGCTGAACCTGAATCCGAACAAGGAACGGTTCAGCACCGGGAAGCTGACGTGCAGCCGCGCGCCGACCGTCCCGTTGAGCACGAGATGATGGTCACCTCAGCGAGCATCGGTTAGTATGTACCGCGTAATACCGAATCGGTGTTACTTGCTTGCGCGTGTTTGGTCTCGGTGGCGCTCACAAAACGGCGCCCTTCAACTTGTTGAGACTCGAGTAGTACTTGTCCCTGGCTCAGTTGCCTATGTGCCACTTCACAGTACTGACCCCCGTATTCGGACACGACAGTGACGCTCTCCCTTTGACATGGATGAAGATGATCACCCTCTGCTCAAGGTTCCCGACTTTCTCAAACATCACCCTGAGCTCAGAAAGCGGGGGATCAACCTCACCCTGCCGCTGAAACCCGTAGGTGGATCGCCTTTGAGACGAGGCTCTCTTTCTCACAATTGCTCCAGTATGCCGTATATCAAACAGATCCGCTTGTCGATACCGGCTTTGCCGTGAAGATTCTAGATCCCGACACTCAGGAAGCCGCTATCTGCGAGAAGCTTCAGGCAAACCTCAAGTCCCCTAATCATGCCATACCGGCTGAGGTCATTAGGTCATCGTCTCGGTCACCTATCCTCTTGATGCCATGCTTGAGGGAGCTTGACAGCGTCCCCTACCACGATGCATCATTGAGCTTTCTGCTGTCCGTCTTCCATCAGATTGCTGAGGTGCGTGTTGCGTACCGTGATCTCTGCATGTTAGCTGAGAGAGACGTGTAGGGACTCGAAGATCTCCACCGCCACCGCATAGCACACTTGGTACGTATATCAGAATTGGAAGTGGCTCTAGTACTCACCGTAGGACTTCATAGGACATGTGCCCTGACAATCTTGTTCTGGCACATGAGCGGCATGCTGCGGCGGACAGACGAGTTGAGGGAAAGAAGATCTACATTATTGACTTCCATACCTCCCGACAGCTCGAGTTACCTCCAGGAGCTCAGCCTGCTATTCTTCTTCCATATACCCAGATCGATCCGCCTCCGGGAATCAAACATTTTGATCCTTACTCTTGGGACGTGTACTGCCTTGGACACGTGTTTGAGAACAGACTGCAGGTGTGTTTTCTCCAACTGTAGCCAATTCAGTCATCTGAGTGCACATTACGTGCATGTAGGTGTACTGTTACAGGCGACCAGAGCCACGAGTTGTCCGCTGGCTCATCCAGTGGCTGATTGGCACCGAACGCGGATGCAAATCAGCTTGCCACTGTCGTCCTTCTGCCAAACGGGTCCGTCAGATGCTGACGGTCATCCGGGGACTTGTCTACACATTTGGGTTGCTCTCGAGTGTTCCTGCTATTGTGCGGCGTTTGATCCCCCGCCCTGCGACTGACTGAATCTGTCTCCTGTCAATGTATTGATTTGTACCCTAAATGAACCCCTTATCGATACCGATGTCGCAATCCGAGAGTTTGGTTCGATGCGCGATATGAAAACTTCACGATAGGTCGTGCTACGAAATCGCGCATGTCCTTCGTTCTGGGAAAGCTCCGACGATACAAGATGAACGAGAGCGAGCTCAATTGACACTTATATATACATACAAGATCTGTTACACATTAGGCCCACTGCTGATCATCCAGGCACAAGTATTTAGCGGGGCATAACCATTTCATTCGTTCAGTGTATGGGGAAGTGGCACGGTCAACCGCGAGCATCGGGAATTCATGGGTTCCTGTGTCGTCATATAAGCTAAACTCCTATTGAAAGCTATGGATGGGCAAGACTCACAACAACACAACTGTGGAGGAGCCAGCGTTAGGTCGCTTTGGCGGTGTAGGTACTCGTGTTGGGATTGTTCAGGAAATAGTCGATGCAGCGCACGAACGCTGCTTTGTTCACCGCTGCGTCGCTGGACGGATAAGAGATGAAGGGATATAGTTTCAAGTTCGTGCCTGAATTCGGGAAGGACACAGTGAATGATATGTTTGGCAATCTTGGGGGCTGGCCCGGCGGTGCCGGCCCCGTGTAACCAGTCTTGATCAAGTGGACGGAAAACCCGCTGTCGGCGACAACCGTCCAATCCGCTCGCCCCTTAGCAGCGTGAAAGAGGCTGCTGTGGGACGAATCGTTTGAGACCGCATCCTTCAAAGCACGCAAGGCGTCGTCGAGAGAAAACACTGCCTGAGCCATTAATCTGTAGTCTAGTGTGGGTCATTTGGTCATGGCTGTATCACCAGTTTAGACTCTCAGCAGACAACTCACCGATGTGTCAGAGAATGCGGAGGCCGATAAGTGCGAAACAGATGAGCCACCTGTGATAGCGATTGGTGTGGCTCAGACTGTATGGGCCTTATATATATTCTTGCAAACGCGATTGTATTCCACATATGGAAGTGGGTGGCGTAGTAAGACCGGCATCGATCTTATTCATGCCACCCAGCCCCCTCGGTGATTGCCATCTGTGAGCCGTTCTAGACAATCTCGACTCATTCAGTAAGCGGTTTCTGGGCGAAGGGCGTGCGAGGATCGATAGAGTAAGTGCCGCCCCAAACAAAGCCTGTCCTGGGTTTGTTCGAGTCACCCGTGACGTTTGTGGTACACCCACAAGGGGTTTAAATGGGGATCGTTCAAGACGAAAACGTCAGGACAGCATCAAGAAAGATCCCAGCGCCACAACTTCTAGCGTACATGGGTCCCGCACGACTGCGGACTGAATACAGCGTGTTAAGCTAGCACCTGGAGGGAAAGAGAGGTCAGAGCTCTACTTCTCTGGTGAAACGTTTGAGGTTGGCAGGTACGCAGGTCTGCAACCTCCCTGAAAAGCCCGTGTACACAAAGATGTCTCACTGCGGCTCGGAGACCTCAAACTCAGACACCCACGCCCTCTTGCAAGGTCGCAACATTCTTTCATTTGCCTTTAACCTGAGGTCTGCCTCGGGCCAGGCATATTCGGAGACACGGAGAACAGGATAGTAACGACGGCTTTCCAGTTCTGTCACGAGGGACGTGAGGATTGACGCCGATATGACCGCAAGGAACAGGGAACAAATCCATACGTGTATCTATAACGTCCATGGGGCCGGTACATCGAAGGCACGTCCACCATGCCTAGCGCACGAGCCAGTGCTGTACCTCATTCAAAACAACGATTCATCGCGAGGAGGAGGCATCCACTTACGTCCGCAACCATGATCCTGGCAAACGGACCCAAGAACACTGCCTAACCATTCATAAAACTCAAGAACCCCTTCGCGCTCGCAAGAATCTCCCACGGGCACAGCGCCCACCCGCCCAAGATCGCGCAAATCACCTGCCCGCGGCGGATGTTGATATACCGCGGAAAGAGTACTGTCATGTCGTTTGCGGCTGAGAGCGAGTTGGCGGAGATGTTGGTGCCGAGGGTTGTGAGTACAAAGGAAAAGGAGGCGAAGAACGCCGCGGCGCGGTTGTCCCAGTGGTCGATGAGCTGCAACGGGTCCCAGAGCACCGCACCGTCGTAGAATGTCACGCCGGCCGAAGTGACGGCGAGGCCGATGAACGAGACAAGAGTGGACGCGATGGGGATGAACAGCTGCACGCACTGCGCTTGCGCGTTCTTCGCATAGCGCTGTGATATCGAAACCATCAGTTCGCCATCTGAGTCTGTGTCGAGGTACGCACAGTGAAGTCTGGGACGTTGACATCGAGGATCGAGTAGATGCACAGCACACTGTTCAATACACTCAGCCACGCGTACGACATTGCACTGCCCGACAGCGCACAATGCTCGAACAGGCCCTTACTCGACGGGACCTTGACAAAGGACCAAATGAGCATGGCTAGCCACACGTGCGGGACGACTAACGTCCGGATCATGCGGAACCATCGGATCTTTTGTAGGGAGACGAGCGATAATGGCAGCTGGATTAGCAGTCGTGATGTTCGTCCAGGCTGCTAGTCGGTTGTGCAGATGCGCTCGGGGTGGTTAACCAAATGGCCTTGAGCATTTGGTACACACCGTCGGACCCAGTATACGCCTGGATTCCAGACCAGAACATGGAGAGCACGATGCGGGAGACGACGCTGAGATAGCTGAACCGAAACCCAAACGAGGAGCGGTTCAGCACCGGGAAAGCGGTATGCAGCCCTGTTCCGACTGTCTCGTTGAGCATCATGACGATCGAGATGATGATGTGCCCGACGGCGGGGAGAGCTTGGTGCCTGAAAGTATAGCGGACGTCAGTCGATGCTCGGGTTGTGTGTGCATGCAAGAGGGTTTGGAAGTGCACAGGTGGCAGAGACAATCTGGGTGGGACACGCACCATGAAAGCCCAATGGAAAGCATACTCGACGCGAGCTCCCACACCGCGACATTGGTTGCATCTGACACCCAGTACGCGATGTAATCGATAGTCGTCTATCCATAATAAACTATCAGTACATCCTCTTCCCGCACAAGCCCAACAGCAGCACAAACGACACTTACGCCCTTGGGCGGGACGGGGTCCATGTCCTTGTTCGATCACCTGCGGTTCGGCGCAAATGTCGACGGCTACGGCTCAAACACCCACGCCTCGCGGCGCGTGTACGCAGCGACCTTCTCTAGCGCAGAGAGAGCCAGCCTACAGAGCTCCAGAGCTTTAGAACCCAAGTTCCGCACTTCATACGCGAGGCTAGCGTTGGTCGTGCGGGAGTAGGTCAGAGAGCGAAGGTCCTAAAGAAGCATCCTGTGATCGTGACGCGTACAACGAGTTTTGCAAGAGCCCAAGAGTAGAGTAGCGACATGATCGTGCACTGTGATCACGGTGGGCGGGGAGAGACTGAAGTGCGTAAGTACACTTGGATTCGGCGACCGGCTAGCCGTCGTTGCGCAGACATCTGTGAGTCTCAAAGCGCCCGATGGTACTGCGATCTGGTTGCACGTGTTTGGTCTATGTAGCTCAGGAAGAAGATATAGACGCCCTATTGAAGACCCTTCTTCACCAACAATCCAACCGGTGACCCTACCGAGTCATATACAATACAAGCCTTATTGTGATCTGAGAGCATTTACTCTACAGCCACTTGCACTGGCGACAACGACAACGACAACGACGAAATTCCACAACTGCTCTCGCTTCTCTGCTCTCCACCATTGCTCGCATCCGTATGCGCTTCGCTCGCCTACGGCAGTCCTGCCCTAGCATTCCCACCTGATAGCAAGAACGATAGCGCATGCTTTGGGTACCTATGTTTTTGTAGCTAGGACTGCATCTCTAACTTCCCATCCCCCACCCGCTTTCCCGCTCGAGCGCACGCCCCACGAGCCGGCCATGACCGGCATGACCACTCATGCCCTTCACGTTGCCAGAGCGTCATGAATACGTTCTGGAACTATGTCAACTGGCTCCTGCAGCCGACGCGTACTTTCTCCCGATCCCGCGGACCGCCTCTCGAAGTCTTCGCACAGTAGGCCGGGCGTTGTCGAAGGGCCAAGAGCGAGAGTAGCTCCAGATCCTAGCCCTAGAGGGCGGGACGAGGAGCTTGCTTGACCAGCTGCAATCGACACTGGAAGAGCTCTCCAAGCTGTTGACCGCAGTCTTCCTCTCCGCGTTCTTCCATACGTGGCGCACGCCAAACGATGCCGTCCTATCCAACATCATCCTTCGACGCCCTTGGGTAGTCCGTCTTACGAACTCAGGCTCAAGCTGGCTCTCCCTCCCATTTCCCCTTCGCCCTTCGCAGCTGCTGCAGATGGAGCCGCCCAAGACTCGATGTTGGTGATGTTCGCACTATAGGTATGGGTGGTGTAGGGCGTGACGCGGGGCATGTTGAACACGCCAGACTCGCCGGTCGAAGACCTCTCGCTGGTGCAGCCCGCACCCTTTCCCCAACTTTGTGGACCGTGACCATAGTTCTCCCTTTCCTCCGCGTCATCACTCGACCTCGGATTGTTGTCATGCAGTTGCTTATCCCTCAGCGCTCAGCCCGCATCCTGTCCCCCGCAACGCTGCCACCCACACCGCACCGCTACATGGGTACCATGCACGATAAAGACGCCTAGTTTGTCTCCTCTACTTCTTCCCTCGACAATCGTGAGCTGACTCACGCTTGCCAGCCTCCAGGAAAGGGAGCCGCGGCGGGGTCTGAGCGGACGACAGCGAAACATCTTTACCGCCACTCCAGACGCACCGGGCTAGAATAAGTACCTTGCCGCGCATTCGAAACCTCGTAGAAGTACGTCAACCATCGTTCGCTTCCCATTGTCCTTACGCACTTCTGCTGACCTTTGGGACACGGTCGTACATAGGTCGGTCGGTACTCGAGCAATCCGCAGGAGCTGCGGAAGCAGACCATCGCCTACATTAAGAGCCGGCACCGACCAACCGGATGCTGCGATGCACAAGGAGCTAATGCTGAACAGGCCGAGGGGGTTGCCGTGGAAGGTGAAACACCATAACGATGCGCGTTCGCAGCGACACTCTATAGTACGCACAATGACACAGACGGGCCGTTGCAGAAGGCGTACGGGACTATTTTTGAGACCGTCGAGCACCAGGAGGACAAGGTTACTGCAATAGGCATATAGTCTTAATGGTCTGTCGCGCTTGCCGCGGGGCTATTGCCGTCGTGACTGGCTGCCGGTGAACCGTGTATCCGGTTGGACTACGATTATAGTCTCGCTACATCGTTCATGTTCCCAGAGAAGATTTGACATACTCGCTTACCCGCTAGAACTCGTTGCAGATCATATCTTGCTTATTTGCAGCGTAGGGGGACGAAAGGGTACGGTACCAGATGATTTACATATGGTGAATGTGCCATTGCTCTGAAGGCGCGCCGAAGACCGCCACGCTCTTCCACTTGACTGCAACAACACGAAGTAGTGATATCATCCAGGGTTCTCCGTATATTCGATTAAACAATCAGTCACATTGTACCACGGGTTCCATAACTATGCATCGCTCGAGGGACTACTATCACCTGCCGAAGATGCGAGGCACTAATACCAGGTCGAGACTCGGGAGGAAAGTGGAGGAGCAAGGATACATGCCCTGAGGAGAAGCTGAGATAGCTAGAGTCATGCGGTAGTCTGAGGCTGATAACATTTCGCCCACTCCGTCCCGTGGTAAGTATTTGCGAAGTCGATGGTGAGTGCCTCACGCCCAATGAAGAAGAGCATCCCTCGCCATAACAGAGAATCCCGATACTCATCTGGCACCCATATGACCAAATTATTATCTACGTCTGTGATCCACCCATCCTGCGTTTTGAATGTTCGAGTAGTGGAGATCTCGGACCGATCTTCGGTTGAGCGTGTCGTCATAACTTTGAAGTTGATGAAAGAGGCATGTGGTCCTGTGGGATCTTAACACAGTATCTTATGTTCAGTTTCGGGTGAAGAAGAAATGATTCTACACTTGCCTGTAATGGTATTCGCATCCCAAACAACGATGGTCCTGTATGAAGCTGTTACGATGCGGCGACCATCTCGAGAAAGTGAGAGGGAGTCGATAGCTCTGAATGGATTGCACAGGTTCTCCCCAACAGGCTTTCGTGTCTGTACGTCCCACATCCGGATCTTTCCGTCCTCGCCCCAAGACACGAACCGTCGGCGGTCCGTAGGATACATTGAATGGTACACCTTGCCTCTGTGACCGCGCAAAGGCTCGCCTGATGGCGCCCACTTCTCCAGATCCCAGAATCTGATAGTACCGTCCCAAGCAGATGATATCACATACCGGCCGTCCATAGACCACGATAGAGACAAGACGAAGTCCTCGTGGCCCCTGAATGGCTCGCCAACAGCACGCCCCGTCTCCGCATCCCACACGCGCACTGTCATATCGTCCGAGCCCGATGCGATGCGCTTGCCATCTGGTGACCACACGACGGATCTGACCCATTTTTCGTGCCCGTCCGAAGACTCGACGAGACATTCGTGTGTCTCGGCATCCCAGATGCGAATAGTGCGACGGACCACGTTGTCCAAACATGAGACAATCCGGCGGCCATCTGGGGAGTAATCAAAGTCCTGTTCCCAGCACCTATGGCCATGTAAAGGTTCTCCAAGGGGTTGGAGCGTGGCTGAGTCCCATACACGGATGGTATCATCCCGCGAGGCGGAAACAAAGCGACTGCCATCGGGTGAGAACCTGATGCGAGTTATGGCCTCGGAATGACCCTTCAGACGCCCACCGATGTATTTGCCAGTGTCCGCGTCCCACGCATTCATCGTTCCATCTGAAGAGCCCGATATAATCCGGCGTCGGTCGGACGAGTACGCAACCGAGGTCAAGGAGCTCGTGAGGGAGGAATGTGATGAATCGGGAAAGACATCCTCAGGGCGATCCGTGCTCCCGCTCTCCGCTGCAGACCATATCCGTATCGTCGTATCATCTGAGCCGGACACCACATGGCGACCGTCTGGCGAAAAGCTCAAAGTGGTGACGATATCGGTGTGCCCAACAACGAATGGCCCCCCAACATTCTCATACGTCTCCGAATCCCATAGGAGGACACTACCATCCTCACATCCAGAGACAATGCGCCTGCCGTCGGGGGAGAGCGAGAGAGCCGATATGTGATCCAGGAGGTGGTGAGTGATCATTTTCAGCATCTGTCTGGTTTTGAAATCCCAAATCTGGATTTTAGAGTCGTATGATCCGAAGACAATCCGTAGACCGTCCGGCATGAAAAAGACAGATGTGATCACATGGTTATGGCCTCCGATGCGGTCATCCACCATTCGTCGTTTTCCCACCATGCATTGTGTTGTGGTGTCCCACAACCCCACTGTGACACCGTAGTAACTAAATGCGATGTATCGACCAGTTGGAGAGAAGGCGACACAGCGAACGAACGTTGCATGGCCGTGAGGGGCGAGCTTGTGAACCATCCCGAACGTTTCTGTGGACCAGATGCAAACACGACCGTTGCAATCTCCAGATACAATGCAATGTCCATCCGGGGAGTATGCGATACACTCTACTGAGCCCTCATGGCTCCGTAGAGGTGCACAAACAGCCTCCCCTGTCGTAGAATCCCAGATTCGCACCGTCGAATCATGGAGCGCTGTAGCGATGTGACGGCCATCTGGTGACAGAGCAAGCCTACGAACCGAGGAGCCACAAGACTGCTCAAGGATTGCTTCGCCCGTCTCCGCATCCCATATTCGCACCATCGTGTCATGCGATCCTGACACAATGCGCCGACCGTCAGGGGAGTATGCCACGGAAGAAACAGAGTCTGTGTGCCTTGAGAGGACGGTATGAGCATGCGGCCAACGATCATGAACGCTATTGACGACCGGAAGAAAGGGGAAACATGGGAGATAATTGGTCCGGACCCTGGACGACGCCGGGGAGAAAGGCAGGGCTGAGATGTATACATGAGGAGCGGCGTAGGCGATGACACCGGCGAACCGGCGGCTGAAGGAAATCGCGTCGATCAACAGTTCCTTTGATGATGCGCTTCCGGAGCCCTATAAGAGCCGTGAGTGTGATCAACATACATATAGACTGAGTATAACGATCCGGCTTACATTGTATCCCTTCAGCACTGCTTCCAACGAAGGAGCAGCACGATTGACACACTTGAGGAGGCTGAGTAACTCGAACCAGAACAGCAGCTTCTCTTGCAAAAACCTGCCTAGTTCTTGTTGCAGGTCGGGGGGATGAGTGGTAGCGAGATGATCCTTCCAGTTGCCTGCCGCGTACGAGAGACTTTGAGGGACATGCATAGAAAGGCGAGCTTCTAAGTCAGGAATGTCACGGTTCGAGACGTAGGACGTTTCCAAGCGGCAGATGTTGAACAACAGTCGATTGTTCATGACGCGGAAGCAACCAAGCACCATGGTGGAATGCCCTGGTGCTAAGTCGACGAACCACTCCCCGCTTCTAGTCGCATCAGTCAGGAAGTCGCGGAACGATGTATGAAGCGGACGGATAGGAGACGTCCGGGAGGATACCCCGGAGAGAAGCGGGCCCATATACTGCACCACAAGAGTAATCTCGTCTCTCTTCCCGCCCGTCGCAAGACGACGCATTTCATCCAGCGAATCAATTGACAGTGGAGAGGAAGCGCAAAGGATCTGTGCCATCACAGAACGGAAACGCTCCGCCAGCACCGGCTCGTCCAGGTCGAAATGTTGCTCCAGGATGCTTCGGTACAGGTCGTCGAGGGAGAAGGGACCCCCTCCCAATACACCGCCCAGACGCAGGTTGAGTCGCTCCCGCAAAGTCAGACCTGCGGGGTTTTGTAGCAGAACCCTGCAGGCCGTTGCAGCCCACTGGAACAAGCCCTCCGCCTTCGTAACCAGCAGGCGGTAGTCCCCGTCGTGGAGCGCTTCATCGGCAAGTGACCTATCAGGAGCGAGCTGGTGACGGACATAGAGCGCAATGTCCGACGTTGCCTCTTCCTTGTTGTCGTCGAGGCTGATATGGCTGACGTGCTGGTGGTCACCATCATGCAGATGCGCACGGAACGCGACATCGTGCTCGAGACGGGATGTGATAAGGATACGGAAGTTGGAAGGAAGCTTCCTGGAACCCTCCGCGAGAAGCTTCAGCAGCAGACGGCGCTCGGGCGCATCAGCAGAGCTACTCTCATCGAACGCGTCGACGACGACAACCACCGGCCCAACGAAGTCCACCCTCTTGAGTGGCTCAAGAATAAGCCCCTCCCACTGTTTCGCAATGTCGACTGACCCTACGAGGTCACCCTGATCATGGAGGACATTCGCGAGCGCATGACGGAAGGCGGGGTCCCAGTTCGCCAGATCGTGCGCAATCGTGCTGAATACATATTTTGGCGGGCGCTCCGCCTGGAATGTACGATTGAAGGTGAAGCAGGCGCCTAGGCGACGACGATCCCGCGAGTGCACGCCAATGGAATGGGCGATGGAAGACTTGCCGGTCCCAGCGCCGCCGAGGAGGAAGAGCACGCGGGGGGCATCGGCCTTTGAGTTGTTGATCCAATCCCGGAGCGCGCCCAACGTCTTCACGCGCGTGCCCTCGAGACAAGCTCTGCCTGAATCCAGTCCTGCGCCCCGGACATGGGTCAGATTGTCGATTTTGCCTGAAACCGTCGGTGAGAAAGAGGATAGATATAAGGCGACTAGAGCTTACTAGAATCTGCAAGGTTCGCCACCCGGATCTCAGTCTCGAGCACTCCTGCTTCGGTGAAAGACCGGCGTAGGTCTACGAAAGCCTCGGTGAAGTCCCGCACTTTCTCGTCTATGCGTGAGCCCGATAACACATTGCTTCCTGTTCGCATCCCTACAGTACAGCCTCAGTACGCATCGTAGCAAGAACTCGACGAGAGACCTCACAGAAGTTCGTAAACCGAGCCTCATCCTGGATGAACTTGGCGCATTCCTCTGTTTTCGAGGACATATCTCTCAGCAGTCTCCGGCGATATTCGTCCAGGTCGGACAGGCGGCCGGTCTTGTTCACGAGTCCATAGAGCTCGTTCATCGCCTCGAGAAGATCGGCCATGGCGTTGTCACGTTTGTCTTGGTCGATTACAGGCTGACAGGAACGGCTTAGATAGGGAGCATGGACTGGAGTCATATGCAGAGACAGCCTACCTTCACGACCGAAAGGAGGACCTTGGATGCTATCTTGGCGTAAGGATGGAGCTGTACATCATCTTGAGCATGGCCGAGACTCGATAGACGATGGTAACTGACGCACGTCTCCTATGTCTTCGATGAGCGATGCAAAGATTTTCACTCTCTCCAAGACGGGTTTCCACAGCTCGTACGCGCCTTCGACAGCTTCTCCCGTAGGCTCGATGGCTGTCGCACCTTCGGCTACGATTGTAGTGGCTGGGCTGAGGGAGGCTAATGCTGTGACGCCTGTGTCGACGGCTGTCGCTATCTTGGCCACATGCTCAGCTCGAGATGTTTCAGGCTCTGTGTCCTGCGTATCCTAAAATGAGACGTCTAGTCACTTTCACAGACAAGCGAAGCGATCAGAGAGGGAATTGCACCTTGCTCGAATCCTCAGGAGCACTCTTCTCCCGGTCAACGACACCGGGAGATCCTGTATCGGTGGATACTACTTTGGCACCATTGAGAGAACGCTTGAAGTATTGCTTGAGTCGCTTCCCCAACTTCCACTTGAATTTGCGCATGATAGTCTTCGGAGGTCGTCTGCGGGCGTAGAGTGCGTAGATGTACTGTTCAGAGTCAACCTGGCAGAAGACAGAAAGATGGCGGGCGTTTTCTCAGGCTGGACAGATCCACGAGGCTTGGATAAGGCTCGGTTAGCAAGGATACATTGGGTCCGATTGGGAATACGACCGTCTCCCATGCATATTTCACAGCGAGACAAAAGCGTGGCATCATGATAACATACAGTGATAATCGTAACGCCCGCTTGAAAGTCGGAACGTCGAACGCGAGCGACAAGGAAGTGATGCCACGAGGGTGTCCCACAGTACAGTGGGCGAAACATTCCTATTCCAAGCATTCGTAAACAGGAACTGCACGGGCGTGACATCCCATTCCAGGCATCAAGACCAATGCCGATAATGGTATTCCGGAGGGCGACCTCGTGCTGGACATGACGTTCTGACAATTAGACGGAAAGAAGCTAAACATTAAGCACAATGCTTGTGAGCTGCGAGAACATCTGACCTCCGAATTTGCATATCGTTAACACGTCTCTATCATGGGCCATCCTCGTTGGTCGGAAGGGGGACACGGAGAAGAAGCAGAAGGCCAGTCCGGGAGTGTGGATATCTGAGTCGCGGTCGGGAACAAGATATGTCATATATTAGCCGCCGATGTGAGGACGAGTCCACGTCGTCTGCGTACACAACGCCCACCATCCTTACTGCCTTGACCTTCCCGCACATCACTTCACGAGCGATTGTGCACCCCACACACCGAGAAGCACCAAATGTCGTGTCCAGACGCGATAGTATCTGCTTTGCAGCCAACCGCACTGCGCAACAACGACTAGAGCTCTCCCAATCTCGACGCCTCTCCCCATCCTCGACTGTCCTCTGCGTGGCATCGCTCACATCCACA